ACATAATATCGCAGCACATAGAACTGTAGCACATTTCAAAATGGTCATCATCTTCTACTATTTCTTTTCCCCAAGTAGCAATTTCAAATATTGTACAAGACAACTAGCTAATAACTATTTGGAAAGGACTGAACAGTTAGCTGCATGAGCGGAATGACCACCTTCACAAGGATGTCATCAGTGTAGTCTGTTGCTTCTCTACGAACTAATGCACCATAATATATTATAGATGTCAAAAAAGAATGTCGTGATTATTTCACAAGTGTTATTATGACTTGAGACATAGTCAAGATTCGAATAAATTCCTTCCTTTAGAGAGCAAATTTCACTGTGGACTTAATCCTCTGTTCTCGACCATGCTTTTTTGTCGTTCCAATTTTATAGATAAACATTCATCTCTAAGTACTGTGTGGATGGAACTATAAGATGCCATTTTGTATAATTATCTTAATAACGTTGTACAAACTCTGGTCTTATATGCGCTCTGCAGGTACTCGATGTGATAGTTTCCATCCAAATAGCATGCCTTTCAAATGTTTAGTTTTGGTAAATAGTCCTTTATGATCGACGTCGTTGCAACTCTGCTTTGATATCTTTCAAAGTCAACGAGAATTTTTCGTTGAGAATCGCTTCCGAGGTTCACTTGGTTTGTAAACCCAGTTTTCTTGCAAGATATCTACAATTGTCGATAAATGGTTTGTCTTGCTATTTATCTTTTTTCTGCAAATTTTTCGGTATTACCAAGTAGTCTTTAAATTACTAACGAATCTTTTTCTTTCTTTTCGTGTATTTTGATTTCTCACTTGCTCTACCATTGTGTGTATTGGTTTTCCTTGAAATTGAGCGTTTCTATTTTCAAATGTATTTCATATGCTTTTCGAAATCAAGGTACACTTTCATTTCTTGTTTTTTTTGTAATCACAGATGTCGACGATCTTCATTTTTTATCAACACGTTCAAACACATTGGAGTCAAATAAGACGTCTTTCGATGACTAGCAGAAAATTAACGATACTCGCCGTCTACTACATATAAGGCACCAACTTTACTTCTCTTTGTTTAGTCGTGTTCATCAACTTCTTACAAAAAAAACAAGTGTTTACCATGAGGCAATAACTTGAGGTGAATAATATCTTATGCATGACGTAAGGCATTCATGATGTGTTTGTTCTACATCATTGTTTGATGTTCATTGTTCGTGTAGGTGCAAGTTACAGGATTCTATTGAATTTAATTCTGAAAAGAATGGTTATTGTGTCTTAAACAAAAGAGCTTTGTTCTCCTTCATTAAATATACGTAAAATGCAAATGACGATAGAGCATTATTCTATTGTATTATGCAATTCATTAAATGAAATTTATTCACCCTATCAAATAAAGCATGTGTATCTTAATCGCTTAGTCATGCATTCTATGAGTTTGAAGCATTAAGATGTTGGTGGCTTAAAGTTTTGGCACTTTTTATCAGCGTTAAGTCGTGTTGGAAACGATTGTTTATCATTATGAACTTGAAGATGGTTATTGAAAGTTAGAAATGGTGGAATAGTACGAACACTGGCGGCTTCGTAAATATAGCTACAAATGATAATGTGCGTTTAGTGAACAACGGACAACATAAATTCATTGATCATTTGTAAACACGTTTGTTGTGTAAACAGACGATCAGATGCAAAGGTCAATTATGAGATATCTTACCATGGATTTCTAAATACACTTTTGTATATAGAAATGGATGGTAAGAGAAAGTAAAACAAAAGATTTTCTAGCAATTTACTTGCTAACCCTATTGTTACTATAATAAACTGAAATTTAGTAATTTCTTTATATTGCAATAGACTTATACTATTTGTGTAGATGTTTTATGTTTCTTACATGAAGTATCATGGAAATTTTGTACTGTGACGTGACAAAAAATATGTAAAATGTCCCAATTTTTGTTATGCATCATCGACCAGCAGCAAAAGTATGGTGGCCACCGTCCATGCCTTCTCCGCTAGACATCCCGGTTCGAAGCCTGCCCGTTACCATGAAAGATGCAAAGCTTAGACAGATCGACAAATGTCAACGTGCAAGTTAGAAGGATGTCTCAACGATAGTTGATGATGGTGAATGATAGAGAGAAATGATAAAGAGATATAATGGAAAGATGTGAAGATGAGAGATGACATGTGAAGAAAAGCAAATCATTTTAAATTCTTTCTAACTAATTTTTCTTCATAAATTTTCACGAAAAATTTAGCCAGTGCGCTTTGAACCTGCATTCAAGTGCACCGAAGCCGAGGGTATTTCTTTTGAGCTAAATGTTCCCGACTCTTAAAAATTTTGGAACTTCTATTTAATCGTTTATTTTTAATGGATTTTAATAAAGAGAAATTGCTGCTACGTAAGCCAGACAGGTCTTGAACCCGTTTACTCTTATGCTGACATCGAGTGTGACTTCGCTGGCGCCACACCTTTCACATACGAAAGCGGCTTTCAAACTTGTATCAAGACTTTTTTCCGTGCATTTGAAGAAAAATTCATTAATACTAACATACTCTATGTTTAACAAATGTTTTTCACCAAAACAATTCGATAAAAGAAATATAAACGCAAAGGTTTTGTCTTTTTGAAGTTTTCATGTCGAAACTTCGCATTACATGCCAATGATGTCTTCAAGAAGATGAAAGAAGACGAAAAAAGTAGGCAAAGTGTCATCCATTGCCATGTGGTAAACAGGGGCAGTGATGCGCATGTCCTTAGTCAATTTTTTTATTGAATGGCGTCCGGATTATTTGACTAAACAATTTATACTTTTACATCAACCTCTTACTGCAATGGCTTCTATCAAACTAAATTATTTTTGCCAACGTTGGCCTTGCCATTGCTTACTTTTTACTCTTGTTTCGAAGAAATGGTAAGAGCCTTATTTTTTCACCATACCATTCACCAAAGCACGCGGTTTTTGCTGACTTTTGCTTTGTCCTTGCTTATTTTTTCCTTACTTTGTAAAAACTAGCATTTTAGTATTGACATTTGCAGTGTTCTGAATCCGTATGATTGAACAATATTGAAATGAAACATTATGAATGTGTATTTTATAGTTCATATTCTACCTATGTTCAAAGGTGTCTTTTTCTATTATAAACTAAGTTAACGCACGCTTCGACTATAGCAAATATACTTTACTCTTTTCAGTACCTTACGTGAAGTAAAAGAAATATTACTCAAACTGTAAAAGGACATAGACTGACACTTGAAATACGCTTTAACTTCTGAATATAATGTTTATTTGGAACTTCGTCGTTTTTCACAATTTCATTCACAGTTTTAGTGAGAACCATTTGAATAAACGACTGCAATGATTTGGTGATTGTTAAAATGTCTACTTCAATCAAGTATTAAATGATGATTTTTTCAAATGTCGTATGTGAAATAAGGACTTTTCTAAATAGAAATAACGACTGTTTGAATACATATGATTGCATTACGTTGATTACAATGATTACATTCGAGTATGGAATGACAACTTTTAAAGATGTCGTATCAAATGGAATGAAGACTTTTACTCTTATGGAATGAGAACTTTTTGAAATCTTTTTGTTCCGAGAAACTAGAAAAAATTACAGTGTAAAAAAGTTAGAATTTGCAATGTAAAAGTTGGAAAAAACCTTGTGCTTTTGTAGAAGCTTTCACAATAAGTGGTTGGCTGTATGATGATGAAAATAATAACATGATGATAAGAGAAGAGCAAAAGAAGTTTTAAATAAAATCCCGAGTAAAAGAAACAAAACTTTTCTTGTTCATGCTTATTTTGCTCGTTCGAGCCAGGCATTAGTTATTCATTGTATGAGTTTAAAACATTAAGATGTTGATAAACATGAGTTTATGGAGGATGTTTATCACAATACAATTGAAGGACCAAACATTTGCGGCTGCGTTAAAGTCACTAGAAATGGTTCTGTACTTTCTGTGAGCAACGAGCATCATAAACTCATCGATTGTTTTTACATAATGTTTTTGATGTAAGCAGACCATCTGATATGACCCTCAATGAATGACATGCTGTACTATTTCAAAATACACATGTATATTGAATTAATGGTTCGAGTGTAAAATTTTAGAGATCTAATTTATCTACTCTCTCTGTTTTGTGTGTAGAATAATGTAAAATGGAGGTATTTCTTTATATTGCAAGAAATACAACTTTAAATCACACAAGTAAACTAAATAACTTTTCTTATGCATCTTCGACAGGCTGCAAAAGTATGGTGGCTTCTCTACTTGATGTTTACTTGTTTAATGGAAAGAGTGTTCTTCCAAGTCCACTAATGTCCATGTGCTAGTTGCAAGAGCGTCTGAAAGATGAGTAAAGGTGGTGAATGATGAAGAAAGGTGATGGAAAGATATGTTAAGGCGCGAACATAAGTTGGTATATCTTTTTTATTTTTTCTTCATAATTTTTTTATGAAACAATTTTGATAACATAGAATGAACCCGCGCTCAATTGTGCTGCAGCCGTAAGTAATTTTCTGTAGCTGAATGTTCCCGTTGCAAAATGATTTTAGTACTTTTATTAAACCTTGCATGCATTGCCAGATGCATCCGTTCTAAGAAAAAGCCGTTGCTGCTATGCAAAAATATCATATGAGCGTCTGAAAAGATGAAGAGATGTGAACTTCAATTTTCTTTTTGTATAAAATTTTTTGGCAGAATTCCTGTCACACACGGCAGAAGGGGCTTGAACCCTCAGAAGAGTGCATTTAAGCCGAACAGATTTCTCCAGAGCCAGTAATTCCTGACCTCTACATCACGCTTTTCTTCGTTAATATTAGAAAAAGCAAATGTTGATACAATAAAATGTTTCTTTGATTTTGATTCTTGAACCCGGGATTAACTCACCAATAGCAGTCCGTCATACCACTCCACTATCTAACCCAGCGATATATTCGGAAAGTGTAAGGCAGTCATTATTAAATCTAATTAATAAACAACAAAATAACTTTCTTTTGCAGTGGAAATGATCTTGTTTCATGGAGGAAAAATGTTTATACATCGTTAAAAAGACGTGCTGTAGTTGTTTACAATGTTTCACCAACTTTCTTTTCAACCGTTATCCCTGTAAATACGTTGAGATGTAAGTTTTTATGGATGTTACATGTCTGTATTGTTGCTGCTGGAATACTCTCATCACAAGACTGGTGGAGCTTACTCTTATTGAAAATTTACCTAACTGGTGTGAAGGTACGAGATTATGGCTAAAGTTGAAAGAAATTATAGAAACTCAAGATGTAACATTTTAGGTTACCAAGCCATGTAAATGTTATACCACAATGTTGTATAACAATTACAATGTTTCATATCAATGTTGAACATTGATAATGTTTCTCTCCAGTATGAACACTCACATGTCTTCTAGTGTTCATATGTAATTGTGGATTTTTCTGCATTCATTTTTCATTTGACCATTTAGGTAGTCCTCGCTACTGTACTTTTGACCAGAACGTGAGCATTCCCATGGACTTAAATAAACGTTGAACATCTTTTTAAATGTTTCTCCAAGTAATTGGATGTGTATACATCATTCCACAGTGTCTAAAGCTGAGACCTCAAACTGAAAAAGAAAAAATCACTATTAGATCACAGTATAAATAACTCAATGATCATGCATCACTAAAGCACAACACATACGTAAACTGACTAACCTTCGAACAGATGTTTGTCGTTATCTTCCTCATCAAACAACGATATTCCTAACTGTTCAGCATACTCATCTCCATACCAAACAAGCATTTCTTTATCGGCTTCAATCTCTTTATAAACTCGGTGCTAAATTTCTGTATTCTATTGATATGCAATTATATTTTGTTCGTCTTCATATAGTGGCAATTCACAAATCTCATCCAATTACCTTGAGTAAGGTCATTATCATCAACAAGATGAACAATGTTTCCTTTACACTAAACCATAAATAACAATGACAAAGTGTATTGTGTATTCAACAGCCACATGCTGAAAATGGAAAAGGAAGAAATATTTTAGCAAAAAGAAAGTATTCAGTTATTCAAATACATTCACCTCCCCACATGTACGAAGAATCTCTAAGATCATTTGAATCTTGGAGAAAGACTTTCCTTTGTACGGTCCAAAGCGAGTGTTCATCCTCAATTTTTCTTTTTAAAAATACTCCTGGCTGCATCTGGAATTGTAGAAGTATTTATGTACAGATCTTTTGGAAGTGTCTTTATAGCATTTTGTTTTCTCTTTCCTGATGTACTTCTTCTGTCTTCAATGAGCAATGGACATTCTCCATAGGTAAAGCCTTTGCATTGTTCACAATCTTCAAGAAAAAGATTAAACTATAACGATTACCTGATTTTTAAAAGCTAAAACTATTTCATCATGTTGCCGATAGGTCACCGATTATTTTAGAAGAAACCTGTAAAAATTTGTGATTGAAATTCAACCAAAAACTTTTCAAAATGTTTTTGTGTTGTGTTTTTTTTTCCCGTTCATTGACAATAAGATTGACATATTGACAATAAGATTGCCAGATAAAAGACGAAGATCAACAACTGTGCCATTTGAAAAAAATTATATATGTTAAAATAAAATATTTACCTTTGTATCTACTTTTGTTTCTACCTTTATGTCTACGTTTATGTCTATCTTTATGTCTACCTTTATGTCTACCTTTATGTCTACCTTTATGTCTACCTTTATGTCTACCTTTATGTCTACCTTTATGTCTACCTTTATGTCTCACCTTTATGTCTATCTTTATGTTCATTTATGTCTACCTTTATGTCTACCTTTATGTCTACTTTATGTCCCTTTATCTACCTTTATGTCTACCTTTATGTCTACTTATGTCTACCTTTATGTCCACCTTTATGTTCTGCTTATGTCTACCTTTATGTCTACCTTTATGTCTACCTTTATGTCTACCTTTATGTCTACCTTTATGTCGTTTATGTCTACCTTTATGTCTACATTTATGTCTACCTTTATGTCTACCTTTATATCTTATGTTCATTTATCCTCCATTTATGTCTACCTTTATGTTCCATTATGTTCACCTTTCTTCCATTTATGTCCATTTATGTCACCCTTTATGTCTACCTTTATGTCTGTCCTTTTTATGTCTTTATGTCACTTTATGTCTACCTTTATGTCCACTTCCTTTATGTCCACCTTTATGTCCACCTTTATGTCTACAACTATTTATCTACATTTATGTCTATCTTTATGTCTACATTTATGTCTGCCTTTATTTATCTTGTCATTTATGTCTACCTTTATGTCTACGTTGTATCTTCCTTTATGTCTGCTATTATGTTAATTTATTACCACTTTTATGTTCCTTTCCTTCCATGTCCATCCTTTATGTTCATTTGTCTTCCTTTATGTTCCTTTATTCATTTCTATCTTTCCATTCCTTCTTTATTTATCTACCTTTATGTCACCTTTATGTCTGTTGTACCTTTATGTCTACCTTTCTGTTACCTTTGTCTCCTTTATTCATTTTTTCCATGTTTATGTCCATTTATGTCCCTTCCTTCCCTTTATGTCTACCTTTGTTCCCCTTTATGTCTCCTTTATGTCCTTTATGTCTACCTTTATGTCTACCCCTATGTCTGCATGTCAATTTATTGTCTACCTTTATGTCTACCTTTATGTCTACCTTTATGTCTACCTTTATGTCTTTTGTCCTTTATGTCTGCTTTATGTCACCTTTATGTCCCTTTATGTAACATGTCTACCTTTATGTCCACCTTTATGTCTGCCAATTATGTCACATGTGTTATGTTTTTATGTTATTTATGTCTACCTTATTGTACCTTTGTCCAATGTCTCTTTCTTACCTTTATCTTTATGTCTGCCACTATGTCTACCTTTATGTCTGCTTTATGTCTACCTTTATGTCTCACCTTTTATGTCTACCTTTATGTTTTATGTCTACCTTTATGTCTGGGTTTATGTCTATTTATGTCTACCTTTATGTCTCCTTATGTTGTCCTATAACCTTTATGTCTACCTTGTTTGTTTTATGTCTTTATTTATGTCTGCACCTTTATGTCTACCTTTATGTCACCTTTTGTCTACACCTATGTTCACCTTTATGTCTACCTTTATGTCTATTTTATGTCTTTTTATGTCTATTTATGTCTTCTTTGTCTACCTTTATGTCTACCTTTATGTCTACACCTTTATGTCACCTTTATGTCTACCTTTATGTCTACCTTTATGTCTACCTTTATGTCTACCTTTATGTCTACCTTTATGTCTACCTTTATGTCTACATTTATGTCTACCTTTATGTCTACCGTTATGTCTACGTTTATGTCTACGTTTATGTCTACGTTTATGTCCAACTTTATTTCTACCTTTGTCCACTACTTTTACGTAGGGCGACATTTAAAACAGTCTTCATTTTATAGAAGTCAATCTATGAAAGATGCCATTTCAGGAGACATTTAAAAAAGTCTCGGAAGAAAAATTTCAGACCTCAATAGACAACTGGAATCATCTTTACCTTACATATTCTGCAACTGTGTGTTTATAACCAAGTTTGAATACATCTGCAATCCAATGAGAAGTCTTACGGTAAAGAGCAGAAAACTAACGATACTCGCCTACTCCAGTTAAGACACGAAATTAACCTTTCTTTACACCACTACAAATCTTTGAAGTACGTTATACTTGTTGGCGTTGTGTGGTCTTGTTGCTCAATTTCGTACAAACGATAATTCCTTACCATGACGCCTCGTAGTTAATGAACCCAAAAAGTTCAAATTGATAATATCTTTTCGTACGGTGCTATATCAATAAACCTGTATTTGTTCAACATGATTGTTTAACATTCATTATTCGTACTTGGACAAATTACAGGATATGTAATAAATATAGTCTTAAAAACAATAGTCTTAAGAACAATAGGTATTATTATTAAACAAAAGAAAAGCGTTATCGTTTTGTTCAATGCACGCAACGTGCAAACCGCAATTTACCATTGTTGTATGGTATTGATCAAATCATTTAACATTGAAATTTTAGTTTTGATGATCATGGAAAAAACAAATAATACGAAATATTAAGTAAATCAAAAGTATGTTGAAATAATTTGCAACAGAAGAACCAGTACGTCTTTCATCGTCCAAAGGTGGTAAGGCAAGAGATGTTGTTAAAGAAAACAATTGTTGGATAGGACTTGTTTGATAACGATGATCATGAAACAGAAAGAATGTTGAAAGGACAATTCTTGCAAACGAATACATAACAAAAGTTGTAAACTTGACATACATCATTAGTTCCAACAACAAAACTGAGAAGATAGGCTAGAAGTACAAATTGAATGAAGCAGATGTGTTTCAATTAAATAAAAATACAACATGTTATGAATTGTATCCATCGATAAATTTCAGAGATTTTCAGCTACAAGTATTACTTTATCAAAAATTGTTTGTTTAGGAACATACGTAATGTTTTTTACAAGTGTCTTTGGTATTTGATAAATTTGCATGCACATAAGAATGGGAATATTGTATTGAATCATTGCTGTATTACACAGTAAATATTCTAACTTACAGCAATATACATGGTTTTTGTTAATTTATTCTAATTGTTGCAGCATTTGTAACTGTTTCAACACTTTACTTTGACTTGTCTCACGAATTTCTCCAGCAAGAAACATTTCATCAACAACAGCATAAACCTAAGAACAAATTGACTTATTTTATAGCTCTTTGTTAATAACATGACTCTGAAGTACATCACTGCTGATAAACAATGCATTCAATACAAAACAATACCCCCATTGTCAGACATTACCCTCAATGCCAGGCAACACCCCCAGCACCAGACAACACCCCCAACGCTAGGCAACACCCCCAATGCCAGACAATATCCCCAATACCAGACAATGCCCTCAATGCTACACAACATCCCCAATGCCAGACAATATCCCCAATGCCAGACAATGCCCCCAATGCTAGACAACACCCCCAATGCCAGACAATATCCCCAATGCCAGACAACACCCCAATGCCAGACATTACCCTCAATGCCAGACAAAAACCCCAGCACCAGACAACACCCCCAATGCTAGGCAACATCCCCAATGCCAGACAACACCCCAATGCTAGACAACACCCCAATGCTAGACAATATCCCCAATGCCAGACAATGCCCCAATGCTAGACAACACCCCAATGCTAGGCAACACCCCCAATGCCAGACAACACCCTCAATGCCAGGCAACACCCCCAGCACCAGACAACACCCCAATGCTAGGCAACACCCCAATGCCAGATAATATCCCCAATGCCAGACAACACCCCCAATGCTAGGCAACACCCCAATGCCAGACAACACCCCCAATGCCAGACAACACCCCCAATGCTAGACAGCACCTCCAACAACGAACAATAACCCCCAAAGACAATACTCTCAATACCATATAATAACCCCAGTGCCCTGTACAATATTTTAAGAGTATACCTTGTAAAAATTGAAAACCAGATCAAGCTCACAAACATTATGAAAAAATTCATTCAAGACCTGTAAAAATGAAATATTTTTTTTGCATAAAGCTGATCAAAAATATTTTTTTCTTCACAAGGCTGATAGAATACCAATACTTGTTGCAAACAAATATTTATCAAAAAAAACCAATAGTCATAAATAAATGTTCAACTTTCATTAAAGTCAATTTTATACACAAACAAGAGTAAATAGATGATACATGAAACGTCAAAAACCATAATATTCAATGGCATTTACATGAGTACAGATGAAGTGAAGGACATGTGGCCATTACCACTGATTCATTTGACAAATTTCACCCCACCCTCCCCCCCAACCATATACTTTTTCACATAAAAAAACTTGGAAAAGTCACAACCTAAAACTTACTTCCACAAAATTATGTATTGCTTCCAAATAGTACAAATTATTATCTTGAATGTCCACACAAATACAGAAATATAAACCAGCATATCTTCTGTAGACAATCTTGAAGTTGCGAAACTGAAACATCAAACAACTCTTTAGCAATTGTAGAAATTGAATATTAAAAATACAGAAAACCTTCATACTGTGAATGCTTGCTTTAGCGCAGTAGTGCTTATTTAACTTTTCCAATTCTGTAGGTGGTATTTATCCCAGAACTGCTCTTAATTAAATAATTATTAGCTAATGGTTCCCAAATATTTTATTGCCCTAAAAATTAAATATCGAAACCCATTTTCATGATGTAATATAACTTGACTTAAAAACTCTCTATTTCTTCCAATTAAGCGCCACACTAAAGTTACTTAGATGCAGTGCTCATTCAGGAGCAGTGCAAAAATCTTTTCTGGATTCTAAGTTTTGTACTTAACTGAGAGCAGTACTAAAGCGAACATTAACGGTACAAGTTTTATCTCAACAAAAATAAAAAGGTAAATAGGAAACATTGTCAAAGACTGTTATTGGCAGCAAGAAAAAACTTTTCATTTTTGCTTTAGGTATCAAAGCAATACATGATTCTCGACTGATTTTGATTGGTTGAGAGCACAAATGACATATTTTGGTAACTACTGTTCATGCTTTGAAATGGCTACTTTTCCAACCAATCACTATCTTACACTTGTTTTAATTGTATAAGAGTAATTACTTTATTTTACTGTACATTATAGTATAACAAAGTACATTATGGTAGTTAAGGGTGACATGAGTTTTTTATACTATAAATCTTTCTCCATGGAGATGTCTCATTGGTATGTATTGTATACAACCATGGTGTATAAGCTGATATACATTCTGTGTGAACTGTGAACTGAAGATATACTTATCGAATTTATATTTATGTATGACAAAATTGAAAGGTCACTGTACAGATCTTCGACATCAGCTACATGTAACGCAATCTGGTATATATGATGGTAGATCAAGAAATGAAAATCCTTGGGAAGATTCTAGAGTCTAGATCATATATATCAAAGTTCAGGAGCAAGTTCAAAGTTCAGGAGCTAAAGTTATATCAAAGCTATCTTCTCTTTTGAATGAAAATTTTATAGAACACTTAAAGAAATACTTGATATCGTGTTGATAAGAGCAAAATTGAAAATTTGTCGTAAATATATGTGAGACATTCTTTGTACCACAAGTTTCAGTTGGTGGTTTTCTCCGCTAACAAAACATTTGGAAATCGTACAAAGCACGAGCATTTTAGCAATGTTTTCTCAGCTATGTGCACTAACCTCGACAAAATTTGTGTGTTTAGCGTCTCGGACAGTGACCAAAGCATGAACTTCCTCAATTAACTTTTGCTTCTCCTCATCATCAAAATTCATATACCATTTGGCCAGTCGAGTTTTTCCCGCCCGATTTTGGATCAAAATGAAACGAATCTGTGCAGAATCAAAACATGAATGAATTAAACAGCCGATGCAATACAGACAACATACTTTTTTAGAAGAAGAAGGTAAAAAAGTACAAAAAACAACGTACCATTTTTACCAAGTTGGATGTTAGAGTTGGCAATTTTACTTTCCGAAGATCGTACGACGCTTTACGATAAGCCCGATTCGCACTCTTCCCACAAAGTTATTAAAATTATCGTTAAAATGTCGGGAAAGGAGTAAAAATGTCTTTTAACTTCCACAGCCTATTTTTATGGCATTATTGTTTTAGAAAAGGATTTATTTGATGGCTTTTTGAGTACTTTCATCTGTAAAAACCATCACGTCCACCGCCACCGTAATAAAGTTGGACAAGAATGGAGAGTAGAAGTTACCATGGCAACAATAGTTTATACACAAAATGAGACTTGATTTATTGTAGACAAGTTTTTACATCTCCGTAAACGAAACAAACTTTACGTTTTTGCCATGTCTAAGGGTAAAAAAGTCGAATTGCAGGTATGATATATTAATGAATGTCATAATTAGTGCCTTAATTTTCATCGCTAGAAAAATCCAGTTTTAAACTGGAAAATAGTGAGTTCGTTCGCTGGTTTGTTCATTTAGTTCTGTGTGTACAAAGAAATGAAATGTACTTTCAATCGCTTCAATGTGAATATTTATGTCAACAGTGGATTAGTTCCTCCGGCTGCTGTCACTGTATTATTAATACAACCTTTCCATTCATCATTTATAAGATAACATTTTGAATAATGACACATACCTGTTGCTATGTTCTCCGAGAACAATCGTAAATTTTGACGATGATTTTACTATGGCTTATTTAAAACGAAGTCTCCAAGCACAAAAACCATTTCAGGCAAGTAGAAAAGAGAGCAACCTTGAGCCGCTGTAGTATAATGAGTGATTTCTTTTAGCGAAGAGCTTAACGAACTGTTAGTGTTTCATTATGTTTACATATCTGTATAAACAGATAAAAAGGTTTATAATATGATGTCACGGAATCTTTAAAAACATTGTGAGTTTATAGAGATGCAGACAAAAAGGCAAATTAAAGACTCATATCACTAAATTGAACTACCAAAAAGTCATCTTTTTTAAATCATTGTAATTCATGAGAGAAGGTCCAATTAAACAAGCTTCGTTTTACATTTGTTCTATGTGATGACAAACGGTTCAAATTGTATTGTTGTGTAGGTGGCTGTTCACAGCCAGGATCAATGGAATGATTTGCTACAAAAAGAAGGACTGATAGGTATAAAAAATGATTGTCATCTCGTTGATAAAATTTATAATAGTATGGTGTAAAATATATCATACATTACTTCAATGGTTCAACAATGCAAATGCTTATTTCTTGTGCAGTTGTCGATGCTTATGCATCGTGGTGTGGACCATGCAAAGCCATTACAAGTACCCTGAAACGATTAAAGAATGAGATCGGTGACGACTTTCTACATTTTGCTACAGTTAGTGAAATTGAAGATATTTAAATGTTCAATCTGAAATAACTCGTCGTTTTTAGATGATCGCTTTGCAAGTAGCGATAACTCTTGTCTGCTTGAATCATTGTTGCATCATCTGCTTGTCATCGAAATCTGTTTTGAATTGAAGAAAAGCTTCAGTGTTTGCCACAACTCACATAACATTAACTGGTCAGGGCTAACAATCTTGTTCGTTTAACGTTTTTATGTGTAGGCAGAAACAGATAACATTGAGTCGTTACATTTATACAGAGGAAAATCACAGCCAACATTTTTGTTTTATGCAGTAAGTCGTACACAATAAATAATGTAAAATGAATTTCATATAAACATTCATACATAAAACTTGAAAAACATTCTCTTGTAGAAAAACATCTTAGTTTCCGTTGTCCGTGGTTGCAATTGTCCTGTCATGATTCAAAGTATCACATCTGAACTGGAGAGAGAGCACAAGGTTTTGGAAGGAAAGGCTGAACGTATTGAGGTAGAATACAATCATTCAATTATGATATCGTTATATCCATGTTGAATTGTTTCTACTTTGTGCAGTATTTCGATGAAGTTGTTTGTGGTAAACCAGAGAGAAGTATGGAGATTGAAGTTAGCAAAGAGGATGAGGAAATAGGTATGAAAAGATGAAATGTTTTCCTATCTTAAATACTTTTGTTGACTAAGTTTCTAACTTTGGACGAAATTGAGCGAAGGCTGATAAGAGTACGAAAATCGTCCGAATAAATATAGTAACTTTTTAAACTGACAGATGACGTAGTACATTGTCACGTAAGGTTTAACTTAATTTGGACGAAATTGAGCGAAGGCTGATAAGAGTACGAAAATCGTCCGAATAAATATAGTAACTTTTTAAACTGACAGATGACGTAGTACATTGTCACGTAAGGTTTAACTTAATTCCAGTTTAGGTAAGATCAAGTACCCCACCTTGCTTCCACCACCCCCCACCCCCACGTATTTACAACTTCGTCACGACCAAAATTATTCGAAGAAAAAACATACTTTTAAGTACCAGATAACTTTTCATCTTACAGCGAGCCAGATGACAGCATCTATGACACGTTTGGCGAGCAAAGTTAGCGTTAGAAATATGGAAGGTTTTTATGAAGAAGGTAGACATTATATAGAGATAGATAGTGACTTTTCATTGTTATACCAAAGGTTCACGATGGATCTCTTGTAGTACCCAAGGATATAGTTAGGAAATGAATATATGATTTTCCCGCTAGCGGAGTTTAATGTATGTGGGATCAAAGACTGTAGTTATAAGTTTTTCAATTTCTAACTTAGCTATTTGTGTAGGAGGAATGTAGGGGGATTTTAAAGGATTGCAGGTAGTTCATGGGAGTAGTTAGTGTTATAGTTCTGATGTATCAATAAAGAGATTCTTAATAAAGTAAATGATTTGAACTCGGGAGTATCATTACATGTTTGTAGATGAAGATCGTCCAGGTTAGTATAGTCCTGAGAAGGACTGTTTGTATTGATGTAGACTGACGTTTTGACAACCTTAGCGGTAGTCATCTTCAGAGTCAAATGAGGAGTAAACGTCAGATTAGCCGTATTTGTTATCTTTATTGTTTGAAGTAAGAACCAGATAGCAAATACGGCTAACCTGACGTTTACTCCTCATTTGACTCTGAAGATGACTACCGCTAAGGTTGTCGAAACGTCAGTCAACGACAACAAAAATAGTCCTTCTCAGGACTATACCAACCTTGACGATCTACATTTACAAACCTGTAGAGAGATTCATCTTACTGGAGCAAGAAAGATTTGAACTTTTGACGTCATTTTTCGGTTGCAACGTTGTGTTTAACCTACAGTCCACTTACCCTTAGGCACAATATTAACAAAAAAAAAGAAGACAAAAACAGCATTATTGTTCGTTTATGTGTCTTTACAGAGGTAAAAAAAGAGGTTTCTTTAGCCATAATCAAACCTGACGCTGTCAAAGCTGGCCTAGTTGATGAAATCATTGCCAAGGTAGAGAAATCTTATTCACACGATAACCTGAGGATAAAGAAGCTTCAATATTGCTTTTATAACTCAGACAATACCATTCTTTTAAGGTAAAATCAGAAGGAATGGAAATATTGCGACAAGAAGAACGAACTTTGACAAAACAAGAGGCGGCCGAATTCTACAAACAACATGAAGGAACAGAGCATTTTGAAAGTCTTGTTGAATTTATGAGCAGGTGATAAAGAAAACATCATCTCCATGCTCGTGCTTCTCTTTTGAATGATGCTTGAACAAATTATTTATCCCGTATTGTACATACATGCACCTCATGTACCTCATGCTCTGTTCTGTTGTATAGTGGCCCATGTTTGACGCTTATCATTAGCAAAGGTGCGACTGGAGAGGGAGTTATTCCCCAGTTTCGAGATCTAATTGGTCCAAAAGATGTGAATAAAGCAAAGGAGGAAGCGCCTGACAGGTTTACATGGAGGATTCATGTATACGTCATTGTATATGATGTTCAAAATGCCATTAACTTTGATCGATATGTCTCTTGAAGAATGATATAGACTGGAGTATATATTGACTCAAGTTTTAACATCGGGTTACTTCTGATGAAGACACTGGACTGGAGTATATATTGACTCAAGTTTTAACATCAGATCACTCTTGATGAAGACACTAGACTGGAGTATATAAGAACTCAAGTTTCAACATCAGATCACTCCTGATGAAGACACTAGACTGGAGTATATATCGACTCAAGTTTTAACATCAGATCACTCCTGATGAAGACACTAGACTGGAGTATATAAGGACTCAAGTTTTAACATCAGATCACTCCTGGTGAAGATACTAGACTGGAGTATATAAGAACTTAAGTTTCAACATCAGATCACTTCTGATGAAGATACTAGACTTGAGTATATAAGAACTCAAGTTTCAACATAAGATCACTCCTGATGAGGACACTAGACTGGAGTATATGAAAACTCAAGTTTCAACATAAGATCACTCCTGATGAGGACACTACACTAGAGTATATAAAAACTCAAGTTTCAACATAAGATCATTCCTGATGAAGACACTAGATTGGAATAAGACTGATTGTTACACATACCAGCAATATAAGAGCGGAGATGTTTAAGTATCCATCACTATTTTCCAGTATCCGTGCAGTGTATGGAACTTCTTCTGTGATGAACGCCATTCATGCTTGCGACACATCTGAAAGTGCAGCAAGGTAAAGGATTATTGACATTAAAACAAAAATTTGCTCAGTTTACTACGTAGGTCGGTCATATTATAAAGGTTTTCATGTTTAACTTTCTAACTCTTTAATTTTGTTTAAAATATATAGAGAACTGGCGTTCTTCTACCCTGATTTTGTCTCACCGACCGTGAAGACTAAGAAAGCCAGTAAGGAAAGCACGCAAAGGACTTTGGCCCTTATACGACCTGATGCATTGCGTCATCATAAAGGTAGGCTAGCCCGTAAATAATATCTTTGATCATTGTCCAGCATCAACCCAGTTTGAACTGTCTGTACATTCTTATCCCTCAACAACATACACATGTCTATCTTCTAGACGAGATTTTGGACAAGATTACTGAAGCGGGTTTCTCTATAGCCATGGCTAAAGAACTCCAGTTAAGTCGCGAGGAAGCAGAGGACTTCTACGATGAGCATCGAGGAAAAGACTTCTTTGAACAACTTGTTGAAAATATGTGCAGGTTAGTTGAATGTTTTCAATTTTGACGCTTCATTAAATCTGGGAAAGATCGAAAGAACGCTGCGTGAACCAATGAACCAGCACACAATCATGCTGCAGTAGTATATAAACGTCATTTCCTACCTCAAGCATCATGTTCATGTTATAGTGGCCCAGTCATGGCACTCTGTCTTGTCAAAGAAGACGCTGTTGAAGGCTGGAGGAATATTTTAGGTCCAAAGGAAGTCGAGGTTGCTAAAAAGGAAGCACCCGAAAGGTAATCTTGAAATGACGTATGTGCTCAAGCTTCAGACAAATTATATATTACCTTTCTCAGAAGAGTATGCTGTAAAATAAACTTGAAACTAGACTGCAGCGTACGAAAGTATCCTAATTTTGGTGAAGGAATTTAAAACAAGACAAAGCACTTAATATTAGCAACTTTCGCCTAAATAGCTTGACCATGCGTTAAAAACACTCTTCGCAATTTTGAGAAAGCAATTACGTAACAGACTTTCCACAGTTCTATTTTTCATATTTTCTAATATACGGCAACTATGCGGATTTATATAGGATGATGTCCAACGTTCAGGAGCTATGAGGGATTAAGTAGGATATCCAACGTTCAGGAGTAGTGATGGATTAAATAGGATGTCAAGTTTTTTATTTGCATCATAAAACCAGTCCAAGGCATTTCACAATGTGTTTTCCTACTTAGAAAACATATAACATGACCCATGTATATGTATGTAAAGATAGAGGGAAAAAGAGTTAAATCCTCTTCAGTTAAGATACTCCAATTTTATAGTCTGCGAGCTCAATTTCAAGTAGACGAGAGCGGCATCAACCCTCTTCATGGCTCAGACTCTAAATCAGCCGCGCGACGAGAGATCGAAAAAATATTTCCTGTTGAAACGACAGTCGCTGTTATCAAACCTGAAGCGGCGGAAGAGAGCGGAGGTGAAGGAGATTTTTGGAATAATGAAAAAAGTTCAATACTGATCAATGATTCTCTTTTTCTTCAAATAAAATCATTTCTAATCTCACCTATTTTATTTCTTGCTTGCAAAATTTGGCCTATAAGTAACGATGGAAAAATTTTCTTTCACACGCCATACAACATGTTATAAGTCCCTTTGCACTTTCTTCTTCTACATAGATCAAATCATCGACCGTATAAAGGAAGCAGGTTTTCGCATCGTCTCCCGCAAGGATGTCGGCCTTACCAAAGAACTCGCCGGTCAGTTTTATCATGAACACGAAGGAAAGGAATTCTTTAATGGCTTGACTGATTACATGAGCAGGTTTGAAAGAAAACAGTGTTCCTTCTGTAACATTAAGGATGGTGTAAATTTCACCACAAGGAAAGGAATTCTTTAATGGCTTGACTGATTACATGAGCAGGTTTGAAAGAAAACAGTGTTCCTTCTGTAACATTAAGGATGGTGTGAATTTCACCACAAGGAAAATATTAAGCTTGCGAGACCATTTGTCAACAGATACAAAAGAATGAACCCGTTTTGAGAGGTTTCAACAGTTAGTTCAAATTCAAATTCACGAAAGGGCTTCATACTTGTTCTCTTTTCTTCTCTGCCAGTGGTAAGAGTACCGTTTTACTCCTTGAACGTGAAGATGCTGTGACAGGATGGCGAGCATTGATGGGACCCACAGACCCAGAGGAAGCAAGAGAGAAGGCACCAGATTCGTATGTCATCACATCATAATTTTTACATTTACACAAAATCTTCACAGATCGTTTTCATTCGAAGGAGAACGATACATTCACAACAACATTTCGATAGACATGTTCTTCTGTCAAATGAGACAATTTACTTGTCGCCTAATAGAACCGCACTCAACTTAAATTTTTTCACCCCGATAAAAATAAACCTAAATGATATTTTGCAACAATAACAGTGCTCGTCCTTAAAAACCCGGACAATGTCACAAGTATCCGTCGTAAATCTAGCGTGTTTACAATCTTTAGGATCCGAGCGAAATTTGGAAAAGATATATGCAGAAATGCTGTCCATGGCAGTTCCAACAAAGATAAAGCCGTTCCAGTTATTGAGGAATTGTTCCCGGAGATACAAGTCCTTCCAAATGGTCGAACTGTTGGTAAGATCACGCATGGGTATCGAAATAACCGTGAATTAAAATGTCAACGTTGATGTTTATGTAAGGCTTTTTTATATATTACAGAAAACACTAAGGCTGAAGCTGATGTTCCATCAACAGAGGATGGCAAAGGTTTAACAGAGAATGCAGTGCATGACAATGGAACTATGCCATCTGAAGGTGATAAGGATGGTCAACCAGCGGACATTGATACCACACAAGAAAAAGATGATGTCAACGGTGTTGGTAACGATACAACTGATGGTGGAGTAAGTGAAGGTGATAAGGAACACAATGTCGAAGCTGGTGATAATGACACAGCAAAAGAAAGTGTGTCCAGTTGCGTCAACGATGGTAATGTTGCCAATGATGGTAATGTTGTTGACGATGGTAATGGTAAGAGCGATGGTGATAATACCAACGGTGGTGATGGTGCCAACGATGAGAATGGTGCTAACGATGGTGATGGTACCAATGATGGTGATGGTGCCAATGATGGTAATGGTACCAATGATGAGAATGGTGCCAACGATGGTGATGGTACCAATGATGGTGATGTAGTCAACGATGGTAATGGTGCCAACGATGAGAATGGTGCCAACGATGGTGATGGTACCAATGATGGTGATGTAGTCAACGATGGTAATGGTACCAATGATGAGAATGGTGCCAACGATGGTGATGTAGCCAACGATGGGAATGGTGCTAATGATGGTAATGGTACCAACGATGGTGATGTAGTCAACGATGGGAATGGTGCTAATGATGGTGATGGTACCAACGATGGTGATGTAGTCAACGATGGTAATATTCTCACTAATGATACTGTCAGTGACAGTCACACAGAAAGCGCACCAACAGAGAAAAATGAGGAGAGTACCAGAGCAGATCATGACAAAGTAAATGACAACAACGCGACAGATGATGAGAACAAAAATTCTAGCATTCATGACGAGAACCAAGTAAATAAAAACGACAATGATGTTAAAGATACAGAAGCATCACTCGATACAGATTCGACGCTACAAAATGACAGCAACAACACTTCTCATAAAGAAGAAACTGCAAAATCAGATGAAGGTGAAACCACAACAAAAGATGATTCTGAAGAAATTAAAGATTCGTAAACAGTAAGATGAACATGTAAATAGCTTATTTATAGCAGATTAGTTTTTAATAGTTTTTTCTCTTGTGTTTTATGCAATTGCTTGTATTTTTTTATAGTAAAGATCCTGTCATTTTTGATGAAACGCCTTGTCTGAAAAACACACAAAAAATACGTCAGTAAAAATAAAATAAAACTATATTTTCAAATCATTTAACAAAAACAAACAGAACGTTAAACAACAATAAGACCTATAGCAACTTTTACCAACTTAATGAACGACAATCTTCATCACCTTCTCAATCCTTTCCTTTCAAATCCCCAGATGGCGGATCTACACCCTGAACATCCACAAGAATACCTTATTGCACGTATGATATCATTCTTACTCCTTACACCATAAGGAACTTCTCTTTCGTTTGATATAGTATCACTATGGAAAATGGTCGCTGAGCTTTGAGGAAAATCTTTAGGGAAATAAATGGTAAATGATTTGCTGTTATGCTTGATCTTTAGCTGTAAGTTATGATTTCCACTTTCACGACTTATTATTATCTCACTGGAGCTGCGTACTAACGAGGAAATGCAGTCATGGATGCCTTTGAGAATTTCACGTCCGACTGGTGTCGTGTACCACTGTGAAGATCTGTTCCCACTAAGTTGACTGGAGGCTTCTTCTCCTTGTGACTCACGTGGTTGCCTGTCAGATGAAACGTGTGTGTTTGTGGGACGCGGTTGGTTATTGTGGTGTCTTCTGGAACCTTTCACAACAAAAGAAAAGGGGCTTTCTCCTTGAAGTTCCTGACAAAAAAATAGATCGAATTTTTTCAATATTTCGTTCGGTTAGTCAATAGAAATATATGTAACCGTTTTTAATAATATGTAATGTAGCGGCCAAGCTTTACCTTAATGGAGCAAGGTATTTGTACATGTCTTGGATTTTGAATAACAGCTTGTAATGTTTCACCGTCATTAACGATGTGTAACCATCTATCATGGTCAGTTCTCAATCTTTGCCCTTTTGGCTTACATCTTCCCAACAACTCGAGGCAAAAATCTTTAGCCTGATCATCTAAATCTTTACAGACATATTGAACAACAGGCGACGATGAATGCGTCCATAAGCCGTACAAATTCCATTCGTGTTCCCTTTCATTCTTCATACGATAAGCGTCTCCATGGAATATATAAACAAACGTTAAAGATTGCGGCTGCATATTGCTTCTTGTGCGGTGAAACGTCTAGGAGAAATCTAGTTCATCGCCCTTTCACATGTCGTATGTATTAATAATCAAATTTCTTATAGCAAACACAATTATTGGAACAATTTTCACGACCATAGCAAAATATCACAACAATTTCGAGTGACGATTGAGATTTCAGTTAGTCATATCCTCTTTCCAAACAGAAGTTGATGAAAATGTGATTTTAGAACTTATCATTCCATCAAATAGCACTAAACAACACACTGTTTCTTTGATAATGAAACAAAAGAAAAAGTGAAACTACGGATTCCAGGAAGTGATGTAGAAAATTCTTCCGGGAACGTGTGCATTTTAACTGACATGGCACTCTTAATTCTTCGCATGTAAGAAAGGATATCACAAAGAAATTAATATACACCAAAACGTACACTATATGCGGACTAACATTACTTTTATTACAATAAAACAAAACAAAGAACCCCTGCTTTCATTTTTGTAGTTATGGATCTTTGGCATTCGGGAAATGCTCCATGCTATGCTTGCAGGATATAGCTTTCACTTACTAGACATACCGAAATAAAAAAAATCCAATCTGCTGTTGAGGGTGTATGCTTCAACAAACAGTTTCATGCACGTTTTTTTCCTTTGATGGCTACGAAACGTAACGTTGAAAAGTATCTTACTTAAAGGTCTGAACTTTAACTGCATTGAAGTCTTTAACTTTTCAAAAAAATCTCTGAAACTTCACTACTGTGTTGTTGGAAATTTTCATTTAAATTATTTCTTATTCTCTTGCATTGTATTACGCAAAGTATAAAACGAAACCTTCCACAAGAGTTAAGGCTAATCTTTGCCTGGTAGAAAACTCACAGCATCAAATTCGCCGACAGTTCGCAATTTATGCTGCAGTTCATTAGAAACAGCATTAAGTTTTAGGTATAACGAGGGCAGAATGTAAAAACTTCAACGACGTTATTTGTTGGAGAATATTTTCAGACTTCTGAAAATGAGTCGTTTATTAAATCAGACGTTCTCTTCTGTTTAATGCTTATCGTATCTATTGTATAATCAGAAATTTTGTCTTCAAAGATTTTCGACAATATTTCATGAAGCAATCCAGCTAAACCAAAAGATTTCTTTTTCTGATCTTTTGACGCTACTACCCAGCCTTGCATTCGAACTCTTCCAGATCAAACTCTTTAAACATGATTATAATTACACCATTGTTCGTTTCCGCGCCCGCCAAAAGCGCGCATTTTAGCAAGTGTTTGCTGAGTAAACGAGCAATCTCGCGTCGCACGAAAGAGGAATCTGCGTTGAAACTTATGAGAAGTTTTGCCAACGCTTGGAGATCTTCGTCTTCTTGTTCAGTCTCAGTAAAATAACTATTTTTCTCGACGTCTTTTGGCTCGGGGGAATCTTGTACTGCAGTGGGCGCGCGTCTTATGGAAACGGCTGGATTATCTGATTTCCATTGCATTTTAGGCGACCAACGATTATCTATGGGACATACATGACGTTTTCGAAGAAATGCTTCGTATTCTGAATCTAGATGAACGGGAGGAACGGTGAGCAGCTCAATTCCTTCTCGTATTTCCATTTTTAGCAAATCTTCCCGAGAGAGCAACTTTTTGCACAAAGCATCTTGGATGTATTTGCTTAAGAGAAAAATGATGTCAGAAAAACCGAACACTTTCCAAACGCCTTCAGAAGCTAAAACCAGCAACTTGTCGGATGATTGTAGATTCACAGCACGAAATCTTGGCTTGTTAATAACGCATACTTTGAGCCTGCGGTCGCCTTGGTTTCCAAGACCACGAGTCGTATCCAGTACTCCATTAACCAAAGCACATTTCTCCGTTCTCAACACGAGGCCACCGTTTTTACGCACGCGCAATCTCTCCTTTCGATTGTAAAGATCGTGCGATGACGTAATACAGCGTAATGTGTGATTTTCACGTAAAATGAAGCCTTTCACACTGCCTGCATTGGCCACATAAAGCGTTTCACCAATGACCAGACACGTGACTGCAGAGCAACCACTCCATCGTTTGAAAGGTGCTTCGCCTCCTCCATAAAGTTGAATTTCGTCTATTTTTTGATAAGCTTTATCAAACGCGGCTTTCACCTTTTCCACGCCACAACCGTCATGTTGCAAACGGCTTTTGACTTCTTTATGTAGTACGCGAGCACAAAGATCTGCAACGTAACAGCCGTTGTATCCTTGATAAATTGCAAAAAACAGCCCGCGACCTTTTAGGAATTTATCCATATGCACCATTCTCACCATGGAATTCCTGCGATCAGGCATTCGATATTTGCTTATTCCAGCGAAGAGACCGGAAATGGCAGCCTTTCCCTCGGACAGGACGTCTTTTTCTGAAACAAGAGAGGCATGGAAACGAGTGAATTCCACGAGTCTCGATTATTCTCGTGATGCATATCGAAACTCGACTCATACCTCTCCAACGTGAAATATCTACGAAGTGGTCAACGTTACCTTCCACTTCACATTTTAGGATTTCAAATGCCGTGTTGATTTTGTGAATCAGATGAAAAAAGTTTGCTTCATTCATATCTCCTCTTTGAAATACATCAGCAATGACCTTAACTCGCCTCCTGATTAAGCCTCGTGTCGTTTTAGGCAGGAAGCCTAGATGATTTCAGAAACGGACAACGGAATGGTAAAAATTTGACAGTGAAACAGAAATAGGTTCTAGATCTTTATAGGCGAAACCAATAACAACTGGCGTTGAAAAGAACAACGTGCATTTTCCTCTGAAAGTGACTTTTCAGCAGATGCAGTTCAGTTGAAATCAAAGAGAATGTACTGAATAATCCTCCTCAACTTCTATCCAATCCATAAATATCAACTTCTACCTAGGAAGTACTTTAGAATCTCCAAAGATATACTCATATAATCTTAATCAACTTTCATTCAATCCATAAATATCAACTTCTACCTAGGAAGTACTTTAGAATCTCCAAAGATATACTCATATAATCTTAATCAACTTTCATTCAATCCATAAATATCAACTTCTACCTGGCCAGTACTTTAGAATCTCCAAAGATATACTCATATAATCTTAATCAACTTTCATTCAATCCATAAATATCAACTTCTACCTGGGAAGTACTTTAGAATCTCCAAAGATATACTCATATAATCTTACTCAACTTTCATTCAATCCATGAATATCAACTTCTACCTGGGCAGTACTTTAGAATCTCCAAAGATATACTCATATAATCTTACTCAACTTTCATTCAATCCATTCATATCAACTTGTACCTAGGCAGTACTTTAGAATCTCCAAAGATAAACTCATATAATCTTACTCAACTTTCATTCAATCCATTCATATCAACTTCTACCTGGGCAGTACTTTAGAATCTCCAAAGATATACTCATATAATCTTACTCAACTTTCATTCAATCCATTCATATCAACTTCTACCTGGGCAGTACTTTAAAAGCTCCAAAGATTCGTGAACTTTTCTGTGATGAGACAAGTAACGAACAGAAATTTCATTCTCACACATTCTGCAATACGCAACAATATGACCATAACGAAGCTTTCGAGCGGACATTCCGTTGATCCACGACACATTTGCAGATAATGCAAATCGCTCGCTGTCTTCATCCAGTCGAGATGTGGAAGGAGAAACAATTAATTGATCGCTATCCAAACCACGTGACAAATCTTCGTCGTCATCTTCTTTAATTTCTAATTCATAAGCATTTAACGTGATGCCAGCGAGACCCCCATGACTGAAGTCTTCGTTTGTCGTTTGCCTAAAACATTCCGTGACATGAGATAAATCCTTCGGGAATGGACCAAACGAAAGATTATCAATGATAAACATCTCTTCCTTTTTTTTTCATTTACACAATGGATCCATGATTAAAATAGAAGTATATCCAAAATCAATTGGAGACCACATTGTGGAGATTTTGTCAGGATATGTTACACGGCGAATACTTCAGATTTTACGATCTAGACATTGCAACAACTGCTAATTCCGCCTCATACAGAATATGTCAAACAGCTCCACAACGTTTACTCAAAGATCAATTTTAAAGTACATATAATCATAATTAATTATTTACACATTAAACTTCACATGCGCAAAGTTTAGTTTTAAATAACGACAAGCAACTTACCCACGTTCCATTTCACGTGAGAAAAATGATCGAACATTCTTTACTCGTATATAATTGCTCCTAAATGCCGTTCTAATGAATTCTTAATTAAATGACGTAACAGACGTAAATATCACATGATGCGTTGAAAATGCCCTTAAAATCGTTCATTCATCTTGAGTAGTTTTACATTGAATTTTAGAAGTTCGTTTTTTTTCACAACGTTTCTCCACATCTTGAAAGAGATCTTTCGAGTTGGTTGCCATGGGATCATCTTCGTGATCATTAAAGGTTTCGCTGGTGCATGGAGGATCATCGTTGGAAGCATCGGGTGATCTAGCAGTACTAAAGATCACGATGTTACACATGGATACAAGCATGGCTCCTGATATACTGAAAATATTGGGCCGATGATTGAAGAATATCAACTGGAACACGAAAGCCAAGACAATATCGAACGTACGAAGTAGAGCAACGGTGTGAGCTTTTTCCAATCTCAGAGATTTGCATAAAAAGTACTGCCCTCCTAAATAAAGATGCAATTAAAAACTTTATAGGCAAAGTTTTCATCATTCAAATATATTCGATAATTTCGAAGCATTTGCACGACTTTGCATCATTTTAAAGGAAATGTAATCTTTAATGTGAAAACGTAGTTGATACGAGTCAACTATAAGACACAAATACCTACCTACAGCACATAGACCAATGCCAATGACGTGCAGCTGGTGACCACAAACGATCGGGCGAAATAACCCGGGGATAAGACACGGCAAGCCAGTTCCAACAGATCCCATAAAAGCGAGGTAAAAAGAGGATGTGGAAAAATGCAGTCTCTTCACTTTCTTTAACGTGATGATGCTGATGGCTGTTAAGATGGCACCGGTGACAGCAATACAACATGACAAGAAATGATGTTTTGATTGAAAACTGAATAAAAACAAACTTCGAGGTTGCGCGATCATGACCACGCCAAGAAAACACAAAATGGCCGACACGGCATCCATCTTTCCCAAACGTTCAGGAAGAAAACAATGCGCTAACAACGCAGTAAATAGTGGAGCAGAGAAAATCAAGACGGTTGCATCAGACAATGGCATATGTTGCAACGCGTAGAACTGAAAACACAACGCAGCCGACGCAGTCAAACCACGAAACACCAAAAGTGCGCTTTCTCTCAAATCGTCCCGTTTTGGTAGCGGATTCACACCTTCGTATATAAGCATTGGCGTGATAAAAGTCAAATGCACAAAACTTCGAAAGAAAACCGTTTGCACAGCGTGGATTTCGTTGAGTACATGAACAATAAGGGAGGATGTAGCGAAGAAAAAACAGGAAATTATTGCATAAAAGAGACCAGGCCGAGAAAAGCATCGCTTTAATGTCTCTTTCAGCCATATACTTTTGTTCGCCATGAAAGCCTTTATTTTATTTCGACAGAACAGTTCTCAAGGTCGTGTATTTAAGAGCTGCTTAGTAATAGCTACAATACCCAATCCTTTGCGCTATAGCGTCTTTTCATTTTAAATCAAACGCATCTCTCCCAAGCTGAGAAATTTGAACTTCATTAAAGTGACGTTCAAACACGTCGTATGCATTGTAACGAAAAACGACAAAGAATTATCATCGTTTGTAAACATCACATTCACGAAACAGAGAATTTTTGCATATCTCGAGATGTACAAAAAATATTATAATTACTTGTCGTTTCAATGGTCAATCGAAATACATTCGCTACATATTCGAAAATCGCTACGAAAACTAAGAAAACGTAAAGAACATTGAATTGTTTAAACTAAAGCAAACAATTCAAGGTCATTAGGTAGTTTATATCCGAGACAATAGTGTTATTTAGTTTGAGTTGCACATTAATGCATGTGGCAGAGATAGCGAGTCTTAACACTACACGATTTCATTGACACTATCTCTCGACAGGTTGAAAACAATATGAAAATTAAACATAACACATTCGAGTACGCTAACTTCATACCACACAAAATATAAATTGAATACTCGACGCTAACCTTTTTTCGATGGCATTCGTCTCGTCATAGCCACATCTACGAAAGAAAGAGTGAAATTAGAATGCTTACAACGAGATGAATTTCGTTTAAAATGAACAAATTCATAGAGACGGCATTTTAAAGAAAAGTACACGAGAATAAAGTACGAACGATTTAATTTAAAATCTTACTACAGATATAAAATAATGGCAAAAGATTTCTATTTATAGCATAAAGATACGGAAAAAATCCTGTACAATCCTTTGGACAACCACCAAAATACTTTTTCAGGAATTCCACCCCAATTTTTCATTTTACCCAACCACCATCATCATCAACGCAAGTCGTGTTATTTAGAAGACATTTTCCGTGAAAATTGTACGAAATTCAGGTTTCTTTTTCAGATGCGGTAAAGGTGGGGTATTCTTCCGAGGTGTATATTTCTCCCCATTTCTCGACCACGTGCCCACCACGCTATTATCCCCGATCAAGTTGCAATTCTCATCCGTTGTCGATCCACTCGATCCATGTCTATCCTCCATTGCCAAAGGTGCTTCCTTCTTTGGACTGGTCTTCTTCGATGTCTGAAAGGATAAAATCAAAATGAAAAAGAGTGAAGTCGAAAAAGAGGAAAGTGAAAGAAGTTTTGTACGACACAAAAAGGATACTCAACTACCGTAAATGGCAATTCTTTCATTATAAGCGGAAGAAATATTTATGGCATAGAACTATTTGTAAAATGTCAATCTCTCCTGTGGATTTTAATCGTTTTGTGGTAGTTCTTACGGTAGATTCATGTCATCCATCTTCATTAAAAGCTTGATCACGTATTTTTCACAAACATACGTCTCTGAGCGTTAGTTTAAATGCTTCAGAAGCAGATGTGTAAAAAATGTGAACCAGCATCTGATAGAAAATTTTTGCTAGTCACAAGGCGGAGCAGTTCAAACAATACACACAACAAAAGTTAAGATCTGTATATAGATTCACACACAAGTTTGCAAAGGTCTACTGATTTACACCATACACACAACACAAGTTAAGATCTGTATATAGATTCACACACAAGTTTGCAAAGGTCTACTGATTTACACCATACACACAACGACTTTCTTTCAAAAAATTGCAGTGATTGCCTAATTACGAACACGAATTGACAAAAACTTGTCATCGCAGTTCTGTGGAAACAAAAATTTCGCAAAAGTATTAGCATATTTTTGTCACAATAACCTTGTTTCTTATTCGTGGTGATGATGAAAAACAACGTGTCGCTCCAGAGGAATGTCTGAAAAAAGTTTTTAAATACACAAAATCATTATTACGCAGTACAAATTGCATAAAAATAGCGCGAATGCACTAAAGGGAAGGAAAAATGAGAGATTCCATATGTACAGTAAGGGTAGTTTGCACCCCATCTATCCCTAAGGTTAGAGTGGACCCCATCTATCCCCAAGGTTAGTGTGTACCCCATATATCCCTAAGGTCGGTGTGTACCCCATCTAGGTTAGTGTGTACCCCATCCATCCCTAAGGTTAGTGTGTACCCATCTATCCAGCTATCCCTAAGGTCAGTGTGTACCCCATCTATCCCTAAGGTTAGTGTGTACCCCATCTATCCCTAAGGTTAGTGTGTAGCCCCATCTATATTTCTAGGTTTATATATAAACAAATAAGATAGTAGGAGACAAAACGAGCATTAAGAGACTTTTAGTAACTGGTAGTAAGTTCCCATTCAGGTAGTGTAATGACGACGGCTGTAGTCTTTTCATTTGAATTATGAATAGTTTCGAAGTGAAAGTTTTTGTTTTTTAAGTTAGAGGTTTAAAAAAGAGCTTATTGGAATATGAAACTGAACCTTCTGTTGGTTTTATGTCTTCCTTGTCTCTTAGCCCTTTTCGCTTTCATCTCAGAAGACAATGTAGCAGTGTGCGGTGAAGCAAACACATACTTATCTCCGACCGGAGTGTTGTTGCCCATAAGTTTTGTGAATTCCAGAGTGATTTCGCCGGGTTGTAAAACCTCCGGGGACTCGTATTTCCGTGCATCGACGACCATAACGTGAGGAGTCTCATGGGAACGATCTTTGTTTCCTGAATGTGGAGAAAGTGACGTCATGCCATATAATGTATTGCTTCAAAGAAAACTTTGACAACATGAATGTCAACCGTTGGCGATTCAATACTATTGAAATTACAACGTTGTTTACTCAAACTGTCAAATCCAAACAAGCATTTCATTCGCAAACTTCCGACTGGATTAATAGCAAGTGGTGAAGAGGATTAAAGCGAGTGAAAGATTGGCTCAAGATTAGAATTTAAGATTTGAGATTCCATATATGAATTTGCGCGGGAATCTGAGAGATTTCTATGGAGAAACAAAAGCTTCACGCTTATATCCCCATTTTTTCAACATTACTGCACTCCTCCTGGATGATAAGTCAACGAGAATATTTTTTGTCTATTTAACACTGATCCGTAGCTACACGAACGCAGAAGTAAATAAAGATCACTTCACATACGAAACAACTTACCATTTTCGGTAAAAGGAGCCGCTCTGTAGATAGGTCGCTTTGGTGTTGTAAACATCTGTGTCGATCCGGAAACGGAGAATGGCGAACTAATCACGTGACATTGATGATGACTGGAAAAATCCTTGTTGACATTTTTCCTGTGGTAAAAAAACAAAACATTATGTTAGAGCTTATCGTTTAACCATTTCCATAGTGCTTCGATGATCTATCAAATAATACATGTCAACTATGTTATTACACACCATGTTAAACACGCGATGCCTTTGGAAATTGGAATGTAATGATTAAAATATTTCTCCCAGCAAAATATAATTATTTTTGTCAAGGAATAATCCTTCATATCTTAGGCCTGTTTCAAACAACGAACTTTACATGCACCGAACGCATTAAAGACAAAAGGAAATGAGATGAACTTCCTCATTATCTTTTGTTTTTGTTTTAAATGCGTTCGGCTCGTGTAAAGTTCGACGTTTGAACTAGGCCTCATTCTTCATATTTTCAAATCATCTGTCTGGTACCACATCATTGTTCTCCCAGTTCTCTTATACTTATGTTTAATGCATGTATATATGTTGAACAACTATGGTGATAATTTATAAATAATTATAGACTAGTCGTCAATTTCGATTTTTGGTAAAGCTAGTTAAGGTTTAAAATGAACTTTGATTTCAATACTGAGATTTTGATCATCATCATTCGACAATTACGTAAAGACACAATTACCAAAAAAAGATCTTCAATGGTGACATTGTTATTTGTAAAAAAATCTTACTGATACTTTAAAACTGTAAATTATTGATTGCGAATGACCAAGAAATTGATATTTTTGAGTTCAATTGATATTTTAAAATGCGAAAATGGTGTGTACTTAAATTCAAACTTATCTAACTTTTGTTTATGATCAATCCATGAATACCTTTTTCCAGCAGGTGTCAAATCTTTATCCGCCTCAGCATCAGAAGGCTTCCGTTTTTGGTCCTTAATCATTCCAGTGAACTCGCCTGCATCATGATGATCCGACAGTAATACAGAATCATCTAAAACACAAATACATCATACAACATCCTATCCTAAATAAACACGTCTGTTTGAATTACCTGTGATTTTACAAACTCAAATGGTGCGACACTGAATGCGAGGGGCCGGTTGCACGAAGCCAGGATAGCGTTATCCATTGGATAGCAAAATCTTCAAACTTGTAAAAAAAGGTGTTTGTATTTTTCTTACGACAGAGAAATTTTGTAATCTTCGAAACAATATTTTATTTTAGTGATTGTTCTGTTCGAATCTTATACTTTTTGCATTTTAAGGTTTTATAAAAGTTTAAAAAAACTTGCTGTCCAACGGATAACGCTATCCACGCTTCGTGCAACCTGCCCCTGGAACGCTGAGAAGAACTGTCGGAAATGTCTACGTGATGATTTTAAAGATTGGAACAGCGAGGCGTAAATTACTTCGAAAGAATGAAAATTTTAAACAACAAACTTTAATGACTAACAATATCAACGTACATCTTAAAAGAAAAATTTTTGATGGACCTGCGATAAACAGCCCCTCCTGGTCTCATCTCGGTGACCCTAACTGGACCTGTTGCTCATTAATAAGAACGACACCCTTGTTCGAAACTCGACGATAGACATAACGTGGTGAAAATTACCTTTAGATTTCGTTTTTATTTCCACTTTTCTTTTCTGTCGCGAGAAGTCCACTTTAACGCTTTTTGATCGCCTGTGTCTGTTATTTGATTGGCGAAACTTGTTTACTTTGCCCGTAACAAAAGCTAGAAAAAAGCAATCGCCATTACGATATGGTCCAAATTCCATATGGTGGGGGTGGGGTGGGTGAAGAAGTTTTGTAATGGAAGGGGAAAGTGAAAGAGCTACTTTAACTTTACTGTTGTCATTGCAACACAGAATTTAAGTTATTTCATGTCATATAGTTGGATTATCATATGCATATATAATATCTTTTTATGTTTAACAATTTTATGTGTTTCATGAGCAATACACCATTAAACATGTCAGTTCAATTAACATAGAAAAATCAAGAAAACAATGCATGAAGTTCTCAAGTTCTTTCACTTGCTGAGGGGGGTGGGGGGTGGGGGTGGATACAAACTTGGTTCACATATAATGGCTATGAATTATCAGCCACATGAATATTACCTGAAATTGATGTAGGCCTGCTCTTTCCTCTTAAGTTGTACCTCTCGCTTTCAAGTTCATCACCTGATGATAAACCACCATCATTACCATCGACACAACTTTTTGCCTCGTTGAGCACATCATCGGGGATGACACCAATCTCAATGCATTTTCCAACAGGATTTCCACAACCTGCATCTGATCTTTAAGAATCTTCTCGTTACCATAACTGTGATTGTCCTTCTTGCTGTTCGAATTGATGAGATTCGGAGCAAGGACAATTGCAAGGTTTGCATGCCCCATCTTGCTCTGTTCAGACTTCGCAGCAACTTTGGATATGAACTTCACAAAATATTGCAGCGTGTACAAATGTGCCATAGGCAGGAGAATGCAAAGAAATAATACAGACATTGTCTGCTCATTTTTACATGACAGTGGAAGGCACTTCAAGAAGTGGTCATGCAGTTGATTTGTCAGAAGTGGTTCTGGTAATTCACGGAAAAACTGCTTTAGCAAACAAGCAACATCATGTGGGCATGCATCATCAAGTGAACCGCCACTTTCAATGACTCTCTAGAATTTTAAAACAATTGATATGGTTCTGATGCAATATTTTGCTGTAATTTTATTAAGACAATTAAGAAAACACTTTGAACTTCTTTTCCCCAATATTTACAGATAGGAGAATAGTGAGTTTCAAGAAGAATACAATCAACACAAACCCTTAGTTGTTTTTGCCGGGCAGTAGAACCAGACTTGCGAAACAATCCCTCGGTAGCCAAATGATTTTCCAGACATTTTGTGGTTTCGACAAGAAACCTTAACAACAAAATACACAGTTTTATTTACAGCCAGCCTTACGATAACTTAATGATTACGGATAAAATCATAGAGCATGTAAGGGCACGATAAAGATTCTTTGAAAGAATGGAGTACTATCATTTCACACGACCTCAAACTACCAAGCTTAAACCATCAACTTTAAAATACATTAAAAATATCACCAACCTCGGCACAGGAATATAATTGTTACAACCAACATTCACAGATGGCAACCTCTCCAATGGAACACCAAATACAGCATAAGGATTGTCATATGAACCCTATCAATAGTGACGAAACATCAAAATTATTTTGGCCAATTTTTGCAACCAAATGCAAGTTCTAAAGACTACTTTATTCACCAGCTTTTAGCAAGTTGGAACAATTCTCAAATTTGCTACACACGAGTATGCTGGGCATTGAAAGCTAGGTAGGGGGGAGGTTGAAGTGAAGCCCTCGCCTTTTCTTAAAGGGAAATGCCCACTTCATGTCCACGTCAAGTATGTAGTAAGTAAGCAAAGTATGACAAGCCGTTGAATACAAATAATTTTCAACTTCATCATTCATCCAACATTCATCATCTTGTATGAAACGTTTTTGGTTTCAAGTACCTTTAATACAAGACAATAGTGTGTTTTTCGAAATATGGCGTTTTAAACGGAATTTTTCCAAAAGTGAAAGAAAGCCAGTAAATTGCCAAGTTGAACAATTTGTACTTTCATTTTTTACATCAAAAGAGCAAATTGAATTGAAAATTTCGTACAATGTTGTCAGAAGCAAAACAATAAACAATAATTAAAACTTACATTGTCCACTTTAAAATCCGTTCGTTGCTTCGACTTTGGCAGTTTTATGCCAATTTCCTTCAGTCTTCGTCTCACAATAGTTCGTACAGAATCTTTGTAGTCTATAGCCGATATTTCTGTCATATTTATGATAAATTCTTGCGACAAATTACAACAAAAGTTTTGAAAACATTCCAGAATTACGAAACTCAAACAGCTTTCAAGTTTCAATTATAAATTTTGAACCCTGGCGGTGAACACGCTTCGAGCCTTCGATTGGCTTAGTCTTTGCACGTGACTATGAAGAACAGACATACCAACGGAGGGAGGGGGCAGTTACCAGTGGCAGTTACGATGGAAATTTTGACCGCTGACTCTAACCATAATATGATTTTTATTACACTACCTTAGTTATACTTACACTACCTTGCCTTAGCTGAGGTGAGATTTTCACATCAAGCTGCCAGCTACAGAGTACCAAAACAAAAAGCCACTCATCAATCATGCAAAAATTATCAACTCTCTTGACAATTTCGAAAATTTTGATATTTTCTGAATAAAAATCAATAAATTTTCATAATCGCAAGTACACAATACTAGAAAAATTCGTCGCAATCAAAATTGTTTTTTGAACTATAGGATGAATTAATAAATTATTCAAGGCGCATGCTCCGCTGTAACAAATAAAGTTGAACGCATGCGTAGAAAAACCATCGTATGTGCAATACGTTCATGAGTTTTGTAAAATCTGTCTAGCCCTGGTATTCGCGGCGCCAATACGAACATCATTGGATTCAGCCTATAAAACAGAAATTTACATTAAAAACGCCATCTATTGGATAATAATTGTTTAAACCATTCTTCGGGGGAGGGGGTTCAACAGTTCCTGTTGTTAAAACTCAGTGTCAAGTTGTGGGAAGGTCCCACCCACGCCCGTAAAGATAGTTTTACCCTTCCCACCAAAAAAATATATATTTATATAAAATCATGTCGGCGCCAATATATAGTTATTAAAAATGGGAAAATCACGGGTTTTCAGTATTCAACAACGGTTATGTGTTATCATCCTAACTAAGAAATGAAATTGACTGATACAACATGCAAGGTAGCTACATACAACGATTGCATAAGGTAGCAGGGATGATTTAACGCATAACTTTTGACTCTGAAGATGACTACCACTAAGGTTGTCGAAACGTCAGTCAACAACAACAAAAACAGTCCTTCTCAGGACTATACCAACCTGGACGATCTACATTTACAAACAAGTAACGATACTCCCGGGTTCAAACCATTTACTTTAAATACAAGAAAGTAGTTCTTTTTACACTTCGAGTGCGAGTTCAGCATGAAATGTATTATGTATTATGTGATGTTTGGCATGTACCTACGTGAGTTACCTAAAATTGTAAGCTGTCGTATTATATTTGTTGTTGCAGCAGTTACTTTAAAGAATGGTAACAAGTACAAAACATCGCTATGGTGGATGATTTATTTCTTACTACCATCAGTAGCGCGTTTTTTACTCGGGCAATGCGAATATTTTTGTGTTCAATTACTGAAAAGACAATGAATGGAATAAATTTTCTAAAGAAGTGAATGGTAATTTTGCATTGTAGGAGTAAAAGATGGGGGCTGGCTTCTCCACTGACTACCGTATAACGGTGGTAAGATAAAACTTATGAAAATATCTCCTGAAAGAACAACTCACGTTAATGTTTTCTAACATACACGACTAAATAAAACAAGCTTGCAACACCATCATACATGCATTCGGTGAGAATTTCACACATGTGAAAACAACAAAAATACCTTGTCGTTTATACGATCAATCTGTCGATTTTGTGCGTCAATTTCTTTTCCCATATCGACCGCCATTGATTTTAAATTTCCAACGATATCGCTGACCTGACTAAAACAATAAAGTATGTTTCAAACGCAAAGAGCTTGGTTTAAGGGTTTTCACGTTGAAGGAGAGTTTTCAAGATAATGATATAATCAAATTGTTGAACAAAGAGGGGATAAGGAGGGATACATGATTTGGGAAAGGATGCATAACTTGATTGCAGTTTTTGAAATGGTTCATTATAGCTAATGCTTCTTAAGATTAACCCCACTTATCCCTCTCCACAATCCACATGTGTCCCTCTCTCTGCCTCATACATCCCTAAAACTGCCTCTATCATATACCCACCCTAAGAAACACTACCGTCAGATAAAATTCATCCCTTAGTTTCCGAACTGATTTCCTTTGTATGATTGCTACCTAAACGTTCATTCATATATCGTAACATCCGTATTATTGTCGCTGTGTTTATATCTTTTCATAAGTCTTACTACACATATTTACATTACTTGTAATCTGTTAACTATTTGTGAAGGTCCAATGTCGAAATAAGCTGTTGTTGTTCGATTTATTGATGGATTGTAATAGCAAATATAGATTCGTAAACAGTTTATAAGATGATCCAGGTCGTTATTTACTTACGCTAAATTTCCATCCATTTCATCCTCTCTTGCATCGTTTGTGATTCTGTAAAATAATACTGATGAATCTACTTGCCCAAACACAAACTATGGCGCATTAAATAATCTTCATTCATCTCACAAACCTTTGCACATAACCGCCAGAAGGATTTTGTTGCCTGCCATTGCCTTTGGATCCACCTTCAATGATAAAAAACTAACATTTTCATGTCTATATTTGAAATGTATTTCCATCCAGAGAAGTTTTCTTTTTCAGAAAACCTTTAATATAATATTGTAGTTTTGAATAATACATTGTTTTAGAAATGGTTTCAAACTATACATGATTTCACATGATGCTTTGTTATGAATGAAACACAGTGTAGCAAAGCTTTTATTGGTATTGTACTTTTAACACAATATAAACAACACTCTATGATGTCTTGTTAACTAATAATGTTAATATGTCTTTTTCAGTTTACATTATTATTAATGATTCTTGTATTTTTTATAACATTTTCATATCAATGTTTATTAAAGTTGACAATGGTCAAAAAAGGTATTGGGAAACGTCAAGAACAAAACAAAGATGAAATTTTTTGATGTTCGGTCAATAATTCAACACATTTCCCTACACATCTCTAAGCAGAACATTAAAAAAATTTAGCTCCATTTTTTCCAGATAAAGTCATCCAAGTCAAATACAAATATCCTGTACCATATTTTGTGTGGTTTTGATTAATTATTGTTAACACTTAGAGCCAAGAATAACAAAAGAACTACTGACAGTGTTAATTAATGTGTCACAGATATGAAGGGAGAATCAATAACAATGTACCTGGCTGACTTGTCACTACTTTTTCCTTTCCACCATATGCTTTTTTGTACTGATCAGTCTTCTCAAACTTCTGTGCCCTGTTTGCAGTAAAAAAGAAATACACATTATGATATTAAGTCAAAAACAGCAGTTCAAGCAATGCATACCTCCTGCCTGGGCACACACAAAGGCCACAACATTTTTCTAAGTTTGTGAGATTTTTCTCTGCCTCTTGCATGTCGACATTAATCACATCTAACGTGTCTTCAATTCGATCAAGTTGCTCACCCTGCTCGTCAAGCATGACAAGAGTACGAATGCCAACATCTTGAGTCTACAGACACCAGGAAAACATGGATTTCACACAAAAAATAATCAAATATTCTGACATCTGTGATATCACTTTAGTAATATAAATAACCTCAAAAACTATACAAACAATCTGTACTATTACATATGGATATATTTTTCACAACGGAACTCATGATATTATAACAAACAATATTTAAATAGCAAGACAAATATATAATTTGTCGAAATTCAAAATGAAGTAAGCTTTAAAAATCTGATTGGAGCTTAGTTTTGGTCTCAATTTTTTAAAGCACAGCTTTCTCAAAAAATATGTTTGTATGTGGTGTTTGCAGCCTCAAGGAAACTACATATTTGCTTTGCCTTTAGTTAAGTTGAATGAGCATAGAAATAGCTTAGATTGGGTGGTTATAAAAAACTACCAGTTTCATACCTCTTCAGCTGTATTCAATATACGACGAGTGGATTCTAGGGACTAGAATATGGAAAAAGCAATTGATGGAACGACAATTAAAAAGAAGAATTGAAACCAGGTATGGATTAAAAAAAATGAAATATGTCCAACCTCATCAGTGATCTGATCCCCACGCTCTCGCATATTCATAATCTCTCTTCTCATTTCTTCGTCACTCATCTTGAATAATGCTGTGTATCAAATGCCCAATATGGAAATCCACTTTTTACAGACCTCTAAATTAATAAAAGATATGAATGAAGACCCAAGGGGCAAATTTGTGTAGGTATTATCTATATATAATCTTGAAACGATTTCCTATAGAGTAGAGTATTATACTATTGATTACATTGAATATTTTTTCAAGACCATACAAAGGTTATAAGCATAGAATTCTCTTTAAATTTTTTTGAGGAAGCCAAGCTTAGTCGGCCAAGACAACTTTACATAACGTACACTTCTCCTGAACAATGATCTGTCAGTGTCAATATCGATCTTTTTAAATTGTTGCTTGCAGTTTAAAACGGTCAAATCAATGATAATTTAAAAACATTCAAGGTATTATTCCTTTACTCCAAGAAAAAAAAATAGTTCGTACGTATCTATATGCATGCACAATATAGTTTAAAACACGAGATTCAGTTACAATATACACCACAAGCTAACCCACTTCCTGCGATGAAAAAAAATCATTCATAAAATGTTCGGACAGTTGAACGAAATCGCTTCATTTATAATATAATACAACATAATTTGGCAAAAATACGAACCTTTACGCAATCCTTTTCTGCTTTAGTCTTTCATTTTATACAAAAATAATAAAGTCGTTTTATAAAGATAAATTCTTTCAATTTTAATCTCGATTGTTAACAAATAATGGATCACGGGGGGTAATACGGAACATTGGAATTTCCTGTTTGCCTAAAGCACCTCACCCACATACTCTCAATAATACATTTTTTGGCTCGAAGGGGTTGGGGTGGAAAAACCTTTATTCTTTAAAGCCTAGTAAGAGGGAAATCTGTGGAAGTGGGAAGTGGGAAGTTTTAATCTACAGGCTTGAGTCCAGAATTTAAGGTCTTTACGATTTGATTCTCATTTGAATATAAGTTTGTAAAAACCACACACTCACCCAAACTTTACCACATCACAATGTTTCTGTTGTATGCTTTGAAAAGCACAAAAAAATTACATGTTAATTGATAAAGGAGGACAAAGCTTTTTCTGTAGAGTGTAGAGGCATCAAGAATCAACATCAGATTTGTTTGATTTCATTCTAAAGAATTGTGAAGTCACGACAGGATTCTGAATGATTAATTTACATCGCAGAAATTTTTAACATGGAAATTTTCAAAATCTTCTTTGATGAAGGCTGGAACAGTTGGCTTTTTATCTCGAAGTTAGAGTTTCATACCAAGTTGCAAGGCAATCTCATCAACATACTCCATAATACGCAAAGTTGTGGAATGTGGCATCACTTTGTTTTCCAGTTCCCCACTCAAAATACTTTGTCGGACTGCATCTATTTCATACCTAAATACAAGTAGAAACATATGCAAATTACGGATGTTTTGACATTTAAATGCCTGAGACTCCTGAAAACTTTGCGAAGTGTTTTTAGTGGGCTAAAAACCAGGATGGCTATATGGTAGTGGGATCATTAACCAGGATTCCATCTTAATTTAAGAACAGCTCTCATTTACCTTAATCCAGCAGAATTAATGCACTTTGAAGGCCATTCCAAATCTGGCAATGGAAACTCGATGGTATCAGCAGTTGTAACCATGGTTGCAGCATGGAAAGGTGCCTCTAAGCTTATTGATCCTTTTGTTCCAAAAACTGATGCCTTATTCTGAAGGGCAACACCTGGTCAGAAACAATAAATGTTAAACATGACAACTGATGGATAAAAGCAAAACTACTTTTTCTAACACCATCATTAAAGGAGCAATACATAAAGTTAAAATTATTATATTAAGAATCAACTCAACTTTTCTGAAATTTTCAGACTTAACAGTCATGCTGTAGTAGTTACCAAACAGTAGCAAAACCAGCCCAAATTATACTCTTTGAAATATTCAGCAAAATTACAATTCATGAATTGTACCAGGTGATATCAAACACAACAATATTTGCATTGTACGTAGGAGTAAAAAAACAGGCTGACTTCACTACTAATGCTAAATGACCTCAAATAAAATTTTTGGTCGAAATATCTTACATACACAATAAATCAACAGCTCTTAGTTACCAGCAGTAAAAAGCAATTGAGCCATACGTTTTCCACTAAACATCAATGTCACACTAACACTATGATCTACACCACTATCAAACAAATGTCCACTTGCAACAATCTTCACTGGTCTTTCCCCGCGAAACACGATGTCAGCAAAAGTCAATGTGTATATACCAATATCGAGCAAAACTGAGCCACCCAAAGCTTTGTCATAAATTCGTTGTTTAGTTTCCATGACAGCTCCAAAAGTTGCTAGAGCAATTGAAACCTCGCCAATTTTCTTTTCTTCCAATATCTTCTCAAGATACAAAGTTGCTGGTAAAAACCTTGTCCACATTGCCTAAACAAGTTAATGATTTTGCTGTTGTGAATATCATTCCCTTGCAGACAAGATAGATAAGGCCATCTTAATCAAAAGCAGATCTCAAAGGAAAATGCCCAAGATGAGTTTTTAAGGTGAAAGAAGAGAAGAGAAAGGGGAGAAACATAAATGAGAAAGACCTTATTCTATACCTCCATAATGAAAAGCCCTTTTTTATTCGCTAAATCCAGAACTTCTTTTGCTTCTTTGAAATTCAAGGCAAAGGCTTTCTCACACAAGACGTGCTTTCCATTATTCAAAGCAAGTTTACAGAATTTTGCGTGAGTATTCGTAGTACCAGCAATATAAACAATCTGGACTTCAGGATCCTGAACAAGAAGTTCGTGGCAACCATACCATTTATGTATACCGTTTTTCTCCGCAAACACCTTGGCCCTTTCTTCCGAGCTCGAGCCAACAGCAATCACCTTATGCTCATCTTTGGGTAAAGTATTCATAGCCAAAATAAAATCTCCGGCGATATTGCTGGCTCCGAGAACACCCCAACGAATGCACGAGTCCGACATTACGTATATCGCTTATCAATTTTTCCAGCTGTAGAGAGATGTGCTCCAAGACAATAAAAAATAATGACAGATACTAAGTGACAATTTTGGAATGAAATCAATGTCATATGATGTACATAACGTGACAAATGAGACGCATAGGGATACGACATATTAAAAGGGACACGTAACGTGTATTGCTGTAAAGAGTGTTGCAATTAAGCCATGTTACATGCAATACATGTTTCAAATATTGTAAAGAGGAGTTGCAAGTGGGCATGTGTAATTAATTTAAGGCATGTTGCTTTATTTAAGACATGTTGCTTAGCGGCACATTGTAAAGGTGTTTAGAATTTCGGCAACTATGCAACATGAAGAAAAGATGCAATTATTAAATTAATCTTATCCTATGTTGTGTAAAGACAAGAGTATGTGCTGTGTATTTAGACAGTGTGTATTTTACAATCTATAAATACATGAGCTGCGACTGCGCTGAAGTAATTTTAAATAAATACAGCTTCTATATCCATTACGTATGATCACAAATCTTTCTTGCAAGGTTTGCTTGCAGATGCATGCTTATTTGTGCACTGGCTTTGACGGGATGAAGTAAGAGTAAGTGTGTATAATCACATAAAGTCACATTGCCAGAAAACAAGAGATTAAAACCTTTCCTAAAGTCTATTGGTTGAACATTGAGCTTGTTCACCAATATACCAATAAAAATATCTTCCAGGTGGATTAAATTTTCAAAATACATGGGCTTAATAATACGAGAGGATATCTTCAGACATAATGTACCCACCACCCAGACAATACGGAGGAAATTCATTCTCATTGTACTCTTCAGCAGAAATATACCTACAGAAAAATATGTTAGAATAAGCAATATCTTTGACCTTAATTATGCACTCTGTACCTTAATATATTATATATATTCAGTGATAACATGATGGGAGATATTTGTATGCATTATTTACCCATTGCAGGATTGGTTAAAGTTTGAACGGAGTGCATGGTATAAAGCAAATTAAATGGGCCAGTGTACTTTTGTGACTTGGCAATACAAAACATGTTATGGTTATATGTACCACATTTAGTCCAAAGATTGCCAAGAATATATTAACTATTTACTCACCATTTGCTCAGTTTGTTTCGACTTACTTTACTTCTATAGTTGCACCAACCGGAATAAAAATTAAGTTCATCTGATCGGACGGCCCACTGTAGTAACTGCCATGTATTTATAAACACATCATCGTCTGTCTTTAATACGTAGGATGACGAACATTGTAAATATGCCCATGTCATTCCTAGTCGTGTCTTATACACTAAATTATTATAGTTGTCCTCAAATTCCCCAAACACAACATCATTGTATATTTCCATTTCTCTATTGATCAATGCTTGAGTCTTCTTGTCCGCGCTTCGACCCATCAAGAACACGGTCTTGAAGGCATTTCGAGTGTCATAATATCTTAAAACACCTTTAAATACACGATCCCTTGCAACAGATTGAGGGAGACTGGCCCAAGAACCACGTATTGCATTTCTTTCCTCAAAATTGTTAGGAGAACTGGCCACCAAAACAAGAAGAAAAACTGTACTGGAACAATTTGGGAATCGAACAGGAATTGTACTTAATGTGTGGCTCAGTACTTTATTTTTCATCCATTTTAAGTCAGGTTTTAATCTTTGAACGGCAAGACGGTGTCTCTCCACTATATCTGAAGAAGTTTCCTGAAGCCAGTCTGATTCTGACAGACATCCTGATCCTGGACCGTTTGGTTTTCGTTTACAAATGAAAATATAAAATAACAAAAAAAGTACAAAACCGACCGCGAGATGAAGATACTTTGCACGCATTGTGAGACTTCGATGAAGCAATTGATTCATCCACAAGCATATTTCTAGTTATCAAAGTTTGGTAGCAAACAGATAAATATACTGAATGCACAAATTCTTTATTTGTTGTTGATTTTCGAATGTTTTGGTTCGTTCTCGGAATATACCGGAAACCTTCGTTAACTCTTCGTACATTGACGTACAACCCAACTGATCTTTGAAATCTGGAGCAAACAAAACTAAGATGATGTCATTCTTAAATAAATTATAATAAGCAACATTTCGTAACAGTATGGTTAGTACAAAAATATATACATGAAACGAGATCTTTGTTTTATTTACATAAAATATTGCGCTATAATTTTAACTTCTCTTTAAAAAAATCTGTCAGAAGTGTGAATAAGTGTCTTTCGATGTTGTTGCCTTCCAGTGAATGATGTTTGTCCGTGTAAATCTACAAAAAATATGTTGAACAATCAATGGCGAGGCCAGTCTTATCTATTTGTCATATACGTTAATGGCGTTTCCACTAACCTGCATTTGAAACTTTATATCAGCTTGAGTCAAAACCTCGATCAGTTGTGCACTATTTTGAAAGTGGACGTTGTCTGAAAGTATTTCAGGATATAAAAAGTATTAAAAAGACCGATTTGGCTTTCACAGCTGTCTCTATAACCCATGCAGAGAGAAGAGAACTCGACCTAGTACAAATCAAATTTTGGACACTTTTTCGTGACCCATGGGCACACAATAAAATTTTCCTCTGCCTTCTTCTTTCACCCCTCCTCCTCTTAAGCTGGCAAATTGCCTCATTTGTCTTGCCGTCTGAACAGCCCTGCTCAGATGGCTATATGAAAACCAACGTTTATTTTATTTTAACCTTTGTTTTGATCCCTGTACAGCCTGAACGTCAATACAAGAGTACACAAAGTTATAAAAACTTTGTAGAACTCCATACTGGCTTGCGTGAGGGGTTAGTTTATGATTAGGAACAAGGTGAGACTGAAAATTGTTCGAAAAGGTAATGAGAAAAACGTGAAAGACATCCAACTCAATATGAAAAAACAATTTTGTTCAAAAAATATTCGTTTGTAGAACGCAGTAAGTGTGGTTTTGCATTAAGCTTGACATTCAAATCCTTCATTAATTTCAGTCTTTCACATTATAAAAATCTTTCCCATTAACTCGACTAACCGTCTCCGGTGCCGTGGATCAGAAGAAACGAGTCATCAGGATGTTGTTGGCGTGCTTCAGTACGGAAGAGAACTATGTAACAGAAAAATGATAATCTTATATTAAACATAAAAATGAAAATATTGAATGGAATGGAATGAACATAAATATTAAAGATGGTCCAAACAACTCAGCTTGTAAAGCATTTTGGGGGATGATTTCCTGGAAAATGAGGCGTTTATCAAAGTTCATCTTCCTAATCAGGCGATAATACAAAAAAAATTTGGTAACATACATCATAGCCAATACGATTATCCACTGGCGTCCCCATGTATCTCTCGGTGTATATGGAGTCTATCATATGACATACGTTAAAAATATTCAGAATAACACGAAACATTTGTAAAATAGGCTTCAGCTGATAAGGATAACCTACCGTAGAGTCTCCAATCCGTGACAGGCGCTACAGATGCAGCACTCTGAAAAACTCGGCTCTCTTGAGTACTTAGAATGTAAGAGGACAGGAAACCGCCATAAGACTAAAGCAAAAGAAGAGCAAATTATTCAATTGACATCGCTTTGATATTTTTCAAAGTATATCCTGGCAAATGCAACCCTTTCAAAGACACATTAAGCGATAACATATATATATTCAGCAGTTTAAAAAAGAGTTTTAATTATTTATTTTAATTCAGAGTTTTCTTTATTTCCGGCCTGAAATGAGGCTGTGAGTTATAAAACAGAGTTATAAAACAAAGAAAATACGGTATTTGAGGTTTTTATAATATAAATCACCTACCCAACCCCATATTGAAATCCTATTTGGATCAACATATTCTTTAGTTTGCATAAACCTGACAAGGCAAATCATTTTAGTGTTAAAACAATGGAAACTCGATAGAACTGGTATGAGCAATGATGAACAATTCTGAATCATTATGTACAGATCACCTTGCAGCTGCCAAAGTGTCGTTTTTCTCATACTCCCCCAGTTGCATATAAACAGAATATTTGAAGTTTTGTCCTCTCGACGCAGTTCCCCGACCATCGACTTCGCAAACAATGATGTCAAAATTGCTGGTGAGATATGTGTGGTATCCAGTTTGAAACATCTCTTGAATCTGTCAAATATTTATAAAGGAGCAAAAAATTGTAAATAATCCATTTGTTAGGTTATCTGTAATTGACCAAATATCAAGAACTTTTAAAGGAACTTTTTGAACATTTTTTGTCGAAGCCTTAACTACATTAATGCTCGCATCAAAAAGAGATCAAATCAAATACATGATTTTCAAAAAGAAACCTCTAGTTAACATGCAATAACTATTACACGTCGTCATTCTCAAAGTCAACTTGAAAGCGTCAAAATCGACTTAAGTGCCTACGAAAAAATGCCTCAAAGCAAATCAATAAACCAGAATAAAACTTTGGCTAACCTTTTGACTCCCAGGTCCACCGTACCTGGAAAAAATTTTCAATGACACATAAGTTACTACATTAACCATTAAACAACGACGAGTCAATTGTACGGCCAAAGTACACTTACACATCAAACAAAACAGCGTATTTTCTATTGGCTTGAAAACCCGGTGGTCGCATTTCCCTTACCCAAATATCTAAATAACAAAATACATCACAATTTTTACGTGTATTTAGGTAAAATGAGAAAGGGGGAAAACAAGCTAAAATACTTACCATAAGCTCCGTCCGTAGTCTTAATTTTGTGATAAACGAATGTTGGCAATGGAGTCGTTTCCAGTTTCTTCGCAAGTTTTTCATTTGACTGTAGGACAGTGGCTGGATGAAACATAATTTGAAATTCGAGTTAGCTTCAAGAAATGACACTAGAGCACTACGAAAGGCAGTACGTAAGATGGTTTTATAATCGATGATGTAAAGTTCCATAATCATTCAATGGAGACGAAGTTGTTTCAAGCATAAATTTCAACCGTTAAAATAGATTATCATATCTTGAAAAAGATAGAGGAAAAGCCAAACAAACCTGTGTTAATATCTTTACTATTGTAAAACCAACTCATGGGAACACCAGGACCTTTGCAAGAAGGATAAAAACAATATGTATAGAATACAATCCAGTGTTAATATACTATCTAAAAATAACTAACAACCATATTGTTTCTACACAATGTTTCTATATGACTGTAATGACAATACAAAGATGAACAGTCTCCAGTAGTCAAAGCATTATAACTACATAAAAAATTAAAGTGTTCAGCCTTTTACTGTGATTCGATTATTTCAATAAAAAAACATTACTTGATAGTTAAATGACGAAATTCATACCCGCACAAGTCAAAACGAACCACGAAGACTTCGTACTGAATGAAGCCGTATAATATGAACAATGCTCGTCTGCATTGATGAAAAACAAAAAGATCGTTATTGTAACAGCAGTGAGTTCAAATCACCATTTTTAAATATACCTTTTGTTTGTTTTAACTCGCAAGAAATGCATTTTTTATTGCCCTTGAGATCGACGCTACAGAAACACAAACAGAAAGAAATTATCAACGAGTAAGGTCCCACCAATACAAAAATAAAACAAATAAATTTTTAGATCGATTGCTATAAAAAAACAAAGATCAAAATGATAATTTGTAGCTGGTAAGTTGGACTATTGTGTTGTAAAAGAAAAGATATCAATGGCTGAATTGTCAGTCACAAAGACTTTATCCGTTGTTAATGGTGGAATATCAGTCACGCTACCTGTACAGATGAGATTTCGTTGGTGAAATTTCGGTACTTTCGTAATAACTAAAAAAAAACACATATGAAATTGTAGGAACTCGAAGAATTTGAATACAAAGTTATACAAGAGGTGGGAGAATTTCACCAAAACGACGAAAACAGTGCTTACACAATTTCATTTTTTCTATCAAACGATACGATTTTCTTGACATCCCATTGACCCTGGGTTAAATACTTCACATATTTATTAGCGTTTGCCTGCAACGCAACGAAACACATTGGAATAAATCACAGTCCCAACAATAACAAAGAATATCACCACGACAAGAACAGTCTAACATGACCATATTTTCAATGACTGTCCGTAAATAGGCCAAAAGAAGCAGTGGATACTGATAATGTCGTAGACAGCCTACTGACATAAGTCATGCTAAACTAAATTTTCTGCATGTGTTAACTCATAGCAAAACAACGCAGTTCCCCGGAACTGAAATATGATACGACTAAAATTTACGGGCTGGCTACGATATTATAGTTATTATCGATAATGAAAACGACCTCATGCTTTAGTAACGGTCTCGCAGACCCATTGTACACATCAATAATTACAATACGTACGATCGATGGGACTTTGGCAATGTGTAAATAGTCCCCAGTCTTTGGACCTTCGTTGTGAGGGAGCAATTGTATGTAGAATGTTCCATCAGAAGAGAAAAATGGATCATAATACTAAAAAAGAAAACACCAACATTTGGTATTTCGACAGTTTAGAATTAGTGAGGTGAGGGTAGAGGATACACACTCGTTCGATTCCAACCGTGGGGGAGGGGGGAGAGTGAAAAAGGCGGGTGTTAAAATGTGTACTTTGTCAATTTATTCAAAGCAGATGGAAAATGCATAACGTTGTAAACGTTAAAATAATTCCTGATTTCAAAAATTCTTCTGCAGTAATTTTTTTCCCAACTGTGAGAATGGTATGCAGTTACTAAACAACGTTTGTTCATTTTTGATTCCCTTTAAGGCAGAAAAATCGGCGACTACATGCAGTCAACTTTCGATTACTTATAGAAAAGCACTCATGATTTCCTTACATTTTGATTTACCCAGCCGTTCGCGGAAACCAATCGATAGTTCTACAAAAATAAAGACAAGAAACACTCTAAAGTAAAGTGACAAATACTTTCATTTATCCACAGTGAACCGTACCTCAATACAAGTTCCCCTCGCAGCGTTACACAACATCACAACACTTGTAGTTTGAGCTCGATCCATCCATGTAACACTGATGTTATCATTGTCGGCCCATACGAGATTTGTAAAGTAGTAATCACTGCAAAAGATATAGTTTGTTTTTCCACTAGTTAGGAAAGATGGCTGCTTTACATTCCCAGTGGTGGGCATTCATGTTTTCACCCCTCCCGTACTTTGTTTGTACCAAGTTTAAAACGGACAGATCATAATTTTGTAGCTCTTTGCTGTGTAATAGTTGGTTGGATGCTGTGTCACCCGCACAGCATCCAGAAAGAAATATTTTTTACATTGTTTTTCGCGACAAAAATAGAGTTGTTGGAAAAGAAAAAGAATAGACAGGATGAAAATAAAATATAACACAAAAAGGAAAATGTCCGTCAAATACGAAAAAGTTCAACATCTGCTGACAAAAATATGTTTGATGGGCGGACATCACGCTTAGTCACATGACAATATCACGTGACATATTTATAGTCGCCATTCGCCCAGTCGTCATATAAAAGGATTTTGTCGTTTTACCAGGCGTAAAATATGAAAAAGACCACAAATAATGATTGTTTCGTTACCTTTTCTTCAAGTCTTCTGGTGGGTCCAGTTCGATCGTTACATTATTTTCAAAATTGTAAACATAAATACGGACATCGGGATTTTTGGTACCAGGTTTTGGGTAAGCTATGTCTTGTATTCGACTGTAGGCCGTTGGCGGTTTCCCATATAGAGCAATTTCAAATAATGGAACCTCCGTATCATTAATGCTGGCATAACACAAATGTTTGTCGTCCGGAGAAACCAATAAAGACGGTCGCTGGCTAAGAATTTCCTCTGGATGAAAAAGAAAAAAATCCTTTATAACATTATCCACTGACCAGTATCTTCATCACAAGTTTTTGGTCCTGAAACTTGAGTTTTCATTTACAATACTTTGTCGTCTTAATGTTGAAAAAGTCGTTATATACTTCACACATATCTTCATCAGGAATGACCTGATGTTGAAACTTGAATCCTTAAATACTTCAGTCTAGTGTCTTCATCAGGAGTGATCTCATGTTGAAGCATAAGTATTCATTTCCTCCAGTCTAATGTCTTCATCAGGAGTGATCTGATGTTGAATCTTTAGTTTTATATACTCCAGTCTAGTGTCTTCATCAGGAGTGATCTGATGTTGAATCTTTAGTTCTTATATACTTCAGTCTACTGTCTTCATCAGGAGTGACCTGATGTTGAAACTTGAGTCCTTACATACTCCAGTCTAGTGTCTTCATCAGAAGTGATCTGATATTAAAACTTGAGTTCTTATATACTCCAGTCTACTGTCTTCATCAGGAGTGATCTAATGTTGAAACTTTAGTCCTTATATACTCCAGTCTAGTGTTTTCATCAGGATTCAGGAGTGATTTAATGTTGAAACTTGAGTTCTTGTATACTCCAGTCTAATGTCTTCATCAGAAGTGATCTGATGTTGAAACTTGAATCATTATATACTCCAGTCTAGTGTCTTCATCAGGAGTGATCTGATGTTGAATCTTTAGTTTTTATATACTCCAGTCTAGTGTCTTCATCAGGAGTGATCTGATGTTGAATCTTTAGTTCTTATATACTTCAGTCTAGTGTCTTCATCAGGAGTGACCTGATGTTGAAACTTGAGTCCTTACATACTCCAGTCTAGTGTCTTCATCAGAAGTGATCTGATATTAAAACTTGAGTTCTTATATACTCCAGTCTACTGTCTTCATCAGGAGTGATCTAATGTTGAAACTTTAGTCCTTATATACTCCAGTCTAGTGTTTTCATCAGGATTCAGGAGTGATTTAATGTTGAAACTTGAGTTCTTGTATACTCCAGTCTAATGTCTTCATCAGAAGTGATCTGATGTTGAAACTTGAATCATTATATACTACAGTCTAGTGTCTTCATCAGGAGTGATTTGACGTTGAAACTTGTGTCCTTCACTTCAATGTCTTTTCGAAGGAGTAATTTAAAATTAAAACTTCATTCCTTATCACACTACAATCTATAGTTATCATACACGCAACTATAATGATCAAATGTGGAGAGAGTTGGAGCCTTGTAAAATGTCAATTTTATACAATACTCCTATCAATCCCACTGCATACCTTCGTACACCCAATCAGGCACGCCGTTGAAAAAATATTTGTCCCGTCCCGTTGACGTTACTCGAGCAACTTTCTCAGGTGTTTCAACGGAATGCATCCAATAAACATCATTTTCCGATACAAACACCTGAAAGAAAAAGTAAACAAATCAAATTTTCATCGGGATGTATTTTTACAATAGCGTTCATAAATTATACCTTGTTTACACTACATGTTTGGTTGAATGTTTGTTTTGAAACAACATTTCATAACAAATCATTTGTCAACAAACACACGAGGAAAAACAAAGTGCATTGTTTACAACTTTACATTTGACCAATTGTATATGCTAGGTAAACGTAAATATGAGTTGTACCTGGTCGTCAAACAAAATCCTGAAGTGCTTACCAAACAATTGCTCTTTTTCCCCCATGAAATATACTGGATTTCGGGCATCGCCTGTGACGCAGATATTTTGACTTTTACCGCTTTTCTATAAGTCAGGATTTGTTCACATTAATGCAAACTACTTTGGTCAACTTTATCTAAAGCATCACTTTAAAATGAGCATTATGTTACCCAGTTTCCTTGTTCAAAACAATGTACTTTCCTACCGTCGAGTAGCGATATTTCTATAGAAAAATTACAAAATAATTTTTGCTTTACAGTTAGAAATAACTCTCCCCGACTGACAAAACTCCGAACTCTTCTCTACGATTAATTAGACTTGGATACATGTAAACACTAGTTATAATATAATTACATAATTAAATTCGTCATCTAGTAATGTAACCAGATTCAAGACTGACCTGCCTCTTTTCAACAGGAAAAAACATCCATTTACCGTCAGGAGATAAGGTATTTGATAAAGAAGAATCGACGTTCACACCATTATCAAACTAAAATTAATCACAAAAACCAAACCATTGCTCTTGATCCCATTATTACAGAGTTACGTTCAAAACTTCAAGGTTTCTACGAAGTATGCTACCGAGAGGAAGAACAGAGTCTGTTAACTCTCTTGGGTGATTGAACCCTTTGGTAATGATGAAGATGTTTGATAATTACTGGAAACTGGTTCTTTTAACCATACGCAAAGTGACAAAAGAACAAGTTATTGCTTATGATGACGAGGAGGAGGACGACGATGATAGCTAATGATATTGATGGTGATGATGGTAATGATGGTGATGATGGTGCATGGAGATGATGGTGACGATGATGGCAATGATGGTGATGGAGATGATGGTGATGATGATGGGGGAGATGATGGTGATGATGATGGAGATGATGATGGTGATGATGGTGATGATGGTGATGATGGAGATGATGGTAATGATGATGATGATACAGATGGTGACGATCATGATGGATCTCTGCCATTGATGATGATGTTGTATGAAAGTTGCCAAGCAACAGGCTGTGTGATCCCATTGGCAATGATGATGACGCTGGGTAACAATTGCTTAGCAACAGAGTGTGTAATCCCTTTGCTTCATCCTTATCGTCGTTGATTTAGGAGAACTAGCGTTAGATAACCAAAATTGACTAGTAATGTACTTTAAAACGATTAAAATTTATCTAAGACAATTACGTTCACAACGTATGCTTAACGTTGAAAAAGAACTGGCTTTTTTTAAATCGAAATTATTTTCTAATCAATTAACCTTTCATCTTGTGGTAAGTGAAAGTGTGATAGTGACTAACTCCTGTTGTACCCCCACCCAAGGAAGCCTAAAGTGAAATAATACTCTACAACGGTTAGTCTAGTTTGGAATTTTACTCCATTGCAAAATGATGGGGCATATTAAAGGAGAAAGTCAGTCATTTTGAAAGTAACCAGGAAGGCAAATTCCATTATTTTCTCCAGTGTTGAAGTGAAAAATCAATGGTGTATTTGACAGCAATTTCATAAAAATCACTGGAGATTCTCTTGTGTATGTTAGTATTTTGCGATATTACGAAATACTGAAATATCGAGTTTAACACAAATAACTGTGACACTTTTAAGAAAAAAAAGAATGAAAGTTGAGCGATTACAACCCTGAGACCTCTGATGTTGTCAATTGTAGACTTTTCTCTCTATCAAAATCTGAATAGAGCAATTGTTGAACGTGTAGCAATAAATGTTGTAAATGTATCGTACACTGTAGTTATGACACAAAAAGAGCTTTTAAAGATGAACATGAACTTACCAACATCTTCCCATAAAACAACAGGCTAGATTCCTTCGTTTCAACGTTGTATTGTACAATATTCCCATCTTCGAGTCGCAGAACAGAATCATCTGCAACAAGGGAGAAATTTATAGTAAATAAGTTAAAAATAATCAAAGATTAGGAAAAACAGTTCACACTTGATTTGTAACGAGTTTAAGAGAACTTGATGCAGTAAAAAATGGAAAGTCTTGTTTCGCTACTAATCATAAGTCGTCGTTTTCTTTGTGAAATCTCAAACTAGTAAAGCAACTGCCATTTAGAAAAAAAGTTCTTTATCATCAAACGTTCATTAAATAGTACAGGCCTTTGAGCGAATTTCTTGCAGTTAGTTACAGGCTTAACCTTACAGGCCCATCAACAAAACGATCGAAACAATTAAATTACAAACCAGAAGACCAAACTTCGTTTGGCATGTAGGGAGAGAAATCGCCATTGAATATATCTTCAAATTGAAAACGTTTTCATCGCTTCTTTTCTTGACGCCATTCGAGTCTTTCCGCGAATCTACATAACACCCCAAATGATGTGAATGAAAAAGACTTTGATTGCCCAGTCGCTGGCACAACAGTAGCCGAAGATAATGAAAAAGCTTTCATATGTAGGAGAGAGGTTTATGTTCTTAAACTCAAGTGGGGAGGCAAGTGTTCAAAGATTAATTGAGTAGAAGCTTATACTAATTCACTATAAGGATGGGAGATGGTGCTTTCTCTATTTCTTATTGTTGTTTTGTGGTGGCTTGCCATAAATTCGTTAAAGACCTGCTTTTTTGATTTCTTTATTCATCTTACGCCATGAACAGCGTTGAAAGACACCGAAATATAGACAAAATTAATGCGATGACATTTGACAATCAATTAACAGGAATAGAAAATTCACAAGGCACATATAACAAGGAAGAAATTTGACCTAATCGGGTTAGCCGTGTCACAAAACAGTTAGCATGAGATTTTACGATAACGCATATTGTTCGATATTTTGTGATTACGTGTCTGTATGTATGCAAATTCTGCTACTATTTATCAGTTTGAGACAGTCGTAGTAATACATCGTTAAATATCTAACTATGTCTTTGTTTATGCGAAAGAAAAAGTGAAGGAAAAATATTACCAGCCGATGAAAGCTAAACATGATCACTTGGTATTTTTTCGCCTTGTTACAAATTGCCCTTGTCAATGGATTGAAATATCATAAGGGAAATGGGCAAAATGCAATGTTTTATACGAGGCACAAGTTTCAATACAACACTGTACGAAATAATAATAAGATTTAATGTTTGATCCAAAGAAATGGCAAAGAATCGCATTAATGATGGCCAGCTTTTACAGTCACAATTCGATTTATAAGAATGCATCTCACGATTAACATCTCTTAGAAATCGTATTGAAAGTTTATTTTGATAAAGGAAGGTACTAATTTAGATCATTTTCAAATAATTCAATCTCCAATTATTTACATTTTATTGATCAGGTCGTCAAACAGAAGGTGGCATAATTGTTTGAGAGAAAAATAACAAGCTGAAACGACGAACTACAACAGAAACATACCGTTTTTAACGACGAGAACGACAGAGACTACAACGACGAGCGTAACTACACCACAAATTGCAAGGAAGGTAAAGAGTGCCCTTCGGTTGATTCCGAATGATCGCGATCGATTCTCTTCCAAATTCGTATCGAATATATTAAGGGGTTTATATTCATTTTTAGCCATTACCGAAGAGCTGTTCTCTGTATGACAATCGGAGCTGTCGGCTGGAACTCTTCCGTCTTCTAATTTAATAGCACTTATATTATTCATGACGTTTATCGCAATGTACATGCGTATTTACATATAGGTATTTATTCTACAAAGCCTCTTGATAAAATATCTCCATTGAACGGAAACACATTTGTTCCACATTGCGTCACAACTGTTATCTTTTACCGATTGCAGTTTGAGCCAATGTGTGTTCTGTCGCAGACATTCTCTTCTTGAAACCAAAATCAGATAAAAAGATCTAGGTGGCGTGGGGTGCAGGTCATTCGTGAACCGTGAAACATTTACAATATTGAGACAATACTATTTTTAATTGACTTCCGATGGCATGATAAAATAGCAGAGTGGTAAAGTCGTTACCTGGTAATGCAAGCGAATTGTGTTCCTATTGTTCTGTTCACAGGCTGAATTTGTGGGTGATTTGTTCGCTTGAAGAACGGCGACCACGCAACAAGACTAGACGATATGAGGTCAAATGACGATTAATTTTTTACTGAGATTTAAGAGGATATACAGCACTAATACCTGAAAATTGTTTAATTGCATTAGAGTAATCACGTTTCGTAAAAATAGAATCTCATCAGTAAGAGCACTTGGATAATCCATCAAACTAAACCAATGACTTCCATTTCAGGAAGTTTAAGGATCGTGACTAAAGGTCAAGGGGAACAACGCACAAATCTGAGGCGTTATGCCGTCTGCAGAAGTTGCATAAGTTTAGAACAAGGACATGTACTGATCAGCATGTTATTAGTAAACTATGTTTCTAGGAAGAACATTAAAACTACTTTTTACTCCACAAAATACGTAACCAAATGCAGATTTATTTTAGTCAGCTTCAGGAGTAGCTGGTTCAATGAACTCAAATCTTCATTCTTAATCGATCTCATCTGCAGTCTGTACTTAACCAACAACTCATTAAAGTATGCAAAAGTATGACTACGTGCTTCAAGACTGAAAGTTCAGTCTACATACAATTTAGTTCATTTACATGTGTACAACTCGCGCGTTTGTATGCAATTTTCGCATTCGATACGACAGCACCATTGAAATCTACAATTACATTTGACCGTCTCAGTGATAATTTCAACATTATACCCCCGTCCACAGCAGAGTATCCGACAACTGTCGAATCCTGTCGACGTTATATTGCATACCCGACCAAAAGTACCAATGGTGCCCAGTCTCCAGTTGGAGTCACAAAAGTTCGGGGAAAGTTGATAGTATATAAGATCCGAGGGTCTTGGTCCACGCGAGTTCTTCTTCTTCACTCGCAGCACGCGTGGACCAAGTTTGGTTTTGACCATTTCGACAGCTGAGACGTACTTTGTTAGTAGACGTTTTCCAATGATGCCAAAATCCTTTGGTTGTTGCATCCAGCAAGTTTTTAAATCGCAAGAACCAGAAACTCCATGACATTTACATTTACGATACAAAAGACTGGAAAGAATCTAAAATGCACAGTTTCAAATAAATGGAAAATCGTGCAGCAAAGACAAACAAAATGATTATGGAAAACATCCTCGGGACTTCAATAGGTCACTAGGTAAAATCTTCGTTAAATACACCCCCCCCGACCATCAGATTTCATTATACGTAGTCAAATATTTATAGATGTTAATCGTTCTGGTTAATACCAGACAACAAACACACAGAAGGGGACGTCTACTCCTCACTTGACTCTGAAGATGACTGCCGCTAAAAGATCATCTGTTACACCAACACCAACAATCAATCTTAGGACTCCGCTAACCAGGAAGGTCTATATATACAAACATGCAACGATGGTATTATAGAAAATTTGCTAATTATACAGTTCAAAAGACCTTCATTACAGCATAACATGCAAGACAACAAATGCTCCTGAATTTTTCACCAGAAATATCACAGCAAGGAATGACAAACACAGCAATACCTTTATTCCAGCTCGAATATTATGCCTGTTCATTTTCTTCCGTTCAGCCTTGCCTTTTATTGAATCGCGAGTGTTTGAAAATTCCTTCGTAAGCTTGCCAGCAAATTTCACGTTGCTATGACATCCACGCCATTCCCATTGCCCAGACGGCTGCCTTGTGAGGGATCTGCCACAACCGCAACTTGCGTGGAGCCCCGAACTACATGCCGTAGTGATAGAGTGGGCTACAGCCGCTGACGTGATAGCAAAGAGGAACGCCGACTCACGACAACCTATGCATTAAAAAGTATTGGAGATAGTTTGACAGAAAGTTCATTAACGTTGAGTTAATGAAATATTTCCTGTATCACAGCTTAGGTCTATCTTGCTTCTAATGATGAACGCATTTTGGGAGGGGTATGGAAGGGTGTGCATCTCTCCTAGCCTTGAATGTATGGTGTGCGCGTGGGTTGCCAATTTCTCTATAAAATACTAACATACCAAAGAACTAAGCAAAAGAAATTTGGAGTACATTTTCAAAATCTGCAAAGTTGCAATTATAATAAAAAAGGTTAGAGACTTGAACAAAAGAGTCTGACATGATACCGCAAAAGGAAGCCACCAAATACAATTTATACAAGAGAAACTAAACATTAAAAACTATCGTGGTTCCATCCCCTGTTTTTAACAGAATAATACGTGCTTTTTTGATCGTGCAAAAAATATGTTAACACAGAAAGAATTCTTCACGTATCGCAGATGACATTTTGGCCGTTAATCATAATATCATCTATCTCCCATCGTACCTACTGGTAAAATCGGTCCAAAGAGCGTTCCATGATCCGGAACGTTGCTGCAATTCCATCGATTACCGCTGAGTTGCACGCCACATTCTTTTACTCCTGTTTTTGCACCGCGAATAATTGAATCCATGAGATCGGGATATTTGATACACAGAGAATTTTGTTTCTTGTTGAAGTTCGCGTAAGAACTGCAAGCTTTTTATCTTGATCAGTTTTTCCCGAAAGGTTGTTCCTCGAATTGCTTAATAAGAACAAAGAAACTAATGTGGTTGTTATCGGGTGGTAATACAAGAGTTTAAAATGAAAAATGAAACGCAAGACACGTCATGTAGAATGCTATAGAAGGCAACTCAGAAGGTAGTTTTATCGCAACGCGAGTAAGGTCGTGTAGGGGGTGGGTTGTGTTAGTCGAAGAAGGAGACGAACACTCTTGAAAACAAAGCATGGCAAAATTGTTGAAGCGCTTTATGGAGGATTCACCATACCGAACAGCATGAATGATGGATGTAAGCGGATTCTTTAAACGCCAAGTAAAACTGGAGCCAATAGTGGATTGGTTTCTTTTCGCTCAAGCGCCACTTCAAATAAAATGCAAAATCCACTACATTCCTGTCGGATTGAGAAATCGCTACACGGAAAGCTTAGTCCGGTTGTAATGAAAATGTAATTCCCTATGCCTAGAAGCAAGAGCTGCAATTATTTATATAAAAACGAACCCTCGTCCCTCATATATGAATTATTGTATTATAAAAATATTTAAAACACAAGCAAAGAATTATTTGATGAGATAAGACGAATAACAACAAACAAAACAACTAATCCGTCCAAACAAGTTAAACTAATAATGGCATATCACATACAAAGGCTCTAAACTTCGGAAATCTTTGAACAAACGAAGCACCGCATTACCGACGACGACTTGGCTCTTACCGAACTTGAGCGACAAATTACTAATCAACAACGACATTTACTTTTTTTACTGACGCCTAGCATCAAGGAGGAATAGGAAACTACTTTCTTCCTTTGAGGAAACTCTCGTTTTCCACTGCACTTGCGAAAGGTTTATCCATGAGCAAAACAAGTTTGTCCCCTCATCAATACTCTCTCATAAGAAATCGCACGATAAAGAAGTTTCCGGCAAAAAATTGGATATCAATGGTCATATAAACCAATTTACAATATAACTGGTTGATGGCAATCAAATCACAATCGTGCACTTCTCCATCCATAAAAATATTTGCATGCAATTATTAAAGTAACATACCGTTTATTTGACTAAAAATTATGACATCCTGCACGGTAGATGAGCATGAAAACGATAGTTAACCGTTGTACAATCATCATCTTGAAATACCGAGCTTTTCCCTAGCGCAACTTCTCCGAAGAAATTCTTTTTGCATTCAGATCTTGTCCTCAGTCGACATCAGTCGAAATAAGATACACACCGTCACAAAAGCTCTAGAAAAGGAAGGTTTCACATATAAAAAAAGGAAACAAGAAAATATTTGACACGATTGATATTAAATACATCAGGTGGACAATATTGCTTACCGCCTTAATCACAAGGTGAATTTACAGAAAGACAATGATGGCCGCACCAAAAATAGATGATTTCACCGCCAGACACCTTCAAATTTCAATTCAAGCTGTTGTATGATTCGACTATTGTAAAATTAAACTGTACTATAATAAAAAGCAATCAACCTTAAATATTTGCGATAGATGCGCAAGTTTTTATGACTGAAACGCCTAGAATAAAACGAGCGAGAAATGGCTAATTAACATCGCGAAGTAAGGTGTGAGCCGACATCGGAATGAGAAAAGAGAGCGATGCTTACGTGTAACTTGAATTAAATGGTAATTTCATTATCCTTATGAGATCCGACAATGTAAACAAATACAACAGTAGTTAAATTGGAAACGTGAACTTTGTAGATATATCTACTAAAGAAAGCAGACGCATTTTAAATAAGGAATGGCATTGATCATTTCGAAGATGCCTAAAAACAGCAAAGCTCTTTCCTGCAGGAAACTTTCGGCCATCGAGTCACAATAAATTCTAATGAGGTTTTAAAATGAAGACACTCCAAGGGATGTTCATCACCCGCCGATTTTCTTACTTTTATAATATCTGACAATTTCGAAACGCAGTTCGCCAATTAAACTCACCTATAAAGTTCAAGCACATTGCAAGTTGTATATGTTAAATCATCGGGGATTGATAAAAGGGTGAACAGGCAACTTGTTCAAAAGAGTCATAGTTCCAAAGAAGTCAAAGAACGAAATTTGAAGAAGGCAAAGCCACTGAAAAATATGTATAAGCATTGCCAACAGTTTCATGAAAGATTATCGACCGTTGCTCATAGTTTAGTGAGTAATACACGTGTTGGATGCTGTCAAAAATAATATCTTTTACATATGTTTGGTCAAGAGTGTTTTATGCGATTAGGCTATCACATTAGGACGATTAAAAGTTATTGAACTATTTTCAGTTGAATTCGCAGAGAATAAAATTTGTTGACAAAGATTAAAAGTGCAAATACATGGATACTTACTCGATGTAGAGGCGTTTGAACTATCTTTCTGAAATATCTTTTCTTGTATTCGTCACTGGTGTTACTTTTGGTGATCGTGCCTAAAGGAAGATGCATCCATTAAAAAACTTCATTTAGATCACAGGGAAAGGAATTGCAATTAACGATTTCAAAACCTTAAGCAAGCGGGTCCTTTACTGAAGCCAATTAACCATAAATCATCTCAAAAGGAAGATGATTAACTACCTCTTCGCGGTCGGCCTGTATGTAAAACAACAAACAAACTTGATCTATCAATAATTGTTAAAAACAATGTGCTGTGAGGCATTCTTAAAGTAATCATTTTTCACCGTCTTTTTTCTCATAAGTCATGCAACCATTGCTGTGTAAAATAAAAGGTTAACTATTGATTAATTATATGAACGGCATTTCTTGTTGAAACCGTTCATCCCCATTGGCAAAAGTCGCCTTGTAAAAAGATTAACTCCTGTTCAAGCTGTGTTTAAACGAGACGAGTACTTTACCATATGTGAGAAGACTTCGTCAGACGTCAATTAACAACGCAACACTCACCAATTGTGTCCTTTCCCAAAGATAGAATGAAAGATTTAAATTTCAACCATGGTCTTCAATGGCACGTTATGTAACAGAGTCAATGCATAAGGATTGCTAGAAAAGATGTTCTATGACAAACAATGTTTGGATAAATCTCTGTAAATGTTCGTTGAGAGTAGGTAAGAGTAATTTAGACAAGAAAAGGTTTGAGACTTTTAGTCTACATCAACAACTCCGATATTTTCTTATAATGCAGACACTTTGTAAAATCATTTCAACCACAAACAGTCAGAATCAAATTCATAGTATACAAATGACAAAAACCTAAAATTAACAGAAGGATTCTGATAATTTTATAAATATTTATAAAAGTTCCTAAGGTAAGTACAATAAGATAAAAAGAAACCGTAATATTTTCATCGCACAATTCACTCAATTTTCTTTCTTTCTCTCGTCGGTCTTATTTCTCTTCTGCTCCCGTTTCAACTTAGCTTTAGCTGTTTCCAAACAGGTTTCAAGCCCAAATGCTTTGATAATATTTTCCTTTAAGGATAAAGCAGTTTTGTTGTCGTTTATGAAAACAATAAACATGCAATTTGCGCCGCTTAAAACTGAAAAAGTTAAACTTTCATGATTTTTCAGCGCTATCATTTGTTTCAATTCAACTGTTTCAAGTTGCATTGAAAACACTACAAACCTTTGTAAAGCCAAAAAGTTTGACTTTTCCATCAGGACCTACAGATTTCGTAGGGCGCCTTTTAATTTCTTTTCCATCCTGAAACAAAATCAGTGTAGGCAATTGTTTCGATGAGACGGAGTCGTCTATATTGTATCTGAAACAAAAAAAATAATCGTGAACAATGTCATGGAAAACTCAAATCAAAATTTCAACACAATAACCATATGCTTTGTTTCAGATTGTTCAATATACAGGAACCGAATGTTCATCTAAAAGCTTACTTTCGCGCAATCATCGGGTATCTACCAAGATCAATTTTCCCGAATCTCAAATACTCATGATCAAATCTATAAAAAGAACACTTCGTTTACTCCAAAGAAAGGATTTCGCGTTGCAAAAAAAAACAAACTTGAAACAACTATAAAAAGAAGTAATTTGGAAGTAGGATAGTATCAAGGTTTTCTTTCCACCTCAAGCGCAGGTAAAGTGCATGGGGAATCCTTCGTACAAGTACGCTATATGCTACAGAGAAACAGCGTCTAACAACTTCGGTATTTTATCCCAAAATATTGGAATTTCTGAAAGCTGTTGGAAATTGGAATATGTATTTTAAAGAATAATTCCGTGAGAAAAATTTTAAAGAATAATTTTTATTTTTGAGTTAAGGTTTCTGGAATAACTTTTTGTGAAAATTGATTGACAAATAAACGACTTTACAGCCTGTTATGTAAAAGTAAAACACAAAATCAAAACCATTTGGCTCAAAGGCATAACTGGTAGGGCGACGATGCTTATAGAAAGGACAGAATTTTGATGTATAAAATCACAATCCATGTATAGTAGCTTTTAGTAGGCAGTGACCCCACTCCTCTCTCTTAGGGAGTCTGGGAATGAAAATGGAAAAATGTGGATTTTGGAATATCAGGATATTTGGGAGCTAACTCAGGATTTTTAAAAAATTACAGTTGGCAATACTGTAGAGAACTCGTGCAAAAGTACACTTGTCTGTGTGAGAGCTTACATACAATTTTATAAGAGAATATTGTCCAATTTACTGGATAAAATTTGGTTATGATTGTAGAGGTGAAAATTTGAATAAAAGGATGCTTACTTTAATGAAACTTCTGCAAAAGGTTCCGATATTCTCTTGCAAGGTGGTGACCACATGGTGTAAAATTCAACAAGATACGTCACTTGATCATTCTCTTGCAGTTCTTCCTACATCTCGAATAAAAAGATTTGATGAATTGAAAAAAACCAAAAGGTGCTGCAATACATAGCCTTTTTTCAAAAATGAAGAAAAAATCTCATTTGATATTTATTTGAACTTGTATGAATATCGAATATAATAAGATAAGATTTAGTGTGATAGAGAATTTGAGCACCTCAAGAGAAGCAGCACTGAAGAGTTGAACAGAATCTGGACCGGAGTATATCGATTCAGGAACAGCAACAAATAACACTAAGATGACAGAATTATTTTGAAAGTTTGTATCAATAACAAAAATAATCATTATGTTCTTGGTTTATAGCATACATCACCATTATAAGTTTAAAACCCTTTTCAAGAAATTTACAAAATGCAACAAAGATGTAATAGCTCTTAGTAAACAAGTTTTGGAGCTCACCAATACAAAAAACTCCGTAGAAGACAAACAACGGAAAATTTGATCTTAGAAACAGGATAAGGTTTACAGCTTTGAAAAATCCAGTTGCCATACCAAAAACCTCCCTGTTGGCATCTAAAAACGACACTCAATCATTATAATTACAATATCATCATATCAAATCTTTGAATAACGTTAAAACCTCTATATACACACCTCTCTTCCATTTAGAATTTTTAAACGCCATGACAACTCCGACAAAGACTAATGTTTCGCAATCCGACTAAAATGAAACGCAGCAAAAGTCTCGCACATATAAAGAGTCTTGTTGAAAAGCCACAGAATGTTCATGTCGACTAACCATACTCAGTTGACATGATTCTTCTCCCATAAACAACCAGTTACAGAAAGGATGAACAGTTTTCAAAACAATGTAAGCGATGGATGCAAGCGTATTCAAGACATAGTAACTGGTAAAATACGGTAATAAAGGTCCAAAAAAGCTCATCGTCCAACAGTTTCTGAACAAATTGAAGCAGATTAATCTAACAAAATTGCACAATCAGTACTCGTCCATATTGGTTATGGCCAATGGTTTTATAACATGAAGTATCCCTACTTCTAAAATTAGTTTTCTGTGGGCTCAGAACATAATAAGAACGATTTTGTAATTTCAAACTTTCAAACGGGAATCTTCAATTTTCTCTTCTTCCTTTCATTCCATAGTTTGGTACTCACCAAACGATATCTCTGAACCAAATAATTGCGGGGTTTTCATTCTGCAAGCTTTGTTTGTTTGTAAACAAAAGTACAGAAGTGATATTCTAATTTTCGTAATTGACCAATCAGAGAGCCGTATCCATAACAAAAAAATTAAAGAGACACGCAGTTGTAACATTTTAACTTCAGTCATAACAGCAACTGTGTTTACCAAATGATGTGTACTGTTCAAAATTATGCATAACAACGCAAATACCCGGAAAAGTCTTATCCTAGCCAAATGCAAGTCGAAAGATTCGTCAGAAAGCTGTGCAAAGAAAACAACGAATATTCCAATGCAAGGGGATTTCTTGAACATTTTGCCGAGCGAGATCTGCTTGCACATACTTATTCATTTGGATGTTGCAAGTTTATGTCGAGCGCAACAAGTTTGCGTACGATGGTATCAATACATCTCTGCTTGCTCATCGATCTGGAAACATCATTTTACAATTTATGAAGATATAATGCCATCATTTACGGAACATAAACTCCTAAATTCGCCAATTATTTGGAAAGCAAAATTAGAAAAACTGTTTCGCACAGACAGCGTCACTCGAAGATGGTTAGCCGGGGAATTTAGCTGGCCAAAATCCTACGATTCATTGCCAGGAGATCACATTCAAGAGCTACCTGTCGAAGTGTGGGGCACCATTTTAGAAAGCGAGTTGACAAGGAAGTCACAAGCATTACATAATCGGACACAGTAATGAAATATATATATTTAAATTAATGAGCTTTAGAAGCATAATGAACATATGAACTTTGCTTGCACTTAGAATGGAATAAGAGTTGATGTGAAACATCAACTCTTATGTATTTTTAAAATAGTGTAACATTTGGAATGTTAAAATGTTTTAAATGAAACCTTGAAGTCCTTAAGTATGTGTGTACGTTATATTATATAAACGTACATATGTTATAAATGTACGAAAGTATAGATAAATATGTACAGAATTCCCTTTTATATACAGTGTCAAGTACATCATTTCTTACCAAAAAACATATTTGCCACTGCATTTTTGTCAAGGCTCCTCAGCGCATTCTCTAAAACTTCACAATTGAACTCACTTGACTCTGAATCTTGCCACCTTTTGAATATTTGGAAACATTTTTCACTAGAGGTTCTGTAGTTAACATGATCACTACTAATTTCCTCAATTTCGTCTGAGTCAACTTTAAGTCTGCGACCAAGGTGTTTGTAAAATGACTGACATTTTTTAGACAGTTTGTCTAGAAAGATGTCGTCAAGAACAGGAAGGTGTTTATTAGCATCATCAAACCCATTAACACATTTCTTTTTAACAGAGTTTTCTGAAAAATGTCGATTGAAATTTCTGAATTAATGACATTGTGTTAGAGACAAAAACACAAATGATTGAATCAATCATTTACCGTCAATCTCACATGGACTTCTACTTCTCTTGGGGTGATTATCTGTGAAATTTGAAACACATTACTTTCAAGATCTTTCAATTAAGCCAAGGAAATTGTTTCAAACAAAATCATGCTTTTCAACTTTCTTACAACTTAAGATAACATTATTAGGATGCATGTTCTTAAGGTCAAGATACAAAGGAAGTTTACATTGAAAGTCCCATCTTTGACAGCCCAAGTGAGAAATATAGTAAATAATTACCGTAGTTCCATCCATTACATAAATCATTTATAATTGCATCAAATAACGTCCCTTTGTTATAACCATGTTGTTGATTGCCCAAAAGGTGAATAGCTAACAGCTGCAGTTTCCATAGCACAGGTGACCCAGATGATCCACAATTTGTATCTGCGACATAATATACAAAGGGCGGGTCAATACGGATAATCTTCTCGTGGCTAAATTGTTTTGGCATTCCCCGAGGATGTTGAAATATAAATACTTGATCATCAATGTTTGCTGGAAGTTGCTCAACGTATTCAATGGGAGCAATCGAAGATGACAGTGCAGCAAGTTCATTTTCATCAATGCCAATAACTGAGTAATCAAGATACTAAAAATTATCCATTAAAGAACATTAGTTGGTACATCTATTGTTAGATACTTATGCCACAGGTAGATATAGATACTTATGCTTATTCTATCAAGGTGGTAAGACAGAACCATCCCATTTGCAAATTTTAAGAAACTAGTCACTTTGGTATTGTCATATCAACACTTGCCATCTCATGGGGTTTGCTGACATACAAACCTGGTTTGTACGAAAAATTTTGTCTGGTCGCAATTGAACTGGACAACCTTTGTTCTCTCTTTCATAGTGAAAAATTGCGATGGAGCTTTTCGCATCTTTTTCACAGCTCACAACGTGGTGATTTGTGATAACACATTTGTATGCAGTGTTGAATATTTTAGCTTTGACATAAAATCCAGAGCCTTTTCTATAGATTAAAAAAAAACAGAAGGAAAACACAATACATTTATGCTTTGAACATAACGAATTTAATGAAGCTGAAAAATCTTTACGAACTTACCTCAAAATCTTTTTGCCTGTTTGAAGACATCTCGTTTCGCAGTGTATCATACAAACAGCATTTTTACATTTTGTCAAATTTTCAACGCGCATCAAACCATCTCCTTGGCCGAGAAAAACTTCATTTGCCTCGCAACTCTTCTCCAATTCATTCATTTTCAGATATACGTCGAAATAATGACTCGATGACGAATAAATTCAATAGCCTCAAACCATGCTGCTTTAATTATGTTTTATTCTCTCGAGAAATTCACGCGTCGCGGTTTATCGAATTTCTGCCTACTCGCGGGCTTCCCACCTTGATAACGTGAAAGAAGAATGGCACTAGCAAGTATCCTCCACTTCGTTCGACACACGTCACACATCAACATTGGAAGATAGACTTTGTTTTCATATTTGCATTGTGAAAAGCTTGAATTTTCTTGGAAATGGGAGCATCTTCATCATCTGAGGAGATACCCGGCGGTGGAACTGAAGGATATCACGTACTGAGAGTAAGGGAAATGTTTGTGCACTTGGCATTTACATATATATTTGTTGTGCCTTCTGACATTCATAAGTACATCGTCATTTTAATGAGCTCTTTGTTTCTAGGTTCAAGAAAATTCTCCTGGATACAAAGCTGGTTTGGAACCCTACTTTGACTTTATTGTAGCCATCGAAAACACAAGATTGGTAAGATGCACCGACTGCAAATACGTAAACCAAAGTTTGCAATTTGCATCAGTACTATGTTGCATAATTTTGATTTTGCTCGTTGTGAAAGCTGAGATTGTATCTACTGAGACCTAACCATCAATGAACGAGAGTAGCATAGATTATATTTTGATTGTACTTGTATGCTAGAATCAAGACAATGACAGTTTGAAAGAAATCCTCAAAGCAAATGCAGAAAAACCAGTGAAGATGATCATCTATAGCAGCAAGACATGCAAAGTGAGAGGCAAGTACATAACATAATAGTAAATTTGTACTGTTTAGAACGGTTTAAATCGAATGGCTGTAATCAGTGTAGCAACCCTTACAATTTTTTCATTTTGTGTGAGATTTGAAGTGTATTAATTCAAATTTATGTTCGTAACAGAAGCAAGTATAACGCCAAGTAATTTATGGGGCGGACAAGGTTTACTTGGTGTAAGCATTCGATTTTGTTCCTTCGAAGGAGCAAATGAAAATATTTGGCATGTTCTGGTAAGAAGTTGAATAAAAATGGTGAAGTATTCGAACAATTGCCTCTAAGACACCAGTTTGTTGTTAGGAAATCCAAGCAAACTCACCTGCGGACATTGCAGGATTTAGACCATTTACAGATTACATTATTGGTGCTGATTCAATCCTTCATGAGGTAATTTATGTTAATTTATGTCAATTTATGTCACTGCATACTACAAGTGCATGCATTATTTTGTTAGCTTAAAGTATAATGCAATTATTATGAATTCAATTAAAGACAGAAGATCTGTTTGCATTGATCGAGAATTTTGAGGGAAAGCCATTGAAACTTTACGTGTACAACTCGGAAACTGATGGTTGTCGTGAGGTATTTGACTTCTACAGAAAACCAATTCAAAGTGATGAAATGATATCATCAACCATATACTCACATGAAACAACATTTCTCAGGTCACCATAACTCCCAATAAATCATGGGGTGGAGAAGGTACTTTGGGTTGTGGTATTGGCTTTGGATACCTCCACAGAATCCCGCTAAGGGATGAAGCTCACAGACCAAAACAAGTTCGTCAAATAAATCCCTCTTCTGATGGATTTTCGGAGGTATGATGGTCTTGATCCTTTATGCCAACAAAAACTTTACATTCTACAAATATTTGGCATGTATTACAGGTTCCTTTGTTGGCATCAACAACACCACCAACTCAGACCAATGGTATGAAAAAACTTATTTGAGACACCTGTGATGTGTTTGCAACATTGTATACATTTGCTGTGTCTTCACAGGTCTTGATATTAATATGGCAAATTTGAAAATTTCTGACACCAGCACAGCATCCAAGGAAGGTACCATTAGCCAGGCTAACCCGTTAGCTGCACCAGCATTGCAGCCTGGGCAAATACCAAGTCAAGCCAATCCTTTAATAACTGGGATGCCAACGACATTGATGTCGCCAGGATCATCGTCTCATGAACACCAGCATCATTCGGGCCATTCTCATGAACACCAGCATCATTCGGGCCATTCTCATTCACATTCTCATTCGCATTCACATACACAGTAAGTTTAACAAAAATATACAGTACAAGAATATGTATTGGCAAATGCATGCACACCAACATTATTATTTTCTTATTAGTGATACAACACAGATAGTGAATGCAGCCGTTGACCAATCAAACCCAGTCCTTGGAAATACTTCTTCTGCACCTGCTGTCATTCTGAACGCATCTTACAACCCAACAGATCCACCGTCCCTTGTGGCAGGTACATCTACTGTCACTGTTAACCCCTCTCCGTTACTGTCAAATATCACGACAGATGCAACACCTGTTACATCTGCAAGTTTACCCACCACCTTAACAACTGCTGGCATAAATACACCAGCAAATATTGAAATTCCATTAAGTACGAGTTGATTACAACTCTATATCAAAGTGACAATAAAAATAGTTATATATTATTGTATACTGACATGTTCACTCATGTAACTTTGAAGAAAAATAAAAGAAGTCATTTCATTTGTAGCGCAACATGCTTTAGAGCTCCGCAACATGCTTTAGAGCTCCGCAACATGCTTTAGAGCTCCGCAACATGCTTTAGAGCTCCGCAACATGCTTTAGAGCTCCGCAACATGCTTTAGAGCTCCGCAACATGCTTTAGAGCTCCGCAACATGCTTTAGAGCTCTGCAACATGCTTTAGAGCTCCAAACATGCTTTAGAGCTCTGCAACATGAGCTTGCTTTAGAGCTCAAACATGCTTTAGAGCTCTGCAACATGCTTTAGAGCTCCGCAACATGCTTTAGAGCTCCGCAACATGCTTTAGAGCTCCGCAACATGCTTTAGAGCTCCGCAACATGCTTTAGAGCTCCGCAACATGCTTTAGAGCTTTGCAAAATGCTTTAGAGCTCCGCAACATGCTTTAGAGCTTTGCAACATGCTTTAGAGCTCCGCAACATGCTTTAGAGCTCCGCAACATGCTTTAGAGCTCCGCAACATGCTTTAGAGCTCTGCAACATGCTTTAGAGCTCCGCAACATGCTTTAGAGCTCCGCAACATGCTTTAGAGCTCCGCAACATGCTTTAGAGCTACGCAACATGCTTTAGAGCTCCGCAACATGCTTTAGAGCTCCGCAAATTCTTGAGAAAAATAGTGTTTGCTATTTTGTTTACATTCGATTTGCATTAGGCTGAATGTGATTATGATTACTACATAAAATTGTCCAAACTTTTTACACTTCCCATTAATTCTATGAAGTTCATAGTTAAGTTATTTAAAGTAAATGGTTTGAACCCAGGATGTTGTGTGTCGACTGACGTTTCAACAACCTTAGAGGTAGTCATCTTCAGAGTCAAGTGATGAGTGAACGTAAAGTTGAGGTTGGTTTGCGGCAGACGTTGCTCCTTAACGAGCTGTTTGCTTTGTTGTCCAAATGACAGTAGTTTACGTTAACACGTCAATAGAGTCTGAAGATGATCAACACTAAGGTTGTCGAAACGACAGTCGACCACAAACACCAACACTCCTTGCCAGAACTCCATTAACTTGGACGATCTACATCTACAAACATGCATGCTGTCATATATACAAGTTTAACAACAAAGCTTCATGTCATATCAAGGTATATGATATATATATATATTTATATTTGTAAACACACTTTTGAAATTTTATGCAAACTATACGTCACATCTTGTAGAAAAATATTAGGAAAATGAGGTTGATGATTGCTCAAGTTTGATTTGCCATTAACAAGAGGTTAAGGTATGCATTGAAAATATATACAAACATTTAAATGATAGTGTTGAACGTCTACAAAACTGTACATATATATGGACTTAAATTGATTTACAGTGATTTCTATGGGTACAAAATAGGTAATTAATAATTTGATAAGGGCATGTACATACTAATAGTAAATAAGTACGATGTATGGAATGCATTCAACGGAGAATGATTGTCGGACGGATACAACTAGGAATAAACATGACTTGCCTGCAAGATCAGAAAACCTGCCAATCCCTTCAGTTCCTCGTTTATTCACACAATGTATTCCTGTCTCAACCATTAGGACATGCTTGGCCAGTGCACTCTTCGTACAAAATGTATCCACAATGATTCTCGCATTAGATAGGAACATGAATCATATTGTACTCGTCAAGATCATCTTCGTAAAGTACAGACTCTTCATTATCAAGCTGTAATGAAAATACGACACATCAGCAAAGACAACTATGATGACGTAATTTATCGCGTGACGTGACCAACTACAATTCCTTGTTGGTAAATACAAACCTCGCTCAATTCTTTCTCATTGAACATTTTGACAAGCTGATTTCGGATGGGCACCAAGCAAATAACGAGAAACGGAAACACGGGCGCAATGTCCGTCATTTTCGTCGCAATCAGAACCATCAGCAGTATGAGCTGAATAATTGTAAACAGATGAATCTTTCTCCCTTTCACCTAAACGACAAAGTGAATGAAGTGAACGGTTTAAAACCAGCAGGAGTATCGTTACGCGTTTGTAGATGCAGATCGTCCAGGTTAGTGGACCACTGACGACTACACGAACATGGACGATAACATTTTACAAACATAGAATAAATTCAACTACTCTGTAGCAGTGTAACTACAATGTTATCATCAACAGTACAATGTTATCATCACCAGTACGATGTTATCATCACCAGTACAATGTTATCATCACCAGTACAATGTTATCATCACCAGTACAATGTTATCATCACCAGTACAATGTTATCATCACCAGTACAATGTTATCATTACCAGTACAATGTTATCATCACCAGTACAATGTTATCATTACCAGTACAATGTTATCATTACCAGTACAATGTTATCATCACCAGTACAATGTTATCATCACCAGGTCAAAACTGATATCTTTGCGTTGTCATTTCTTGTTTTAAAATTGAAACGAAATAAGGACTGTTTACAATCTAATTTCCCTGCACGTCAATGTCGTTCGCGTACAACTAGTTCTTCAAATCTTCCTCAATACTGGAGGACTGATTTTCTTAGAATGAATTTAATGGAGAAGAAATAGAGGGGTCAGCAATACAGCATTTTAAAAATTGAGGTAAAGTCTAAGTTACAAAATTATACATCTTTATTGAAAACCAAATAAAAAAACAAGGCGAAGAACATTTCATTTTGACCACATTTGACGATAGGTATTCTAGTTCTATTAATTCACAAAGAGGACTTTCTAGCTTGAAAATAAATTGGATTTTTTAATGATCCGGCAAAAATAGCCCTAAGAACAGCTTTCAAGCCTTGTAAACGGCAAGAAAAATGTGCCCCTGCTCTGTTCTGTAACTATCTCAAGAAGAGTTTCGCTAACACATTACCTTTCGTACAAAACTGAAATCCGGATAATGTTTTGGTGGCATGAAAAGCATTATAGATCGAATGACCAACTGATTTCCAGACAACGACATTGTTCCAAGATAGACAAATACTCCAAATAACACGGCGATTGGAATGGCTTGAAGAGCAGGAGCAAGAAGGACGGAGAATCCTTCGCGAAAATAGACATAAAAACAAATCTTAATTGTTGAAGGTGTACACACCAAAGGCAACCATAAATGTCAGGAATGAATTCAGTTGAATAAGAAGTGTGTATGTTGGATAAGAAGTGTGTATGTTGGATAAGGAGTGTGTATGTTGGATAAGGAGTGTGTATGTTGGATAAGGAGTGTGTATGTTAGATAAGGAGTGTATATGTTGGATAAGGAGTGTATATGTTGGATAAGAAGTGTGTATGTTGGATAAGTGTATATGTTGGATAAGGAGTGTATATGTTGGATAAGGAGTGTATATGTTGGATAAGGAGTGTATATGTTGGATAAGAAGTGTATATGTTGGATAAGTGTATATGTTGGATAAGAAGTGTATATGTTGGATAAGAAGTGTATATGTTGGATAAGAAGTGTATATGTTGGATAAGAAGTGTATATGTTGGATAAGGTGTTGGATAAGGATAAGATGGAAAGTGATATGTTGGATAAGGAGTGGATATGGATAATGTATAGGTAAGGAGTATATGTTGGATAAGGAGTGTATATGTTTGAATGATTTGCAACGGTCGGTACCCACGTGTGTTGGGTTAAAAGGAGAAAACACATCAACGTAATTTTGTAATTTAAAGAAAATTCAACTTCAACCTAAAATGAAAAAGCTTTCTTACCTATGAATAGATGTATGAATATATTTGTCACCCGTTGTTCTATCACCTTGACGACATAAGGCCGCTCGCCAGGCGCATGCGTGGTAGACATGACAGTCAGAGCATTTTTATGGGAGACAGAGCGAACAGGGCCCACACATATCCATGGTAGTCCCATGAAGGAGCATAAGCCGCAAACCAGACCCACAACCAACAGGTCGAGGTTGTAGCCGGCGCCTTTTCGCAGGTTGTTCTCCTTTCTATTGAGGACGATTGCGGTCAATTCGGTCTCCATGAACAGAAGAATGCTCACAAAGATTGCCGGGATTGCAGCAGCAACCATATAGAGGGCATTAACACCCAAAGGATCAACTAACCATCCCCGTTTCTCGTGTAAGGTAGGCTTTAGACTTGAAAGTTCGGGCATCTTTCTCGTTCTTACGTCTTTAATAGAATAATCCAGAATAGTCATAGCAATTATTGAGATGGCCATACCAAAATCGCTAACCGTTCGCCGACCCTACAAACAAACAAAAAACTAAATTTATTCTTAAATTTTACGACAAATTTCCTAGTGGATTCGTTAATTGATTGAAGAATGTCGAACTCTACTAGAATAACAATGTTTGCCTTAATTTCCCTACCATGTATTAGTTCCTCTCAATCTACCTCCCTCCCACCTCCCCGCAAAAAATAATTTCAATAGAAGCTATGTTCACTTCGCATGATACATAAAAAAGCCATTAAAGTCTTTAACTCTTACCTTCCTACCAAAGAAATGACTGTGTCGAAATTTGCGTAGTCGAACAGTTAGAATTACTGTGCCGAACAGTAATATCGTTGTAAGCAAGGCTGTGTTGGGTTCGTCGCGTGGATAAAGGTCCTTCTTTTTCTCGGAATTTTTCGGAACAGTTGCATTACCATTTTCATACTTATGTGGAGTTCGAGTTAATGGATTATCAACGAAAGTCTAGACGCAAAAGAAAAAACAATGTCGACCAAGCAGAATATTTTCTCAACTTTAAATTTGTGCTAACGTTTAAAGTGCATTGTTGTGGCTTATTAAGTGCGTTCAAAAATAAATTTTCTCGGTTTGCTTCTTTGGGGTAAAGTATTCCCAATATGAAGAGCGGTTTTCTTCCCCACGAGCCTTACACAACATCAACAGATGATTTTAAAGCCAAAGCCATTAAATGAAGACGCGTGCTCAGTAATACAAATACGGAAAACAAAGCAAGTGATGGGAATAGTGCGAAAACCTATTATAAGAATTGCGATTAGTCTCAAACATAGAGTTTACTTGAGGACAGACGTTCCCAGTTGAAATTACAGTGTGTGTCACCTTAAGTTTACCATGATAATCCTAAAGCTTTCCTGAAAAAGGTTCTTGTTGTTTCTGTTTAACTAATACAAACAAATATTCAGCTTTCTTGTTTAGTTTTCTCACAAATAGGTTTCCTCACCTCGTATAAAAACTTGAACGCTTCGTAGACGAAAATGAACGAAATAAGACAGGCGAAAATTTCTTCAGTAAATCGAGTAAAATATCGAACCATAAAACAGCCATCGAAAGCGACGACTAAAGTGCAGATAACAACTATCCACAATCCAATCCAAACACGCCATGCCAAGAAGTCCAAATCGAAGTCCTTACAAAGCTAGAAAATAGATATTTGAAGTTAGAAGGATTGTGAATAAGATGAAGCTGTTAAGGCTGCGTAATGATTGAGACTTATTGGTAAAAATATCTTTTGCTGGATGTTGTTAAAAAAATTTCAACTCGATAACATGAACAGGAAATTTACACACAACAATAGCAATTTCTAGCAACATCATGAAGAACAAGTCAATCCTGAGATTTACAAAACTTATCGCGCGCCTAAATGCGACATGCCACACATACAGAAAGCAAAAAAATAAGACAATTGTACTTACGGAATAAATATTTTCCTCGAAAAGGAGGACAGGACCAGTTACACCAACAATCATTAATGGTTGACCACTAAAGAAGCCAAACAGAATCCCCCCCAAGGCCGTAGCCATGATGGATTCGGAGAGACCCAGCCATCCTTCTGTCTTCTTGCTAAGAAGACCACCGTACGTGACGCAAGGGGCAATCGTTGCAAAATACACAAATATGAAAGTGACAAAACATTTGAAGTTTTTAAAGCCATCGATGAAGTCACTTTTGTAATGTGGATATTTCCTCTTCACGTCGTTCACAAGACCTGCGAACGGCTTTCCGATCCTCTTCAAAGGATCATCGCTGCTGTCGGGAACGGTTTGAGCAGCAGCTAAAATATATATTATTAATATACATACATTTGTACTTAAATTAAAGATACCTCATGATCCAATATAATCCATACTTGTCAATATGCCTTAAGAAAATCACCAGTGGACACAACCAACAGACCTTTCATCTATGAATCTACTCCTAACACCTTATACCCATAAAGATCCATGTCATATACCTACTTACCCTTGCGTCGTTTCTTCATCACCTCTCGGCTGTGTCCCTCGAGAAGAGGCAACAAAACACGCTCGTCCCAATCTCCCGGGGCAAGCACAATACTGTCAGACAAAAACTGATTAATGGCAGACAGAAGGTCCTCTTTTTTCTCTGCCTGATACGCCAAGCTATGGAATATGTCATCCGACATTAGTGTGGCGATGCTGCGTCCAATTTCGTGATATTGACTGTCATGGCGCGCGGGACCAACCAGCACAAAAATGAAACGCACAGGTAGTGGGACCTCAGTCAAATTACCAAGATGACAACCTTTAGCAAGTCTGACGAACGCCATTGCCGGTTTATCCAATTCATCCATTGTACCCACAAGCACAGCTGTGGCTTCAGCATCAGAAGGTATTCGGCCACGAATATCCGAATTCGTATTGAGTTCTGAAGTGGAACCATCCCCAACAACTGGTTCAGGTGCAAACGAAACGCCAACACGCTTTTCAGTCTACGTGATAAAACGTGACGAAGATATATTCAGGTTTTACAGATGAAACAGCTTAACCACAATTATGACTGTAAGAAATGAACTTATTCCGTAATGTTTCGTTGAACTTCGTTCTTTAGAACAACAGAATTTCGATTTAAAAATCTCGAAACACTCTTTCGCGCAAGACAAAGAAACCCGACATGCGGTATGGATGAACTTCACTCGAGTTCGCATCGAGAATTTTTCTTCTGAAATTCAGTTGGTGTTGATGTTTACAGAGATTTCAACATTTCTAATGCTTCTCTTCTTCACAGTCGTGTGGTCACAGTCGAAACTTCAGTCAACATCAACAACATCAGTCCTCGGGGGCCGGTTGCACGAAGCCTGGATAGCGTTATACATTGGATAGCGAAAATTTTCAAATTTTGTAAAAAGGTGTTTTTATTTTTCTTATGACAAAGAAATTTAAGAATCTTCGGAACAATATTTTATTTCAGTGATTGCACAGTTCAAATCGTGTATTTTTCTCCTATAAGAGATTTTATAAAAGTTCAGAAAAATTTTCTATCCAGTGGATAACGCTATCCATGCTTCGTGCAACCGGCCTCAGGACTCTATACTAACCTGGACGATCCAAATTTTGCTACAAACATGTAACAATACTCCCAAACTCAAACCATTCACTTTATTGTACGAGATGATGCTCAAGAAGATTAAACTAGTCCTAATAGCTACTTCACTTGCCTTGTCCAAATATTCAAAGTTGGATTCCTTTAAAATCGGCGTTTGACTAGATGCATCACTTTCATTTCTATGCCACGATGCCCCATTTTTCATATTGTTTTCTTTCATTTCTAAACCTACACTCTCTCCCGTCCCATCTGAAAGCTCTGTTTCGCTCGCTTTTAACGGCGTTGCCTTGCTTTCTACGCCGAAAAATGCGGCAAGATTAGCACTAGAGTTTCGTCGCGGCAGACCGTTGTTCATTTGATGTTGATGTCTGTGTTTTGAAAGGAGAGCCGAAAGCACTTTAAAACTTTGAGCTCTCGGTAATTGATCCGTTATTACCATTTCGTCAATCACAGCTTCGGCGATGTTCGATAAATCAAACTGCTCCAGATCAAGCAATACGGCACCTTAAACACGTCCACGAAAAAATCAACATTTCGAACAATGCTTAATTAATGAATCAATCACGAACACACGTAAAGTGATGTAAATCTCAACCTGTTTCAAGGCCGCGTCTTAATTCAAGTAAACTGTGAAAAGACAACGAAGGAATATGAGGTTTTCCCCAACGCTGTGACTCTTCGACATCCTCTTCAAACTTGATCCATCTCGCTTTCTCCTTCCATTCTGTTTGTTGCCCGGTCGTCGTCAGCTCTTCCAACTCCACAAAATTCTACAACGATTATGCAAAGTTGTGTTGTAAAATTAAGTCTGCCGGTAAAAATCTTGAATTGATTTGTTTTTGGAAAAGATTTAAGGTTGACATTGACTTATTCTTTGATGGAGCAACTCTACCCCGTACAGCCGTCGTCCATTTCCCATAAGAGACACATTAAACACACTTCACATAAAGCTATGTTTAAATATTTATGGAGTACACCATAAAAATGATGCAATCGCGTACATTTACATTGAAACGGTTGGTAAACCAAAACAGAAACCTAGAATATGCCCACTGTTTAGCAAACGTTTTCAAACACCAGAAGTTGAAATCAGCACAGACAAAACCAAATTGAAAGGACATTCTTAGAGACATCCAAAGTTCAATCTTAAAAAACAGACAGTTTAGTAACGCCCTTTATCCATGACAAAGCCCCTCACCTCGTGCGGTTTGTGGTCGTAGACCTTCTTCCTTGGAGGTGTTTTGATGTGGCTGACAAGACTTCGAAGACTGGCGGAAAGATCTTGATTACTGAAATGTGTCGTCATCCCGGAGCGACGCAGCCTCAGGGGTCGACGATGGACTCCCTTCAGGTCTTGAAATCGATGAACTGGTAAACAAAGAATGACAAAAAAAATGAACATACGCTGCAAAATTATACATGCAATTCCGTGTAATCTTCAGCTGTGCAAATGACTCTGTTCATAATATCACAATTTGCTACTTTACAATAAACCTGCTAATGAAAAGGCTGCCCAATGACTGCTACACAGAGCTCGTGTCTAACACCAGTGGACAAAAGATAGTTGACGAAAAACTGTCACATCGTCCAAATGATGATCTTTGTGTATAAACTGGATGAGTCGTTTGAAGGACAACGTTATTATCCATTTAAGCCATACGTCATTCTTACGTAATTCTTACGTCATGGTTAAAAGAATAGTTCTGCTTAGTTGAAGGGATCGTATTTACATACGATATCATAAAAGCGTTAATCTCACAATCACCACAGGTGACGTAGCCAGTAATAAATTTCATCGCGCTATGTATGTTAACATTTCCTTGTTCACTTCCTGTAGAAACAGATTTCTGAAACAATCACTATAATGCTCCGAAAATTTACATAGCACAACCGAACTTACGGGCTGTCTGTATCTCGAATTACAATCCACATTTCCAATAAAAACAGGTCCATATATTTTTTAGTAAAAAAATCTCCAAAAATTAAAAAGTTCAATTTACACTTACATTTCATGTCATCCATATCCTTCTGATCCAAAGCACTTGCATCTGCCAAAACTGCCTCCTGAATAGATTCGTTATCCTGCTTTATGGTGGCAACACCTGGCCTACGCCGTTCCTGTAGCTCCGATTTACGCCTATGCCGATGTTTGTGATGTCGACCAGATTTGCCTAAAGGTATACCAAGAGCTTTATCACCCTCCTCCGAATGCTTGTGTTGATGTCGAAGTGGCTTTTGTTCTTTTGGTGAATCTGATACAGGGGCCATCTCTTTCTCTGATGCAATGACAATGTCTGGTACATCTGCAAGCTGAGATAGCCATCCCTGTTTAGGAGGTGTAGCAAGAACCTCCTCCTCGCCAATTTCAGGCAACACACATATTGTTTGATCCACAATGTTCAGTTTAACTTTATCTTCCGAGATCGAGGATGCTTCCTCTTTAACTGCTTTGGGAGTTTCAACATGTATGCCACGAGGCTCACCGTCTTCTTCATTTGTTTTGCTCTTTTCCACATGAAGTGGAGAGGAGTCAGATGATTTTTTTTTCTTCGGTCCTTTCTTTGTTTTTTCTTTCTTGCTATGGTGATGGTGATGAGAGTGCAGTTTAAGAGGCGTGTGGAGATGGACGTGCGAATGCCGTCTCTCTATAAATCATTGACGGAAATTGAAGAGTTTAAGGGCAACAAGAACAAGATGGAATCAATAAATCTAAAGCAACTTGGCACGGTCAAAAATGTTTTAAGGTGAAAATCTCTACAGCATAAACTGCTAATATAAACATAGTTACAAAATTATAGATAAAAGAGTCATGCTTTGCAACATCAATCCATGGCATATCCGAAGGTAAAGTATGCATTGATGTTCCACAGCTAATAACAAAAATCACACATATGAATTTAACAAGAATTGTTTGTGTGCTTTAAATGAAGCACAGTTGTAATTGGGAATATTGCAAAGTGGCGTTTCAAAATAGAACGATCTTAGCCCGGGATGTAAAACTTTGATCAAGAATGTAAAAAATTTAAGGTTTTTCCAGTATTTATGAAGGAATCTATTTTCAAAATGTTTAACCAACAAATTGCATAAGATGAAACAAAACTGCAAATTCCAAACAAGGTTCCTTGCAATATTGAAGCCAGTGCAAAAATTCAAAAACTGAGAATACAAATAACATGTTCTTCATACTAAGGGAATGAAAATCAAATTATGAATGCCTGACGCTACAACAAAACAAGAATTTTCCTATTGTGTTAAAGACTTCAGCAGACTATGGGCTAATATAAACAACTTTCCCTTTTTTTTAGCTGTTTGGAACTTTGCCTAAACGTAAACGACCAATGACAATAAAACTTTTGCATGATAATAAAACAGTTTTGTACATTTAACTAATGCTGGGAAACATTGTTTACATTTGACAATTAAAGATTGTTCTCGCTCGAATTGTGATATATTTATTAACGCATGTCTGGAGGACATGTTCAAACCAGTTCGCGCTGAGGTTGCAGTAAAAGTATCGAGATTACGAAAGCGTTCAACTTACTGAGATAATCTTTTTCGTTAAATACGGGATGATAGTGAGATGTTGGTGATTCTGTATCGTCTGATACAGATATGCTTGTCGGCGTGTTGTATTCGTAAGGTTCGCGAAGAACCTTAGTGAGGAGGTCATCTTTGATTTCGGTAGATTTCTCGTCTACGGTCATCCAAATTCCCTGGAGAAGACGAATATGATTGACAAATGAAATTAATGTTCAATCCGGATGAAAAAATGGGCTTACGGCTCACCTCCTCGACCATTTCCGTGTTGCTTCCAGGTGGAGATTCCTCTTGATCAGCCATTCTTGTTCAATTATCAAGAAGCGAAGGGTCGGTCACGGAGAAAAAACCAATCTGTACAAAAAACGAATCGATTGAACATCACCTTAAAGCAATTATTTGCTTCTTGCTGGCAAAAAAAGAGCAATTCACACGATAACATCAACAATATCTTTATATAAGCACGATATCTATTTTTCATAAACAATTTGACAGTCACATGGTCCTTACATCAACAAACCTTCTCAAACGAAAGAACCTTTCTAATTATAATACTCGAGCAACAAATGCAACCCAACTGAGCAAATCAAAGCCTGTCAACTTTTCTCCAGACGCTCGGCAGGTTTCACTTCAAACCATTGAAATATAATGATAATTTAATCAACAAATTGCTTCACGGTCTTGTTTTGATAGGATATTAATAAGCGAACCAATGAACATCCACGATTTGATCATGTGATACTATAATGTAATCATCTTGTGATTTGTTAACGTCAAAACTCAAAAGGCATTGTTATGCGGTTGCTCGTTGTTATGCACAATCCGAGGAAAAATATACTGTAATAAATTTTTTTTGTTTTTCTCAGGAATTGAAATAAATTATGACGAATTCTACCAAATGGAAACGAAAGCTCAACGCGCCTTATGCAAATGAGGGAAGGTGATTTGCGCACTAGCTTTGATACGGAGTGAACACGATAAAATAAGTTTCTTTGATTCATCGCAAATAATGCTAAAAATTTCATCAGCTAAATCTGTAAAGACGTAAAGCAAGAAAACTTTATTCATATTACACAATTAAATGAAACTATTGCCAATCATGCAGATGAAGCACAAGGTTTTTAAGACTTTTCGCATTTCTTCTTTTCTTTCCATTTTAACTCACAAACCAAAGCAACATGATCGGAAGGCATAACAGGTGATGGTAAAGCCAAATACAACTGGATTTCTTCAATGGATGGGACAGGAATGACAGCATGAACATCAAAATGTGCCTTGCTTGCAAATACGTAATCAATGACACCTGAAAATCCATGAGTATATGCTGTATAATCTGGGAATCCACAAACATTTTGCAAGTTCAAGTTATGGCTGAAGGATGACATCTCCAAGACATTTGATGCAATAAAATCATCTTCATCATCCACGATTTGCAAACTCCAATCTTGATGTGAGCTTTGGAGGAAACCCTCAGACAACAACTGAACAACACCAGAACCTGGCAGGCTGTTAAAATCCCCACAAAATACAACACCAATTCTATAGCCTCCGGGGCGTTCTTTTTCCAATCTATTCTCCAGTTCATTCAATGACTTTTGCACTTCGTTCAACACAATCATAATTTGAAGATTTCTAATGTATGAAGAATCAGGTTTGTAATATAAATGCGTGTTTACGATGCAAATGTAGTCCTGAGGCGAAGGGATGCTTTGCAACACAACAACCTGAGCCAATGTTGTACGACTGATCAATTTTTCATACACAACTGGAAAAGCTTGGATATTTTGAAGTAAGTCAATGTTACAAGTATTGTGAAGCAAAGATTCCTTAAGCTCAAACATATTTTGAGATACCAACTCAAATTTCATCTTGTCAAAGAATATTGCTTCACCCTCAAGCATCACACCCGACTTGTACCTCACTGTACCAGTATATCCTCTTGCATTCATCATCGGTTTCAAGTAATGATCAAACAAACGTCGACCGCATTCTTGCAGACAAACAATATCACCATGATAGCCTACAATCTCCTTCAATAAAAGCTGTTGTCTGTAGTCAATCTCAAGAGCATATTTTGGACAATAACCGTACAAAGTCTCACATGTAGCCTCATCATCTAAGTAGCAATCAGCAAGAATGTTATAGGACACAACACGTAATATGTCTTCATCTATTGTAGGTTTTATTGTGTAGAGATGTCGAGATTCAAAAGGCATAAATCCTGGAGCAGCCTGGACGACTGACACAGAGGTTACATCAAACCAATTGTGAGCAGTTTTTTCATGACTACCAGCCTTACATGAAAACCTGATGATGCAGCCAATATCATCAACAGCAGGCTCATATATGAAGTTTTGACTGACTTCTATCCACAGCGACTCACCACTCCTGTCCAGATTTTCATCAACATCTAAAGTGCATGAATTTACAACATCCAATTTTTCTGAACATTTGAACCATTTAAATTGTGAATTGGCTTCATTGGCAAATTCAAGCTTGAGAGTTGGCACAATAGGGAAATTAGCCATAATGACAGACGGTATCTTAGCAGAATTAACAATTGGAGTGTTTTCTTCAACAGAAAACTTAAATTCTCCAATGTTCAACATATTGCCAGTTTTCCAGCCTTGAATGTTGGAAATTTCCTCGTTGACGATTTGTCCATTCGGCCAGAGCAATTGAACGTGAATGTGATTTGATATCTCCTGTTTTCTTCCCTTCTTTTTCCCATTTTCACCTCCCTTATCCTGAGCTTTTTGTACTGATATGCCAATTCGTTTCAATGTTTTCCCAATTGATTCGGCCGAATTTCTAGACATGCGAAAAGATTTACCATGTAAGTTGAATAAAAGCTTTAAATTGAGGATACCATTCACGGTCTCGGAGTAAACTGATAGGTAATTCATATTTTTCTTTTAGAAATTGTTTTAAATTTAAGATAAATGATAAGTCTTGATGTTCATTATTTTTCGGAGTTTTGTTGAGCCAGCAATAGATGTTCAGCGGCATGCTGACTTCATGTTATATTGGTATAAAATTTATTATTTTCGTTATTTTTTATTGACAGTAACAAAAAAGTTACTGATATTTCCTTTTAATTTTGCCTTTTTTTTGGCGGTTCACGAGTTTTAGGACGACTCACTGTCATATCTCTCGCGTCTTTCAACTCCAACGCAAAATGATAATCGCCATGTTCCGTCTTTTTTGAGCTTGCTATCTTTTCACCACATTTAGCACAAACAAAATAGTCGACATCCCTATCTTCCAAAGTATATTTTCCCTCTACACTTCCCACATAACTCGCCGGGGATTTAGCGTTGTTATGGCCGTCTAACTTTTGACGAACGGCGTATTTTTGAATGCCATTTAAAGTACGTTTTTTCTGTTGATGTGGGTTGCAAGATTCAGCAGAACCCAAAAATTGCTGAATTTCATGTTTGATACTGTCAGGTAACTCATTCACAACGCCAGCATCAATTTCGTTTTTCTTATAACCAAACGCTTTCTGCGTACTACTATTTTCATAAGTATTTCTATGGAGAGTTTCCAAACTTTCGTCGCACTTTGTTTCGACACATTCTCTGAAAGTTCTCTGACTATTTGGTGCTTTACAATCCACATTATGAGAAGTTGTTGGTAACGAGTTGTTGGTAAGTTCTTCCTTGGAGCTGTCATCGCAATTTTTTACTGTCTGTGTTTCACTGATCTTCCCGTTCGATTTCTTTCCAAAGAAAGATGAAATTGAGGAAACGCCGGAAGTTGATTTTGAATTTTCTTCAAATTTACTTGCATTCAAAGACAAACACGTCACTCCAGGCTTCCTGCAGCAAGTCAAGGAACATTAAAAGTAAGTTAGCAAAAATATTCTCCATAAAATATGAAAGACTGCAAAAATTCAATTCAAATTTAACGCTATGTGTTGTACTAACCACTGATCACCTTGTCCACAGTTAAATGATTTCAACGCATTCAAGGCACTCTCACAAATCGCCTCAGGTTCCAAACTTTTCAAAGCAAAAGAACGTACGGCCGAAGTTTGATCTTCTGTTCTCAAACCAACTGCCACCAGTTTCGCACACCGATTGTTCTAAATCCACAAACATTAAATCGCGATGGAAAACTGACAAGTTCTTGACTTATGTGGTACTCATTTTCAAAAATTTTGATAAGTTCACCTTCATTTCTTCAATTTTCAGTCGCTCACTGAGCTCACTCGACAACTGGAGTAACCAGTAGCGAACTTTATCCTTCGAAATAAGTCGCGCTTTCCCAGTGAAGTTCTTCCCACAACCACATGATTTCGACAGCTGTCTGGCTCTTACTGGTTCATGTTCAATTCCACGACACATGTCGTAAAGCCAGATTCTAAATAAAAACACTATGTTTTAAGGAGGTGAACATCGAAGAGATTTTTAAGCTCGAGTTCTTATTGAACCTAGTTGTTCTGGCTTCAACACATAGCTAAGATTGGTTTACACATTCAATTACAAAAAAAGTAGCCTGAAACTTTTTTTCAAATGCTTTATTTCTGTAAAAAATTCTTCCTTTTGGAGCAACGTGTTTCAAATGCATTAAACGACAAAAAGAAAAACCATTATTTTCACTCGCCATGATTTACGAGAACATTTCAATGCCCCTTATTACCCAGATTTTTCCCCGAAGTTTCGTTGTAGTTCCTCCTTTGAAAATTTCGTCAACTGAGACATGAACTCCACTTTAAGTCGCTCTGTTACACAATTCCCAAACTTTCCACCAAAGAATCTCCTAAATTGAAAGATACAAAAGCAGTTTAAATAGCGCATATAGCAAAAAATCGTTTCTTCAAAAATATCATGGAGAGTTGTTCAATGCATGAACAATACACCAAATAAAGTTGTAGATAAACATAGATTACTGGTTTAAGAGTTTATAAAGATGTAGATAATCATGGATTACTGGTTAAAGAGTTTATAAAGATGTAGATAATCATAGATTACTTGTTTAAGAGTTTATAAAGATGTAGATAATCATAGATTACTGGTTAAAGAGTTTATAAAGATGTAGATAATCATGGATAACTGGTTAAAGAGTTTATAAAGATGTAGATAATCATGGATTACTGGTTAAAGAGTTTATAAAGATGTAGATAATCATAGATTACTTGTTCAAGAGTTTATAAAGATGTAGATAATCATAGATTACTGGTTAAAGAGTTTATAAAGATGTAGATAATCATGGATAACTGGTTTAAGAGTTTATAAAGATGTAGATAATCATGGATAATTGGTTTAAGAGTTTATAAAGATGTAGATAATCATGGATAACTGGTTAAAGAGTTTATAAAGATGTAGATAATCATGGATAACTGGTTAAAGAGTTTATAAAGATGTAGATAATCATGGATAACTGGTTAAAGAGTTTATAAAGATGTAGATAATCATGGATAACTGGTTAAAGAGTTTATAAAGATGTAGATAATCATGGATAACTGGTTAAAGAGTTTATAAAGATGTAGATAATCATGGATAACTGGTTTAAGAGTTTATAAAGATGTAGATAATCATGGATAATTGGTTTAAGAGTTTATAAAGATGTAGATAATCATGGATAACTGGTTAAAGAGTTTATAAAGATGTAGATAATCATGGATAACTGGTTAAAGAGTTTATAAAGATGTTGAATGTTATTACCAACTTTATGGATTGTTTATCACACAAAATCAATGCACCAACCATGTGAAGTGTGATGAATATGTCACAATGATTATCAAATGTTAGTTGTCTTCCTTGTAGTCAATACTGGTGTTTTCATAACAAAAGAACAGGAGGAACCTGTCTTCGTTTACAACATAAACTTACACTTTCTTGATTGGCATACTTTCAAAAAACATAGGAACAGACTTTGAAGGAAGTATTGTCTGTTGATTTGGTTTATGGGTTCCTGCAGCAAGTTTTGCCAAAACCTAAAACAAATTTGATAATGCATATTTATATATACATTCACTATCCAATAACAACAGTCATTTTGTACGTTAGCACCATTAGAATACAATCCCACAATGCCCTAACATACACGAAAGATGTAATAACCTTATTGTATGAAATACCAGCTGAACAGGTAAAACCTGTTTTCTCCTTCACTGCATCTCTTGCTCGTTGAATTATAATGCCTGCCATGGCCAGACATCTGTTTCTTTGATCAGACAATGCAGCCATCCACTGACCCCTTGTAACTGGAATGTTCATATCTGTTGAATAACCAATGATATGACTGCATGCCATTGTCATTTCAACTAATTGATCCAATGTTGTATTCTCCAGTTCCCTTTGTACAAGAAATTCAAGTTATGAAAATTTAAGATGATAGTTTCATCACGAAAACTGTATCTTTTATGAAAAACGTATTCGAAGTAAACCTTTCAACTTTGTCGGTTAAATCGAGATAAGCTTCATCAACACTGGCACGTTCACAAATATCAGCAAAATTATGCAACACTTGCATGACCTCTGCACATGCGTCACGATATCGAGTCAAATCAGCTTTGCCTCTCAACTCTGGTACTCTACACAGTACTATTTGCGGACATTTAGCTTTGGCTTCGTCACCTCGCATTTGTCGAGTAACGCCGAATTTACGGGCCTCGTAACTCACCGCGATAATCCTGGTGAATAAAAAAATAATTTCTAAGTTATCAAATGTTCACCTTACTCATCTATACAACAGAAAACAACTGTCATCACACGAATTTTAACTGATGCGTACAACATTTTAAGCAAAGGATAGTTACTGTGGTTTGAAAAAAGATCAAACACTAACAACTCATCAACAACTTCATTTATACTAGAAGCAAGACAGTAGCACATCTGAGACAGACACAGCACAACTTACCCACCGCCTTTCCAAGTATTGTATTGAACTACAGCACATGGTTTGCCAATAATACTCGGATTTAAACGCTGCTCGACTTGCACATAAAAACAATCCATGTCTACAAGAGCGATCGTACGATCGCGAGGCATTTTTCATGTCAATACTGCGAATCTTTGAATTGAAGGAAATCAAAAATCTCCGCCATCATGAAAATTTAACACCCGACCCAGTCCCTCGTTCGCCATCCTAATCCGTCCTAATCTAACTGAGGTAGTAAATCCGATTGCTTAATCCATAATGTATGATTTATTTTTAACTTAAACATAACATTCTACAATCAGGTTCCTTCAAATGTTGACTAAAATCATCAAATAATTATATAGTATTTACATATTTTAAATTTGAAGCACTGTCTAATTGCTAATTTCGCTTTTAACAGCATTTGGTAAATAAAATAATCAATTTCTATTCCTGATCATGACATTTTTGTTATGTTATGTCAGCCTTTATGTTTTTGCCACATCACTAAAATAATTTCAATGATAAAAAAGATTTTCAAATTTATCTCTATCTACACATGAGTATAGGGAGTACAAAACAAGACACGAAATGCTGATTCCTTGGCTAGTCTTCATACATTTTACATTGTTGTGTGAGTTGAGGATGTGTTGGTCCAAAATTCACTTCTAGCCAAGAAACTATAGCCAAACAAACATAATATAGCACAGGATTTCAGTTGTCAAAAACACAGATTGAACGCCTTTTCGAAAACCAAATTCATTGTCATCATGTAATAACTTTCTTTTTCTGGATATTTTGAACAACTCAGATCCTGAATTCCCTACATGATATTTGTTTGAAATTCCACAACGCCATTTCTCTTCTTAATCATTTTAAATTTTAACAAGACATTTATTAAAGGACTGTCTTTCATGGTTTTACTTCTCTACAGAATGATTAATTTAAATCCTGGAACTTTTAGTATTCCCAAATTTCGAAAGTTGAAGTTTTAGTTGCATGTTTTCTTCTCGTTCCTGTCACAAAGATTAAATGTGAAATGTTTTTATTACATGGATGATTTTCTAATTTACAAGTCAAATCCTGGGTTCTAGGCTAATGTACTTCGCAAGCATATATGGAAGACCTTGGTACAGATGGGGATAAGGAGAATTATATGAAGACATTACTGGTCACCGACGGACAAAAATTTCTCTTTCTACGTCGTCCAGATTACTGCAGTCCGGAAAATGACTGTTGGCGTTGGCATATTAAGATGACTACAGCTAAGGTTGTCAAAACGTCAGTCAACATCAACACCAACAGTCTTTCTCAGGACTCTACTAACCTGGACGATCTACATCTAAAAACATCAAACATTTAAATACATTCGGAGTTTAAAATATTTACTTTACAACGAATTGAACCGGAAAACGGATAAGTTGTCGATCAGTTGTCACAAACCAGGGGTCGTCAATTTTAGATAAACTTTACCTTTTGCAAGAAGAAAGATAATTCTGTTACTTTCTTCTCCAACTCCGTTATACGGTGAAAACCCTCCTTTGATGACAGCAACCTTAACAAGAGAACAGGAAATGATTTCTTGTTCAAGTCCGTTCGTTTAGATTAACAGCATGTTTTTGTTTAAAAAATCTTTAAAAACGCGTTTCTGGATGAATGGAGCATGCACCTGTTTCTTCGATAATGAAGCCAATCAAAATCCTTACGTATCCTATATTGATGTGATTATGAATATCATTAATTAACAACCAATTAATCATTTTAATAAACGATTAATTACCCATATTGCCAAACGTTAATCTGCTAATTAATCACATATATAATGAGAGATAGTATGATAATGAAGTCATTAATTAATATGATAACGAAGTCATTAATTTCATAAAGTAAACAACAGTTGTTGACTTATTGAGGCTGCTTAGGACACAGCCGATTAAGTAAAACGATTTTTAAGGAAATTCTATTCGCAGCTTTTTGTAATTGGTAAATACTTCATTCAAGGTATTTCTACTACTGAATCTTCAATCTTCATTAAATATCAACTTACGTCTGTCGGGAGGCTGTTAGGTTGTCAATACTCTATTAACAAAAGCAGAGAAACGTTAACAAAAGCAGAGAAAACGTTAACAAAAGCAGAGAAAACGTTAACAAAAGCAGAGAAAACGTTAACAAAAGCAGAGAAACGTTAACAAAAGCAGAGAAAACGTTAACAAAAGCAGAGAAACGTTAACAAAAACAGAGAAAACGTTAAGAAAAGCAGAGAAAACGTTAAGAAAAGCAGAGAAACGTTAAGAAAAGCAGAAAACGTTAACAAAAGCAGAGAAAACGTTAACAACAAATATGTTTGCAAATGATAAAACATAACTCCATCAAACCTCAGAATGTATATCATTCAAACTTAGTAATTTTTCGTCAAAACTATGTCTGCGTGGTGTCGAGTTGATGATTGTATTTTGACCAAGAGCCAATGACGCAACTATTGGAGTCCCATCTAAAAAAGGAAAGTTATACTCTTATATAAAGTCGACATTCACTGCTGCCGTCGAGAGGACTCTACTTTTACTTAAGGAATGATATCTTCATCAGGAGTGATCTGATGTTGAAACTTGAGTTCTTATATACTCCAGTCTAGTATCTTCATCAGGAGTGATTTGATGTTGAAACTTGAGTTCTTATATACACCAGTCTAGTGTCTTCATCAGGAGTGATCTGATGTTGAAACTTGACTCCTCATGTACACCAGTCCAGTTTTTTCATCAAGAATGATCCGATATTGAAAATTCGATCAGTACTTCTTTTTCAATAATGAAACAGACTTTGTCGTGGTGACAAACTTAAAGATGGAGTTCAAAATAGCAAATACCATGGTGAATGGTGATAATAACAATGTAATAGTTCTTAAAAGAACTGTTTTAACCAGAACACTAAGCCAACAATTCAAAGGAACCGTTATTTACAGCTAGAAAGAGACACTACGCATTTCGGCAGACTACTCGTCAGGTGTCAACGTCTGCTAAATGAGAACCTCCAAACCATGCTATATTTATAACGTTACAAAAGGTCAATGTCATCCTTATTTTTAGAGGTTCTCATTTAGCAGACGTTTACACCTGACGAGTAGTCTGCCGAAATGCATAGCGTCTCTTTCTAGCTGTAAATAACGGTTCCTTTGAATTGTTGGCTTAGTGTTCTGGTTAAAACAGTACTTTTAAGAACTATTACAATGTTATTATCACCATTCACCATGGTATTTGCTATTTTGAAATACTTCTTTTTCCTCATCAAAAAATAAAAAAAATCATACCTGAAGGAAATCTTGTTCTTAACGTGATATTGGAGTCCAGCATTTTCTTTGTTTCAGGTTTCTCATCCTTCGTCTTTGACAAATTCTTTCCCCACGAGGCAAGCATTTGCTCCGTGTGCGCGAGGGTTGAGGATGCGTCACGTGACATGGCGTCAGTTTGACTTAAAAGATACGACATCTCGTTAATCAATGGATTATCACTACTGTTTTCCTTAGAAAGCGACAACTGTGACTCTGACTGCTTTGACTTAGTGCCCTCGTTCAAAACTCGAAGATTGTTCTCGCGACTAGGGCGCCTACTGGTGTCGGGTGATGCTTTGGCAACGCGTTGTTTCCCAGCAATCTTTGATATACGTTCATCGACCAACTCCGGAGTGATTCCCGTTTTGTTCTTGACAAAGTACGGCACTTTATTAGCGCGGGTATCTTTCTCCGGTGGGCGCGAGGGAGCTTGGGATGCACTGTCATTAGGCAATTGAGTAGTGCTGTCATTTGGTGACATCATGCTAATCCTGGTCTGTGAAACAATCTTCGCTTTCTCGTCCCTTACTCGTCTCGGTTCTACATCAGGATAGTGAAATGCTTCCGTCTCTTGACCAGGCCCCCGGCTGTGATAAACAGCAGTAGTAAAGGGCCGTGGGGAATAAAGGTACATGTTATCACTTTGATCACGGATCAAACCCTGTCTTATCCGGGGGGTTAGGGCGGCTGAATTTTCACGAGACACTATCACTTCTTCGCGATTCACAGTCCGAGGTAACGTGTTGCTATGTATTCGTGCGGTCCTAGTCAAGCTACCCGTGTTATCCCCTGATATCCCGTTGGACTTTGACCGCACGACAACAGTTGTTGAACTTTTTACACCTGGAGAGTTGGTCTCCCGGGCATTATACGTATCCATGACTCCGGGACTCTTTGCCGTAGTACTTGTAATTTCAGCTCGAATGCCTATCTTCTTACTGACGATGCGTTTCGAGGATACGGGTTTTTTCACTCCACCGGAGCTTGGCTCTCTTTCCGAATCACTATAAGGTTCACTCGTGGGAAGCGACTCGTTGGACGCACTAGACAAATGGCTTTCCGAGTCCACGAGAGCATGCCGAGGTATTGTAGGTGGCCTGCGGTTTTTTCGATTGTTTTTAACCTGGGGGGAGTGGTCTGAGGTGGTGCCTCCAAATGCCTTTTCGATTTTATCTACATATTCCGACATGACTTGCTCATTTTCACGAAAAGTCTCAACTGTCGTAATATGAGGCCCTAATGTCGTCTCTTTGTATGTTCTGCGCATGCCTTCTTGACCATTGTTAGGATCCCATGGCTCTGACTTCGACCTTGAATGAATGATCTCAAGACGGGGGTGCAGGCCTTCGGGCGGGGACAAGTTGTTAGCAGGAGAGTTATTTCGCATTATACTCATCCCGCGCCTTTCATCTTGAGCAGTGTATTCAGGGGGGCGTGTTGGTTTAGAACCTGGATACGGAGGAGCACGTTGAGTATTTCGTGGATTATGTGTTTCACCACGTGCGCGAGCACTAAGTTTCGATTGCAGTAGGTCAGCGGCTGCACGCTTGTCGGCAATTTTTGGTGTGGAGCGCGAGTAAAGATAGGTACGGGTCTGTGACTCAGGACTTGTATGCTCATCTCCTCGTCTCGAGTCCGCTGACCTTGTGGTAGAAGGGTCAGAGCGAGGTATATACTTGAGAGAGACAACAGTTTCCCCACCATTTATTTGGTTTGGTGTTCTCTTCGAATCAGAAAATGAGTAAGTGTTATTACAGTTCGACGTATTGCGCTCTTGAGAATTGGATGATCTTTGTTGATTCTCGAGCTCGGAGTGCCTAAAGCGAGAGATGTGAAAATGCATTTTCAAATTTTGATCACGTATTTTCATGAAGGGAGTTTCCCCATGTCCACAACATATGAAGATATTGTTATGTTGCGATCTTAAAAACATGTTATCCTTCATTCGTCAGTGTTTCAACACTCGAGAGGGACAAAGCAATGCTTACACTAACTCAATCCACAAAAACCAGCAATCAAATTACATTCAAACGGCAACAAAGATTTCTCGGTGTAATAATGCCCAAATCTAACCGACCAAATAAAATTCGTAGTACATTGATGTAAGATAATGTCGTAGAACAATCAATCTTGTCACAACTGTCTTTTACACAAACTACTTTACCTGTCATCACTATTTGTCGGTGAGCTTGGTCTTCGTACCCAAGGCATGCCATTGTGATTAGGTCTGCTCTCATCAATGCTCTGGCTTGAATCATAGACTCGAGACGAGTTTGAATATGTTGCCGTTTCAGCCTCGTAGATAGTTGAATGTAGACTACGATCCATTGACTGTTGATATTTTACAGCGTTGAACGTGCTGAGCGACGACTCCTTGGGAGAATTGTAGTTAATTGCAGCGAGTTGTACACCCCTGGAAAGACATTTCACATTTGACGTTATGTTCGGCTGTGTTAATGAGTTATGTTGATACTTTAGTATTTATATATTCTTGTCTAGTGCATTCACTCGCTGACATAGCCAGTCCGTAAATTTGATCCGGCTACATGCAAATTTTTCTAAGTTCATTTAATAGACAAAAAATAGATTTCAAATAAAATGAATAACGATGATGAACTGAAATTTACATTGCTGTACCAAAACTTGCAGGCTAACGAAGCTACTGCACTCATTGGGAGTGATCTTATGTTGAAGCATGAGTATTCATTTCCTCCAGTCTAATGTCTTCATCAGGAGTGATCTGATGTTGAAATTTGAGTTCTTATATACTCCAGTCAACTGTCTTCATCAGGAGTGATCTGATGTTGAAACTTGAATCATTATATACTCCAGTCTAGTGTCTTCATCAGGAGTGATATGATGTTAAAACTTGAGTTCTTATATACTCCAGTCTAGTGTCTCCATCAGGAGTTATCTGATGTTGAAACTTGAGTTCTTATACACCCCAGTCTGATGTCTTCATCAGGAGTGATCTGATGTTGGAACTTGAGTCCTTACATACCGTAGTCTAATGTCTTCATTAATGAGTGATCTGGTTTTGAAACGCGAGATTTTTTCACTTAGATCTGGTGTGTTCATTAGAAATAGTTTAATACTCAAAAGTAAATTATATATAATGCTTAAGTTTATTAGAACATATCAACATACTTTCGAGGTTTGCCGTCGGGGAATGGGGGAATGACGACTACAGGCACGTGACCTGGACGTCGAAGTTCGTAACCATTTCTTCATACGTCATCATAGCAACGGGATGGCTAAAAATCTACAAAAACGAGTTCAGCAAATGGACAACTCTCGAATAAAGAAATATGGTTATGTCTCTCCTTACCTCAACCAATCGTGAATTTTGTTTAAGACCAGCGACATGCGCAAGTCCATTTTGTTCAACATCAACAACCATACCCTCGCTGTGTACATTGAAACCAAGTTGTCCAGAGCTGTGGCGTCGTAGTGTCATCGCGATAGTCTTAAGAAATAATCGTGAGATCTAGCTCAAAATAAAGCTGATCATCGCGTCCACAAAATTCATATCGTTTTCCTACCTGACAGCCGATTGTGACCACTTCAAGCCGTCTCAAAATGCTGGGTATATCTTCTGAGGATGGTAAATTCAACACAAGGCAATCCCCTACACCATGAAAAACTTTCAGCCTGAAGATAGAAAAGAAATTTCATAGAAAACAACAAGTACAACGCTTTGTAAAATAAGATAAATTAAAATGTTGGCTTACTTCTGCGACATTGGTGTCCAGCCTATTATCGCCTTACATGGTATGAAGAATATGGCTTCCTACATGAATGAATAATTTAATCAATGAAAGACTGATATATTTTACTAAAATAATTCACAATTACATCAGTTGTTGAACAATTTTACAAATAATTAAGTGTAAAATAAAAAAAGATTCCTAAATAATTTATTGCGCGTATGTTCACGAATTGAGCCATTTGATGAACAAAGGAATTTTCAAAGAGTTTTGTAGAAGAAACGAGAATATTTACATAACTGTCTCGGATCGTAACTACGAGAATTTACATGGTTAAAAATCTTCTGGAAATTGCATTGATTCTTGCTGTTTTGAAAGAAGAGATAAGGAAAAATTTCACTACTTTCAAATAAACAGGAATTTAATAAACAATCCAAGCTACATACTATCGTAATTTTAACACCGAAGCGTACCTGCAGCAAAACATCACTATTCAGTGGTAAAATTAAAGTAAACAAACCCTGGTCGAGAGATCAATAAGTACAAAAGATTCCACTGAGAGAACCAGAAAGCATTTTATCATTGTCATATTACGATGATCTTCAACCTTTAATTACCAGAGTAAAAATGTCAATTAAAGGGTCTATAGAACAGCAACTTTATGAATCCGTCATATCCCATAAAGTACCTCAACATCCCAAGATAAACCTCCTTTGGATAAAACCTCTGGTTTGACGTTAGGATGGACTTTTTCCTTTTTCTTGGATCCCAAGGAAAACATACCTGATAAAGAACAACAAATGTACTTGAATCGTCACACCCACCCACCCCTCCCAAGTTCATCGATAAGACAACAAATGCACTTGAATCAGCACAATCCCCCACCCCTCCAAAGTGCATCGATAGCACAACAAATGTCGGCACACCCACCCAAAGTTCATCGATAAGACAACAAATGCACTTGAATCAGCACAATCCCCCACCCCTCCCAAGTGCATCGTTAGCACAACAAATGTACTTGAATCGGCACACCCACCCACCCCTCCAAAGTGCATCAATCTTTTTGTATTCAGGAGGGGGTGAACTTCCACTTAATAGAGGAAAGACAGAGGATAAGAAGGAAGGATAAAAGATTGTGCTCCTTACCAAACTTGGCTCCAGTCTCTACTGTGGTGTTAGTCGTGTAGTTCGTTACCAGGTCCCTGAGATACTCGTGTCGCGTCCTCACGGCCATTGCACGAAACTTGTCCGATTTGTGGGCAGCATTTTCAGCATTTATCACTAAAACGAACACGAAGTTACATGACTGTAAATTTTCGATAAAAAGTCTTTGCTTTTGCAGTAAAACATACATTTCGTTACTAGAAACGATTGAAAACCATCTTTATTGGTAAAAACTCCGCCTGCGGGAATTGGAGGACCAAACGCTGGAACGTCTTTCGAACGACTCACTGCAACTCTGTTACAAACGAAAAAAATATTTCAATCATTCCAATAAATAGATTGTTATATGTTTGTAGATGTAGATCGTCCAGGTTGGTATAGTCCTGAGAAGGACTTTTCTTGTTGTTGTTGACTGACGTTTCGACAACCTTAGCGGTAGTCATCTTTAGAGTCAAATGAGGAGTAAACGTCAGGTTAGCCGTATTTGTTATCTGGTTCTTACGTCAAACAATAAAGATAACAAATATGAGTCAAAATGACTCTGAAGATGAAGAATGACACATTTTGACTCTGAAGATGACTACCGCTAAGGTTGTCGAAACGTCAGTCAACATCAACAACAACAGTCCTTCTCAGGACTATACCAACCTGGACGATCTACATTTACAAACATGTAACGATACTCCCGGGTTCAAACCATTTACTGTAAAAATATTGTCGAAACTTTCAAACGCATTCATTAAAACAATCGCCGAATTTCCAGTAAAATATTTTTTGGCTGTAAATCCATTCATATGAACTATCTCTATTTATATAAAATATAGTACGGAGTTCAAAGGATGTTAAAGGATACAAGAGGGTAAACAATGTATACATGAACACTACGTCACTATAGAAAGTATATGAATTTAAATAACCAATCTTCATCATCTCTCAAATTCTGGAGAAGTAAGCACAAATGAACAAATGCACAAACGTTCTTACTGGTATTTCACGTTTGGTGTACATGGATCAAAGACTCGGACGAGAATGAACACGTGCTGAAAATGTGATCGAATACTCTTCGGTGTAAATTGCAACGCACCGGGTTCTTGGAAGACGATAGTAACAATGTCGTTACCAATATGACGTTTACGAAGCAACTAGAGAAGTGACGAGAATAAAGAAGATCAAAACATTTTCGAGGTATGTCAAACGCTTGTTTGACCATTGAACAAATGAGGTATATAAGCAATTCCTCGATCAAGGATACTATGCATGTTGCTTTAGAACGACCTCAAAGTCCTTAAGAAAAATTTTGGGTCAGCAGACATCAACAGTTAGCGACTAAAACTTCAATTCACCCAACCTTTAGCAAGAATCTGTGCCATTACCAACTAAATTGCCCACCTCCCTTCCCCTCCCGCCGCTCTGCCCCAGTCCCCAGACTCCACACGCCCATGTTTCCAAGATATTCTAACCGCACTAACTTGTTGCCTGTTGTTCGATGTCCACGGCAGCATGGTTGACACGTGGAACATGACTTCTCGACCACGAAATCTTCGATACAACGAATAAACGCCGGTGGAGTCATCTGAACGATGGAAAATAAGGCAAATCTTTATCATAATGATTACTTCTTAGAGATAATAGTACATACGGAAAGGCATCTCAAGACAAGTGAAACTGTGCTCTTGAAGCATAGTTAGGTGCAAAAAAAAATAATCGCGAAATTTTGGAAATATTCGTGAACGCTATTCGACAAAAGCTTACTTGTCATACAATAATCGTCAATAATCAAACTTACTCCTATTGTCCAACTGTGCTCTATAACCTTGGAAGCCTTTCAGCATAACTTTTTCACCAATCAAATTCATAAATTCTTCGAAAGCGGGACCAGCTTCCTCTGAAAAACACGAGGCAAAAATCAAACACATCAAAACGCAGTAAACTACAAGTTGTTTACATCAGTGCCGAGACTGGCCCCAAATCATTTAGTCCTGTCAGTTTTTACGAGTTCGCTCAATGGAAAAACAATAGATTTCTAACAGGACAAAACTTGCGGACTGGCTAAGCTAATTGTATTTAATATACTTTGTATACATTATTAACCCCTTAATGACCGAGCGCGAGGTCTTTACGGAGAAATAACGGGCCGAGCCCGTAGGGCGAGGTTTGTACAAAAAGACAGAGGTCCGATATTTCTCAGTAAAGACCGAGAAAGCGAGGTTATTAAAAGGATTATATGGCATTATTTGACCTGAAACGAAGCTTGCTTTCTTTCTTGTCCTTGCTGTTTTACGGGTTGATTTTCACTTTTCTAGTTTTCGTCCATAAAAAATAAACTCGTTTAAAATTGTATCGTCTAGATAGTTTAACTGTTTTCCAAGTGTTTTTCTTTCGAATCACATTTGTAAATGTTTTTTTGTTTCGTTTATTTTGCGTTTTGCTGTTTGCTTAACGATGTTTGTTTACATTTGACAGTAAAATTACGCGTTTTGGACCGTGGTCGATTACGGGAAAATAATGGACCGGCAAAAATGTTTCTGAGTCAATCAAAGCGCATCGTTTAGCCGGAGTGACGCTTGCCCTAGAATAATTACCGTTATTGTACATTTCTTCTTCGGTACTTTGACCTGCCTTGCAGTAAAGTATACCAATTTTATGCTGTCTTGTCACCTGCAAGATTATATTGTGATACACAACCGTCAGATTACAGTTTGTCAATTTTACATTCAAATCACCAATACGCAATTGTTCCTTGCGTACAAACAACGTACCCCTTGTTCGTCGAGTTTTAACAGAATTTCAGGCACCTGAAAATTGGAGAAAGGAATGTTTGACAACACGCTTCAGGGCTAGAACTACAAAATGGCGGGGATAAACGGACTCTTTGGTGTTTGAATCCTCTAGACGAAATAATGAGAAAATACGACAAAAGCACAATCAATAGTGAGAATACGTTTTTCCATTTGCATTGAAACTGTTCACTTATAGTTTTCATTCGCATACTTTAACGAATAAACGAAGTCATTAAAATGGACGCAGGGCAGACTGTGTAAAAACAGTCTTAAAGTATACATTTTGGAGATGACGTACACTCTTTCTTGGCATTATAAATATCGGTAGATTGTAAATTTTCATTTAGCAGACGTTGACACCTGAGGAGTAGTCTCCCGAAATGCATCGTGTCATTTAATTTAGAACTATTGGTTTAGTGCTCTTTACTAAAAACAGTTCTTTTAAGAGCTATCAACTTATTATATTACTTTTACCATTCACTATGGTATTTGCTATCTTTAGAACTATTTTCATTCACGAAGTCAGTACTGAAGGCTTTACTACGTACCTTTGGGGTTGGCATTGCAAGTTTCAGACAACTCAGGTTCAGCTCTGGACAGACATATTCTAAAATATCTTTAGGAGGGAGACCACGTGATGAATTATGACGTGACGTCGACGGTATACATTCCTCCAACAAACTACCACGTAGTGTTTCCATCTAAGGAAAAACAAACATTCAGAGATTACTGATGTGATATCAACAGTTATAAAGTGAAAACAGAATATCTCTGTCCTCGGCTGTGTATAAAGTGTATGAAGACTGTGTACTTACAGCACTTGTTCTGACAATGACCCTGTACTCATACTGTGTATAAAGTGTATGAAAACTGCGTACTTACAGCACTTGTTCTGACAATGACCCTGTACTCATACTGTGTATAAAGTGTATGAAAACTGTGTACTTACAGCACTTGTTCTGACAATGACCCAGTACTCATACTGTGTTAAAGTGTATGAAAACTGTGTACTTACAGCACTTGTTCTGACAATGACCCTGTACTCATACTGTGTTAAAGTAGATTCCTCCGCACTGTTCAACGCAATTTCTGATTTCTCTCTCTTATATGAGATTGCTATAGCACCAAATTTTTCATCCTCCCCGACATAGGTCACGTGATCTGAAATATCGAAACAAATTTCTTTCGAGCCATACATTCATTTTTTTATCAAACAAAATACATGAAATGAGATTAATTCAAATTTCAAAATAGCAAGAGGTAATTTGGATGGAAGTGGTTTGGAGAATGATGTATTGTCGTACAAGGTGTATAGTAGTGAAGCTCTAAAAGAGGTTTTGTTTCTTTTGTGATTTTCATATAAAAATCCTGACACATTTTTTAAATAGTTCATGTACAAGGTTGAAGTAGTAAAATTTCAAGTTTTTTCAAGGATATATCTTGAAAAATTTAAGGAGAAGGAAGACCTTGAATTGCGCACAAAACACGACTAAAGCAAGAAATCATTATTAAAAAATACGATCAAAATTAAAACAAAAAAATTTGAGAGCAAATGGTGTGTTTTCATATGACTTAAAAGTTGCCATGCTGGTAAGTTTCTACAAACTTTTAAAATGTAACAAACAAGTTACTTTTTTGCAATAAAGGGTTAAGATAAAATTTCAACTCCACTTTTCAAGTGGAGCTGCAGTGAAATGAATACAAACGTTTGATAAAAAAAATTTAATTCAAGCACTTTCAAGCACATCTTCATAAATCAATGAGGCCTTTAATTTTTCAATTTATTTTCAAGGACATCCACATTCTTTTGGAACCTGGTCTTCATTGTCAAAAATGTGCCTTATAGATTGTGTTTTCATATATTGTCAAAAAATCAATTTTCCTACTTTCATAAAATGATATAATATTCATCTTGCGGGACGAGACAAGACATAATTCCAATCAAAGAGAATGGTTTGAACAAAGAGCTATGTATTATTACATGTTTGTAGGTACAGGTTAGTGCAATCTAAAGTAAAACTGTTGGTGGTCACTTGACTCTGAAGATGAATACTGCTAAGGAAGTCAAAATGTCAGTCAACAACAACACACACACCAACAGTCCTTCTTACGACTAACCTGCTAACCTGCACCATTAACACTTTAACAAACTTGTACAATACTTACTTACCTTGGTTATAAAAATAATGTCGATAATAGAAAGCTCCGTGATCAACATGTTCGAACATCTTACGATCCTCCATACTACAAAGATCTGCTGGTTCATTGATCTCCCCCTGTGCAGATTGAGAGTCAAGTATTGTGACTCCAGTTGCACTGAAGACCTGACCACGTCGTATAGAGTCATAAGCAGTGAGCACAACATCTACTGTAGAATGTCGGCGATTTAGACTTCTTTGTCCGTGAAGTGTCTTATACGATGAATTGTAACGAAATTCTCCGAACATCTCATCTTGTTCACCGCCAAGTTCATTACGAAAAAATGGACATGAGAGAACAAGCTCATTAGTTTTATAATCACCTTGTTCATCCTCTCTCATATCTTCAGCACTATTGGACAACTTGTATATCTGCGATTTGTTTGCAATAACTGCTGCGGTTTCACGACCTGATGCTGCTGACGCCCCAGTGATTGTATTTTGTCGCTTCAAGGCATCACCTTTCTTTGAAATGTCATTTGCAATAATATCAAAATCAAATGCAGCACTTTGAACATCATAATGCGCAAATGCCTTTCTCGGTTTCTCCCAATCTCTTTCATCCTGGATCCCACCTTTGTCGTCAGATTTGTTTTTTCTTGAACTCCCTTTTAATGAGTTCTTGCGTTTCAGATTGAGATATGCTTTCTTGTCTGTCATAGGACTGGCTGTCCCTGAAATCGCAGGTGATTTAAATAATTTACCACTTCCACTCCAGTCTGTGTGGTCATTCCCTTTCTTTGATGTCAAGTTGTTGAGTTTCTGTTCCAATTGTCCTTTAAAACTTGCGTTCTCAAAACGTTTAATAATGTCTTGAAATGTATCTCCAGATTTCGGTCCCTCTCGCATTTCCCCGTTTCTCTGATCATTGCTGGCAACAGACATGGGCATCATATGAACTTCGCTTGTATCGCTCGAGCTACGGACGTGAAAATATTCGGTGTTCGGACCAAAATTGTGTATGGAACCCGTACTCTTTCTCGTCTCGTCGTCTTTGTTATGCTTCAAGAGGTTCGACGATTTTGCTTCTCGTGCTTGTCCCGGGAAATAATTGAATCCTCGCGGCAAAGACGACGGCATACCGTCAAACTGAGTTTGTTCTTCACCATTGTAGACAATACCTTGCCTCTTTGATGACATATTAGAACGATTGTGCTGTATTTTCGACATCTCCAAGCGCATTATTTCACACAACTAGCAATACTGAAAGTATTCGCAGCAAAAGAAATCGTTTTTCCCCTTCGGGAACCTTGATCTCCCTCACAGACTTTTATCTAGACGTCGTAATCGTTGTTGTCATAAGTCATCCAGTACGCTGCTGCACGTTGTGATGATTTGTATCGAAATCTATGTAACTCGTACTGGATTGTATCTCACGAACCGGAACTCAAAGGATCTCTAAAATCACTGACTCGACTAAAAATAACGTCTTGCTTCGACTTCATGCATACAAAGTGCTTCGAGGGGCTTTTTTTTGCACAATGATACACAAACGATCCTCTAGTTAGGGCCGCGGTATAGTGTTACAACAAAAAAAGTTTAATATCTTTCACCGCTAAACTATGGCTCGTTTTCTGATCAGGAGCTGTATTCAAAACGATATCCGATGAAATAATTCGTAGCAACGAAACAACAGCCGAGTTTCGTCGAATGATCTGGTGGCTTTCACGCACAAAATCCTTTCGCTTTGAATGATACAAATAAATGACGATGTAATTATTTATGATTACCTAAATTAATTTACCGTAAATGTTCACCGTTGGCACTTGAAATAACTCAAACGGTAAAAAGATTTTCCCGATGACATCTAACGCCACCTTAAAGAATACGCAGAGGTCTTATCATTGACACATTTATCGCGAAGGAAACCAGGTCAAGACGAATGAGACAAACGCAAGATGTCACAGATAAATCGTTGATGTGCAAGCATTACGCTTCTTTGAAGCTCATTTAGCCATTCTTGAAGAGACGTGTCAAACAATGACACTAAAAGTTACTTCGACTAACCCCTAAAATACACCACGTTGAATGGAAAACAGATTTCTAGTAGTTGAGTAATATCGTCTTTCACAACGTGTCGTCCACTTTGACAATTGAGAACTCAGTCACCTACACAAATTGCTCCCTCCCCCCCATTCATGCATCGGAATGCTATCGTTTGAAATCGTTAAAATTCCGGAAATGATCGTCTTTGCGACACCACCACGAACATTCTTCTATCATCTAAATCACCGTAAGGTTTATAAAAAATTTTACATACTTTCTCAACAAGAATTTTACATTTACTTTTTATTACTAAGGGAAACCATTCCAAACAACAATTATTTGATAAAGCCAGATGAACTGACACAAAGCACACGGAAATCAAAAAACGACAGCTTTGTACGTCAAGAATTGACGTGTTTTAGGTGACACGAAAGGTGACAAAAAACACATTCCCACGTTAAATGGAAACTTAAAGAACACCTGCGTAGAGCGCAGGAGAAAACGAGTTTACTCAAACAAACGTATTTCAAATCAAACTTTACTCAATTCGATACTGAAATCCGTGCAATAAAAACTCTTAAAATTTACAAAAACACTAGCTATAAATAAACTAATGATTGCTTCGTACGAACAGGTGAAGTGGGAAAAAACAAGTTAAAAATGACCGGGATGTTTTGACATAGTTGAAAAACAATTTCCTGAGCAATAAAATGCCATCACAATGCCAAGCCTCCTTGAAGAATGCTTGTTATGAGAATTTTGTCTTTAAGAGCATGTTCGACTTCTCGCTCATCGATTTTCAACGAAACCTAAAAGTAGGGAAAAAACACTTGTGGAAATGAATGGATCAGCAGAAAGACAAAGAATGAACCGCAAAGTTGAGTATATAGTGAGAAATTACAGGGACGTATAACTAGTCAATTACATTCATAAAAGGAAGATATGAAGTCAATTACATTCATAAAGTTTTTCCAGTCTTTTTGGAAGTGAAGAGCCCAATGTGAACAAATGTATGTATACCTTAGTACTCCTAGTTTCTTTAGCTCGTTTTAGTGAAACAATGCCTCTAGTCTCGAGAAGACTACACAATGAAAGACAGTCTTCCTGATTGATTTGAGAAACTTTTCTTTTCTTGCAAATGCTTCTATACGTCTCATGAAGCTGGAACGAAAATATTATTTTAATCAGAAATTTATATCTGCTAAAACCTACGTCATGAACGACAAATACGCAAGAACCGGTGTGCGGGGGTTTAATGGCCAGACATATACAGTTTTTGAATGTCTGTTTTTGAAATTAAAATCCGGTTACAACAAGATGCATAATACATACCTGTCCAACTGATAACTCGCGAAGTTTACTTTGTTTTTGTAGAAGCAGGAGAGTACATATAAGTATCTTCTGTTGTAGAGGGATTGTTGGCTGCTCACCACCGCAAGTGTTGATCAAACGAGAACCGTAAACAGCGGATATTACTTTTGAAACATGAGCAATGGTGACTTTCTTCACTTCATTTGTAGACGATTGGGCTGAATACAAATGTTTAGGGTTGAGAATTTGTCAATTCACACTTTCAACAAAAATATCGATTGCTGAAATGAGGAACGGGGATAGAAGGGGGAATGTGGTATGATGACTTAACTGTGCCATTCAAACTACATAATAAAGCTACTTAAGCATTTGTCATGTTTTCATCCACTCACAAGTATCTACAGGTTTCAGAATTTGCTGTCGTCGTACTTCGCCTTCGACAATTTCAACAGCTCTACGACAGATATCCAAGGCTTTGCGCATGTCACCGGACACGGCTGCTATCTTCCGCGCACAAAACTGAACAGCACTTACATCGACGACATTCTGTGAGACTTCGACCTAAATTTCAACACGAAAAATACGTTTCTATTCAGTTGATTTGCGCAATAAAGACAACAAAAAAGAGAACACGAAAGAAAATCAAACCTCGCTTAATCTTGCCGAGAGAATTTTCACGATTTGGTCTTTGGAATAAGGCGGAAAATGAAGTAATTTGGGTTTACCTGAACAAAAGACGAGCTGATATAGAATTGATAAGTTTTTATGGCTTTGTTAAAGTTCAAGCAAAATGATTAAAATGTTTTTTTACAGACGTGTATTGATCATTTAGTGGGAAGATCGAACTAGGCAGTCAATAACTTACATTCTGGTCGTAAATGCAGTCTTGGAAGGAGTCTATCAGTCAAGTCCAAAGCGTTGGCGATTCCTTCAAAATGAATACAATGTTATCAATTCATGGATCACATTGGTCGTCTATGGCTAAAAGTGATCAACGAGAGTTAAACATGTTACCGATGAGAATGAGCCGAGAGGAAGGTAGGGATGGCCATTCAAACATTGTGTACAGAACATCTTGTCGTTTACTTTCCAACTGATCGACCTCATCCAGAATCAAAACACTAAATAATTGACAACAGTTGATGATAGAGGTCCAGAGGGAAGACAAAGTTTCAATCGATGCCCAAAAGTCATCCGATTAAAAGGTTGGTGCCCATTGAAAAGCCAATCGTACTTACATTGGTGCGCCTTTAGTAGTAAATTTCTTTTCTAAAAACTTCTCAGCTTCTGCGTTTGTGAGCTTGTCCCAACCAGTTAGCTCCTGAGCTATCTTCGAGAAGATTCGATGCGATCGACTGAGGTTCATGCAATTGATACATTGAATGTCGCATTTCACTCCGTTCTCCTACAAGAGGGAACGACTATATAGAAGAGTAGACTCCAGATTGCGTTGGTGAATGAAAAAAAATCATAAAACTAACAAAACAAAAATTTAAGCAACGTAAAAAGCCGTTTACGTCGATATAAAAAAATCTATACCTGTAAATCTTCTATAATATGGGTCAAACAAGCCGTTTTTCCTGTTCCTGGCGGACCAGATATGTACAAACTTCCAGGCTTCTGTAATTTTGTATGTTCTTCAATAAACGCTTGTATTTGTCGTGTTTCCGTTTCACGACAAAGAAGATTCGATGGAATGGAAGAATTGAAGACTTGTTTTGCTTTCTTATAAGCTTGAGCTAAAGAATGAGAAAAATCATTGTTTTTGGTGTAAATGTCGACAATATAAAATCAATGTTTAAAGAATTATTTAAAGACGAAAGAATTGCCCAGTTTTGACTTCAGTTGTCCCATACTACCTACATATAACAGTGAAATGACCTAGGCGTTTTTTTAATCCGTTTAAATTGTTCTTAGCTACCATCATTTTAAAGTGCAGGCAATTTATAATAAAACAATCGAAGTACTTCAACTTGATTTCTAACGACAAATTTATCTTACCATCTGGCCTGGAACAACGAAATAACTGTCTGTGAGAAGTCGTATCCTTCGGTGAAATACACTTGTGCTTTTTATCTGGAGAAAACGCAATCGGAGTGTCTCAGAATTGAAATGCCAATGAAGCATTCATTATCCATGATAAACGAATCAGTCAAAAAAATGCAGTCATGACTGCACACAAATAAATGTCAAGCCATAATCATCTGGTACGTTAGGGGCTTGTGGCACACACACAAACTCTTAGTACCCTTATATGAACCTTTAGCATGCCTTCTAGCCCACTACTGCACTCAATTTCCACCACCAATATCTCCCAAAATCATGAAAATCCATTTAAAAAGCACAACACAATGATATTGACGTAGGTAGGCATATCATGTGAAAGAGGGGAAAAATTTCAAAAGCCATAAGATCTAAAACTCATCTTATACTCACGTGTGCTAAAAAGAATCAAATTTCATATAAGTCTGTTAAGTCATTTTATTTCATCAAATGGAAAGCAGATTTCTTCCATTGTTTATCAATCCCCCCCCCCCTTTTAAGTTCAACTTTGTTCATCATTAATCATTTTCGACACATGTTTCCATTTTGCACAATCAAAATCATGCTTTCACTGTAAATCATTACAATATAATGTTTGACATCCAGCAAAATGATTTTACTTACCAACTTCCAGGGAAGAATTTGATAGCTTTGACACCAACTTTTTCACGCAACTTGTTTGGGCAAGAGAGTTTGCAAATCTACTTGGCAATCTTTTTTCTAGACAAAACACAATTCAACTTCATATTGCAGTTGTTTCCAACACTATGCCGTTCACATATTTCTCATGCTTTTCGAGAAATCGCCATATCGTGACAAACCATCACAAATATTGAGATGAATTGAAAAGTCACCATGGACTAACACACAAAAATTCAATTCAACAAAATAGAACATGAATAATACCTAAAGTTTCATATGAATTCACAGCATTACCTGCACTTCTCAGTATTTTAATGTTTGGCATAAATAAAATGTTTGTAGAAGCCGAATCTAACATCATCTTTTGATTATCTAATTTAAGCAGAAAAAAAGTTCATTGTTAGTATTCCAGTGAAATGAAATCAACTCATTTTTATTCATTAAGTAATCAACTCTGGTCATTGTCAATTATTACCTGAATTTTTTGTTGATGAGCAGCTAATTCCAGTTTTGGACCATCACTTGGTGAAACTTTGGTTATGGCATGACGAAGAGTGCTTCTAAGTTTTCTTCTAGGATTAAAACTTCTCTTTTTGTTGGATTGTTGCCCAGTGATATTTGTGTTGCAAATGGTCAAACTTCCTTCATTCTCTGCATAAAACAGTTTTTGAATCTTAACATCTTTTAAGCTTATTTACAAGCAGAATAGATGAACTAAATATTATATTAAGCAGCAACTTTGGCAAGGGGAAACAAAGAGGATGATGGAAATAACCAATTAACAATATATTTAAGTTTTGAACAATTAAAAAATACAACAATAATATACAGGGGCACACACTACTATAAAATATACAAAGTATTGTACTCTCTGGGATGGACTTTTGCGGTTGTCTATAATTGATAAACACCAAGTTTTTTGTTTGGTATTAGAATCTCAACAGATTTTAAACAAATTTCATGAAAGCTGGAGTAATACACACCCTAACCCCACAAATGTGCACTCTTAGTCAAAGTGTAAATGTTTTAAGGTCCACCCCCCACCTCCACAGGTAAAAACCTCTATTACCGCCATTTTCATCACGTGTACAAAAGATGAGAAATATTTGTTTGGTTTATCTATGACTTTTCCTCGATTCTTATCACAGAGTACAATATACTACCTTCGTTTTCATTATGGTTTGAAAATCTACGGAATTTTGAGGCTATTTCGTCTGAGTTTTTCGTTTGAAATACACAAGTTTGCACTAAGCGATCGTTTGAAACATCTTCCATCTCATTGTGCGATCTCTTGTTTATGGGCGATGAATGGGATGATGGCACTGGACTGTCACTTCCATCTTCACCTAAGGAAATTATTCACACAAACCACTGAGTATCATAGCTATGAAAGACGTTTTGAACTATACACTTAACCTCTTCGAATAAATCAATATGAACTTTTCACTTGAGTGAAATTGAGGTGTCTTATAGAGCACAGAGTGTACATCCCGTTTTCACTATGTGCCATCTTAAAAGACAACTTTCCACATAGATTCATCGAGGAAAAATCTCTTTAAATCATACCTTGGGTATTGTCATAAAAAACCAATGATTTCTCCGCACGACCGTCGACTCCGCCATCTAATGGCTTCTCCTTCGAATACTTGCTTTTACGTTTGCGAAAAGCAATCTTAAACTGTTGCCTAGTCTTCACCATATTTGATAACTCTGAAGTCGGACGACGGCTTATCAATTTAAAAATAAAAAATTAAAAGGACGACCAGAAATTTGCCCAAAATAAATGATAAAAAAGCTCAAAATTGTAAGACACAATCGAACTAAACAATTAAATGTTGTGCCTTACTACGAAAATCCCGCGAAATTACATTCCTCCTCCAATCACATCCTGTCACATGACCTTTCTGGTAACCAAGGTGAAAAAGCGAGGGGAGGGAGGGGGTACTACCGTATATTTAGCGACAAATTGTAAACATAACTAATTGAAAATCGTCAAAACTCGTGAAAGAAATTCAAAATTTCACTTTAATTTCATATTATAAAACATGAAATTTCTTAACAATTAAATACAATTTCCTACTTAACTATTTACAAATATCTTTTCATACGACACAAAAACTAGGATTGGCCAATATTTGATGCATTAATTTTATATGGGAGTCGGTCTGAGAGAAACAATCTTTCCGTCATATATTCAAGACCCTGGCGTGCCTAAAAAAAATAAAATAACAAAAAAAAACCATCAAAACATCATCTTTGAACAACAATTATGAGCTAATATTTTGATTAATTTTTAATAGAATTTCAAAGTTCATTTTTGAAAAATAACTAAGCAGCTTTTAGTCTATTTCACGAGCAATTTTTTGACAATTATATGCTTCCAGTGGCAGTCATTAAGTACTAATTCAAGACAAGAGCACATTTACGACATATAAATTACATTTGCAAATTCTAAGTCCATGGAATTAATAAAGTTTTAAACAATAAAGTAAAAAGGACTGCTGATCAAATAATATCACCAAAAACCAACAAAAATGTGGATATGAAAGACATACAAATTTTCTTGGCATTGCCATAGTTTTTCATTATTAAATGGAATGAAATGTCAGACCTGCATAACTGACTGCAAGAACTACTCAATTGGTACATGTTAAAATCATTTTTAACATTAAAAGTAGATTGTGTTTAACACATACAAATGTCAAACCGTATTGAAGTATTGTATTGCAGACTGTATCCAAATATTCAATAAATCAATCTCTTGCAAAAACCAAGTAGATTTATGAAGTAAAATTTACCACCTTTAATATATTTCTTTTATATCTTTCTATCCCAAATGATTCGATCGCTCTTGCCAAACCAAACACATTTGATATAAACCAAGCATCTTTGCGACACTCCGTCCTACAGTTCATGTAAAAATAACCTGCCATAAGGAGTTAAATACTTGGAATTTATATCCAAGCAAATATCCATACCAATTTTTATTAGTCTTGCACACTGAATAAACACATCTTTCCTCTACAACCATTAGGAAGTAAAAAGATGTTTCTAGAGTAGGTGGTCATAACTTTCTTCTTGGGATCGACCATAGACTCTTCAATAATACACGCAGACTTTATTCCACTTCCTACAAACTTTATGAAAACAACAATAACAAATAATGGCTAATGTCAACAATCATACAGTTCTTCCATTTATACTTTAACTGTCCATTTTGGAGCAGGATTTGTCTTCACCAGTAAGCGCTTGCTCTTCATAACGCCATCCTCAATGTGTCTAAACAAAAATTGAAAATAGTAATGTTTATTAAATAGGGAGCAATTATAGGAAACCCGTCCATTCTCAAAGGCACCCTTACAAATTCAAGGATACCGCATACATAATAAAACATAATAGTTAATTTAAAATAAAATATTATTTAGTTCTCAAGTATTATTTATCTAGCATCATTTTGTATCATTCAAAGGTCAATATAAAGAACGAAGTATAAAGAACGAGGCTTATTATATAAGTGGAAGTTAGTGGACGGGTATTCTATAATCTAGCCTTAAATAAAAGTAATTTATATATACACATCGATTGCAGGAATCAAGATCATCTTCCTTGAGTCGTGAGAGCATGCACGACAAACAAATATGTATAATGCAATACATTCCGTTTGTTATTAAATAGAATTACTAATAAGTCATAAACAATGCAATCATTCGGTGAAAAAACAGCCCAAGACATCTGGTATTAGTAGGAAAACGATAAAAAATACCGAGAAAGAACATCTTCAGACAACACGTGTTTACTGTAAGGATTTGGGTATCTTCTGTGCCAAGCAGTCGAAACCGTTTCCCAGTCAAATCTTAATGTTAAAACGACAAAATCACGCAAAAAGAAATTAATATGCACATAAACGGGACATTGACTTACTTGATTGTGGACGTCCCTTGGAAGAATTTCATTTATGTATCAAAAAATGCGTAAAATCTATGTTCAATCAAGTTTACATGCAAGTACGAAATGATATATCGGAAGCCATTACTGACGTCATTATCGTAAGACTATCGTAACAATATCGGTCGCACTTCGGCCTTATAATAACTATATGAAAATGAGCGTACAGAAAGGAGACAGAGGTTAATATTTTCATTTAACAGTATCGTGTGATGGGATAAATTATTTTGCGAAGATATTACCATACGGACAATTCAATTGACTTTATTTACACAACTTTATCTTTAAAAACAAAATTTGAATTCAACCAATCACGTTTTCAATGGTGTCCTTTGTCCTGTGTCTCCAAATTTCGTTTTGAACAGTTCAACAAATTTTTCACAATGTTCACCTAAAGTGTAATGCAGCAATATCAAAAATTGCGAAACGTGATAAAGTTGTTGAAGTATTTTTGTGAAAATAATCCCCTCACCTGGAACAAACATAGGGTTTCCTCGAAGTCTCTGGTTTCGTTGCTCGAAAAATTTGAACACTATAAAGTAAAACACGGTAGATCGTTTAAATTTGCCTCTGAACGTAAGCTTTAAATTACAAATCTTTATTCAGATCTAATGTCAAAACTTGAGTTCTTATATACGCCAATCTAGTGTCTTCATCATCAGGAGTGATGTAATGTTGAAACTTGAGTTCTTATATACTACAGTCTAGTGTCTTCATCAGGAGTGATCTGTTGTTAAAACTTGAGTCCTTATATACTCCTGTCTACTGTCTTAATCAGGAGTGATCTTATGTTGAAACTTGAGTTCTTATATACTCCAGTCTAGTGTCTTCATCAGGTGTGATCTAATGTTTAAACTTGAGTCCTTAAACTCCAGTCTACTGTCTTCATCAGTAGTGAACTGATGTAAAAACTTTACGTTAAAAAAATTTTACCAGTGTAAAACATGGTGTTATCCCCACAATTCACGGCAGCTTCGAGAAATTTTTGAGGTGAGGCCGAATCCTCGCTTGATACACTTCGAAGAAATCTAAGTGCCGCCAGCAACTAGATCAATAAAATATTTAGAGAGCGCCAATTGTCGTATAATTTAAAACTAAACTTAGCAAGTAAGAGCGAAGCTTCAAAATACCTGCCCTTTGGACAACAGTATTTCCACAATTTCTTCGTTAGCTTTGTTCAATCTCTGCAATATAAGACGGACTATAGAAAATAGACCAAAACAACAATCATACAGATACATTCATATACTTCAGCACATCACATGGTCATCGTCAATCCAATCCTAATCTCAAAGATACATTCATATATTTCAGTGCATCGAATGGTCGTCTTAAATCTAATCCTAATCTCGTGGAACTAAAGACGCATATAACAACACGAGTCACAAAAATACCAAAAAGAAATGAAGTTGGTTGAAATTCTGAACACAAGCTTACCTTAAGCATGTCAAGTGCCAGTTGATAAGCAGGTGGATAATCCGTTTCCAAAGACAACATCACACACGCCTAAATATTTGAAAGTTGATAAACAGATGGATACACGCCTCCAGGGAGAACATCACACGAGCCTCAATAGTTGAAGTTGAAAATGTATAAAACATTACAAAATATCAAGTTACAGATACTAAAATTGAAAATTGATAATGCTAACGTAAATCAAATCAATAAATGCGTTTAAAGCATTTCTATGAATTCTACCAATTTATTATTATTGGTAAAGCGATTCGTTAACTCACCAATAGTTTGGAGTCTGTGATCACGTGGTACTGTAATAACTACAAAAGAATCAATACCAAGATACCGTATCAAAAATTTCTGCAAGATTCTTTCGTCAGATGATATTTAATACTCAAATCGCAGCTTATTCTGTTCACTGATTAAAAGTCAGGTTGTAAAAAATATTGTTACATACCTGATGCAGTTGATAATATTTCTTAGTGTGAACAAGAGTGTTGATTAACAATTCATGAATGTTATACTTGAATAGAAAGTGGCAAAAAAACATTGAATGAGAAATAGTTAATTGTTCTCAAAGAAAGACCACGTGACCTTGCTATCTACACATACGTCGACTTTCATTTGATGTTCGTTAATTGATCGGATATATTCGATGAGCACCGCTATCATGAACTTGGCATTCGTCTTCTACAACAAAGATTTCAGAAGCATTGAAGTTTCGTCATTGGCTAATCAACAACGGTGGAAAACATTAGATGAGCCACGTGACTAATGAACAACGAAACTACCGTCTTCAATATCATCTAGGAACCGAGTTACACGAGGCCTGGAGAGAGCTACTCGTTGATTTTTAACAGCTTCAAAAATATCTTAAAAGCAACGATTTTAGGCAGATATTCGTTAAAAAGAAAGTTAATTCAATAATACGTCGTTTTCATTTCTGTGAAGAGACGATAGTTCAACAACCATTTCATAAGTTTGAAGAAGCATACCATATAGATCGCGTTCTTCCTGCCTCGTACAAGAGGTACAGATTGGTATGAAATTTTTAGGCCATTTTTAAACGTCGAATGCAATTAAAACAAAAGATAATGAAGAAGTTTATCTTATTTTCCTCTATCTTTAATGCGTTCGGCGCATGTAAAGTTCGACGTTTGAAACAGGCCTTAATGAGCAAATACAGAAATGTCAAATGCAAAAAATAACTAGAGCTTCATCGGCGCATGTAAAGTTCTACGTTTGAAACAGGCCTTAATGAGCAAATACAGAAATGTCAAATGCAAAAAATAACTAGAGCTTCATCGGCGCATGTAAAGTTCTACGTTTGAAACAGGCCTTAATGAGCAAATACAAAATGTCAAATGCAAAAATAACTAGAGCTTCATCGGCGCATGTAAAGTTCTACGTTTGAAACAGGCCTTAATGAGCAAATACAGAAATGTCAAATGCAAAAAATAACTAGAGCTTCATCGGCGCATGTAAAGTTCTACGTTTGAAACAGGCCTTAATGAGCAAATACAGAAATGTCAAATGCAAAAAATAACTAGAGCTTCATCGGCGCATGTAAAGTTCTACGTTTGAAACAGGCCTTAATGAGCAAATACAAAATGTCAAATGCAAAAAATAACTAGAGCTTCATCGGCGCATGTAAAGTTCTACGTTTGAAACAGGCCTTAATGAGCAAATACAGAAATGTCAAATGCAAAAAATAACTAGAGCTTCATCGGCGCATGTAAAGTTCTACGTTTGAAACAGGCCTTAATGAGCAAATACAAAATGTCAAATGCAAAAATAACTAGAGCTTCATCGGCGCATGTAAAGTTCTACGTTTGAAACAGGCCTTAATGAGCAAATACAGAAATGTCAAATGCAAAAAATAACTAGAGCTTCATCGGCGCATGTAAAGTTCTACGTTTGAAACAGGCCTTAATGAGCAAATACAGAAATGTCAAATGCAAAAAATAACTAGAGCTTCATCGGCGCATGTAAAGTTCTACGTTTGAAACAGGCCTTAATGAGCAAATACAAAATGTCAAATGCAAAAAATAACTAGAGCTTCATCGGCGCATGTAAAGTTCTACGTTTGAAACAGGCCTTAATGAGCAAATACAGAAATGTCAAATGCAAAAAATAACTAGAGCTTCATCGGCGCATGTAAAGTTCTACGTTTGAAACAGGCCTTAATGAGCAAATACATAAATGTCAAATGCAAAAAATAACTAGAGCTTCATCGGCGCATGTAAAGTTCTACGTTTGAAACAGGCCTTAATGAGCAAATACAGAAATGTCAAATGCAAAAAATAACTAGAGCTTCATCGGCGCATGTAAAGTTCTACGTTTGAAACAGGCCTTAATGAGCAAATACAGAAATGTCAAATGCAAAAAATAACTAGAGCTTCATCGGCGCATGTAAAGTTCTACGTTTGAAACAGGCCTTAATGAGCAAATACAAAATGTCAAATGCAAAAATAACTAGAGCTTCATCGGCGCATGTAAAGTTCTACGTTTGAAACAGGCCTTAATGAGCAAATACAGAAATGTCAAATGCAAAAAATAACTAGAGCTTCATCGGCGCATGTAAAGTTCTACGTTTGAAACAGGCCTTAATGAGCAAATACAGAAATGTCAAATGCAAAAAATAACTAGTGCTTCATAATCTTGCCTCGTGGGCCAAAACAGGCGAAAATACGTCCTTATACATGTCTTTTTGATCGACAAAACGATGATTTCTATAGAAAGTAAAGAAACGTTGACGAGCTTTTGTTTTGCTGAGCATTAAACAATAACAGTCCAACACTCAGTATTATCTTAGCTAGACATAAATTTCACTATGTTACATATACCTTGATTTGTTTGAGCTGGAACTTCGTCTGGATTGTTCACCCTACAAAAAGACATTTTGCAAGATATAGTACAATATTGTTCTTCTAAGCAAATGCCATTACGATCATGCCATTACATGTTTGTAAATGTCGATCGTCCAGGTTGGTATAGTCCTGAGAAGGACTGTTTTTGTTGTTGTTGACTGACGTTTCGACAACCTTAGCGGTAGTCATCTTCAGAGTAAAAAATGAAGATGAAGATGACTATCACTAAGGTTGTCGAAACGTCAGTCAACAACAACAAAAACAGTCCTTCTCAGGACTATACCAACCTGGACGATCGACATTTACAAACATGTAACGATACTCCCGGGTTCAAACCACTTACTTTATCATGCCATTAAGAACTCAACACGCTGCTAGGTCGTAGTCTTACTAGCCATACATGAAAAATCAAACCTAAACCTTGTTTGTTAAACACACGTACCTGTGGGGAAAATGTCTCACTTTCGACAAATGCCTTATAGTATGCATCATTCAGTTTATCAAACACTTTAGAGATCATCGCCAAAGAACATTGGGAACGAGGCATCAAAGCTATAAAAGTAAATAGACTGTGACTTAAATACTTGAACGGCAAAAGATCTAGGGATATTTAGTGATATCAAGTGATGTTTAATGACGCGTAGTTAGTAGATTGTGGTAACTAGCTCGTTCAGTCATACATATGAATGAAATCATATGAGAATGCACAGTCAACTCGACCAACTGTTCAAGTTCGTTATCATAACAACAGTCATAAATTATCAGAGAAATCATCTGAGTATGCGCAGTACTCTCAAACATGCGCAGGCCACTTGACTAATAACTTGAGTTTATAGTCATGGCAATGTCCAATTAGAGGAAGCAGAACTGCTTTCAGAGTAACTGGATGACTTGGCCACATATTACTGGAGAAATCATCAGAGCATGCGCAGTAGACCCAATCAAATGTCCCAGTTTATAATTATAGTACAACCTACTGGATGTACTATAAATTGCGGAGCAAATAGTTACTTAGTCACAAATTGTTAAAAAAATTTATGTACAAATTATAAGAGAAATTATCAGAGAAAAAATCTGAGCATGCGCAGTACACGCGAGCAAGTTAGAGTTCATAGTCATGGCAGCAACCATCTGTATGGACAACTACCAATCATGGAGTAATTAGCTCGCTCAGTCACAAATTTTCACATAAATCATCTGCGCATGCGCAGTCCTCTTAAGCATACGCAGTCGGCTTGACTAGCTGCACATCTTCATGGTCATGGCAACGATCAACTGCATCTACTAGCACCGAGTTTGAAGTAAATGGCATGCTTAGTACCAATTTAATAGAAAAATCATCTGCGCATGCGCAGTCCACTCGACTAATTGTTCATAGTCATGGCAACGACTAACTACAAGTACTTGCACTACATTTGGGTCGATTAGCTCACTTAGTCGCAAATTATCAAAGAAATCATCTGAGCATGCGCAGTGGTGACTTTATCAATACCACAACTGTCGTAAGCCTTTGAATTTATGTATATATATATATTAAGCCAATATTAGGTATAGTAGATGTCAACTAGCAGTGGAAGCTGGGTGCGATTAGGTATGCAGTGGCTTAGGGGCCCACACTTCGGTGGCGACCGCACTCTCCCTGCGTACCCCGAGCAAAGCCTATCGCAGGTGATCTCGGGGTCTGATGGGCGGAAGCTTGCTATTGCATCTCCCAAGTAGGATAGCGTGGAGGGGCGGAAATCTCCTACCGAAACGTTAACATGCGACGTTCTAGTGCCTTGCGCTTAAGAAGGTATCGGGACGCATGGACCGAAAACGGGGTTTTTTGCTTTTGAATTGTATCTTTTTGTTAACAAAATAAACCAATGTTTGTAAAATAAACCAAGCAATGTTTCAATTAACTTCTTCTGACCCTAAGCCTTTTTCTAACACTTATAATTCAAGATAACCTTCGACATGTTTTATACAATTATTATTGATTTATATCTTTCTGATTCAACTCACTCATTTACTGTTTCTCATGTATCACGAGAAAACCATCCAAGGGCTTCATGGCAAACAAGGATTATCTGGTTCCTTTAATTAACATGAGACGCTCTAGTGCTCAACTATTTCGGGGTATCGGGAGGCATGGACCGAAGACGGGATTTTCATGTTTTCAAAATTTGTCTTTTTCTTTACAAGAATTCTTCTCATAAAAGAAACTAAAACATCCAAGGATACTGCACAGGTTCGAACAACTTCTGCCTTTTTGACTTATAACTTAAACCAACTCTAAGCATGTTTATACGTTTTTTACTTGCGGCGTTCTAGTGCCTTACGCTTAAGAGGATATCGGAAAGCATGGACCGAAAACGGGTTTTTTTTTGCTTTCTAAATTTGTCTTTTTGATTCAAGAGATTCAGTTCTCATAGAATAGCATCCAATACGGTAGTATTTTGTATCATGGCAAAATATCTCTTTTCATTGTCTCATTAAATGTCGAAACAATATATTAAGTGAATAGTCTGGATTGAAGCCATGCACTTTTAAAACTAGTTAGGAAATGCTAATTAAATCTGAATAAGAAAATATTCTAAACAGATTTGTCAGGCTGTATAAACGTCTTCCAAAAAACCGAAATCAAAACTGTGCTAAAAATTCCAGAGCGGCACAGCTCTTATATACCTTGAGCACTTTTTTTTCTACACCTTGAGCTCAATGAACAAGTGTGATAGTGAATTTAAACAATAACCTTGTTTGAGGACGTCAATAATGTTTCCTTTGGCATTTCTCCTTAGTAGTAAAAACTGAATAAGGAAGGCCTGACAAAAAAAAAATGAAACAGGATTGTGTCAAATTTACACAGTAGCTTTCGCAGAGCAAATCAAAATATACCATTGCTTATGAATTTCAAGATTTTAGCAATCGACTTGGTTATAAAGTATTTTAATTAAAATCCATCAAACAATGATATGTTGTTTTGTTTTACTTTATTTTGACTTCTTCTAAAGACGTCATTGACTTCTTCTAAAGACGTCATTGACTTCTTCCAAAGACGTTATTGACTTCGTCAAGACGTCAGCTACTGACCGCAATCAATCAAGTTATGAAACAAAAAAATACTTTAAAAGAGTTGCACCAGCGTTAACCGCATTACGATGTTAATGAGAAAGTGCCATGTTATATGACAATAAAAATTTAAATTTCAAAATGCAGCAATCCACAAGTATTTTCGTTGAAGATATCGTTCGTTTACGACGCGATAAAAAGCGCATTTCTTTTAGACTTAGCGCAATTCCACCAATGATAAAGCTGGCTAAAACACGACAACATACCTTGTCTGCTATCATATTCAACAGCGGTTCCAGTCTTACATAAACTCCCCATAAACAGCCTTAGAAAGATGAAACCTACAGTTAGTGTCGTTCCCGGGGCTCCATAATCGAGGAGGAAATAAGAGGCCCATGAAACAATGTTGACAACAAAATAAAGAGGTTGAAGCAAAATAAACTACCAAGTTTGGCATCAATGACTATATTTGGTTGGAAAACTATCCAATTTGCCGAGTCTAGAATGATGCAGTTAAGAAAAGGAACGCACTAAGTCCATAGACAGATATTAGGATGAGTAATGTGTACTAAAATATCATCATAAATGATCTGAAAACAGACGAACTCTTTACACTCTGAAGTCTTTCTAACTAAGAGCTCAATATTGACCTGTGGTGACCTGGTTTCCCGTATGGGTTGTCAATATTTATTGCAAACATCTAATTAAAAATCGCCTAATTCAACGTCATTATAGCCGTAACAAAACGCAGGCTCAGCTAATATATATATGTACTTTCGTAAGATGAAAAAAGGATACACATTTCGCATTTGATAACTTTACTATCGTCAGGATTCTCTGTTTTTTCTGCGAAGAGAGACATCGTATAGTAAGCACTGCTGGACAATACATCATCTACGTAAATGATGGGAAAACGACAAACCTTCGTACAAACTGAACGAGTCGATGGAAAGGGGCGACAAAACTGGTTCTAAATATGTAACTTGTCCGTCTGACGTTCCCTTCATTTTAATGTCAAACAACATGGAAGTCTAGTGAAAATAGATACTATCATATAGTTCGCCCATTTTGTTGTAGTCAAAGACTCACCTTTGCCAACACACACCCTCGCTATTGTCGAACACCCTCCTCACCTTTGCCAAACACAACCTCGCTATTGTCGAACACCCTCCTCACCTTTGCCAAACACAACCTTGCTATTGTCGAACACCCTCCTCACCTTTGCCAACACACACCCTCGCTATTGTCGAACACCCTCCTCACCTTTGCCAACACACCTTTGCTCGCTATTGTCGAACACCCTCCTCACCTTTGCCAACACACCCTCGCTATTGTCGAACACCCTCCTCACCTTTGCCAACACACACCCTCGCTATTGTCGAACACCTCTCCTCACCTTTTGTCGAACAACACACACCCTCGCTATTGTCGAACACCCTCCTCACCTTTGCCAAACTCGTCGCTATTGTCGAACACCCTCCTCACCTTTGCCACACACCTCGCTATTGTCGAACACCTCGCTATTGTCGAACACCCTCCTCACCTTTGCCAACACACACCCTCGCTATTCTCGAACACCCTCCTCACCTTTGCCAACACACACCCTCGCTATTGTCGAACACCCTCCTCACCTTTGCCAAACAACTTCCTATACATTTCCAAACAACTACCACAGTCGAACAACTACCTCCCTTTTTCAAAGAGCCCCTTTTCTCTTTGCTAAATTATCTCCAGGTAAAAAAACAGCCGCCTTGAAACGAGACTCGATCGTGGATGTGACGTACGTACCTTAGATGCTTGGTGATGAACAATGACAAGATTATCCTGTAAAAGAAAATCAAAATGACCAACAACGTCAAATGACGTCACAGTTGACCAAAATACTGAAACACTGCGTCGGTGAAAACAGTTCAATTAATTTTTGAGATGAGAAAGGACGCGGTTATCATAAAATTCAATTTCATGTTCCACATCATATATTCTTACCACAATGTTTAAGGCAAATCTTCCACTTGTATTCAGTTGTAGAACAAAAGATTTGCGCGCGGGACGATCACTGAAATCCATATTAAAATACGTAAACAAGACTGTTTTCGACAAAAAAAAACACAAACTAACAAATAATAAGAAATGCTCTACATTTGTAGAATATTTCATACCTAAAACATCGCAAAATATTAAGACGATCGTCGACAATTAAGTTTTTCTAATTCATACAGTTTTCAGCTAAACAGCTGGCAAAATAACAACAGATCCTAGACGAAAGCCCATTCAATATCAATGGGGATTACACGAAAATCCCGATTACCTACATTACGTAGATGAGACGAAAGTAGCAAAGAAACTAAAGATGGATATAGATGGATACAGATTGATACAGATGGATATAGATGGATACAGATGGATACAGATGGATGCATAGAAACACAACAGGTCCATTACCTGAGTAAACGATAAAGAACAACCTCGGCACCACTAGTACGCTCACCACGAACTTTGGTCTCTCTCGATTGCGTTTTCATAACAACAACATACACTTCACCATATCTGTGAAATTACATTCAACTGTATGGTTAAGGATATTACTGGATGATAATGAGCACTAGGGGAAGGTTTAATTTTAGAAGACAATGACGGTATGATGAGGCATAATACTGGATGATAATGAACATTCGAGAAAGGTGCAATTCTTGAAGACAATGACGGCATGATAAGAGAGGATAAGCGAGGATACACCAAAGGATAACGAACATTAGGGGAAGGTGCTATTCTTGAAGATAATGAAGGTATGATGAGGAATGATAGGGGATGATAATGAACACTAGGGGATATTAAAGTTATGCACTTACAACACAGAAATAGTAACGTCCCTCTCCAATAACATGAACTGTTTAGGTTTATAAGGGATAAGAGGTGGTAATTCCACTTCAAACTTTGGAAGCCTTATCACTGCACCACTCTTAAGGTAAAGAAAATAATATTTATCATTTCCAAGGCCAATATCAATAATGATGAAAGAAAATGGGCATGCAATAAGCGCTTGACACATGTCTGAGTACATTACTGATGAAATTATTCTATTCCTTTTGGCTTAATACAAAAGTAGTAAGCCAAAAAAGTCGACGTAAGACAAACTTTTCATTTTAAAACATGAATACCATTGTGAAGCATGGAGAATTTAAAAATAAGTTTCTATCTGAGATTATGTACAAACGTTAGGATACAGGCAAGTTCAACACGTTCAAACACAATCATCGAATGATACAGAGTACCACATAATAAGTTAGCAAAAAAAACAAAATGACAATTACCCTGATTGAATATGGATGAATAACGTTACCCTGAGACGTTGACGAAAAAAGAAGCAAGGAAATATCAGCCTAAAAGAGCAACAATGCAGTAAAATGTTTCATTCACATTGTAATTGGTCATTGAACCATGCCAGCATTGTGCATAAAATACAGCTTCAAGTATGATTATAGTTCAACTTACCAAATAAACAAACCAGTTCACTTGAACATTGTAGTTCTTTATGAGCTTCAAAACTTTCTTGTCTGGAAATACCTAAATGAAAAAGGTTGCTTGATAGCTTTAAAGCATCTTTCATGTATCTACTGGACTTGCAGTTCAAAAAAATGTAATTCTTATTATAGTCTCTTCTCGTCATCTTATAATAGTTGAACATAAACATATTGTTTTCATACAAAGTCTGTCATTGTACAAAGACCAGCAACAATGATAAATGAACTGTCTAACTCAGGGGTGGGCAACATACGGCCTGCGTCCGGCCCCTGAAGGGATTTTGACGGGCCCGCTGACTGTATCCGACCATTGAATATTGAATATTATTCATATAATAATCTAGCTCACCAATAACTTCATTTTCCTAAGACTGGAGAAGTTGCCCACCCCTGGTCTAACTCAATGCTTGTTTGTGTAATGATTCATTTTGCCTTCTATCGATTTTAAATCCAGATGTTAGGGCGAATTTCAAAACACAAATCCCTACCTGATAAAGCTCCAAGCCTTGATTTGTATTAAAGACTATTTCATTAGCTCCTGTCCAGTTGAAACCAATAATTTGAGCTGTCTTGTTCTAAATGATGAAACAGTCATTCCATGTTTGCGAGGAAACAATAATTCTTCAAGTAAAGAGCACATAACTGCAAATAATGGCAAAAGTGTGTTTTTTCCATAAACATTAAGGATCCTTCTTTAACATGCACAACAAAACTATTCGTAAAAAACAAAACAGTTCACACAATTGCAAAATGTGGCAATGCAAAGCTTTCCCAGATAGTTGATAAACATGTTTTCAGGAATGATTATAATTTAGAAAGTTATCAAAGACCTTGCATATTTGTTGATATTCTTTACTATCAGAGCCTTGTGAGAAATTCAAGAAGTCCTAAATCAAACAGTTATGATAAAATATGAATGAAGCATATGGCAGTAGAAGATAAAAATTCAAAAATACACTTACAACTGCCTTGGCATTTCTCTGGACTGCCAAAATGCTTTGATCCAAAGAAAACTTGATTGAAACGATGTGACCCTTGTCTGGCATTCTGAAGTTTTAAAACAACGTCAAAACGATTTCATACATTAATGCAAATATCAAGGTTTTAAATGCACAAAACTCACTCAAACTTTGAAATTCTTTCATTATTAGATCCTGTCACAATTACTCTCGTGTATCCTTCGACTTGTTTCACGGAGAACACCTGACAATTCACATTTGAAGCAAGCCTGAGCAAGATTGGTTCGCCACGTTTACGCAATAAAAAATATAAAATTATAAAATTACCTAGTTATTTGCATACCTGCTTGTTAGCTTCGTCAAAAAATACACTGTTTTCTTTGCTCACTGGCTCAAAACGAAGGGGATTTGTGGACAAACACACGTATGAAGAAGATGAATATTCTTGACGCCAGGCAGCCATCTTGATTCTCACCATTTAACTTCATGTAAGTTACATGTAAGTAACAACAAAACGACTTGTATCGAGTTATATGAGAAAGTTGGTTGATGTCTTAAATAGATGATTTTTTTATTTTCATTCGAAAATACAGGTCCACTGAGATCTTCGACCATTTACAAATATTATATACACCAAAGCTTTGTACATACAAACAACACGTTACACCAAAATCATGCATTAAATCAGGTAGTCTTCGTCATTGTCCCTACAACATAGGGTATGTTCGTCTTATATTTCAACTATATAATTGAGGGTATTGCCGAGAACAAGCGAAGTGACAACGAGTGTCTGCGCACTGTTCATGAGCAGCTCTTTCATATATCTCCCCAAGTCAGGTTCAATCATCTCTCCAATGTCAATAACTGTATTTAGTGGTTAACCATCTGACCAGCTGAGACTAGAAGCGAACGACGAGACTGTCAGCTCACTATTATCTTGGGGACATTGAGAGTTCGAAGAGGGTGGCGAGGACGATGAAGTGTTCCCTGGATTTGACTGAAGATGAAGGAAATGAGTGTTAGAAAAAGAAAAAGAAATTTTTATGCAACCAAGTTGTGTTGATTCACAAAACAAAATATTGCGGTATGGTATTAGTTTTGTATTGCAAAACTCAATTCATTCTAGAAACTTGGCCATGCTCGCTCCAATAAAAATTGATGGAATTACATAGAGATAAACCTATGTTGCTTCTCCCATTCAAATATTCTTACCGTGGATTTTTTTCGAAGGTAAGCTTTCTTTCTTATTTTTGAAGATTTACATTGCAGCTCTAAGCACGCTCTTTGTCTGAAAACGATGAGAAAAATCAACAATTCTCGAACGCTGACGTGATTTAAATGATCACAAAATATAACTCACTTTTTTTGTTTTATTTTCACAAAAGCTAAGCAATCTAATTCCTATACAAAAAAAAAAAAAAATAAATCAAAGTGATTAAACCAACTACTTAAAACAGGTACACTGTGAGTACCTTTGCTATCAAAAGATGTCCTTTTCCATAAGTACTTTCGTTAATGTCCAACGTCTGTTTGTACGAAGCCTCAGCAGATCTGATGAGGCACAGAAAGAACAGTGAACTTACGCGGAAGCACTTTCAAACACAATGATTGTACAGAATACCTGGAGACGGTTGCACGAAGGCCGAACAGCACTATCCACTGATAGCAATATTTTTGAACGCTTCAAAAATCCCGTAAATAGGAAAAATCCAGGATTTGAACTGCATAATCAATGAAATACAATTTTGCTTTTAGAATTACAAAATTTCGTTAAAGAAAATATAAAAACTTTTCTCACAAGCTTTAAAAAACTACTATCCAATGGATAACACTATCCAGGTTTCGTGTAACAGGCTCCTAAACTTTAACAATAATTTAGTGAATATCATACTGTTGATTGCGACTAAAAGATTATGATTCTGACTATACCCTGTTTAATTTGCACTGAGCAAGACTTTAGTCTCAAAGTTGATTTGATAATTTAATGACAAAATATATGTAAAAGCATTCTTTCGTACTCAAGATTTCCTAGAAGCAAATAAAGGTCACCGAGATAATGGAGAGATTGTGCTATCCAAGAATCATTAGTCTCCAGCACAAATTCTTTCATTTCGAGCGCACGTTCCAAACATTTCATTGCCTGAAATGTAACAAAAAAGTTACGTATGAAAAATGTAGCTATGAAAGGTTTATCTATGAAAAGTTTACCAATGAAAAGTTTACCAATGAAAAGTTTATCTATGAAAGGTTTATCTATGAAAAGTTTACCAATGAAAATTTACCAATGAAAAGTTTATCCATGAAAGGTTTATCTATGAAAAGTTTACCAATGAAAATTTTACCAATGAAAAGTTTACCAATGAAAAGTTTACCAATGAAAAGTTTACCAATGAAAAGTTTATCCATGAAAAGTTTATCAATGAAAAGTTTATCAATGAAAAGTTTATCTATGAAAAGTTTACCAATGAAAAGTTTACCAATGAAAAGTTTACCAATGAAAAGTTTACCAATTAAAAGTTTACCAATGAAAAGTTTACCAATGAAAAGTTTACCAATGAAAAGTTTAACAATGAAAAGTTTACCAATGAAAAGTTTACCAATGAAAAGTTTAACAATGAAAAGTTTATCAATGAAAAGTTTACCAATGAAAAGTTTACCAATGAAAAGTTTACCAATGAAAAGTTTACCAATGAAAAGTTTAACAATGAAAAGTTTATCAATGAAAGGTTTATCCATGAAAAGTTTACCAATGAAAAGTTTACCAATGAAAAGTTTACCAATGAAAAGTTTACCAATGAAAAGTTTACCAATTAAAAGTTTAACAATGAAAATTTTATCAATGAAAGGTTTATCTATGAAAAGTTTACCAATGAAAAGTTTACCAATGAAAAGTTTACCAATGAAAAGTTTACCAATGAAAAGTTTACCAATGAAAAGTTTACCAATGAAAAGTTTACCAATGAAAAGTTTACCAATGAAAAGTTTAACAATGAAAAGTTTACAATGAAAAGTTTATCTATGAAAAGTTTACCAATGAAAAGTTTACCAATGAAAAGTTTACCAATGAAAAGTTTACCAATTAAAAGTTTACCAATGAAAAGTTTACCAATGAAAAGTTTATCTATGAAAAGTTTACGAATGAAATGTTTGCCCATGAAAAGTTTACCAATGAAAAGTTTACCAATGAAAAGTTTATCTATGAAAAGTTTACCAATGAAAAGTTGCCCATGAAAAGTTTACCAATGAAAAGTTTTCCAATGTAAAGTTTTCCAATGAAAAGTTTACCAATGAAAAGTTTTCCAATGAAAAGTTTTCCAATGAAAAGTTTACCAATGAAAAGTTTACCAATGAAAAGTTTTCCAATGAAAAGTTTACCAATGAAAAGTTTACCAATGAAAAGTTTACCAATGAAAAGTTTACCAATGAAAAGTTTATCCATGAAAAGTTTACAATGAAAAGTACTATTTTACCAATAGAAAAATAGATTTACATTCATATGTTGTCGTATGTCAAACAGCTCATCATAAAGACATTATAAAACTTTCAGTTTTCATGGCAACTGAACATCAACAAATTAGAAACAAAAACTTGCGAACTGTTATGTGAACTGATATAACAGCTTGTATAAGTGAGTCCAGAATCTTGAAAGATTTTTGACTAGACTTTAAACTCGAGTACTTAAAATCGATTTGAAACGAAACAAGATACACTAAGGGGGAGGGGGGTAGAGTGAGTTGATGCTTACCATAGAATGGAGTTTAACACTAACTCCTTTAAGAAAACGACCAAGAACTTCGTAACGTAAAGCAACTTCCAAACACGACGCGTCATCTACAATTTTTACACATTGATGTTTTATGACCATATATACTGCCTGGTATTAGAAGGATATATTTGCAGATGAAATCTTCTATGATATATACATTCCAAACTATGGAATAATGTTTGTCTGTTTCATCGATGGACGTATAATGACTGTCTTAGGGTTTGAAGTTTTAATAGATGACATTAATATCCAGTGGCGAATTACTAATTACGAGGACTGTAGGCTAAGACAAAGTTAAAGGCCTTTAAGCGATACCTATTCCTCCCACTAAGTTCAGTTTTCCTTTGCATTTACATTTCCTGTTTGTAACCACACAGGGTAAAAAATGGAAAAAAGTTCATTTCAAAGTTCAAACGAAATTTGAGCACTACATGAGTTCTGAGCATTGCGCATTTGAACAGTAGATAGTACGAAAGCCATTTTCTTCTGCATTCATACGCATGTAAGGTTTTCAACAGCATAAATGATCTAAGTTAGGCACATTTAGCTAGCCCAGAATAGCAAAAACGTTCAAATCCTAATTATGTCTAGATGCAACGGGCCTATCGAAACCCCGGACCTGTAGGCTCAAGCCTACTTAGCCTACAGGAAATCCGCCCCTGTTAATATCTTAAGCGCGAATCACGTACCCTCCATTTTTTTGATAGCGTCCATATATACAAGAGCAAATTCTTTATTAGGTGTGTCCAAATAGCTCCAATACGAAAGAAGATCGGAGAACAACGATCTGTAAATTTCATAGACAACTTGTTGTTATAAAACTTTGCTATGAAAATATTTTTACAACGTGGTTACTTCGCGTTGTCGTTTCCAATTGAAATTTGAAAGTATACCTTTTCACAAACATATGAAAAACGTCGATCCGTGATATTATGTTTCTTAAATTCTCCTTATCATCTAACTGTTGCAGAAGCCACGGAAGTTGATCAATGATGGACTCCGAAACACCATTATTTCTGAGAAGTAAAAGAAAATTACCCAATAACCTGCGAATATTTTATGAAAAGGTACATTATGCATTCGTAATCATAATACCTACGTTAGTTTGTCAGAATAGTATTGTACCAGACGTTGTCTGCACTTTTTCAATATAATATCGCTGTTCAAGTACAGCAAAACAGCCTCGAGCAACTGTAAGTATAAGAATGATCACAACGATTGATTCGTGTTAAAAAGATAATTGCCTAACATAATACTCGAAATAAAGCCATTTTTTAAAGAAATTATTTATTATTTGTGACGTTTCGCCTTTACACAAGACATCATCAGACAGGTAGTAAAAATGGTCAAGTGTGCATTTATATTTACATTTTAGAAGTGTAGTTATGAGTTGAGTGTTAGATCACTTGATCATTTTAACTACCTGTCTGATGATGTAGTTCAGAACGTAGTTCATGGAAGTGCGAGTTGTTCGTACGATATTACAGCATTGGAAAGAAAATGTTTCTTTCCACGGGGAGACAGAACATCATGCAGATTACGTAAAAACTGCTTACTACAAACTTTCAACATTTTACCTGTGAATTTGGGATGACGAGTAGATCATTCACTTCACAAAGTATTGGTCTGTCATGGAGTAAATATTTCATAATTGGACTGATTTCCAACCAAGTTAAAGAAAGCACTTCCATCAGTTCGACTTCAGTCAAACCACTACGACTGCTGCAGATCAAAGCCAACACCTGAAATGAAGAATGTTAAACAAATGATTCAACTAAGAATGCTTTCCAACGAAATACCAGTGTAGTTTATGGTCATTGTGTCACTGTAGTTGATGTAAACTCCTAGTGTGAAACTTAAAGATGGGGTTAACTTTACGAAATCATCCACGCTCTTTTTCCAGGGATGTTCTTACAATTTGAGATAAAAAAACAACAATTGATTTCTGATTTATTTTCCCCATTTGACTCAAGACTTCAATTAAATGATCAGTTTCTAATGTGGAGAAATTTTCACACGGTCGTAACAAAAGTAAAATGAATTTCTATTTTTGCTTTTTACCTGTTTCATAAGAGCTCCTTTAGTGCTTTCTAGAGACGTCAATATATGCGTTATCAGCTCGGCTACATTCTGTATATTCAAATTAATAAACTCTTTCCGTTTGTATCGAATAACATAAAAAATAATTATGTAAAGAATCACAACAATAAAAAATGGTGGCCTGTACTTTTTCAGTCCATTCTTATTCCCATAAATATATCATTTTGAAATCAAAACACGTCTTTCGGAAGACATTAAGGTTACCAAGAAATGTTTTATTTTTCAACAGTCTTTCAGAAAGTTGCACATGAAATCAACATGACAGTTATGAGACCATCTTCGTTGCAACTAAAGAAAATTATTATAGTTGTATTTGATGAACGAAAAAGAACAGCAGATTACCTTTACAGACGCTTGTTCATGAATATATACAGCAAGATCAGAAACCCTAAATACAATATATAAAATAAACAACACGTTAACACATACTACACAAAGCCTTCATGTCGTCAAACTCAGTCGAAAACTGGATTCAGGATTTTTCATTTCGTAAAAATGTGAGCAAGTGGCTACCGTTTAATTCTGCTCTAAAGTAAATCAAGTGCTTTGCGAGCTAACGAGTACATACAAATATAATTCTAAATGTGTTTAGAGTCAAACAAAAACAATTGTTTAGAAAATGTTGAATTAAAACTAGAACTAGAAATTGCTGAATCATTTTATACCTCGTCAGCTCGTGGCCAAGAATTTTCAAAAATAACGGCGAACACACGACAAAATCGGAGAGATTTTTCAATATCATTATTGCCTGATTCGAATATAAAAATACATCAATTCATTTATCGAACAAGTATGCGATACTTTGCGAACTTACATTTTCTTCTGAGTTTTTCCAACACGAAACCAAATATTCTTTACTCTCTTCGTGGGTCCAAGGTAAGACTCTCAAAGATCTTGATAATCTATTAAAAAGCTGCAGATATAAGTGATCATAAAATTTTTACTGTTTTACTGTTTTATAGCAACATTATCCTCCTTACCTCCATTCGGATGGCACGTTGTCAGTGTTTACAGAAAGCACAACACGCACGGTTTCTGGCAAAGAATCGACAAGCCAACTCAAATGATGTGTGGTAGAACTGTTCTAAAACATAACACGGTAATGTTGGTGATAAATTTGAGATAATATCTACGATAGAGAACGAAGAAATTCATATCAATTAACGAGTTAATCAAATGAGAAAGACCCATTGTAAAGAGGGAAATTCCGATGTCTGCACGAGAAATGATTTTGATTCACTACTCGTGCATTGTTTCGACAATTCAGAGCTTGATACCTTCAACGTATCTACAGCATCAATGACAATGATAATCTTTCTGTCAATCTTTTCAGGTATCGTCTTCAACATCCACGGGAACAGCTCTTCACACTTTACAGGATCACAATGCATCAAGGAGCAAAGACAAGGGTATAATCCTAGTAGCTAAAATGTGCGAAAAATGGAAAGAATCGTTGAAAAATATTTGTGTGATTTTACAGCAGCACAAGTATGCTGTAAATGGTAGCTCTTGCAGAAAGCCCCTTAATTATTTAAGTATTTTAAAATGCAACAAGCTGCGTCAGTGCATTCAGTTACTAATCCTGATCCGCACTAGGAATATAAAGACATACGTAAATACAACCACTCAAAGATACCATACACTTTAACTATTACCAAAAGGAGATGAAAGCATAAAAATAGGTTCGCAGAACGTTCACATGGGTACTCTGAATTGACGAGATGTTAGTACTGATGTTTCAAATCGCTTGCAAAGCTAAAAGTTTTTGACTTGGACTATTTTCAGTTAAACAGACGTGCATTCCTTTAGTCATGGCAGTACATGTATCGTTACAAAGTAAGTTTCTGTTGATATGTTTTTGTTAAAAGTTGTTGAAAGTATATTATGTATATTCTTGGTGTATTTGTACATTTACTCCGAACATAGAGATCAATAATACAGATGGAAGCCGGTCGGGCGGGCATTTTCTACTTTTTTTGCAGTATACCATGATGGTTAGTTGGTGTACAGGCTACCCACTAAAAAGTCGTTGTTTTGTTGCGACCAAGGAGTGAACCAGATTTAATGATTTTTCCCACCCAAATTAAACTTACTTGTGATACAATCCGTCTCATGATATGAGCTGGATTTGTGAATACATCACAATTAGTAGCGCTCGCGAAATTGTATAAAATCAAATCGTTGCCATTGTCGAGTTGTCGCTGCACCCTACAATGTAAGGATGATATTAATCATACATATGTGTGAATGTAAAAATGTTTTCTGACATTTCAACACTTACCAGTTGGCCAGCAAGGTACTTTTTCCACAACCCGCGTCACCGCTGACAACAAGAGGTGGACATGAGCCAGCAGAATTGACGTAACTATCCAACTGCTTGTAGTACTTGCAATTAAATACATATTATCACGTTGGACATGTAGGAACTCTCTCCTGCGCAATTTACAAAGCGCGAAGCATAATTTTGAAGAAACATACAAGTACAAAATGTCCAAGAACAGACTATAATAAAAAAGACACACACTAACCTTATCGAGACCTATGTATGCCGCAGATGACTTCGTGTATAAATGTAAAATTTCTAGCTGTTTCAAACATGATTCGCAATCGGTGAACAACTCTTCGTCAGATACATCGAGTATGTAGGTCATGTGATCTTTCATGCTCGATTCAGAAGCTAAGCCGAAATGCTATAAAAAAGATCGTGATCGCCAGACAAGGCAACGTTTACAGTTCAACTGTTACATATACGAACACAGCTTATTTACAGTAAAAAATAATATAAACAACAAATGCTTTTATTATTTTGCTCCTACAGTCCTTCGCAGCTTCCTAAAGAAACTAACCTCCTTAATAATATCCTGGAGATCTTCCTTGTTTTCTTCGACTAATGTAGTCACGTGAGAATAGAACGACACCTAGACATAAATATATTCTCCCAGTTGTTCTCCATAAATGCCAAACATTAAATAAAAAGATGGCAAGCACTAGTCGGTACCTTGGTATTCTCGCCAAGACCATCAAGAAAATGTGTTAATTCCGTGCCACCATAACTATAATCAGTAAACTGTTCTCTAGTCGCTTTCAAAATAAAAGACATCGACAGTAACAAAAGGTGAGTCATCCCAGAGGAAAGAGTTTATCATAGTTGAATGTATAAAAGATTTATATAGGTTTCAAGAAACCTCGGATAAGCTCTGGTCCGAAGGCTTCTAACTTGTTATTTTTTCCAAATGTATCAAAAAAGAAATTTTACATAACCTTTTATAACAAAATCTGCACAATAAAACATCTGTAGCATCGTGATCAGACATTGAAATTTAAAAATTAGCAATTTTTAAAAAATCTGCTTTTTTATACACCCTGTATATTCAACATCAATTGACTCCAATAGTACTTTGATCCAAATCCATTTATGTTAATACATATCAATAGATACCCATAGATATCAATGGATATCCACAGATACTCCCGCTGTCTTCAAAAATGACAGAGTTCTCGTTGCTACAACTGACCTTTTTTTCCGCGCATCTTTGAAAGCAAACACAACGGGCAGTTTTTTAGCGTTGAACACGTCCAGTGATCTTTTCCAACGATCTAATATTGCTCTGTTAATGAAGCATGAAAAACTTTTTAATTGTTGTACTGTCATTGGTTCGTTGGCTCGACAGCAACAGGTAAGTTTTCATAAACTATCGAAATAATTTAATGAGGATATGCAATAGGCAAAGTTAACAGCTAGGTGACGACAGATGCCTATACGTCAGCGCAGCAGGCAGCCAAGGGGTATATGAGGAGTAAAGAGATGCATACGTCAGCGCAGTAGGCAGCCAAAGGAGTATATGAGGAGTAAAGAGATGCATACCTCAGCGCAGCAGGCATTTAAAGGGATATACGGGCCGTAGGCTCAAGAGTCAGTCATAACCATTTATAACGCGACGATGAGAACTTTTAGCAGTAAGCGCGGGAAAGGAAAGTTTGAATAAAGTGCAAAATTTTTTTGTTGTTGTTGTCTGTCTGTTTATGTCTATCGTTGTCTCTACCATATCGGTGTAAAGTTGTTAGTTGAGCTGGGGCGGTCAGCTTAGGATGTCAGGAACACGAATTCTGATCTCGACTCAAGGAACTGTTTTAGTGCCCAGGTCACCCCCGAGTCATACAAGCCAACACCTAACGATCCAAATGTTAAGTTGAGTGAACTAGGTGTTAAATTTAGTCAGTTGAATAAAATAAACATGATTAAGTACTGCACAAACAAACTTGACAGACAAATGAGCAAATCTTCACAGAGTGTTGTATTTACACTATACAGAGTAATACAGTTTGTGATTGGTTACACGAAATTGTGACTGACTGCATTGAGGAGAATCGGAAATTCGAGAGAAATAAGGGCATAAATATAAAGACCTTTAAGTGGTGACAAACCTATTGTCGGTCTTTGCAAATATTCCAAAGAAAAGATCACATTTCTTCATCAAATAATATTCCCATTCTTCCTCCATTTGTCCATGATCACACTTTAAAAGATTTTATTCAAGAGTGTAAGACAGTTCGTTGTCAATGTTCTAACATCAATAACGCGTGTTGTTTCAAAGTGACTTACAGTTGACTCGAATACAACAAGAAACTTTCCATTTTCGGCACAGCGTTGACGAAGTTCAGGGAATACGACCTATTGCCACATAATTTAGAACATTTATAGAATAGAAAAAAGCATGTTACTTAGGAAGAATGGAAAAAATAATTGAAATGGCAGTTGATCGTTGTTTGGGACACTTAAACGACAGCTTTGGTAAACTGGTTTTGGTAAACTTCTGGAGCAATTTATTGTCTTAACATTCGGTAAACACCAAAATATCGCACGGCACGAGCAAAGATCAAGCTACAACACTGCTTACTGAGAAAATAAAAGAATCTCTAAAAAAAACTGAGCATGCAGACTGGCTAAGTTATTTGATAAGATTAAAGGAAATCGCACATCGCGCAACTTGGGAATCCTGGGGAATGCAAATATAATCTTTTTATCTACACAAGGTATACATTTCACATTTGCTTGGCTTTCATTTCAGCTAGACAAGATGAGCTTTTTCAGGTATTTTCTCCTCTCTCTCAACCCCTTGACCTCCATACCTTTGAAAACAGTGTTGCGTCACGTTTTGCAAGCTTATCTGTCGAGAAATATATTCGATATACTTTTGCCTTGCTGGGAATCCCTTGCTTTTTCCCAACTTGGGACAGCAATGGATAGACGACGTTGAAATCCGGCACTGAAATCAAGTGAAATGCATCAAAAAGAATAATTTCGATCTTTTTATACAAAATTGAAAGTATCTGCTACGCAGAGTATCAGTTCGGGCCTGGAAAATAATGGTGGACTTGAAATTACCGTTATTGGGTTTCAAAAAAAAATTTCTTTGAGCTTAATCCTTAGGTATTTACAGCAAAAACTACTGTGACTGTCATGACACTAACCTTTCTCACGAATGAGAAATTCCGATGCCTTAAAAAGGCTAAGGTTGTCTTTCTCGAACTTTTCATCACAAGTTGATGATGAAGGTATTTCAAAACATTCGTCATTCCCACCGTTTTCTAATCCTTTCTCCAATTGGTTTACCCTCTTGACGAGAGAATGGATTTCTTTTTCTTTGTCGTTCGTGTACGACTTGAATTCTTTTTTCATTTTGTCCAATTCTAGAAGAAACGAATGTGGAATTTCTTAGACACGACGTTTACACAAATCATTTCGCTTGCTCTCTACCGTTTTCAAAGGTCTTGGCTCTTTCTTTCGCCTGCTTTTCTTCCGTCCTAGCTAAGACACTTTCTTCTCGATATTTTGTGTAGTTCTGTCTTAAAATATGCAATTCTCTGTTTAATCTTTCATGTTTTTGTTGCAAATCGTTGTTCTTTTTCGTTAAACGACTTATCTTGATCTCGGCCAGTTCAGCTGAAGACATACTTCCGGTGTGGTTTGCGTTGTCATTGTGAGATTGATCGTCTCCCTTATGCTTGAAGCCGAAGAATGAACTCAAAGACTGTAAGGAGCTCCTAGATTTGCCTTTTGCCTCGCTTAAAGAAGTTGAACTCCGTGTTTTGACACTTGAGTCGTTAAGGACAATCGAGTTGTCTTGACCAAAGCTCTCGACAGGAAGACGTCTTGTAACCTCCAAGCGATCGCCGAGTTGAGCGCAGTTTTCTGTTTCCATTCGCCACAGAAGCCGAGCTACCCATGAATAAGCGAAGACTGACAAAACCCTTTCTGGGTAGTTTGAAACTTTGATTATAAGGACAACTGGCTCCGTTTAAATACTATTTGTCCGTCTACAATAATCATGTTACGTCGAGTTGTGTTAATGGCTGTAATTCGAGAGGATTTTATTTGATACGTCTGATACATTAATCAGTTAATCTCGTATTCTCGTTCATTAACAGAAACTCTTGGCAACAATGAGAATCAGTCTATTACGATACAATTGTCTTTGAAAAAGCTTGAATGAATAAAATTGCCATTGACTGCGTCTTAAGCAAACTTTGACGAGTTTGGAGAAGTTTTGAACCTGAAAAATTTTACTTTGTAACACAGCAGTTGTCACTTTACATATTTACGTGCTGATAATGAACGATAGAGATCGATGTATCTTGACGCGAGTTTGACGTTGTAATGGAAATAGCCCGGTCAAATGACTTTGCTCACTGATACGCTTATCATTTGAACTTTGAAGTCCAAATGACTGCAGTTCAAAGTGCATTTTATCAATGACTCATTTTACAGTTGATTTTTTTTATTTTTTCTGATCTTACGTGGCATGAAGACTTTACTCACATTGATATGTTGATTATTGCCATCACTAAAACGAAGAGTCCAGTGCTGTTGTATAGATTGATTGCAACCATTCTCCAAGGTGTCAATGTACCAAGAGATATTCGCCACGATGATTGAAATTTATTAAAAGTTCCACCAAGATGGCGGCCGTGACATGGATTGTAATCCATGCTGACGTAAGCAAATCATGCTGGTGTAAAATTGTTAATTTAAGGAAAACAGTCCAAACTTTGAAAGAAATTGATGCTTGGAGGGAAGATACAGGTAATTTAAATCCATGAGCCACCTTAGAATCATATTTTCAAAAAACATCATCATGAAATCGTCTTTTTTCACTTAAAATCTTCGATACTAATTTGGATTGATCAGTAGTACCAAAATGAAGCGACCAAATCCATGTCTTTAGACAAATTCGGTTACGCTTTCTAAAGTGTTAACACGAAAAACGAGGGCTTTTGAAGAGAACGCTGCCACACTGCCATATCGTTTCATGATTTATAACGTCAAAATTTACAAATAGATGTGTTTTTTGATAAATAATCATGAAACTATCTTAAAAATGCACGGGGAAAAACTTCCCACCTCCATCCGTTCCTTTTTGTGGTTCATCGTTTTCTTGATGGCAAACATCGGTCGACAAAGTAATTGCTTATCAGTATAAAATATCTTTGTGACGAATTTACTACAGAATTGATCGGAACTTAATCGTATTCTTCAGTTCTTACGAGGAGCTTTACAGAGCTTGACAAAGCTCCGTTTTCGAACATAAAAAAATTTCATATAAAATTCATCAAAATAGTTGTACCCACAATAAATTTTAACACACAACTCATCAAAAAAAACTTTCTTTACTACTCCCAACTTTCTGTCATTACGTACAATCACTATGCTACAAAAATACGACCACAACTAACTACACAATGTCGTAGATTTAGCTGCTTAAATTTACTAGATACAAACGACAAAGTTCGTATCGTTTTGGCCACCAAGTTCTCCTTCATAATCTCAACTTTTTTTCAACCATTATTGCCGACAAATCATCGAGCTTTGTTCAAGTATATTTATATTAGAAACTTTTCGTGGCCGGAAGCAAAAACCTAACGATGATATAAGAACCATGACGTCACACAACGTAGCGATTTCCCCGATTGGCATCAAACCAAAACTCGTCACCATGCAAGAAAGGTAGATTCAAAACAGGTGCACTTTTTTCAACCTCGCAATTCTTCAACAACGGCGGATCGTCTACGAGCAAAGAAAATTTCGGAGTCGACAATGTCCGCTTTATATTGAGACTATCCGGGTCTTTTCCACTGCGCGTGTCCGCTTCTGCGTCGTATATTTCCCAGGAATCATGGCCCCATAACAAATCGTCATCACTCAAACTCTCCTCCATGAACTCCATATTATAAGGCACATTAGTACACAAGGGGGTATCACTGGGAGGTGGTGGGATAAATGGAGCCAACACATCAGGATGCACCTCTGTTTCGTCATCAGTTAAATCTGTTGCAACGTCGCCATCACATCCCGAATCGTTATCCTTAAATCTCTTAGCCATTGGACTGTACTTTTCAATAAAGTCTTCTTCGTTGTCATTTATTGAAGACGCAACCGGACTGTCATAACCGGCATCTACGTCTGTCGCGTCCTCTGACTTCTTGTTTTTGTGATCGTTCAAGCAAGATAATATAGCCCTGTTCAAAACTCTGTATGAAAACATATTTCCAACGAATTCTTCGAATTCGTCACGATTGTCGGGCGAGTTAGTCGGCGTCTCCTCGCGTTCTTTGATTTTCTGTACTTGATCAAGTGAAACGATTGACTCATTCATCTCAATATCACTGGAAGATAAGGCAATATCACAATTACTATGCAGCCGCCAAACCAACTGCTAAGAAACCCAGCTCCCAGTCCCTCCCGTGCACTTTCAGTATTTCAAAGAAGCAATTACTATGCAGCCGCCAAACCAACTGCTAATAAAACCCGCTCCTAGTCCCTCCCGTGCACTTTCAGTATTTCAAAGAAGCAATTAGCCGAAAAAGAGATCATGCTGCTAGTATCTTGTAATATAAACTCACATCAAGCTAAGCTTTGTCAGGCAGTCGGACAATCATTAAAGAGATTATTTACCTGATGGCAGAATGAATACACAGTACAAACTGTGGTTCGCAAGTTTTACTGGCGTAGACGATACTTGCTTTTGTTTGAACCCAAATCCAGCCGCCATATTTGGCAAGCAGCCTGTAATAACCGCTCACGGACTGACCTTTGGTTAATACTGCACGAGAAAAGAGGATCAAGGTTAACAATTAAGCACTGACTGTTTCAACCGTACAAAAAAATAATTTACCCGCATATGCCCGGCTCACAAAGCGACGTGTTTGTTGAGCATGTCGCTTATTGAGCATGCAGAAGAAATATTTAAGAGATTTTCAAGGAAATACTTACATGTTTTATGGCATTCAGTTAAAACATCGTTATCGCGACCATGATGAAATTTATAAAGAGATTGACCGACAACATCTGTCGATGTGTAACCCAGTACATCTTCAATACTATAGATAAAAGAGAAAAAGAAAGGAAAAAGTTTGAGTTCATCCATTTCGTGAATTGCCATGGTGACGACAAGCGACGAACAATGACGTCACAAATATTCAGTTCAAAAAATAACGGCCGGTCAACGCACGCAATGACCTGTCAAAACTTTTGTGCTACAAAATATTTTCCCCGAAGTCGACAAAGAAAAGTTATTAACATCTGCGTTCAACTGGTAAATGTCCCGAATTTTCGCGTTTGTTTACGTTTCAAACGTCACGTTTGTCGGACGAAACGCCGAGTTTCAAATTAGAAACGTTACGTTTGCTCAGGAATGTGTAAAGTTTGCTCAGGAATGTGTAAAGTTTGCTCAGGAATGTTTAACGTTTGAGGAACAATTTGAACAGGTTTTGGTCATGTGATTAACATGTTTATACGATTTTACAATGATAAAATGCTGTAGCAAATGAAAATGACATCTATGTACCTTAGGCGATTTGCAAAGTTTGATAATTGACCATATAATATAAGAACGAGCTGTTACAAACTTAGAAATCCGCGATTTGAACAAACGTAAGGTTTACCAGTTGAAACGCGACGTTTCGTCTGACAAACGTGACGTTTGAAACGTAAACAAACGCGAAAAATCCGGGAGAGTTACCAGTTGAACGCAAATGGTAATAAAATCGAAAACTTTTTTCTCAAAAGAAAAGCAATGGGCAACGAAAAATGTTTAAACAGGCCATTTAACAGGTACCACCACCCCACAGGCATTTCAAAGCAGCTGTGATCCAATCGCATTGAAAGCAGATCAAAACTTACCCCTCTTCACAAAAGATGAACTTTAAATCCAATGAATGATGACTAGTGAAAGTACATCGATCCAGCGGTACTTCAAATGTTGGTGAAAACATCAATGGTACACCAATACCAACAAAACATGACGATTTTGTTTTCATGCTACCATTGACTGTGGATGGCAACCAGAATTTTATACAACCCATACAATGAACAACCTGAAAAGAAGGCAAGTTAAGGTCTCAACTATTGATGACGATAAAACATGTTTCAGTTGTTACAAAAATGATATCATTGTTAACCAATGACGGATTGAAAACTGCTAAAATTTTAAAGGCACTTTCATAATGCTCTTGTTGGACACTACCATTGACGACAGCCATTTTATATCGAACTTACGAAAGGCAAGGAGTTCCCTCAAGCCTTCCCTAGCCCCATTTAACCATTTCTTAATTTTATAGTGAGCAAACTTACTCTATAAGTTGATGCTTTCAAGTTGACACTCTTGCCTCGACTTGTTAAAGTACTCTTCATGCGGACAAAGAATGACCTGTACGGGTGGTTTTCGATATCATGTCTGTTCGATGAACCTTTAAGATAGAAAATGGTATAAAAGTTTCATTAAAATGCAGCCAACTCCTGAAAATGTTTGATCGTTTTTTTTGTTTAGGCACATAACGAAGCAACCATTTTCTTTAAAAAAATATCATTTTCTTGGTAACAAACAGAAAATTAATTTAACTCATACAACAATAAAATTAAGAAAGGTATCTATAATTATACAATCCTAGTAATAAGATAAACGGTTTCCCAAACGCTCAAACAACCATTAATCACGAGTACTACTCAAAACAATCGATAGTAAGAAGAAAACAAAAAACATCAATTATATTTTCACAAACATCCTACCTCTTTTGAGATTATTTGACATCAAAAATATAGAATCAGAGCAAAAAAGTCCATCAAATATTTCCATGTCTTCAAGAGGAATTTTACCCCCTAGTTGCTTAGCAACCTCTTCATGGTCACATGGGTGAATGAATTTATAAAAACTGCTGCCTGCCACCTCAATCTGCAAATACATATAATTTATCACACATATAAAATGAGGTACTTTGAATGAGCATATGGTAAATCTTACTATTGTTCCTAACATATTGCATCTAGTATACGGATACTAAACCACAGAAAGCAGAATATGACAATATTATTAATGTAGTACTTACAGGCAAGAGACCCAAGTATTGTTTGACGTTATCCGAAATAAACAAAAATTGTCCATCGTCACCAATTACAAACACAAAGCCATCAAGCGCCTAAACAATTGAAACACAAACAAAAGAAATTAATTTAAGATATATAAATATATGGGTCTATTTAAGAGATTATTATTGATAAATCAATATTATTGAAATAATAAAAAGATAGCTGAATACCTGAGTAATTTTTTTCTCAAAAGATAATCCCTTGTATGTATTATTTCTGTACTTCTTTCCTAATATCAACAAAGTTCACACACATCAATAGTTGTAATCACAAAAATGGTAAATTCCTCCCTTCAGCTAAACACTAGATAAGATAATACTGATTTCACATATGTTCGTTATGCTAATTGAAAATAAATACATGCTTTGAGATTAAAAAGTCATGGAATGAAAAAACTGCAAATTTATAAATACAGTTTTAACTAATCTTTGCTTCCATGACAAATAACTATCTACGTATCGCAATAATTAAAATTATTTGAAGAGTCACCCTTTACAAAACAAATGGTACAAAAAATTACCATGGTTTGAAACACTGTTAAGAAAGTGCTTAATCTTGATAAAGCTGTTTGTAAGTCTCATAACTGACAGTCTGTCGAGCTGCGAAGACTCTCTTTCTCCTAAAGGAAGTTGACTAGCGAGTTCTGAATACTCGTCATTTTGTTGGCCACGACGACATTTTGCTGCTTCACGAGATTTTCTTTTAAGATGTTCTTGCCTGCAAGCAAAGGTAGATGATATTGGCAAAAAAGTTGTAGCATCGAGGTTCATGAACATGCTGAATCTTAAACATTTAATGTAACTTGTGGTCATAATTCATCGAAATTGATATTTAATTTCACGGTTCGATAAATCAATGCAAGTATTACTGGCCTGCCTTTCACAAAGTCTGCCTCTTGAAGAAATTTTGAAAGAAATTTCTAAATGCAATAGGTTGCACAAAAGATAGAGTTAATTTATTTACATTGTTCATGAAATGCAGAAAATGTTTGCATTCATGCACTCTTTGAGTCAACTAGAGCAAGCAAACCATACACAAAGGAACATTCTCTGGATATTTTCCTATAAATAAAGACAATCAATGGGACAGAAACAAACTTATTGACAATCTTGTCTATTTTGGTTTTATGGTCCTACCTAAAAATTGTAAGGGGTTATTTCATTCATAAAACTCCGCTCAGATCCCCTTGGTACAAACATAAAAATCTCATGAAGACCTCCTTTTGTTTTTTCTTCACTTGAACATAACCACATTTCATAGATCCAGAAGTAATTGCATCGTTAGCCTTCTCCTTTTTCTATTCAGCATTCTTTCTTGTTGTTTACTTTACAATCGAAAAATACACTAATATGTTTACGATCCGACTGAAAGTTGGCATGCCACAAAAAAAATAACACATAGACCTTAGCCCTTTCTTATTTTATACAACCCTTCAAATAACCCTCGACAAAAACTGTATTTTAACAGCTTGTACATAGATCACTTACTACAAACTTCCAACATTTCATTAAAACTTATATTTGCTACACGATTTTAGTTTTTCATAGCAATTTATGAAATAAAAATTTCTTCAAGAGGCAGACTTGGTGCAACTCTAAACTTTTCCTTAAAAGGTAATCTTTGCATGGGCAATAAAGTCAACTTGCAGATGTCATTTTCAGGGGGGGGGTTTGAATGATAAAAATAAATTTTCAAGTGGAAGATTTTACCACAAAATTTCCTTCTGGCATCCATGTTTTTGATACCCAGTTCCAGACCCCGTTTCCCCTCCAGGTAATTTAATAGAACTCAATGGTACAGACTGATAATACTACAGACACAGAGTCTGTAAAGACAGCTGAAAGTTTGAAACATGCAATGCAGAGATTTGCCTGAGGCTATGTAGTTAAAAAATATTGCAACATTTATCTGCGTATCCTGGGATTAACTTTCTTGTAATCCACACGCTTCAGACAGAAAGGATGTAAACCAGACTTTCAATAAAATACTCAAAATCAATCGGCAAAATCAAAACGACTTTTGAGACGCACAAATAGATGAAATGGTAGACCACAAAAACAGTTTATAACGAGTTGGGTCTACCACTCAGACTTAACAAAAAAAATTAAAAGGTTTGTAGATAATTGCAATTGGCTCAACTCCCTAGCGTTCAAATTGATAAGAAGGCAGGCAAATTGAGCCAAAATGTCTGAATATTTCAAATACACAGCAGTAGGGCAGTTGATATAGTAATCCTTATTGTTGCGGCGTGGAAGACATTGACGTCATTCAAAAAATTTCATTAGTCAAGGGTATTCGCTTGTGGCTATGAACTTGAACCCGTTCGAACTGAAATTTTGAGCTTACATCGCCTATATCGTCTTATAAAACCACAGACAGTTAAAATATCAAACACATTTGTGCATAAAAACCACCTGGCGAGCGATTTCTTTGCCTTGTAGGAAAATCGCGCCATCGATAGTCGATCCAATATAACAGACCACTCATTTAGTACAAGTATTCGCAGTCATCTCACACGAGAAATTTAGCAGAAGCTTACAGTACGATTTCTACGCTAGTTTCTTGAACAATCAACCATCGTTCGAGAGGTCAAACGAGCTTATTTCGCACCAAGGATAAGCAGTATAGTTTTACTGCTTTGCTTTAACCTTAAATTCAATGTAATGCTTTTCATATGGCGGTAGTTTATTTACGAAGGAGTTTACACTATACCGGATTGCTATCGTAGCAGGTTTAATATTCTTTATGTTAAAAGGCAGTGAAATTGTTCAACGTCAGAAACACAATCAAATACACTAAATCTATCAGCTTAATAAGCTTTTACTCCCAACAGTTACCCTTTAAAGCAAATGAAGATGTCGTGATCAGCGAATCCGGTATAGTGTAAACACAGCTAAGATGAGCTAGTTACATTCACGTTAGCTGGCCCGAAATCACAAATTGAAAGAAAAGATGCCGTTCATATTATAGATAGTTCAAACAACATGACACGTACCCTGTATAGTATTTTGAAGCCATTACGAGTACTTGGTTGCGAGCGAAAACTTTGTTCCGTTCTCCTTCGATTAAGTCTTTACGTTGTCTTCGAAAGTTTGTTTCACAAATATACACAAAAGGCTTTCGTTAAACAATCTCAGATCACTGCCGAGGATCTATCAAACTTTGCCCTGCGATGTCACACGTAATAAATGAATTTTTGACGATAACATGACCAGTTTTATCTACTTAGTACTTGCACAGTCCGCTTTAATCAGGAAGTAATGAGTGACGTCATCAATGATTGGTTGGATGACGACGACAATAAATTATCATATTCACCCCCCTGCATTAGCTTTGGAAAGGTATCGAAGATTCTCGCACAAAGAATGTGGGGTTAAGGGGCTACCAACGAAACGAGTGTACGCCTAAATCTTTGAAGTGAGAGCCGATAATCTTGTTCACAAAACCCGTTGCAAAGCCATTGCAAATGCAAGGCAAATTAGCTAGATTTGTCAATATTGTAATTCAACAGCAAATTCGTTCACTCAAGCTTGTCTTCAAATCAACTGCGATGTTTTTGGCTTGAAAGTGGATTGAGTTTAAGTCGTTTGTCATCATAAGAAAAGGTCTCACAGCTTTCTCTTGTGTGCATATGACACATTTTAGAGAAGAGTAGTTTCAGAGGGATTAATATAAACACGAACGAAATTTCAGGGGATCTTTCCTTTTTGTCGATCTCAAACCCGATAAACCATGATTTCCGTCAGGAAGAGTATCTCGAGTAGAAACTTTGCCAAATTGAATATGAGAATCAATTCTACGATTTCCATTCCAGATGTTTAGTCCCGGGTGAGGACTTTACGACTAGAACCTTAAGGTGACTAAGAATAGAAGCTTAGGAGCTGGATTTTGATTGTTTCATTTTGGTGTCAATGAAAGGAGAGATGGGGTCAGAGTTATCTTGAAGGCGAAACTTGTCTAAGCGTGATCTGTTGTTTATGTCACTGGCTCACAGTAAGGATCCTTCAGCAATAAGTAACATTAGACTAAAGGTGTTGATTACAAGAGCATGCATTAAATTCAACTCAATTTCCAAAATCCATCTGGAAGCGCTGTCGCACAAAACCATTTTGAAGGAAAATTATTTTTGACATGAGAGAGATTGTAAAGAATTTTTTTGGGAGCCGATCAGAGCAGCTGATCTAGATGTTATGTTTGTTTTGCTTTGCACAAACAAACCCGCCTAATTGGCAGAAGGGGGGTGTGAGTGGAAGGATGTTAGCGCAAACTTCAGACGAATAGAAAGGCAAGGAAAGCATTTTGATAAGCAATGAGTGATGTGCATAAGGTAATGCGATGATTATGATTGTCTCGCATTTTTTCCAAGACTTTTTTACTTCTGTATTTATTTAAATCTGAAAATAATCTTTATGACAAAATATTTGTGTACAAAGTTGACACTCGAGCGTCTCTAGCGGAACAATTCCCAATATCTGGGTCGGGTGGTGTCTTTTCTTCTGTTATGTCGAACTCATCTTTTACCAAAGAAAAACTAAACTATGAAACACAGAGAAGAAAGTCATAAAACACGAGCAAGTATGGTTAAGAATTTTGTCAACAATGTATTCCTGTACACAATCAGCATCTCATCACCTTGTTTTGATGTTGTCTATCTCAGCACGGTGTTCAGTCATACCACATATACTCACAAGTGGTCCGTCTTGTTGATTAGAATTAAATAGGCAAAGACAAAAAATATTTTGATAGATTTCAACATTACCCCACGAAATTATTCACAGAATTTGAAGACTTCTGCTTTGACGTAGTTCGTACGTCAAAGTTCAAACATATTGACGTAGTTTATTTGGCATTTACGCACGATATTGCAAATCAACCCCTCAGAAAAAAACCGCATCAAACCAGTCGAATATGACATCAACGAAACCAATGCAAACTGGAATAACTGCCACTCGTGTAATGTCAATGTGGCTCAGTATGCAACCCTGTAGATTACATTTTTGCCCTTGTAAAATAAACTAGTTATTTTATTTCAGCTAGATTGTTCAAAACTGCTAAAAGTGGCACGGAAACATAATTTCCTTCATTCCTTGAAATAGAAACGTCGCAATTTGCTTGTAGCTAAAGTGCAATTTCCTTACAACTTTTTCGTTTTCTCATTACCACGCAGGAAGGTATCTCTTTCATAGCACTCAGCCTGACTCAGGTCGATCGTAAACAACTGTGTAATTATGTACATGTGAAATGAGTTGGCGTCCGAAAGAAGAAAAAAAACAGTGTTGTTATCTTTATTGTTGCACTGTTATTAGTATGCAAACTATACACCACTCAAACTGCAAACAAAGACAGGTTGATAAACTTTGTGGAGCCGTACTTGGGGAAAATCTTGTCGCATTGTCATTGTAAATTTTTGTTCAAAATGAGCCATATCTAATTGATAGATATGTAGACGAAAAAACGCAGAATAATTATAAGTTTATCAAACACTGATAAAAGCTGGTTTTCATTACATCAATTGTTGCACGAGTCAGTTTCTTATCGTTGCAATATTACTCACAAATAATTGAAATTCAGACAATTATATATCGTTAAGAGTCTTTACGGGCATCTCCAGCGAAGCAACTATACGCCATAATTGCAATTAAATAAAAACCAGACTTCAATTTTGTACACATTATCGCGTGATCACTTAAACATATTTCTTCGTCAATATTTACATGGAAAATAAAGCAACAATATTCAACGATAAAAAGCAACGTATACATTAAAAATTGATCAAACATCTGTCTTATCTTGTTCGTTGTTCCTTTTAAGAAGCTGATTTATACAATACTCGTTTTCTTGTCCAACTTCCGTCAATCGTAAATCCATTATTTTCATACTCTCGTTTTCTTCCATACTCTCTTCAAGTGATTTCCCGCCATCCTATAAAGAACATCCGACACGTGTGTGAAGGAAGTCATTTGTCATTGAGACTAAGCTACAAGCATCAGCTTTGGCCTGATACTTCAGATTCAGGTAGAGCGCATTGCTATTCTACCTATCATCGCCTTGCTATAAGTAAAGTATATTAGATTATGTCTAGGAAAGGAAACGTTGATGATTTCAAATTGTCTTTGACGTAAGACTATCAATGATAACCACAAGCCTCTTTTTACTCAAACAATACCATACAGTATCTCCCTGCTACAGCTCATATCTCCTTTGTGTGGCCATTACTTGATTGAATTGTAGAAATTGACTAGTTATAGATTCCAGTCCCTACCTCCCGGGGACTTCACACAAGAAACATTGACAAATCTAGCGAATGAAACTCTTACCTCTCCCATTTTATTACATGAAACGTTCAAAGATCGTAACGTTTTGTTCGACACCAAGACCTGCAAATAGAAAAAAATGCTTTTCTTAATTGTTTATTCTGTGTCTGTTGAGCAGGAATGGCGCTTAGCAACGGGGTGAAAATCCTTAGCAATATTCGTGTCATATTTTCTGGTAAATAGTGGGCAGAATACAGGGCTCGATAAAGCTTCAGGAGGATGCAATTAGTATTAAAATTCCGTTCTTCTTCATCAGATAAAGTAATTGAGCGACAAACCGTCGTTTATGGCATTTTCTTTCTCATAATTGCATAGATTACATCGGAATTTATCGTTTAGAGTCCCATAAATGGCACATTGTTGATATTAACTATTCCCATAGTCAACATACATTACATCGGAATGGATTAACTCGGAAGAACTTTGCTCTGCGCGGAAATGCTATTAAACAAAAATAATCCTTAATCCCCCCTGACGTTTTCACTTTGACAGAAAAAAATAATACCCGGTGGTATTAGCAAGATTTATATGAAAAAAAAACCCACAAACGTTTGGCATGTGCACAATTTTGACAAGCAACACACACATCTAATGGTAAACAACCTTTACGGAGCATACCTGAGCTAGCGCAGCCGCAGTAGGCTCTCCCATATCATTACTTCCCATGTTCAACTCGAGCAAAGTGGTATTTTTCATTAAAGCTCTACATTGCTTGTCCACCGTCATCACCAAGTCTATTCAGACGAATGTTCATCGAGAGCAATGTCGTGTTTTTACCTAAAGCGTGGGCTATCGCCTTTCCTCCATGAGCCTTTATCTTGTTGTTGAGAAGAATTAAGTGCTCCAGCCGACAACGGCCGTTTATGAGCTTCCCAAGAGCCCTTGCGCCGCTATCGCCGATTTTGTTGTGCGAAAAATCTTCGTTCGAAAAGAAAAAGAAAATGACGATGATATTTATGGAATTCGATAGCTTTTTCAGAATCACAAATAAAATATTTAAAAATTGTGAACATTTCGAAGGTGTCATGTTTAAATACTCATGTTCTTAAACGTGAAAATGTTTCATGCAAAAACAAACTACGTGATTTTCACTTTTTGTTTCATCCAGATAATCAATTTAATCATACGCACAAATATCAGCGGCCCTTACCTAAAGTCGTCAGCGAAGGGTGATCTAGAAGGTGACTAATAATAATTCTGGCTTTCTCGTCATCCACCTGACTACAATGAAGATGAAAGACTCGCAGCGTTCGACAAGCTTTTACAGCCTAAAAAAGATTAAAAAAAAGACATTTGCTAAGGCATTCTCATCATCAAAGTGGTGAAATGTTTTTAAGAATAATATGCGTAGAAAATAAGTTTTGATTTTTACAAGCTATCGACGAACAATGTCCGCACTATACATCGTCATCCAGTAACCATAAACGGGCAAAATAATTTCACGTTTTCAGCTGGTCAACTACTGTTTAGGAATCGTGTCAGTTTGACTCATGAAATCTGCCAGAGATGTAAGTAGTAGATGTACTTTTAAAAAAGTAAATAAAAAAATGACACCTTGGAAAGAAGTTGACAATCGCGCTTCGTAAACTGGAACATATTCCATTCAAAGTTCATACCACACGCTTTCACTCTATAACAATGAATAGAGAAAATTTCGTTCATACAATGATTTATATACCACGACAAGATGGAATCTTTCTTTGTATACGTAGAGCTCAAAGGATATAAATGGCATGATGGGCAACATTCAGTTTCACGAACTTTCTACAAACTGCTTTTTATTTGTGTAGTTGTCAAAAAAAACGATGTCCCATGTACTCATACGTACCCATATGTACTCATACGTACTCATACGTACTCATGTACCCGTACGTACTCATACGTACCCATATGTACTCATACGTACCCATACGTACTCATACGTACCCATATGTACATACGTACCATACGTACTCATACGTACTCATATGTACTCATACGTACCCATATGTAATATGAAGTTCTTCCAAGCAACTTGTTCGTGAAACTAATTCGCCAAAATCAAAATGATCTAAGAGAGGACCATCATGGCCAACGTCGCTTCCACTGCGAAACAAAGAGCTTCGTGTTAATTTCTCATGATTGTCTCAAAATGAGAAGACTTCATTTGCTTTGCGTTCACTAACAAAGACTGGACACAAAAGTAAATATAAATTTAGACATATGAGTGGGTAGAAAGATGTAATTCGTTGGTAGTTTTTCGATCTGACATTTTGTTACTTTTCATATGCAAGAACTTTATTGTGCAATTACTAATATAGACTAAGCATTACTAACATCGAGCAGACTACATCATATAATGATTTGATTTTTCTTCATACGTTGGCTTATAATAATGACTTTGTGATTGCGTCAATTACAATGATTTTGAATTATGTCATCTTCAACGACTTCATGATTACGTCAGTTGCAGTGACTTCGTTATTACGTCAGTCACAATGACTTCGTATTTACGTCATCTGTAATGACTTCATGATTACGTCTTTTATAATGACTACGTTATTACGTCAGTTATAATGACTTCGTTATTATGTCAGTTATAATGACTATGTAATTACGTCAGTTATAATAACTTAGACACTATGTGACAATATTTTTGTGATTATATCACTTACTTGTCGGATGAGTCATCATCTATGATGTTTACCACCTTGACTGGAGGTAAAAGTTGTTTTATATCCAGAGAGCGGATGCACATTTCACCGAGGGCTAAAATCTCATGCAACTGTATAAACAACAAACAACAACAAACAACATTTGTATACCGGCCAGTATTAATCCCCACCAGGGGGGTTGACCGGTCCATTCAATGCAACTGAATAAAGAGTTTGAAAAGTTGATGCTGTGGCAGTATTAAGATGAATGACATGTTAATAATTTCTTAGTTTCCTAAAGTGCAATATTAAAATTTTTCAAAGAAAATGGGATAATTTCCTTAGTTACATTTACCTCAGCAATTTCTGTGGTTTCGGGTACAAATCCTTCAATGATACCTATGGGGGAAAACACGGCTTGCAACAATTTTCTCCATAATTGCTAATATATTTACAGTGGCGTAGTCGGCCTGCAAATTTGGTCCTGCTATGTACATTTTTCTGTGTTCACTCACTGTAAAAACAATAGACTTCAAAAGAAATGAATGTTAATGTTCTGAAATTTAAATGGCACAAATAAATTTTGCAGGCTAGTTACGCCACTGTATATTTATCATTTGCATCTGTCAATATTCATCACCATTGTTCATATAATCCGTTACATGTATAATAAATGCATGTGCAATAGCCGAGGTAATCAAACTTTTACACAGGCAATGCAAACTATTTGACTATGAAAACAAATGATGCAATGTTCTATAATTTATGATGAGATAGAAACAATGGAATATATAAAAGTTCTCAACAAAAATACTCTAAGCTCAATAAAAATATGATGACCAGTTACTAAATGGTTGACAACCTTTTACTGTTCTTTCAAAAAACATTCGTTTCCAGCTATTTCCATATTTTGAGAGATCACAAATTTCCCATTTCGCATTACAACACTTCTTCCAGTACTCTTCCTCTTTAACGAGTGGTGCAGTGACCCTGGTACCAAAATGAATGCATGATTTCATATCACGACAGTTAAACAAACCAGTAAAAGATTCTCCTCACTTCAAGGGGACGTCGGTTGAAAGTAGTTCCAAAACTTTGGTCTTGTGCTTTGGTAATAGTTCATTCAGAATTGGTTTTTCTGTGAAAACATCAAACAATTAAGCATATTGTATTTAATTTTACTTGTGTGAAAAACCATACCATCAAAATTTGTGATTATGTGAGAGATACACAAGTCAGTCAATAATGGTACGGTTGTCAAACTCCTGTTCACAGAAAACAAAGAATAGTTTCAAAACCACGGTAAGGTTTTGTGTTTCGTTGATAAATGTGGGAAATTTTACCAATCTGGATCTTCGGCAATGATCCGTCTCATCTGACGAGGATCAGAAGCGGGATTTGCATGCTCCGCGAAAACCTAAATTCAATTTATACAAATAATGAGAAATCTCAATTAAAAGAATTTCTTCATCCAAAATACACAATTATGAAAATTTAAATTTAAGCAGTTGCTTACTGGAGATGCAATCTTTCCAATGTGGCCTTCTCTTGCCATTTCTATGAGAAATTGTCAAGAAAAATAAGAAAGTATGTCTTCATAATAATCGACCATTTTGATTTTGATATACGTTGCTATAGTAACCTAAAGGTACAATGAACTGAACTAAAAACCCCTGGAATGTTAAATCCCATAAATGATCCAATATTTCTTTCAATTCCAGAAAAAAAACAGTCAAATACACCAAAACAGATCAATTTTTACAGAAAGCGGTCAATTTTTTTAGTGAAAAGAGTTTTCAGTGATCAATTATGTAACATGAAGTCATACAACATGTACATCGTTTTTTGTTGCCTCTCTTGTTTCTACATAATGCCAGTTATAATCACACATTGTCAAACTCAGATAATGTTCTTATCTTTCAGCATTTTGAAATAAAAATCGTTGGGATGAATAGTTGGGAATAGATTGGGAAATGGGAATAGTCGAATAATTGCAGATTAATCCACTACACCAGTGACTACACCATTACATACACCACTGGGTTACACTGACCATGTTGCATCGCAGACTCGCCCTCAATGTTTCCCGAATACACGTCACTTCAGTTCCAAAATGGAGTCTGGATTGCTTGTAAGTTGAGTTTTTTTTTGTCAAATTTGAGCCGTAATTATCAAATAAAGCCTGAAATAATTCGGAAATTTTGTGACTTATAGTTACTTATAGACTTTCTTTTAGGCTGTAGTATTCCTAATGCGGTGCTGTTCTTACAAGCGGTACTGCTATCTTTTGATAATCTTTCTAGGAGCCATCGATGTACACAGTAAAAGGAGTCTTAATTCTTGATAACGATGGTGAACGAATATTATCAAAGGTATTGATGTTTTTGTTTGTTGAAGTCTTGAAATCTTGTGTTTTATAATTTAATTCAAATTTTAAGTTTGCCTTCTTCTAATTTTAGTATTATGATGATACATATCCTACACTGAAAGAACAAAAAGAGTTCGAAAAAAATTTATTCAACAAAACAAGTCGTGTCAATGGTGAGTTTGTATTTTGAGGAAAATCCAAACTGATTGTAAATTTGATTATCCTCATGATGAATTACTCTACAATATAGCGGAGATCGTCATGTTTGAAGGACTAACCTGTGTCTACCGAAGTAATATTGATCTGTATTTCTATGTGATTGGATCATCAAGCGAAAACGAACTTATTCTTGTGAGCGTTCTCAATGCATTTTATGATTGCATCAGCCAAATCCTACGAAAAAGTGTTGAAAAGAAGATGCTCATGGACAACCTTGATGTTATAATGCTGGCAATGGATGAATTGGTTGATGGAGGGTAATATTGAATGTTATAATGAAGGATGGTCTGAATATTGCTAAGGATAAATCTATCTTTATTTTTATGACTTTAACTTTCAATCATTTTTGTTGTTAACATTCTAGGGTAATACTTGATGCAGAAGCCACTTCAATAGTACACAAAGTAGCTATAAAGGTATATAGTTTTATGACTCATAAAATTTCCATGACACTATGTTCTTTTGAAGTGTAAAGGCTCGTTCACATGATCCAATTTTTTGGATCCTAAAGTATGAGCCTCAAGAGAAGCTCTTGTTTTATTTTTATGCAGAATGATGATGTGCCATTGTCAGAAAGAAGTGTTGCTAATGTAAGTGTTTGATCTTAAGCATTTTGTGCACTAATTTATGTAATGTTTGATACAAATAATAATGTGTTTTGCTCTATACGTATTTTGCAGGTGTTGCAGTCCGCCAAGGATCAATTAAAATGGTCTCTTTTAAAATGATTAATATTATTGTCCAAAAATATGTCCATTTACGAATATTTGTAATTGTAAACTATGAAGATAGAAATAAAACACTTTCAGCTCATTTAATCGTTTATCTTGACGTATTGTGATGTCTTGGGTTTGCTGTGGTTGTTAATACCCACGCGCGATCTCCACGCGTGTTGGATTGTCTTCTCGTTTGTTTAACAAGTTTATGTTGTACAATTAACGAATTTTTTATAAAAACTCTTTGAATATCTTAAACTAAGTCGTCCTTGGAATCATCTCTTCCTTTCTGACCATTATGGTTAACGATAGTCCTTCTTCGACTGGCGGCCATTCACTAGAATATGAAGGTAAAGAAAGCAAATGCATTTTCGTTATGACTAGTTTGATAGGAACGAGTATATAAACGTAAAATATGAATTTAAATGTACAGTTTTTGTTTAGTCGGGTCAGATTATTTTGTGCCCCATTGCTGTTATTTATTCATATATGTGGAAAAGATAACTGAGACATGAATTTTTATTGACGGTAACACTGTTTATGTTTGTCAATGGAATTTCAAATTGAACCAAACGTTTCATTTTGGAAGTTATGTTTGAGAATAAGAAAGGAATTTTCTCGATCAGTTAGTTTGTATTGACAGTCTAATGAATGCGGGTGTATTAATGTACCGCCCAGCGTGATATTTGTTTGTTTGAAAGAGGAAAAATGAAACCAAATCGTTAATTGCTTTTTGTTCATAAAAAGTCATGTTTACAAAGATGAAAGTATTTTTAAAATATGTGTCGCCAATTTGGCTCTGTTGCACAATATTATCAACTTAACGCAATGACTAAGTCACAGTATTTAGCTGGTATTTTAAACTATATTTCACTGGATGCTCAGCCATACAAATGGCCAACTGTTTCCGAAATCATACATGGGTTTTCATCTCACTGATGGGACTATTCTTCAACATGACATTATTATTGCAATTGAACTTTGTCTGTAGCCATCAAAGAGATTGTAAATTCTTTGGATGATCCAGCTACAGCTGGTTTGATCTTGGAAGAGCAAGCAAAATCGTTAAAAAACATCTTAGCTGATCCTTCTATACAACATCTTATTCAGGTGACAATTGAAGTGCTTGGCAGTTGTTTTGTTGTTTAAGTTATCCAGCATCTTGATATTAGTTGATAAGTATTTGACTTACAATTTTAGCATTGAATGCCAATTACTTTGATTATGTATTGAAGGCTCATTCGACATTGGAAAATACAACGATAGAAAAGTCTGACCAAGACGCAAATGTTGACCTTTTAAAGGAGGTAACTGCAAGGAAGTTTACAAATATTCACCATGAAAGGCAATGAACCAATGTGACTAACTGGTTTCACATTTTCATGTGTTTTTTTAACTGCATATATAATATTTTTAAAATCGCTTGCCACAATAAACTTATAGTTCATTTGTGTATAATTACATGGCACATATTTAGCATTCAATGAAGTTTGGAATGCGGTTCAAGGTTTATGCAAATATCACCTTATATAATTCTGATATTTGTGTTGCATTTTTGCTAGGTATGTTTGTCGTTAGAGCAAAAGAAAGATGAAAAAGATGTTGAAGAACTGACTACTCTTCTCTCCAATCCACATTTTAAAGTAATAAATATTCTGTGAATCTTGGTATTCAGTCAGTTTCAATCATTTACCTGACACACATAAATGCTTGAAAAGAAAATTTTGTAGAAATCATCGCCAAAATGAAAAGATGAGGCTACAGCAGTACAAATCAAATTACCATATTCTTCAACTTACATTTTGTTTCTTCAAGGGCTTAATACGGAGTTATGATGCCATAGTGAAGAAGACTTATGATGCAACTCCACCATTAGCATCTTCTTACTCAAGAAATAGTGTCGCTGCAGGTGGAGAACCTATACGAATGGTTGGGTTGAATAAATCACCGAATGAGTCTTTGGTATGACCTTTATACATTAGACATCTTGTTTAAAGGTTTTAGCTATACGTTTTGTATCATCTTTAGGGTTTGACTTTAAAGCAAAGGGATGGAAATATTGTTGTTGCAAGAATCATTAAAGGAAGCCAAATTGACAAACAAGGTTAATTTAGTTGTTGAAATTTCGTCATTTTTCAGGATGTTTTTAGAGTTCAGATAATGTGGATAGATACTTCATACATTGAACAAGAACTTCAACTGCACTACTCTGTTTGCAATACAAAATTTTAAATTCTTTTCTTTTGAGAGATTTGGAAACCGCGCCAAAACGTTTCCAATGAATATCAACTGATACCATCCTAGGCTGTTTATAATTTTCATTAGTGATGTTAGGTTACCAAAGTTAACAACAGTACTCAACATACGTCTCCTCTTTCATTTATATGCAAAACTCGTCCTTATAGAGCTGCTGAATGTCGGCGATATTATCAAAGAAGTTAATGGTCAAGCAGTGAAGAATAACCTTGAAAAAGTTATAAAAATTTTGGTATGCAAAAGCTTTGTGTGAAAGTTAAAAATCAAAGGCTCAACCGACGTCTTGTTTTGAGAGTAGCTATAATTGCATGCTCTTGCTTTTGACCAATTTTTTACTTTTCAACTTGTCGTTTTAACTTGCCGTATAAGCAGTAGACAGACTTCTCCGGCCAATCATTGAACTGATGTCAACTCATGTAGTTTGCTCGGTCAAAAGGAAAAAGAAGTTTAAAGAACCCCGTATTTGTTCTTGTGAATCGACGCAACTTTACCATTGAACTTAGAGTCTTAGAATAAGCGTCATACGTACTTACCACGAAAGTTGACCATCGTTGTTATCCAGCTTCATAGGTGTTAAAGAAATGCACAATTTTGTATTATAACAATTGCTTCTTGTAGAAAGAATCAAACAAGAAAATCATTTTGAAAGTCTCTCCCAGTTACGCGAGCAAACCGTATCAAGGGAAAGTAAGACCGCGACGAGGATGCCATGATTGCCTTCAGTGTTCGGTTCTTGATTGATTTTTTCGCCTCAGGTGTTCATGAAAGCACTGTTCTCTTTCGAACCAAGCAAAGATCAAGATATTCCATCTAAGGAAGCTGGTTTGGCGTTTGAGAATGGTGATATTTTGGAGATACTTGACCAGGCAGACGCAACGTGGTGGCAGGTAAGGTTACGCGTTTTATCCTGGTGGAGAAAGGAATTTGTGATACGTTAAAAATTCGACGTTTGTGTCTCATGGGGACAAACTGACCAAAACTCTGAGGGAGGAATGAATTTATATTCCATAACATTCTTTCTCATAGAAAAATTGCTATTTTGATTAGGCTTCAAACTAAGGAATCTAGGGCTTTGATATTTAAAATGAGTAGCTAATAATTTTAGTTGTCTTTCTTAAATAGGCGAAGAAAGTGAATGGTAATGGCGATACAGGATTAATTCCAAGTAAAACATTACAAGAGAAGTATGTATTTATGGAATAAAATCGTGATATTTCAGCTCTTATGCTGCGCGCGTGATTAATTATTTCTGTATTTGCGGGCCAGCCCGCCTCATGTGAATCAAATAATAAACTGGCCTGGCAAAGAGGGCCAGCCCGGCTCATATGAACATGCCTTAAGATAGTTTTTTGTTCTCACAGACGGCGTACATTCATCAATCCGAACATTACGCGTAGACGAAGCTTTTGTAAGTATATGCAATCAAATGTATATTTTGAAACAAACTGGACTTTTCAATTGTCCTCTTCAGAAGCAAATAACGAAAAATTCGTCGCTGCGAAAGCTCGACAGTCGTTTCGACATAACTCAATAGCAGCAGTAGAAAATTTTTAGAATTTAAACTTTAAACTTCCTATTTGACACTAGAAGCAAGGTATAATAAGAAGCAAGATCACCTTCCAGTATTTTTTTCCGTGTCCATTATGTTTTGTTTATGGGTACTTAATTTCAGTGATGTGCAGAAGTCGAAAAAAGAGGAAGACAATGTATGACGTAAAGAAAACATCAGGTTTGTATAATCACGTGATTTGATGAAGCGTTATACCAAGGTGGAAAGTTGCAAGTTTATAGCGTTTCATACCGATCTCCGAATAATGGCGGCTGGTGACTTGTATAGATTTTTTATCTCTTAGAGTTTGACCGCCATGAAGTCGTCTCGTATGAAGAAGTTGAGAAGATGCCGCCTTTTGCCAGAAAAACATTGGTGCTTATTGGTATGTCGTGCTCGGTCAACGACTTCAATTGTTACACAAGTCGTTGACTCTTTTTCATCTGTTCTACGTAGGTGCGGACGGTGTCGGAAAACGGACTCTGAAGAACAGAATAATAGCGAGTGATGCAGACAGATTTGGGACTGCAGTTCCGCGTACGTTTTCATAGTTTTGTTATGATGTCGTATGAAATTTTGCTTCAAACGAAGCAAAAACTTTCTTTTTTTGCGATGCTTATCATAGACAGCTCGGAGGCGTACTGTTCTTTGATGTGCCTTGAATTTGTTTCGTGAATTGAGCTAGAAACTTTGTTTTTCTTTCCACCAGATACGTCGCGAGAGCCTAGGGAGGATGAAGAGAACGGAAAAGGCTATAATTTTGTGAGTCGAGAAAAGATGACAGAGTTAAGACGCACAAACATGTTTCTTGAGTATGGTGAATACAACGGGAACATGTACGGGACATCTTTGGATAGCGTGAGATCTGTGATAGATCAACACAAAATGTGTGTCTTGGATATACAACCATCGGTAAGACGTTAGTAAACTATTAGGAGCACCCCCCTCCCTCATGAGTATATGGTGCAGCAGGAATGCGCAATGCGTTCCTTAGCTTACTGCCTTTTTTTTTGATGGGAGGTGTAGGTTTTTGAAGGCTAAGTGTTCGCTTTCTTCTCGTAGGCATTCAGCAATTTAAGATTTTGATGTTAACATGAAAGTGCTTTCTTTTAGGGTCTAAAAATGCTCAAGAATTCCGAGTTCATGCCGTACGTCGTATTTATTGCAAGTCCCACTACTGATGAACTTATACAGCGTCAGGCACGTGCCCCGTCCAACTCAAGACAACTGACTGTAAGTCTTTATCTTTGTTGATTGTTTCATCTACATAATTGTTCATCTTCATCATTTCAAACGGTATAACGATTGAAAGATATCTTAAATGATAAAATTAGTATGGCATTCTTTTATAAAAAGCTGAAGATGGATTTCGATAGGCCTAAATTATGTAGTACTATTCTCTATGGATGATTCAACATACATTTGTAACAATTCTTTAATGTGTTCGCTTCTTCATGTACTCATATCTTAGGACTTTGGGAATACAGTCTATGATGGGTCAAATGAAGTAACCGCAGTGATCAAACCGCTGGCTGTTTATTTTGAGGTGAACTAATGATCGCTTTACTGTTTTTTGTTTTCAGAATGAAGATATGGTGAAAATAGTTGATCGTTCCGAGGCCATCAGTAGGGATTACAATCAATATTTTGATCTTACTATCGTGAACAAAGATGTAAATGAATCCTACGAGCGACTATTGAAGGCAGTCGAAGGCCTGAGTGTCAATACACAATGGGTACCTGTTAGTTGGGTATATTAACCTGCAAGCACCCTTATCCATATCCTCTTATATATATATCACTATTCTCTTGCTCTGTGCCTAACTAATTTATGAGAGAAATGAAATCTGGACGATATTGTGTTTGCTAACGAAATCAGCTCGAGTTTTTGGTCATTATGAGTTTTTGGTCATTATGAGTATTTCTTTTTGAATTTATTTCCATTGAGGACATCACATGACTGAAAATCGGATTGGTTTTCATTAATGATTACACGAATCCCATTTCTCTCCATAACAGTTTAGCGGATGAAAGAGGGATGATTTTAATCGGGAGCTCTCCAAGGATTTTATTGCGCTAAAGCAGGGGTCTCCAAACTTTACAGCCTTGAGGGCCACATGAACCTTCATTATGAAGCATTGAAATATAAATAAATTTCACGTTATCCTTCAGCTTTTTAAATTTCGCAATGTGCTTGAAACGGAAGTAGGAAGTTGGGACAAAAATTGACGTAAGCCACTCTTGAAAGTTGGCTTGCGTCATAACGTGAACTTTCTGCACAAAGTTTATTTTGTTTAATAATATTTTTTTTTTCTGTGGGTGTCTCCGCGGGCCGTAGTTTGGAGACCCCTGCGCTTAAGGATCGCTCTTGTTTATTTAATTTTTCAGTTTTAGTTCAGTTTGGTTTTAACGTTCTAATTTATGGACGAAATAATTTTAAAGTTTTGAAACAGTGTGACTATTTTATGTTTATATTGACAACGACGTGTCCCTAAAAACGGTACCAATGTGTTATTTTTGGGAAGCTAATATCAGGCTATAACGCTATAACGCTGAACATATTTTTTACATGTGTCAGTTTCTATTTCTTTTTGCAGGGGCTCCTACATGAGCAACTCATCGTCTTTGACAAAAAACCATTTGAAAATTTCAAATTTGACAATATTTCTTGGATAGCTTGTTCCGAATAGGTCGCAGACTTTCTTCATAAACTCCTTGACGGCTTTGTAGAACAATGTCAGATAAGAGCTATATAAAAAATCTTAAATTTAAATGCTACCACTAACTTTTAAGTGATATGTTGCTCAATTGCTCATCACTATTTGTCTTGTGCAAAGATGATCACGTCTGAAGAGCGAGACAACAAAAATTTTCATAATAGTTCACCACCCCCCCCCTTCTATCTCATACGAGAAAAGTCTTGCCAGCAAAACTTTGATGTTGTAAAGATCGAGTTCACTCTTTTTTTGACATTCACCATATTAAGTTGAACCATCACTATGGTAACCTTTACATTTCGTAGCTCCTATACAGGTAACCCAACATCTAACTCTTCCTCCTCGTGGACCGTGTCCAAGGCAGTTGACGTTGTTTTGGATCTGCTCGATCGACTTTCCTCCAGATCTCTCCAACGATCCTTGAACCACGGTAAAATATCGAAATACGAGAACGTGAAAGATCTTGAAATCCTCTGCTCCAGGAACAAATTCTGGAAATCTCTCAGTAGCATTTCCAAGAAATGACGTCTGGCAAACTGTCGTTCTTTCGCTGCTTCCATCTCTTCTTCCAATTTTCGTCTTTCTTCCAACATGATCAATCTATCGGCCTCGCGGCGTTCTTCCTCTTCTCGAATCTCGCGCTTTATTCTCTCCTGAAATAATTAATGTTGAAAAATTGATAGAATTCCAATGTAAAATTCAACAAAGGGAAGCCATGTAATTATCCAAGTTATTTGGAAGTACCTTTCAAAGCACCCTAATTACATGTTTGTAAAGTAGATCGTCCAGGTTAGTATAGTACTGAGAAGGACTGTTTTTGTTGTTATTGACTGACGTTTCGACAACCTTAGCGGTAGCCATCTTCAGAGTCAAATGAGGAGTAAACGTCAGGTTAGCCGTATTTGTTATCTGGTTCTTACTTCAAACAATAAAGATAAGAAATACGGCTAATCTGACGTTTACTCCTCATTTGACTCTGAAGATGACTACCGCTAAGGTTGTCGAAACGTCAGTCAACAACAACAAAAACAGTCCTAAGGACTATACCAACATGTAACGATACACCCGGGTACAAACCACTTATTTAAAGCACCCTAATTTTGGAAATAAATGCAAAATCAGTGCAATGCAGCTGTAAAATCAAATACAAAATAATGGATTGTACAGTTTCATACCAAGCGTTCCTCGTGAATTCAAAAGGCTGAGATGTTGTTTAAAAAACATACCTCTTCTAGACGACGATCCTCCATTAATCTTTCGCGTTCTTCTTCTTCGAGATGAGCAATTTTTTCTTCATATTCTCTCTTATTTTCCTCTTCAATCTCAGCTTCCACTCGTTCTCTCTCCCTTCTCAGTTCCTCTTCAAACTTCCTTTCTGCCATCAGTTGTTCTTTCTTTCGTTTCCATTCCTCCCGTGCGCGTCGTTGTCTTTCGATCATCAAACGTTCTTGCCTCGATCGTTCGTGTTGTTCAGCTTCCAAACGAGCACGTTCTCGTTCTTCGTTTTCCTTTTGTATCCTAACAAAACATATTTTTCATGATAAGATTACAGATTAGATTCCATCCTAACCTCACCAACCCTTGTCATCCTTATTTTCCCACTCATACCCTATTGGCAGAAACCGCAAGCAAACTTTAAAGCGGGACAGCAGGCTCAGCAATGGCATATTTTCAAACAAGAAGGTTCATTTTAAACGTTTAAACAAAGTTATTTCTAAAATTCATTCAAAGAAACTGTACTTGGAAGTGGATGAAGCTTAATTACAAGGAAATTAAACTTATTAAACATATTATTGAATAAGTGAAGGTAATACTGTTTTCTTTGTTTTTAAAAATACGACTGAAGAAGCTCTAAAAATAGCGTATAAGTGGTTTTGATACACACGGCAAAGCAATTCCGTGCGTTACAAAAATGTCGAGCGAAATAAGCAGTTTATATAACTTATTGTTAACGTAGGAAGGATAATATAAATAGGAGATTTATATTTCTCTCAAAGTGAAAGCAGAAAAGCGGAATTTTTTAGCTGGCAATACAACCACGTGCGTATACAAATCATTTGACTGCAACTTGCTTTTTTTGTCCAAACGTGTTTAAAATTTATCAAAATTCCTGTTCGAATTCGCTTTAAATCGTTAGCAAAAGCTACAGGTTATCGACAAATCCTTTAACTTGATATTAAAGTTGAGTTATTACGATTAAATCGCCACAGCGAGGAAATGTCGGTAAATATTTTACAAATTTCTAGTATCCATGAAAAAGAACCATTTTTTTTTCAACCAAAGTAAGCAACTTAAAGGAATAATGAAAGCCAGAGATCATTCGTTGGCATCATATAAATTTTTATTAGGTTATTTCAATACATCTTAATTTATATCCTTAAAAAGATGTCCAAAATCACTGTAAAAAGTGAACTTATTTCATGTATAAAAATGAGATGACAAACACACCTTCGTTCTTCCTCTCGCCTTTCCCTTTCTTCTTCGGCATCTTTACGTAGAACTTCTAGTCTTGCTTCTTCTTCCTGAGCACGCCTTTTGGCCTCCTCTCGTTCCCGTCTTTTCCTTTCGACTTCCGTCTTCTTCGTTCAGCAGCAGCTGCCCTTTGTTCAGCTCTCGCTTTTGCCCGACGCTGTTTCTCGGTGAGCACTATTTCTGGTGATCTTTCTCGTTCGCTTGTCTCTGTTTTCAAGCTCATGTCCGCGTTCTCTGCTTTAAAACCGTTCGTAATGACATTTTGCATCGTCACAGCTGCTTCTTTCTCACGTGGACAAGCTTTCATTTCACGTGATGAGGCACTTTGGGTTGGTGTTTGATCACGTGAGGAAACACTTTGGAGGCGGGATGAGTTTCCTTCAGAACGTATTGCGGGTTCTTCCTTTTGTGAATTTTTACTTCCACGACGTGATTGAGACTTTGCTGGAGATAGTCGTTTCTCTACCTCTCCAGTCTCTGAGTCAACTCGCACAGTTGGAGAACTGGAGTCTACTTTAATTTGATCTTCTGCTTTATACTCAACCTTATCTTGCACTTCAGGACTTTCATCTTTCTTTTGAATCGTTTTCTCGTTCACATCGGCATTTTGAGTCAAACCTTTTGGCGGTTTGGATTCCGGCACCAAACCAGCACGAAAAGGTGGTGTTTTGGGTGGCTCGTTTTGCGCATGCGCAACGTCCTGACTCTTTTTTCCCTTCTTAACTCGTTTCGCATTTCCAACTTTCTTCACTTTGCGTCCTTTGCGAGATTTCCCTTTTTTATGAGGTTTTTCTTTAACATCGACAGTCTCAGTGGTTTCTTCTACCACAAATGTTGTCTGTAACGATTCTTCATCTTCTCTCGAGTGTTCTTTCATTTCGTTTGCTTTGGTTGGGACGTCTTCATCATTGAATATACAATATAAAACACGGGAAGTGAAGCATTTGTTCTTTATGAACACAGAGATACCCAAACAAAGTGATATTTTATAAATATTCTTAAATTATATTCTTCGTACTCACCGGTATCCAAACTTGTTCTTTCTTCCTCGTTTACTTCGTCATCTTGAATTTCTTTTCAACTTGCATCGAATCTTGTTGATCGACAAGATTTCTTAAATCAACTGCGGCCACAGCTGAGCGTGTTCTTCCCTTTCCTTTCTTTGTGGTTTTTCTCAGTTCACCCAGAGGTCGAACAACTGTCGTAGCGGCTGATGTTACTCGTCTTTTTTCATCTACAAACCAAAGTTGAGTGATGAAAGGTTTCAACTTTACACTGAGCAAAGTGTGCTGTTTGTTTATACATGCTACACATGTTATCAAAAACGTCTTTAAGCGATTGAGTTTGCACTTCGTTATTGAATTGATACAGCACTTTAGTGAACGCTAGTCCATAACATTTAAAGCTCTTTAAAAAACAGCTTTCGAAGATATTGCAATTCTGCTGAAACGAGCAGCGAACGTCTTATAAACGCACTTCTGTATCGTATATTTCTAAACTTATTTGACTTTACATCGTTGGAGACAATCCATGCAGAAAATCCATCTAGGATTGTAAATATTTCAAGAAATACCTGGAATTTTAGGATCTAGGAGTCTTTGCATTCTTTCAAGAAGTAAATAAGTCGCGATTTTAGCATCGTCATCAAGTACACTGCCGGATTTTGGTCGTGCTAGTACTTCCGTGGCGACTACTCTTGTTTCCTCTTGAAAATTGCTCAAAGTAATATGAGGTGCATCATGGGATAACGTTGGTAGTTCTTGGTCAATACTGGATACTGTAGGCGGTTTTCCGTCGATTATTCCCTCTTCTTTATTTTGTGTGTTGGTGTTTGGTACACTAGAACCACATGTGGCACCTTGATCAACTAAATATTCTTCGTTGCTTTCATCCACAGTTTGTTTTGCAACGTCACGAACCGAAGAAGCATCCAAAGAACCATCGTTATTTCCGTCCCAATCTCTCACAACACCATCTCCGTCCACAGATTTACCTTCTTCACTCTGTTCAACGATATTACTTATAATATCAAAGTTAGAATTTGTCACTTCTTGCTTCATGTCATCATATCCAGTAACCGTTACAACACTATCTCTGCTGACAGATCCATCTCCTTCGCTGCGTTTAACGATACTTTCTCCATAATTTGTAACTTCTTGTTCGTTACCATCACAACTAATGGCTTGAAAACCATCAGTTGGACTTTTCAAGGATTCCATATCATTTGAATTTTGGCATATCAACTCGTCGTCGTTTGCGCTCAGCGTTTTAACCAAGGATTGTTCGGAGAGGGCTTTTGCACTCCCTAATGATCTTATCTCTTCATTCATTCTTCGTGAACGATTGCCAGTGTAATCAGCTGAAAGTTATGAGTATTTTATTTCATGTTCATGTACTTGCACGCAAATATTTTAAAGTCAAAAGAGTTATAAAATTTGTTAGAAAGCTTGCTATCATTGCAGTTACAGAATACTCCTTGCTTTGTGTTTCTTTTTGCGAATATTCCTTTAAATCCCAGACTGATTTAGCACGAAAATTGGTTTTCGTTATCTTAAGACACTTACCTTTAAAATTTACTTCCTCTATTTCACTATCAAAATCATTCGATGATGCAACGTCTAAATCCCTCACGACAATTGACAAACCTGAGCCACTTTCAGATGAACATGTTTTATTATATGAACCAGCAATAGCTTCATTGGTGTTACTTTGCTGTCGATTGTAAATAGGTGGCAGTGAAATTTGTGATTTCTTTGCACTAAGACTGGATTGTGGAGTGGAACTTTTGGATCTATTCCTTGAGTATCGTCTTGTATTGTCGTCTTCTATACTTCCTTCCCCCGTCGTCGGCTTAACAGAAAAAGTCGGACTCGATGACGAACTCTTTATGTACGATTGGTCTGTTTGAACAACTGTCGACGACTCAGATTTATTTCTCTTTGCCTTCATTGAAATATCCTTTTGACCATAGAGGGTTACATCCATCAAGAAATGCGTCAAAACCTCTTCCTTTTCTTTTGACGTCAAAGTTTCATAGTCACGTTTGAAGCCTGCTTCAGAGTCAACCTATCGAACCAAATACGACAAATGTTGCTTTTAAAAGCTCGAAGATGTTAGAATTCCACAGTATATGTGATTCGTAGATCATTTAACATGGGATTTTCAACGGAGTATATCGAGTTTCATTGGTATGTTGAGGCACCTTCAAATGCCATAAAGTTTATCAAACATTTTTTGTTTGAGCATTATTTCACAGAGCTGATTTTGATGATCTACTGTTCAAACTGGTATGTTTTGAATTTTAAAGAAAAAAAGCACAAGCTTACCTCGGCCAATCTTTCCGTAAGCGACTCGACAAACGTACCGGCCGTTCTATCTGACAATGAAAGTTGATCTTCTGTTGTTTCAACATTCATTGAGGGTTGTGATACCATTGACGCAGCACCAGTAGAGAAGGCATTGTTGTAAAATGTATATGAATCAAGCATCGAGTTTGATGGTGAAACCGGTGGTAGCGACATGGTTTTGTAAGGTGGAGGCCTGTTGTTTAACGAGTTACCATAATCGTCAGATATCGTCGATGCGAGAAAACTTTCATCGAGGACACTTAGGTTTTTCAACGAACCACTTTCCATGAGTTTCTTCAAGGATTCTTCGTCTAATATTTTGTGACTCAGATGGCTAAGATAACGTTTTGGGGAGTAGCCAGGCTGTAGGTCGCTACCATTTATTCTATGCCAAAGCTGTTCCAATAACAATGGATCACACTAAATCATGAAACATACTGATCAAATAAAAATGGCCATATGGTCACATGGGGATACCATAAGAATACTCAGAAGACAATATCATTTTAACGTGAGCTTCGTGAGAGGATATTTTATCAAAAACAAAGAAAATAAAAGTATGCATGAGGGACAGTTAAATATAAACTATTTCACCCCATTTTTCTTATATTCCATTATCAGTGTAATGAGATCTTTTAAAGTTTTTAGTCTGTCCTCCTTGCGTCGTCTCATCTTTGGTCTTTTCTTCATTCTCCTTGAACCGGGCAGGAAGCAAGATTCAGAGTATAGAAGCAATGCCCCACGCTTGGTCGTGTATGTTTTAGGTACATAAAGTGAATTCTTTGCCACCTCAGGCAGCTTGAGTTGATTTTCCTCTTTTGGTACTTTCCATTTGGCTCAATGAATTTTTCATAGAACTTTAGTGTTTGGTTTTCTCAATTGGAGGCAGAAAGTCGTAGCTTCCATTATTCTGGAATACAGAGAAGATGGGATCTTTGGTTATCATCAACAGTTACAACTATTTGCGAAAGTTTTCATTTACAAGATGCATAATGTATTACACAGGATAAATGAGGGTATGTGGTACTTTGAGGGGATTACAAGATCATCGGGAATGTACAGTGTCCCAAGGATCAGCTCTAGATAAAATCTTGATACCTGCCACCTTAAACCAGTGATATGTGGTACTTAAAGGGATTTATAAGATCATCAAGAATGAATGGTGTCTAAATCCCCAGATAAAATCTTGATACCACCCGCCTTAAACCAGTGATATGTGGTACTTAAATGGGATCACTAAATTGTCAAAAAATAATGGTGGTGTTCAAAGGATTAGCTCTTGATAAAAACTTGCTGACACCTGCCTTAACCAGTTATGTTTCACATTGAGATCTCAAGAAATTCATGAAACTCCCAAGGTATATTTTGTTGTATGTAATGCTCGATTCAGCACCACCAACCCCCCCCCCAACTATTCCCATCTGTCTAGTTATGAAACATCATTCTACTGTCTAAGCATCATCGTAATTGGTTATCACTCAGGAACAAGGCACGAGACTACACTGTAAATGTTTAAATATCGATTAAACATGTTAAACGTGTAAAAATAAAAAAGATTGAACAATCTCATCACTTGAAAATTGTTCATGGCGATGAACGCATAGTTAATTGCTCAACTACAACTGATAATATCAACACTCACCGTTCTAATTGCTGAATCTGGCTTTTCCAACTTAGCGACGCCTTCCCAAGTTCCATATCCACGAGTTAAATACGAAAACATCTTCAATACTCGAAGACAACTTTCTATTCCCGCATTTTATTGTCGTACAGATCAAGCGATCGTTGTCAGGCCATACGATGCTGCTGTTGCTAACCACAAAATCTCAAGATCAATATACAGAGCTAATTTATGCGATTATGCGTAATTTGCAAATTGTAGTACGATATTTAATACCATTGTTGACATATGCTCAGGCGCAGCCATTTGTCGAGTTGCAAAGAAAGATATATGACTCGTTCATTTGAAATCATCTCGAACTATATAGCATGCATTCTCTTTCAAATCATGTGGCTCTTACGTCGTACGTAAGGTAGCCAGTGCACATACTTTCGCATAAAGGTACTTTTCTGCAATTTCGGTTAGCGCTTTAAAGGAAATACTCTCACGCTTGCGAAAAAATTTAATTCATCAATTTAATAAATATATCTATCTGAGATATTAATAATGTTTCCCTTCACTGGATTACATTTTAAATGAAGTTTTGTGTTAAACAAAATGAAACACAATGTGTCTTTGACTTCGTAAATATCTGTGATAATTTCATCGTAGCTAACCATAGTCCGGTTTTAGTTCTCGACCATTGAAACTCTCACCTGTTCGGCTAAACAAAAATCGTCAAAATCAGTTTCCCTCGAAAATCTGATGGGGTTCGATTATAGACTTGTAATGATAAAGGTTGCTGATTTTCTTTGGTACTTTTAACCAACAATATCAAATCTTCCTATAAATTATGGGTATTTACTGATTCTTAGAGAAAGATACCCATACGAAGAAAAAATCTACCATTTTTGTAGGACACTTTTCAATGGTAGAAGTCGCTAAAAACATCTAGATCTAGCTACTTGATACACATCGTTGAATAAACTGGGAAATGGTTTAGAAAATTTTTACCAAAATGGATATCCGACTGAAGTCAAACAAGAAATATGTTTCAAGAAATTCTTACTGGAAGTCGATCTATCTCTCCGAGATCATTTCAATTTCAGGAATTGTAAATATTGAGAATCCTAGAAAAACGTAACAGATATCACAAATCGTATTATCGGAAAGTAACTTTGAAATGTTGAAAGTTCAAATGTTTTCGTCGTTGCCAAATCCTTTTATCCGTACCGCATGCAGTCTTAAAGTTTTACTTACTTCCAGGGAGATTAAACACAGCTCGTGGAAGATCTTGAAAATACGGATGTTTCAAAGCGTCCTCAGCAGATACCCTCCTTTTCGGTTCAAACTATTTATGCAAGTGAATTAAAACTTGTGATGTACGTAAATACCCACGGAAATATGTGGGGGAGGGGAGGGGGGTGCGTTCAGAAAGTTTTGCACTGATTTTTGCTCTTATTTTTGCCGTTGCAAATCGTTGTTGAAAATCATCCCGTACATCTTCAGCTTTTGCAGTAAAAAATATCGATCAGAAATGAAGTATACTCGCTAACTTACTCGAAGAAAACGTCGAATTAAGTCTTGTCCAACTGTGTCACTCTTAAATCTAAACACAACAAAATGATTCTCAAGATGTTGAGTGGAAGTAAAACTTCGTTAAAACGTAGCCCTTTAACGGTTGTTGGTCATTGTCACACACCAAAAGTCTGAGTGGTTTTGCCAAAAGCTGTCATGTAGTGATGATGCTTAAATTATTATTACTGCAGAGGAAGGTTACAGTATGAACGACCTCGTGATGATTTGGAGAATTTTCGATGGAAAAGTCCATAATGTTTGTAGATGTAGATCGTCCAGGTTAGTATAGTCCTGAGAAGGAATGTTGTGTTGTTGTTGACTGACGTTTCGACAACCTTAGCGGTAGTCATCTTCAGAGTCAAAAAGTCCATGTTGTCAAAAACCTTGTTTGGGATCACAAGATGGTTACAATTTAGAGGATATTCACTTTTTTACTTTCCTATTAAGAGGTGTTCCTACTTACTCTGGTATGACCGTGCTCAATCGTTTCCCGTTATGTTTTCTCCAATTATCTGTAAATGTGAGCAGAGATAGAAAGTTAATGAATACATTGAATACATATAGAATACATGTATACATATTCATACATACATACATACATACATACATTCATACATTCATACATAATACAATATGTATACATACATGTATACATATTGTATGTATACATGTATGTATACATATTCATATCCAAGATATTGAATACATTTTCATTGTCATATGTATGGTATATTTGCGAAAACAAACGTTTGCAAGAATTCATTAACGTTAACACTTACCCAGCAGTTTTAAAATTAAACTGTGTGTAAGATATGTTTCATCTCAAAAATCTTTAATTATAGCTTTGCCATGCAATCTTTGATCAGAGATTTGTGGTGCAACCTACCTAAGCTTAATCTCTGAAGTATTTGATCAGAGATTTGTGGTGCAACTTACCTAAGCTTAATCTCTGAAGTATTTGATCAGAGATTTGTGGTGCAACCTACCTAAGCTCAATCTCTGAAGTATTTGATCAGAGATTTGTGGTGCAACCTACCTAAGCTTAATCTCTGAAGTATTTGATCAGAGATTTGTGGTGCAACCTACCTAAGCTCAATCTCTGAAGTATTTGATCAGAGATTTGTGGTGCAACCTACCTAAGCTCAATCTCTGAAGTATTTGATCAGAGATTTGTGGTGCAACCTACCTAAGCTTAATCTCTGAAGTATTTGATCAGAGATTTGTGGTGCAACCTACCTAAGCTCAATCTCTGAAGTAGTTGATCAGAGATTTGTGGTGCAACCTACCTAAGCTCAATCTCTGAAGTATTTGATCAGAGATTTGTGGTGCAACCTACCTAAGCTTAATCTCTGAAGTATTTGATCAGAGATTTGTGGTGCAACCTACCTAAGCTCAATCTCTGAAGTAGTTGATCAGAGATTTGTGGTGCAACCTACCTAATTTGTTATATTCGGGATAGTTGATAACCTCAGGCCACGTTTCTTTGGTTGGTGAGCCCATTAATTGCCAGATTTTATTTAATTGATCCTCTGGTCCTTTTTGGCCTTGAAACATTGCACGACCGCTTAACATTTCGCCAAATATACACCCAACACCCCTAGTAACAAATACTTAAACTTGACTGCACTATTTATCCTTGGTTTGTATACGCAGTAATATAATTCCTAGGAATATATAGGAATCATATTAGTATGTTCTCTGATGATGGCTTTGTATACGTAGATTTTCGTTAAAGAAAATAACAGAAACTCTTGTGAGGCAGAATTTATAAAAGGGACGTTTTTATAGAATTTCATGTTTGACTCCTGAAATGTAGAACATCATAAATTTGCAAGGATAAAGTTGTGGAAACGTTTCCACTTTTCCAGTAATTGCTCGCAACAAGGTAGCTGGATGCATATTTTAATCAATAGTGCAGTACACGCGTTGTCAATGTGTCAAACTGGGTACAATGATGGATACAGCTTATTTCTTACCACATATCAAGAGACGTCGTGTAGTCCTTTGATCCCAGCAATACATCCGGGGGTCTATACCTGTAAAGGAACGTGGTCTTTGAGATCATAGGCAGCATTGAGCAATTCATGCTGATAGTTATTGTTATTTCAATCCTTAAAAACTCAACTGAATGTAAGATGTACTTATGAAAAAGGATAGTTGGTTAATATGGGGTGAATATGAGAAGAATATTTTTGTAAGAAATTATCAATAACTCATCCTATACGTACCATAATGTCACAACTTCGTTTGAATAAGTATGACTTGGAACCGACTTTTCTCTTGCTAAACCTTAAGGGGGGATTAATGAGCAAAAGATAGTGTATGAATCAATGACTTAGAACTCAGTCTACTAGATATCGGACTCCGCCAAACTTATATAGTTACGAGCGAGGCAAGCCGCCATCTTATCTGCTTTTCCTCAATTGATATACAGTTGCAAAATGGATTTATTTTTAAAATGTTTGATAGGATTGGTACTTTAAACCTTCTTTTAGCTTATTTTTCATTTTGAGTTTTGCTTTTTGCCACCTTTCATGATGGCGTCCTTGCCTCACTTTGACACAGTAGTTAGACATCTAGAGGACTGGGTTCTAAATCATTGGTATGAATGTGTAAAAATTGACGCCGAGTTATTTAAAATAGATCATGATTAATTAACATTATCCAGTATTACTTGAGTGCTCACCGAAATCAGCCAGTTTTAGTTCACCATTTTCATTAAGGAGCAAATTTTGTGGCTTTATATCTCTGTTGAAATAAAACGTTCGATTCTTTATCCATAAACCGATAAATTAAACAATACGCGGAAGGAACGATGCTCCCAAAAGTATTGTCTTGTAAACTTTATGAAAACTCAAATCTTTAGTTTAAAAACTACGCAATGCGGAGTATTTTTTCAATAAAAATGTCAAAACTTATAAAACTCATGAACTGAAGAATGAAATTCAGGCAAAATTGAAAACGAGAATGTTATGTTATGGAAACTAGTTCGGTATGTAATGAATTACTATGACATGACGTAATGAATTACCATGACATGACGTAATGAGCTACCATGGCATGACGTAATAAAAAATATGACAATGAAGGAAAATAAGGCAAATACAATGTTAAAAAATATTCGTCTTACCGATGAAGAATTCTTTTATCGTGACAGTAATTTAAACCACGAAGCAGCTGAATCAAAAACAACTAGAGAAAAGTTGACGGAGTGGATGGTAAAAAGAAAGCCACAACGAGCATGTAATTATGTTGAAATACCTTTAATTCAAACGGATTATGAAATCATAACAAGATAAACATTTATACCTTAACATTATATGGATGAAGTCCACCCGGGTGCTTTTCTAAGTATCGGTTTAAGTCTGTATCCTAAAGCCACGATAAAGGATAAGGAGGATTGGAGGAGGCGAATAAGTAAACGCCCGAGTGGATTAAAAGTAGTGAATTAAGGATAGGAGATTAAGGAAACGTGATTAACTTTGATTGAAAAATGATATGACGATCACGAGAAAAACTCGCTATACATGCGCAATACGATGCAAAAAGAAGATTGCAGAAACCATTTGTACTTGCTGGGCATGCGTATTGGCTAGTTTCAGAGAAGAATTTCATAAAAACTTTTCGAGAAATCCACCTTATGTGCGCAATCACTTACCAAGTATTCAAAAACGAACATGAGTGTTTCTTTGGTGTGAACAATATCGTGAAGTTTAACAACGTTCGCATGCTTTAATTCCTGAAGCAACGAGGCTATTCAAAAATAAAACGAACATGAGTGTTTCTTTGGTGTGAACGATATCGTGTAGTTTAACAACGTTCGCATGCTTTAATTCCTGAAGCAACGAGGCTATTCAAAAATAAAACGAACATGAGTGTTTCTTTGGTGTGAACGATATCGTGAAGTTTAACAACGTTCGCATGCTTTAATTCCTGAAGCAACGAGGCTATTCAAAAATAAAACGAACATGAGTGTTTCTTTGGTGTGAACAATATCGTGAAGTTTAACAACGTTCGCATGCTTTAATTCCTGAAGCAGCGAGGCTATTCAAAAATAATACATCCATATTTTTCAACGAAATCATCAATGCTTGCTATATAACAGTTGGAAAGGGGTTTTTAGAATATGATTGTGAAATGGTTAACTTAACATTCGTTTGCCCTGATAATATTAATTTTCTCTTCATTTTGCGTTCATCTCTTTATCTTTTTTAAAGTTTTTTTTTCAATCTGTGCTGATGGCATTTGTGAAAGCTCATCAAAGAAAATCTTTTTCCAAAATCTCAGTCAGATTTCTAGTTTTTTCTATATACTTATGTGAGTAAAACTATAGACACACGGACATATGAGTCTTTTCTATTTACATACCTTCACGTATCGCTGTGAAAGGTGCACCTTCATCTAGTTGTAGACGGATCTCTTTTAAAGCTACAGTCTGATTGGTTATGCTAGAAAAGAAAGATACAGTCAGATTGGTTATGCTAGAAAAGAAAGATACAGTCTGATTGGTTATGCTAGAAAAGAAAGATACAGTCTGATTGGTTATGCTAGAAAAGAAAGATACAGTCTGATTGGTTGTGTTAAAGAAGATAGAGACAGTCTGATTGGTTATGTTGGAGAAGAAAGATACCGTCTGATTGGTTATGCTGGAGAAGAAAGATACAGTCCGATTGGTTGTGTTGGAGAAGAAAGATACCGTCTGATTGGTTATGCTGGAGAAGAAAGATACAGTCTGATTGGTTGTGTTAAAGAAGATAGAGACAGTCTGATTGGTTATGTTGGGGAAGAAAGATACCGTCTATTAGTTATGTTAGAAAAGAAAGATACAGTCTGCTTGGTTATGATAGAAAAGAAAGATACAGTCTGATTGGTTATGTTAGAAAAGAAAGATACAATCTGATTAGTTATGTTAGAAAAGAAAAATACCGTCTATTGGTTATTCAAGAGAACAAAGATTATATTTTCTGTCCAGCAAAAGCTGGTATGACGCAAAACAGCTCACGCAATTAACCATTCAGCCACCCGCCCCGTCCCTAAACAAGCTAACCCGCTACCATACCGCTGCACACGCAACTACACACATGCATATATTGAAGACAAGTTAGACCTAGTGATGATTTGTACCATTGACGCGATAGAGAAAGCAAGCTCCCCTAATTCATATTGTTACATCTCACTTGCTTGTTCCTTTAAAAACGCTTGCGTATGATCCTTCTCCAAGAAGTTCTAGCTTTTCATAGTGATTCATCTTACCAAAAGGTGACTCAGGCTGAAAATACATAAAGCATGGATTATGTCAATCGTCATTAAAATAGCTTCACATTGATCATTGGGCAATGAATGTATTGACTACAAAATATTTACAGTTACTGTCAATGGTGTTTTTGTGTTGTAATGTTTATGATTGAAATAGCTGAAAAGGAGTAAAGTTCTGTTCTACTAAAAAATACACGGACTAAAAGTTGATTGATAAAGGTGACATACATGTACTTGTGTTGTTCTCAGGGGTGAAAATTTACTTTTACTTACAGGACTGGTAAAAGACACTGATCTAGATCGTGGCCTTGGATCGTCTTCTGCATTTTCTGAGTACGTCCTTCGTAGGCGTTGTCTTGTTCTCACAGGTAGGATTTCTTGTTGTGGAGCATGAAGGTATGTTGTGTCCGACAGAACACGTCGTACTGTCGTTTTTTTTATATCAATAGTTGTTTCTGTTTGGTCTGGTAGTGGCACTTTGTCCATGTGATCATCCTGGGGGATAATAATACCTACATATAGTCTATGTGATCATCCTGGGGGATGATGATAACTACATATAGTCTATGTGATCATCCTGGAGGATGATGATAACTACATATAGTCTATGTGATCATCCTGGAGGATGATGATAACTACATATAGTCTATGTGATCATCCTGGAGGATGATAACTACACATAGTCTATGTGATCATCCTGGAGGATGATGATAACTACATATAGTCTATGTGATCATCCTGGAGGATGATAACTACACATAGTCTATGTGATCATCCTGGAGGATGATGATAACAACATATAGTCTATGTGATCATCCTGGAGGATGATGAAAACTACATATAGTCTATGTGATCATCCTGGGGGGATGATGATAACTACATATAGTCTATGTGATCATCCTGGAGGATGATGATAACTACACATAGTCTATGTGATCATCCTGGAGGATGATTATAACTACATATACTAAAGTCATTAGAATTATTCGAGAACAGTCTCTTCATGAGCGACAACAAGAAAGCTTATTACTAACAACGTCCAACCGCAGTTCAGTGGATTACCATAATTTTATACGCGCGTCGAAAGGACTTGAACAAAAAAAAGTGCCCAATGATCTTTTTCGAAATCCGAAAGGTGGGCGTTATAACTTATGGGCAACAACAGCCCACGCGATAATACTCATAGCGGTGTTAATGCACGTCTACGTTGGATCAAACCATATCAAAGAATATCTTTGTATTTTACTATCAACAAATTTTTTAGTCAAAAATATTACTGTCTTACGTTTGTAATTATAACAGAACAAAATGCCTGTAATTATATCATAGAACTGATATTACACTTGTAATTGAGCGCTACATGCATAATTTATTTCTAATACACACGGTATTTACATTAGAATTTTAATATCATTCTTGAAACAACAAAGCATTCTACTATAGGACCAAAATAAACATCCGTACGATTTTCGTTGGATGAATTATCAAGCTGACTTTTGTCAACGTAATCGTTAAAGGTAATAGTTAAGAAAAAACACACCACACTTACTTGAGCGTTTTCTTCTTTTGCAAGAGATATTGGTAAAGCTATATTGAAAGCATTTTGAAAATATCCTGTCATTTATGCATCACTTAAGCTGATTCCACAAAGTGAAACTTGATAATACATTAAAAAACATCTATAAATACTCGCTGTAATAGCGGTGCAATTATAAAAAAACAACAAGAATTTCTTACATAGACGTAATCCTTGCGATACTCTTTTTCTGAGCTTTTTGATTTTGGAATCTGTTCGTTTGTTCACGGAGTCGTCCGATGTCCCTTCAATGTAACAAGAACTGTATAGCATCAACATTAAGGTTTAAGGTTATTGATTCACTAGCATACACTAAGTACCCCTCCTACTCCTAAAACCCACGCTAAATTATTATATTTGCCATTAGGCTATAAACAGCACTTGAATATTTGAACTACCCTGTTTGTTGACATCACTGTCAAAGACATTTATTTCATCATGTACGGCAGGCTGATGGGAGCTATCATAGGAGAATGCCATCCACTCTTTTACACGTCCGAACGTTCTCACAGCTTTAAGAACATTTCATTTAGTCTTTCATACTACCCAGCGCTTCTTCGGTGGCAAGAACGGAAAGTGTGCTTATCAGAGTATTTTCCTCTGGAAAGTTGCTAAGCTATACCGATGCACATGATACGAAACCAGATGATTCGATTGCAGTATGCTCAATGAGAAGAAATGATTTTCATTCGCTTATGAATGAGCGCTAGACAAAAATTTGACAAATTGTTTCTTATCACGAGAGTTATTCGGAAATAACGTGTGCGTACTTAGTCCATCGTTTCCGCCATTTTTGAACATTGTTTGACTTTGACCTGTATGTGTGTGCTGTTGAACGCCGAGTGATCAGTAGTTAATTCTTAAATCATTTACATAAATTTGTTGTGGGACATATGTTTTTGCTCAAAGAGAAGATACAAAATGAAAATCAGACAGGTCTTTACTTTTCTGTGATACACTTAGAGTTTGTGTTGAAATAAAACAGTTGAAATCGATAGAGAATCAAATGACCTAAAGTTCTTGCAAATGTCTCGCAGATTTCTTGTGAGGATTATCAGGATAATATGTTGATACGCGGGTATAATCTCATATTATCAAAATAAGTCTTATGTTTGTCACAAGCCAGCCACATATCAATGAAAAGCGTAAGAAAGTTCATCGTGGTTTTAGCGAATGTTATTGAGAAAATATCTTGTGATAATGTAAGTAGTTAGGTTTCCACGAAGAATGTGATTTGAACGTAATGTAAAAGAGTTCTGATTCTAAGATAAACTTGCCTCTATATACAAGTTTCCATGAAGAATTTTAATGAATAGTTTATAAAGCAGTAAGTTCAATATTTTGAAGACCATTCCACTTAAAAGCTTGATAAAGAGGATCACGTCTGACGTCTTTAATAAAAAAGCACGACAATTATAATGTCTATGATCTGCTTTCAATGAAATATTTTAAAAATGTACCATAATTCTGGCAAGATGATGATTGTTTAAGTCGGTGTTATATTTGTTATGGCAATTGCACAACTTATACTTGGGTTATCTCAAAAACGTAATAAGTTTTCAGGTTTATAAGAAATAAATATGGCATAAGCCTTTCGTAATTCATACCTTTTCGCTGCTGATGTTTTATTTCGTTCGCCTCGTTGCTTACTTCCATAAAGAGAAACGAGTTTATCTGGTAAAACTTCTGATAGTATGTCATTGCAAAGGTCTTGTAAATTATCGTGTTTAAGTGCAGTTTCCGCTCGATGTAGAAAGTTTCCATATCTAGTCGACGACTGCAATATATAATGGCCATAAAAGCCGATATTTTTGTCAGCTCAGTTTGTTCATTAGCTGCTGTAATTTTGTTGACCAGAAATTACATATTTCATACAACCAATGCACGCTTCACAGTTTTGTTCGGTTTTTTAAAGTTCACTCTTCTAATTTCACAGTTTCTCACATCTTACTGCTGTTACAGGTAAAAGCTTTATAATTTTTAACTTTCTCCTTTTATGTGTTGTTGTGTTCAATTCTCTTGTTCGTCTCCTTTCCTCGGCTGGCGATAAACGGATGAGCCCTGAAAAAGCCATTGATTGATTTCCGTTCGTGGATTCTCAGACAAATTATGAGAAAGGCATAGCATTTCACATTCGTTAATTTGAGCAAGTACGTGCAAAACGTTGGGGGTTTGAACATAACCGTCTTCACAGCGTTTTCTATTTTCCACTTCTACTTCCTTTTCCAATTTCCTTCCTAACCTTGTGTAAAATGAATTTCCATAAGGCTCAGGTGAAAAATATCATAAAATCAACAATGCATGAATTCAAGTAATTTTTAAGGAAATCAGATCTTCGGATAAATTACTAACAAATAAACACGATTTTCCGAAAACGCCTTGTAACATGAGAACGATGGAGTGATTTTAGCCACGATGTCAATTATTGTAACATTTTTCCGACGTCTTGAGCCACACCTAACGCAACCATTAACTAAAAAACATAGTCTTGCTGGTATTGTTTACACTGGAAAAGTACAGTCCATGTACATTGTAATTTTAACGCTCTTGTAGTCGTGATCTTAAGCATCGTATTCTCTGACATCCGACAACAGAGACTCCATGGGTCTTCTATTCTTGTGTGTACTGGTCTTCCTGATGCCTGTGATGGTCGTTTCACAGCCAAAATGCCTTCGTCTTAGAATTCAACCTTGCAAGGGACTCAATTACAACCGAACAATTTTTCCGAATTTCGCAAACCATCGAACTCAAAGTGCTGCAGATGTTGCCATCAGCCATTTTAATCCACTGTTTAAAGTGACAAGCTCGGAGGATTTGAAATACTTTGTGTGTACATATTATGCGCCTGTATGTAATTCATTGCGAAGGCTTCTTCCACCTTGTCGTTCACTTTGTGAAAGTGCTCGTGATAGCTGTTTACACGTCATGAAAAAGTTTGGATATTCATGGCCGACTGAGCTCGCTTGTGATAAATTCCCATTGATGAAGGATCAGATTTGTGTTGGTCGCAATCTCTCCAGGTCGTCGACGAAACGTCCTCCAGATAAACCAACTCGAGCAACAAAGATTGTAAAAGCTGGCGGTATGACAAAGATTCTTTGAAGAGATGAACTATTTGAGCGACGAATGTCTTCAATCCTTTTAAATAAAGAAATGGCAAGACCATTTGTGTGTGATTATATTACATCGTGCTGTTCTTTTTGTGATTTATGAAAAAAATGACCCAATTTTAGTTTTTAGCTATCATTACTGGTCTGTTAATATGTAGTCGTACATTTAAAGTACTTTTTCAAAGCTGTTTGCCAAACATGTGTATCAGTAATCGTTAAAATACCTACCTGCTTTTCAAATTTATATGATATAGTCGTTTTACCTGTGAAATATATAAGGCTGTCAGTTTAAAAATTCTCACATTGCTTTACAGCGAAAGAAGAATCATTACATGTAAATTTTTAAAACTTAACGATTTTGGCTAATGGTCTTCGTAAGCAGATGGTAAATTTAGAAAATATGTGGTTTTATAATGTAAAATATTCACTGAAAGGTCAATGTCATACGAAAAAGGTATTTGTTGAAAACTGTTGTTATAAAAGTGGCGATGGATTTGCCAGACGCAAATCTTAACGCTGTCATAAATATCACTGAAGCTAAAGAAGAAAGTTTATGGAAAAAAAGAGTTTTCGTTCGAAATTTGCCCATTTCTTACAAGCGTCGATCACAACAAGTGGTGGTTGGGGGGGGAGAAAACTAGCTACAAACGACAAGTAAAAGGGATTATTGAACGGGAAAAAAATGGAATTTTGCTCTTCAATGATGTGGTCAAGTTTCCTGTGGAGTTTTCATCCATGTTCCGTCTTTTTTTAAGAAAGTGAGATGATTTTTGTGGATAATTCATACATATTGAGCTTGACGTGCATGGATAACGAGTCGCATTTATAATGGTTAGTTTGGCTTTTACAAGTTATAATTTATAAATATAGCGTTTGATATCCCAACAACCAAAGCTGCTCAGAATTGCTAAGCAGGCGAAGTAGCCAAAAGCATAGAACAGCTTTGTTATCATAAATATTCAACTTGATCCATGTATATAGCATTCGGAACCAAAAAGATTCTCCTTCAACAAGTTTAAGCGTCAACTCTAGGAATGTCTGTCGATGCCTTTTTTCATTTAACGTTAAAGGTATATAAATAGCCTTAAGACGTCTGCGTATACAAGTGGTGATGGAACGGAGACAGACCATCAACGGTTTTCAATTGTCCGACTGGTGACCGATCTGTATAAACTGTATAGGAATTCCGCTGTAGAATCATTCAAAAAAAGTGAGCTGATTGGTGGAGAAATGGTGGAAAAATAATAACCATTTAAATATATTTACGGCGAGGTTCACATGCTGAATATTTCAATCTTCAAACGAACCATGAATGTCATGTTGGAAGAGGTCAAAACTTAATCCATGCCATTTGGCACGACGCTGAAGCGAAGAAAATACGTGCATGGCTGACATGGAGAAAATGTGTTTTTCGAAAATGTGAAAGAAATGTTTACATTGAGGAGATGAGTTGATGTATTTAGCTATTTATGAATCAAATGAAGACGGCCAATGTATGCAATCGGATGTTAGCATTTTACGCCTATGATAAAAATGCAAAAACGGAACAAGAGGACTGAATGGCAAGGAATGCATTTATTCGTATATAGCCATTGTATGTAGCTGCTGTTTGCTAAATTTGAGCCCAGTATTTCGAGGCTATTCATTGTCACATCACAATATGGCCATGCACAAAGCATTTCTTCACATATTTTTTTTCTATATGTTTATTAAATTAGGCGAGTTATCGCGACCAGCCGGAATAAAATGCGCACAAGATCAAAGAATTGAACTCGATATCCTTTGAATAATTCCAGTTTTCAACTCGGCTAGCCGAGACATCTTGGTTCATGCAATCATCTCATTGTGAAAAAAAAATCAACGCCTTTTCAATTGAAAATTAAAACATGCAACTGGTTTTCATTCAAGCCATGACAATCAGGTCATTTGTGTTATAACAGTCATGTATAGTCAGTGCGTTAGATATTAATAAATGATGAAAGAACCTTGATAATTTTTTCTCACTTTTACATTTGACGCGCGATTCTCTTATTTTTTCATGCGTGAAATCGTCTCGGCGTTTTTCGGCTCGTCCTACAGCCACACGTTTATTACTGTCGTGTAAACGGAAACTCGTTGCGTGCGTGCAATTTGATTACGGTTAAAAAGCAAACACCGAAAAGATAACGCGACATTTATATAAAAGCAAAGAAAGGAGCGTCTCTTTCTTTGTTCATTCAACGCCATTGTGACCAACATTGCGGTCAAGGCAACATTAGATGTTTAAACATGCTATTAACGATGCGAAGAATTAATAACGAATCTGTGTTCAACCAATCAGAATGCTGCGGCTAATGTCTAATACAAGTCAACGATTATTTATATGATAAACGTATGACAGTAGAGTGAAGGCGACTGTTCGTATTGGTTGTTTCCCTCTTTGATGACAGACAGCATGATTGCATACATACACAGTCTTGTTCATGTTGTCAAATGATCCTATGTGGTGAGGTGTACGTATAGTCGGTTCAAGCGTCATGTTTTCTGACAACAGAGACTCCATGGGTCTTCTATTCTTGTGTGTACTGGTCTTCCTGATGCCTGTGATGGTCGTTTCACAGCCAAAATGCCTTCGTCTTAGAATCCAATCTTGCAAAGGACTCAATTACAACCGAACAATTTTTCCGAATTTCGAAAACCATCGAACTCAAAGTGCTGCAGATGTTGCCATCGGCCATTTTAATCCACTGTTTAAAGTGACATGCTCGAACGATTTGAAATACTTTGTGTGTACATATTATGCGCCTGTATGTAATACATTGGGAAGGCTTCTTCCACCTTGTCGTTCACTTTGTGAAAGTGCTCGTGATAGCTGTTTACACGTCATGAAAAAGTTTGGATATTCATGGCCGACTGAGCTCGCTTGTGATAAATTCCCATTGATGAAGGATCAGATTTGTGTTGGTCGCAATCTCTCCAGGTCGTCGACGAAACGTCCTCCAGATAAACCAACTCGAGCAACAAAGATTGTAAAAGCTGGTGGTACGACAAGGATTGTGCATTTGGAAAGACCAACAATAGCAATTCCCGAATTTCGTTGTCCAGAAGCCCAGAGAGCACCGAACGACTTACATCGTTTCATGGGAGAAAGAAAATGTGGAGCGCCATGTCGTAATATTTATTTTACCAACGATGAGATCAAAATTTCAAGAGTATGGACTGGTTTTTGGAGTGCAATATGTGCTGCATCGACTATATTTACTTTGCTAACATTCTTTATCGATATGCGACGGTTTCGCTATCCTGAAAGGCCCATTATATTCTTATCCGGCTGTTACTTTGTCGTGTCGATTGGTTTCTTTGCTGGCTTTGTTGGCAAAGATAGTATATCCTGTAACGATGCTGTTTCTGCTAACGCGAATAAAACTTTGACTCAAGGCACAAAGAACGAAGCATGCACAGTCGTCTTCATGATGATATATTTCTTCTACATGGCTGCGAGTATTTGGTGGGTTATTTTAACGCTAACATGGTTTCTAGCTGCTGGCATGAAATGGGGTCACGAAGCGATTGAGAATAATTCGCAGTTCTTTCATCTGGCTGCGTGGGTTATACCAGCAATCAAGACGATCGCCATTCTTGTTTTGACAGAAGTGGATGGCGATGAATTAACCGGAGTTTGTTTCGTTGGACTATCGAGCGAAAGAGCCTTACGCGGCTTTGTTTTAGGTCCACTGATTGTGTATTTCTTTGTCGGCGTTTTCTTCTTATTGTCTGGTTTCATTTCTTTGTTTCGTGTTCGTTCCGTTCTCAAGAACGACGGCGACAAACGGGAGAAGATCGAGAAATTAATGATACGCATTGGTGTGTTCTCCATACTTTATATGGTCCCTGCTATCACCGTTATTGGATGCCTATCGTACGAACAAGCGAACAGGGAGCAATGGCGACAGTCCTGGCTGGATGCATTTTTGCTAGAACGTAGAAGATGTTTATCGTGTATTCCCGAGGTTGGTGAGGACAGACCAGATTTTGCTGTATTTCTCGTGAAATATTTAATGTTCCTCATTGTTGGCGTCACTTCGGGATTTTGGGTTTGGTCAACCAAAACGCTGGGATCATGGCGACGATTGTATACACGGCTCAAACCGTCGAAAAACGATGTAAGCACCTGAACTTTCAGTGAAGGAAACTATTGTTCTGCTTTCTTTGATAGAACGTTACGCTGTTCAACATTAGGGAGGTGTTGTTAAAAATATGAAGCATTCACTTGATATCTTACAAGAAGAAGACAAGCACAATCGTGGTTTTGTGGCTATGATTTAAATTTGTTGAGGTTTGTGAATTGGCGAGCGTAAATTAAGGGTCGTGCTGTGCCGAAGCCTTATGATGGCACTTCGTGGGGTTTCATCACAAAGACGAAATAGTTGGCGGTGCATTGTTTACTTGTGTAAATACTAGCTTTATTAAACTGTATACAAGTGAAAGATCGATTGTAAACGAGCGCCTTCAAATCGCTCCGGAAAAGCGTTGAACAATAGAGCATGCACGCCTTGGACTAAAGACTCTCGTACGTTTGAACAGCATCTTGCCTTCTGGCAACTCATTCATTAGAATGTGCGCAATTCTTTTAAGCAAATTTCATTGGAGTTAGGTCGTATCCAATGTAGTTCATTTTTAAAGCAAGTTTAACAGAGATTGTTGATAAAATATATGTTTGTTTATAAAGTAGATGTTTATGTATTTCTATAGTGCATGTTTGTCAATGAAATAAACGGCATCTACGGTTACAACTGTCGCGCCATGCCATGTACATGCTGTGCGCACTTTTGCCAAACGTAAAGTGCACTATTAATTGTTTGTGAACACTTTATCGCCATTTTAATCTGACGTGAACTCGCCTCTTCATAATACTCTTAACTTTGGGAACGACCGCAATGCGGCTTTTAATGTCTGAAGGATCGTATAACATTTCATGTTTATTTTAAGATTTTACGATAATTTAAATTGCGCATTCAGTAATGGCTCGGCTAAACTAGGAGTATCACTCTATTTGAATAATATACTTCATCATTGTGTGGCGTGTTCTCCCCCCTTTCTCTCCCGACTTGATTAGGGAACAGTTATTACCGTAAGGTGTATTATTTTTCGTTTCTATTAAGCGCACATGTTTGATTCGTTTAATTAGAAATAAAAGCTGCGCAGGGAAAAACGCCAGCGTCGTATAATTTACCGCTTTGTGTAACCTGATAGCCATTGGCAGCTGCACATAAACTAAATCTTTTCATGGCAATTATTCTACGCATCTAAAATGTGCTGAGATGTTTGATTGTTGATAAACAACAAATAGTTAAGGTTTTCCGTTCGTATCGAGAGCAGACACTATCTTCATGAAGCTCTTTGTCTTTCCACACGACGCAATTAATGCGATTCTTAATTGCAGTCTGAGCGTATTACATTGGTGTTGTCAAGCATATCTTTGCGATACCTGACATCCTAATAATAATAAGACTCAAACAAGAAAATAAAAACAGTGCTGCACATTTCTCATGCTTTCTTATCGCGATTCCATTTTGTAACATGACACTTTGCTTTTGAGAGAATCCTATGCGTTTTTTATCGACTGTGAAAAGCCTTGTCTTTTATGCTTCTGCACGCCGTAAATAAGTAGATCGTTTTACATGTGTTTTGCCAAAAAATTTAAGTCACTTAAAAGTTTATCAAGACATAGGTGCGAAAATTTTTGTCAGTTACATCGCGTGACAAAGATGTTAACTTGAATGCATTAATGGTAATCTATAAAGGTATGTTAACTAAACACTGATACCGACGCATTCCGAAAGAATGTAAATTGTACATTCCGGTGACTTCAATCAAAGCCTAGCTTGAAGAGAGACAAGTGCTTTTATGGGGCGCTTTGATGATTTCTGATGAAATTTCGTTGGCGTTTATCGCATTGTGACGATAAAATTTTGACAGCTTTTCTCAAGTGGAGAAAGCGATAAAGTTCGTCAGAAAAAAAAACACGTCTGGTTTTGGCTGTTGAAGTGAGTATAATGATGTATACAGCGACCAGCTTTCTTGGTGAATTTCGATCTCATCTGGATGGTGAAAATATTCTCAAAACAATATTTTTGTTTCTAGAGTATCATCCACCATGTAGTTTTAGATTCAACCGAACAAACATTTTGATCTTGGATGGATTAAGTTCACTTTCTATGGGATATGCTTCTTTCCATCTGTCCTATACACTACTGTAGTTTTGGAAAGAACTCCTTTCAATTACAATTACAAAGTTTAGGTGTTTGAGCTGTCTTCTCCATGAGCTCGTTCTGTTCGTAATAACATGTTCGTAATTAGTGTTTGTCATTTTGTGCTTCGTGCTGGGTTTATTTTTCTACATTTTATCGGAAGTGTTGAGAATAACCACAGGAAAACAAAACAGCAAAGTCTCCAACAGTGTTTGATTAAATAAAATAACCGTTGTATTGTAAACGTTCGCCAACATTGCTGTCGTTAATCGGTCTATTTATGAAAAACGCTAGGCATTTTTTTAAATTACATCTGTAATTTGCCAAAACTCCATTGATTTTCGATGGATGTCAAAAAAGCTGTACATTTCTACATCACTTCACTGTTGTTCTGTCATCTTTCAAATGTCCACAAAGTTTTCGTGAAAAAAAAAGGGGGGGATCCTAACTTTCTGATTTAAATGTTCCAGATATAGCATAGAAAGCATTGCACACTCAGCACTACAAACAAATATTAAAAATATATGAAAAACGCAGAAGTAGCTTGAAGAAAGTAATTGCACCTCTTTTCTCAATGAAGGCCATGTGTTTGTAGATGTTGATCATTCAGGTTAATGCAGTTCTAAGTATGTATGATTGTTGGTGTTGGTATTTCAATGTCTTTAGTCATTCTCTGAGTCATGTGAAGTTCTCCAGCGCTAACAGGCGTACTTGCATGAGTGATTAACATCTACAAGCATGTTGCCAAACTCCTCTGTTTCAATCAATTAATACACAGTGCCTCATATATTATATGCTTCAATGACCTTTATACCCATAGTATACTCTCGGCAACCCTTTTAACTTCTTTCACTGCATTTAAGTAGTGCCATGATTGGGAGACGCCTTTTACGCGGAGTCAAAAACACCCTACTGACAAATTGGTCGTCTTTGAGGATTAATGCACGGTGTTATCATGTTAAGTATTAAACTGTGAAAAAATGCAGTAGTTGCAAAAACGGAATTTTTTTACTCTCACCCGAAAATATTTGAGGAATTGTTGGATTGTACTGCATAATTGCTGAATTGTTGGATATTAAAAGTGTGCATCACCACAAAAGATCATGTAGGAATTGGTCGTTATTTTCTTTGCAGCTAATGATGAGAAATCCTTGGGGATATGTGTCTTTTTACATTGCAGCTCGTACATTAACGAAAGTGGAAAAATAACCTTTGTTGTTGTGGTCATTTCGTGGAATTTGTGCCATCCGAGAATTAGTTAGATGGTCGAGATTACTCCCTGGCATAATCCGAGATTTAGTTAGATGGTCGAGATTACTCCCTGACATATATGGATCGTATCAATTCATTTTGGAAGGATTTCTTTCAACGGCATGAATTAATTTGGAAATCTTAAAAGCATCTTTTGGCGTTTTGTAAACATATAAATCATCACATGGCCGTCTGATGAAGTCCTCAACTTAATAATCTTCATTATTTATGTCAACTATAAAGGATTTCTATCTAATGACCTGCTTCGATCGTTATTTAAGAACTCGTTTGATTTGCCAGTTGGAATCTTTATGTCTTAATTGAATGTGATAAACACTGGCTTTATATATATAAATATATATGACATTTGTGTGAAATCAAAAATATTGCAGCTAGGCTTCTGCCGGGCGAAAAACACATTTTTATAGGAATACGAGTGTCCGCAACCTAAAGCTTGAAGTTATACGGAAATGCGAAGTGTAAAACAAATTCTTTATAAGAATACGATTCATCAATCCTACATAAAGCATAAAAGTGCATATGACAGGAAAATTGTGCAATTTACATTATATATTCTCATTTAACATAACTTTCTGAATGACATTTGTACTTTCTAAAACGGTTTATTCGTAGCACTTTTTATTCTTAAGATATTGAAGCCTGCTTTACACAACTTGTGGCGTCACATGGCATAATAAAAATTAGAAATAGCAGGTATATTTGCTGGTATGTTACTTCAACAGAGCAAAGTTCCTTTCATTGTGAAGAGTTAATGGTATAAAAAATTGCCTGATCATTTCAATCATAAGTTGGCAGCAAACTCAAGGATGTTTGAAACTTTGCAGGCAGTGGACTCACAAATGGCGTAGATCCTACATTACAAAATAAACTGTTTTATGTAAAGTACAATACAAAATAAACTGTTTTATGCAAAGTACATTACAAAATAAACTGTTTTATGCAAAGTACATTACAAAACAAACTGTTTTATGCAAAGTACATTACAAAACAAACTGTTTTATGTAAAGTACATTACAAAATAAACTGTTTTAGAAAGTACACTGTCATTTAGAAAGTTATTTCAATGGAAACGTACTCAAAATAGCACAATTTTCGTGTCATGTAGTGATCGATCGTGTGATGTTTTTTCTCGGCTTCTAACTAAACTCTTCGCGCTTATCATCATCATCACATTAAATTATTACAAGAAATGTTAGTGAAAATGCGCTGGAACGATGAAGTGGAGTGAAGTCGAGTTCTATATTGTTTAATGAAGTCAAACTGACTGAGATGAAAAGGATGAGGTGAAGTTTGGCGATGACTGATCCTGAAGGGATTGATCATTTGTGTGTTTGAAGAAATATGACCCTAGATTATTCTGTTCAAAAGTGCAAATGCACCGAAATGCTTTGGACAGATGACAGTTGAAATGTTTCATGGAAATATTTCTAAATATTCCAAGACTCCAAGGCGTAATAACACGTGGGTCGACTCGAGTATGCGGACTTGGAACTTTTGAATAAATGTACCATCATGGATGCTAAAGCTTTGGAAACCTATCTTTGAAAAAGGAAAAAGGTGACATATATGTGAGCAATAGACAACTCCAGGAGCAACGTAGATGTGAGGTAAATAACGCGTGATGCAGCAAATGGATAGAGAAAATGGACGATATTCTTTGGGAATACAAGATGTGAGATGGAAAACTCTTCAAGTTATGCAAATAAATTGTTGACACAAATTCTTGATGACTTTGTGCTAAAGATTGATGTTTTGTGAACATTTTACATAAGGGAGACATACATAAGTTTGGATTCTTTTAAGAGAAGAATTATTGTAAAGAAAAAAGACAAACTTTAAAAACAAAAATCCCATTTTCGGTCCATGCCTCCGTATACCCCGAGATAAGTTGAGCACAAGAGCGTCGCATGTTAATTAAGGGAACCAGATAATCCTTGTTTGCAATGAAGCCCTTGGATGGTTTTCTCGTGATACATGAGAAACAGTAAACGAGTGAGATGAATCAGAACGATATAAATCAATAAAAATTGTATAAAACATGTCGAATGTTATCTTTAATTATAAGTGTTAGAAAAAGGCTTAGGGTCAGAAGAAGTTAATTGAAACATTGCTTGGTTTATTTTGTAAACAAAAAGATAAAATTCAAAAGCAAAAAACCCCGTTTTCGGTCCATGCTTCCCGATACCTTCTTAAGCGCAAGGCACTAGAACGTCGCATGTTAACGTTTCGGTAGGAGATTTCGGCCCCTCCACGCTATCCTACTTGGGAGATGCAATAGCAAGCTTCCGCCCATCAGACCCCGAGATCACCTGCGATAGGCTTTGCTCGGGGTACGCAGGGAGAGTGCGGTCGCCACCGAAGTGTGGGCCCCTAAGCCACTGCACACCTAATCGCACCCAGCTTCCACTGCTAGTTGACATCTACTATACCTAATATTGGCTTTATATATATATATACAAAAATTTAGAGGATAAATCAGGACGCCACATTGAAGATAGCTTGATGAAATTGAAAGTAGTTCAAGCACCTAGCGTACGCTCGAGAGTCTTGGATGAGGACTCGTTGACCTATGAAAACACGAATGATTCCAAGCATGTGGACACAATCAAGGGATGTGGCACGCCTTACAAAACGTTGTTCATCGTACCTTCTTACAAGGATTCCTTTTAGCAACACCACAGTTTTGTTTGATGATGTCAAAATAACACATTCATATAAAAGTGGAAACCATTGACGTTTGACGAAAATTGTTCTTGTTGTCTGTCATCTGTCAACTCCTGTTTATAAAATAACAACAGCAAAACGTATACGCTGATTTGTGTATTGCTAATTAGTCTGTGCGCACAGATCTTAGCTCAATCAATAAGATCAACCACTCAATCGATGAAAGCGAACTTAAAGTCAATCATGAATAACCTGTTAGAGGAAAGATTAAAACAATCGTTTTCAATTTACCTGTTTTGTAATTTTGTTTTTTATAAAAGAAATAAAAGGTAGTTTGTCGTGTTTGAACAGTCTTATACAAACTTCGGAGATGTTAGTGAACTCTCGAGCAAGTGCAAATTTAAACCTTCCGTCCCGGAGTTACACTGATGTGCTCTCTGAAAACACACTAAAACATGTTTTAGGTCTTCAAAATATTAAATGATGAATTGATAATGATAGAAGACATGGAAGACCAAGAAGCGAAAAAATGCGATAGCAGCAGCTACAGAAAAAAAGTAGAAGTTCTAGGAGATGAAGACGAAGAAGCAGAAACGAAGATAAAGTAGAAAAAGAAGACGACATCGAAGAAGAAGAACTAAGATGAGAGAAACTCACTTCTTCTCAAAAAAAGATTTTCCATGGAATTGGGTCTAGTCCCTCACATTTCCCTCTCGTTCCTCTTATAAATACAGGATCGTGTTTGAAAATATCTCGTGTGTCCAACAACATTGACTCAACCTTCGCAAGCTTCAGTATGATTTATTTGTTATAAGGGAACGTGTGTTTTTTGACTGAGCAGACGCATCCTCTCGTATCATCGATACTTATTGTATTCCTAATTATCCCTAAGTATACTATGTGACCCTTGTAGAGGAACTTCGAACAATCATTTGTTAAAAGGGAACGTATGTTTTTGACTGAGTTGACGCCTCCTCTCGTATCATCGATACTTATTGTATTCCTAATTATCCCTAAGTATACCATGTAACCCTTGTAGAGGAACTTCGAACAATCACGGCAAAGCTTCAAACGTAAACCGACGTGTGTAAACGAAGAGTAAAGCGATACTTTGAGTAGTAGACTTAAAATAGACTCGGTAATTGTAAAATTTATTTGCTTGTTTAGAAAAAGTGCGATGGCACTTGTTTTAATTAAGTGTTCAAGTCTGCGTAATGTTAATCTTCAATGAAGGATGGCAATTTCAATGTTGCATATTTCCTATATAAAAGTACATGATAAAGACAATGGGTGGAATAATCAAACACGAGTATCATTAATTTATAGTTTATCGGCCCCTTAGACAGGTGATGCGTGTTGGTTAAAAATACACGATGACATTGGCTAATTCAAATACATGAATGCCTTTTTTATTCAAATTCGGCGACACAGTTCGCTGTGACGATAAAAATTTATTTATTTTTCATTAGCACAGCTAAAAGTCTTAAAACTAACAGTCGTACAAAATTCAAAGCTGCGTAAGTACATAAAAAATCTACAATTCGTGCTTAAAACAAATTGTAGATCTGCGAGATAAAAGTGTTGAAACAACTATATGTAATAGGCTATATGCATGGTAACCTGAAGAGTCGGAAACGATACTTTGAAACAGTGCTGTAGAAGTAGGGGGGGGGGGCGCTTGGGGGAGGAGCCACCCTTCTACTTTTGAAATGGGTATTTTTCATAAATTCATGGCTTTAGCTTCGTCAAGAGAGCCCCCCATCTGATAAATTGTTCTACAGCATTGCTTTGAAACAAGGCCATTTTGTCTGAATTGGACGAGCGAACAAAAAAACGGAATCGAATGCTTGATATTTACGTCTAGCTTATATACACGTACAAAAAGGTCTTTATGTTGTCAGCTATAATTATATTGTAGCAACCATCTACCCTGTGGTCCTAAACGACATTGCGTCGATAGAACTATTAAAACGACAATGTTTCCGATTACTTCTATTTTCACGACGGTAGAGTGAAATAATGACAGCGAATTTCTAAGCTAAAACACTTAATATGTCCTAATAGCGTCCATACCTGCTATACCAACAGCAAAGTCAAACGCCCAAACAATGAATATTTTACAAGTAAAGTTTGCTTGTCCTATGAGAGATTTCTTCTTACAATGAAAATCTCGATGGATTTAAGCTAATTTAAAACGTTATTTTTAAATACTTCATCATACGAAACTTTTGCTTTTATCCTCGCGCAACGCCACTTGCTCAGGTGATTCTTGCAGCTTTGTTCGCTTTGAAAAACACACCCTAAACAACCGCTTTATCATATTTCGCCATGATTCCAACGTTTTCATGGAACAGATCCAAAATACGGTGCTTATTCCAACGACGAGCGACATGAAATATTTCACAACGAATAGAGAAAATTCCGGTTCGAGTTTTTTCGGGCGAGCGCACGGTGTGCGGGAGCAGTTTATCCATTTCTCCCATTTTGGGCGATTCGACAGTTCGTAGAAATAGCAACCTATCGTGACCGTTGCTGGCACCGTGTACAGCACAGAGAACACACCAATGCGAACCATCAACTTTTCTAATTTGTTGGTGTTGTTTCCATCGCTTCTCATCGTCTTACGAATTCGAAACAAGGATACAAAACCGGTAAGAAGAAATACCGAGCCGATCGTAAGAAAAATGCCCAACGGTACAATGATAAACGCAACGAGGCTATCTTCACTTTGGTTTCCAACTGAGCAAATGCCACTCAAAGAGTCGCCATCGATCTTGGACATTGCCAAAACTAAAATGGTTTGAAGGGAAGGTATAATCCAAGCAACGATATGAAAGTATTGAGCGACGTTTGCTATTGCTTCGTTCGACCACTTTAAACCAGCCGATAAGAACCAAGTAAATGAGAGAATGACCCACCACAGCGCCGATGCCATGCAACCAAAATAAATTAGTAAAAAAACTATAGTACACAAAGCTGGGCTTGTGGCATTGTACGTGATAAGATCGTTATCGTCGCAGATGACGGATTCCTCTCCCGCTATCAGACGTAGGATGTATCCAAAAGACATCAGAAAATAGCATCCCGATAAAAAAATCACCGGTCTCTCGGGATAACGAAATCTAGCAGTGTTTAGAAAGAATGTGGCCATCGTTAGAAAGGTGGACAGGAAACATAGAGAAGACCACAAAGTGATCCAAACCTTTGCAAAATCCTTTTGCGCTTTGTTAAAGAGCGATGCTCGACATGGTAAAGCGCAGTTCTTGACGTCCCCAATGTTGCGTTTTAGTCGCGGCTCGACGCGTCGAAATGGCTCGACACATTCGCAGTGACAGTTCGAAGAATTATATAACGCGTTGATAAATGGTGTCTCAGTCGAATCTTTATGAGAGTTTGTTTTGTGGATTTTGTTGCGCGACATTATTGTAACTGTTATTGGTGGATTATTCTTGTTCCTCGACGAGTGATATGTTCCCGTTGGATTTGAAGACGAGCTGTTATCTTCCTCTTTATACATACACAACGGATTTTCCTTTCTATTGGGAAACAACTCACATTTCATCTTCTCTGGCCATTTAAAGCTATATTGTTGCATGTAAGACAAACATCCTCTCTTTGACTGTTCACATACGCTACGACAAGGCACAAGATCGTGGCCAAAGTGTTCGTCACAAACAGGTGCGTACAAGGAACACAAAAAGAATTTAAAAACAGGCGAGCAATTGATGCTAACGAGCGGCCAGAACTGATGAACTTCGCTGGCTGCTTCCTTCTGATCTTCGTGAAAAAATCGGTTTGGTGAATAAGTTTTATTATAACCCAAGCCGTGGCAAAGCGGTATCGTCATTTCTACACATTGTGGTCTATCCAATGCGTAAGACAAATGAAAAGCCAACACAGGGATCAAGAGAATTAAACGAAGATGTATAAACAATGTTGAAGGCTGTCCACTCATCGCGACGCTTGTCCCAAAGCACTATTGACAATGCATACTGAAGCTTCGTCTTTACGATTTTGGCTGTCATACCATTAGGGCAATATCGATAAGTGATTTAGTTGGCCAATCACAACACGACGTGGTGTCATTTAGGCAGCGAAGCGTGTGAATTAGACAATGTTCACTTCAGAGCCCAGTATGACACTATCGTGTGAAATGTATTATCAGGGTCGTCAGCAACAGTATCTAATCAAATATACGCCTTATAAATTTAATGAAACAGCGAGGTTTTTGTTTGCTATTCTTCATTCTGACAGTCTTGAGGGCATCAAGTTTACATGTCTCTTTGTGACACCTGCAAATGCGTTCAATGCCATTAGTTTAGCCCCGCTATGAAAACAAATATTTTCCATCATGATTGTGTCGCTAATCATAACACCTCCCATTTTTGACTCTCGACCATAGGTTGAAAACGAGTGCCTATTCACATAGGAAATCTTTGTATGTTTAAACATTATTGTTGTGTCCGCTTTATTCGTCACCCGCAATTATTTGTTTAATGTTGAATCTAGTTTAGTTTACATGCATTTAAGCTAAAAATGGCCTTCTATTTTGCAATTCAATTGCAACAGGATATAAATCGTTCAAAGTTTTTGAAATTTTCTCAAAAATTCATCATTTAGACGACTTTGATTTCACTCATTGTAGCAACGTCGAAATATCAAACGTAGGATTTATTCTCGATCGACCGGTCGAAAGGAAAGCATCTGAACAAAAACTTTTTATCAGCGATTAGCAGTACGTGTTAAATATATCTTATTTCTGAGATGCAGCCATATAAAATGAGTTCTTTATAACACTTGTCACCAAGGGCCAATATCTTCTCTAAAATTTGCAATCAAACAATACGATACTCGTCAACAATTCATTTGTGCCTTATCTGTCAATACATACAAACGAATTTACTTCACACAGATAAACGTAACAATGATAAATTTGTCTCATGCACTGTGCTGAATTTCTTTTGAATTTTTTGTCTATTATATAGTGATCGCCAATATGTCTACGGTCTTAGTGTGTTTGAAATACTAATACACCCTCAAGAATACCTCTGCTGTCATGTGCAGTCGAGGGAAGCTACTTTCGAATTCTATAGTATCATTGTATCACGCTTTTCTGCTTTAAAATGGGTGTAAATTCTCTATGTCTGGTGCTCTTGTTTCTGGAGCAGCGATTTTCATGTTTATGTTTTAGTTTTAAAAATAGCGTTGAGGCAGCGTTGCTTCCCATGCATTAGCAAGTTGGTGATAATGATTTTATAATTTCCATCTTAATTGCCCAGCTTTGTTTGCAAAGGTTTGCCTCCAAACATATCTTTATAAACAATTTGCGGTCAACATGTTTAGATAAACTAAGTTACATTCATTCGATTTCAATAAATTTCTACAGGCAGTACAAAGATAACTGCCCGTATTTGCTGACTTTCTTTTCACAGAGCAACAGCTAAAGAAGGAGAAACAAGGAATGGGACAAATTTTTTTTGAAATGCGATCGGGTGTAAGATTTTAAAATAAAGAAACTCACTTTCACTTCAATTTTGATTTCATTTTCATTTCGAGAAATTTAATTTTTATTAACTTTTGTTTCAAAATAAACTCAAAGAAAGAGCTTAAATATACTTTGAATGACTATATAGTATTAAATCTCCAAGTGCAATTTTTCCCTACACAGTGTTTCATGATCCATAAGAACCGATCCCTAGGAGGTTCAATTCAAATATATATTTATTTTCCATGAAACCAAAAAATAGCTACAAATAAACCCGTTTCATATTGCCATCTAATTTTGATATTCCTTCTCTAATGCATATGTATTTTACAGGTGTTATCTCTAATGTATTTGTAATATAGAAGCACTTCTAAAACAACACATGAATCACATTTTGGAAGAGGAACATAAAAATGTTCTTATGTTTTGAAAGTTATGCTTTCCTGTCTTTCTGTCTAATTAATCATAGTCACGTTGAGCGTCTTCTATCTTATCTTCCCTGAAACATAATCTTGAACAAATTATCGTTGACTTCATTTTTAAAGAAATAACACAATGTTTACATGTCTGTCGTTGCTATCGCTTTGCCAAAAATAATCCAGTTCGATCGTTCGTGTGGTATTTGAAAAAAAAACATACCAAAATATTCAGTTTCTCGGTCTTGTTGCTAACAAAGAGGTTTAGTAAATGTAGTCAAAGATATCAATCAATGACACCATCAATGAAGGAAGGATTATTGAGTCTATTATTTCGGTTACAGCCGTCCACAGCTTTCTTATTAGCTTAATAAATTTCACTGAAAAATTAAACGGCATACTCCAACAATCTACACCGACCAAATACAAGCTACACTCGATTCTTTATATTGTTAAATATATTAATAATATAGCATGGAGAACGTCCATACTTTATACATAAGAGTGCTTAGAATAAAGATTATATGTATGTAATTAAACGTGGACTATATGTTGGAATAAATGTTGTATATATACGAGGGAAGCTTGATTATATATCATTACTCACAAGTATTTTGATGTGCGTATGTTATAGATAGACGGATAATTTCATCTCGTAATAAAATCATAGAAAAATAAACGATACAGGAGCGACTTGTCGACATGTATGGATGTTGAGAACAACTATGGGCTTTATAGAGGCGGGGACGTTACAAGTGATTGCTATGCAGCAAATATTGCATGCATGTATTCGAATATGAGTCAGTCATTTTTAAAACATATATGTTTCTTTGTATATGATCATTGTGCTTGTCATGCTTACACTTTAAATCCGCCCAACATGGCTGTTCTTGATTATGATTGGTTGGCCTTAGTGTTGCTTGTTTAACGTAAAATTATTATGCCTACTTCAAAAAGTGCTTGTATATTGAAATTACGTATTCGCATCACTTATAAGAAATGGCTGTTGACCTCTTTTGAAAATCGTGGGTGTTCCAGTGTCTCCCGCTGGAAATATTGATTTATAGTGGATTAAAAAGGTCTTTGTAGTGGTTTAGAAATGTGCCAACGTTGTAGTTTAAACTTGTTTGACAAGTATCTAATATCGAAGTCTAGGATGTTTCTGATAAGGGAAATGGAAACCATAGTTTGATATGATGAAAGAAACAATCAACCATATTGATCTAAAGCCGGTAGCAATTTGAGTTGAGTTTGGTTTAACGTTTTTTTTGAACAGAAATCTTCTCTCTCAAGTTTAATGTATAATTTAAGCACCACGACATAAAGTTGAGTCAACGCGAGATTCCGTTCATGGAAGCAACCATCCACCATTAGACGAGCTTCCATCAATTCATACCAATTTATTATTAGCTGATCCGCTACAACTCACAAGGCCACGTTGGTTGTTTCTGCAAGATTCTTCTCACAAATAGCACTAAACGACAACGACAATGAGGCAGTCGCAACATCTTTAAACAATGAACGGAAATAGCTAGGATTCTATGCTTTCTTACAAACACCATAGGGAAAAAGCCAACACACGTAGGAGTGGATGAGTGAGAACATCTGATGTATGAAAAGTATTGAAGTTTAGAGGACCGGAAGCCGACTTTCACTAACACAAACTTTTTCATTATTTGGCCGCGAAAATAGGAAATAAGACACAGGCTGCGTATCTGTAGAAATGTTTTCTTTTTGTGAATCAGAGGAAGGAGGAGGAAGAATCACGATTTCCGGATTTTTTCAAACGTAATTCATATTAACCTGTTGTTTACGTTAGAAACATAAGAAAGAGAAAACAGACACCTTTTAGGGTATGGACGTTTGTACATTGCCTCGTGCCGAAGTATTCACGTTTTACTGATATCAAGTTTTAACAGATAGCCATCTCCTTTTTTTTAGTCTTTCATCACGACCGACTTTGTTTGTTTTTCTTTAGTGAAGAGAACGGAAATCTACGTATTTACTTGCATTCTCAGTAAATTACTCTAACAACATGAATTCCTTAAATAATCGACAAATAAGCGCGAGTGTAAGATCTTTCGGCGTACTTGTGGTCGGTAAAATGATTTGAAGATAAAGATGTTATTACAAATGTTCGGGACTATCAAGTTCGACAAACAAACTTCAATGACACATGTTTATAGCCATAAACCTATAAGATACCTAAGTTCTTCACGTACAATTTATCTTGACTTGATCCAAAGTCGCCCTTGCCTTTCGGCATCTTTGTTCGACGTACGTTCCTGTTCTAAATCTGAAATTTAAGTATTGCTTTTGTCAAAGAATGCATGTATACACTAAATTCTTTATTTTCTTGCGTGTGACATACGTGTATAGAAAATTACCACGTTGCACTTTGATCGTGGGAACAGGGAACTGCTTCATTAACTTTTATAATTTAAGTGATGTACAATTAACATTCTTCAATAATTAAACTTAGTACCATCATCATTAAATAACCTTTGCCAATTTATTGTTTGGTTCAGATAAATATAGCAATACGAAATCTTCTCTATTAGAAGATAAAGAAATATATCGTCAAGCGATACTTGCATCACAGCAAAGCTCTCCCTCAATAGTATTTTCCCCTCTTTATTTTAATTATATTTCGCTTTCTCTCCACTGCAAAATCTTTTTAAAAAGAAGTTATCTTTTGTTATTTTATGAATAAACTATACATATATAATTGAGGTTCAAAAACACGGCAAATCAAGCTAGGACTTGCAATCTCCTTTACTTGTTTTCATACAGAATTGACGTTGTGCTAATTTGAACAGCAAGAGGGCATATTTCATTAACAGCAATCAAATTTGAAATTGTCTCAAGACTCTTAACCACTGCCCTACAACAAGCAATCCGTAGTAAGTTTCAGTGGATACAACATTTAATACGAGTCAATCGATCCCAATATTTTTGTCAACGACAAATATACCTGGACTCCAACGAATGTCAAGCAAATACTATTGTATTAACTATACAATGGAATTTAGCAAAAGACTGACAAGGACTCTTTAAAAGCCGAAATGGTCAAGTGTATGTCGATGAATCGCAATATTGTCGTATCGTCGCAAAAATTTGTCAGTAGTTTTACTCCCATTCGCGGCATTGGCTTGCGCTGTTTCGTTCAGCATTTTGTAGTATACAATTCCGCGTTTAATTCCTACCCCATTTAAGTGTGCCGTTGAACGACTTTAGAGACGGTTTTATCGTCAAAGAGATGCTTTTCTAATAAGTAGTAACGCGTATGTACTGAGTTTTAAGACGGTTGTGCCATGGCAAGCGTTTAACTGCCATTGTCCTTCAAAGTAACGCTATTACCTTTTCCTCAAAGCTTCTTCGCAATCTTTCTGCTGTTTATCTTTATTCTGCTGTTTGCTTTATCTACTGACTCTGATAATTGATCGAGCCTAAATTAAGTTAAGATGTACGAAAATAAATTTCATGAAAAGATTTAAGGTGATTTTGATGTTATTGTATCACTATGTTATTGATGTTGCTGTGTCACAAGGTTCTTTGTGTTCGTGGATGTAGATCGTCCAGGTTAGTAGAGTCCTGAGAAGAACTGTTGGTGTTGATGTTGACTGACGTTTCGGCAACCTTAGCGGTAGTCATCTTCAGAGTCAAATGAGGAGTAAACGTTAAGGGCCGGTTGCACGAAGTTCTAAACTTTTACGAAACCTTTTAAAAAGCAGAAATTATAAGATTTGAACTGAGCAATCGCTAAAATAAAACATTGTTTCGAAGATTACGAAATTTCTTTGTCGTAAGAAAAATATGAACACCTTTTTTACAAGTTTGAAAATTTTTGCTATCAAATGGATAATGCTATCCAGGCTTCGTGTAACTGCTCCCAGGTTAGCCGTATTTGTTGTCTGACGTTTACTCCTCACTTGACTTTGAAGATGACTACCGCTAAGGTTGTCGAAATGTCAGACAACACCAACAGCCCTTCTCGGGACAATACTAACCTAGACGACCCACATCCATAAACATGTAACAATACACCTGGATTCAAACCATTCACTTCAAGGCTATTGATGTAACCATATCACGAAAAGTAGACCGAACAATTTCTTTACCATGGAGATCCACTCCACCAAAGATCAAATGCAACACCAAATTCACATTCTCTTAAAAATTACAACTTAATACATACGTGTCCATTTGTCTTGTCATTTCTTGATTTATGCCAACAGCCAATGATTTCATGTCTTCAATCACTTCTTCGACGACATCAAGATCCGCTTCGTCCACCAATAAATCTTCTGTGTCAAAATCTTCCCCAACCAATGCTTTAGTTGTTGAAAAATGAGGTATTTTGACTGTCTTCATTGAACCTGTTCACATAAAATAAAGTATGTACTGCATGTACTGCAAAAATTTTGTTGATTGCTCTCTTTCAAGCAAATAACTACATTGATTTAAATAATGTTGGGTTTTCATCTATCTATATTACATTATAGCCTGCTACAACATGAAGTTGTTGATGGCAGTGCTTGGCAGCGTAGTTTCGCTAACAAGCGATAACAATTTGAGTTTATAAATGACAGAATGTTTCTTATTCGAGTGATCCCCTTCCGTGAACAGCGTTAGAAAGACAATGAGCAAACATAAACGGGAAGGATGAGAAGGTAAATAACAAATGATGGCGAATTGATGTCAAATGAGTACAGTTTGTAAAATTTGAGCTTTCCAGAATGCAGTATTTTATATTATGCAGCCATGATTTATCAACCTTTCCTCTGATAGTAAAGAAAAGTATCAACTTCTTTACTCCTGATGATAGAGAGAAGTATCAACTTCTTTACTCCTGATAATAGAGAGAAGTATCAACTTCTTTACTCCTGTTGATAGAGAGAAGTATCAACTTCTTTACTCCTGATGATAGAGAGAAGTATCAACTTCTTTACTCCTGATGATAGAGAGAAGTATCAACTTCTTTACTCTTGATGATAGAGAGAAGTATCAACTTCTTTACTCCTGATGATAGAGAGAAGTATCAACTTCTTTACTCCTGTTGATAGAGAGAAGTATCAACTTCTTTACTCCTGATGATATAGAGAAGTATCAACTTCTTTACTCCTGATAGTAGAGAGAAGTATCAACTTCTTTACTCCTGATAGTAGAGAGAAGTATCAACTTCTTTACTCCTGATAATAGAGAGAAGTATCAACTTCTTTACTCCTGATAATAGAGAGAAGTATCAACTTCTTTACTCCTGATAATAGAGAGAAGTATTAACTTCTTTACTCTTGATGATAGAGAGAAGTATCAACTTCTTTACTCCTGATGATAGAGAGAAGTATCAACTTCTTTACTCCTGATAATAGAGAGAAGTATCAACTTCTTTACTCCTGATAATAGAGAGAAGTATTAACTTCTTTATTCCTGTTGATAGAGAGAAGTATCAACTTCTTTATACCTGTTGATAGAGAGAAGTATCAACTTCTTTACTCTTGATGATAGAGAGAAGTGTCAACTTCTTTACTCTTGATGATAGAGAGAAGTATCAACTTCTTTACTTCTGTTGATAGAGAGAAGTATCAACTTCTTTACTCTTGATGATAGAGAGAAGTATCAACTTCTTTACTCCTGTTGATAGAGAGAAGTATCAACTTCTTTACTCTTGATGATAGAGAGAAGTATCAACTTCTTTACTCCTGATGATAGAGAGAAGTATCAACTTCTTTACTCCTGATAATAGAGAGAAGTATCAACTTCTTTACTCTTGATGATAGAGAGAAGTATCAACTTCTTTACTCCTGTTGATAGAGAGAAGTATCAACTTCTTTACTTTTGATGATAGAGAGAAGTATCAACTTCTTTACTCCTGTTGATAGAGAGAAGTATCAACTTCTTTACTCTTGATGATAGAGAGAAGTATCAACTTCTTTACTCCTGATGATAGAGAGAAGTATCAACTTCTTTACTCCTGTTGATAGAGAGAAGTATCAACTCTTGTGCCTCAATGTAAAGAGAGGAGGGTCGGCTTCTATGCCTTTGATATGCAAAGATAATGCAAAACTTTCTAGTTTCCTTTTCAATTCACTTACCATCATTGGCTTGATCCTCATAGTCAAACTTGTCCCCATGGTCTTTTTCCAACATCTTTAAAATTGATACAACTTGTGCTGAAGATATGTCGATGATTACATCAATTTCACCAATTGCTGAACGCATTAATATCACATTCCACGGCGTATGGACAATAACATTGGTCAAATCTTTTAAAAGTATTGAAACATCCGCAACTCTGCTTATATTTAAAACAGTGACTTGTCCTTCAATGAAAACTAAGGTACCAGGATGGTAGTATTCCTTTGTGGTCTTTCGATATAGAATTGGGTACTCACATTTTGTCTGAATCTCATAAAAGTTTTCCACTTTGACGTTCCATTTTGTAAACCATCTGTTCATGTTATTGACAATTGCATCTGTGACATTCAAGTCTTTATGCATTCTGTTCATTGTGTTTGATGAGTTGTTTAATTGTTCTCCTTGGTTTGACAGAGACTTTGAAGCATCTACTAATGTTTTTTCACAATCATAAAGTATCTCAAAAACTTTGTTTTTATCGGCTTGAGTTGATGATGATGGTAAGCTGCTTCCCTTTTTCTTAGATCTGTACAGTAAAAAAATGAGATAATGATAAACTGCTTCCCTTAAATTGCAGATTAAAGAATTGGCTTTGTGCACCATAAGCTATTTCTGAAGTGAAAACTATTCACACTTACAATGGAAGATTTTATGAAGTACAAAGTATGTTAATGTGAAAAGTTAGTCAACATTCTGCTGACCAATCGTTTTCTTAAATTTCTTGAGAAAGATTATTTAGAGCGTTACAGTAGTAAGAAAGGCCTCATGGAAAAAATTATTTCATACACACATATATTTTCTAACCTGACATCTCATTGAATCATCTACAGAAAAGGCTGCCTTCTTTTGGCAAAAGAGATGTGAAATTTTTGATTCACAAGTTATTACCTTGGCCCTGTGCACAGCAGGCGTTCTTTCCAGAAATGCTCAAGAAAGTAATATACTTCTTCTCTGTTTTGAAAGGATGAAAACCACAACAGCTTTTCATCTTTTACTTTTACAGTTATAGATCTATATACAAACGATGCAAGACGCCTTTGAAAGCCGGTGATGTCTCGAACGTCAACTGTCATGATCGGTTTTGACATTTCAGAATCCGACGATGATTCACCACAATCTTCATTAAAACTGATATATTTTGCGCACAAGTTTAGGTTTCCATACTTCCACGCTCTGCTCTTCCAACAGTAATACGACGCACTCCATTGCCGCACAAGATAGTACTCCATGTGTAGGAAACTTTTTAAAAAACAGACCAACAGAGAAATACGTTACAACAAAAATTATCTTTTTCGTTTTGTAAACAATGAGCCCGCGGATATTACAACACAAAACGCTGAAAAATCATGTAAGTAAAGTATATCGAAACTAAGATTTGTGCCAGTAGTATCAGTTATTTTACTCAAAAAGTTTTATCTTTAGCTTCTTATTTTTCTAACCGCTAATTTTAACTTTAATAACCCACGCAGAACAACTTACTTGAAATTGAAGCAATAATGATTTTTTGCAATTTATTTAATTAATTAACACAGCTAATTTGGAAATATTGAAAAATTACGTTAGTTAATTACTTCTAATCAAAATTACAGACAAGTGTAAAATATAATGTTGGTTCTAATGAAGATGCCTCATCTGGCAAATTGTACGGCACGCGTTGTACTCACGTGAACAATATGAATGTATAATTGTTGTGATTTCTTGGTGATAACAGCTGTGAACAGCGTTGCTATTGATCGTGTGAAACGCGTATTTCTCGAAAATGGTCTTCAAATTGCTGACAGCTTCTTCTGCCTGGCAAAAAGCCTTTAAAAATACGAATAGGTGGTCAAAGACAGTTCTTATTTCGCTTCAGTCAAAATATTCTACTATCAAGGTATGCTATAGTACTTTCATGAGCATAGCCAGTCGTACTGTACTATAGTTGTACTCACGCGAATTAACTTATCTACAGAGGCATTTGATTTTCACACTGGGTGATCGTGCTTTATGCTAAGTTGACTGTTTTGTACTTCGTAGTTGTTTACTTTATGTATAATTTCGTTTAAATGGGAGTTTTGGTCAAGGTTGGCGTGATAGTTTACAATGACGTGTTATTTGATTCGCTGTACAATATCGTGTTGCGAGTTCGCCCACTAGTTTAAATCAAAACTCATTTTAATAGGATTATACCATTCTGTAGTGATGAACACGTTTTTTCCAGCTATGTAATGGTAACTCTTTTTAGGCTCAGCCAGCCAGTCTTGTTTTACAAAATGGAACAACTATGCAAGGTTATTCATTTGGTGAACCCGTATCAACATCAGGAGAGGTTGTATTTAATACTGGACTTGTAGGGTGAGTCGTTTTTCTATTCAATTTTATGAATTTTCCTGAAAGATATACTTTGAGTCTGTTACATTGGCAGCATGTCCATGAGCAGTGTTTTTTTCATAAAAATATACTTTGTACATAAGTTTTGGTCTAGGGAAGGTACATTTATTAGATATTGCATGAAGGAGTCATTATCCACTTAAAAAGGGTTTTTAACTTTCAAGTGATATGTTTTTCTCAAGCTAATTATATGGGCAAATATTTTTAAAACAGTTATCCAGAAGCACTCACTGATCCCAGTTACCGTGGACAGATTTTAACTTTAACGTATCCAATTATTGGGAACTATGGTGTGCCAGACACAGCTGCTGTTGATGAATATGGACTTTTAAAACATGTTGAGTCAAACAAAATTCATGTAAGCCTGCATATTGTGTTTTTACCATAAATTTACCAAATTGATTTGCTACTTATATGGTTAAGCTCGATGGAATTAAACTGTAACTTTGCCACCTGCATTTTTTAATTGTGGCATTCAAATCCTGGTATGCAACATACTATCATTTTCAAAAATTTACAGGCTTCTGCATTACTCGTGCAAGATTATACTGATGGCTATAGCCACTGGAATGCTGTGAAATCATTATCTGAATGGCTAAAGGAAGAGAAAGTATCTGTCGAAATCTTTTTCAAAAATTTTGGTTACTAGTTATTGTATTTTCTCAAAGTGAGATATAATAACTACATTTCACTTTTAGATCCCAGCGCTGTTTGGCATTGATACAAGAATGTTAACCAAAATTGTTCGTGATAGTGTAAGTCCTTGAAAGTTTTATGTAACAAAAGTCAGTGGTAATGATGCTTTCCTGTCTGCATTATTTCCTTGACCTGTCACCCTTCAATGTGACAGATCTTCCTGTCTTGATATAGCTCCCCAATTATCTTGACTCTTTTCTTGATATGATAACATGTTTACATGATGCTCTACATTGTGTGACACACTTTGTATGTGACACACTTTGTATGTGACACATCTTGTATGTAAAGTAAATGGTTTGAACCCGGGGAGTATTGTTACATGTTTGTAAATGTAGATCATCCAGGTTGGTATAGTCCTGAGAAGGACTGTTTTTGTTCTTGTTGACTGATGTTTCGACAACCTTAGCAGTAGTCATCTTCAGAGTCAAATGAGGAGTAAACGTCAGGTTAGCCGTATTTGTTATCTGGTTCTTACGTCATTGTATTGTATGTACAAGAAATGTGTATTGTCATTGTGAATTAGTGTGAAGTGCCTTCACACACTTCACATTTGACTCTGAAGATGACTACCGCTAAGGTTGTCAAAACGTCAGTCAACAACAACAAAAACAGTCCTTCTCAGGACTATACCAACCTGGACGATCTACATTTACAAACATGTGACATCTTATATGTGACAACTTTTGTATGTGACACACTTTGTATGTGCTCCCCTGCTTAATCAACATGTACCATTCCATAACAAAGTTAAAACTTTATATTTCAGAATACAACATTGGGAAAAATTGTTTTTGAAGGCGATCCAATTGAGTTTGATGATCCAAACCAGAGAAATCTAATTGCTGAAGTGTCAACTCAGGTAACATAACTGATGTCAATGCAATAATTTTTAGATTACTATCTCAAATGACATTTTATGAAAACTTTTCAGAATGTTCAAATATTTGGCAAAGGAAACCCAAGTAAAGTGATAGCTATAGATTGTGGAATCAAACACAATATTATAAGAAATCTTGTTAAGGTTTGACATTTTACATCGTTGTAATCATAGTTTATTTTTTATCTGTATTGCTTCAATTCATATAAACGTGAATGCTTAATCAAGAGCGAAATTCAGTTTATTTGTAGTGCTGATGCATAGATTATTTCATCATTGAGCAGTTCTTGCTTTGCCTGTCTGCACCACATACTTACATCATATGTGACAAACCCATCTGACCCTCTCCTCCCCTCCCCTCTCTTTCCCTTTCTTTAGTTTGCCTTGATATGATTTTTTTGAACTATTTTTAGCGAGGTGCAGAAGTGCATCTGGTGCCATGGAACTATGATTTCACTGGTGAACAATTTGATGGTTTGTTTATATCAAATGGACCTGGTGATCCTGCTATGGCCCACAGCACAATAGAAAATGTTGCAAAGGTATTAAACTGCACCCAAATGTACTGTATTGTACTGCATTGCTCCTTATTGTAGCATATCAATCAGTTTGGCCACAGATATATAACTGACACATGAGAGAGGAATGAAAATTTGACTTTGTTAAAATAAGCGTTTTTTACAAAGTTTTGTCTACCATTTTTATCCTTCAATCCACATGCAAAAGCCTCAGACTCCTCACTATACTGCAAGGATTCGTTATTTCCAGTAACCCAGGCAAACGGAAAATACGTAGAGACATTTTGCATCGCTAGTGTTTGTGATAATCAGTTAGCAAAGCTCAGAGATCAAAATATAAAGTTACCAGTGCAAATCGTGCATTTTTTTATTTTGCGAGAAGAACGTGTAGAAAAAAAGTTTGGAAATCAAAAAATCCCGATGGAACCATGCCTCTCTATAGTTGTGACTTTAAGCATTAGAGCGTTGCAGCTATGTTTAAGTTGGAGATCCCCCTTCTGCCACGCTATCCCAGTTCTGTTATTTGGAAAGCAACAGAAAGTATTTCAGGGAGCTCACGCTCGTACGTTTGCTCTCCTTTTACGGCAAAGCGTTCTTCATACGTATAATCTTCGAAACTGTTCTTTTCCATCCTCTTTGCTTCAAAGAAACCAACCGATTTCAAATGAAGTGTTTTTTTTTGTTAGGTAATAGAGAGAGGTGACATTCCCGTGTTTGGAATCTGTATGGGAAACCAGATTGTCGGTTTAGCGGCTGGAGCGGAAACTTATAAACTTCCCTTAGGAAACAGGTCAAAATATATACTCCAGTTTAACAAAAAACGAATGTGAACTTGTGTTAACGAAATATCTTTACAACTTTTCTATATTATGAAACAATTTGTCTTTTTAATGTAAAACAAATGCTTGTCACTCTAAAACAGTAAATAATTTCTTCCAATAGAGGCCACAACCAACCAGTTGTTAACCTACTAAATGGACAAGCCTTCATTACGTCACAAAATCACGGCTTCGCTTTGGACGAGAGCAAGTTGCCTGAGCAATGGAAACCGCTTTTTAGAAATGCAAACGATATGACAAACGAAGTAATGTAAACATCGATTGATTCATAATCTCCATTACAATTGATTGAGTTTTGAAAATCCCTTTTTTTACCGACAATTTTTGTGCAGTCCTTTCTTCGTTGGAACGCAAGCAAACATCTTTACTACAATTCAAATGTTGACTTAATCCATTGTTTTATGTACCTCCGGATAGGGTGTGATGCACATAACCAAACCAATCTTCACAGCACAATTCCATCCCGAAGCCTTCGGTGGACCTACGGATACAGAGGTCTGTAATGATGACGATTCCGTTTGTCCATAATCTTCACTGCATCTCGACTGTTTATGCATTTACATTTTTTTAGTTCTTATTTGATAAGTTCATGAACTTGATTCGTGATAAGAATGAAAGCGTAACATCGACAATGCTAGCAGCGCCACCCAAAGTTGATCGTCATCAGGTTTGTAAGATTTTTAATCGGTTACGCGTTCCCCTCTTTTTTACCAAATGCATTCATCACGATAGTCAACCTTGCGCTTGATGGTAATTGGCGTTAAAAAGCTTCATTCAGATGTTGATTCTTAAAAGTTTTTTCTTTCCTAAATGATTTACAAGTTTGCAAACATAGAATTATTTAACGTTTATTTGTTTATTCAAATCACAAGGTTTCCAAAGTTTTGGTACTCGGCTCAGGAGGCCTGTCCATCGGTCAGGCTGGCGAATTGATTATTCCGGATCACAAGCTGTAAAAGCGTTAAAGGTTTGTGGACAGTTTACTTCATTAAGAAGCATTTAAACTTTCAGTGGCAACAGTGTTTTCCACTATGCGGAAATGACTTTTTGTGTTGCTCGTGTTTAGGAGGAAGGAGTTGAAGTCGTTTTGATGAATCCAAATATTGCATCGGTTCAAACAAACGCCGAGGGAGAAAAACAGGTAAAACAGGTTTCACAATGTGTGATTTTATTAAAATATAAGTAAAGATTGGTATTGGAAAAACTTTTACTTCGTCGTACTTTCTGGTTTTATTGTGACGTGAGAAAGAAGGGCGTTGACTGGCTGTATAACATGATTGTTTTGTTGTCAGATGCAGAGCTTTGTATCTGTTGTGTATGAAATTGTGAAAATATTTATTATGGTTTCGTTTGTATTGAATCTGGCGACGTTTCATTTTTTGTTGTTTCTGTTAGAAAGGAATTATACACCATAGTTTACTAAGCCCAACTAAAATAAGCAGTAAAAAGGCATGTTACATGACTGATGTTTTGCATCTGTTGGAAATTGAAACTATGAGTCCATGAATTTTTTTTCTCGAGCTATGATTGGACTTTAATGATTACTTACATATTATCGATTTTTGTCTTTTATTTTTTATGACATACTTATTGTGTAAGATGCTTAATTTTCGGAAAACTGAATGTTCAGTCTTTTAAAGTCAGTTTATTTTGCAGGCTGATACGGTGTATTTTGTGCCAATTACTCCAGAGTACGTCGAGGATGTAATAAAGAAAGAAAAGCCCGATGGTATTTTGTTGTCTATGGGTGGACAAACTGCTCTCAATTGTGGTATGATACAACACATAATGTGTTCAATTTATGTGGCAATAATGTCTATTATGCTCTCTACTTTAAGGTGTCGAGCTGTGGAAATCTGGAGTTTTTGATAAACACAAAGTTCAGGTTCAATTTGTTGCGTGTTCTCCTAAATTAATTCAAATGCTAAATTTTAAAGAAAGTTTACTTTGAGCTTTGTCAAAATATGTGAATTTGAAGTGTTAGGGTTTTACGGAAGGTGAGAGCCTCTTACTTCTCTCTTAATGCAATTGACGTTTAATATAAATGCGATTATTTAGGTTCTTGGAACAGCTGTAACGTCCATAATGGCTACAGAAGATCGTCAAATCTTTGCCGACCAATTAAAAGACATCGGAGAAAAGATCGCTCCTAGTTTTGCTGTCCATTCAGTAAGTAAATATGACCTACGTAGAAAAGGTCTGCTTCCACTTAAACTGCTTATTTCACAAGAGGGAAATTAAGAAAGTCCACCTGAATGAACTATTTAAAACACACCATTACAGAAAGTAGGTTGTTAAGTACTTTAAAATACACTATGTTTCGGGGGGTTGGGAAGACCTACCACGTTGAATCATTAGGGGGGGATTGATCAAAAAGTGCTTGATAAAACACCTCTTTATTACGACAGGTTGATGAAGCTGTTGAAGCGGCTTCGAAGATTGGCTATCCGGTTATGGTTCGTGCCGCGTATGCCTTGGGAGGTCTGGGTTCTGGTCTTTGTGCAAATGAAGAAAAACTTAGAGAGACGACGACAAGGGTATACGGTTAAAATGTCTTTTACTATCATGTATTTTTCTCATTGCAAAACACACTTTTTCTGTTTAGGCTTTTGCTTTGACTAATCAAGCATTGATTGAGAAGTCCTTGCTTGGTTGGAAGAAATTGAATATGAAGTTGTAAGAGATGCTTCTGATAATTGTGTCACAGTTTGTAATATGGAGAACTTTGATCCGCTCGGTGTTCATACAGGTGGAGTTTTTTCCTTGTCGAGTGTCCTTGTCTGAAAGCTTTTATTACCAAGAGTTTGGAATAAAGTTTATATTTAAGCAACACTCGTATGACAAATTTCTTGCCTTAGTCAAATCCTGTCTCTGTAATAGTCCCATTGTCAGCTTACTCTTTTTGTCGTGCAATATAATGTCACCGTAGCAATGAGTGAAATATTTGTGTGTTTATCTTTAGGGGACTCAATTGTTGTTGCACCTAGTCAAACGTTATCGAACGAAGAATATCACATGCTTCGTGAAACTGCGATAAAGGTCCGCTTACACATTTTAACTTGACTGGGAAGCCTTGTTAAAATACCGCCTTTTGTCTTTTGCACAGGTTGTGAGACACTTGGGGATAGTCGGGGAATGTAATATACAATATGCGCTTCATCCAGCGTCGTTGGAATACTGTATTATTGAAGTGAATGCACGACTCTCCAGAAGCTCTGCTCTCGCATCGAAAGCCACCGGGTTAGTCAATTTTATCCTTGGAGTAATACTGTAATAGGCTTCAACAGTTTTGTTGTTTTGATGTTTTAACGATGGATTGATGACTGTCTTGACAGAAATTAGCAAATGAGACGAAGTCAAGCCGGGTAAAAATATTTATCGAGATTTGACAACTTGCCTCATATCAATAACTGTTTTATTGGCTTCCGTCAAATTTATTCATTGCATTGAGAAGTAAATTATTGTGCATTCACGTAGTCTGGTGTGATTAAATGAAAATAATTAATGACATGAAGATTAAATTATGAGCCGACACAATGACTAGAATTCAACTCTTCCAACGAAAGTCAATGCGTATAGAAACAAATTTTTCATATATTAACATTTATTTGTTAGTTTAGAGGAAGCTGGCACATTCTTCCTGGTTATTTTTATGTTTTTAGAATGACACTTTAAGCTGCGTTGTGTTGTGTTTTCTATTGTTGTGTAATGTTGTTCTTTTCCTAGATATCCTCTTGCGTTTATTGCTGCAAAACTTGCCCTAGGCATACCGCTTCCCGACATAAAGAATGCCACAACAGAACAGACTAGTGCTTGCTTTGAACCCAGTTTAGATTATATTGTCACAAAGGTAATAATGCCATGGTTTTATATTTGCTTGAAACTTTAGCACATCAAAATAGACTCAAGTAAAGCACAACAATGTTACGTTAATCTGTTCATGTAAAATGCTTGTGTTTTTTATCAATGATAAGTAAGGCTTAATCAACATTTTTTCATTTCAATGGCGAGTAAAACAAGAAGTAATATTATTTGTTTTATTTTAACATTTGTTGTTGTGACTAAATCAAGATAGCCACAACCATTAGAACGGCTCATGTTGGCAATACCAATGTGTGTATGTTGTTCTTACGCTACACAAATATTCCAGGGTTTATTCGTGCAAATTTTGTGTTTATTGCGTTTTTTCCCACACTGATGAATTATTTCAGATTCCTCGATGGGATTTATATCGTTTTCTGTATTTTTATCGCGTTTTTTTCCCACACTGATGAATTATTTCAGATTCTTCGATGGGATTTATATCGTTTTCTGTGTTTTTATCGCGTTTTTTCCCACACTGATGAATTATTTTAGATTCCTCGATGGGATTTATATCGTTTTCTGTGTTTTATCGCGTTTTTTTCCCACACTGATGAATTATTTCAGATTCTTCGATGGGATTTATATCGTTTTCTGTGTTTTATCGCGTTTTTCCCACACTGATGAATTATTTCAGATTCCTCGATGGGATTTATATCGTTTTCTGTGTTTTTATCGCGTTTTTTTCCCACACTGATGAATTATTTCAGATTCCTCGATGGGATTTATATCGTTTTCTGTGTTTTTATCGCGTTTTTTTCCCACACTGATGAATTATTTCAGATTCCTCGATGGGATTTGGATCGTTTCCATCAAACACCAAAGGAGATTGGTAGCGCGATGAAAAGTGTTGGCGAAGTGATGGCAATCGGGCGAACCTTCGAAGAGAGTTTTCAGAAGGCAATGAGGATGGTTCATCCTTCCGTAAATGGATTTGTTAAAGAGGTCGGTTGCTTTTTAGTGCTAATTTACCACGAAAACTTTGCGGTATTGTGACGAGTCAGAGCAGGGAGAACTGAAATGAAGTCATACATATTGTAAACTATCTTGAGGTATTTTACCAAACTGCAAAATTTTGAGAAATCATTGTCTTCATCGTAAGTTTTGTAACAATTGATTGTCGGTTGTGTAAAAGGATCTCAGTCCGGAACACAGGATTATTTCTTGAATAACGTTACGTACGAAGCCATAAATTACTCAACAATTATAAGAAGGACCAAAGACAGTGTAGTTTTCAAAAGTATAAACAATTCGGACGTGAATATTGAAACAAAGAAAGCAGATTGCCATGAAATCCGTGAATGTTATGCTCATGATACACATTTCAAAATTAAGTAGGAGTTAATGGAGAAATGACATTAATGTACGAAACATTTGATGGTTGATTCAAATTACGAGTCGAAATGCAGTTTTTTTTTGTTTTTTTTTAACTTTGTACTATTCTCAAATCTTCATTGGTCAGTTGAAGAATGCTATATCCAAAACAATGGGCTTTTTTTGCAAAGGTTTTTGATTCGAAAATATATACAAGTTAGGTAGACTTAGGTAGAAATCTTCATCTGACTTCAACACCGCAAGTGTGATATGTACACAGCAGGTAGATACAACAGCAAATTGCTTTAGCCTTTTTTGTTTATTAGGTACCTGTTGCGCATCAAAAAGGTTGGAGCGATGATATGGAACAGGCATTGAAAATTCCTTCAAACACCAGAGTATACACCATCGCTAAGGTTTGCTTGAAATGAATTTGATCTTTTTGTTCTAAGAGGCTTCTTAATGAGGTGCTGTAGCAAGCAACATCCGTTACAGGAGAAGCTCATAAAGTACTGGGTTTGTATTTTGACAATATTTGATATTTTAGAATTTCTCTTTAGGCCTTATATGATGGATACACGGTTGACGATATTCATAAACTGACTTCAATCGATCCATGGTTCTTGAAGAAGTTACAGAGGATTGTTGAAATTGATCAAAATCTTGCCAGTCTTGATTGGTAGGATTTTGTTTGGAAGAAATATATTTGGTTATGGACTCTGATGGGAAGGTGTTTCGTTTTCTTTGTTTTTTTTTCCAGGGCAAATATTTGCACCTCACTTCTTGCAGAAGCAAAAGAAGCTGGATTTTCTGATCGGCAAATTGGAAAGGCCATAGGTGTTTCTGAAGTCGATGTTCGTCAGAAACGCGTTGAATCTAATATTAAACCTTGGGTAAAACAGGTATGTCGTAGCTTGTCAGTCGACTTTAATTTTGTCAACCCTTACTTGCAGAGACGATTTATTTCATTTGAAATTTTGCTATAGAATTCACCTTGTAAATTAGTCGGATCCTATTTTTGTTTGCGTTTACATTTCTATTTTCTGTGCTACTATCGACAATTAGCTTGGAATTTATGAAATTGGCGCCCGTGAATGGTCATTATCTGGAATGAGAAAAATTGGAGGTTTCAATGAAAACACAATGTTAATTACGGGGATATTTTTTATGCCACTTATCTGTACGGCATTTTTGGTTTTTCAAACAATGGAAACGAGGTTTTGCACAGTCACCGCTTTCTTCATTTGGGGTATAGTGAAAGATCAATCTTTTTCACTCAATATCATGTTGAATGTAATTCATGAATTGCGCTCCCATTAATCAACGGTAAACTCATTCCCCCCTCCCCTCCATAAATGGCAACGTTTTTGCTAAAATGTTTCAAATCAAACGATCAGTGGAATAAAATAGTTATGAAGTGATTTTGAAGCCTCGCTCAGTGAGTGCAAGCTTTTATAAGAACGACGTTAATGTTTCAATATTGTCAAAATGTCTTTATCTCTTCCTGGCTTTATGTCTCTTATTTTCTCAATATAATAGATCGATACAATGGCAGCCGAGTATCCTGCGATGACCAATTATTTGTACATGACCTACAATGGAAAGGTTTGGATCTTCTTAAACTAAAATGTCCATGAAATTTTTTTTATTGTGTATGAAAATTGCACACGGATCACGACGATTTGTATCCTGTATCGAAGTTTTCATCTTGATAACTTATGCATTCACGAAAGCGAGATTTTTAAGGGGCTGAACTAATACTAAATAGATTTTTTCCTTCTATGATGTTGTTTCCATCTTCGTGTAGGAGCACGATCTGAAGTTTGATGAACACGGTGTCATGGTACTGGGTTGTGGTCCTTACCATATTGGTAGCAGTGTCGAGTTTGATTGGTGTGCTGTATCTGCCATACGAACTTTACGCAAGCTCGGCAAGAAGACGGTGAGGTGTTGAGGCTGTAGAACTGTCTCCAAGAGAGATAAGATTGGATTGATTTTTTGTTACCATAGGTCGTTGTCAACCATAATCCTGAAACTGTGAGCACGGATTATGACGAGTGCGATCGTCTGTACTTCGAAGAGTTGTCTTTAGAAAGGGTTCTAGATATCTACCAACAAGAGGTAAGGTATATGGTCGTAAGGATTTAAACGATCACAATCAAATTTACGTAATCAACGAGAGACATTTCTTTCTGCGGGATCTTATGTGTTGGGCTTTGAATGACGGATTTTCATGTTGAAGTGACGTAAGACTATGTTAGGGTCGAGAATTTAAGGTGCTTTTGTAGTGCAGCTATCAAAAGTAATGTAGAAAGTCGAAATAGTACCCTGAAAAACTCAGTTCAACTGTACTACTCATTTGTTTTGCTAAACTTGTGGAGAGGGATTAAATGTTTCTTAGAGAAGTGAACGATTTATGTAGGGGTTGAAATCTGTTAGAAGGGTTGCACCCTCACCTCCCTTGCACTCCTCAGTAAATTCGTCGATGATTTTAATGATGGCTTTTGAAGTAAAGATTGATACGTAAGCTTACCTAACGATGTGTTGAGGAGAGTTCAAATCAATTGATTGATGATTTCTAGCTCGAGAAATCATCTTTTATACACTTTTCGATGTATCGATGTTGAAGTCAAAGCATAACGAATTTTTTTGTATAGCTATGTGAAGGAACTATCGTATCTGTTGGTGGTCAAATACCAAACAATCTAGCTCTTCCGCTCTATGAACAAGGCGTTAATGTCCTTGGTACTTCACCTTTGATGATCGATGCTGCTGAAGAAAGGTAATTATTAATGTTATTTAGATTTTTATCTTTTGTGATTGTCAGCAATGTTCAATCGAAAGTATTTTATTGATTGATCAAGTCAAAAAATTTAATTTAGTGAAAATGAAAGTAAACATTGACTTTGCACATATTTCTTCAGGACATTCATAGCCTACCTTGATATGTACAATATTTTTATTCATAGATCGAGATATTCACAAATCTTAGATGAGATGGGTATCGAACAAGCCCCATGGAGAGCTTTGCACTCAGTGGTAAGAGAAATATTTTGTTGACCTGTTTAGGTCCCATCAAACCATAGAACTTCTTCATTTTTTTGTTTCTGGTCTAGATAAACTAACTTTGCAAAGCCGAAAGGTTCGCTGTAAACTAAATCTGATCACTGTTTTGAATCCGTTTTAGAATGACGCCTTGGAGTTCGCTGCAAGCGTTGGCTATCCTTGCTTGTTGAGGCCGTCCTATGTTCTTAGGTGAGAAAAATAGTACGTATGACATTGTATAAAATCGAGCGAAAGCATTTGAAATGAACGATCAACTTTTTTTCAAACCTGCAGTGGCTCTGCCATGAATGTGGCTTATGGACCAGAAGAATTGCTACGATTTTTAAGTGATGCATCCAGAGTTTCGCAGGTCAGAGACTAAGAGGGTTTTATGACAGTAGTAAACAATTGCAAGAAACTCTGCACGTATTTTGAACCAAAACCATGTGAATCAAGTTTGAAACTCATTTGAAGGACAATTTAACCGCTTTTTCATTGGTTAAAAAGTTAATCGCTTTTTGCTTTTTCATTTATTCAAAACAATGGACCAATGAAAAGAGCCTTTAACCATCACGTGATGTATACGTCATTTAGGAACATCCTGTCGTAATAACAAAATTCATCGAAAATGCCAAAGAAATTGAAATGGACGCCGTCGCTCAAAACGGAGAGGTATTTTTTAGTTTTTAACGCAACGAATGTCCAAGGCACTATTTTTTCCATACAGGACGTACTGTTGACGACAATGTCGCTTGATGATAAGCGTTAAAGAACGATTGTATATGTTTGACAGTGTTGAAAAAATCTTTTGTGTCACTTCTATCATGAATCTTTACAGGGCTTTATTAAAATTGTGACTCGTCGCAATAGAAAACCAGTGTACTGAGAATAAGGCCTGGCGATGTGCTTCTGTGAATTATTGGCAGGAACGACAACCACATGTTTTTATAGTGATCGTCACATTTTCTATTTAGGAACTGCAGTAATACTTTTTGTATATTGCTGTGTAAATATGAAGTGACGACTCCTTATCTTTTTGTGTGTTTTCCGTTGTTATTGAATTGAATAGTTTATTCCATTGTCAAATGTCGACGTTTTCATACGTGTTTAATGTTTTAGGTCGTCACGTTCGCCATAACGGAGCATGTTGAAAATGCCGGGGTACATTCTGGTGACGCCACATTGGTTCTTCCTCCGCAAAACATCAACGAAGGAGTTATAAAACTGGTTTGGCTACTTTTTCTTCTGTCTGAATGCAGAGGAAACGCGGTAAAAACTTGACATATATTTTGTACTTAGGTGAAGGAAGCGACAAGAAAAATAGCCAAGAAATTTGAGATTTCTGGTCCATTTAACACACAGTTTTTATCGAAAGATGGCCACGTTATGGTGAGTTAATTGCAGTTTCCATTTGGCATGTAGCTTCTTTTCAAATTCAAAATACTCGATCATCTGATTGATCATGTGATTATCATGTGATTGTCATCTCTGCAACTTTAAGGTGATTGAAACGAATTTGCGTGCCTCCCGTTCGTTTCCCTTCGTTTCCAAGACAACAGGAAAAGATTTCATCTCCGTGGCAACAAAAGTGATGACGAATAATCCTCTGGAAGTTTACGATCGTCGTCCACTAGAATCGCCTTTGCTCCCTTCAGGTTTTGTTGGCATTAAGGTACAATGTTTTGGTTATATTTATATTAGAGTTGGGGGTTAATATTTCGATTGTGCTGTTAACAAGCTTCTTTGACATATGTGGATGGTACAGTTAACATGTTTATTTGACACATGTAGATGGTACAGTTAACATGTTTCTTTGACACATGTAGATGGTACAGTTAACATGTTTGTTTGACATATTTAAATGGTACAGTTAACATGTTTATTTGACATATGTAGATGGTACAGTTAACATGTTTGTTTGACATATTTAAATGGTACAGTTAACATGTTTATTTGACGTATGTAGATGGTCAATAGTTGAACATACAAGAATTCAACATCAAAAATTAACACGTTATTGCACATAAGACTTACGAACTTGCAAAGGAACAGTTTCGTCTTTGTAGGACCAAAGTTTAGGAAAAAACAGTCGAAGAACTTCTTTGTCTTATTACCAAAATGATTACCACTATGGCAGTCAGAAAACTTCATATTCTGACAAATAGTACCATTGACATGATTAATTGCCACCAATAATTTGACCCACCTGGCTACATATTGAAGTGGCCCTACTGCGTAATCTTTATACTGAAGTACAGTAGAACCTACGTACATCCCTGTTATCGTCACGTTTAGGCACCAATGTTTTCTTGGCCGCGACTTCGTGACGCTGATCCTGTTCTGAAATGTGAAATGGCGTCTACTGGAGAAGTTGCATGCTTTGGTCCTAACATTCACACTGCATTCCTCAAGGCTTTGCTTTCTACCGGTTTTAAAGTACCAAAGAAAGCAATTTTGGTTGGAATTCAGGTATCATGACGTCATGCGTACATCACGCTTTTGAATTGTAAAAAGTTTGTTGTCTTGTAAACAAGAGATGATCGTACTTTTCTAAAAATGTTCAATTTCTGTCCTCTAGCATTCATTCCAGTCTGATTTTCTGCCAACCGCTTATCAACTTTATCGTCTTGGATTTGATATATATGCGACGCAGGCGACCGCCAAGTATCTCAATGCTCACAAGATTCCAGCTAAAATCGCTCAGTGGCCGCTCAAAGATGAGGGACCGGACCCAAGTGCAACCAGGTATTTGTATGATTTTGTATTTGTATTAGTAAAGTCGTATTTTGAGGTTTTTATTTAAAGCTTTTTGTTTTTGAAGCTTTGGCGTATTGCTTTATTTAGCTTTAGTTTAGCGTTTTTTTTGAAGCTTTGCTTTTGCTTTAGCGTATTGCTTTTTTGAAGTTTTAGCGTTTTGCTTTTTTTGAAGCTTTAGCGTTCTGCTTTTTTTGAAGCTTTAGCGTTTTGTTTTTTTTGAAGCTTTATTCGCCTGCGTATTTTTATGAATACTATTTTGGCTTCATCTCTATCGCATGCAAGTTTACAATTGTCTCGTAGTTCTTATGCAGTGATTAGATCACTAATCACTTTTCATTACTTATCTATTATTCGAAGACATGTTACATTAATGCATCACTTACTTTGCACATTTGTTTAGATTGATAGAGGATAGAGTTGTAGATCTTGTTATTAATCTACCGAATCAAAACACAAAATACACCGAAGATAACTATCTTATTCGTCGAGCGGCCATTGATTCAGGTGTTCCGCTTTTGACAAACTTCCAGGTATGCTGTAGGAAATTGGAACTCGCCTCTCCTCTCGCTCAAAAGTCCCACTTTGGTTTAAAATGATAGCATATTCCTTTAATATTATTGTGTTTTTGAAATTCCTTGCTTTAAGTTCGTATGATTTCCTCATCACTCGCAATCCGGGGTATTTCTCTGTGGGGTATTTTCGCTGTTCGAAAACCTTGGTCCGTTAATTCCAACAATAATCATTAATTTATGTCTACTTTTGGACGAAATGTAAATAAGTTTCTCTTCGTTGCAATCGAGTCCACTTTGTAAAATATGACTTTCACATATGGTAGCATCAAGGGCTTAAGTTATGTGCTAATTGTCACTGAAAAATAGACAGGTGGTTGATTGTTGATTCATTCACTTAGCATTAGAAAAAACTAACTCACACATCGGTAATATTTGGTTGAAAGCATATAAATTGTGTGAAGGAAACAATGTATCTACTATTTGTTTATAGAAAACTAATAACAAGAAAGAATATATTCTTAGATTAAAAAGCAAAATGGTTCAACCCTTGAAATTGATGGCTAGCTTGTATAAATGACTTTTAAAATGTATTTATGAATTTATAAAAAATCGAAAAAGTTGAAACTCCAGTGTTATCAGCAGTGCTGTAGAACTAAATTTATCAGACGAGGGGGGGCTCTCTTGACGAAGCTGAAGCCATGATATTATGAAAAATTACCAATTTCAAAGGTAGAAGAGGGCTCTTCCCCCAAGCCCCCACTTCTACAGCACTGGTTATCAGCACTCGCCGTAAGTGGATATTTTCAGCGTTGTGTAACCGAACCTTCATTATTTACTTCATGTAATTTCTTTATTCAGGTCGTTCAACTTTTCGCAGAGGCGATAGCCAAGGCACCGTATGTGGACTCAGCCAGTCTGACTCATTACCAAAAACCATCACAAGCTAGCAGTGTTTAACTTCGTGACGAGAAAGTTTAGTGCAGATAAGTGATATTTATTCTTTTGTAGAACTCTAAAAATATTGAACATAGTTGAACACGACTGTCTGTTTAGGATGTAAATATGCTTCTTATATAGATTGTGTATAAAGATCGTATTTTTATATTTGTTGCTACCCTGGCGACGATGTTCAACCGTTAATGATCGAAATAAAAAAATTCCAAGTCGTATCATTAGTTTAAATACTTCGAGTAAAAAAATTTCTAATTTAATTTCTTCAATTGCGGTCTTGAAGACAAAAGACAAAGCCTCAAAAAATCTGAGCGGAATACGGCTATCAAATTGCAGTCAGTAGTCAAAGTAAATGTCGAGTCACTTTGGCAATTGGCTTTTCTAAATGGCATTTCCTTCTATTAAATTTTATCGCCTTTAATATAATTGAATTTCTTTTATAAATAATTACATCTATGAGCTTTGTCGAATTTGAGATTTGTTCATAAAGACCAATCGAAAAGATCAGTTTTTACGATAATTGTATAATGCAGCCCTCTCTTATCAACCTGAGATCTATAAGTGAATTCCATATTCAAATGTAGACTGCGTTTAGTACCGATAATATGGTGCCATGCTATAAAAATCGTGTAATCTGTAATCGAGCGCATGCGCATTTCGTGGCGGTATTGACCAGATAAAATGATTGTAGAAGGAGTTCGCTCTTTGTAATGTATTTACATTGTATGTCTCTTGTTGAAGCATAGGGCTCATTTTGCAGTTTTTTTGCTGTTTCTTGTGTTTGTATCGATGATTTTGAAACCAAATCTTTATTTGAGTTGGTGTCATATGTAAAACTCGTGCCAGCTCCTCGCGTTCTGGCGCGGACAAATAACGTTGACGACGAAATGCCTTCTCCAGCTCGCAAACTTGACCTTGCGTAAATAATACTCGACGTTTTTTAAGCGACTGTGGTTGCTCGCTTTCTTTTTGTGCAACAGTGTCCGATACTTGTTCGTTCAAGTCGCCTAAAACAGTAAAACGGCTTTCATTTATGTGTCACAAATTTGACCTCACTTGCGTTTTAATCCTATTTATAAAGCTGCTTAGGCAAATTATAATTTGCAAATTGCTTGTGAGCAGTTAAGATTTATGGATTTCTTTAAGAAGCACTTGGTGGTATATCTTATCGTGGCTTATACGCTATATATTTCATCAAAGAATGAAAGATTTTCACTTTAATGAATAAAAGTAATATGGATTTTCTATTTTTAAGTACTTCGTCTCAGTGACAAAGACAATCGCTTCAACTAATTGTCGTAATTTTCTTCATTAATCAAACAACTGTTTGAAGAAGTCTTTAAGATTTTGTTGCTAAAAAAGGCTAATGGCGCATATCTTGCATTGTTAAAACCACGAGATCTTCCGTTGACTAGTTTGTGCGTCGCCCACAAGTAAGCTCAAGTGACATTTTACCAATTATTATGAATTTGCCGTTTATAGAATCCCGTAAATTCATCTGTGGGACAATTTATGATTTTCACTTCAGACGCTATTTTCGATAAAATCTCTTACGTACAGTCCGTCAACGACTTTTGGGAGTTTTTTTGGCGTTTCTTGCCTGCACAATTTATAAGTTCAACTCATATCGATCAGGAAGGATGTACCGATTTGCTTTTAATTGCTTGGCCAAAGTGGTTGATCGCGTTGTGTGAAAGACACGCAAATATTTTTTTAAAATCAGTTAGATTGACAACATTTCCCAATTTTCGCATGTCGTATGTATGTATAAAAATTATTGCTCGTTGTAATTTTTAAGCACCTTGAATGCTGATGTTTCCATATTTATACTTCCCCCCCTCGCCATATCTGTGATAGGTATTAATTGAATATATATATTTGATATACAAACAAATGGAAACAGGCTGTAGTGCCCAGCTCATGAGTTGAATGTATAAAAAAATATATAGATCTTCTTCTATATAGTGAAATGTACGTTTCATATACCAAAGACTTTACACAAAGTGTAAGATGTATATATGTTTGACACAGAATATTTGGCAATACCTTTACCATAAGGTTTAATGGTTTGCGTCAAACAGCGACGTTTATTTTGTTGCTGACAGATAGCTCAAATACGAGGCAATGTGTTAGTGTTGAATTCAAACTATTGTACCGGGCTTATTTTTTAAATTTATCTTTTTATGACGGTATACGATCAGAGTAGTAACTTTTGTTATTGATATTGGATATACCTTTTATTGAGCTTTGTTTCCTTGTGCAATTGTTTTCCGATGACGACTGCCCGCAAGTCTTGTCACATTTTTGTCTCTTTCCTTGTGTGCCTTCATCATGTAGGAGTCCGACGTTTGCCAGCAGACCAGAATCTTTCTTATTCGTCTTTAAGATATCGCTTATTCCAAAGGGAGTGAAGCGGGACGCCATTTCCACAAGGCTTTGTACTTCTATCCACAACGAGATATGTACGACTGATGTCTGTTAGTTTAAAAATGTTTTTGTTAAGATCTTGTTAGCGCACGAACGTGGGCTGAGGTTTCCTTCTCTTTGAATGATCCTTTTATGTTAAGCTATCGACTTAGATATGATGTTGTTCTTTGGGGGTGGAGTTTTGTTAAGAGGAGATTAAAATTTTGGCAAGCCAACGCGACCATTGATTGGCTGTCAGTAATTACTATTTGACTTTCATTGACAATCGCATTAAGATCTCAAATCTCAACTCCGGACATGCAGTTTATAGCTCAAAAACCACGGCCTTTTTACTTATGTGTATGTTAAACAAATTTCAACAAACGCCACTTGTGAATGTGACGAGGAACACGTTTAATGGAGATAACGTTTTAGGTGCTTTGAAAGACACACAACACCCATTAGCTACCTGTCAGGTCCCTTATTACCCCCTTGTTCTGTATTATCCACAAGCCTGTAGGGCATATTTTTCAGTAGAGAGATGAATTGGACTTTCAACTGTACACAACTATGGAAATTAGATTGCTTCGTAGCATGTAGCTTGTTGAGGGAGTTACGGCTTTCAACACTCAATGACTACATGACGTGTGTACTTGTTCGGCTTATCACTGTTTGAAGTGGTTGTTAAAACCTATTTTTTCTTTCCCTCTTGAAATCATTATGAGCCTTCTTTGTGGTTCAAGGAAGAGGGATTTGGCAAAAATATTCGAAAATATTACACGGAAGTGTGGGTTGTTTCGTAGATTCCTTTTTTTGGCTTGTTTTAAAGCTGTTTGTTCATTTGCCTATTTTTGTTATTGACTCATTTCTTGTTTTATTCTTTTTTGTATGTAAAATCCAAAGGCCGCAGGCTTTGTTTAAGTTTCCCACGTTTTTTGTTGCTTATTCATTGCTATTTAGCTACCCTGATGTGTCCGCCTTGCTTTTAGTAGCTATAGACGTTATATAAATAGTTTCTTGTTCTCTGGGTGATTGCTTCTTGTAACATTGACATATACGCCATCTCGTGATTTTTATAACTTAGGTGTTTTAGCTGGCGTGACAAGTATCTCCTTTTCTGTCTTTTTGCTGGTTAGGCCATCTTTAAGATACATCTCAAAAATTTTTGCCGAAGCGAATGATCACATCACTAATCAAGTTGAAGATAATATAAAGAGATAGTGAAGTCTTTTCATGATTGTTGTTGATCTGTGGGTGTCAGCTTCCAGCAACATAACATCTGCTTGCTACAAAAGCTATTAGCAATGGCTGCTTAATGTGGACAAACGTTAACGAATGCAAACATCTTAATGAATGTACTTTCACTTCCCTGTCAATATGTTTGTTCCTGGTGTATAAAATGTGTACGCAAATATCACTGTCATTTAAAATTTTTGTCTTTTCAGTGATTTTAGAATTTTGTTTCATTCCATGCCATTACGTCACCCGCCCCCTCTATGGATGCATTGAATTACTAAATACTCTTTATCATCTTTTTTGAAGGGGGATTTATCATCAGTTATTGTTTTCTGTTTTGTCGAGAACATTAATGTAACTTAGCTCTACTCTACCGATGGATTTTATTCAATGAGAGTCGTATTTAAATTGACGCAACAGTTGCAACTCTTAGGATTGTGTGTAGTACTTCTTTGATCGTCGGTTCCAACATCACTGACCAGGTTGGAATGTTTCTCTTTGTTCGTTTGTTAATTCATTTCAAAAGGTTGCCGTTCTTTCTTAGCTATTTTCATGTTTATAAAAATGTGCAAATGGTTGTCGGTGTGTGTTTACTTGGCCTTAATACCATGATGAGTGCAAGTTATGCGTCCTGTGAGCTATTCTCGTGAATTAACGTCGATGCTTATGAGGCATTTAGTGAATTAATCTCAATGGGGGCTGAACAAACACAACTCTTCTTGAATTGCTTATTTTCTTCAAATGGTACTTAAACATGAGCTTAACTGTGATTGGTTTAAGAAAACGTTTTGGGTGGTAGATGAAAAGAGTATACTTGCCAATTTCATAACAATTTGACGTGAAAGAAAGGAATTCAGTTTTTTTTAATCTCTTATGGAATGCTCTTGTCACCTTGGTTGGAAATTTATATTAAGTACCATTTTTAAGCGAAATAGCGAGTTCTTTGTTGGTTTGCGTATGTTATTGTCGAAGTATTACCACAAACACCATCAATTTAGTTTATTAGAAAGTGTTTTTATAACCTTCGTAAAAAAGTTCTCGGTTCTGTTGTGTGGACTGAGTGTTTTTTGGGATAATCGCATGCAAAAAATCATATTGTGTTTTTTTTGATAATCCTGTCTAGAAAATCTTATCGTGTTTTTTAATCCCTGTTTCATGCTTTACGCAGTCTCTGTCTTTGTATAAATCGCTTTTATCCATCAAGTCTTTCAATGCGTATGGGCTTATGCACATACAATACGATTTCCAATGGAGCATTCTGTCCAAATGTTTTGTATTTGAGAAAAATTACTTCTCAAAAATGTACATTAATTCAACAAACTTAAATCATAAATATTTTTGCTGAAATCATGAATAGTTAGAACAAGAATATTATAACGAGATGCTATATATAAAATATTAGTTGCAGCCCCCAATAGTAGCATTAATGTTAATGTATAATAATATAAAATAATTTTCATATTAAAAATTTGATTGCTTTTTATCTTTTCGTTATTCATGTTACAAAAGTTGCTCAATTGTTCCTATCATCAAACCTCGTGCACACACAAGTTGAAAAGTTTGTAAAAAGTCTGCGACGTTCGTTATTGTAAAATAATTTTTCATAAAATATCTTGATTATCGTAAACATAGCAGGTGCAAAACTTGAGTTTAAATGAATGTCACCAAATGTCTATAACGTAGTCAAATTGACTACGTTTCATTCAAAGTGTTAGTCATGTTCGACAGCAATGTTTTATGTAGCTATGTTGATTTCCTATTGTGACACATGCTAATGGCAATGTCCGAGAGCAGACAATGATTCAAGCTGGAATATTGACAAAACGCTTCCTGAGTCAATAAGCCACTTGTCTTACGATGACAACGCGTTGCTTGTGTTGGGATCTCGTTTGAATAAAAGCCATTAAAATGTTTACTTGGCTAAAAGTGAGAAGCGTGCATCGCTGACAGCTATTGGTCATGTTAAACCCAACTTGTTACACTCCAACGTTTTCTTCGAGAGGGTCACGTATATCCAGTTATGTTAGGTAAACAATTCCAAGATTGTGATTACATATCGTCCTCTGTTTATGATCAAAAAGATTTTGAATATTAGATTTTGCTCCAGTCAACCACATGTCTGTTACCACATTTCAACGAAGGAACATAACGCCTCCCCCTCCCCCCCCACCATTTTCTTTTCACCCTGGAATCTTGACTTAATTCATCATGGGAAATCGATGTGAAATATTTGATCAAGTCTTTTCTCTTCATCATGACTGATCTGATGTTGAAATCTAAGTATTTATGTATTGTAGTTAAGTAGTGTCTTCGCCATGAGAGATCTGGTTTTAGAACTTGAGTCTGTATTTAGTCCAGTGTATTGTCTTCATCGGGAGCGATCTGATGTTGTAGCTTGAGTCCTTATGTGCTCCAGTCGGGAGTTTCCGGAGTGATCTGATGTTTAAACTTTAGTCGTTGTGTACTCCAGTCTAGTGTCTTCATCAGGAGTGATCTGATGCTGAAACTTAAGTTCTTATATACTCCTGTCTAGTGTCTTCATCAGGGGTGATCTGATGCTGAAACTTTAGTTCTTATATACTCCAGTCTAGTGTCTTCATCAGGAGTGATCTGATGCTGAAACTTTAGTTCTTATATACTCCAGTCTAGTGTCTTCATCAGGAGTGATCTGATGTTGAAACTTGAGTTCTTATATACTCCAGTCTAGTGTCTTCATCAGGAGTGATCTGATGCTGAAACTTTAGTTCTTATATACTCCAGTGTAGTGTCTTCATCAGAAGTGATCTGATGTTTAAACTTTAGTCGTTGTTTACTCCAGTCTTGTGTCTTAAGTTCGACAATGGAATTGTGTCTTTATTTAACTTTGTATTCATTCTATCGATTTAGCTACTTCTGTTTGTCTTTGTCAGGTACGAGTTACATGAACTGTGTGCAAAAGTTGGATGAAAAAATTACAAAAGAACAAAGTTTCAGTTGATGAACCTCGCATGTAGATATTCATAGAGACGAGTATTTTCTTTTGCTATGATCGACATGTAAATGATTGTTGAAAAAACGAGTCGTGTTGCTGTGAGTTACTGCATAATTATTGGTTTGTTGAACAAATACAACGAAGATCTCATAAAGTATAGTTATGAACATTTCACTTCGTTTTCCCAAAAAGTTAATATGATCTGACGGTTTTATTGCAGCGGTGAATGATGATGAAAAATCACTAAATGTACCTGAAGAATGATGCCAAGCATATCCGGGAAATTTCACGAGAAAAGTCACGTGAACCGAAGGTAGAATGTTCGTTCCGTTTCCTCGAGTTATATACGTCGGCAAATCACGCAGAGGTTTCCAAGAAAGGCTGTAAAATAATGTGAATCGAGCAACAACTATAGTATTTCGTATTTCTTGCGTAATTCGGAAATTTTTTAAGAATATGATAATAGACTTTGAGATATTTCTCGAAAGTAATAGCACTGTAAATACTGTTTTCTGATTGGCTGAAAAGCAGTGAAAACCAAACAACTTCTTTTCTTAAAAAAAAACATGGCGGCAGTTGTCCGAAGAAAGATTTCCACAATTGCAAATTGCTTGAAATTCAAGAATTACAAAGGAATGCAAAGAATAGAAACAAAGCAGTAAGTACATTTTTTTTTGGGTGAATGTTTTTAACAGTTAGGCCTCGTAACGAGGCTTTTCTGAAGCGATAGAGACTAGAGAGTAAAGAGGCTTTCCCGAAGCGAAAGAGAGTAACGAACCAAGACAGAGATAGACGGTACAGTCAAGAAATATCTCAAAGTATATTGTTATTGAGTAATAGTATAGTTTCTCGTGCAATTACGGTTAAACATACACTTGTGAGTTTTTTAAAGACTGTAAATAGCTATGTTTTGCTGCAGTGCTTAAAGAAATTCATTCGTGCATGTTTATATATAATTGCACTCGAAACTATATTATAAACTATACTAACATTAATTATACTTAAAATAAAACTTGTTTCCTCAATAGAATAACTTTACTTATAATAATATGATTTAAATATTGGTTTATTTATGAGATATAATTGACCTGAGTACACATTTTTAGCTTGACATTTATACAACAGTCGTGTTTTGCTTTTGCTCAGGAACATATGCCGCTTAAACATGATTTTTTACTTTTTTTAAATGCGTAACTTTATACGTTCAACCGACTCGCTCAAATCAATAAAATTATCTCAACATAATTTTATTATGGCGACGTATAAGTGAATACTCAAAACAGTATATTGGTAGCCAGGTAAAGCTTTTCTTGTCTGCATGCATAAATCCTTTCAAGAGTAACAAACATATCACTGTGATAACGTATAGCGTGCATGGAAAATCTGCTTCACAAACACAGCAAGAAAAAAAGTTTTCTCGTTTTCATTGTGTTTATTGCAAACCACAAAAGTTGTAAACACTTTTCGTACTTGCGCAAGATGTATAAAAATCGTCGAAAACATGTATACCCTTTTTGGCTAGAATAAAGAAAAGCACGTGCTTGCTACACTGGAGACTTTTACATTATACTATCATATCTTGAAGTCATTGCATGCAAATGTTACGCTGTGTGAATGGAGAGATTGGTTCTCGATAAAATTGAACGTGTGTTTGGTAGTCGCATTTGGTTTTTATGTTGTGAAAGTTGTTCATTTTGGATGTTGTGATGTAAAAACGGTTGAAATTAGCTGGCATCAAAGATATGATTATTAGCGTTCCATTTGATTGATTTACAAGGTAATTACATTTAAATCTTATCATGGACTTGGCTTTTCGTGCTTCACGCAACAAAAATTTAGCGTTGGAACAAAGGACATGATAAAGTTGAATTCTCCACCATGCGGATGGTTCACGATTGCCCTCATTTAGCAATCTTAACTTTGTGGGGATCTAAAGAAAGGGAATGACTAGGTTAGCGTAATTTTATGCTTGTAACAGCAAATTCAATTGCAAGCAGCTCTCGAAGACTTCAAAATGACGATTCTTTCTAAACAACAATTCGGCAAACAAAGTTGGTTACGGGAAGATCGGTGTTTTCCAATTTTGTCTCTTATTTGCCCCCTGCTGAATCACGCGGACTCCCCATGAAATCATTTAGTCTTGGTGAATGGGACACCCAAGGGTGATTTATATGATTTGTGTAATTATATGGCAATATTTTGCCTTAGATACTTCAACAGAGAAACCAAAAGGCGTATTTTATTCAATGTTTAATTCAAAATGGAACTACTCGCTGCAAGTTAAACATATCATCACACGATGCGTTTATTTGGACATTAGACTACTGCAGAGTTACAAAGAGCCTTCTTGTTGTTTGATTTTGCCAGCCAAGCATGCTTGGACATGTTTGTTGTGTACAAATGAACGCATTTGTTTGCACTCGTCGACTGAACAAAGAGAATAAATTAAGTTGCTATGAGAAATAACTTCCTTTTAGCAGTTATTTTCGTTATCGTAATTTTTGTGTATACACGCCAAAAATGGAAAGGGAATTAGAACCAAAATTATTGAGTAGGTTCCTTGTTGAAAGCAAAAGTGTTTTGTTTCAAAAAGTAATTTCTGTGTACGATCTCGCTTGGTAAAACTGTTTATTTGTTCGTGAAAGATTGTGGAACAGTTTGACAACATTTGTCTATTTGTGAAGAAAGAATTGTTAGGTAGAAGCAATTACTGTTCTCGCGTAGATTAAAACTTTTTGTTCCAAGCAAGAGCACTGCCATATCTCAGGAATGCCACATCTGTCGTCCTTTAAGTCCACTTAATCTTGTCCGGTCTATAAGCGTTTTCAAAATTTCTTGAGCCGCTCTCGTATTTCTCATGTATGATGTATGTACGATGCCTTTCGGAGCTATCGTGAGTATTTTTCATCACAAGCATTTGTATTTGTCCCGGGGCCAAATGCAATGGACAGCTTTAAAGGCGTGTCCTCTATTGTTGAAATAAAATCTTTCTCAACCTGTGCAACAACTGTTGAATTCTGCATTTGAAAACTCGTGTACTTATAGACTGCACAAACGTATCTACTTTCTCAAAAGCTTTGTCAATCATTTATCAACGAATTATTATTACAAAACTAGTTGATTTCAAACCATGCTTGTAGTGTTGTTCAAATGCCCCCACTCGATTTGGTCAATTTTATGTTAGCGTTATGCTTGTTGGGGGCAGAACACAGATGTAAAAGAAGGAAATGATTTCCGTTTGCGAAGTCACGATATTTTAATTTGTCTACATCTTTTCTTGTGATTCTTTACTTTAATCATTCTTCAAATTAGGGAACATTTAACGTGTTCACCTCGCAGCAAAATAATTGAACGACTTGGCAAATCAACAGCCGTTCTGTATTTCATAATTTGTACATTAACGTCATGTTTCTTGAGCAAACAAGAAGAGACAACTAAAATGAAAACAGTACGAGTTATGCGATCTATTTTCTCAACGGGGTCAATGACGGAAATTTCAGCGGTATTGCTTTGTCTCAGTTTGGCTTTGTGGAGAGTTTCCTGTCTTTGATTGTAACGACATTCAGATTACAACTTCATTCAATTTGTATAATGGTTGCATGGAATAGGTGGGGTTGTGGTTTCACGTCAAGGACAGCTTCTCCTTGCTGTATAAAAGCATTAGGAAACGTAATTTTTCGTACTAACTCAAGCCTTAACAAATCTTGTACAGGCAAAGGTGCACTAAGACCAATGTTCATATTTACACGAATGCGACTTAAGTGACAAACATATCCACATATAAAATGTTCTTCGTGCAGAAGAGGTGAAATCAATCACTTATAAACAAAGCTTAGAAAAACCTTGTCGCACTGGGCGTTGATAGATGACACTGCGCCCCTTAGCCTATATTTAGAATGTAATATATTTATAATTATTCATACGTCACGAATAAATTATCTCGCGCATTAATTCTAAACATGGCTTCTTTAACAACATGCAAGTAAATTTAACAAAATTTGGGCTGGAACCACGACTTATATTTCATGATGAGCAGATCAGAAAGATGGTCAAGCGCTTCATCGGATAGCGATGCGTCCTTCGTGCTGTTTGGAGGTACCCTGTTGCGTTTTTTAGTCGAAAACTATCCGTCCAGTGGTATTGTTGTTGTCCCCTTGACGAAATGTCATTGTTTTATGTGATGTGTTACTATCAATTTGGATCGCTGATTATAGTTGCGCGGGGCAAATTACAAATTGTAAATTCTTATAAAGTGTGGCTTCTGTGCGTTTAGGAGAACATCGCGGGGAGCTTCAAGGTTCAAACGCCATACACGATATACTCAAAGAAAGGATCGCGTATTTATCTGGTAAAGTACATCCTGTAAAATATATTACTATTATACTTGCTATGGAAAGTGCAATTGTATGACCACAAAGACTGTGAAATTGTGGTATGTTGTTGGATTGTGGTATGTTGTTGGACAATAACGACCCCAAAGCTTGTACTTCGTACATTGATTTCAGTGTTTAACGACGGTCAAACACTAAAATCGTGTTATCTGAACTTTGCGGTATTCGCATATTGGTTAAAGTTGATTGGGAAGTATAACCAAAAAATTGCTTTTATTTCGTAATTAGGTGGCAAAGATAAACGTGGTGGACCCGTGATAACCATTCCTAGTCGCGAAGCTACCTCTGAAGTAAAGAACGAGGATTTCAAACGTTTGCTTCATTATCTCAGCGGTTTACCTAGGTGCGTGTTTTCTCTAAGTATTTATTTGGCTATGGACTACCTTAGTTCTTGTCGTTTGTCGTGGCTCCTGTTTTACATTTCGACATATTGAAATGAAAACATGAACATAGATGACACCTAAATACCCCCGAAGGTTACAATGCATTTTTCTATACGAAGGCAAAGATCAACGGGATATTAGTTTTGATTGTTGTGCCAAGTTTTTGGACGTTCCCACATTCATTTGACTTCATATATGTGCATTTTAGGCATATATGAAGGTGATTACGTTGGGAATATAGGCCATGCTACTGTTTATATACCATAGATGTTATCAGTTCAATATCCATGTTATAAGACTGCATGCCGATCTACTGGCTCAGAAACAAAAGCACCGACGTTTTTTGAACTATGGTATGCGAAGGTAATCCTTTGCAGAGCGGGAAACTATCCGGTGTTTGCACTTGCTTAGCTTGTTGTTATATGTATGGATCTGAATATTCTAGATATGCTTGGTTTGTGTATCAAAATTTTTCCCCTCGAGTCGTGACTGCTTTGTTTGTTCAAACGCGTGACTCACAGGAGACGGTCGTGTCATGTGGCGAGACACACCGCTCCAAGTATTAAAAAAATTAGAAGCAATACGCGAGGAGGGGCCTTTTGACCTTGTCGAGGGCATATTCGTCGTCACTAGTTTTTTTTTTGCCCAAATCAGTTTCTCTGCCCTTCAAATAACTGCTTGCTAGGCAAATTTTTCACGCAAGACTGTAAATACAAAGACAGGCGTACCAATGACTACATTTGTTGATTATCTTTATCAGTGTATATAGGATAAAAAAGTAGGTTTTGCTACTCAGTCGTTAATGGTGTCATCTTTCAAGGAATTGCTAGAATTTCCAGAATTAAAGTAACTATCAGAGACATTGAATGTTGAATGCAGTTTTTGCCATCGTAGTCTTTGCTTCTACCTGCAATATCATGCATAATTTGACCTTTCCTATAATTCATCAAAAACTCGTTCGTTGGAAAAACACGAGCTAAAATCTGTTTTTCGTTTCTTAGTAAAGCTAAAACTGTACATGCTGCCATAAACAGAGTTTGCTGTCATATCTTGTTAAGGCGCGCCATTGATGGGCAATTGTACTGTTCACAGGAGCTACTCAGGGTGTCCGATCATCAGGGGAAAATATAGCACAGGTCAAGCATATCATCCTAAGACTTGTTTGTATTTTGTGCTTGATGTGTCTTTCACTATCTTTTGTTATTTGTGTATTTTCGTGGAGAAAAATAAGTTGAAATTATACGCTAGATGTCCATATCGTGTTTTCGGTGTGGCAAGATTTAAATTTTACAGCAAGAAAGTAGGAGAAGCTTTATTTGACAGTCTATCTCTCATTATAACTGTAAATGGAAAACGATATGGTGCGGAAATAGCAGAATTGTTACAGTAAAAAAAAGCCTTTGGCTATTGCACTTCATTAGCAGTAAAACCTCCCCAGTGTGCTTAACAAAAACAATGATAGAGAGCAATCTTTGCATCTTCTTTTTAAGATAAGTCTTGTACTCTTCACGTAAGATTTGCAATTTCTCTGTTTCGTTCGCAGTATGAATCAGTAAGGACTTTAATACCTGCGAAAACTGCCAAAATTGCGTACTTATTGCAGCTGAATCGCTACTGCCTAGGAAATTTGTAAACTGAGAACACTTTCCGACGGATTTAATGCAACGTAATTAATTCGTTCTGATGTTCCGTGATTATTCAATTGGCAATTTGTTCAAAAGGACGGTTTGAGATAATTTCAGTCTCCGTTTCTCACGTAATTGTTATGATATGTCTGCCAAAATGCTCTACATACACGTCATATATAAAAATATTAACAGGAATGTTTGTTGCTGCATTGACTGGTCGTTAAGTGATGTTTTCGATGTTGTAACTGGTGATAATGAATCGTTTTAATTACCTCTTTACTAATACCTACGTTTCTTAGTGACAAATCTTTAAAACCATAGCTCAATGTTTATTTGTCCTTTAACATCTTGGAGGTTTTCGAGGCACCTTAGCAAGACCAACGAGACTTGTTCCCTTCAACTTAAATATACTTTAATGCTACTTCTGTTTGCGTCAATACCATTAGCAATGAACACGTTCGTCGAATTCTTTGACAAGTGTTTAATGCGTTTTAATTTAGGAAACAATAAGCAGCCTTTATGTCGCGTCTAGTGACAATGAGAATTCGAGTGTTTTAGCTAGTTGTCGGCGTTTTTACCAAGTAGAAGTCGCTAAGTGTTTGGTTTTAAATTTTCCCTCTCTTGTATAACAATAATTCTCGATTGAAGATCAGTATAGGCCACGAAGCATATAGAAATATGATTTAATGGCTGTTATTGTTCATGAACATGTAAAAGCGGGCTGCTTAATAGGGAAAGCAAACACGTTATAGCTATTACATTTATTCAAAATTCACAGAACATCGGGAGAGATCATGCGAGCATGCGCTGTGCATGCTAAAAACGAATGATTTTACTGTGCTGTTGTTCTGCGAACAGACTCTTTTACAACAAACATGAATTTCTCTCTCAATTGTGTAACATTGCCAAACAAAGTCTTTTGGCATCTGATCTTACGTCGGTGACGATAATCTTGTTTCATCTTTTCACAAGTTGTCACGACAACAGACCTCGTTCAACGATGAAATGACCTTGGGTTCCTTGTTTGGTATTTTAAAAAAAAGTAAATGTGCTAGTCACAGTTCTGCGGTTTTTTGGTTTTCCGCGTTTCCTTTCCTTTTTGATCTCTTTACCCTGAGAATTCACCAGTCTTCTTTTGTGTTTGAGAATTTTTTGAATTTTTGCGTTTTACTCGAGGAAACGATTTAAAGTCGTCGGTTTGTTGTATTTGAGTCTTCTTTCCAACCAAAAATATTCGCTATGTGTTTTTTATCATTCAGTAATGAGAGTGCATTAGTAGCAGTGATTTTCACGTTTTCTTTACTGTCATCTTATGCACTTTGAAATTTTCCTTTTCCTCCGCCATCTGCATGTTCTTTCTGGCTGAGAACACAAAGATGTGTCGCAATAGCTTTGACTTAATTCATGCCATTGGTTATAAATTGTCCTATTTTGACGATGTTAGGTTTTGTCAAAGTCGAGTTTACGATATACTAGCAAAACATCTGGAGTTAACAGAAACCGAGACTGTATTTTAGGGTTTTATGTGCCTAAACAGTTCCTTACTTCGCTATTTATTGAGTTTCATGTAAATCTACCTACGTTAATAGAAAGATAGGGTTTTTTCGGAAAAAACTCATTGAGATTTTAAATGACAAACCAGTTTTATTGGTCTGTTTCCAAACATTTAATCCTGTAAATGATTATCGCTTAAGTAATCCACCTTTATATATATACATATCTGATTGCATGAAGATTTTATCGATTATCTTTTAACAAGTCCTTTGACGATTCAATCTTATCTAAAATTGAGCTGTTCAATGCCAGCTATAGTTTTCCTCGTCTGTGGCCTTCAATGAAAACCCTGCAGACTTAACCCTGTACACACGAGTCAAATCTTTCAAAGAGCACTTTATTCTCTTCGCCCGAGGCTTCAAGTTCATGTTTTCTTTTATATTCCAGTGATAATGCACGTGAACAAGGATTCAGTATTGTATTGGACATGCGTGGTAGCACGTGGCTCTCCATCAAACCAATCTTGAAGTCAATGCAGGTAAGTTTTAATGATGTTTTATCGAAGACATTTTCTCCTCGATATACACGTCTTTACTACGTATGAGTTAAGTGTTTTACTCTCTGTTTAAGTTTGTGTTTTTCTTTACATAAGTTACTTTATTTTCGTTAATAAAGTAAATGGTTTAAGCTCGTGCGTATTGTTACATGTTTGTGGATGTAGATCGTCCAGGTTAATAAAGTCCTGAGAAGGACTGTTACTGTCGATGTTGGAATGACGATTCGACAACCTTACTTGGAAGGAGACAACCTTGACTCTGAAGATGACTACCGCTAAGGTTGTCGTAACGTCAGTCAACAGCAACAGTCCTTCTCAGGACTCATCTGTCCTGGACATTCTACATCTACAAACTTATTTTATTTTCACTGGACATCGTCCTCATTTGATATTATTGTTTTCAGCACAGTTTAATTACTTCGTTGATCAAATTCAAAAATACGATTTTCAGCACAATTCCAGGTCAGCGGGATGGAAAACATTACTAATTTTACCAAGATATTGTATGTATGGTTTATAGATTTAGATCGTCCAGGTTAGCTGAATCACGAGAAGGACTGCTGCTGTTGATGTTGACTGTCGTTTCGAAAACCTTAGCGGTAGTAAAAGCCAATATCAACTATCCTTCTCAGGACTTTACCAACCTGGAAAATCTACATCTAAAAACGTACACATTGTATGTGGTTGATGTTCACGATCTTGGCTACGCCTAAATTTTTTCATCCGCGAGAAGAAAAATTTATTAGATCGTTCTTAAAATCGTTAACTTCCCCCTCAAAACGAGTGGAAAAAAACCGGTGTTGTATGACATGAGACATGGCTATATCGCTTGGTTTGTTTTTTTCCCGTCCCTGTCGGTCATTTAAACTTTCTAATATTTCTTCACAAAGACAGAGAATTGTGTTAAAATTGCATTGTTGTATAATTTAACGTTGTGTTAAAGCAAAACTTGTCAATATCAATTGAAAATATCATGTACATTCACGTTTATCGGTCTAAATTTGAATGTATGACTTGGGGCTATCGATTTGTTTGTGGCGAGAGAACTATCTAGACGAGAGAACTATCGATTTGTTTGTGGCGTTCTGTGAAAAAAAAAACCCTCGAAACTTGAGCTTAATTTTGTAATATTTTTGTTGGCATTTGTTTTGATCATTTTCGATTAAATTAAAGTTTGTTCTTGTCAGTGGAATAATAATGTAAGTCTACACTATGTCCTACTCCAAGCTCATTTAACGAAGGCAATTTTCCGTTGGACTGTTTAACCTGTGTGACCTGCACAACAAGATAGATCATCTGAGCCATGCTCAGCCGTTTATTGACATAGACGTTTTCATAAAGACAAAAGCTGAAAAGTCCACGTTGCTTTAAAAACAGCTGCTTCTGCAATTTCTAGTACATGTTTGACAAACATTCTTTTTTTTCATATTATACTTTGTCTTGTATACTCTCACAAAAGTCGCCACAGCTCGGACAACTTCTTGATCATGTAAAAACTATTATTTTATATAAGGACACTCGATAAAAGCCAAAAATCACGAGCATTTCTGAAGGCGCTATGGCGTCGTGTGAATATTTTTACAAAAAGCCCTGCGTCTTTGAAATTAATTTTACAAATTAAAGATGTTGTGTTTTCGTACCTTTAGGAGAGCTTTCCGTTGAAAATTCATTCCGTTTACATAATCAAACCGGAAGGCTTTTGGGAAAGACATAAAGCTTCGTCGGGCAGTGGAAAATTCAATTTCGAGGTACAGTCGAGGGTCGTATAAATATATTTTGTTAATCATCAATTATTAACTGCGTCGCCCAAGTCTGAAACGGATTAAATTACCTCTGTGTGAAAATTATCCCCGCCGTTAGTGAATCGTAGCTACTATATGGTCGCGTAGAAGTTTGCTAAATCTGAAGTTTAAGAGACTTGAATAGTTCACCATTCTGTCTTGAGATGAAACGATAAAGGTTAGAGCACTCGCAGTTTGTAATTTGTGATCAATATTATTTAAAGCTGTAATAATTGTTTTACAAACAAGTGAGCATCTCTCTCATCTTTGTGTTGACGTTCATTGTCACTTTGACGTTCAAACTCTTCCCAGGTTGTACGCTTTAGCTTTTCACGACATCGTGGGCTGTTTTATACAAAATATTCTTAAGTAATCGATCTTATTTTGACGACACGCTTGGAACTATGAAAAGCAGTGATATAATTTTTCTTTCATTGTCCTTATTGTTTGATGAATTAAGATTGTACATGCTTATGAATCGGAGAGGAATTTCTGCTATTTTTAGTACTGGTTACGTGCATTGCTTGCATTTAGTCACCAGATTTTTGTCGTTGTGGAATTTCTTATGATGTATAAGATATGCTTTGATATTTTATGGAGATGGTTTCATTTTATTATGCTTTAGTGTTGATCGAGAAAATTAAGGCGAATTAGTTATTGTCTGTCAAGATGTTTTCATTGGTATTGTTCGTATTAATTTGAAGCAATAAATATTTGAAATATTTCTATGGTAAGAACCTGTCATATCTCCGTTTTGCTTAGCGAGAAAGTTAAAAATTGATGCCGAGACGCGCGTTCCTCTGACTTTGGGAGTTAATTCCTCCTAAGCACATTCATAAACAGGCAATTTATTTAATTTCCACTTTGTTGCTCTTGACCTAACAAAACAGGAAAAGATCTTTTCTTCCTTTCGATTGATGAAATGTTTGTTTTAACCCGTGTATGCACATGGATTCATTCACTTACGATTTTACACTCACAATCATTTCGACAGTTGTTATTTTTGGCAAAGTGGCGATGTGTTGGTATTAAGAGATTTTCTTCAGTTTTTTGGACGTGACGTAGTGTTTAATTATGAAAATCGGCCTTAAACCTGAAAATATTACGATATTTCTATGGATTCTTTTTGTTTTTGACGATCCTTTCGAGGTATTTTCTTACATTAAGTAAACTTCACAGCGCTTTTTGTACATGCAAAATTTGAAAATAGGTCAGTACGGTGTGGATTTATGATCACATATTTTTAATCAAAAGAGTTCGCAAGAAGACTGGCAACTGGATTGCCAATAGGGGAAGCAATATGTTTCGGATTTTGAAAGATTATCCTGGAAGTTATTTGCAGCATTACGCTAGATTTTGAAATGATCCGATGAAATTTGATTGTTGACAAAAAAAAGGCATTGTAGAAAGGAAAAGGATTCAGGTTTAGCGCAGAATCTTAGACAAGAGCAGAAAGCAAAGGTGGATCTCTTTGTTTCTTCAAGAGTATTTTTGATAGAAATATGTTTTGGTGTGGTTAAACCCTGTATCATTTGATCACATACGAGTATTAATATACGCACTTGGGGTCGCAGTTCAACCGCTTGATAACACCTGATGACGATAAGCCGTTCTGGTCTTTATAGTCACGTTCATCACAAATTCTTGACTTTTCTTTATTGTCAAAAAATTTAAAGGATCAAAACTCATTGGGGTATTTATTGTAAAATGTGTTAAATTCTGTAAGGTTTTTGAGGTTCGTGACATTTCCATGTGAAGTATCGCCATATACCAGTAGTTTTTCAACTTTTCGTCTTTGTTAGATATTTCTTCATGTTCTCTGCAGATACTTGAGGACAACTCTATAAATTATACGTAGATGACTTCATTATTGCACTAAAATATAAATCATTAACCTTTAAGCACATTTGTTTTTAGTACTTTTTAGTACTTTGTTGTATTATATAGTACTTTGTTGTATTATTATCAAGATACATTATCTTGAGTGACCGACAATTGTGTCTTTGGATGGATATGCGTTATTTTTGCTATTAAACTCGTGCCGATACTCTCTGTATACGTAAACAATGGTATCGTGCTGTTCACGTGACCTACTCACATCACGAAATAACATTTCTGTTATTTCTTTAGCACTAGATTTTGGACAGAAGGTTGTGGGGCTCATGTCATTTAGAAGGAATGCTTACAAAAACTCGTATGCTTGTGAACTTGAAAGTTTTTGAGTCTTTTTACCCTCGGAAATATTTTTTCACAGCACGAGTTTATTTGATGACCACAGCAGTTGATGATAGTCCACAATGTGTTATTTATTGTGCCTGTTTTGTTTCAATAACAAGCGTACATATTTACAAAAATATAATGCTGTCTGCTCGATCGAAGCCTCCCGCTGGATATTACATGGAATATTTAAATTATATTTCATAACAACATTCTTCGTTGATGATTTGTGAAATAATGTGTTCTACAAAACAAGGACCTTCTTCTTAAATTGCTTTTGGGTTTTTTTTAGGTGACCTTTAGTTCACTCGAAGGACTTACTAAATACATTGAACCTTGTAATTTGACGTCTGAATTCGGAGGTACACTTTCCTACGATCACGATCAATGGGTGATAATGCAAATGGTAGGCGATGATTTATTTGTATCGATTCCCGACAATGTCACGTGACTAAGAGGTCATTAGTTTCGTCCTCCCATTCCTCTCTATCTCCTGTGTGGTGTAATCGTATTTGCAGATGTGGCTATAGTGGTCCCCCGCTGACCTTGATCATCACGGGCGATACTCACTTATTCCAAATGTTTTCATGCAATTCAAGTATCCCCATTAACTTTTCACGATCAATAATTGTAGGGCTCATATTTGAATCTTTAAATTCTGCCGCATAAGTTTCCTTTAAAATCCATCGTTTTCTACTGATTTTAAAATGCCAATATGTATATGAGCCCCCCTTCACAATTATGTTATGCCATATTAAAGTGTTTCCTTTTTTATGTAGTCGTTAGAAAAGTTCAATTTTGAGGCCATGACCTTACTGACGAAACTCGATGAGATTCACGAAGGTTTGATGCATCAAGATTACGCCGACGATCTTGTTGCGTTACGCGAACAGGTTAAATATCATCAGCATATACGAAAATGGATTATCAAAGCTCCAATTGATACTTTAGAAGAGGAAGGTAGTCGTCTTTTAGAGTGGATTAATGAAAATAAACTAACACAAGAGGATGGTGCTAGCGAAGATTGGAAGGCGACAAGTGCAAGGGTTAAGAATATACTTGAGAACTTAAATGGAGAGCGAGATAAACTTAAAGATTCGTGGCACATTAGGAAACATCGTCTTGATCAGTGCATTCAATATCATTTGTTTCAACTCGACGCTAAAAAGGTTCGTGTTTTTCTATTCTTTCATCTTGTAACCGTGGCATAATCAGTGGCGTAGCTAAGAATTTCTTAGGACGGGGGGCGGCAAGATAAATTTTACGACAATGGGGCAAGGCAATCGGGCGCGGCCAAAGAAATGTATTAAGAAATGGGGTTTAAAAACCAATAAAAATTGTATGAAACATGTCAGAAAACAGTGTCAGGAGAAGTTAATTGAAACATTGCTTGGTTTACTTTATGAACATTGGCTTATTTTTCAACAAAAAGTTAAAATTCAAAAGCAAAAAAACCCCGTTTTCGGTCCATGCTTCCCGATACCTTCTTAAGCGCAAGGCACTAGAACGTCGCATGTTAACGTTTCGGTAGGAGATTTCGGCCCCTCCACGCTATCCTACTTGGGAGATGCAATAGCAAGCTTCCGCCCATCAGACCCCGAGATCGCCTGCGATAGGCTTTGCTCGGGGTACGCAGGGAGAGTGCGGTCGCCACCGAAGTGTGGGCCCCTAAGCCACTGCATACCTAATCGCACCCAGCTTCCACTGCTAGTTAACATCTACTATACTTAATATTGGCTTTATATATATATATACATAAATTCAAAGGCTTACGAAAGTTGTGGGATTAGTAAAGTCACCACTGCGCATGCTCAGACGATTTCTTTGATAATTCACGACTAAATGAGCTAATTGACCCAAATGTAGTGCAAGTACATGTAGTTAGTCATTGCCATGACTATGAACTTGTGAAGCTGGTCAAGTCGACTGCGCATGCTTAAGTGGACTGCGCATGCTCAGATGACATTTAATATGACTAATCGAGCTAGTTACAACACAATCGATATTAGTAGATCCAGTTGGTTGTTGCCATGACCACGAACTTGCACAATTAGTCCATTGGACTGCTTGTGATCAGATGATTTTTATTTCAAGTTGCTACTAAGCGAACTATTTACTCTAAAATTGGTGCTAGTAGATCCAATTGGTCTTTGCCATTTACATGAATAGCATTAGTTTGCCAAACGGATTTCCCAAGTTTCAGTCCCATATTATTGGCATGTTTTCTGTATTTTTCAGCATTTCTATATTTCAAATGCATTTTCAAACTCGTTACTTCAATGACTGTTATCGGCCTGGCGTGTGTGTGTTTTTTTTTCAAACTTTGTATTATCCTTGGATCCCTACTTCTCTTTTGTAAAGTACAACGTTTATGTAATGCTTTTGCCATCAATGTTTATTGTTTTTTGAGAAGTGCAGGCAACAATTGTTTGTTACTTGTCCATGTCATTTTGTAATGTTGTGTTCTTGTATATTCTGCACTACTAAAGTAAATAATTGAATTCCAAGTTACCTTGCGGTAAATTCCTATAAATTAATCAAAAAGTATAAAAGCGTCAATGTATCAACTCGTTTCTTTGCGCGCTTTTATTTTAATTTCCTTTCATGCCGCAACTCTGCGGACTCATCAAAACATAAACTTTTTATATAAATGGTTGAAATATGCTGGAAGAAAGTTTGCAACAATACTTGGCTCTTGCCATCGAGGCTATGCTTTGACTAGAGAGAATTATAGTTCATGTGATGGTGTAAAGTTGTAATTACATTGAACTATTTCGTTCTGTAGATGAGAAAGTGGATCAAGGATAGTCAAGATGATCTTTTGACAAACTTCATTGATGTTGGAATGGACGAGAAATCTTCGACCGAACTGCAAGAGGAACATGGACACATACAGACCTCTTTTCGCGTAAGTAATGTCTCTTCTTAGTAAGTAATGGTATATAGCTAAGCAACTACACATGCGCACGGCAAAGCGTTAATTCTGCAATGGATCGTCAGCATCTATAGCCGTGATATCCGGAAAGGCATTTAATTGCCATCACATATTGTATATGTGTATGTGCTATATGTGTATATATATATAGCTATATATAACAAAGTGTATAAAAATGTGCCCTCCGGGCTATCACCATAGTAAAATGGTGACTCCTGCACTTGGGATACATGATGTACGGTTACACATTGTATGGATTGTTTTGTAGAGTCACCACAGTGCTCAAATCTGTAAAGGCGAGCTTTGCATAGCGCGAAAGCGGTGAACGTATATATTCGTTTTTCGTGTTATAGTTTCTAGAAATCGTTTACGTTCAGAAATCATTAGCATACAATGACTGTTGATTGTACAAAGTAGTTCAACATGTGATCATGTTAGAGTTATAAATACAATGACGACATTATTTAATCTTCTATACTACAGCATACACACACAGGTGTTTATTTGTCAAAGCGATGCTCGTTTCTTAATAATTCATTACATTATCTTATAATGATTCTCGTTAATGGTATATCGAATCAAAAGTGAAAAGCCTTTAAAAATTTCCCGTTGTTGCTTTGCGTTAGAGTTCAGAAAATCGTCGCCTTTGTTCGCCATTTTTACTTCCCCAAAATTTGAATACTTTATTGATTGCAAAAGCCGTGCATTTATGCGTACTACACCTTTTTAAATATTAAAAGAGGAACGATAATCATATTTTAGCTCTGGGAAAAGCGGACAAATTGCCATGTATAATATGGATAATGCATGCACTTTTGACTGAAATCTTTTTAGTTCTTTGTACAAAGACCGAAGTGCAATATTGCTCTTCGCGATAAAAAGGCGACCTTCACGTATAGCCTCGTTATTTGCTTTGTCTTTTTTTAAATTATTATAATTTATCTCAATGACCGGACAGCTGCTTTGAACTTTTGACGAATAATATACTGCAAATCGTGCAGGGATATATTTTTATTTGAAATGTTCTTGTGGCGTGCTTCTTTCTTTGAAGTTTGAACGGAAGCAAACTCGACAGAAATCCTGAAGCAAATTACACATGCCAGTGGTTCGTTGTTATTTAGCTTTCGTCAAGCTGAGGTTGAGCGCTTCATAATGAAGAACACAAAGCTTTCCAAACTATGTTGAATTAATTTCCTAACGTTCAAGCGTACAATTTGAAATTTCAATGACGACTCAAAACATATATGTTGGTACTTTGGCGTTGTAGTTTTATTTGATTGAAACGCTTGCAGCGGAAGGTAAATTTACGTTTATTTTTTGCAATCGTATAATTGAAGTGAATGAAATACGGGGGAATTACTCGTTTTCCCAATGGTAGCTTTATCAATGGCAGACAAGAGAATATGATTTCGAGAAATAGACTCCTACAACCAAAGCTTATAGGTTTTTGTAACTTTTTTCATCATTTATCAAGTAAAGTTGCAAGCATTGTCCTCTCAACTTATAATGCTCGTAATTTGAACTCCATTAGTTTGCATCGCTCGTGAATTTGTATTAATTTGTGCGATCAAGCCAAGTTTAAATACAATTCCATTCCATACTCCTAGACAATGCTAGTGAATTATCGTAAACATGCAAAGGAATGTAGTGGAGTGCGAACTCACTGTAAACATGTGATCTTATGATGTTTTACAATGAACGCGGCTAATTAGAGTATCATTGATTGTTTAAAATCATTGTCTATGGAAGTCTCATCTTTTTGGTCATGTTGTCATATGTAAAATTTTATATTAATATATTGAATCCAATATATATTGACCCACTCGATGAAATGACTATGAATAATTTTTTCGTCATTTTCTTCCAACTTTTCAAAATTTTCTGTAAAATACCGACTCGAACTAACGGAATTTACAGTAATTAATTTAATCTCAGTTGTTGCAAGGAAAGTAACGTTAATTGTTGGGTTTTTTTATGCATCCAGAGTTTGTTGCAACATATTAGTAGAGATTAATTTTCCATTTCAAATCGTGCCAATAATCCGCGCGTGACGCTTACATTCTTATGAATTTTAATTTGTCTGTACGTTCAAACAAAAGGCTTTGGTGGAACGACATCTTTGATGTTTTGTCAACTTGTAGATACAATCAAACTTAGAGAAACTCACGTTTTTGATAATGAAAATCTCCTTATGCATTGTCTTCAAACATGTCTGAAAGTAATTTGATTTTAACCATGTGGGTTTTGTTTGGCGTGTATCGACCACAGTATTTTGGGTAAGCTTTTGAAATATAGTGCTATACCGAAGTCTGACTTTTCTTTTCATCGCATAAGATTGATTTTCTTGACTAAATTTGAATATTTCAACTGGTTTCAAACGTGTAATATTAAAGATGGAAGTATTTGGTCATTTTGATGTTCTGTGTATGTTTTATGTTGAAGATGACAGCACTTTTAATGCATGAGCGAAGGTCAATTAAAACCTTGTTATAATGTTTGTTCACAAAATAGAGTCTCTTGCCTTCTAATATGTAACAGCATATATTGTCATTCGCTACCAATTATTGCCCGAACAGAAAGAGAGAGTGTTTTGTGATATTCATTTTCAACGACCATGTTGACGTCTTCTTTGTCGTATTTTATCTTGTTCCCATTCAACATTTTGGTTTTAACTATTCTTTCTATGTATATACTTTTAACTACGCTGTCAAAATTGTAATTTTTGTTATTCTAGTTTGTAGACAAGCGCGAATATATTAAATATTGGTTGGAAAAATTACCGTTTCACGATGTTTGCTTGTTATTAAGCAGTCTTTGTAGACGGACGCTAACTTATGAATATTTGTAGAGAGTTGTCAGTCTTCGCTAGTTGACTATAGGTTTATAGCATTCTCAGATTGTGTCATGTACATTTTCACCTCACGTGATGTTAAAGTTTTCATATGTGATAGCCATGTGGGGAAGAGATTAAGAAGAGTAATTGTACCTTAAAAATTTTCTTTGTGATGGATTCAATTATATTAATTTTATTATAAGGGAATTCAGTAATTATATAGATGTGTTGTCTTTAAACAAATCACTAAAATTAAATCTATAATTGATTAAATTCTGTAACTTGTGTATTTAACTAAAATGACTAAAATTCTTGTATTTTGAAAGACTTTGCAATCTTGTAGGCAGCACTTGCATGTTGCTGAAATTTTACCACTTATCACAGGTATTTTTCTTGAAAAACCTCAAGATACAATAATATTTTTGTGGAGTAACGCACGATTATCAGAATGGAAATAAGCTTTAGTTGATTTAGTAAAGTGTCGAGGTTTACCTCAACCATTATTGAATCCGATCGTTTTTGTTGTCACGTCAATTGCGCAGGTCGTATTGTTTTCATTTTGTTTTCAGTATGAAAAAAGATATCATCGAAAGCATGATTTAGTGCAGGTTCTCGCAATACGTAGTTACGTTGTTCATAATATACAAAAATTATTCTTTCATTATCTTAAGTCTATATATGGCTTTATAAATCGTGCTAATATATACAAAATGCACGGAATGAAAGTGATTCACCCATATTGATTCTGTCTATTAACCTTAGCAAAAATGTAGACTTGTGTGGTAATAAGCTCATTCTCAACTTCATGGAGCTATAGCATTATATCAAAGAAAATACGAATGTTTTTTCGAATTTCTTGTCGTTTTATGTCCAGTCAATATAGTTCGGAAACGCAAATCTTGACTTTCATGTACAATGTTATTTTGATTTCGTTTCCATATATTTCCTCTATCTATATTTAAAATCCTTGGTCGTTTTCACGTATTGATTACTCATGACTTTTCTCTACGTCGTATTGTCTACATTCCACATTCAAATTTTTACAAACATTGTTTTAAAACGTGCTAAGTCCTATATATTTAATTGTATTTCGTTTGCATGAGAGTGTCGGACAGGAAAACGTAGGAGACGAATGTTTATATAATCATGCACCATGACCGCATAAATCATGCTTATTTTATGAATGCCACGGACTTTAGTTTTTGTCTACATTTGTGTAAGCGTTTGGTGAAATGCAACATTAGTGCTTTCAACTTTCATGTTTTGCGGATGGAGAACTTCCTCATCCGCAAAGACAGGAAGACGTATTGCCTTTTGTGAATTGAAAAGTTTTATATGTTTTTCCCTCACCGTAAATGTTGGTGTACCTAACTGTTCGGATGCTGGTATCTATATTGAGTCAAATAAAGTTTATTTGAGGTAATTAGGTGTTAACGGTTTGTACTACGAACTCGCCCAATGTAAACCTTCACGAAACACACCGTCACGATGAGAGAAACAAAATGAAACTGGAAAATTATCAAACTTTCGCTCATTGATGCAACTTTATAATTATGATTCGCAAGCAGTCTCCTGGATGTTTCAAGTTTCTTGTTGTCATTACCCACACATCCTTTTAATGACACCAGTAACGTCCCATCATTTTTCGTTCACGCATCTTTTTACCATTTGTAAAGAATCATTTTACATACGATTCAATGTCGAATTTTGTAATGAGTCTTGGGAAAGTTTAACAGTACATTGTTCTTGTCTAGGAAATTTCTGAGAATATAAAAAAGATACTCGAAGGAGCCGACAAGTTATTGCACTCGGGACATTATGAAGCTGATCAAATTGAGTCAATAGCAGTGTCCTTGGAACAGGAGTGGAAACAATTTTCAATGGATATAAGTGAACGTGGAAACTTGCTTTCGTGTTCCGTTGGATTTCATAAGAAGAGTGAGGAGGTAGATATATGTTCAATTTAATGATTTCAGTTCTTATATACTCCAGTCTAGTATCTTCATCAGGAGTGATTTGATGTTGAAACTTAAGTTCTTACATACTCAAGTCTGGTGTCTTCATCTGGAGTGATCTGATGTTGAAACTTGAGTTCTTATATACTTCAGTCTAGTGTCTTCATCAGGAGTGATTTGATGTTGAAACTTAAGTTCTTATATACTCAAGTCTGGTGTCTTCATCTGGAGTGATCTGATGTTGAAACTTAAGTTCTTATATACTCCAGTCTAATATCTTCATCAGGAGTGATTTGATGTTGAAACTTGAGTTCTTACATACTCCAGTCTAATATCTTCATCAGGAGTGATTTGATGTTGAAACTTGAGTTCTTATATACTCCAGCCTAGTCTCTTCATCAGGAGTTATCTGATGTTCAAACTTGAGTTCTTTTATACTCCAGTGTAGTGTCTTCATCAGGAGTGATCGATCTGATGTTAAAACTTAGTTTTTCATTCTAATGTTATATCTTTAGTTTTTATAATATATATTCGTGTCTGCTGTCGTTGTTAGAAAAGACCTGTGCACAAACTTGATTAAAACTGTAGAATGTTGTCTTTCAGTTTTTACGACGTGTTGCATCATGGGAAGAGAGACTTAACGACAACAGTTACTCAAACATCAATGACATTGACCAACTGAGTCAGTTGTTGATCCAAAGTGGAAATTTAAAGAAAGATATCGACACTTCTTATGAAGCTGTTTCCGCCGAAAGCAAACAACTACTCGAGGCTTTGCAGAAACCGCTACTCCCCGGCGATGACCGTGACACGCCGGAATTTTCCGAAGCTGCATCGCATGTCATGGAGCTGTTTTTGAACGTTCATGAACATCATAGACAGCTGGGGATATTATGGGAGGCGAAGCAAAGTGGCTTACGTGAGTTGATACATATGTCGACGTTGGAGCAGGATATTAATCAGGTGAGATTATTTGGATTATTGTGTGGATTAGCGTTTTGATAAGATAATCAAGATGTGTTGTCTGGATTATCGTCTTGACCACAAAGGTAAGATCTATTGTCTGGGTTAACGTCATGATCAGACAATTAAAGTGCTTTGTCTAGATTATCTTTTTGTTTCAAAAAAGTTTGTTCAGTAATTTCCAGTTCATCAGAGTTGATGATGAACTCGTAGCAAGTCATAGCGTAAAAGCGTTTATAAGTTTACTTTTTTTTTACGCTGAACGTCTTTACAGGATTTTAGCATGAAACTTGCAAATTTTTCCTTTTCAAACACCATTGCAAAATCTTCGTGCTCAAGTCCTTTGAAGTAAAAACACATTTCGTGCTGCCGCCGTCGTAGACAGCAGCATTCTTTGAAACAAACTCGGTTGAATTTTTCACACTATTTGTGTAAATATATGTTTCGATATGCTGGCACTAAATCCTGGGTTTTTTAATTTACGTAAGTTCCTTGATGGAAATTGAAAAAGATGTCTCCGTTGTATTTCACGTGTAGCTTTTCACGTCGAATGTTTTGATAAATGGCAATGACAAGGAATGTCGTCTCGTTCAATCACCATTTATGTTTAACGACATTTAATGAGTTAAAACAAATGTATGACATATTGACCTCTCCTTGCGAACGATGCCCAACACCAAAAAAGAAAGGTGTATTTTGAGAAGATCACGTGACATATTCTTATCGATGAAAGTTTGTCTTGATTGTCGGTCTTCTACATCTCCAAATATTCTTTCTGACAAAATCGTTGCGCGTTGTTCTCTATAATTGTCCATATAGATGACGATGTCATCGTGAAAACACGTTTTTGAATATTCATGACGCATCGATTTAGAGCAAGGGAAAGCTCGTTCCGGTCCATGGGCCGTTGTTCTTCGTCACATTTTTGTTGATGAATCATATTTGGGATCCCTGTTATCAAACAAAGATGAGGATTTTGTTCATATTTACGTTCCACGATCGCTTGCTATACTAGTTCGTTCGTCATGATGGCATTATGATGTCTTGAATGACATCAAATTGCGTATACAAGAGCACAGAAAGTCTGGGGGCTGTTTGAACAATTATAGTTGTCATCCAATCTGTGTATGTACTTCGTGCGTCAGATGGATTACATCAGTTTAAACGGTGATGCTTTTTTGAAGCTGGTAAGGAATTACTGATTTAGGATCTTGTAAACTGGTAAAATCCGTGAGGTCTAGGATATTTTGTCATGTCTAAGTAGATCTAATCCTGACATTGGGCAAACGAAATTCTTGCCGTGTCCCCAATGGTATTTTGCCTTCATCTTTCTATGAAAAGTTTACCCCGATAAGTTTAGGCAGTCTTGAGTACATGCTTGTAGCATTTGATAGTTCTCAAACACTTCGAAGCGAAAGATTTGCTGCATTTGTCTTATGCGAATGCTAAAACGCGTAGATTTATGTATTTAGACGTTGTCTTTGGTAATTAGCGAAATCTGGCAATAAAAACTGTCATGACAACGCTAGAAATTTGATTTACACTTTTGAAAATACTCCTATATCCTTCGCTGTTGTGAGAATGCTGTTGATTTGCCATTTGTCATAGAAGAACAAAAACTCAAGCTGTTTTTTTCAGAGCCATTTCTTCTTATACATAAGTTGGGCGCAATCTTAATATAGCTTAACATCTTGCGTTGATTGATATACAGCGCAATTCCTTTTCCTATGTACCTCAACACGCGGCTACAGCTTGCCAGACGCTTCAAAGCAATTGCTTTTAAATTTAAATGTAGATTTTTCTTAAGTTTATAGTGTTAATCACCTGTGTTTGTATTGTTTGTTTTCCACTTGCGTGAAGAGCAGACGGTGTGAATGTTTCGTTATGAAAATACGATTGCAAAATCAACAGATTAAAATATTGCTATTCCATAAAGCGTGAAATGTGATGAGTTAGTTTTGATGAAAATTTCCTTGAAAATATATCTTACAAACGTTGTTGATTATCCAAGTACTTTTGCCAACAAATATTTTACACTCGCTTTACGAATACTAGTCAAAATGTGGCATTTGCTTAACGTTTTTATTTACTTGCAATAGCTTTTTATTGATTTTTTTGCATTATGACATCCTTCTAACATTTACAAACACAGTATAACGGCTCAAAACTATTAAAAAAAAGAATAGCTCGCATTGTTTAACTCAGCAAGAGTTTTGTTTTCAATCAAAATGGATCGTTAAACCAGCAACCGAGGAAAGATGTACAGTTTTAGCTAAATTTAATTGGTAGATTCTGTTGAATTTTTCTCTTATGGAGGGCTGGCAAATTTTTTGTTTGCATGCCATTAGTGGCAGTTTCCACAAACGTTGAGATAATTTATATCATCCCCACAGATAATTTAAACCCTTAAGTTTCGGTTTATATGAAAAGTCCTCTAGACTCATATTACTCAATGATAACAGTTCTCCTTTTTGTGTTTTTATATCCTCTTTAAATGAGTGCAGTTAATATCGCGACAAACAGTTGCCAGGTTTTATGATTTTAACGTGATTGCCTTTGTAATTCCTGGTTTCATAAAACATTTAGTTATCGAATATCGATAGCAGATGGAGTATGAATTAGCCTAGCAGTTTGACGTTAAATGTATTTCTAATAGGGTGTTTTTATTAACATGTTGCTTTTACAACAGACAGGATCCCCAAACAGCCTCTTCAAATCTTTCTTTTATTTTGAAATATAGAAGAGTCTTGTATCTGTTCTAATCACATTGACATCTTGTCCAATATCTATACTAAATTATTGCAACGATGTTTTTGAGCATTGTCATCCTTCAACACTTCATGCTGACAAAATATTCAAACCATTTTATTTTACAAAATCGATGATTGCGAACATGCATGTCTTAACAATGTGAACATTTTTAATTGTTCGAACATATGGTTCATGTAAATGCAATGTCACGTTTGTATTTGTGGTTTTATTGTGGCATTTCAAAGTCAGTATTTCTTGAGATTCATATCTTCAGAACATATGGCTCTCTAGATACTGTTAAAAAAATCTTCTTTAATCGAGTTTGTTCTATTTTTGACTACTAAACTATAGCCACGCTGTCTTTGTTTGACGATGTTTAATTTCTGTAAGGTAGATCATTTGTCATCAGGCTGGTATTTCATCGGCTGTGTGAAAGTTTTCGCTCTATATATTATCAGTCTCTCGACAAAAACAATCCTTTTCTTCCACATGCCCAACTTTTACACGAACGTGCGGGTGACCTTCAATTTTTGACACCTTGTTTAGACGGAATAAGGTGTTTCTTGATAAGTATTTCAAGAATTTCAGGATTGTATTCTTTACAATATGTTAAGCTAGCAAACATTGTTGCTTGATTCATTTATCAAACACTAGGCTATTGGCAGTCTTCACCGATGATTCACCTTGCCCATGTCTTTAGGGCGCTTGCTTCATGCCAAAAAAAAATACTTCAAAAAGCGTGGGTTGTGAATGTCTGTGTGCTGCCTTGTCATATAAAGCAACAGCTTGGTTAAATATATTAGTATATACTTGAAAGATTATTTTATCGACGTTATTTTCAGATTACGTTACTTGAAAGATTATTTTATCGACGTTATTTTCAGATTACGTTACTTGAAAGATTATTTTATCGACGTTATTTTCAGATTACGTTACTTGAAAGATTATTTTATCGACGTTATTTTCAGATTACGTTACTTGAAAGATTATTTTATCGACGTTATTTTCAGATTACGTTACTTGAAGATTATTTTATCGACGTTATTTTCAGATTACGTTACTTGAAAGATTATTTTATCGACGTTATTTTCAGATTACGTTACTTGAAAGATTATTTTATCGACGTTATTTTCAGATTACGTTACTTGAAAGATTATTTTATCGACGTTATTTTCAGATTACGTTACTTGAAAGATTATTTTATCGACGTTATTTTCAGTCTTGTCGTGAGTGGGAGGGGAAAAGTTGCTCTTCGATATATCTATGATTTCATTTCAGTTTAACTACAAATTTATCCAGTAGTGTTGGATCGTATTCAAACTTGGCCAAATATTGTTGACTCAATATCATTTACAATGTATTTAGTTAGTATTTCGGTTTTTATTTGTTATGTTGCTTAACATAAATCTCTTTAAATTTGTTGTATCAACCATGTTTGGTCGTTTGAATAACACGTGTAATCGGGTTAGGTTGTCACGTGATGTCTCTGTTGTTGCAGGTTATCAAATGGATCGACGAACACGGAGAGCCTTTCCTAGACAAGCATACGGATGTTGGTATGACTACGGAAAAAGCCGAGGCCTTGCTCAAACGTCATGAGGAATTCGAAGCTATTGCGAAGGTTAGTTGAGAAGCTACGATAGTCTTGGTTACAATTGGGTAGCAACGATAGACTTGGTTACAGTTGAGAAGCAACAGTAGGCTTGGTTACAGTTGAGAAGCAACAGTAGGCTTGTTACAGTTGAGAAGCAACGGTAGGCTTGGTTACAGTTGAGAAGCAACGGCAGGCTTGGTTACAGTTGGGAAGCAACAGTAGGCTAGCTTACAGTTGGGAAGCAACAGTAGGCTAGGTTACAGTTGAGAAGCAACGGTAGGCTTAGTTACAGTTGAGAAGCAACGGTAGGCTTAGTTACAGTTGAGAAGCAACGGCAGGCTTGGTTACAGTTGGGAAGCAACAGTAGGCTTGGTTACATTTGGGAAGCAACAGTAGGCTAGGTTACAGTTGGGAAGCAACAGCAGGCTAGGTTACAGTTGGGAAGCAACAGCAGGCTAGGTTACAGTTGGGAAGCAACAGTAGGCTAGGTTACAGTTGAGAAGCAACAGTAGGCTAGGTTACAGTTGGGAAGCAACAGTAGGCTAGGTTACAGTTGAGAAGCAACAGTAGGCTAGGTTACAGTTGAGAAGCGACGGTAATTTTGGTTGTCAAGCTTACCCGGACAATATAACTGTAGGTCAAATGATGTCTTGTTAGTTTTCTTTAATACTTTATATATCCTCTTCAAGAATACGTATACAAATGCCAATCAGATCAGGGATGCCATCAAACAATTACAAGACTCTGGGGAATGTCGAGCTGACGAGATAAGAAGGCGGACTCAGTACTTTGATCGACGCGTTCAGAATTTTGTTCGTCGTGTTGACGAAAGGCGGCAAATTTTAGAGCTGGCTGTATCGTTTTATTCCTGCTCAAAAAATGTAAGATGTTTTTCATGTTGCTGTTGATGCGAGTGATTATGTACAATCATAGAAATCGAGTTGTTATCGTCAAAAATGAAGATTTGAGCCCTTTTATATTCTCGACTCATTGAAATTTAATATACTCCTGTCTAGTGTCTTCATCAGAAATGATCTGATGTTTAAACTTTATTACTAAAATAGTCCAGTTTAGTATCTTCATCAGGAGTGATCTGATGTTGAAACTTGAGTTCTTATATACTCCAGTCTAGTGTCTTCATCAGGAGTGATCTTATATTGAAACTTGAGTTCTTATATACTCCAGTTTAGTATCTTCATCAGGAGTGATCTGATGTTGAAATTTGAGTTCTTATGTACTCCAGTCTAGTGTCTTCATCAGAAGTGATCTGTTGTTGAAACTTGAGTTCTTATATACTCCAGTGTAGTGTCTTCATCAGGAGTGATCTGATGTTTAAACTTGAGTTCTTATATACTCCAGTCTAGTGTCTTCATCTGGATTGATCTGATGTTGTACAAATATGATATATGTACTGTGGCGGACACTTAATGAAATATGAAGGGAGGGGGGGGGAGGGTCGTTCTCAAGGCATGAGATTTCTGGGGAGATTCCAGGGCATGCCTATTTGTATACTTTTTAAATTTGATCTCCAGAAATTCAATTTAAGGATTCCTACCTTCACATTATCCTTTAACGCGTGTGCTGGTAGATGTACAGTACAGAAGTGTATGAAATATTTATTATTTAACATCACAGTTATGTTATGTAGGTGTGATTTGAGGTGTTTGGCGCAAGATTTCATACGTTTCAAAATTATTTTTTTTTGGGTGGGGGGTCGTGAAAAGCCTCCGCCACTGTATATGTAGATTCTTCTGTAATGTCTTCATGGCATTCTCTAGATTTCATATCTATTTTAGATTCATAACGATGTTGAGAGAGTGAAAGCGCAACTCGAGATTGAAGAATTATCGGACGATCCCGACGACATTGCGAAGGTTTTGCTCAAACTACGTCACGAGTGTGAACGCTCGCTCGACAATATAAACAAAAACATAAACGATGGCAAATCTATCGTCCAGCACATGAAAGCAAACGCGCAAGACGGTAAAAACGAGTCACGTGACCGTCTCCAGGAAATAATTAAAGATCTCGAGGGGAAAAAGAATGTGTTGGAAATGGCGTGGATGAGGCGTCGCGAACAGATGGAACTCTGGCAGCAATTATGGGAATTTGAGCGAGATGGGGAAAATGTGAGTACCTTCTTGTTAATTCGTCGTGTTATATTCTTGGTGCAAAGTTTTCTAGAAAGTTTATTTTCATGGAAACGTTGCAGTGTTGCTACGAGGGGCAAAAATTCAAAGTTTCAAACAAGTCATACATTGAGTTAACTTACCTGAGGGGGATGGGGTAAACGCAACTTTTGTTCGTAGAGATTTAATGCATTTAGTCAATGCATCGAGTTTCTTCATGCAGTTTTAGCTGTCGTATTCAAAAATTCATCTGATATTTTGCCAAGATCTCAAAACGTTTTGATAAATCATTGTTTTTATTGTATGTTTTGTGACATTTGACTGTCGTTTGTATACTCTCGAACACTTGATACTATCTGCAACAGCGTGATGTATGAAGCTGTGTTCAGTAGGGTTTTTGTATACTAGCAAAGACAGAGTTGTATACTGGAAACAACAGGCTTGTATACTGGAAAAAACAGGTTTGTGTTCCTATAGCGACAGGATTGTACACTGCGTTCAGTACACAATATGAAAGTGATGTATACAGGGAATTGAACAGTTTATATATTGATTTACTATGTTAGTGTAGACCTTGTGTTTTGTCTTTTAACACAAAGAGTTTGAGTCAAAGGCAATCATCTGCGATTTATCGACTTACTCTAAAGGTCAAATTCTATTAATGTTTCACGTTAAATGCATATTTGTGTTTTCGCTCCTGTCCTATTTTGCAGGCCCAGCACTCCAGGTATATGTTGTATCCTGTTTGTTCTTACGTCATAGCCACCCTTCTTCCGTTGTTATTATTAGGTAAAGAATCACTTGGAAAACTGCGAAGCTGATTTGGAGAAAGGTGGCCTAGCCGATGACCTTAATGGAGCGAAATTGATGTTGAATTCCTTTCAAGAACAATTAAAAGCGATCGATACTTTATCGTTGAGGACTTTTTGCAAGGGCGAAGAACTTATAGATCTGCTACGGCATTCTGACGTCGAATTACGTGTTCGCAACCCAAGCACGCCTGAGACCATTGAAGCGCATCAACACATTCAAAACCTGTTGGAATTCTTACACAATCAAAGACGTTTGTTTCTCGAGTTCGCTGAAGCTAGAAAGAAAAAGTTGGAGCAAAGGCTGGCGTTGAAACAACTCGAAGCAGACACAAAACAGGTAATTGTCTTGTTTGTACTTGTCATCATAGGCTACGATTGAAATTTTTTGAGGTTTTCAATTCCAGTCAATAAGTTGCATCTTTTTTCTATTTTGAATAAATTCATTGACTATTTTATGTCATTGAGAAGAATGTGATCGATGAATAATTTTTGCACGTACAGTATTTTTAACTTACTTTATCAAATAATTAACTTAATAATGAAAGATTTTTTTTCTTTTAACACCTTTGAAATATTTGGGTAATGTAACCTGGTACTTATCGAATGCCATCTATAGCTACTGGTTCGAGACATTAGTTCGAGTCTGAGCGAAGAATACATGCATGTTTATGGTTTTATACAACATTTGTACCTTAAGCGAGTCGTAATTGTTGTAAGTGCTTGTGCTGTAGTTTCTTGGGTTTAAGATCCTGTTTTTCGAAAATGTTGTCATGAGAAACTTCATAATGTTCGTAAAATGATAGCAACGGAAATGCAAGAGGACAAATAGTAGTTTGTGTGCAATTTGATAAAATAGTCACCAAGGAATTTTAGAAGAAATGAGGGTCTTTATTGTGAAGATCTATTGGTGATTTTACTCACTTCAGTTCGTGTAAAAACAAATCGAATGTATTGCTATGTTTTACATTTCTTGTGTTTTTTTTCTCCAAAATGATGCCGAGATGGTGTTTCGTTTTAGGCTTTCTGCCTATCGAATTTCTCACTTTTAAAGCTGATATCGAATGACGTACGTGTAAGCTGACTTTAAAAGCCGATATTTTCTGACGTTTTTATTGTAGAAAACAGTTTTCGATTCTCATCGAGTGTATTAATGTATTGTCGAGTTTAGTTTTTTACTTGTAAAATATATTAAAATATTTATCATGATGCGAAAGTATTTTTCTTTATTTAAGGATCAGGAGGAGTTGATTAAATATCTCCCTTTTTGTAACATTTAAATCCCGACCCTCTGACTTGGATCAATTTTTTGTGACCTTTATTTGCGTCACTCTTTCATTGAGAATATTTGAAATTGATTATTATTTAATTCAATACATGTAGAAGATAAAAGTGTATGTACGATTTCAATATTTGTTGAACTATTTCTTTAGGCCATTGGATGCATTCGTAATGGTGAAAATATGTTACTTTCAAACATTATTCCGGGATTTTCATTGGCCGAAGCGAAAGACAGCCTTACTGAATACGAGCAGTTTAAAACTGCAATGGAGGTAGGGATTTGTGTTTCATGCAACTATCTCAACAGAAAATAGTTTAGCAATTAAATAAGGTACAACTTTTCATGATGGAAGTATTGTTTACCATAGCATTGTGTACCATACTATTGCTTCTTAGTAGTTCACCATACCATTGTGTACTATACTAGTGCTTCTCAGTAGTTCACCATACCTTTGTGTACGATACTAGTGCTTCTTAGTAATTCACCATACCTTTGTGTACGATACTAGTGCTTCTTAGTAGTTCACCATACCTTTGTGTACGATACTAGTGCTTCTTAGTAGTTCACCATACCTTTGTGTACGATACTAGTGCTTCTTAGTAGTTCACCATACCTTTGTGTACGATACTAGTGCTTCTTAGTAGTTCACCATACCTTTGTGTACCATACTAGTGCTTCTTAATTAAGTAGTTCACCATACCTTTGTGTACTGTACAATTTCTTCATAGAGAACTACTTGTACAATACTAAGCCGTTTTGACCTCATACACTAAAAAACTTATCAATTCGTGATGTTTACATTATAGAAAACGAGTCAACGCGTGGCGTCAATACGTAGTCGCGCGGACGAGTTGATAAAACAGAAACATCCAAGACCAGAGCAATTAATGAAATGTTCTGACCTTGTTATGACACGATGGCAGCAGTTGATGAAGAAGGCAAACGAAAAACAACAAGTCGTTATGTCATCTTATAACTTCTTCAAGACGTCAGAAAAGGTTAGCGATTTTCTTTTTTTTGTTTGGCTATCTATATTCAGTTTTCCTACCGGAAATGTCAGTTTCATTCACCCTGACACCCAAACGTTTTTTATATATTTTTTATACGAGAACTAAGTAAAAGGTCTTTCTGAAATGAACACAATGATTGGTCAAAAAGTTTTTTATTTTTATTTGGTTGTTGAAGTACTACACTTTGGACATAATGATTTGTATCGAGATGAATTTTCTGGCGGTGCAAATAGTGCAACTTTGCATGCTTATTCTACTTCGTCATCAGCCGAAGTCGTTACGAAGTTGTACGAGACAGAGAGAGAGAGAGAGAGAGAGAGAGTACCACGCATGCGCAAGTCAGTTGTAACGGCTTATTATAGCTTATCTCCTTCGCGCGTTCATGAAGGTCACGCGTTAGAAACGTGTTTTCCATACCAATGCTCTGTCTCACATTAACTTCTCGACGGGAAAACATAACATGACAATTGACGACCATCGCCGAAATATTCGAGTCTTCTTATGTTTACTTGCGACTGTTTTTATGTGACGAGACATTCCTATTTATTTCATGTTGTCCAATGAATTGTAATTGCACGGCACGCTGTGATGATTTTATACTGCACATGGATTGTATTGTTGCGAATTTGTAAGCTATTGCCGACCTGCTGTGTATTTGTTCTTGTTTTTGGCATCAAGGTGGGACAAAGCCTTAACTAAAACGGCAATCGGAAACGTGAATAACCATTACATACAGAGAGGAGATTTTTAGGTGGCTACACTAACGACTTTATGCCTATGGTACCCTCCAGGTACACTTAAATGACCTTACCGCAAAATTGCTATCCGGCACGCACAATCGAGGTCTTTGTGGCGCTTTAAGTCGATGCATTAAACGAATTAAGTCGGCGTTGTGTTTTGCTGTTTAAAGTGCAGTCGGTTTCTATTCATTTGATGTCGGACTAATTTCCGTTTGTTTGCGAAAATCAATAGGTTCAATGAGTTGTGTTACTTGGACTCAAAATTAAAAATGATGCGATTTCTCTTACGATTGACCGTTAATATACTATGGTTTTGTTATTTTGAAAAAAAATACGCAGATTTGGTTTCTGTTTCTTCTGTGGTGTCGAAAGGTAATATTGGCTTTTTGACATCTTTATTGTACCTTCGGAACTTTGGAAGAACTATTTCTGTCGATTTCTTCTCAGTAGAACCGAGTTGTGAAGGCCGAGTTCTTTGCAATTGTTGAACTATTTGCAAAACTTCTTAGTTACTTGTAGACGTATTTGGCAAAAGTCTAACGTCTAACTCAACAAATTTCATCACTCAAACACGCCTTGGCAATTGGCGATTAAAAATCTTTTATACTATTTCCTAATTTGGCTTTGTTTTCATTGCCTTAACTAAGTCTGTCTTTGGCATAGAGTTTGGGTTATTTTTAAGTAGTCTTCTTTTTAAGCTAGTGTGAATGTCTGTCAACTGCACATGTTTTCCATATGTGAATGCCATTTCTCCTTTCTTTGCCTGCTTTTATGCTGTCGTCGTTTCTATATTGTCTTTTTAAGGCTGGTCGTTAAGTTGTCTTGATCGATCACATCACATGCAAACAAAAGTACTTACATGACTTTAAAGCTTCTTTTTGTCTGTTAATTATGTCATTATATGAATTTACTGAAATTCTCTTGAAACCAGAAACGCTTTAGTAAAATGCATCCAAAAACTACACAAAATATTTAAGTTGGATTTTCTTTCATACCAATCATCGGATTATAAAGATCATGCTGACATTTCATTAATTTTCCTACCGATTATTTTCATTATCCATACTGAGGATAATAGCTCAGCTGCGATGTTGTTTAATGTGCTTGAAAATGTTTTTCTTTCATAAATATTTTGTTTCCGTGTTTATGTATGTCATTGTTTACATAAAGGCAGTAATTTCTAAGGATAGCGTGATCGTTTTCTCGAATTCTGAAGTCAAGATTTGGCCAATTATAGTAACCATATAGGCGAACGAACATGATACATAGCAGTTAGTATGTATTCCTGAGTGATCCAATCTAGTCTTAACTCAATGACGTGTATTTTTTTTTTGAATTAAATGTTTGGATGGAAGAATAGCATTCAACATCCTGTCATTGTGTTGCATGGCACGAACCATGGTTTATGATATGACCTTTCATATGAACTGCTTGTCATTTTGAAACCATCTATTGTTCTGTTTTTGTCAGAATATTTTATCTTCGTCGATATAAAATGAACATGGTTATGCTAGCGAGAACTCCATGGCCACAGAATTATTTTCACATAAATCATGCCCTTAATCTACGCATTACAAAATGATAAAATAGTTTATCCTATTCGCGACATATTGTCTTCATTTGCTGTTGACAGATTGATTTTATTTCATGTTTTAACACATGTTCTCTGAATTGTGTATTTCGTTTTAAATAAAAATGATGTTTTAGCTGATTTTAGGCTTCAGGGTGCTCGATTAATTCAATTTTAAGTCCAGACATTATGTTTATGTGTTTGCTACATGCAGTGTACAAAAATTTTTGCCATATGAGCTAGCTGTTTCTCATTACGGAATTACTTTCTATTTAAATAAGCATTCGTTTCAGAACAAACACAATGTTTTTATTGACAAATGGTCAGGTGTAATTTTATGCACGAAATTCAAGAATGATTTTATAGCAACTTTTGATATGTTTCCATGCGATTCTTCTTGAGCGGGAATTCAGAGAGGATTACATACCCACGCGCAAATATTTCCACGTCATCATTTCGTGTAATCTCATGACGTCATTGGCAACCGTGTTCTTTAATTAGCAATTCTTCAATCGATAACAGCGAAAAGTCGCGGATTAACACTGGCATCATGTAGAGAAAATCTTTTGCTCTTCTCTAACAATTGTACATGCTCGTTAGATACTTGCATTTGATCATTTGCCGTACATACACTCGCGATGTCATGTATAAGTGTATAATTATACGGTCTATCTCAAAGGCACGACGTCATTCATTTGACTCTTGTTTTTGTGCGGATATCGCGGGCGAATTTTGTCGGTGTTGTGTATCATTGTGTATCTGTTCAGCTGTGTCGTCTCTTTATCAACGTGCGCTGAACGAGTCGCAATAATTTCCCGTCGACATGACACGAAGTGTGTGAAAATAGATTGATTTGATATGATGCAAAGGGTTTTTTGTACATTAATCAACTCCAAGAGTAATCGTTCGTGATTTGATGAATCTATTACGAGGGACTGTAATCGTTCGTGTGTGCTGTACTGGTCTCTAGCTATGATGGATGCCTTATTTACTGGCCACATTAATGAACGTCTGTGGGATTATATATCCGATTTTTTGTTCGATGAGGTACGCCGTATTGGGGATATAGATTGGATTTTTGCGGGGTAATATGTGAATATTTGGGCTATGTATAGGTTCTAATCTTATCGATTAGTTTCAACTTGATGTGTTGTTTCAATTATATCATTTCTACGTTATCTGTACCGATTTCTCACTACACAGATCTCTTTGTGAAGCGTACATTTGTACTTATGAAAGCCACTCGACACCCCTTGAATCGTTAGACTCTTAAGTTAAACTCCGATGTTTTGACTATCAAAACTTTGTTTGATTTACACGCTGCGTGTTCTTCATATCAACACGTTCCATTCGTCAAACGGGAGTTTAGCTTTTGTACGTAACGTCAGAAATCGGTGTCCTTCTTTCAAATGAGGATTTAAAAGCGCAACGCAAATATTATCGTTAAATTATTAATCTTTCGGTGTTTACCGTAACTAGCTATCTATGATCGTCATTGCCTTGGGGTTGAAACATCTCCACCACCCCCCTTAATTGATGTTGACCTTTAGTTGTTCATCGTGATTTTCTAACAGCATTTTACATACAGCTTTAACTACTCACAAAGTTCCATATTTCGCCATTAAAACCATGGCAAAATCCGGTTGTGTACATAAAGTATTTCAAATTCTCTGTAATTGTTAGCTCCAATTTATCGCGAATGTTCCTCAGAGATTATGTATGATTATGGCGTAATGTATACAGTCTCGGCGGTATTTTCTATAATCTCGACACAGAATTCTGCACCAGTTGTGATAGAAATTTAAGGCTTTGGTATTTCCTTTTACGTTTTTTTATTCGAATATTCTGTGTCATGTTATGTTTTAACTAAGAACAACATTCCCTTCAGGCGGTCTCATTATAGTTACGATAGCTTCATGGGAACTGGGAACTGGTTGATCTGTTTGATCATTCTTCAATAATATTGAGTGACAGTTTTATCCAAGGAGCGTTCTAGCATGTCTGTCGAGTCCAGAAGGCTGTTTGTATTCCATATTCTCCCACAGTTTACGACTTCATAAAGATTTCACGTAAAAATATTTACTTTGTAATTCGAATAGTAATTTCCATCTGTGGGTATTATGTAAACATCGACGCTCTTATCTTTCTTGTCTATTTCGAACACCGACACTGCGTTGCCATCTGTAAGATTGTGCAGATTTTCTTCCATGTTATATTTTGGCTTCATAAAAGGCTTTTGTCTCTTAGTAATTAGAGCGATGTTAATATTGGCTTCATGTTACATTTTTCAAATGCACCTTAAAGAGCTATTCTGTCGTTGTTATATATATATATATATATCTCTTCTGGTTTAGTTAAATCTCAGAATGTACCTGAGGTTATGGATCTTGACATCTATTCTTCCATAAGTTCATTCTCATTCGCTTTTTACTTCTTGTTGTTGATGTTTTAAGCTTTTAGACGTTTTATTTATTCATAGTTTATGCAAATATGATTTTATTTTTCAATTTTACATCTCACAAACAAAATTATCTGATCATCGAAAAGTAAATTTGTGGCATTCCTGGTTAGTCTTTTATTGAGATCGGCTCAATTTAAAAATATGGGAGGTGGAATTTTAATTTAAAGAAACTGTGAAGATTAGTAATCCGTTAAGGCATTTAAAACACGTCTTTAGTTCAAGAATTCATCTTACTTTGGTTATAAACTGTTTATTTTAAAATGAAAAATCCAAAGTAGAAGATTTTATGTTACCGTTGGTCAATCGTAAAAGGATATTGTTTTGTACATCAGATATTTACGAAGAATTGATTTAAGGAACAGATTGATTTTTGAAAAGGATGAGTTATGATAGCTAATACTATAACGACTAATTACCTTAATTGACCAATTAGCTACTCTAATTAACGATTTATCTCATCGAAAAGGTGTATAAAACATAAACTATGCATTTTGAATCTTTATGCATGTGCAAATTATGTCTATATACTCCCTTGATATTTGTCTAATAATAGCATTTAAGTGTTAACAAGATTGATCAGTTCACAGTAGGATGTCCGCTATATTTAACTATCCTATACTCTGTCGCGTAGTTTGGTAATCGACTTACGTTCTGTTGACGTAGAAATTCAAATTAGCACTAATTATCAATCTCGAATCTCAGTAATTTACACGAACAAACCGTGAAAGATCAGTAAAATATTTTCACATAATCTCCAAATGTTTTCATATGAATACCATGGATCATTTTGGCACATTAGGTTGTATTCTTGTGTTTCAAATAAACCTTAATACTTATTTTTTGCCTAAAGTGGCTAAAAGATTATATATGAGCTTTTAACCACAGCTTTTAAACTTGTTCCAATAAAAATATCTTTAGTACGTTGTTGAAATTGACCAAAAAGTGTTCAACACTCTCAGATTACACCAATTGACGTTTAGTTGCTTGGATAATTTGTTTTTGATGTCTGCTCACCCCTAAGATTCAACTACACTCGTTGAGCGAGTAAGCTTTGTCGCTTTTGTTTTTGTTTTTGTAATCTTCAAAGAACGCCCATCTTTTTTAATCTTCAAGGAATTTTTCTCAACTGTTAATGTTCTGTGGTATTTTCAAAATTGTTTATCTGTATTTCAGGTCAGTAGTCTACTGCAAAAGGTGTTGAAAGAGTATAAAATAGGTGATGACCCTTGTTCCCAGTACGCCGATCTCGAGTTGCGAGACAGATCTCGGGTGATTACGTCACTGTTGGAGAAACACGCGCGCGAGCGTGAAGAGATTGCAAAGGGACACGAGGCAGTGTATGGTTTCGCAGATGCCTTTCTAAAGTATGTCTCGCCTAGTGCAGAAAATGGCGGTATCGTCACGGTTTGTACGCCGACAGATGCAAATAAGGAAAAGATGGAACAACAGGTTAAAGAAATATCTGAGTTGATTAGAGGACAAAAGAAATTTGCGTTAGATTTATGGAACGTAAAAAACACTATCTTGGGACAGTGTAAAGAATTTCTTGACTTTGAGACGAACGCAAAGCAGGTATTACGTCCATATTTGAAGACACGCATGCATTTTGTGTCCGTGAAATTGTGAATATTGGAAATGTGTTATTTTTTTGTTTTCCAAGGCGTTGGAATGGATTCATGATCAAGGAGAATTTTATCTTTCCTCTAATGCTGCCATCCCGGAGAACGAGGAAGAAGCAAAGCAAAGATACGAAGAACACTTGAAATTTACTCAGATGTCCGTCGTAAGTATTTTGACGTTGAGGTTTCATTTGGGACCGTTCACCTCTCTTGCACATTTTACAGATTTTTAGCTTTTTTATAATGAAGTGGAGAAAGAATTCTTTGTTTTTCTAACACTGGTTCATCACTTTATATTTTCAACAGCACACAATACGGTGTTCTTGTTCTCTGTTGTTCATTTGTCATTACCTAAATTTTACACACGTTATCTTAGTTTATATTTTAGTTAGGGTAAAGACTGATTTCATTCTCTGTTGTTCATTCATCACCACCTACATTGACACACGTTATCTTAGTTTATATTTTAGTTTGTGCAAATTGTTCTCTGTTGTTCATTCATCACTACTTACACTGACACATGTTATCTTAGTTTATATTTTAGTTAGGGTAGAGACTGATTTCATTCTCTGTTGTTCATTCATCACTACCTACACAGACACATGTTATCTTAGTTTATATTTTAGATAGTGTAAAGACCGTTTTCCTTCTCTGTTGTTCATTCATCACTACCTACACTGACACATGTTATCTTAGTTTATATTTTAGATAGTGTAAAGACTCTTCTCGTTCTCTGTTGTTCATCCATCACTAGCTACACTGACACACGTTATCTTATTTCTTATATATTTTAGTTAGTGTAAAGACTGTTCTTGTTCTCTGTTGTTCATTCATCACTGCCTACACTGACACACGTTACCTTAGTCTATATTTTAGTCAGTGTAAAGATTATTCTCGTTCTCTGTTATTCATTCATCACCACCTACATTGACACACGTTATCTTAGTTTATATTTTAGTTAGGGTAGAGATTGTTCTCTTTCTCTATTGTTCATTCATCAATACCTACACTGACACATGTTATCTTAGTTTATATTATAGTTTGTGCAAATTGTTCTCTGTTGTTCATTCATCTTTATCTGCATTGACACCGCGTTATTTTACTTTACATTTTTGGAAGATTAAAGACTCTTTCTCCCTTTTTCATACAACGCCAGTTGAGGAACTTGATACTGAGATTCTTTTAACAGTTTATTTATGAATTAACCTCTGCATTGACTTATTGATGATTTCCTTTTGCTGATGGATTTATCGTTTGTTTGTTAAAGGAAATCAGAGAGAAAGTGAAATCTCTACTACAAGAAGCAGACGAACTGTTTAAGAGGTCATGTTTCCATAGTGACGGCATCATGCAGTGGGCTACAGCAGTCGATAAAAGGTTTAAAGATTTCACGAGTCGTATGACGAAATATTTAAATCAACTTGAGTCCAAACTTGGTTTCCCTATAACAAAATATAGCGAGGTGAGTTTTGTATTAAACCGATAAAATTCGTAAGATATGAGACTTTAAAAACGGCGTTAATCATAGACTTATGAATTGCCCTTGAATGAAAGATTCATCGTTTTGCCTTTGTATAGAATGACGAAGAGATGCCTGATGTATCGGTGTTATCGCAGGCTCAACAAAATCCTGCAATACGAGAGAAAACTCTCAATCTAAGAGAACTGTCGAAGGACAGCGGTATTCACGAACTTATGGAGGAAGAGAAGCGAAAGTCTGCGCGAAGGAAAGAGTAAGAAAGGAGATTTTGCCATAGCGTGTTTTCATTAAAGCTTTGTTAAGGATTTTGGATGCTCACTGAAGGATTGAGATTGAAGCGTGCTAAGGATTTCGGATAGTTATTGATGGGTTGAAATTCAATTTTTTGCATGCGCTTGCTAGTTTAAATTATGTGTGAGAATTGAGAAGATCATTTTTCTTGATCTTTCTTTTTTTTGTCGCTAGGTTCATAATGAACGAGCTATTGCACACTGAACGTACCTACGTTGCTGATTTAAAATGTATAATACAGGTAGGAGTGTAATTAGTACTTTAAGTGTAATGGAATACATGTCGCACAAAGCATCATTTTGTAAAATCAGGGTTTCTATTATATTTCTATAAATTGTCCGCTGGTAAAGGTTTTTGATTACCTTAAGTATTTAGTAAATATTAAGTTGATATGTGTAGTAAAATATATGTAAGTATTGATTTTGTCCGGTTCAATTTTCCTTCAGAGCTATATGGATGTAATGGATGGCAATCCCAGCGTTCCTCCTGGGCTGGTGGGTAAAGAAGACGTCATCTTTGGGAATATTAAACAGATCTATGAATTCCATCAAAGGTTTGTTTTTAAGGAAAATACGTTCGATGTAGATTTCATGGATTGTTTTCATTAGCTGCACATTTCTGGCAAATGAATATTAACTTGATGAAGATATATGACCAATCCAAACCTTACTTTTCACTGAAGAAGTTCGTTTAAAATAATGACCACTGACGAACAATGATAAATTTCTAAGCATAATTTTGTACATTTTCTTGATATATTTCTGGTCATATACAGAGAATGGTCATGAGATGTTTGATTTAAGTTGTTAGAACTGCTGAGAATTTTTTTCTGCATCAGTGGCCGTTGTCAAGGACAAGCTCCTAAATCAATCTTCTTTACAGCGTATTTCTGAATGCTCTCGAAAAGTATGAAACCAACCCCGAAGATGTAGGCGAGTGTTTTGCTGAAAAAGCTGAGGAATTCAAGATGTACGTTTCTTACTGCAAGAACAAAACTCTCTCAAATAATTTGCTCATTGAACATGGAGGAACTTTCTTTTCCGTAAGTTTGTTTTCAAGTAAATAAACTTGCATTTCTAGCCAATGCAAAGGAAATGTCACTGCGGTAAACTCTTTTATTTTGTACTCAACCAGGATTTACAAGCGTCTTACAATCATGGTCTCTCGATAGCTGCTTATCTTATCAAACCCGTTCAAAGAATTACCAAATATCAACTTTTGCTTAAGGTAGTTATAACTTTATGCGACCTCTCTTTGTGTTTATATAATAGTCATTGCAAAGAAGACTTGTCAACATTAGCATATGACGTTTAAACATTAAATTTATCTTTCTTGTTTGCAAAAAAATCAACAAAAACTTGTATCTACTCTCATAATATTGTCAGTGGCAAAACCAAGCTGTTTTTTACTCCTACAATGCAAATATTTTTGTGTTTATTCATTGGAAAAGTATAAATATAGAATCATTTTTCTTAAGAAATGAGTGATAATTTTGCTGGAAAATTTGCATTATACGAGCAAAAATTCAAGTGATTCCTGTATTGCAATCAATCTCCAGAGTTTTAGAAATGTCGCTCGCCCGCATGGACTTGTACCCCACAGTAGCATTGATAAAATGTCTATAGTATAAGAATACCAACATGGCTGAAGTAAAACCAAGATTAAAACAGTATAAATATTATTTTTGCTTTTCTTTAGGATTTATTAACGTGCTGTGAGGGTTCTGAGACTAGTCTACAGGTAACCAAACTGATCCAGAGTGCATTAACTCTTCATCGTTCAAACGCTGTCAGAATGTTCACGATTACTTTTTTAATTGAATATTTTTTCAGGCTGGCCTCGAAGTAATGCTAGGAGTTCCACGTCAGGCCAATGACGAAATGTCTATCGGTCTAATCCGTGGTTTTGATGTACGTATTTTTTAAACTCTCGTCTCTACCCAGTGCTGTAGAAGTGTGGGGACGCTTGGGGGAGGAGCCCCTGTACCTTAGAAATGGGTAATTTTAAAAGGGCACTATTGACAAAAACGTCAAGGTAGCCCCCCATTTGATAAATTTAGTTGTACAGCACTATCTCTACCGATGTTTTACCATGATATAAGTTTTCTTACTATCGCAAACACAGCGAATATATCTTTGTATATGTGATTTTATTGTTATCGATTGGCTTGTCGTGTGCGTGAAGTGTTTTTTACTGTTCTGCTTTTATCAAGCAACTTCATATCTCGGAATATACCCTTGTGGTGAAAAGTTGTTTGGTCTTATAAAATTGACTTTCATTTTAGTTAAAGAGTTGTAATCTTTCGAGATGTTGTATATAATATGTAGTTTATGGTAAATTAAAACAAACACCGATAAGACAAAAAAAGCAAAAAACCCAGCAGAATAAGTACGTTAGGTCGTCTTTATTGCAAAGATCTTATCGAATCAATGAAATGAGGAGTAATTACATCGACAAATCATAAATAAAGTCATAGTCAGTTTGTAATGTTGTTGTATTTGTGTGTTGCAGGAACATCTTCATTTATTAGGAAAAATCCTACTTCAGGTATTTGGACTTAAAAATTTATTGCTTGTGGTACCTATAACACTATAGCAATTTTCACACTTTAACATTTGCAAGTTACGAATGTGTTAAAACAGGAAGCGAACGAATCTTAACCAATATATGCATCATGGGTTTGAAGTATCTCTACATTTTATGATTGATTTCCGTTTCAACAGGACGTATTCTTTTTGTGGGATGCAAAGTTGTTGCGTCGTAAAGGCAAAGAACGTCATTTATTCTTGTTCGAACAAGCTCTTCTTGTTACGAAAGAGGATAAAGACGTCGACGGAAAAGTCATTTATGTGTATAAATACAAACTTAGGGTAGGTATATATACCATCCACGTACAGAAACATTCTTAATGTTGTAATGAAGCGTCATAGTGTGTTAATACTTTTGATGATTTTGTGCAGTGTTGAAGTACTTCATGTTGTGCTTTGTTTAAACGTTGTAATGTCTTTGACTTTAGTTTGACTGATTTTTTTTTTATTTTATTTGTTAAAATGTCAGTGTTCGGAGATTGGTATCACAGAACACATTGCTGAAGACGGCTGCAAATTTGCATTATGGACGGGTCTGCCGCCGAATTGTGATGTAAAAAAAATAGTCAAGGTATAGTATTCGTGTTTATCTTACCTTTTGGTTCTGTTTAAATCTTTATCACAAGGTGAAATGATGAAGAGAAAGGCTACTTTTTCGAAGATTGATTCGTAAGATGAGATTGGGAACTCAACGGCTTTGAAAAACGGAATGTTTTGATAATGTTGTTGTGAAAGTAGCAGCTGTAGCTACGTAATTGTTTTTCCGTTCTCGAGAATGTGTCCTATTCTACTAATTGTTGAGAAACTTTGGATCAAACGTACTCCCAGTTCATCGATGATTTTTGTTGTACAACTACACGAGAACAACCACGATAATTCGTGTACATTTAAATTTTCTAATTTTGCTAATCTAAGCTGCTCAACGCTCCGTGTTCTGTAAGATTTGTTTTATTTCACCCTCTCAAGTGTATACGTGCAAGTTTCAATTTAAGATTAGATTGAGATTGATTCCAGTGATTGGATTATCGACGGCTTACGTAATTCTCATCTGATATCAATTTGTTATAACGTCAACAGGCGAACACGTTGGACGTGAAGCAAAATTGGGTGAAGCAGTTACGAAATCTTCAACAACAATATCAATTTGGTGTCTTGAGAAGCAAAAGTAAGGAATTCGATTTGTTCTTCGAGATAAAATTAAAATCAAAAAAAGCGAGAGTTTCACGATTGATAATTTTATTGGATGACCGTTAATTATCGGGAATAATATATTGATCATTGAATATTTATTTATTTCTATTAATAAATTACCAGCTAATATTTGAATGCTCATTCATATTTTCGAAAGTAAAACTTCCTCTTTTTCATTTTAAATTACTCCAATCAACTCTGCCGCATTGTTTCTTTTCCATCTTATCAAAATTTCTTTCCGGGCATCTGTATAAACACTAGAATGTTTGTCGGTAGATTATCACAGATGGTTATTTTTTGGTCCTAACGCGGGAACTTTTGTTGATTATAGACTTCACACTAAATCATGATTTTGTTCTATTTTTCAGCTATGTCCTTCAGTTCAAAAAGTCCTTGGAAAAATCCCGACAGGTTCATAAATCATCTTCTGTATTCTCAGTTATCCTCATTATCCCCAGTTATCTTCTCTATCCATAAGTGACGTTTTTAGTGCAAGGAAGAGAAATGTTTTCAACAAATAAGATTCGTGCATTTTTTAGAGAAAGCGGTGTCGTCGATGATGATAGGGTATCATGGGATTTTGAGTGCGGAGACAAGGTACGTTTGTGTACAAAGGTAGTACCTTTATTGATTGGTTACCTGACATGAATCGCATCCCTTGTTGTAATATGTTGTTTTGTTTTCTTTTTTTATTTGAATGTCCGTACAAATTTTTGTCATACTTAAACGACATTTGTTTTTCTTTCTTGATGAATTATAAGCCAATTATCGAATTATTTGAGGTGTTGAGCGATATATTCGGCTTTATTAAAGACACACCCGCTTTCTTACTTTTGATACGTGTTGGCATTTGTCTGTTGATGTAATGATTTGTTATTTTTGCTCTATCTTGCCGAACACACGTCCGTCATTTTATTACTAAATTACAAACATACTTACTGTATTCAACTTTCAATTTCGATGACCATGAATACCTTATCTATAAACGTTGAAACTCGAGTCGCGAAGCTTTTTCATTCGGTTTTTTTGCTGCGTAAAATTTTGCGTGTGTGTATTTCGAGATTATGCAAGTCAAGTCTTTATCTCTCTGTGGTGGAAAGAAATTTCAATGCCGGCTAAATGGCTGTTCTTACGAAATCTTCAATATGTACACCCCACTGCAAAATATGTTTTAAAGATTTTGCCTTTGCAGTTATGATCTTGACGTCATTTATTGATGTGGAATTCAACTGACGATTTTTGCATAGGTGTTTCATTTCTACTCATATGTCCCCCTGCTATGAAAAAATTTTAGGTTTTGTAAACATTGTTATAATTTTATTTATCACACAATGTATTTATCTGAATGTACAGACGTTCGTTGCATAGCTGCTTCGCATCGGAAAGAAACATTTCGATTGTTTAAAATTCCAGATGTTACATGGAGGATTGTAGGGTTCGCAATTCTCCACGCAATCCGGATATTTTTACATTCTTTGCGTATGTAAGGTTCTTCCTTCGTATGTAAGGTTCTTCCTTCGTATAGTGTTGAACGCACACATTTCAATTGTTGCTGTAAAATGTGTAACGATGACTGCCTGGAAAGTTGAATTTCAAACATTTCCGCCCCCCGGTTTGTGTCACGTCATTGCTCAAATTTCACCTTCGAAGATCGCGTGACTCACTGATTTCCATATGCAACTATAATGTTTCCAATCAAGCTACGATAACCAAAGCAACGCGTATTTAACATGTTATGAAACACCGTGTTTTATAATTTCTTTTCTGTTTGTTTACGTTTAATAGACGTCTGACGAAGTATCTGGAACGGATGTCTCGTACTTTTGCATAGAAAACTTTACCAAAGTCGCCGAAGACGAAGTGTCTTTGAAGAAAGGGCAGTTTGTTGAAGTGCTGGAAAGTCCGGCTAATTGTCGCCGTTGGAGAATACGCTTTGTGAACACAGAATCCGAACCTCAGGTTGTGGAAGGTTGGATTCCCAGCGATGTTTTAAAACGGCAAGATACATTAGTAAGAAGGAACTCTGATGGATCAATGTGCAGCAGTGAAGGTATTTGATTTAAACATCGGTTATATTTGATAACTGGCACAACATTTAGTATTATACTGTTTCACCTATCACCGCTTTATCGTTCCGTGTATGCTATGCTGCGAAGCTGGTTTCACTTTGAGGGGAAATTGTATTTTATTGACTGTATTGCATCTAGCTTTAATGTTGAGTACATATTAATGGGGGTATGAAATGTAAACTGGACTCGATTTCAAGTGTAAATTAATGTGGATTTTAGTTAAGATTATTTTTATTCCGAATGATAAATGTATTTTTCTTTACGAATCGATCAACAAATGTGACAGTTTAAGCTCATGGAACATATTTTACTTCGCTCCTTGCATTTCGGAAAATACATAGCAATTTAGCTTTCCGTTGTGACGCCAAGAATACACTACAAGTGCGAAGTCTTGCATGAACAATATGTTAAATTTAAAGGATTGTATTTTACTGAATTGTGCTAACTGCTTTGTGCCCCTTTAATGAAGCTTTAGTTGTCTGAATTGTGTGTTATGTAACAGGCTTATTTTGGCGTCTTTGTGCAACAATTTAAAGATGTAAAGATATTTTAACGGGATTAGAATTCGATGCGTTTACAGTTGGAGGTCTCATATGCATTTTCCATATGACACACGCACTTGCGCTTTAATCAGTTTGAAAACAACATAACAATACGGTCATTTGCATTTATGTTTATTTCGCCCTATGTGTTCCATTTTCACTATTATTTCGTGACCTTCACAATAGTCCATCCTCCTTAAATGACCTTAAATGGTTTGATTATCAACAAATTCAAGCATTGTGCCAAATATCACAATGCAATCGTGTGCAATTTAAATTAACGTCATGCATCCTTAAACTAAGTATCTTTGTATTTCCTTTGATCTTCACAAGTGTGTTTTTTTCGTTCTTCAAGACTCCAACTCGCTGTCTTCCTGCAACGATTTGAGTCCAGCGGCCTCTCTTTACAACAGTACTGGTCTAGTAAACGGAGCTACCTCCCCCCCTCTGAGGAGGAGAGCAAAATCCACTGGACAATTTGGAACCTTGCGGTATGTGCATGATAGGAAGAAAATCATTCCTGCGTTTGATTTTGTTTTTTTAATGGCAATCATAGATATGTTTATTTCAGTCGTTAAAATTGCTTGAAATGATGTGGTTCCAGTCATTTTCTTTCCATATTTTTCATTGGCCATTTCTCCTTGATCATAGCATGAAACCTTGGAGACGAGATTCGATGAACAGAAGCAAAAAAGTCCTTCAGACCTCTCCTATCCCTCGCAATACGAGGATTTCTGGGGGTGGAAGTAAAAAACTACAGGTTTGTAAAGTTGTTCTTTTACCTCTGCGTTAAAGCATTTAGCCATGAAGTGTATTTTATCGAGTATTTTCTCTCATCATTCTGTACCTTTAGGCGTTACTTGGTGCCAGTGAGAATGACATTGACCTTCTTATAAAGACTAATTCTTTGTCGGCATCTTCTGATCATCTTAAGGTAAAAGTTCTTTTTATTTTCAACGCTCTCTAAATTCTCTGACATTTTCATATTTTTAAGAATTTTCAAAAATGCAAAACCCTTTTGACATTCGCCTATTACATTGTAGTCAGGTATAATGGCATGGAAAATTTACATGAAAGGAAAAATAACAAAAAGTTTGACAACATAAGCAATTGAGCCGACAGACCTTTCGTGCCATATTGTATATTGTGAAATTAAAAATTATTTTTGGGAAATGAAAATCTCATTCTCAAACACCACGAAATTCATTCTTTGAAAACGAGTCTTTGTTTTTTTCGTAGAAGACTGGATCGTTTGACGAAGATATTTCCTTGATTGAAGAACGTCACGAAGAATTATTGGCGGAAAATGGATCAACGGAAATCATTCCCGAGGAAGCTCGTGCCGGTAATGATGGCACATTAAGCAAAGAAAGCGCTCAGACGAAGGAGATTAGCGTCGGGGAAGGTTTAAATGCAAGCAGTGAAAGTCTTCTAAATGAAGATGTGGAATGTAACGGTTTTCATGGCGATGAAGAAGACGGTCATCCAGATGATCAAACTCCAGAGGATAAAGAAGCTGTTGCCTTAAAGAAACGAATGTAAGTAGTATTAAATGATCCAGTTTTTGCTATGGTTCCATTTATTTTTTCCATTTCAAAAATTCTCCTGTTGACCATTATAATTTTTGGAAAATTTTTTTGCTTTCTCTAATTCCACTTTACTCCACAAAGTACGATACCATTTAAAACGTGTTTATTGATCCAAAGCTACTCTCATGTGCACGATGCGTATCTATTTTTCCACCATTGTTTATCTCATTGGAATTTTATTTTTTGAATGAGCTTTAGAGTGACTTCTGTTTGCTCATTTATCTTAGGTATGTCATCAAAGAGTTAATTCAAACTGAACAAGATTATGTGAAAGATTTGCAAGCAGTCGTTGAGGTATGTGTTTGGAATCTATGGCAACGAATATTTTTGTTTATTATTGTTCAATGCATTGAAATCAAACTCATCTTTTTTCAAAGGGCTACATTCCCGAGATGTCTAAGGAAGATGTTCCAGACGAACTGAAGGGAAAGGAAAGAGAAATTTTTGGAAATTTGAGGCAAATTTTTGAGTGGCATAAAAGGTATAGAAATGTGGTTTTATCTTATACGCGAATGATAAACCACATGCAGCTTTTGAAGCACTGTGAAAATTTCGTAAATTGCTTTCTGTCTTTATTGTTTAACCTATTTTATTTTCCGTACAGCTTTTTTAGTAAGGAACTTGAGAAATGCGAAGATGCCCCTGAGAAAATAGCCAATGTTTTTCTCAAGGCAGTAAGTTTGCGTTAAATAAATATACTTTTCTAAGTGAAGGACTCTTCATAACTTCTTTGTTTGTCTGTTGTTGTTTACTCGAGCTCGATTATTTATTTGTTTCAGTCAAAGCGTCTCGAAATGTACATTCATTATTGTCAAAAGAAACCGAAGTCAGAAGGATTAGTTCGAGAATTCGAAGATTTATACTTCAACGAATTAAGAAATCGTCTTGGTCATCGTCTTGCTCTGTCTGATTACTTAATTAAACCCGTTCAACGGATTATGAAGTATCAGCTTTTACTAAAGGTAGAAATTAAACTGTGACCACCATCTTTAAATGGGTACTTAATCGTTGTTAGAATGTCTTCACAAGTTTGAGATAACAATATGACAGCGAACTGCTGATTTGCAGACGTTTTGAAACTTTTTTTTAAATTTTTTGTTGGAAAATTTTAATCCAGGACACTATGAACGTATTCAATTCTACAAAGTTTAGATAAAATCTCTAGCGGGTGAAATATCATTTGTTAAAGTAAACAGTTGTCTGTCTTCATTGAAAATTTTTTTTGTTATCTGACCCTGGAACAATGAGGAGGAAAAGTTTTGTTTACAGAAGAATTAAACGTGATTACTTTTGTTTGAATTTAGGATATTTTAAAGTACACGGAAAGAGCAAATTTGGAATCAACTAATCTTAAGGTATGTATACCCAGACAGTTTCGAGTCTTCCTTTTGTTTTTGTTAAAAAATGCGCGATTTTTTATCTTCTTTATAAAGCCCTTTTCGATGATGTAGTTATACTGTTTTTTTTTCAATTCTTCCCAGAATGCATTGAACATTATGCAAGTAATTCCAAAGAAGGCAAATGATATGATGAACGTCGGGATGATTGAGGGATATTCGGTACGATAATGTACATTTAATTGACCACGTGCATTTCGCTGTGTGAAGATTGAGTGGAGTATTGTCGACATGGAGTAATTTTATTTAATCACGGCAATTTTCTCATTTTACTATCCATCCATATTCCCTCAAAAAAGAATGATATTTGAATTGTCTGTATCATATATTTACGTCGTTTTATTCTTTATTCTCAAGGGTAACATCCATGCGCAAGGGAGTTTGATCTTACAAGATATCCTACAGGTTACCGACTACAAGGCGAAAACCAAACCTGCGAAAAGGCGAGTCTTTGTCTTCGAGCAAATGATCATTTTCACAGAACCGTTCGAAAGAAAGACAGATTGGACCGTTTTCATTTATCGTCATTCCATCAAGGTGAGCGGGGAAACGAAAAAAATCGGTTTTCAAAGCAAACTAAAATGAATTTCTAATTGTGTTTTTATCTGGTGCTTCCAGACTAACTTCATGGGCATTACGGAAAACTACGCCGATGATCCGTGCAAGTTTGCGTTATGGACGCATACCAGTCAAAATGAAATTTACGTTTTAAAAGCGGAGACTCCTAAAGACAAGATAAAATGGATAAAGACTCTTCGTCAACTTTTGGAGCATCTAAAACAGTTTGCAAATGGTAAGAACATAATAGTAGCATTACCATGTTGTCTTTGTTGTCGCTACATGTTTCTCTTAACGTGTGTGTTAGATGAAGTAGTCATATGTTAAAGCTAATTTGTTGCGTTTCTCATAAGTATAATATGTTACAGTTATGAATCTTCAGCAGTAGTTGATTGCTTTCTGCTTTTAAATAGCTGTTTTTACCATGTCCCAATTAAACTAAATTTGAAACTAAACCAGTTGTTGTTCTGGAAAGGTATTCCTACCCTTTGTAGAAACTAATACTAACGTATGCATGTGCCTGTATTGTCCATGCCGTAGTTGTTGTGCCTGAAATTTTCCAGCTATAAATTTAAATCGAAAAGGAAATTGGTTATTTTTTGCTGTTAAGTAAAAAAATCTGTAATCGTCATTTAGCTTACCAATCAGCAATAACTAAAACAATTAAAAAATCATACGTTTGCAAAGTTGGCCAAATTTTTGTTTGGCTTCTGCATATCACGCGTAAATCTTTATCAAAACTAAATGTTTGTTTTAAACTTCAGAGAAAGATGACGACCGTTATAATGATTTAGTAAACGAGCTAAACGATTTCGCTGATGAAGGTCTGTGATTTAAAAACAATTAAACATAATCTTCAATGTTTAAACACTGCTATAGAATAAAACGTCGAAAATGTGTGTATTCGACGAAATTAACTATTAAATAGAAAAGAATTTTTTCATTATGTCAATAAACAATAATTTTAAATGCTTACGTTTGCACAAACCTGTATGGAGTTTAACTTTCAAAGTTTAACGTTAAATTTCTTTCTCTTAATTTGTATAAATTTATCGTGTAAGAACATTTCACTAAACTTTTTATTTAATATTAAATATTTTGTCCGCTTATCTATAACTTTCCTTTACCATTAAGATTATTGTATATTTTTTAGCTCTCGTCAATCCGATCGAGTACCAAGGTGGTAATGCCGATCCTCATGGGATAAATAGGTACATTGGTGAATATTATTCATATTAGTAATTGTTTCATTTTTAACTATTGATGTGCTTGTTAAGTGTAACGACATCACTGGGTCAAGCAACTTTATCGGCTGTTACACACGACAACTCACGAAATAATGTCGAAGCTTCTCCGGAAGTCGTTCGAAGACGTCTGAATAAGGTTTGAACGAGAACTGGAGTGTATAAGGACTGAAAGTATATATGGATGAAGATAACATGCTTCAATCAATATTTTTGACCTCAATTTTCTAGACATTGAGCGCTCCTTCATCAAACCAAGTCAAACATTTCAGTCTAATTCCTCTTCACACAGCGCAAAACTTAGAAGAGTTGACCGGTGTATTCTCCGATGGGGTATGTTCGTAGTATTTTGAAAGTCATAAGCTAGAAACTGACATTACTATCCCAGTTGAAGTAAAGAACTTCTGAAGTCTTTCCCTCGTTTTAGTCATGTTGAGACGAGGCTTTAATGTAGCTATCTCGATCGTATTTTATTAAATAATTCATCCTAGGTGCTTATGTCTATAACATTATATTTTTGCGTATTTTTAGCGCGGAAAGAATAAATACATTGCTATTGCCGATTATAAAGCGAAATCCAAGGATCAAATAACTGTAAAAAAAGACGATATTGTTTATGTTGTATCGAGTAAGAAACACGACAAGAAATGGCTTTACGGTCATGTTGCCGGGAGTGAATTGTATGGCCTTGTTCCTATTCGTGTTTTGCATAAGGAGACTGATAATAATCGTATCAACGAGGACGGTATGTTTGTTCTCTGACTTTGATACACAATTTTTCATTCTTCGTAACGAAATATGAAAATAATGTAATTTCTTTGCCGTCTTCATTTCTCATGTCTTTGTCGTGTTTTAACTAATCCTTGAAACTTTCTCAATATTTAGATACTTTTCAGAACGGACCAGATAAAGTGAAGTTAGTTCGTAAACACAGTTTCCCGTAAGTTTTTATTTTTTTTTTCTTGAACGGACAATGTTTGTTTTTAAAGAAATTAAGACTCATTTAAGCGGTCCATTGAGCAGCTCAACAGATGATCTTTTTGTCCTGAGCTGGGATGATCCCCTTGTGACGATGACCACATCATGTCATCGACTATCTCAAATGTACATCTGTACCACATCATGTCATCGACTATCTCAAATGTACATCTATACCACACCATGTCATCGACTATCTCAAATGCACATCTATACCACTCCGTATCAACAACTATCTCAAATGTACATCTGTACCACACCATGTCATCGACTATCTCAAATGTACATCTATACCACACCATGTCATCGACTATCTCAAATGCACATCTATACCACTCCGTATCAACAACTATCTCAAATGTACATCTGTACCACACTATGTCATCGACTATCTCAAATGTACATCTGTACCACACCATGTCATCGACTATCTCAAATGTACATCTGTACCACACCATGTCATCGACTATCTCAAATGTACATCTATACCACACCATGTCATCGACTATCTCAAATGTACATCTATACCACACCATGTCATCGACTATCTCAAATGTACATCTATACCACTCCTTATCATCAACTGTACGATAGTGACGCTAAACCTCATCTACATTTTCTTATTTCCACATGGAAAAAGGTGTTGAAGTTCGTTGAATTCTATTATTCATGTGAACATAAAAGTATTGTTTATCTACACAATGATATTTGTTTCAGGAGCAGCGCGTTACGTCGTGTCACACAAAAGAAATCTAAAACGGATTTCTCTCATATATCCACTCAGTTACGGGACAGTATAGAAAAATTTAATCAAGATTTCCCAGCATGCTCTGATAATGTAAGTGACCTAGTCATCATTGAACTGTATAAATAACTGGATGGCTGCTTTCTTATAGCAATCCCCACATTCCACGGTGAACACGGGCTTTTGAGGAAAACTCCTCCGCTAAATCATGCATGAATGACCTAGGAATACAGTCACAGTTGCTGTTTTTTTTTATATTTTTCAACTATCCTGTTTCATGCTTTAGACATAGAGAAATTCGTGATTTAATTTTTTTCTTTATTTTTTCATTTCAGTTGCCAAATGGTGACGCAAAAGGTATTTAATTTATTTGTTATCGTCGTTGCCATTATGATATTATATGAAATAGTCTTCATCCTGATGGAATTGTTAATGAAATTTTTTAAAACATCGACACAGCATCCCTATTCTTCCCTTTTTAGTCTCATTCATTTTTATTTATCCCTATGTATTCCCATTTGTACTTACATGATCTCAAATATCCTTTCCCCCATTCATCTCTATATGTTCCGATTTAGTTGTATTTAATTTTATTTATCCCTATGTATTCCCATTTGTACTTACATGATCTCAAATATCCCTTTCCCCCATTCATCTCTACATGTTCCGATTTGGTTCTATTTAATTTTATTTATCCCTATTATTCACTAAGCGTCCCTGCTCATTCCTATTTTTTACAAAGCGTCCATACTTATCCCTATTAATTACAAAGCATCTCTATTCAGTGTCAGCTGAAGGATTTTTTCTCTATTGTTCAGGCAACCCACGTTTTAATCAAGAACTTCGTGACGCTGTAATCAATCGACCGAACACTTTACGTCTTTCTTGTGAAGTTATACCTGACACGAACTATACTTTTCAATGGCAAAAAGATTCAAAAACGATCACAGCCTCGGAACGTGTAAAGATCATGAACGCAGTGCATCACAACACACTCGAAATTACAACAACGGACTTTGAAGATAGTGGCGTTTACACTTGTACTGCTATAAACGATCATGGTCAAGTTACGACGTCTTGTATTGCTCAAATTCGAGGTAATTTAATTTACTTTATTAAATATTCTTCGTTGGGCCTTGCGTGCACAATGTCCTTTTATGAGCACTTTTTTCAATTGAAGATCCCGATTTCATGCAATCTTTCTTCCTTTTTCCCTTCCCCTTCCCCTCTTCCCCTTCATCCTCCTTCCTTCCCTTCTTCCTTCCTCTTCCTCCTTTCCTCCTTCTTTCCCTCCCTCCTTCATCCTTTTTTGCAACTATGTAGTTTCATTTCTACGTCATTCTTTTACTAGACAAACCGTCATCACCTTCGAAGCCGACCGTCACCGAAATCACATCTTCGTCAGTCATCGTTAAATGGAATCCACCTGACAGCGATGGAAATAGTGCTATTACGGCGTATACTGTCGAATGCAAAGAGACTGGTGTTAGTCAATGGCAGGCCCCAGTTCCCTTTGTATCAACGACATCCACGGTCGTCGATGATCTCACTCCAGGCTCTGTGTATCAGTTTAGAGTGAGTGCAAACAATGTTGTTGGCATAAGTAAACCCAGTCCCCCAACAGAACCTGTCACGCTCGACGTCGGTAATGGTAAGTTGCTTATAAATAGTAAATACCTCAGGACTACAAACGGGGACAGATATAACAGCTCATGTAAATACTGGTCCGTCTTCTTTCGACCTTATAATTATCTTGCAATTTTAGTCACAGTCGATATGTTTTCAAGTCGTACTTGACGTTGTTTCCTGGTTTTAGTTCCTTCTTGTGCGTCTTGTGTTGTTCACATGATAACAGTTGTGTTTGCATCCAACTGTGCGAAAGTTGCGTTATAATGTTATCTGATTTTATATGTCTTTATCATTTTTATTTCCTTTCTAGAAAAAGGTGCTTTATGACAAATGAAAAAAATTTACAACATCAAGTCTTCGCGACGATTTTCATATAACATACATTAAACTTCAAAACTTCTGCAATTTGATGAACTAAAAGACAGATATTGTTTTCAAATATGAACATCAACTGTCGCTTTATGTCTGAAAACTCGACTAATTTGTTATTTTAAATGATAAATTTTTAAATCCACCAATTTCCTTCTGGATTAACTTGTTTAGACATATGTTATATATTTATATTCGAGGGGAAGATGAATTGTAAATAGCTACTTTAAAATTCTTTCTACTCTAATAAATAAACAGAACCAAAGGTTATAAATTTATAATTGTTATCGAATGTCCGCTCTCTCCTTGTGTGTCGTCAAAACCACAGTGTAACTTGAGTATTGTTTCTTGATGAATAATTTATCGTCTTAAAGATTCTTTGAAGAAAGACAAAGATGATGTTTCTTATCAAAAAGATAACTTGACAGCGAATTTTACTAGAAATTCAAAACTTGTCTTTGAGAGTTGAGCTGATGTTGACTAAAAATAGAGAACCTTATAAAAAGCTGAGAACATCAGGTTGCATTCATTTGAGAAACATGTTATTTTACACCCCTAAACTTGGTAAAAGGCACTTAAAATTTTGGGGCCAATATTTGCAAATGTGAGAGAGATGTCTAAGAGAGATTAATTATATTTCGACTGGCATAAATTTTCATAACTTCAGCTCCGAAAATGGTAAATTATTTCAACAGTTGTATAAATCAAAATGTTCGTCGAAAACTTAACGACAATAATAAGTGCTTTCATTGACACTTTTTCAATTCAAAATATGTCGAAGTTCTGTTTTACTGTAAAGGGACCTATTTGTTTAGTTCGTTGAAAACAGACAATGTTTAACCGTGGTTTTTGCACAAGGAGAGCTTTGGATTGTAAAAAAATAAACAATGTCAAATTAATGTCATAAATTTACATGATGCAGGCAAGTACTTGCGTAAAATAAATATAAACAAATATTTTAATGAATAATTTTAAATAATGTAAAAAAGGAATGAGAAATTATAAAACTTAAATAATAAGAGACGATAAAAATTTTAAAACGTTTAAATTGCTCATTAAGAAGTTTTAACAATTTAAAAATTAAAAACTAAGAAACAAAAGAAAAGGCAATTAAAACAAAAGATATCTTGCTTCGTGTATCAAATCTAAACTTTCACAGTTCATTTAATTATACTAGAAGTTCCTCTCGCCAACTTTAGACTAAAGTCATTTTGATTCAACGTGACATTGAAAGAGCTTTTACGTCTCTTTATGTCGTGCATCTTTAACGATATGCTTCAATTGAAATGCCTAGATTCAGACGATACGAACAGGCAAAGAAATATTTTGAAAATTTTCTCTTTGCGCAGATTTATTTCAAGTTTTTAGCGATGAAATACTTGAGATATTCTATCGTTAGATTAGAGATTTTGCGTAGTTTGCAACTTGGAGAATCAAAGTTCTAACATTCTTTTCGTTTTGTCATCTAGACATCCCTGTTTGTTTATTTAACAAGTCATGTTTAATAGTGACATCAACTATCACTTTCTTTCTTTAATGGTTTTCTTTTTTATTCCTTTTAAGGTAAATCCCATCGAGACATCAATAAGGACAAGGTTATATGGAAATCAGACATCGATGAATTTCATAATGTTTACGCAGAACTTGGGAGGTAATATTCTGTTGTGTTGTATTCAACTTTCTTGTGCTTGTAAAAGTAGATTCAAGATTCTGGCACTTTTAGTAATACTATTTGTTGAACTTGCAATATTTTAGTCAAGTGTAAGATATTTCGTTTTGTGAAGAGATTTGTCTTGAATATGTGACACTGCATGTGGTAGATATGTGCCAAGACATTCTTGAAATTAAAATAACTTGAGTTACACATCATATTAAGCAACATCAACGTTAACACTAAGACTTTAATTGAGATACCTTTTTCCTCTTTGTTACTCCTCTTCTTTTGAACTTTTTTCTTCATTAATACATCATCTTCTTTCTCTTTCGTTCGGTTTCTGTACAGTGGTTTGTCGATTTAAGTTTTCTTAATTGTCAGCAACTGATAGCTAGAAATCTATTAGGTATAAATTTTAATGACTGTCTGAGTATTAAATGACCTCATCTCTTTTGCGGGTTTTGATTTTGAAATTCAAATGATTTTTCAACTTAACCTCCATTAAATCATTCATATGTTTACGTATTCATGTTTAGTCAATCCTCATCACGAATTATTATTCAGCTAATCCTATTACTCTTTCACTGGGAGCACCTCTAAACCTTCAATTTTTTTGTGTATTTCAGGGGAAGATACTCAGTCGTTAAGAAATGTGTCGACAAAATAAGTGGAAAAGAATACGCTGCTAAATTCATTAAGAAACGAATGTGCTCTCAAAACGATGTTGAACGCGAGGTCACCATACTGCGTCGTATGAAACATCCAAATATAAATTTATTCATAGACTCCTTCGAAAATGACAAGAACTGGATCCTTATTCAAGAACTTTTACCCAATGGAAGATTATTCGATTCAATTCTCGTTGCCAATCCTTGGACAGAGAAAGAAGCTGTTGGTTTCGTCAAACAGATTCTTGAGGCTGTTCAGCATCTTCACGATTGTAGAGTTGCTCACTTGGACTTGAAAGTAAATGGCTTAAATGTTTCTTAATTTGTTTCCATCGTGCAAAGTATTTTGGTGAGCATGTAATTTAAAAAATACACGCATTCAAAGTAGGAAGATCTAGAGCGAGGCACGTGATCTTAGTAACGTGAGCACGAGATTCTTCACGTGACAATCATATTTCTGTCATCTTTGAGTCATTTCTTCATCGAGTAATTTTTTTTTACTATGTTTTGCCAGCCTGAGAATCTTCTGTTGGATAGTGGACCAATACCGAAAATAAAGCTTGTTGATTTTGGGAATGCCTTCACAATGTCTAGTGAAAATATCATTATAGATCTTATAGGCAATCCAGAATTCTCTGGTAAGTATTTATTCTCTCGTTGACTTTAGTTGATATTCGTAATCAACATGCTCCTTTCTTTCTCTTTCAGCACCCGAAATTATTCGTGAATTACCCGTCACTGTTGAAACTGATATTTGGTATGGGAATTTTGTGAACATTTTGGCTCCTTGTGATTGTGTGTTGTAGACTGTGTTATAGATATTAGTGTTGTAGACATTATTGTTATAGACTGTGTTATAGATGTTAGTGTTGTAGACATTATTGTTATAGACTGTGTTATAGATGTTAGTGTTGTAGACATTATTGTTGTAGACTGTGTTATAGATGTTAGTGTTGTAGACATTGTTGTAGACTGTGTTATAGATGTTAGTGTTGTAGACATTGTTGTAGACTGTGTTATAGATGTTAGACATTGTTGTAGACTGTGTTATAGATGTTAGTGTTGTAGACATTATTGTTGTAGACTGTGTTATAGATGTTACTGTTGTAGACATTGTTGTAGACTGTGTTATAGATGTTAGTGTTGTAGACATTATTGTTGTAGACTGTGTTATAGATGTTACTGTTGTAGACATTATTGTTGTAGACTGTGTTATAGATGTTACTGTTGTAGACATTATTGTTGTAGACTGTGTTATAGATGTTAGTGTTGTAGACATTATTGTTGTAGACTGTGTTATAGATGTTACTGTTGTAGACATTATTGTTGTAGACTGTGTTATAGATGTTAGTGTTGTAGACATTATTGTTGTGGACTGTGTTATAGATGTTAGTGTTGTAGACATTATTGTTGTAGACTGTGTTATAGATGTTAGTGTTGTAGACATTATTGTTATAGACTGTGTTATAGATGTTAGTGTTGTAGACATTCTTGTTGTAGACTGTGTTATAGATGTTACTGTTGTAGATATTATTGTTTTAGACTGTGTTATAGATGTTACTGTTGTAGACATTCTTGTTGTAGACTGTGTTATAGATGTTACTGTTGTAGACATTATTGTTGTAGACTGTGTTATAGATGTTACTGTTGTAGACATTATTGTTGTAGACTGTGTTATAGATGTTAGTGTTGTAGGCATTATTGTTATAGACTGTGTTATAGATGTTACTGTTGTAGACATTATTGTTGTAGACTGTGTTATAGATGTTACTGTTGTAGACATTATTGTTGTAGACTGTGTTATAGATGTTAGTGTTGTAGACATTGTTGTTGTAGACTGTGTTATAGATGTTAGTGTTGTAGGCATTCTTGTTGTAGACTGTGTTATAGATGTTAGTGTTGTAGACTGTGTTATAGATGTTTGTGAAGTAGACTGTGTTACATACATTGCTGTCGGATATCTGCTATGTGGTGATGTTACATTTACAAGTTAAATCGACTAAAATTGCGCAGTGTAACATTTCTATTATTTTTTCTTCCAGGAGTATTGGTGTCATCGTACATGTCATGTAAGTTTGCTTTGTTTCATTGATATCGTCTTCACGATCATTTGCTCATTGAACCCAATGATCTAACACTAAACCATTTGCGCAAAAATTCATCGTTAAATCGTTGCTTAAACAAAGATTGTATTATTTTCATCTAGGCTAACAGGCGTTTCCCCTTTCTACGACGAACATGTTCAAACCATGTGTGATAACATCTGTAAGGTCCGTTTTAATCTCGATGCTGATTACATGGTAGACATTTCCACGGAGGCAAAAGCTTTCATTAAAAGATTGCTTATCCGTGAACAATGGTATGTGTTACCATTATATTTTTTGTTCGTTGCGATGAACCTTATGTAAAATCCACTTCTATTTGATGACAACTTATTTGTCAGTATAAGTATTTCCAACATAACGTTTTTGAATTATATATTACTGTTTCCTCAAGACCTCTTTCTTGGTTGGAAATTGTTGTTTCATTTTGAGAGTCGTTTGCGTGTGCGTGGTTTTGGATAAATAGTTATGATTTTGGTCTTTTTGATTGCAGGCGACGACCAGAATGCAGTGATTGTTTAGACATGAAATGGATGAAGGTATTTATGAATAATTTGTTGTGAAGATGCTTCAATATATTAATGAACGTTTTAAAACCGAACAACGATACACAATTATCCATGTATTACACAAACAATTTTTCCTGTTTATTTTAGATGATTTCTCCTCGTTCACCACTCTCAGTTCCTGTCACACAGCTAAATACATCACGGCTCGCTACGTTCAACGCCAGACGAAGGAAAAATCAAGTACGGTTTGAAAATATTTATGAGAGTTTGTTTGAAGTTCCATCGTCGTGTTGACGATTTGTTTTATGTATTTTATTTGTACAATGCAATTGTAGATTCTTCTTTTTGTGTGAGTGTTAAAGCATTTTTCATCATTTGTCGTATTTTCCTAAAGCAGTTAATAAAATATTATCAGCTAAACGTGTTTCATCTTTTTTTCCTTCTTCAACTGTTTCAAACTACATTGTAAATGTTTTTAGCTTGAAATCACCAACATTAGACCAATACTTCAAGCAGAAAAGGGAGAATCTAATGTTTGATCGGTAAAAATGGTAAGCACTAACATATTATTTCTTAGAACTGGTGTAGATACCAAGGACTGTTGCACGAAAACTTGAATTGTGACGTATTAAAAAGGTTTATGTATTTTTTAACGTAAATGAGACTTTATTGATTTTCTACTTGATTTACTATACTGATTGTTGAAAGCATCATGAAAATACCATCCAACGGAATATTTGATGATGAATGATAACAGAGACATTGCTTTGCCCTTGATGAAACCGTGAATTTTACTTTGGTTGATAATTGATCTTTCTTTTTCTTTAGTACCACCTGAACGCTACCATGGTCGATTGTGATTTTAGATAAACTACTTTAAGATCCTTTCGTTATTTAATAAACACAAGGCAATAGAAATTTGTGTTTAAAAAATATTATTTATTGACACGAAGATTTTATATTACTGTTCTCGTTAATTTTAATATCAATCATGTTACAAACTTGGGAAGAGAATCTTCCATTTCATGACATAAATAATTTTTCAAAGTATTGTAACTGTACATAACGTTATAGAAGATATTATTTTTCTATTATAAATAGGGATGAACTCTTTTCTTTTTTTGATGTGCGTTTACATGAGATGTCTCAGGAAATGTGGAATATTTGATGTTAAAATAATTTATTATATGGCCATAAATTCAAACCAACTACTTTGCCATTAACTTCGCTAGCTGTCATGATGCCATCACGTTGTTCATGGTAAAAAAATGAAAATACGGTTAAGGTAGACATAAATATAGACATAAAGGTAGATATAAATGTAGACATAAAGGTAGATATAAAGATAGACATAAAGGTAGATATAAATGTAGACATAAAGGTAGACATAAAGGTAGACATAAAGGTAGACATAAAAGTAGACATAAAGGAAGACATAAAGTAGACATAAAGGTAGACATAAAGGTAGACATAAACGTAGACATAAAGGTAGACATAAAGGTAAACATAAAGGTAGACATAAAGGTAGACATAAAGGACATAAACGTAGACATAAAGGTAGACATAAAGGTAGACATAAAGGTAGACATAAAGGTACACATAAAGGTAGACATAAAGGTAGACATAAAGGTAGACATAAAGGTAGACATAAAGGTAGACATAAAGGTAGACATAAAGGTAGACATAAAGGTAGACATAAAGGTAGACATAAAGGTAGACATAAAGGTAGACATAAAGGTACACATAAACGTAGACATAAAGATAGACATAAACGTAGACATAAAGGAAGACATAAAGTAGACATAAAGGTAAACATAAGGGTAGACACAAAGGTAAACATAAAATAGTCCGTGCAGCTTATGCTGTTTTCAAGCTACGAAATTTGGCATCCTGATTAAGATGTTTCAGTGAACAATGTAAAAACCAAGGGACAATGGGAGGTTAAATTAATGAAAGGATTGAGGATTATTTTTGTGTTTTAATCTTGAGTTTTAATTTTTATTCTTTCCTTATTCTTTTGTAATTTTTTAGGTTGACCATCGATAGACAATATTTTTTTAATTACTGAATTAAACTTCGTTTTCCAATGGCCAATGCAAAAGTTGTTAAATTTGATGACAAAACTAAAAGAACACGTGACCGTTTGCTGACATTAGTATGTCTGACACTGCAGGCTCAATCAAGAAGTTTTCAAAACACAAGCAGTGCATGTTTGTGCGAGAAGAAATTTGCTGAAATATCTTAATATATGGATGATGACGGCGACAGAAATGAATATACACTTACCTCTTTTGAACCTCTTTCACCAGAAGATGAGAAATCTGGTTTGCGCAAGTTTTTCGAGGAGATTAAAACGAAAACTTTGCTCACTCTGGGACGTTCGTTCTCACATGACAATGTGAACGTGGATCAAAGGTTGTCTCAAGCTAGCAATAATGGTTTAAGCAATAGAAAGGAGGACACAAATTTCAATAGCAATGAAAGTTTTAAAACCAATGATAACAGTAAAAGGGAATTAAGTAATGAGAGTGTAAATGAAAACGCAAGAACTCCAACTTCCGTTTTAAGACGTCTCACTCACCTTGCTCTGTTGGAAAAGACAGATCAAAAGGTATGTATATAAATTTGTGTGTATTTATTTTTGATGAATGGATTGTGCTTGCATGAAAAAGTTTGTCAAGTCTGTCGAATCCAAAACCAGTGTCTTGGGGTCGTCTGTTGCCAAACTCAAACCTACAATTGGGATTGCCTAGTCTTCTGTGTGGGTGAACCACAATCTTCTTGTGATAAGCATCTGGATTTTTTGTTTCCAAGATTCATATTGTAAAAAATGTTAGTAGCAAGCAGTAAAACCCATCTGTTTTCACTGTAATTGATTTGTACAGTTGCATTTGCAATTATACTATGAATCAATTAAATTTGTGCTGTGATTGGTTGGTATGGCCACGTGATATTTACGTCATACTCTCTCTCTCTTATGTCACCTCCAACTTATGAAAGACAAATGCAGACCCAACTTAAAATGATGAAGAGATGTTCATAAAATAGTTCTTTATGTATTAATGCCAAGTTTGTTTTACAGCATTCTCAAGTCACAAACAGTTTGAGGAAATTCTGGATGCCAGATGAACAATGCAAAGAGTGCTATGAATGTAATCAGAAGTTCAACACGTTTAGAAGACGTCATCATTGCCGTCTTTGTGGTCAAATCTTCTGCAATCGCTGTTGTAATCAAGTGGTATCTGGACAGCAGATTGGATACACAGGTATTTCCATTTATTACTTTTAAAGAAGAAGATAGATGTTGGATTCGAAACATTTTGGTTTATTCGCTATAAGAAAAACAGAGACTGTTTATCTTTATAGTTAGCTTAAATTTTTCACTAGAGACGAAAGCATTTTAATTGTATGTTGGTAAGTTTACTTGAGAAGCAAAGTGCACAAGTATTGATCTGATGTTTCTAGGAGTATTTCGTGTTTGTATTTACTGTAAAAAGATTGTTCTAACCTACACATCTGGCTCAGACATTCAGAAGAATCTTATGCAACTAAAAGAGGATCTTAGTCTTGTTTCACATCCAGAACAAGGGCATTCAGCTTTAAATCAACAAGGTTGGAAGACATACTTTCCTGATCCTGAACTTAAAATATCATTTGATGTTTTTGGTGTGAGTGCAGAGGAGGCAAACCTGGTGAAACAGGTACAAACCAGTATTTTCATGTAATTTGAGGTAGAGGCAAACCTGGTGAAACAGGTAAAAACCAGTATTTTCATGTATTTTGAGGTAGAGGCAAACCTGGTGAAACAGGTAAAAACCAGTATTTTCATGAATTATGAGGTTGAGTTAAGATATTATACTGAAAGTTTCCACTTTTTAGCATCAGTTCACTACTGATAAAGACATCAAACTGGACTGTTAGAATTTAGGAAACAAGGTTTTATATCAGATCACTCCCAATGAAGACACTAGACTCGAGTATATACGTAAGAACTGGGATCTTCCCATCATCCAATAAGAACGTACCACGTGATTGTTGACGAACTTTGTTATACACTTCAATTTAGGATTCTTACAAAGAACTATGGCGTCAAATAATATCGCGTGAAACTGGCCTAGAATTTGTCACTCATCGTGTCCGCTTTCGAACATATTCAGCCTGTTTTATTGCACGTGATTTAACAAATTGGTTACTTATCAATAGAAAAGCAGCCAACAGGTAACTGACCATCAAGCCATTGACGTATATGATCACGTGAACGATCATGTGAACATCATTCGGTGTCGTTGTGATTTGCGTCCTTGAAAATGTCCATAGCTCGGAAGTGATGTATGAAAAGAATCAGTAATTGAGATGTCGTGTAAAAGTTTAACATCCCAAGATTGATTTCCTTGATATTTTAGATTTAAAAGGCAAAAGTGCTTCATCTTTCGGTCTGAGTGATGAAAATTAAAATGTTATAAACATGACATAACTATCTCTCTTCAGGTTTCAACCTGTTTTGTTTTTGAACGCATTTTTTTTCACTTAATTATCGCGTTTTTTCTCCACCTTCGTGTACTTAGTATATTTGTGAAATGAGTTCTGCAATGTTACAATATCTTCATTGTATTTATTCTTGTCATGCCTACCTACAAACTGTATGAAATCAACTGGAAAATTCTAAGCTTTTCAATATTTGTATTTTACATTGTACATTGAAGACTGTGAAGCAAGGATGTTAGATAAAATGTTGCAGGTCTTCAGAATATAAATAATTTTAGTAATGAGATTGAAATGTTTAATTTTTTCTCGTTGTGTCAATTCACAAGAGCATCTTCTTGTCACTTTTTGTTGTAGTCGGACGCCATAAACCATGCAGCGATCAAGAAGAGTAAAATTTCTGATTTTTCTTAAGGACTGTTGCACTTCACATATGTCAGGGTCTATATGATCTTGGTTGGATTGAGCCGGTGGGAGAGAAAGAAACGATGTTTAAAGATGATTTTATTCTCTACACTCCTGGACCTGTGAGTGTACTATTGTGTTCTACAGTGTACCTTTCTAAACCATTCTTTCGCATTCAGTAACATGTACCATCATATGCTTACCATTCCATAGCATTCTATACCATTATGTATCATTATGTACGTACCATTCCATAGCATTGTATACAATTATGTATCATTATGCACGTACCATTCTACAGCATTCTATACCATTATGTATCATTATGCACGTACCATGCCATAGCATTGTATACCATTATGTATCATTATGTACGTACCAGTCCATAGCATTGTATACCATTATGTATCATTATGTACGTACCATTCCATAGCATTGTATACCATTATGTATCATTATGTACGTACCAGTCCATAGCATTGTATACCATTATGTATCATTATGTACGTACTATTCCATGGCATTGTATACCATTATGTACCATTATGTACGTACCATTCCATAGCTTTGTATACCATTATGTACCATGCTGCACCATTCAACATCATGTACACATTTATAGCTATAATTGTATAAAATTATGTATCATCTTGTATAACTGCTTCATACTAACCATACAGAGGGCAAATGGAGACATTGTTTATACTGAATCTTTTGCTTCCACATCGTCGATTGAGGCTCGAGACACTACGTCATCATGGCTTTCATCAAGTTTCGACAAGGTACATTGGTTATCTGTACTTTGTTTTTTTCTATGTGAGACACGGGGTCCACATGATGTATTTCTGTATTATTATGTATTATAACATGTTTGTGGATGAAGATCGTCCAGGTTAGTAGAGTCCTGAGAAGGACTGTTGGTATTGATGTAGACTGACGTTTCGACAACCTTAGCGGCAGTCATCTTCAGAGTCAATGTATTATTATGTATTTTTGATGAAAACATTTAAGTTTTATGTATGCTGAGTGAGTAACTCGACCAGCTACGTTTGTGTGTTTTTTTGACAGAGTTGTTATGACCGCAACAGAGAAGGATTTCATAAAAGTTATTCAACATGTGAGTCGTTGTTTGCTTCATTGTTTGATTTTTGTGAGTATATAAAATGTGTTTGGTTCATGTCTGCTGGTTGGAATGCCCAGTTAGTGCTGAATATAGCGAAATCTGTAGAAAACCTGCAAGAATTTATATTTCATAATCGTGCGTGTTTTTCATGGTTTCTTTCAGCGACTATTGTGACTCCTAAAGTGTACTCGCCGCCATTTAATGCCCGATCTTTATCGTACGAAAATGTTCTACCTAAACGACAAGAAAAAGTAAGGAATTTTCATTGTCATTTTGCTTATTTTTAGTTCTTTTAAGTTCAACATGGAAAATAAGGTATAAATGAAAGATGTATGAGTACAATCTAAATGAATTTAGGCTCTTTCAGGGTTTGCTATTTTAAAAATTGAATAAGATTAAATGTGTAATTAAAGACCTCCTGGATCTTTCCCCCAGGGTCTTTCCCCTTGGATCTTTCCCCTGCATCATTACCCAGGGGCCTTTCCCGGTGGGTCTTTTTCTCAGGATCTTTCCCTGCTCGTCTTTCCCGCTGGATCTTGTCCCAAGGGTCTTTCTGCAAGGATTGTTTTTCCGTGATTTTGAAATCCAAGTGTTTTTCCATATAGTACATTCTGTGAACCAAAATTTCTCTTATTTTCATGAAACAAATTTCAACCGTCAGTTTAAATTGAATATTTTTCAGCATGTTGAGCAGCCCAAGATGCCCAAAGAAACTTCAAGATCACAGCAATCATGTATTGACATTTTCGTAAATGTCGATAATGCTTTTCTGCCAAAGACGGTCATGTCCGAAAATGTGGAGGAGGGGGCTGAGACTGAAAATGACGTCATCGGTGACGTAAAACAGGATAATGCAAGGATCACAGTTAAAGATCTAAAGATTTCATCAGCTGAGGAAAGGGAAGAAAAGAATGCTCGGGAAAAGCTAAGGTAATTTGTCAAACAGTGGTGAGAATTTTTTCTCCTTTATGATTACAGAATTTAAAACAATGCTATAGGACTTTGTTCTTCGGCCATTTTTTCTTTTGTACTAAGTTTGAAATTCGTAAAATCCATTTAGTGTTTAGCAATCCTTTATCGAAGGTCAAAGATCACTATAGTGTGTTGTCTTTAGTGTTATCCATAAGAAACATATTTCCGCGTTTCTTGTTCAATTGTTGGACCGCGTTGGTCTGCACGAGTCTTGGAAAGATGTCATTGAAAATATCGCAATAAAAGTTTGTAACATGGTGAGTTTGAGTGTTAACCTTCGTGCAATAGCATAAAGTATTGTGAAATCCATACGTTATTCGCTCTTGAAGCTCTCGGATACGATATTTGCCGGTCATTGTCAGAAACGTTCATTTCTGCATTTTGTAAATTTTATACTTTGTTCTTATTCTTGTTAAAAGTCTGGACTGGTAAAATTGTTTTGTGAAGTCGCTTGCTTTATGTTTGTTCAGTTTGTACAGTTCAACTTAAAAACCATTCTCAGGTTTCTCCAGACATTAAGAATAATGACGACATGGACATTCGGGAGTATGTGAAGATAAAGAAGATCCCAGAAGGATCTAGAAGCGAATGTCGTATAGTCAGCGGTGTTGTGTGCACGAAAAACGTTGTCCATAAAAAAATGGCGCCCGCTATTACACAACCTCTCGTGTTAATGTTAGCTTGCCCAGTTGATTACCAGGTAAGTATTTCATCTGCTGTTGCATGTACGCATTATGGGCTTTTGTATTGAACTCAATGTCAGGGATAGCGAATCACTATTGAATTTAACATGTTTATAAAAAATGATTTCAGTGTCCACTTTCATCCTTGTAGCAATGTTTGTGGTGATTGGACTTTAAAATTAATATGCTTTTATATGTTTAGCGTGTAGAGAATAAAATGGCGTCTCTGGACTCCTTAGTCTTGCAAGAACACGAATTTATCAAGAATTTAGTCGGTCGTATTGCCGCGTTGAAACCGACCCTTTTATTGGTAGAAAAAAGCGTATCACGTTTGGCACAAGACATGCTATTGGCTAAAGGAATCTCTGTCATCATAAACATTAAACATGTAAGCTTTCATCATAATTTTTATGTTTTAAAGAATCAGCGATCTTGCTTTTCATCTTGTTGTTTTGTTGTTAAATGGAGCACACGACATCTTCGTACATGTAAAAATGAAATCCTGTTGACACAAAGCCATTAAGAAATAAAAGATGTTTACTGTATTTGCACAGGCTTATGCAAACCGAGGAGACCTTTGGGAGAACTCGAGAGCAAATCAGTGCAAGCCCGAGACCGATAGTCGAGGTTTGCACATCCTCGAGAGTTCTCACAAACGTCTCCGAGGTTTGCATAACTCAGTGCAAACACGAAAAACATCTTTTATTTCTTTTATAAGATAACCATAATTCAAAAAAGACATACATTTTAATTTTTCCTCTAAAATGTATTCATGATCGATTTGCGAATTCTCAATTCTACTGATTGATTGTTTGGATTGATTTGATTGGTTAAGCTCAGATGTATTTTGCACAGCCTAATGCAAACACAGTTCTAGACCAATCAGCGCACGCGTTTCATTGTGTTTATTTTATAAATGTCAATGAAACATGTGCGTCAATATGTTTCTTTGGTGTTTGCAGAAACTAATGGCTCGTATATCACGATGTGTTGAAGGCGATGTATTGCCATCTCTGGACCAAGGCAGCAGGCCTAGGTTGGGAAGCTGTCAGAAATTCAAAATCCAAAAATATACTTTTCAGGTACTGGATTGTGTAAAGGATATCTTCTTTCATCTGTACGAATAACATTTCAATATATTTTGGCAATTTTATTTTATGTTCCACCTCTTGAATGTCAGTTAGTGAGTTAAACAATCATAGGTTTTATTATTTTTATTTTTTTTTCCACAAAAGAATGCTTTCTTTAAAACGCTGGCGTTTTTCGAAGGCTGTACTCCAAAACTGGGAGCAACGGTCATTCTTCGTGGAGGAAGCCATCTTGAATTGAAGAAGGTTCAAAACATTTTAAGGTTTATGATTTTTATTGTTTATAACTCAAAACTGGAGCAAGCGTTTATTATTGATGAGTTTGGTATGCCTTTTGTGGGAGACGAGCAAGAAAAGGAGAGTGAAAATGGAAAGGATTCTTCGTTAAAAAGAAGCGAAGTATTGTTCACCATTGAAGGTGAATCGACTGTTAAGGAAGAAGATTACGAAAATGAGGAAACAAACGAAGGAGAGATTATGAAATATGAGAGTGATGAACAACTTTGTGAAAGCGATGTCGACTTGAAACATGATGAACATGCATCTACGACAGTAAACTCTGAATTGTTATTGAATCATTTCGTCGACGACAAAAATGTTGATCGTGATGATGCTTCTATGGAAGAAATGGGCATAAATGGCGAGACGTTCATAAAGTTTCTTCATAACAATATTTTATCATCGTCACCTTTGATTCAATACCCATTGCCTTTCTTTTTAACTGCCGAGGGTAAAAATTGTGAACTACGAGAATTTATCTCTGATGATATGTACTGGACCTCGACGTTGCTCGGTAAAACCTCGTTGGCCCGTCGTAATTCTCCGGAAGAGCTCGAACATACACCGAGCGGACAATTTGAGGATGTTGTTCTGATTGATAGTCATCCATTTGTGTTTGCTAACACGCTATTGGATGGAGGAAATTCGAATGTCCTTGATCTTCTTGCTAGTTTTAGAGCACAAGGAGGCAGGATACAGTTGATGGAAAATGTTTGTGTGAAAGATGTCTTAGATGAAGAGAAATGTGAAGGTTCTTGCAAACAAGAAAATGATTTACTGAAACAATACACTTTGGTAAGACTACCTAAATCAGTTTTGTTAATGTTGGACGATACTGTTCGTCAATATTAGTATTATACTTCTTTGTAGAGAAATTTTGTGCTTACAACAGTGTTTTTGTTATTGAGTATTTTACTATGTGATGAAAAGCTTTATTCTTAACACTATTGTTATCTTTGCCTGAAAGAAACAATTCTTTTAATGTTAAATAACAACTTGTCCAAGTAGAACACTTTTTTATAGCAATATGCTTTTACCAAAGATTCTTATTTGTTTTTTTAGCGGGATTGTTTTGACCCGTTTCAACAACAAATGATTGCAGTTGTGTTTAGCAGTTATTCAAGAGAATCTGCGAACTTTCCACGACCTTGTATAGCACCGTGGTTAGTATGCAAATTTCTTTGACTTTCTTCCCCATGAACATATGAATCATGCCCAAAATTCACAGCCTCCATTTAAATTCTGTGTTTATTCGTGTAAGTATGCAAAAAAGATTATGTCATGTGATTTTTGTGTCGATGTTGGTACACAATTGATTTGTCACTCAGGAAGTAAAGGCAATTTATCATTGGATACATTCAAGTGGATGACAACGAAGATCTATATAGGAGGGGAGGCCCTGTTCTGGCTGAGTGACAAATCAATTATTAACTCTAAAACAAAAATTACTGCAGATGATATTCCGTGGTAATACGCTCTCAAATTGAACACATTCCTTTTTTTAATCTGCCGAATGTAATGTCGTTTTTACTTCTTCATCAAAACGTATAAAAATACCTCTCATTATTTATAAACATATATTTGTTTTGTTATAGCACCGTGTTTATGGAGTTTTACGGAAAGAATGACGTCACTCTTGGATATTTTCTTGAACGTTACTGTTTCAGGTTAGCCATGTCAGGGAATCCTGCGAAAGCTTGTTTTGTAAACGATGTGTGCTCATGTTACAATTAAACACAGTAAGATGTATTATAAACTGCAGCGGTATCCCTGCCGCCATATTTGAAGCCGTGAATGACGATAGTTTTTGGAAGTTTTAGAAGTTCCATTGTTTTCTTTTAATACACCTTAAATGTAGTATCACAAATTTTACCACATGAGCTATGATAATTAACAAAAAAAAATTGGAGTCAGCGTTCCTTTGGAGTTACAGTTCACTGTTATGTTGTTCGTTCCCAGGCCATCCTACGTGTGTCCCAATCCAAACTGTGACGTACCTATGGTAAAACACGTGAGATATTTTGCACACGGTGATGGCGCTGTTTACGTCAATATGAAGAATCTTGAGTCGCCTATTCCGGGTTTTTCGACAACGTTACTAACTTGGAGTTGGTGCAAAGAATGTAAACAGGTTATGTTTGTTCGTTGATGATTTTATAGCCATCGAACTCTGTATATAAACATACAATTTAGTGTCTTCATCAGAAGTGACCTGATGTTGAAACTTTAGTTCTTATTTACTCCAGTCCAGTGTCTTCATCAGGAGTTAGGTGATGTTGAAACTTGAGTTCTTATATACTCCAGTTTAGTATCTTCATCAGGAGTGATCTGATGTTGAAACTTGAGTTCTTATATTCTCCAGTCTAGTGTGTTCATCAGAAGTGACCTGATGTTTAAACTTAAGTCTTTGTTTACTCCAGTGTGTAGTGTCTTCATCAGGAATTGATCTGGTGTCAAAACTGAAGTCTTTTTCTACCTCAATCTATTGTCTTTCAGGTAACTCCTGTCGTCAAAGTTTCTCCAGAAGCGTGGAATTTATCTTTTGCTAAATATCTCGAGTTAAGAATTTATGCGACCCAATATGGACGGCGAGCGACCATGGAACCTTGCAAACACTCATTACATCAAGATCATTATCAATATTTTGCTTTAAATAATATCGTCGCTTCGCTAAAGTGAGTCGTCGTTTTTTAATATATACATATAATAAAGTATAACTTAGTTCACTTAAGCAAGCACGATGGACTCGGTTAAAATTACAAAATTTTGTTTCGAAAAGAATGAAGATTAACACGAAAAAATACCATCCTCTCTATCTCAGCATGACGATTATCTCACGCTAATTTTTTGTTGCATTCATCTCATTCGCTGTAATTTTTTGTCCGTTTTGGCATAATGCATGTTTTGTTCATTTATACCAACTTTGATTATCATTATTTCAGATATGTGTCTTTAAACATTTATAAAGTTAAACTCCCGCCGACGGTGATAAGAATCATCGAAGAAGAACGGCAGCCTTCGTTTTGGGTGAAACTTATTCAAACTATCAGTAAAAAGTAAGCGAAAAGTTTGCATGCAAATGTTTGCATACCGTTCTTTTTTGAAATATTACTATTGCCTGCTTTTTATATTATGTGTTTGTTTAAAGGATTGACCAGCTCATAAAATCCATCAATGAACGCATTGCCATGTTAAAGGTTGAAAGTCACAACTCGAAATGTTTCTCAGATATAGAAGTAAGGTGTATGTTTTATTTAACTTTCTCCTAAGTATATTGATTTGTTTATCGTCTTCTAACACCGACTTGAAAGCAGGCTCAATAATTTAGAATCGCTTATTTTTCTAAAATCAGTACGATAAGGCTCCACTCGAAGAAAAGGTCAAAGTTCTAGAAAGCAAGGCAAAGCTCTTGTCCAGTCCTCTCTCCTTTCAATCAGGTAGCGCAGACGATGAAAGCTTATTAGAGGCTCACGAAGTGTCAGCGGTCGAATACGAAATTTCTGATGGTATAATTGTTCTAAAGAGAATGATTTGTGAATGCTGGGAGACTTGGAACTCAAAGTGAGTTATTCAAAGGAGGCGTTATCTTTCTTTTGAAACTTTGCACTATCCTTGAACCCGTTACTTCTTTTTATTATACCTATATAGCTGGAATTTTCTCGTCTATATGATTTGAACTTCGCCACAGTTATAAAATCTTCATTTTTAATATGAACTTGCTTCCGATCGATGTTCATCAGTGATGAGCAAAACCGTCAAATTCATTTTGCATTCTCGTCTCTAACGGTTTTTTTGCATTTATAGATTGATGGAGTTGATTCAATTTGACAACGAAAAAAAGAAAAACAAATCCATTGAAAGGCAATTGGGAAATTCTTTACCAAATCAGGTAGGTTTACTCTTAAGAATGTATTTTTATGAAAATAGTTACTCTATACGTAAAGAAAGGGAGGTTTTGTGTATTTGAAGTTGAAAAACTTTCACTTCATCAAATCATCCATGTGTTAAATCACTAACATTAAATTACTTACATAAATTATCATTGACATTAAATTACTTACATAAATTATCATTGACATTAAATTACTTACATAAATTATCATTGACATTAAATTACTTACATAAATTATCATTAACATTAAATTACTTACATAAATTATCACTAACATTAAATTACTTACATAAATTATCATTAACGTTAAATTACTTAAATAAATTATCATTAACATTAAATTACTTACATAAATTATCATTAACATTAAATTAATTACATAAATTATCATTAACATTAAATTAATTACATAAAGTATCACTAACATTAAATTACTTACATAAATTATCTTTAAAATTAAATTACTTACATAAATTATCACTAAAATTAAATTACTTACATAATTACACGAAAGTGTTGTACGAAACAAAATACTGAAAAAGAAAACATTTTAAATTTCCAATTTGAGAAGAGTACGTAAGTCAACCAAAATTACACTTTCACACACGTTTATGTGAGATGAATTTAATCATTAGCAATGTTGTTATTTACTTTAGAATCCAGCGGAAAATTGTCACATGAATGTGTTTACCAACAACGTCGCCATACAACAAAAAAACCATAATCCTAATTTGACCTCCCGAATCAATTCATTTTCTGTGGATGATACTTTGTCTTTGGCAGAAATTAACTCATTCAATTCTGCAGATGGGAAATTTGGACAAGATTTGCGTAATCCCGACGTGTTACCGAACCTTACTGAAAGTTTAAACACATTAGACTTTGATCGATCATCGACCGAAGACGAACCGAAACCAGAAGGTCAGTTTGTTCAATTTTATGACGAAGCCTTTACTCTTTGTTCATACATTTCATACTTTACTGATATACGGAAACATTTCAATGTAGAATGTTGTCAAAGACAGTTGTAACACCTGACTCTCTAGAAAAAATGTTTTTATGCTATTGAATTGTTGGAATGTTTTCCCAGTGATAGAGAAGATGCCCTTTTTTGCTGTCTTTAGAATTCATTTACTACATAAGCGTACTGTTGAAATTAATTGTGAGATTCTAACGAATTATGTTTGATTTTTTTGTTTATAGACGGTCGTGGTCCAAAAATCAAACGAATTTTTTCTCAGTTTCTTCCTGGTTTGTCGTCTCGTTCAATTCCATGTCCATTGTGAGTTAGACTTTTCTTTTTACTATCAGTGTAAATGATTTTACCTTATTTAAACTTTTTCTCGTCCCAGTCCTCTCAACGAACATCATATGTTACCGTTGAGTGACGTCATTCCAATTGTGGTGAATGAAAAAGAGCCAACGTCGATAATTGCGTACACTTTGAGGTAATACCATCCTCTCTCACGCGCTTTTTTTTCTCATCTTTTATGATTCATCAAAGTGTCTTGGTTGTGGTAGTCCTTTCTTAGAGTTTGTTGTGTAAAAATACCCTCTTTCCCTCTTAGTTTTTTTCCACTTATAACTTGTAAAATACTGTCGAAAAAGAACTTTATGTAATGTTGTGTTTTACAATTACAAGAGTTTATAAAACATCCTTTCTATTTAATTTACGAGAACAGCAGCTCAGACTACCGTGAACACCTGCAGATAATTCAAGCATCTATTGATGAGTATTCAGAATCTTTTACTTGTATCGATGGAGACGAAACCTTAAAAAGGTTTGGAAATCACATTAATGTCAAATTTTACCGCCACGATTTGTTGAAGACACTAGATGACATTTTCTTTATATTATAAGATTTTTGCAAAAAACTTCAGAAGCGAATATATGCCTGGAGACTGAGAACGATTTCTTTCGAGAGTCTCGTAATGATCAGTCTAGATATATAAGCGTTTTTATGGTAATACGACAGACTATTTTGTTGACAATAGTTTGAATTTTTACACATCATACTACGTGGCACAGTTTTTCATTGGATTGTGATAAATGTTGCGCCAGTATTGTGAATTACTTGTCGATTATGCTGTCACTTAGAGTTAAACAGATATATATTTAAAATACCTTAGTAGTGAGAAATCAAGATCAAGGGCAAGATCAGAAACTTTAAGTAACACAAGTCTCATGTCGAACATTGAAGGTAAAGTTCACTTTGTCAGATCAAATATTTTACCAGGGAGGGCGGTCAATATTTATACATACACGTTCGTCTTTTGTAGTTTCTACTGAAATCAATTGTGATTAGGGATTATAACATATGAGTGTATGATTATAAGCCTCCCCCCCCAATTATCCATTTTCCTGCGTCCCTGTATTTTACACTTACAGTATTTTTGTTGATATCAATTACAGCCTAGGTGAATGTTTATGATGGAATTTATACATTGCATACCTTAATTTTTAGATGATTTAGTGGAAAATTACTTTCAATGGAATGAATCTGAAGATGATACGGTGTTGGTGGTAGATTTTGTACAAAAATCCAGCTCATCAACTACGAACAACTCAACTAATGATGAAGAAAATGGAAAAGAAAAAGGAAAAATCGTAAAATATACATCAAAATCAACCGTTAATCCTGCTAAGGTTGGGTTGCATTCGAGGAATCGGGCAAATGAAGCAACTAAAGAGAGAGAAATTAATGAAAGTGAAGAATCAATTGCTGACGGTAAAGATTTCACTCCAAGTTCAAGTTCAACTCAAGATGATACAAAATATCACATAAGACATTGTAAGCGTCAATCTTCGATATACTTTGTCATATTTCCAAGAACTTGTTTCTATGGAAATCTGCGTGAAACGTTGAATGAAATTATAGCTACTTTCGATCGTTTTGATGTTATCATCGTCAAAACGTGAAACGTTGTCCTAAATCTTCAATTTTTTTTACGTAGCTTTTTTAGACTCCTCAGCAAAGTTCTTTTGCATCGTGTACTTTGCCGAACAGTTTCGAAAAATCCGTAAAGCATTATTTCCAGACGGAGAAGAAAGGTTAGCAGCATGGGTAGAGTTAAAATAGATTTTTTCGGGCATTTGTACTAAGTACGTTCTCTAAATCACTACTTAATTCTGCCTTAAAATATTGAATCGATTTAATTTTAACCCTTCAAAGTTGTCAGCCAAATTAGAACATTGACTTCTCCGAAATCTTTAGTTTAAACAAAAATTCTGTACCCTATTCGACATTTTTCACTTGGCCATTATGAAACTAGAATTTGCTGTTCGGAGGACTGTCAAACGAATATTTTTTGACACATTTTGCGATGAAAATTTTGTTTGAACATATACAACTATCGATATAGCATTGTTTTACTTTTTGTTTTCTTCACAGATACATCCGCTCGTTGCAACATTGTATGAAGTGGCAAGCCACAGGTGGAAAGTCGGGCTCATCATTTTGCAAGACTACAGGTATAAAAAATATGTTTGATATCTAACTCCAACTGCTGTACTTTAACCATACCTTTGATGAACTGCGATAAGTCAGAGTTTTACCAAAGGTCTTCTGGAAGGTTAGTTAGTCTAAATTTCACATGTTTTTTTTGTAGATGATCGGTTTGTGATAAAAGAAATGTCTCGTCCTGAAGCTCAATCTTTTCTAAATATCGCGCCCTATTACTTCCAGTACATTGAGAAAGCAATTTTAGAGAAGGTTTGTAATATTTATGCGACGTTTTAAGAACATTCAAAACATCGTATCTTCATCTATGTTTGAAGTTTTGGGAGCTTCCCCACTCGTTAACAGCTTTGTCATTGAAAAACAATAAAAAAGACAATGAATTAATTTTATTTTAAATTACATCTCTTACAAAAACGAGGACTTAGACATTCCTTTGTCTTTCGTTAACTAATTCTTCTCTTTTTCTCCTTATTCTAGAAACCAACCTTACTTGCTAAAATTCTTGGTGTCTACAGGATCGGTTTCAACAGTAAACAGACAAATGTGCCTGTTCGAAAAGATCTTTTAATTATGGACAACATCCTGTACAACTGTAAGGTTGACCAGGTATGCACGTAGGTGTATATGTAAGGACATATAAGGATACGTTAGGACCGAGTAAGTCAGCTTATTCTTAAAAATTCGTGTGACTTTTTGTAAACTGTGTTCTTTGTCAGCCTAAATAAAGCAAATAGATGTTGGAATGAGAGCGCACTTCAGAAAAGGTGAAACCGCCATAATTGAATGTGTGTCTTTATTCTTTTGGATTTCTGACTTATCTCTTGGGATACCACTCTGTGGATTCCTCTTAGGATTTTTGACTGTTGGATTTTAAATTTTTCTCTATAATTCCTGATCATGTTTGTTCGTTCCAAAATCATTTCCTCGAGTCAAATCGTTTTGATAATTAGTTGCCATAATGCAAACCTTTGCTTTTCGACGCCCAAACTTTTTTAAACTCCTCTAAATACTCATGAATGTTGGTCTGTCTCAATGTTTTAGTTCTTTAGTGAAAAATTGCTTTGTCGAAGCAATACAAGACATTTTCAAAGGTAACTTACAATTTTTTCGCAGGTTTATGACTTGAAAGGCTCCATACGCAGTCGATATGTAAATCATTCATCTGATAAAGAGAATAATGTCTTATTAGACGAAAATCTTTTGGAAAGTAAGTGTCTTTTGAGAATGGGCTGAAGTTCCTTGTCTTTCTTAGCAATATTATGAATTTGATAATTAGCTTCTTCTTGGCCGCGTGACCACATTAATTTTACTGATGTTTGTATTTTTAGTGATTACAGAATGTCCGCTCTTCATTCGTCCACATTCAAAAGCGGTTTTATCGCGAGCTATCAACAATGACACGGAATTTCTCGTCAAACATATGGTTATGGATTATTCTCTGCTGTTAGGGATTGAGCGAAGTACATCCACATGTGTTGTCGGAATTATAGGTCAGTGACTTAGCGTTAAGATTCTCACACTGAGTCCGGGTGGAATCGCTTTCGAAAGGATTCCCAAATTTTACAACCCCAAAACTTGTCATTTAAACACACAGAAGTATTCAACATGTCACTTATCGTAAATGCTTTCAACACGGGAGTATCGTTACATGTTTGTATATGTAGATCGTCCAGGTTGGTATAGTCCTGAGAAGGACTGTTTTTGTTGTTGTTGACTGTTTTTGTTGTAGCCAACGATAACAAAAACAGTCCTTCTCAGGACTATACCAACCTGGACGATCTACATCTACAAACATATCACTTATCATTTGTTATTGGGACTCTTGGCATGGTGGTTTATATAGAATGTTTTTGTTGTTAGATATAATGTGTTAATGGCCTTTCTCCATTTATTAATGTTGACTAAATGTTGATAAGGAACAGTATTTCAACTTCAGTGAAGAAAAACTGTCACTCCTTAATTGTAATCAATTTGTAGACTTCATACGAACTTTTACATGGGATAAAAAATTAGAAATGTACGTCAAATCAACTGGTATTCTTGGTGGACAAGGCAAAATGCCGACTGTTGTCTCACCTGAACTCTACAGAGAACGTTTCTGCTCGGCCATGCAACGATATTTTCTTATGACACCAAATAAATGGCTTGGCCTTGGAAATGAAGTTAAATAACTCTTAGAAGTTTAAATTATTATATGAATGGGATAGGGGGTAAATAGGAGTACTGTGGGATAAGACAACGGTGGCATATTTTTTGGTCTTTCAAAGCGAATTCAAACACGATTTCAGAAAATTAATAAAAGTAATTATTGTTAGTACTATTTGTAACATATAGGTTTATTCATTAACGTTTTCGTAGCAAATGTTAATTTGCTCTTTAATTATGTTTTGTTAGAAATAATTTCTATTTGTGAAGTTAAACCAAATTACAATTTAATTGGTTTTATTCACCATTATAGCAAATTATTGTCGAGTGCTTTTCGGCTATAATTCATTAAAAAAAAACAATGTGAAAACTACATAAAATAATATTTAGAAAACCTGTCAGCATTGTCTGAGTGACAATAAATTTTTTTTTCCTTTCTCCGACTCATATGAAATGTCGACTATTTTTCAAAATGTTCCCCCTAAATGTTCCCGAATGCTAAATTAATTCTTGTTTCTTACCCAGTTATGCATGCATACACGTCATTTCATACATTTCTTTTTAATTACATGAAGTACATGTCGTTCATGTGTGTTAAACTCATAATCACCATAAGCATCTCAGTACAATACAAAGAAATTTCTTAAAAATCATGTGGGAAGAAGTACAAACAGCAAGTCAAGAAAAGAGATATGAATTGGTTTTACATGGACGCGAAATATCGGAGCGTATCGCGGAAAATGGGTTAGATCTTGCTATATTTACTTTGATAAATTTGAACTTTTTACAAATTTCTCAAACGGGACTTATTGAACTTCCCGCTGAAATTGGATCGCTTGTGAATCTTCGAACTCTCGATTTGCACCAGAACCAACTGTCTGTATTACCGTCAACTGTTGGGAAACTGAATGATCTTAAATTTCTTGATTTGTCTCATAATAACCTTGTGGAGTTGCCTTTAGAGTTAACTGATCTCACGAACTTGCATACGCTGAATGTAAGTTGTAATCAAATAGTTTCGTTGCCATCTTTCATCAAACTGCAGAATTTATGCAAGTTTGATTGCTCACACAACAAGCTGGAGGATTTGCCCTATGGAATTCATCAGTTACAGGCTCTGTACGAGCTGAGAGCCAAAGGCAACATAATATGTATCTTGTCAGGGGAGATATCTTCCAATATCTCCCTTAAAATACTGGATCTCTCAGAAAATCAGTTAAAAACCGTGCCACAAGAACTGGGACAATGTCAAAAGCTGAAAGAACTGTTGCTGTTGAACAATCCAATAACTGAAAATCGTTTGAAGAAACTTATCGCTCAATGCTCAACAAAGGCTGTTCTTGACTATGTTAGGAATGCAGGTGGAAAAACAAAGTCAAAAGGGAAAAAAGGAAAGAAACACATTTCTCAAAATGATGAGGAAGAGAATGTAAATGACAAGTTTGTTATTTCAGTTGAAAGAAGTGAGGATTTTAAGATTATAGTGAAAGAAAATGTTGCAGACGTACGACCCTTCATTGTCTGTGTGATAGCAAAGCAGATTGATCTGGGAGAACCTGAAATGTTCAAAAATTTTATTAGTTTACAGGTATGTTATTTATGTCTGTGTGCAAGTCATAAATAATGTTGATTACAATTGTTTAATCAGAGCATTCAATCTCAATTTTTGGAATTTTTGCGAAGAAAATACCTGTGTCAGATGTTAAAAGGAAATTAAGATCCTTTTATTGAAATTGTTGTGAAAAGGAATTAGGAAGTAGAGCTATGGTAAAGACAACAACTTTCTTAATGTTTTATAGCTATGTATGTATTAAACCATTGCTAGGGTATAAATGTTCTAAACCATTTTTTAGACAAAACTTCATGAGACAGTTTGTGAAAATCGTGCTGTTGGAACCATAGCAACACATAACTTCACAGGGATTTCCTTCCCATTAACGTATGAAGCTCTACCGTTGGATGAAATATCTTTGGTTCCTTTGGGCAAGGAAAAAATATTCACAGCAAATGAATTGATCAGACAATTGAAAGAAGATGCTATGAAAGAGAAACAAAGGACTAAACGCCAAGCAAAATCTGGTTTGCTGAAGTAAGATCAACAATTTTGCTGTGTACTATATACCTTGTCAAGTTATTGAATAAAGTTTTAGCTACGTTGATATCAATTAAGCATATCTTACTATAAATATTTGTGTGATAGCTACATCAATATTGAACTGATTTCCTTAATGTACTGTATTGCATCTAACATTTTCTAACATGTATCTAACAATGCCTTATTTTAGCTACACTTTCTTGGCTTTCAACCCCAAAATTTAGCATGTGCATGCACTTCCTATTGAAATCTATGACTTTTTAGCCACTTGCGAATTAGTTTTTTAAAAAATCTATTTGTTTTTGTTGTCCTTTAGGTATTTGTCATTGATTGAGAATGCGGAAATTCTTGCATGCTTGAAATCAAGTGATGGTACAGTGATCTCTTTGCCACCAATAACAAACAGCAACGAGAGCAAGGTAAATGTGAAATACAACATTTTTCTTAATTTCTTGACGGGAATACCACACATTCATAAGTGTACTTGATTATTCCATCATGTTGGGAACTTATTAATGCATGTTGATCAAGAACATTTATTGGAATCTAAATGGTTGGTTACTTTAGCGACATAAATGTTTTCTTTAACTTGGTAACTTTTTAACATACTTGGTTGAAGGTCAAAATTTTTAACAACTTTTTTGTTATGAAGGATTTATATGACTGCAATACTTATGCTATTCACATTATTTTGTGTTTGTTTATGATGATTAAAGAAATGTTGTTTGTATGTTGATTTGCGTACAACCATGTTTGGTGTAATTAATACCTCTTAAATCTGATTGCATCCATTTAACATCTATCGTTACCATGTGTACCACATAGATGATTGGTTGCAAGCATGAACCACAGTAGCTTTAGTTTTGGATTTATGTATAAATTTCTCCTCACAATCAATCACTTATAAATCCTTATATCCCTCTGTCCCGAGCTGCAGCTGCTTCCTCTGATATTAACCTTGGTTGCTATATAACCTCATTTGCAGTAACTGGGGGGGGAGGGAGGAGATAATTCTTTCAAAATAATTAGTTTAGAGACTTTTCAGAAACTTTTCTTTCAGATTTCTCAAACTTGTTTGGACATTGTATTTGAAGTTACATCAGATCAGGACTTAAATGTTTGTAAAAGAATCATGGATGAACTTATAGAAAAAATTATTGAGTCTGGACTGTATTCGTCCATTAACAAAACAGGTGAGATTTATTACAATATTTTGTGTGTATAGTAATATAAGATAGTGAATTGTGATTGGCCAAGATGCTAAATTATGATTGGTCAAGACGGTAAATTATGATTGGCCAAGATGGTAAATTATGACTGGCCAAGCGTTTACCACTTGCACAAAGTCTGAATAGCGTTATCCAATGGATAGCAAATTTTTTTAAATAGTCAAAAAACTTCTTAAAAAGCAAATATATTAGGTGTGAACTGAGCAATCACTGAAATAAAATATTGCTTCTAAGATTACAAAATTTTTTTATCGCGACGAAAATATAAACACCTTTTTTACATGTTTGAAAATTTTACTATCCAATGGATAACGCTATCCAAGTTTCGTGCAACCAGCGCCAGATGAATTGTGATTGGCCAAGGCACAAATTCAGTTCAATTACTACACAGCTATATATTAAGATATAAAGACTAGTTAGTGTTCAGCAAATTTCCCCCCACACACCGTGATTGCATGATATGATATTTTGAAGTTAACTTTCGTATAAACTAATAAACTTTAATTTTTTAAGATAAGAAAGAGTTGCGACTAGTGCAAGTCCGAATTTCTGATGAACGAGGAACTTTGAAAGTTGTCTATCCATCAAGAAAGGATCTTCCTTTACAAATGGCTGTTGTTCAATTTACAGATAAGTAATGTAAATAAGAAAAGAAAATATTGCGGAATAAATTACTATAATCATGATTGGATCTTCGTGAAAAACTCCGAAAACTTTCCTGTAGCCGTCTCCACATTTGTTTTCACGTTATTTATGTTATTCTTGCGGACTAGAAATTGTTTTTTCTTCAAATGCTGTTAAGAAAAACGTTAAATGTTTTTGTCCATACCCAGTTACTGAATAATATGGTAGGGTCAGTTAACCATGAACAGCTAGTCAACTGCAATGATGGCCCGGCATACCTGCACGATCTATGGATTCAACACTCAAATGGTGTTTTGGCATTGTAGCAATTGTCTTTTTCTAAAAATGCATGGAAGAAAAAGATTAAATAGAACTTCCCAATTTGCAATCGTAGCGACGAAATTTAGTTCAAGCGTGAAACTCGTGGCTTCTGTGCACTTAGTAGCTGGTTCAAAACCTCTCTGGCAATTTTGCGTAACAATTAGCGTTCTTTATTAAAAAATGCAGGAAAGAAAAAGATTAAATAGAAGTTTCTAAATAGCCTCGTATCAAAGAAATTTAGCTCAAGCGAAATATTCGTAGCTTCTGTGCACCTGTTTACTGGTTCACGATCACTCTGGCAGTGTTACGTAACAATTAGCGTTCTTTATTAAAAAAATGCACGAAAGAAAAAGATTAAGTAGAAGTTTCTAATTTGCCTCGTATTGAAGAAATTTAGCTCAAGCGAAATATTCGTAGCTTCTGTGCACCTGTTTACTGGTTCACGATCACTCTGGCAGTGTTACGTAACAATTAGCGTTCTTTATTAAAAAAATGCACGAAAGAAAAAGATTAAGTAGAAGTTTCTAATTTGCCTCGTATTGAAGAAATTTAGCTCAAGCGAAATATTCGTAGCTTCTGTGCACCTGTTTTCTGGTTCAAGATCACTCGTGTAATTTTCCGTACAAACTTGCAGCATACACAAAGCTCAAATTTTGATGAAATCACTCACTTTTAAATGTTTTAGATGAATAACTGTCCTCTTTACGCTTAAAAAGTGTTTGTACCTTGTTTTTTTTACAAAAAACACATTACACATGACATAAGTTTGCTGTTTTTGCCTGACAAAATGATGAAAGGCACTCGAGCCTCGCCACGACTACATTCAAGAAAAGCACACACAAAAAAAAACAATAAAAACATGCACAAATGTGGAAATATTATTTATAAGTATGCAGGCACAAAAATCTTTGTATGTGTACTACGACAAATTACGTGATTACGATGTTTAATGTGACGTATTGTTTTCAAGGATTAAATATTTAGTATGCATAATTATGTCATTATGTCATAGTCATGCGCAAATCCATGACGTCATTATGATATTTTAAAGGATGGAGATCATATGATGAGTGTTTTTTTTGGTGGTACTTCATATCAAATGACTTAACAAACAAATAAGCTGTAAAACCTATCGACCACGTCATTGTGCTATTGCCCGTGAATTTGTGAAGATTTTTGACAATCCTTAAGAAAATATTTCTGAACATTGCTCTTGCAACATGGGTGTTGGTGTAAAGGTTGCTCAAACGCTGTTGGTAGCGTTCAACTTTGTATTTGTGGTGAGTTTTCAAGTTTCTCGAAATCTGTTTTTTTAATGGATAGTCTTGTACGTAAATAATTAATGTTTTCTCCTCGACTTCGATTGGCAAATGCTCTTCTATGAATAAAGCATGACTTTACAACTTTTACGTGTGCAAAATAATTGGGAATGCCGTTTTAAATGAATCAAATTGATGTATTTTACTTAGCAAACAACATCCTACACAAAACCAGTGGGATGCGAGGACATTTTAAAGTTTAAACCCACGCCAAAAAATCATGGCTAGCATTTGTTTAAGTCTGATTGTAATAGTTCTGTTCTAAAGCTAGAAAATCGTTGTGAAAATGCTCATTGATCTCAAGTGATTCAAAAAATGTACGATTTTACTATGTTTTATAAATACTTAGTTTTATCTGTCGTGAATCTCCCATGGAGATGGTTTTGCGCATCTTTTCCTTGCTTAACTTTCGTCATTGAACACTTCAAAGTGTAGCTTTAGTTTAGCTATTTGAAGACTTCGTAAATTAAACTTCTCACAAAGTCTTGTATAAGATTATGTACATGGTTGTTTTTGAACAGAAGTCAAGAAGGAAGATTGATATTTCCTGAGTTTATGAATTTTTAGAAACGCCCATTCGTTCACGTATTCTTTAATTACATAACAAAATTTACAAATGAGGAAATGGCAACTGGGTAGTGGTAAATTTGGCACTGGCCAAAATTAAAGTAATTTGCAAACAGCTCATCTGTGGACATCTCATCCTTGATGCTTAATCTTCTTAAAAAGCTGTTAGATTTAAGACTTTATTTTGATTACAATAATTTTTGAAAAACATATTGTTAATTTTTTGTGATTTACACTATTCCTTAGAAAATTCAAATTTTTTATAGCTTATTGGAATTGGTAGTATAACTGTCGGCATCGTCATACATTTCAAGTATAATGATTACGAAAATCTTTTGTCAAAAGATATCGGTGCAGTGCCGATTCTTCTGATTTCTATTGGAGGTGTGATATTCCTAGTGTCATTCTTTGGATGCTGCGGAGCTTGGAGGAAGAGTGTGGTTATGTTGACCATTGTATGTAAAGTTATGTTGCTATTAAATCAATTTGCAATTTCTCATTCTAAAGATAACAATTGCTTTGTTTAGTACATCTTTCTTTTGTCGCTGTTGCTTCTCTTGGAAATCGCCGGTGTTATTTCTGCGTACTTCTTTAAAAGCAAAGTAAGTTCATGTTTCTGTCATTTCATCTGGTTTTCATTAAATTATGCTTTTGACATTCACTTGTGTTCTTTAAGTTTTCAACAATCAAAGTACTCTGATATATGTATTCTTTGAAGTTAAGAAAGTATGTTGAGACAGGAATGAAGGATGCCATAAAACAGTACAATGACACCAAATACCAAAAGGCCATTAACAAAGTTCAACAAAAGGTGAAATTATATATTTATACATGCACTAGGAACGATGGAGCAACATATGAAGTGCAGGGGCTAAGTCTTCAATTCTACAATATTGTCTTAAAAAATACTTCTAAACAATAACTTTAGCTCAGTCCAAATATCTTTTTTGTTTTGCTCTTGCAAAAAGGTGGGTGGGTGGGCTGAAGCCCCTTACATAGCTCCCCCGGTTCAGGCATCCCTGTGCACTTACATATTATTTTCAAAAAAAGAGATTAACGGTTGATTTAATCCTCTTTCAGACGAGCAAGTCTTCCTCGACAATTTTTATGTGACAAGTTTTATTTGCATGTCTTAACTAACCATTTTGGCAATTTTTTTATGACAAGTATGTGCACTTGTAAAAAAGCTGAGCTGCTAGCTTTTTAAAATGTGTACTTGTCATTGAAAAAGTTGTCAAAGTAAAAAAATGCATTTTTGTATGGTCAACAAAGAAAATTTGACGAAAGTATAATTCAGCTGCTAATATTTTATGATATTAAAACAATTAAAATAATATTTTACTATATTTTTTAAATTTTCGGCTGGATATGGTTTTTGGCCAATTGTAGATGGTTACTTTGAGCCCTGGAGTCTTGGCTAAATCATGTCTTGTTTTTTAATAGTTTGACTGCTGTGGTGCAACAAATTCCAGTGATTATATAAATCAGAAAATTCCCAGCTCATGTTGTAAGACACCCATGAATGTAAATGGCACATGTGAATTTCAGTCAAAAGTAAGTTTACTGCCTCTAAATTTTACCACTTGAACAGTAGCTTTTATTCCTAAACTTGGTATTGATATAACTATTTACTAGAATTTATAGTTCTTGAAGCAGGTTTGAATGAAACCAACATTGCTAACTTGTTGGTGGTTTATTTGGATAAATAAATGCCCTTCAATTGCGACATGTATTCAGCATTTTTTCAAAGATGAAGTTCTAAGATTATCCCAGTAATTATTTTATTTTATTTTATAGGGTTGTGCTGATAAATTATTTGACTACCTTGACGAGCATCTTGCAATTGTCGGAGGAATTGTTATTGGAGTCATTGTTGTTCAGGTAATAACTTTTACGTATTTTTGTTTTATCGGTAGTTTTATGTTTAGTGTAGGTCGTATTACAGTTTTCAAATGATTATTTTATAAATTGCTGGTATTTTATAATTTTTTTCTCCATAATGTTGTATTGCCTTACTTATGATGTTTTAATCTTGCTAGCTTTTTGGCATCATGTTTGCCTGTGCTGTTCGTCGTAATGCAAAAGAAGGCTACGGCTATGTCTAAAGACATCTTGTTATTTGTCGTGTAAACTGATTTTCTAAAAGAGGAAACTTTTTCACTTTGTAATTTAGCTGCTGGTAATTACTAGTTACTGGTGTGAGATTCTTGATCTATTGGAATATAATACATTTTGAAACATATTACTTTAACTAATTACATGAAGTTCATTATTGAATGATTTTCTTCCAACTTCTAGTTGTGGGTATTTTTTTTCTGTTGTACTATTACATTTATCGAATGATATTGGTCTTATAATCATGTATTAAATTGATATCATTCAAGAATTAGACAGAAGCACTTTACCATAATTTTGCAATACAATTTGCTTGATAATATCAATATTAAGTGCTTCAGTTCTTGTGTCAAGCTTGATGGCAAGTCACAATTGCTTACTTGCTTTCCTAAATACAAACACCTTTTACTATTGATTCAGTATTTAATATACCACCCGAACAATTTAACCACACTCAATACTTGAGACCAAAGCACATTTTTGTACATGTCGTGGTATATTTTTTTGCCTATGAATTCTAACTGAAAATTTCTACGTATGAAGAGGTCTTTTTGTGCATTGGCGTTTAACGTTTTATAAGACTTTCAAGTCTGGGATATATAACATTTGAAGAGAGAGAAGAAGAGAATGCGTTTATGGTGGCCGTTTGGTTGATGGAAAACAGTTAAAAATTTTCGCGCGCTCAATGAATAAAAGTTTGAAAAGATGAACCTCGTGGTGGAAAAATGAAAAAGAAAGCGAAGTATTATTTCATAATTTCATTGTGTTTTCAAAGAAACTATAAGCTAAAGGAACATGCAACGGACATTCCTTTCATGGTAAGGCCTTAAGAAAATTTCATTTGTTTTAAATAACCTTAAATTTAAATATTTGTACTTGTCCTACGTTTACCGAAAGCAATGAAATTCGGTTCGTCGAGTTTAAAACTGTTTGTTGGGTTCAAAACTTTTTATTTTAACGATTTAAATGATACAACGTCGTCTCGCGTCCGAAGTCTGTCTGCTATTTATGAAATGCCTTCCTCAGCAAAAGTTGTTTTGATATTATGATCCTGAGAAAGTCATGAAGGAAAATTTTCTTGTTTGTGTTCACTATCATTGAAAATGTCCATGCCAATGACTGCATTCTTGTTTTGTGGCAGGTAATGATGTAAAAGTAGTTTAAATTATCCTGCATCGTCCTATTCATCAGACTTTCTTTCCTATTATCATTTACGTAAAGCACACTCTGCTCCCCAAAAGGATGCATAACATTTAGTACTTACCAAGTGTTTGGTCCATTGAAATATTGCTGAAGATTTCATCTGTGGGAACCCCCCTGCTGCCCTTGCTTTTCTTTTGCAGTTGTAAGAAATCTTCAAAATTTTTGCCGTGAAAGTAATTCTTCTAAAGATCCTGTGATAGTTGTGGAGTTTAAATTCGAATCTCTGTTTGGAGTGAAATTTTGCATTGTTCTTAGATCAACCATAATCCCTTCAATAAAATCTTTTCTGTCATTTTCATTTGATAGTCCTGTGTTACAGTTTAATCCTGTGTTACCAGTAAAGTCAACATACGTTGGTTCTGTATTACTGGCAAAGAATGAATACCCTTCATCAGTGCAATCACTATTGCCAGCCATGTTCATTTGAACTTTATTTCGGCATGGAAGTTGTGTCAATGTTTGGTTCTCTTCTCTTGAATATGGTTCGGTAGACAAGTGAACAGTACTATGTAACCATAATGTACAACTATTGTAAAACATTGTTCTACTTGTCCTACAAACTTTCCATTCCCAGAAAATTTTAGTTCAAATTTATTAAGAAAATGGTGATGTTAGTCTCGACCAATACCTACTACTGTTAAGAAATTTAAGACGAGAAACATGTAGCAACTTCAAACTTATATACTTACTCTGCTTCCTTACCGGTCAACTACTGAGCAACACGAAGTCGTCTTTTGAAAAGTCATTTTCAGTTCATCCTGTGACGGTTTCAACTAGAAGTATACCGCTAAAGTGGCTGTTAATTTGATGACAAGTGAGATATTTAACGTCCTTAATATATCACTTTGAGTTTCTTAAAATAGAACAAACCGGAGTCACGCGCTGCTCTGACAAAGCATTCTTTAGATTCAAGTTTCTCTTTTTTGCAATTTCGTTGTTTGCTGGGCCTTTCAAGTTTGTTTTTTTTTGCATGAACTGCCCTAAAAAACACGCTATCTCGTAGGCTTTAGTTCCAAATGGAAAATTGAAATTTCGAAACGCGATGAGAAGGTTAAGACTATGTTGAGTGTAGCAACAAATTTTTTGCGTGGTTTTACTCTAGGAAGACTTTGTTTGCAAGTCTTTGTTTTTATTGCAATCACTAAGAATTATGACATCATCATATTTTCACATTTTTATCTGCACATACGTAAATATGTTTTCATAGAGACTATTTTCTGTTAATGGCCACGTACAATAGTCTTGATTGTTCACGTGGGCTGAATTAAAAGTTAGAAAGGAATTAGTAATCTTATAGTCTTCTCATATCGATTTCAAAATTATCATCTTAGTTTTTACAAAGTAAATGGTTCGAACCCGGGAGTATCGTTACATGTTTGTAGTTTATGTTGGTGTCATTATTATTTGATTATGTTACGTGTTTTACTATTTTACAGCTAGTCTACGTGCAAGTCACGTCGTTAAAGACCACTTGTTTATCCCTTAAAATCCAAATCAAAGCAAGTTACAAAAGCCAACGTTAGATGTACATTTTGCATTGGTAAGTCTATATTGGTTTTTACTAATGCCTTTTACAAACGGAAATTTTTTGGGCATTCACGGCAAAACAAAAGAAATCTTGTAGGAATTTTTTTGTTTGAAGTATGTGTTATACCAATACTGACGCGATGTCATTCAGTAGACAAAATTTCTGTAAAATTTATAAACAGATCAAAACCTGACTTTTTGCCACTGACGAGCTGAAAATCGAAAATAATTCCTTAAATAATAAAAATTATATTCAAGAGATAAGACATATAGATGTACAAACACATCTTTTTAAGAGAATTTTTATCATAATTTTTAAGTATGCCAAACATTTCCTAAATATTTTAATAGTTTTAGACACGAGGTGGAAACTACATAGCTGCGTGTAGGATATTTTTTTGGTAGTTGTACATTTTTTCTTGCAAATTTAAGTATAAAATCTCCTTTGTCAGATGGAACGTTTTAAAGTTCTAGAAAACCTCTAATAATAACAATAATAATAACAAAAAAGGCTCTTATAGGCTCTTGTGTAAAGTTTTAATATTACTATCACTACTATTAACTTATTTTTACATATATATTGATTCATGACAGCCCTCACTAATGTGTTTTACAATGGGGTTCATTATATAAAATCACTGAACATACACATGCTATACACACAAGTACCTAAACATACTATAAGTATCACTTGATCACTTAGAAGTCAATATAAAGTTCAAACTGTTGATTTTGTGAGCTATTTGCTCTGAAAATGACCTAAAATTTGTGATTCACGCATTGTATAATACTACACATTTACAAATTGTGAAAATCTTCACTTGGTAAACACAAAAACTGCCAAATATTGTCAATATAATAAATACAGTTTCTATAAATTTGTAGCATTAATGGCCGCTGATATTTCAATGGCAGATTTGCTAGAGTACATTAATGTTTTCCATGTTCCTCAGTGTCCCTCACGTAATTTCACTTGAGATCCTGCAACATCCCTATTCTCATTACATATCCAGTGATCCGTTTGAGTTCAGTGGAACTATGACTCAAACAAGAAGTGAGTTATCGAAGTTTGCCATGACAATTTCAGGTTCTAGTAGTCCATTTTCCCCGTAGTTATTAACACCTGTTAGCAGGTTATTGCCGGCGCCAATATCCGGCATGTCGTTCATGAAAAGAAACAGCGAAGCTTCGTATGCAACATTTTCTTGCTCGGTATTGCATAAAATGGAGGTATCTTAGAAAAACAGAAATTTTCAAGCAGTTTAGATGTAGGCACGCTCAAATACAATAATAAGGAAAAGAGGATTCGCTCACGCAATCTCGGAGCATCCTCTCAGCCACAAACCAATTCACTGGAACTCCTTTCTACCCCCTAATGTTTGCTTGTATCCCTAACTTAACTTCATAAGAATTATTGAAAGGGAGTTCGTCATTGTGTTTATTTACAAGGATATTTTATCTTCCATGTTTCATCGTTAACATTCGAAGGAAATTATTGACGAAAATGCATTCCTTAGTTGCTATTAATCTCCTCTTTTCATAAAATCGCAGACTTCGTATGTTTTCGACATGAAGGCAATCATCGAAGACTAGGGAGGCAAGGTTTAAAAAATTGAAGCAAACCAAATTTTACACTCACCTAACGTGTCGTCCAGAGAATCATCTGGCAGTGTTCCGATTCCATCTGTAATTTGTTCGTTGTCGTGAAATGACTGTGAAGATGAAGGCGTCGTGGAGAAGGGTTCATTTTTAATCATATTGTCTATCATCGAATATTCATATTCATGCATGGCATTGTCAAACATTTCTGTACTACAAGGTGAATTAAAATTGCCATTAACACGTTCACTTAGTGTTGCATCATTTAAGACTTCCATTTTATTAACATTGGTCAGTCCCGCACGACCGGTTAATCCTGTACTACACGTTGATCTTGCTGTGCTAGTCAGTTGTGGATTACTGACAGGAAAGAAAGAAAAAGGAGTAGTTTGTCTACCGCTGTTCACCATGTTTATATAACATCCATTTAAACGGTCGCCTTGTGACATGAGTTTGATTGGTTGATTCTGTGTATCTTTAAGCCAATCGCTGTCCATCTCGGTCTGAAACGTTTGTTGATTGTCGTTCCATTGTTTAGACGGTTTTGCTTCGGTCTCTGGTCCCGTAAAGGATTGTGGGTAATAATTATTGAAGCCGTTCATCCTGGGTTGTTCTCCAGAAATAAAAGCGTCAGCTAAAACAAATTAAAATTTCTTTTCACTCTGTTAAGCTTGTATTGACAGGAAAAACACTTGAATTGTGGAACAGTTGAAGAAAGGAACTCTAGTTTGTATTTCAAAGATAATGTTACTGAGGTTTCTTTGAAGTTGTCGTTTAAGCAAATCATCTCCACGCTAAGGATGAATCCTTGTTAAAGATAAGTGCCGGATTTGAGGTGCGCATATCAAGAATGGCACTGGGCACGAGTGTAAGATTTGTTTATGTAGATGGTGTTTCCTTGTAAAAGATCTAATCGTGTCGATAACATATGTTGTTTGAAAATGAAAGACTTCTAATTTTAAGACTTTCACTTACCTAGCGTGTTGTACATAGAATCTTCAGGTATTGATTGAAGATCCTCTCGAATTTGTTTGACATCGTGAAATGGCTGTGAAGGAGATGTTTCTCCGAAAGGTTCAGTTTTAATCAGATCGTTTATCATAAACCGACCATCGATAACATTGTCCAACATTTCTGTACTGCATCGCGAATTAAAATTGCTGCTAGCTTCTCCTCCCATTTCATTGGTTAATCCTACACCAACGGTTAATCCTGTATTACAGGCTACTCTTGCAGGTTTGGTCAATTGTGGATTATTGGTAGGGAAAAATGGAGCATTAGTAATTTGGTTACCACTGTTGGTCATATAACGTCCATAGAAACAGTCATGTTGTTTTGTACGTTTGTCTTGCCGATACTGTGTCTCTTTGAGCCGATTGCTTTTCATCTCCGTCTGAAACATTAGTTCATTCTCGTTCCATTCTATTAGCGGTTTTGCTTTGGTTTCTTGTGAAGTAAAAGACGGTCGGTAGGATTTGTTGAATACGTTGATTGTATTGCTGTGTAGCTTTCCTGAAACAAAACAATTTGGTGAGATTTTTTTGCAGCACTCAAATGGCTTTCTGCTTGTCTTTCTGCAAAATCTAGTTTAGAAGGCGCAAGATGAACTGTAGTTGTATGTCGAACTATCAAACGCAGAGAAAACGATCAGTATATGGGTAATGGAACGTTACTGGATATCTAATCTAGATTACGCATACGCAATATGACAAGAGACGCGGAATATATTGATGATCTAGATTACCCACATCTGATCTTCACTCGAACACGAAGAACTCTCGTTTTTCGTTTCGATAGCTTTACATCTAAGTATTTCGCGTATGTTTCTTACCTTCTGCATTAGTCGCCATACCCTCAGGCTGACCGAAGGGATCAAATGGTACAAACGCTTCCGTTAGTTCGTCTACCAAGTAAGCATCATCAGCATCGCTATCACTTTCTTTTTCATTTGGTTTCTCAATCACTTTACCGCGAGTTTCTGGATTCATACCAACGACCACTCCTTTGTCCTCAATGGCACTAGTGGAATAAAGATATGACTTTGTTTGGCTTTATTAAAAAGTTGACGGTCATTTAGTTTGACACGCATGCGTATTTTGTTTAGTGGAATAAAGATATGACTTTGTTTGGCTTTATTAAAAAGTTGACGGTCATTTAGTTTGACACGCATGCGTATTTTGTTTAGTGGAATAAAGATATGACTTTGTTTGGCTTTATTAAAAAGTTGACGGTCATTTAGTTTACACGCACGGGTATTTTGTTTTCTAGTCAATACAAAGCTTTGCTAATTGTGGTGAAGTCGAAAGCACTATCTCGTAAAATTGAGGCGTGTGAAAAGCTGTGGGTCGGTTTTCACTGTTCCTACCAAACTGGTTGTATTTCTACATATAATAATACTTCATCTTATTTCTTTAATATTGGTCAAGCTACCTAAGAACGTAGTTCACACACAACATGTAGGTCTTTCCAGTTTTCTCGTCCTGAATGCTGGTTGTTATCGATTGTAGCCATATCCAACCACCATCTTTATTTATCCATCGATATGGAGAAGTAGTCGATTTTCCTTTGGCTAGCACTGCAGTAAAAAAAAAGTTATATTTTTTAGTGCATGCATTTTTAACAAAAGCTTTTCCATGCGATTTGTTTGTCCGTTTGCCCTGGCAACAAGTTGACCCGTAAGTGTGAACTTCATTGTTATTGTTACAGTAAGATTATGATGTTAAAAATTTTCACTTCAATCTAATCTTGTGAATTAAATATATCATTATTTTTGGAAATTGCCAAAAGAGTCGATTGACCAATCGTTTCTCTTTTCTGTACCATACTCAACGTATTCATTTATTGATTACTTACATTCTGAGTGTAATTGCTGTATTTGAAAAGCATCGGTTGGATGATAGAAGGGATATACCACTCTTCCAACTATGTCTTTCGCTTTCGAGTCCATGTAGCGATGGATCCTGACAACGACAAAGTTAAGTAATTCTCAAACATATCAACAACTGTTTGGAAAGCAAGTTTCAATATGAATCATTGTGGTTTAGAGGAGCAATGACCGTTTCTCTGTAATTTTTAATTTTTAATCATATTTGATGTCAATGTCAAGTGTATAATAAAACATTCATCTCACAAACAAAAATCCTTTTGTGTGGCACGAAAACGATGTGAAAGCTTCTTCCTTTTAAGGAAACACAATCTGCACATTGTTATTTGTTACTTTCTTAAACCTCTGGAATGGTTTCTCACCTTCCTTCGCAGAAGATTAATTTCAAATCTGGTGTAAGACGACTAATGAATGCGGGCTCAATCACTGGTAAATCACCCAACTCGTTTGACCATATTTGTTCCCCAGTACCAACAAAGAACCCTTCAGCGTTCAGTTTTCCAGTAAATTTGACAATCTGTATGGGCAGAATTGAAGACAGGAAATAGTTTATAACACGTAGTAATGTTTTAGTTAGACACTTCATTGATAATTGGATATAAAGACAACTGGTGGAGTCTCTTATTGCTGTATATAGACGAGTTTTATATGTCACACAAACATAGGAAAACGTTGTTTAGTTGGCGTAATGTGTTTTTTTTATTTCAAGATGGCTACATTCCTTGAAATCTGCTTCACCCAAAACGCTCACTCACCCCATAACTGGTGTTCTTTGCCAAATTTTCCTTTCTCATGAAGTTGCATTGTATACGCAGCGTAAATTGGGTTTGCTCGTTCCAACGACCATTGCCTTCCAAGTACGATGTAAATAGCTCTGTTTCTATAAAAGATTGAATATCATGTATTTTCATCTGTTTCACATGCCACATTTAGACTGAACTTTATTATTTATTCACGTCGTCCATCCGATATGTATTAATGTGCCCCATACAGTATGTTTCTTAAACAGGAGCGATCTGATGTTAAAAATTGAGTCTTTATATACTCAAGTCTGTGTCTTCATCAGGAGTGATCTGATGGTAAAACTCGAGTCCTTATATACTCCAGTCTAGTGTCTTCATCAGAAGTGATGTGATGTTGAAACTCGAGTTTTTATATACTCCAGTTTTCATTAGAAGTCTCGAGTTGAGTTATCACCAATGCAGTAAAGTTTATCAGAATTTCTAACATAACACGTACGTGTAGGTTGACAGACAATGTCACCAGGTTCCCCAGTCGGTTCGCAAATATTAGGGTCGTCCAAAGATGGCAAATGACCTTTAAGTTTCTTGGCCAATATTTCCCAGTCTTTCCTCAGCACATAGTTGTACATTTTCTTCCCCATCAACTCTTGCTGAACATTCATTGGAAAGAAGAATTAACTTTAGAACTTTTTGAAACATTATGATGACGAAGTATTATTGAATTGAACTGGGTTTTTTTTTTATCAAAGTCAATAAGTTAATCGCTCATAAGAGTTTTGAAATTTTTATGCTTGCTTACAGGTGGAAAGCCAAGATAATTCAACACTTTGTCATTTACATAAATGATTGTGCCATCGTTTTTGAGAATGATGAAAAAACCATCCAAAAGCTAAACATAGAGAGTTGAATAAGTAAGTTATACAATTGTAGTCACACGAGAGTCAAGGGTTTTAGCACATTTAGGTATAATCTTGCGACAAAAGCCTTTGGCAATACACGAAACGATCGAATGATCGTCAATAAAGATATATAAATATCATAAAAATACTGAAAATCATCTGTCACTTTGCCTATAACGGTTCTGGAAAACATCAACTTGCCTCCAAGCACATTTTTTCTATTCCTGCACTGGTTGACGAACCGCTGCCAATCATTTGTGTGTATCTGCTACCATCAAGGACCTTTCTCAATCCTATGTAACTCGTCGATAGACGTATTATACTTGATTTATCTGGTGGATTATCAGGAATTGACAAAACCATACGCGACAACTTTTCAATGTTTTCGTTTTCATTTTTCCTTCTCGTCTTTGCGGCCATACGAGACTTCAACTTTTGAGTTTCGCTTCGTGCATTGATCGCCACGCCCTTCTTGTAGGCGTCACTATTAAATAAAATTAGGAAAAATTAAAAATAAATAAATTTCTTAGAGACGTCGAATCCAATACATTTATTGCGTTTAATTTGTACATAAAAAATACAAGAAAATAAAGTAACTGTATTCATGTCGGACGATATTAATAATACATCTATGTGCAAGTACGTCTTCATATGCACGTATATATTGTGATTTACATTTTATCTTTAAAATTTTCATGCAGGTGGAAATTTTTTTTAAAGAGTTCAAGGAAGTGCGTCTCCGATTTTTTTTTAATTGAACTACATACAAAGAAAAGTTAAATGAAAGTCAATGAAAAGCACATCCTACCTTATCCTACAATATCTCTTTAATGATCTCACTTTTTCAGAGTAGCTATTAAGTGTCCATTATTGCTTGGGAATAGATTAGCTGTTAACCGCTGTATTATTACTCTTTTTGCGGTAGTTTAATCATAATGATTAGGGGATTTGTAATCTTAAGTGTTGCTGCATGAAAAATTCTTACTGTAACACATTTAAGGACACTTAGATAAAAACGGTGTGCTACAATCATCAATGTTTTCTTATGTGAATTTTGCTGCGAATAATGCGTATGCATAAAAATAAATTTTGATAAACTATACTACCTTAAAACCTTTTGCATAAAAGCACTCAAGCAAGTATTATTTTACGAATGTCTGATCATTTTTATTTTGTGAATTTAATTATGTTGGTGTACACATTACGATGTTGTGTAAAACCTTACATTAGACAAAATAAGACAAATTATTTATGGACTAACAAGTGAAATGTTCATTATAAAATACAGGAATCATTGAAGACATATGTTGGACTATATTTAATGTCTATGAGCAATGTGAAGTGACTATGACATTTGAATTTCGCGTATTTTGGAATATAGCAGGCTATATTTTATCGATTATATAGTGAACCATAAACTATATTATATATCTTAGATTATAGTATATATGACCATTGTAGATGTAGATCGTCCAGGTTAGTAGAGTCCAGAGATGGACTGTTGGTGTTGATGTTGGATGACGTATCAACAGCCTTAGGGGTAGTCATCTTCAGAGATCTGGTAGTCACTTGACTCTGAAGATGACTACCGCTAAGGTTGTTGAAATTTGAAACGTCACTCAACATCAACACCAAAGGTCCTCGTGACTATACTTACCTGGACGATCTACATCCACAATGGAACGATACTCTCGGGGCCGGTTGCACTTAGGCCGAATAGCGCTATCCACTGGATAGCGAATTTTTCTAAACGTTCATAAAATCTCTTATAAGAAAAAAATATACAATTTGAACTGTGCAATTACTGAAATAAAATATTGTTTCGAAGATTACAAAACTTCTTTGTCGTAAGAAAAATACAAACACATATTTTACAAGATTGAAATTTTTCGCTATCCAATGGATAATGCTATCCAGGGCAACCGGGCCCAGGGTTCAAACAATTCCCTTCAGGATAATATGATCATAGTATATATCTTCGGAGTGTAGCTGTGTTTCAGATTATGGTATATTTTTAGCTATAGTATATTTTTGGAATCGGAGTGTAGTGTATTATAAACTATAGTATATCCTAGATAATAGTATATTGTAGATTATAAAGATATTTATGGATTATTGTATATTTTGGATCACAGATTTTCATGAAACCTTTAGTTAAGTATTTGAAACGAAGGATTATTAGATCTCTATTGTAATTCTTTACTCATACACGTGACGATCAATCCAAATTTCATGACTTTGGCATCCAACTTAATATATTTTAAAATAGTGTTCGTCGTGGGAGGTTTAAATGCTTAAGAAACACTAAGTGATCACATGCAGAGAAAGATCTCAAATGTTTAAAAGAGCTGAACGCATGGAATGAGTACAGATATGTTTGTGTCAGAGAAGGTCACGCGGTTGACGCGTGTTTTCTTTGTCCCCACAACACAAACATATACACACTGAATTCAAAATCATTATGTTCATTTTTTAGATGATTGAAATATTTGGGTGCTTGTATTCTTTCTTTCCCTGTTCAATATGAAAAGCTCTTTTAAATCCGGTTTCCATGTAATCGCCCCGTCGCGCTATTCTCTCAATTGCTTTAACATGCTACCGAAGAAAATAGCTTACTAAACATGTGGATACACCGATTCTCTTTCTATCCTTTGGGCTCTCAAAAATCAACACTTGTACTACATATGAAGATTGACCAATGAGAATGCTATCGCATCCTTTTTATGTCTCCAATTAATTTTCTAGATTGTGTAATTTCCCCAATCCACAATGTTGTTATTTGGCACACGTTCAAGCAGAAGCAATTTTCTGTAATTATGACTATCAACTTCCATATATGGACACAGGTCAAGGTAATTTATTGGTATTTCAATATAATTGAAAGATATAATATGATTATTTGTACGTGGCGTGTTCAAATGAATGAGATACTGGAAAAAGATACCGCAGAGTAGAAGACTGCAAAAACATGTGGTTGTGCATCACTGAATTTTCGAAATATTTTTCCCTGTGGGCGGTTTATGAAATATTTAAACATGTATATAGCTCCGACAGATGACGGTGAGGCTTTTGTTATAAGGTCACGTCTCGTTTTTTTTTAACATCTATCATACGTAGATGGCATTGTGCGAGACAACGATAAGTTATTGTGCTTTCTCTCTTCGCCATTTCATTGCCTCCCTGGCTTACTTTCAAAACTACTGTAAAATTAGCAACTGTGTGTATAGTTAGCGCGCGCGTTTCCCGACATAGGTATTTTTGTGTCGGCCAGAGGTAAAATGAAACCTAATTATGATGTCTTTGATTGCGTTCGGTGACTTTAAACAACCGTATGAAACAAATGTAAAATAATTACGGGAACAACAAACTTTCTAGATCTTCCGAGAGGACGCTCTTGTTTGCATTACAAATAACGCATGAATGACGAGAGAAATTGAATTTTCCTCAATAAATGCATAAAGTAGAAAAGTTTGCGGACTAATTCCACAACTGAAGACAAGGGGTTTTGTTATAATGAAGCTTTAAATATAAAATTGTAAATAGCATTTATTTATGCAAGATCCATTTAAACACATTGTCCATACCACAGCTTGACGGCGCAAACTGAATCAATGGTAGACGACTTTGCTCTTCATAGATAGCGTTTTTAAGAGTCACAACGATAACAAAAAAGAGACTACCGCATTGTTTTAGTACTGTGCGAATTCCTTTTTGCTAACGAAAAACAAAGTGGAAACAAAGCAGTTATTGACTGAGCAACATTATACTTGTAGTCATTTCACATCATTTATATAACATCAACTTATACAACGTAAGGAATAAGATTGCGTCATAGATATGCGTAACTTAATCTTGCGAAGAATTCGGTTTACTTTTACGCTACAACGTGTTAATTAGCTAAAATGAACTTTTCTAAAGTTGTGGTGCAAAGTTTTGGAACACAGGTCTTCATCGCATTTAATACATTGGGTACTTGCAAAATGCAATTTTCCATTTTAACATTAATGTAAAGAAGAACAGGGTGAAAATATACAATCAAGTACTAGCAAAGCTTGCAAATAATAAAATCATTCTTCTTCAGGCAAAGAGATAATGATGCATAACTTATATTTATCGAGCGGACACCTTGTAAATTCTCATCCTTTCATTGCAAAGAACAAAACCTATATCTATGGCCACCATTAACCCTTGACATTTAGTTCATTACGCGACAAATTGTTTTTTTTAGTTAAGTGAGACGATAGAAAAATAAGGAGCTTTTATATGGTTTTGTTTATCATTATGAAGTACATAGATCGATAACGAACTCTTCATACGAAAGACGATCTTTGCATACATGTTCGCAAGTCCAATTTCCACCGACGTTCAATGCATGCGCAATTTTTAAATAGTGGAAAATTTCTAATCTTGACGTGTATTTCACGGTGCCATTAAAAGGTTTTTGAACTCTTCTGTTTATTGACTGTCGTCACAAATTCAATAACGAACTAACCACAATGCATTAATCTTTAAAACCGTTCGTAATCTAGCCAATGACGGCGCTAATATTTATACAAACAAATGTACATTTATAACATCTATATTATATGAACGTGTTGGACCTAGTTTTTTTAACTTCCTTATCAAATCGTATGTTCACATTTGTTAGCTGCTACAAATGAATATGTACAAAGAAACAATACATGTATTTATGAAAACGTATAAACAGATGTGCACATCTTAGTGTTTTTGAGTACTTAGAAGATCAAAATAATACTGGGAAGATATGCTTTATGCTACACTGACATTTTGTTTGAACAAAAGAGCTCCCATCATTTGGTCGTAGGATTCATAAAAATCATCTTTAAAGCAAGCAAGTGCTCTTTAGAAAATTTTGGTATAGTTTTAACATTGTGCAGATCCCAATGAAGAGCTTCGAAATTCATAAATTTTTGAAAATACATATTTGTTTTGAAGTATAAATTTATGTTCATACAACGATTATTTGTACATGTACTCAATCCACCTGTCTTTAAAATAATTTCAACACTTGTTATATTACTTATTCACCCCGTGGGCAAAGCACCGTTTATCTTAAACGTTGATGCATGAATACTGCCCAAGCAATCAAAAATATATGTATCATTTATGACGATTCTTGAATGATTCACATCGAAGTAAAGTTTTTGTTGAAGATGGAAATAAGGCTAAATTAGGTAGCAAAAATAGCCTGTTTACATGCTAGATATAAAAGGGAGGATTTTTATTAGATTTTAAACGCTCCTAGATCGTTGCCAATGCACGAATTGCCATTAACACAGGCGTTTGCAAAATCGTTGCGCTATTATTGAGTCAATGGAACGTAATGGATCCCATTGTTAATCCTAAAACTGCGTTTTTTATCTGGAGGTCGAGTTGTGATTATTAAAGCAGCGACTAGCGTCATTTCTAGTGTAAATTTCTTGCTTATGCATGACAAAAACTATCGATTGGTTAATTGTTCCACAATCGTTGTGAGATGCTTCATCATGGACGTGGTAACGTAGTCGAAACTCACGTTGCAAGCCGGATGATATATTGTTAGTATTTCGTTGGGTAGCGTGATGAATGACGGAAAGTGTTTGTGATTAACGATGCACAAATATTGAGACAAAAGAAGATATATCTCATATTTTTTTCAAAGAAAACGTTAGCCTGCACTTCATCGAAGGAATAAGTTTGCGAAAAATGATGAAACTACTTTTCGTTTGATGTATTTCATACATCAAACATAAACCAGAGTTGATAGCAGCGATCGTTTGATTTGTATTAATTTCGTCTCGCGTAAATCGACGTCGGCTGAACGCGTTGCAATAACAGCAATTACGATCTTTTAATATACATGTATGTCGCTCAAATAATTGCAACAAAGTGAGAGAGACAGCTTTCGTGTGATATGAATGTTTGTGATACACACGCGATACCGACAGACCGGTATTTATGAAAATATCGTAAAGTCAACTCACTTGTTATTAATAGTTCCTGTTTTCCCCATGGATGTATAAGTTATACCCAATAAACTCAATGCTCACACAAAATTCCTTCCAGTAGCAAGTATAAGGTGTAGTTTGATGCTCAAAACTATATCACTTTATGACTGCACATTCACACGACGACACGCACATTTGATTTGAATCAAACGTCAAACAGCTTAGACAGACGTTCACTCTTAGAGATTATGACGTCATAGATTTGCCATGCCTACGAAATTCGAGGGGCGCACGTACGATGACTGATATCGTGAAAAGAACGTCACAACGTCAGTTGTTTAAGTTGTAAACCTTTTAAAGTGGAAGCCAAAGGTCTTTGTCCGAAGAACGTGTATTTTTACGTCGAAATATTGATAATCTGTTTACTCTGTAACGCATGTATGACCAGCGTGGGCTGAATGGCTGTTTCACCGACGAAAAAGCATTCTTGTGGGTGTTATTTGATGGTACTTTTTGCAATCCCTGTAAAGGGTAAGACGTCATGTTTTCTTATACATTTAATATTTAAACACGTCATTGCGCTTGCAAAATTTGTAGATTGATTGATGGCATTCATATAGTTTATCGTATGATCTCGTCTCTTGCGTGCTTTTGTTATCATTTCATTCTTTTCGTTGTGTAATCGACTGTAAATTGAATGGCCGACAGTCGGCAGTTAATGGTCCGTCACGTGGTCTTACGACGTGTAACAATTTAAAATTTCTATTTCATTCCGTCAGTGTGTAGCTCGTTTTTAATGGCTATGGACCAACACTGTCGTGAATCATGCGTTGAAATCAGCGAAGGGGCATACTTATGTATTCTGCTATGCCTAGGCTAATTTATTGAAAGTGAAAACGATTTCACGATTAAAAAGAAAATCAGCCTGGCATAGCAAAATAAATGAAGACTATCCTCCTTATTGTTCGACGGGGGGGAGGGTGGAGTTGAAGAAATATTCGCTCAAAGAACGATACCATTTTCATTCTTACATGAGAACAATATACGTCTGGAATAATTTCACAGATTAGTCATGGAAAGTATTTCTTGCCATTTTATTTTTTTGTCAAGGCCACAGAATAAACAGGCACGGTACAACGAAATTTAATCTAAGAAGAGGCTTGTCTTTGAAAAAAAGTACCAGAGGTTTATCCTTTACCACCCTTTTCTCACCCTCGATGGAGGTGTCCCTAGAATGAAATTATATTGAAATATAGTTATTGTAAAAAATTATGCCTTTAATTTTAGGAAAATGTCTCATTGTATGATGAAGAACAGTGTTTTTTCCCACGCTTCCCGTGATGCAAGACATACGGAAGAGCTTTTCGACTCGACGTAAGTACCACAAAAGCATTTTATATGACCGTAATATTTCGTTGTATTGCTGATTAGTAAAATCCGGCTGGAGAAATTTTTTATGAAATCGTTTAGATTCATTAACAATGTACTACGCTTACATGTAACGAAAGTAACTCACTGAATTTTGGCATTGTAAAGGCATGCTTGTCGTCTACACTAAGTAGAGGGTCCTCAACTCTCCCACGTTTCTCTTTCAAAGAATGGATGTTTGTTGTCCACATTTGATATCGTATACACATACAAATTTTACGCCTTTATTTTGTTTATTGTCTCTCAATTTATATCTGTAGCATGGAATCTTTAGTAGTCATAATGTGATTCGTGTGGTTAGTAACATTGCTATATTCATTCTGCAAACAGATTTTCTAACGAGCCTTGGGGGACATGTATGGGTAATATAAAGTTCAACTTATATAAACATACCTGCCAAAAATCCGTCTGCGTTTTTTACTGCATCCGCGTGGGTACAGCTCAATAAGATTTATCAAGTGCTTTATTTTTTCCGTATGTTCTGTAGCAAGCGTGCATGGTTCGAACGGAAACATAACACTTACATCAGCGTGGCAAATCGTATATTTGCGTAAGGGAAAACTGAAAAATACGGAAAAACGTCATAAGTTTTCGTATTTTCATGTTCATATTGTTATCGAACGTCATGTTTAGAAATAGAAACTTTCACATTCTTTAAGCTGAAAACGTAGAACGAAACTATCTACAAAATTTAAAATATTGGTTTATTATTGTTGAAGTGATGTTGTTAAAAAGTGATTTTAAACGTCATTAAGCTGTGACAGCATGTTAACGACAGGAGTGTAGCATTTTCTGTTAAATTACATCAAAATTGTGGATTGTAATAGTAAATTATTTGTGTATCAGTGGGAAATCTTTTAATTTGCCTATCCCATTTTTTGTACGTGCTTTATACATTAAAGCGTGGGAAGACACATCACAGAAACATGCCGTTTTCATTAAAGCTGATAAAGTTGCTTTAAACAATTTCCTGGTTTAATAGTATTTATTTGATAAGTAGGAGAGCCAGCCCGCTTGCTTGGTCTTGCTTGGTCGTGCACTTGATGTTTTCCAGTTATTGAAAGCAAACAGACTTGTGGGCTGGCTACCCCGTTGGACATAATTAAAACATACAGCTCTCACAGATAGTGCACTGTGTGATCTCGCCTTGGAAAATTAGTTCATTATGATCGTCTGTTCAGTTTGACTTTTGAAAAAACTGAAAAATCGCGCTGCAGTACTGCGGAATCTGGGATTGCTTACTTAGTGTATAAATGAACGGGTTGACTGCTATAATGGAAACAGTCGACATACCAATTTTTTAAAACAGCTGAGCATCTATATATTTACGATCATAGAAAATCATGCCAAAGTAAACCATTTCGGAAAGGATTCCAACTGAAAAAAGAGCTTTAATCAACACCAGCGATTTGACAATTTTCTTTGTTCTCATGGCAACCAGCTGCGTATTTTGTTGGTTTTCGCCTGTGTTTTGTGCATTTGACATCTTGGATGTCGTGGGGAACACAATATTTGTGTACCAAAACACGATTGTTATGAAAGGAATAATGAATGTAAAAGTCCAAGTTATTCAGGCCAGTGTTATTTTCCATGTCGGCCAATTGTTCTCGTCCTTTTTTAAAAAACAATAAAATCTTTCCTTATCCATCGCTAGCTCGCCTGATATTAAAACTGTTCCGATTCCTGAGAATCCCCAAGTGATCATAAGAAAATATGATCTTAAGCGTTTTTTCGTCATTCTCCGGTGTATAAAAGGTTTCACGATACCAAAAATAGCGCTCCAATGCAATTGCGGTCAGCGTCAGAATGGATAGCAATATGCCGAAATAGATGACTGTCGTAAAAATTTGACATGTGACTTTTTCTATCAAGTGTGACGGTACTCCAGTTTTATTTGAATGTAAAATCATTATAAACTTTCCGATTGCGACGATTCTCGATAGAAGGTCGACTACGGCTAGGTTTAGTAAAAGAAAATTATAAAGAGTGTGTAATGAAGGATTATTGTTAAACTATTAAATACACAACCAACCACAGCAATTAGGAATAACTTGAAAATATAAGAATATCAGAGTCGTAAATCGTTCTACGATTGCAGAGATGAGTTGACATTGCCGAACTGCTGGTCCAATTGATCTCAACCATTTTCATCGTTCATTTTTAAGAAACTTTCAATGCCAACGAAGCGTGTTTGTGTGTCGAGTGAATTTTTCTTATTGCTATATCCTATTATTAATGATCACACATGACGAAGTATATTGTACAGTATGAATTATGAATATTCATTTGAAATGATGTTACCTTCGTGCCCTCGATTTAAAAAAAGAGCTGGGTCGTTTAAAACGCTGTTTTTTCCTGTGATGAAAACTTTACCTGACAATTTTATTTCGACCGAAGAGGGATTACGTATCTTGTAACATAAAAAAACTCTATTTCGATAACATTTTAGCATTTGCAGCTGTCAGCACATCGTAAATAGAATTTTCATTTGGATTTATTGTACCGAGAGTGTTCTTTCCATAATGAAAAATTACTGGAGAAATTTTTCTCAAGCATTGTTTGAAAACAAACGAACTCTTCTCTTGAGCTTCAATTGTCTGCCTTGGTCAGTTAACAATTTGAAAAATCAAATGCGAATATTGCTCGATTTCAATTCTAATTAATGATTAATATAGAGGAAAAATACTTTAATTATTAAAATTAACATAGAAGATTATATTATGCAATGGATATTAGTTTAAGTATCAATTTATTGTTTTGATAGCTTCTCATAGCTTGCGTGCATTGGACATCTTGATCTCACGACGTTATTTTTAGTAACGAGTGGTTATCAGAATCAACTATCGTCAAATGTATGAAAAACATTTTGGTGCAAAAAAAATTTTTTGTTGCTAATGATTTTGAAAGTATTTGAGCATTAGAACTGTGCAATTTATTAAAAAATAATAATGAACGTGATCACTGACAATCACCGACCACATATTAGTTACATTTCAGCCATGGGAAGACTTTGATCTTGCTGACATGCATAATACTTATTTGACAAAAAAATAAACGACAAATGAGAGCGGAAAGACATTGAAACTTATTACAGTCTCAAAACATCCTAATAGGAAATCAATGGAAATGAAAATTGGCTGACTAAAAAATATTCTGAAAGAGAAGAGATCTAAGTATTCAGTCGTTAAGGCAATGTGTTACCGACTTAAGACGATTGTGAAAGAGACCAGTTATCACACTTAAGTAGAACTTAACAGAAAATGGGAAGATGTTTGAGGTAGCAACATTACGACGATGCACAACGAAAAGTAAAATATAATTATCGCTTTTTTGAAGTGTAGGCAACGTCAAGAACTGTACGATTGTTGATTGGAATGAGGTTCTTTATTAAGAAGAGTGTAAAAATCAAGGGTTTAAAGTTTAAATAAGTTTTGAACAAGTCACAAGCTTCCGTCATCAATAATAATGTAATGGTCACAGCATTATCAACTGAGGAGCACAAGCGCATGCGCACATGAATTCTCTTTAAAATTGGTACTAAGCATGCCATTTACTTCAAAACCGGTGCTAGTAGATGCAGTTGGTCGTTGCCATGACCATGAATATGTGCAGCTAGTCAAGTCGACTGCGTATGCTTAAGCGGACTGCGCATGCGCAGATGATTATGTAAAAATTATTGACTAAGCGAGCTAATTACTCCACGATCGCCATACAGATGGTCTTTGTCATGACCATGAACTTTGAGAGTTGGTGGAGTTGACTACGCATGCTCAGATTAATTTTCAATTAATTTGAGACGGAGCGAGCTCTGAAATTGGTGCTTGTATATGCGCTTAGCAAATTTTCTATCTAATATTTTAGGTATGATTATTGTCTTCTTAAGCTTTTTTTAACAAATACATTTTAAACTCATCAACACTTTGTTACGCCACTCGTAGTATCCATGAGAATGTTAAAGATGTTTTTATTTTCCTCCATAACTTTGTATCTGCATAATTTGTGCTTAAACAACGCTCTAATATTTATGACAGATATTGTAATTCGTGGATTGAAGTAAAAGAAATACAAATTTCTTGGAAAAAGGAGGATTTGCTTCAGTTGTCAAGGTAACTTTTTATTACATACATCGTTTAAATAGACGGTAATTTGGTCATTTGAAAGAAATTTTGTATGTGGTTTGGAAATGCTTTGATATCTTTGATATATTATAGATCTTTGATATATTATAGAGGATATAAAATACTATAGAATTGTGAAGTTTAAAAATATCCAAGTGAATAGATCCCGAGTTATGAGTAATTTTCTAAAGTTTTGCGTTTTCGCTAATATATTTATATATAATTATAAAGGCAAGAATGGCGTCACATAAGTTTAAAGTAAATTTTTTCTTTTTTCTAAGTTTGTGCTACCTCCAGATCTTTGAAATAATGTACAGGATATAAAATACTATAGAATTGTGAAGTTTGAAAATATCTGAGTAAATAGATCCAGAGTTATGAGTAATTTTCTCATTTTTTGCGCTTTCTGCTTATATATTTAAATATAAATATTAAGCCGAGCAAGGTGTCCATATCTTTAAAGTAAATTTTTCTCAATTATAATTTTGTGCCACCTTCAGATCTTTGATATATTACAGAGGATATACAATAATTTAAAATTGTGAAGTTTGAAAATATCCAAGTGAGTAGATCAAGAGTTATGAGTAATTTTCTAAATTTTTGCGCTTTCCGCTAATATATTCATATATAACTATTAAGCCGAACATGGCGTCTAAATCTTTAAAGTAAATTTTTTCTGATTTCTAAGTTTGTGCTACCTCCAGATCTTTGATATAATGTAGAGGATATAAAATACTATAAAACTGTGAAGTTTACAAAAGTTGGACGAAATAGATCAAGAGTTATGACTAATTTTCTAAATTTTGGGGTTTTTCCCTAATATATTTATATATAATATTAAGCCAAGCATCACATATCTTTAAAGTAAATTTTTTCTTATTTCTAAGTTTGTACTACCTCCAGATCTTTGATATAATGTAGAGGATATAAAATACTTTAAAATTGTGAAGTTTAAAAATATCTGAGTGAATAGATCAAGAGTTATGACTAATTTTCTAAATTTTTGCGTTATCCGTTAATATATTTATATATAATATTAAGCCAAGCATGGCATCACATATCTTTAAAGTAAATTTTTTCTTATTTCTAAGTTTGTACTACCTCCAGATCTTTGAAATAATGTAGAGGATATAAAATACTATAAAATTGTGAAGTTTAAAAAAGTTGGACGAAATAGATCAAGAGTTATGAGTAATTTTCTAAATTTTGGGCTTTTTCCCTAATATATTTATATATAAATATTAAGCCAAGCATATGTCGTCACGTAAGTTTAAAGTAAATTTTTTCTTATTACTAAGTTTGTGCTACCTCCAGATCTTTTATATAATGTAGAGGATATAAAATACTATAAAATTGTGAAGTTTAAAAATATCTGAGTGAATAGATCAAGAGTTATGAGTAATTTTCTAAATTTTTGCGTTATCCGCTAATATATTCATATATAACTATTAAGCCGAACATGGCGTCTATATCTTTAAAGTAAATTTTTTCTTATTTCTAAGTTTGTGCTACCTCCAGATCTTTGATATAATGTAGAGGATATAAAATACTATAAAATTGTGAAGTTTAGAAAAGTTGGACTAAATAGATCAAGAGTTATGGCTAGTTTTCTATAGTTTTGCGTTATCCCTTAATTTATGTATATATAATTATTAAGCCAAGCATATGTCGTCACATAAGATTAAAGTAAATTTTTTCTTATTTCTAAGTTTGTGCTACCTCCAGATCTTTGATATATTATACAGGGTATAAAATTGTGAAGTTTGAAAATATCCAAGTGAGTAGATCAAGAGTTATGACTAATTTTCTAAATTTTTGCGTTATCCGTTAATATATTTATATATAATATTAAGCCAAGCATGGCATCACATATCTTTAAAGTAAATTTTTTCTGATTTCTAAGTTTGTACCACCTCCAGATCTTTGATATATTATAGAGGATATAAAATACTATAGAATTGTGAAGTTTACAAAAGTTGGACGAAATAGATCAAGAGTTATGAGTAATTTTCTAAATTTTGGGTTTTCCTTAATATATTTATATATAATTATTAAGCCAAGCATGTCGTCACATAAGTTTAAAGTAAATTTTTCTGATTTTTAAGTTTGTGTTTCCAGATCTTTGATATAATAGAGGATATAAAATACTATAAAACTGTGAAGTTTAAAAAATTTGGACGAAATAGATGAAGAGTTATGACTAATTTTCTAAATTTTGAGGTTTTCCCTAATATATTTATATATAAGTATTAAGCCAAGCATGTCGTCACATAAGTTTAAAGTAAATTTTTTCTTGTTTCTAAGTTTGTGCCACCTCCAGATCTTTGATATAATGTAGAGGATATAAAATACTATAAAACTGTGAAGTTTACAAAAGTTGGACGAAATAGATCAAGAGTTATGGCTAATTTTCTAAAGTTTTGCGTTATCCTTAATTTATGTATATATAATTATTAAGCCAAGCATGCCGTCACATATCTTTAAAGTAAATTTTTTCTTATTTCTAAGTTTGTACTAACTCCAGATCTTTGAAATAATGTAGAGGATATAAAATACTTTAAAATTGTGAAGTTTAAAAATATGCAAGTAAGTAGATCAAGAGTTATGACTAATTTTCTAAATTTTGGACTTTCCCCTAATATATTTATATATAATATTAAGCCAAGCATGGCGTCACATAAGTTTAAAGTAAATTTTTGATTATTTCTAAGTTTGTACCACCTCCAGATCTTTGATATAATGTAGAGGATATAAAATACTATAAAATTGTGAAGTTTACAAAAGTTGGACTAAATAGATCAAGAGTTATGACAAATTTTCTAAATTTTGGACTTTCCCCCTAATATATTTATATTTAAATATTAAGCCAAGCATATGTCGTCACGTAAGTTTAAAGTAAATTGTTGATTATTTCTAAGTTTGTACTAACTGCAGATCTTTGAAATAATGTAGAAGAGATAAAATCCTTTAAAATTGTGAAGTTTAAAAATATCCTAGTTAATAGATTCAGAGTTATGAGTAATTTTCTAAATTTTTGCACTTTCTGCTAATATATTTAAATATAATTATTAAGCCGAGCAAGGTGTCCATATCTTTAAAGTACATTTTTTCTTATTTCTATGTTTATGCAACCTCAAGGTCTTTGAAATAATGTATAGGATATAAAATACTTTAAAATTGTGAAGTTTGAAAACATCCAAGTAAGTAGATCAAGAGTTATGACAAGTTTTCTAAATTTTGGGCTTTTCCCCTAATATATTTATATATAAATATTAAGCCAGCATGTCGTCACATAAGTTTAAAGTAAATTTTTTCTTATTTCTAAGTTTGTGCTACCTCCAGATCTTTGAAATAATGTAGAAGAGATAAAATCCTTTAAAATTGTGAAGTTTGAAAATATCCAAGTAAGTAGATCAAGAGTTATGAGTAATTTTCTAAATTTTTGCGCTTTCCGCTAATATATTTAAATGTAATTATTAAGCCGAACATGGCGTCTATACCTTTAAAGTACATTTTTCTCAATTATAAGTTTGTGCCACCTTCAGATCTTTTATATATTACAGAGGATATAAAATACTTTAGAATTGTAAAGTTTGAAAACATCCAAGTGAGTAGATCAAGAGTTATGACTAATTTTCTAAATTTTTGCGTTATCCGTTAATATATTTATATATAATTATTAAGCCAAGCATGCCGTCACATATCTTTAAAGTAAATTTTTTTTGATTTCTAAGTTTGTACCACCTCCAGATCTTTGATATAATGTAGAGGATATAAAATACTTTAAAATTGTGAAGTTTAAAAATATGCAAGTAAGTAGATCAAGAGTTATGAGTAATTTTCTAAATTTTGGGCTTTTCCCCTAATATATTTATATATAAGTATTAAGCCAAGCATGTCGTCACATACGTTTAAAGTAAATTTTTTCTTGTTTCTAAGTTTGTGCTACCTCCAGATCTTTGAAATAATGTAGAAGAGATAAAATCCTTTAAAATTGTGAAGTTTAAAAATATCCAAGTAAGTAGATCAAGAGTTATGAGTAATTTTCTAAATTTTGGGTTTTCCCTAATATATTTATATATAATATTAAGCCAAGCATGTCGTCACATACGTTTAAAGTAAATTTTTTCTTGTTTCTAAGTTTGTGCTACCTCCAGATCTTTGATATAATGTAGAGGATAAAATACTTTAAAATTGTGAAGTTTGAAAATATCCAAGTGAGTAGATCAAGAGTTATGAGTAATTTTCTAAAGTTTTGCGCTCTTCGCTAATATATTTATATATAACTATTAAGCCGAACATGGCGTCTATATCTTTAAAGTATATTTTTTCTGATTTCTAAGTTTGTGCTACCTCCAGATCTTTTATATAATGTAGAGGATATAAAATACTATAGAACTGTGAAGTTTACAAAAGTTGGACGAAATAGATCAAGAGTTATGGCTAATTTTCTAAAGTTTTGCGTTATCCCTTAATTTATGTATATATAATTATTAAGCCAAGCATGCCGTCACATATCTTTAAAGTAAATTTTTTCTGATTTTTAAGTTTTTGTCATTTCCAGATCTTTGATATATTATAGAGGATATAAAATACTATAAAACTGTGAAGTTTAAAAAATTTGGACGAAATAGATCAAGAGTTATGACTATATTTCTAACTTTTGGGGTTTCCCCTAATATATTTATATATAAATATTAAGCCAAGCATATGTCGTCACGTAAGTTTAAAGTAAATTTTTTCTTATTTCTAAGTTTGTGCTACCTCCAGATCTTTGATATAATGTAGAGGATATAAAATACTATAAAATTGTGAAGTTTGAAAATATCCAAGTGAGTAGATCAAGAGTTATGAGTAATTTTCTAAATTTTTGCGCTCTCTGCTAATATATTTATATATAACTATTAAGCCGAACATGGCGTCTATATCTTTAAAGTAAATTTTTTTCAATTATAAGTTTGTGCCACCTCCAGATCTTTGATATAATGTAGAGGATATAAAATACTATAAAATTGTGAAGTTTAAAAAATTTGGACGAAATAGATCAAGAGTTATGACTATATTTCTAACTTTTGGGGTTTCCCCTAATATATTTATATATAAATATTAAGCCAAGCATATGTCGTCACGTAAGTTTAAAGTGAATTTTTTCTTATTACTAAGTTTGTACCACCTCCAGATCTTTGATATAATGTAGAGGAGATAAAATACTATAAAATTGTGAAGTTTACAAAAGTTGGACGAAATAGATCAAGAGTTATGGCTAATTTTCTAAAGTTTTGCGTTATCCTTTAATTTATGTATATATAATTATTAAGCCAAGCATGCCGTCACATATCTTTAAAGTAAATTTTTTCTGATTTTTAAGTTTGTGCCATTTTCAGATCTTTGATATGATATAGAGGATATAAAATACTATAAGACTGTAAAGTTTAAAAAAGTTGGACGAAATAGATCATGAGTTATGACTATATTTCTAAATTTTGAGGTTTCCCCCTAATATATTTATATATAAATATTTTAATTTTATTCTTTCCTTATTTTTTTGTAATTTTTTAGGTTGACCATCGATACACAATATTGTTTTAATTACTGAATTAAACTTCGTTTTCCAATGGCCAATGCAAAAGTTGTTAAATTTGATGACAAAACTAAAAGAACACGTGACCGTTTGCTGACATTAGTATGTCTGGCACTGCAGGCTCAATCATAAAGTTTTCAAAACAAAAGCAGTACATGTTTGTGCGAGAAGAAATTTGCTGAAATATCTTAATATATGGATGATGACGGCGACAGAAATGAATATACACTTACCTCTTTTGAACCTCTTTCACCAGAAGATGAGAAATCTGGTTTGCGCAAGTTTTTCGAGGAGATTAAAACGAAAACTTTGCTCACTCTGGGACGTTCGTTCTCACATGACAATGTGAACGTGGATCAAAGGTTGTCTCAAGCTAGCAATAATGGTTTAAGCAATAGAAAGGAGGACACAAATTTCAAAAGCAATGAAAGTTTTAAAACCAATGATAACAGTAAAACGGAATTAAGTAATGTAAATGGAAACGCAAGAACTCTAACTTCCGTTTGAAGATGTCTCACTCAGCTTGCTGTGTTAGAAAAGACAGATCAAAAGGTACGTACGTAGATAAATTTGTGTGTATTTATTTTTGATGAATGAATTGTGCTTGCATGAAAAAGTTTGTCAAGTCTGTCGAATCCATAACCAGTGTCTTGGAGTCTTCTGTTGCCAAACTCAAACCTACAATTGGGGATTACGTGAACTATAGTCTTAGGGAGTTAGGAACATGAACTATAGTCTTTGGGAGGTAGATGCGTGAACTATAGTCTTTGGGAGTTAGGTGATTGAACTATAATCTTTGGGAGTTAGGTGATTGAACTATAATCTTTGGGAGTTAGGTGATTGAACTATAATCTTTGGGAGTTAGGTGATTGAACTATAATCTTTGGGAGTTAGGTGATTGAACTATAATCTTTGGGAGTTAGGTGCGTGAACTATAGTCTTGGGGAAAATGTGCATGAACTATAGTCTTTGGGAGAAATGTGCATGAACTTTTGTCTTTGGGAGTTAGGTGCGTGAACTAAAGTCTTTGGGAGAAATGTGCATGAACAAAAGTCTTTGGGAGTTAGGTGCATGAACTATAGTCTTTGGGAGTTAGGTGCATGAACTATAGTCTTTGGGAGTTAGGTGCATGAACTATATCTTTGGGAGTTAGGTGATTGAACTATAATCTTTGGGAGTTAGGTGATTGAACTATAATTTTGGAGTTTGTGCATGAACTATAGTCTTGGGGAAAATGCATGAACTATAGTCTTTGGGAGAAATGTGCATGAACTTTTGTCTTTAGGAGTTCAGTGCGTGAACTACAGTTTTTTGGAGAAATGTGCGTGAACAATAGTATTTGGGAGTTAGGTGCATGAACTACAGTCTTTGGGAGTTAGGTGCATGAACTATAATCTTTGGGAGTTAGGTATGAACTTAGTCAGGGAGTTAGGTGCATGAACTATAGTCTTTGGGAGTTAGGTGCATGAACTATAGTCTTTGGGAGTTAGGTTTGAACCATAGTCTTTGGGAGTTAGGTGCATGAACTATAGTCTTTGGGAGTTAGGTGCATGAACTATAATCTTGGGAGTTAGGCATGAACTACAGTCTTTGGGAGTTAGGTGCATGAACTATAGTCTTTGGGAGTTAGGTGCATGAACTATAGTCTTTGGGAGTTAGGTGCATGAACTATATCTTTGGAGTTAGGTGATTGAACTATAATCTTTGGGAGTTAGGTGATTGAACTATAGTCTTTGGGAGTTTGGTGGAACTATAGTCTTGGGGAAAATTCATGAACTTTTGTCTTTAGGAGTTCAGTGTGAACTACAGTCTTGGGAGAAATGTGTGAACAATAGTCTTTAAAGTTAGGTGCATGAACTACAGTCTTTGGGAGTTAGGTGCATGAACTATAATCTTTGGGAGTTAGGTGCATGAACTATAGTCTTTGGGAGTTAGGTGCATGAACTATAGTCTTTGGAGTTAGGTGCATGAACTAGTCTTGGGAGTTAGGTGCATGAACCTAGTCTTTGGGAGTTAGGTGCATGAACTATAGTCTTGGGAGTTAGGTGCATGAACTATAGTCTTTGGGAGTTAGGTGCATGAACTATAGTCTTTGGGATTAGGTGCATGAACTATAGTCTTTGGGAGTTAGGTGCATGAACTATAGTCTTTGGGAGTTAGGCATGAACTATATCTTTGGGAGTTAGGTGATTGAACTATAATCTTTGTGAGTTAGGTGATTGAACTATAATCTTTGGGAGTTTGGTGTGAACTATAGTCTTGGGAAAATGTGCATGAACTATAGTCTTGGGAGAAATGTGCATGAACTATAGTCTTTGGGAGATAGGTGCATGAACTATAGTCTTTGAGAGTTAGGTGAACTATAGTCTTTGGGAGAAGGTCGTGAACTATAGTCTTGGGAGATAGGTGCATGAACTATAGTCTTTGGGAGATAGGTGCATGAACTATAGTCTTTGGGAGATAGGTGCATGAACTATAGTCTTTGAGAGTTAGGTGAACTATAGTCTTTGGGAGAAAGGTGCGTGAACTATAGTCTTTGGGAGATAGGTGCATGAACTATAGTCTTGGGAGATAGGTGCATGAACTATAGTCTTTGGGAGATAGGTGCATGGTGACTTATGTGCATGAACTATAGTCTTTGGGAGTCAGGTGCATGACTCTTTTGGAGTCTCAAGCAACCCTCAACAACCTATGGATAATCTTGGGAGTTAGGTGATTGAACTATAGTCTTGGGAGTTTGGTGCGTGAACTAGTCTTGGGGAAAAATGCATGAACTTTGTCTTTAGGAGTTCAGTGCGTGAACTACAGTCTTGGGAGAAATGTGTGTGAACAATAGTCTTTGGGAGTTAGGTGCATGAACTACAGTCTTTGGGAGTTAGGTGCATGAACTATAGTCTTTGGGAGTTATGTGACTATAGTTTGGGAGTTAGGTGCATGAACTATATCTTTGGGAGTTAGGTGATTGAACTATAATCTTTGGGAGTTAGGTGATTGAACTATAGTCTTTGGGAGTTTGGTGCGTGAACTATAGTCTTGGGGAAAATGTGCATGAACTTTTGTCTTTAGGAGTTCAGTGCGTGAACTACAGTCTTTGGGAGAAATGTGTGTGAACAATAGTCTTTGGGAGTTAGGTGCATGAACTATAGTCTTTGGGAGTTAGGTGCATGAACTATAGTCTTTGAGAGTTAGCTGCATAAACTATAGTCTTTGGGAGTTAGCTGCATAAATCTTTATCTTTGGGAGTTAGGCGCATTAACTATAGTACTTGGAGTTAGTTGCATAAACTATGGTCTTTGAGAGTTAGCTGCATGAACTATAGTCTTTGGGAGTTAGGTGCATGAACTATAGTCTTTGGGAGTTAGGTGCATGAACTATAGTCTTTGGGAGTTAGGTGCATGAACTATAGTCTTTGGGAGTTAGGTGCATGAACTATAGTCTTTGGGAGTTAGGTGCATGAACTATATCTTTGGGAGTTAGGTGATTGAACTATAATCTTTGTGAGTTAGGTGATTGAACTATAATCTTTGGGAGTTTGGTGCGTGAACTATAGTCTTGGGGAAAATGTGCATGAACTATAGTCTTTGGGAGAAATGTGCATGAACTATAGTCTTTGGGAGATAGGTGCATGAACTATAGTCTTTGAGAGTTAGGTGAACTATAGTCTTTGGGAGAAATGTGAACTATAGTCTTTGGGAGATAGGTGCATGAACTATAGTCTTTGGGAGTTAGGTGCATGAACTATAGTCTTTGGGAGATAGGTGCATGAACTATAGTCTTTGAGAGTTAGGTGAACTATAGTCTTTGGGAGAAAGGTGCGTGAACTATAGTCTTTGGGAGATAGGTGCATGAACTATAGTCTTTGGGAGATAGGTGCATGAACTATAGTCTTTGGGAGATAGGTGCATGGTGACTTATGTGCATGAACTATAGTCTTTGGGAGTCAGGTGCATGACTCTTTTTGGAGTCTCAAGCTTAACCCTCAACAACCTATGGATAATCTTTGGGAGTTAGGTGATTGAACTATAGTCTTTGGGAGTTTGGTGCGTGAACTATAGTCTTGGGGAAAATGTGCATGAACTTTTGTCTTTAGGAGTTCAGTGCGTGAACTACAGTCTTTGGGAGAAATGTGTGTGAACAATAGTCTTTGGGAGTTAGGTGCATGAACTACAGTCTTTGGGAGTTAGGTGCATGAACTATAATCTTTGGGAGTTAGGTGCATGAACTATAGTCTTTGGGAGTTAGGTGCATGAACTATAGTCTTTGGGAGTTAGGTGCATGAACTATAGTCTTTGGGAGTTAGGTGCATGAACTATAGTCTTTGGAGTTAGGTGCATGAACTATAGTCTTTGGGAGTTAGGTGCATGAACTATAGTCTTTGGGAGTTAGGTGCATGAACTATAGTCTTTGGGAGTTAGGTGCATGAACTATAGTCTTTGGGAGTTAGGTGCATGAACTATAGTCTTTGGGAGTTAGGTGCATGAACTATAGTCTTTGGGAGTTAGGTGCATGAACTATAGTCTTTGGGAGTTAGGTGCATGAACTATAGTCTTTGGGAGTTAGGTGATGAACTATAATCTTTGGGAGTTAGGTGATTGAACTATAGTCTTTGGGAGTTTGGTGTGAACTATAGTCTTTGGGAAAATGTGCATGAACTATAGTCTTTGGGAGTTATGTGCATGAACTATAGTCTTTGGGAGATAGGTGCATGAACTATAGTCTTTGTGAGTTAGGTGAACTATAGTCTTTGGGAGAAGGTGTGAACTATAGTCTTTGGGAAATATGTGCATGAACTATAGTCTTTGGGAGATATGTGCATGAACTATAGTCTTTGGGAGTTAGGTGCATGAACTATAGTCTTTGAGAGTTAGGTGAACTATAGTCTTTGGGAGAAAGGTGCGTGAACTATAGTCTTTGGGAGATAGGTGCATGAACTATAGTCTTTGGGAGATAGGTGCATGAACTATAGTCTTTGGGAGATAGGTGCATGGTGACTTATGTGCATGAACTATAGTCTTTGGGAGTCAGGTGCATGACTCTTTTTGGAGTCTCAAGCTTAACCCTCAACAACCTATGGATATAAAAGAAGGTAAGAACAATTGTTGAAGATTTAAAGGGACAAATAATCTCTTTTTGCAAGTTTTGATTTATTTGCAAGTTGTGTACTTTTGAAGACTGGACTTCTGAATAAAATTGAAAAGCAAGTATTTGCATTTTATTGAATGTCGCTTTGAGTTGATTTGCGTCATGTAGTGTCTGAAATACAATGGGAATTTTAGAAGTTGACTGATTGCGAAAACAATAGATTTGTAAAGAAATGACGTAATTAAACGTACTCATCATAGTTATTGATATTTGCATGTGCGTCATTCATTGTGTTTATTAATTGCTTCCTGTCTTTTGTCAGAAATTGGTTAAAAGGACGTGTTGAAGACAGCCGAGTCATTTGGTCGCTGAGTTGGTGTCGGGTCGAAAGATTGTCTTGAAAGTTGGTTGATGGTAGAGCTTGAATACCGCGACGAAGAAGTTTTGGCCTTTAGAAGATTCGTTGTAAATGTTGGGAATGACAATGGATTATCGGAATATCGTTCTTTCGCCCAAGAAACGCAAAGAAAATACATCGTAGCAAGGTACAAGGTTTGTGTCGATTTTCAAATATTTGAACTTTATTGCGTTTGTAGTATACATGCCTGTATTTAACGTGTGATGTTTCATTGATCTATGGGAGTTTTGAGAAATATTGACCAACTGAAATGAGTAGAAAAGCATGTTGTTATATGTTTACGATTAAATTAAACTTAAGGAATACATTGCACGAGACTCGAGGGCAAAGCCTTCCAAATGGTGGTTATAAGACGCGTTATGTCTGGAAAACGTCAACTGATTTTCTTCGTGGTCTTTTTGTTTCTTGTCGTTTATCGTTAAGGCAGACTATTTGTGAATACAGCAGCTACATACTATTTGCCATCCGTAAATACAATTTATTTCTTATCAAAGTATCGAAGGCAAGAAATATACTCGCTTCAGTATTATATTTCATGAAATTCAGATGTATCGTACATGATATTTCACTTATATACGACTTTCGAAGTAACAATCATTCAAAAATTACATAGTATAAGTCAAAAGAAACGTGGAATGTGTTTTTTCTTCTTTCTAAATTTAATATTTGAGTTGACTGAAGTTGAGTTATCGTTGGTCTTATAATTTAGTCTTTTTTCAAAACTCGGTATAAAGTAATATTTAATCTAAATGTTTGAAAAATTGTTAAATTGGCTTGTGTTTTACAAAAATACTTTTTGCCAATCTTACACACTCAACTTTAAAACTTTAAGAGTTATGAAGAGTGCAAATTCATCGTGTTTATTTCCTTTTTCTTTTTAGGATTTATAGTTCTTCAATCAAGTTCATTACTGAAAGATGTTACATATGACAAACAAGACATCAAGAAAAATTGTACCAAAAAAGGGAACCTTACCTTACCTTACCTTACCTTACCTTACCTTACCTTACCTTACCTTACCTTACCTTACCTTACCTTACCTTACCTTACCTTACCTTTACCTTACCTTACCTTACCTTACCTTACCTTTTACCTTACCTTTACCTTACCTTACCTTACCTTTACCTTACCTTACCTTACCTTACCTTACCTTACCTTTACCCACCTTACCTTACCTTACCTTACCTTACCTTACCTTACCTTACCTTACCTTACCTTACCTTACCTTAGTGCGATTTTCGGGATACCTCCCCGCCCAAGGGATGAGACATAGTCTCCCCCGGGTTATGTTGTTGAGTCTTGCATGACCCCTTGTGAGTTTATACTTACTATTCTTCAGACAGTTAGATACTTCCTTCACTGTGCCTCAGCTAACCAGGGGTTTCATCACATCAATGGGTTCTTCTTATCTGTTCTTCAGACAGTTGACATCTCCTTCACTGTGCCTCAGCTAACCATGGGTTCATCACAACATCAGGTTCACATCAACATCTTCATTGACCCAGCCAGGATTTGAACCAGCATCATCAGCATCATACACAGGAACATCAGCCACTAGACCACACAGGTCATGTTGACAACTACCCATTACATAAAACTTATATGCATTTCCAACCCCTCATAAGCAAAAAAAATAATTAAATCGACACACCCACTAGTTCCCACCATTACAATTAAACACTTTTCATCTAATATTAAATAAACTCTTTATTTCATCTAATATTTAATAAACCTTTTATTCATCATAAACATTTGTTGTTCCAATTCTTTCCTTTGCATACAAACCCTTACATTGAGTACAAGCCATTTCTACTTGTCCAACTTCTTCCTTTGCATGCAAACTTTACTTCATGTCCAACTCTTCCCTTAGTTCTCTCTAAAAAATTCACCCTCAATAAACATTTACAATAAACACTTACTAAACAGGCAATCTTTTACATTATATACAAATAACATTATATAAAAGATGACGTTTCTCCGGATTTTTAAATGATTTTTATTGAGCTTTCGACTCGTTGCTTCAGCCTTCACCCATGGCAACGCATTTCACCCCATCCAATCACATTAATCCAATTAGATGCTCTAAACGTCTCCAAGCTAAAAGCACGTGTAAATAAATATCCTCATTCTGATGAAGGCTCGAAGCAACGAGTCGAAAGCTCAATAAAAATCATTTAAAAATCCGGAGAAACGTTTATCTTTTATATATTCAATGCCTGGATTACAAATTTTCAAACTTACAAATAACATTGCATCAAAAAATTTTAAACTAAATGATTTCAACCCAAAACTATCATTACATCTGTCTCCATGTATATCATCCACATAAATTAAAATCCCTGTTTCCCTCCCAGTTACATTAATCCTTAGAATGACCCTTCCTTGCTAATGTTCTAACAACCTTAGCACTAGTCATAGTAAAATAAAACTTTTCTCTCTTAAGATGACTACCACTGTGGTTTTTATAACATCAGTCAAAAATAACATTCCTTCTCAAGATTAATTCAACATCAACAAACTGCATGCACAAACACATATCAATCACATTTTATTCCCAATATATTAAAACATTTCCCACATATTACTTATTTCTTAACTCTCCTTATCTTACTCAAAACTTTCTTCAGCCTTACAACCCTTATACTTAAACATAATATAAATTTTCCAATACTTAACATACTTAGCTCAACCACAAATTTTCATGATCTTTTTCATAACCACAACCATTTTTTCCACCAAACTTTCACTCTTATATACAACTTTTCTTCATCATTTTTTCATGAGGTTCTTGTTAAACACTTCTTGCACCTGAAATCACAATACAATACTTACCATCATAAATAATTATAACATCCCTTACACTCAACATTTATTAAATTCAAGTCAACACACTTAATAACAAAATTTCTTTTTTAAACAACTTTTTCCTTACTGTTATATAAATAATCATTAAACTCTTTCCATTTCCCTTCAAAAAGTCAAACAACCATTTCACTTTTCCCAATTTGTGATAAACACAACCAAAACAAAATATTTAAAAATTTTCAAATCATCAAAAACTGAAAGTAAATCATAAATCAAAACAATGAATTTGTGCCGCTTGTTTATAACACTTTTCCTATCATGAAATATGTTTATGACAATCATCTATGTCAAAAATCAATTAAATCAACTAAAACTATCTCAACATAAACTAAACAATCTTTTTTCTTACTTACTTACATATCACAAAAGTCAAACAAAATTTAACCTCATTTTATGTGTGTTACCAATATACCATAACGTAGACTTCCACAAATATTTAATTCAATCTTCAAATCTCCATGTTTCATGTACAAGTGTTTTCAATCAACTCAATCCTCATTACGACAAAGTTTGAAAAATCCAAGCATCCTCCTAATATCATGCTCACTTATATTTTAAAGATTACATCAAACAATAAACTCTATTACCTCAACATCCATATTACACGTTAACTTCTTCTCTTCTTCAACTTTGCCAACTTCCTTATCTTCCCTTATGTAATATATCTTGCATTTTCTCCAAACATCTCCTACACTTTTCATAAGCCTCTACAAATACCACAAACATCTTTATTTCTTTTAAATAATTACAAATAATTTACTCCTACTTTTCCATTGAAAATCATTCACACCAAACACACATTTGTTTGAATAGATTCTTTAAGCAGCTACCTAACGTCTTACCTACTTACAAACATCTTCGAACTATTTTACAAAACACAAACCCCCAATAAACCCGTCAGTTTACAAATTACATGAATATTTTTTCTTTATATTATACCAGCCAAACTAAGCTTTTCCCTTCCCCTGGTTCTCCATTACTTCTCCAAGACAAACGCAACGTTTTTATTTGATATACTCCTTGAGAGTCGTCTTATTTCTTCCACTCCCAAGTCTTTAACAATTCTATCTTACATCTTCACATAGTTCTCTAGACAAGACTTCCAAAATGGCGGAACATGCCATACCATATCTTCATTTCAGTCAACATATTATACAATTTACAGCAGTTTCTACACCACTTCAAACTTTTAACTTATTTTAAATAACATGCCTTCAACTATTCCTTACTTTATCAAACCAACGTACCTTCAATAACAGAACATTGTCCGGTTGCGTTGCCCACGTTTATCATAAACTCTTCGACATTTATCAATTTGCCGACTTACAGAAACACTTTTCACAAATAATTCAAAACAAACACACATCGTTAACTAACTCCTATACTGTAAATCTTCTTACTTATCGATATAATATAATATTTTTCATAATCTTTCTGATAAAAAGTATGTCGGCCCTACCTACCTAAGAATTTTTGTAAAATCGCGCGTGATAAAAACGGTAAACTAATTCAAACCAACATCAAATCCCTATTGGACAAAACTCGTCACATGTTCCATACGTCATATTGAATCAAAATTCATCAAATTCTGCAAACATTATTTTTTATCATCGTTTAGAATACGTAAGTAGGCAATACATCTCGTGTATTTAATAAACGATCTCAATACTTTTACTTTTCCTTTACATATGAACTAACGTTATACTTTTTCCACATGCAAACAACATGGGCCATAATTATATATCTATTACAATATAATACAAAAAACACACTCTACTTTTTCATCTCACTTTTCTACAATTTCATCCATCTCAACTTTTAACTTCAAAATTGAGAACAATAAATCCTTTAACAGTAGTATAAAATCCACATCAACTAACTGAACCTGCCTAAGTACGTTTTAGAAATCACAAAAGTGATCCCTTTCCTAACATACAGCTTTCTTCCATGAACAGTAGACTGTACAGTTCAGTCTATATATATTGCAGTTTTTACTGAATTCTTAATCGACGGATTATTTCATATATCTATAAACAAACATCCACCAATTCCAATCATTTTATCCAATTTTACCTGATCATAACAAAAAAATTGTGTAACCAAAACCACTAACACACATTTGGTTACTCCAAATGTTCCCTTTCAACAAAAATTCATATAGTGTTTAAGGGCAAAAGATATCTCCATCTATTCGTCAAATTCATAATTTAATAATAAAAACATTTTAATGCTAAGAACTTGCAAACATGCTCATAATTGGAAAGATGTTAAAGATGATCACTATGATCATGATAATATACAGGTAATTTCACCTGATAATTTTTGCAAAAATTCCCAGTGAAGTTTACTTCATAGTTACACAGCAAAGACCAAATTTTATTGGCTAAAGAAGAACTTATTATTACTTGGCTCAGGCACATTACTTCAACAAACTTACATCATTGCTCATTCTAACAGCTTAAGACACTATTGCATGTATAAAACAAATAGATAATGATTGTGATGATGATGTGATTTATTAAATTAAATTATCTTTGTGCTCATCGGCTTTGCATCAAAGTACATTATTATGAACTAATTTTTCAGATACAACTAACTCCTCATTCCTCATGCCATACATCTTGCTTCCTATCATTTCCTTCACACACTACAGTCAGGTTGCATTCCTAGTATTGCTACCATTTCATGGAAAGATTGATTGGAAAAAGGCAGCGGTTTTTTTACTAATGAAAGGCTACTAACAATGATTCATTAGAGATTTGTCAAATGAAAAAAAATTTTCTTCTTATAATACCTATTTCGTGTCAATTGATAACATAGTACAAACTGCTTTTCACATAATCCATCCAAATCAAAAAGTTGTTAAATAATTGCATATAAACGACTTAGGATTCATGCCCACATTTTAGCTGAGACCATTTCAAAGGCTTCCTAACTATATAATTCTCCTTATTCTTTTAGGTAATGTATTCCCGTAAAACACACTAGCATTGACTATGTTTTCTAAACTACATTACCTGCAAGTTTATCAATTCTTCAGTCATATTCAAAAATCATCCACGACCTTTCATTTTACTATGCAATCACTTGACAAAATCTTTCAGCAGAGTTTTCTGCTGCTATTTATACTTGATCTTCCTATTTGAACTTCAACAATCCACTTTACTGATGATTGAACAAGATGAGCATTCTTTGCTTCTGAATCACAAATAGCTTGAGGTCTTCACAATTATTATCAGTAACACGAAAAACCTATGAGAATAATTATTGCAATTACTTGAAAATATGGACAAAATGACTTGCATAAATATGATGATTACTTTTGTTAAATTGAATTGCTAGATCAATTTTTTAAATCAAGCTTTACTTAGAAATAGAAACATGAAGAAGCATTCACCTCAATCATTTACAGAAGTTATCTGTAAGCATCTCCTCTGAGTCAAGTTTTTTCAACGCGATAGTTTATAGATATCTTCGTCCAAACAGATGGCGAAGAATACAACACATAAATAATGTTGGTATATGCACGAGTTTTGTTTAAAGGATTCCTCCATAAAAATGCACACCACCAAAGATTCTCTCGCTCATATTCAAACTATGTTGTGTTGAAAACTAATTCCATAACAGTCCAAATCACCAACTCTAACCAAACTGTAAATTTATTTTTTTCTCAAATGTCATGTCGTTTCAAACATCAAATTGGCATCACATTGGGCACAAAAATCAACACCACACTCCACTAGATTCCATCGCTTAAAATCAAGCTATATAAATTCACAACAAAATTTAGAAAATTAGTCTTAACCCTTGATCTATTGGCTCAGATTTTTTTAAACTTCACAATTTAAAGCATTTTATATCTTCTATAAAATAACAAAGATTTGGAGGTGGCACAAACTTAGAAACAAAAAATATTTACTTTAAACATATGTGACACCATGCTCCGCTTAATAATTATATATAAATATATTAGCGGATAACGCAAAAATTTAGAAAATTATTCATAACTCTTGATCTACTCACTTGGATATTTTCAAACTTCACAATTCTATAGTATTTTATATCCTGTATAATATATCAAAGATATGGAGGTGGCACGAACTTAGAAACAAGAAAAGATTCACTTTAAAGATATGTGACGCCATGCTCGGCTTAATAATTATATATAAATATATTAGCAGAAAGCGCAAAATTAGAAATAACTCTTGATCTATTCATTCAATATTTTAAACTTTACAATTCTATAGTATTTTATATCCTCTATAATATATCAAAGATCTGGAAGTGGCACAAACTTATAATGAGAAAAATTTACTTTAAAGATATGGACGCCATGCTCGCTTTATTATATATATATAAATATATTAGCAGAAATCGTAAAAAATTAGAAAATTACTCATAACTCTGAATCTATTCCTTCGGATATTTTCAAACTTTACAATTCAATAGTATTTTATATCCTCCATAATACCTGAAAGATTTGGAGATGGCACAAGCTTAGAATTAAGAAAAAATTTACTTTAAATTTATGTGACGATATGCTTCGCTTAATTTTACATATAAATAAATTAGGGGAAAACCCCTACATTTAGAAAATTAGCCATAACTCTTGATCTATTTCGTCCAGCTTTTTAAAACTTTACAATTCTATAATATTTTATATCTTCTATAATATATCAAAGATCTGGAGGTGGCACAAACTTAGAAACAAAAAAATATTCACTTTAAAGATATGTGACACTATGTTCGGCTTAATAGTTATATATAAATATATTAGCAGAAAGCGCAAAACTTTAGAAAATTATTCATAACTCTGGATCTATTCACTTGGATATTTTCAAACTTCACAATTCTAAGGTATTTTCTATCCTCCATAATACCTAAAAGATTTGGAGGTGGCACAAACTTAGAATTAAGAAAAAATTTACTTTAAAGATATGTGACGCCATGCTCGGCTCAATATTATATATAAATATATTAGAGGATAACGCAAAAATTTAGAAAATTAGCCATAACTCTTGATCTATTTCGTCCAGCTTTTTAAAACTTTACAATTCTATAATATTTTATATCTTCTATAATATATCAAAGATCTGGAGTTAGCACAAACTTAGAAAAAAGAAAATATTTACTTTAAAGATATGTGACGACATGCTTGGCTTAATATTATATATAAATAAATTAGGGGAAAACTCCAAAATTTAGAAAATTAGCCATAACTCTTGATCTATTTCGCCCAACTTTTTCAAACTTCACAATTCTATAGTATTTTATATCCTGTATAATATATCAAAGATATGGAGGTGGCACGAACTTAGAAACAAAAAAGATTCACTTTAAAGATATGTGACGCCATGCTCGACTTAATAATCATATTTAAATATATTAACAGAAAGCGCAAAAACTTAGAAAATTAGTCTTAACTTTTCATCTATTGGGTTCAACTTTTTTAAACTTCACAGTTTTATAGTATTTTATATCCTCTATATTATATCAAAGATCTGGAAGTGTCACAAACTTATAAATGAGAAAAAAATACTTTAAAGACACGGACGCCATGCTTGGCTTAATAATTATATATAAATATATTAGTAGATATCGCAAAAAATTAGAAAATTACTCATAACTCTGGATCTATTCACTCGGATATTTTCAAACTTCACAATTCTATAGTATTTTATATCCTCCATAATACTTGAAAGATCTGGAGGTGGCACAAACTTAGAATTAAGAAAGAATTTACTTTAAATAATGTGACACCATTCTTCGCTTAATAATTATATATAAATATATTAGCGGAAAGCGCAAAAATTTAGAAAATTACTCATAACTCTTGATCTACTCACTTGGATATTTTCAAATTTCACAATTTTAAAGGATTTTATCTCCTCTACATTATTTCAAAGATATGGAGGTAGCACAAACTTAGAAACAAGAAAAAATTTACTTTAAATTATGTGACACCATGCTTCGCTTAATAATTATATATAAATATATTAGGAGAAAACCTCAAAATTTAGAAAATTACTCATAACTCTGGATCTATTCATTCGGATATTTTTAAACTTCACATTTCTATAGTATTTTATATCCTTTATAATATCTGAAAGATTTGGAAGTGGAACAAACTTCTAATTAAGAAAGAATTTACTTTAAATTATGTGACACCATGCTTCGCTTAATAATTATATATAAATATATTAGGGAAAACGCAAAATTTAGAAAATTACTCATAACTCTGGATCTATTCATTCGGATATTTTTAAACTTCACATTTCTATAGTATTTTATATCCTTTATAATATCTGAAAGATTTGGAAGTGGAACAAACTTATAATTAAGAAAGAATTTACTTTAAATTATGTGACACCATGCTTCGCTTAATAATTATATATAAATATATTAGCGGAAAACGCAAAAGTTTAGAAAATTACTCATAACTCTGGATCCATTCACTCGGATAATTTCAAACTTCACAATTCTATAGTATATTATATCCTCCATAATATCTGAAAGATTTGGAAGTGGAACAAACTTATAATTAAGAAAGAATTTACTTTAAATTATGTGACACCATGCTTCGCTTAATAATTATATATAAATATATTAGGGGAAAACCTCAAAATTTAGAAAATTACTCATAACTCTGGATCTATTCATTCAGATATTTTTAAACTTCACATTTCTATAGTATTTTATATCCTTTATAGTATCTGAAAGATTTGGAAGTGGAACAAACTTATAATTAAGAAAGAATTTACTTTAAATTATGTGACACCATGCTTCGCTTAATAATTATATATAAATATATTAGGGGAAAGCGCAAAAATTTAGAAAATTACTCATAACTCTGGATCTATTCATTCAGATATTTTTAAACTTCACATTTCTATAGTATTTTATATCCTTTATATTATCTGAAAGATTTGGAAGTGGAACAAACTTCTAATTAAGAAAGAATTTACTTTAAATTATGTGACACCATGCTTCGCTTAATAATTATATATAAATATATTAGGGGAAAACCCCAAAATTTACAAAATTTGTCATAACTCTTGATCTATTCATTCAGATATTTTCAAACTTAACAATTTTAAAGGATTTTATCTCCTCTACATTATTTCAAAGATATGGAGGTAACACAAACTTAGAAACAAGAAAAAATTTACTTTAAACTTATGTGACGACATGCTTGGCTTAATACTTATATATAAATATATTAGGGGAAAACCTCAAAATTTAGAAAATTACTCATAACTCTTGATCTATTCATTCGGATATTTTTAAACTTCACATTTCTATAGTATTTTATATCCTCTATAATATATCAAAGATCTGGAGGTAGTACAAACTTAGAAATAAGAAAAAATTTACTTTAAATTATGTGACACCATGCTTCGCTTAATAATTATATATAAATATATTAGGGGAAAGCGCAAAAATTTAGAAAATTACTCATAACTCTGGATCTATTCATTCGGATATTTTCAAACTTAACAATTTTAAAGGATTTTATCTCCTCTACATTATTTCAAAGATATGGAGGTAGCACAAACTTAGAAACAAGAAAAAATTTACTTTAAACTTATGTGACGACATGCTTGGCTTAATACTTATATATAAATATATTAGGGGAAAACCTCAAAATTTAGAAAATTACTCATAATTCTTGATCTATTTCGTCCAACGTTTTTAAACTTCACAATTCTATAGTATTTTATATCCTGTATAATATATCAAAGATCTGGAGGTAGCACAAACTTAAAAATCAGAAAAAATTTACTTTAAAGATATGTGACGGCATGCTCGACTTAATAATTATATTTAAATATGTTACCAGTAAGCGCAAAAAATTAGAAAATTAGTCCTAACTCTTCATCTATTGGGTTCAACTTTTTAAACTTCACAGTTTTATAGTATTTTATATCCTCTATATTATATCAAAGATCTGGAGGTAGCACAAACTTATATATGAAAAAATTTACTTTAAAGACACGGACGCCATGTCCCTTAATAATTATATATAAATATATTAGCAGAAATCGCAAAAAATTAGAAAATTACTCATAACTCTGAATCTATTCATTCGGATATTTTCAAACTTCACAATTCTATAGTATATTATATCCTCCATAATATCTGAAAGATTTGGAGGTGGCACAAACTTAGAAATAAGAAAGAATTTACTTTAACCATGCTTCGCTTAATAATTATATATAAATATATTAGGGGAAAACCCCAAAATTTAGAAAATTACTCATAACTCTTGATCTATTCATTCAGATATTTTCAAACTTAACAATTCTATAGTACTTTATATCCTCTATAACACTTGAAAGACCTGGAGGTGGCATAAACATAGAAATAAGAAAAAATTTACTTTAAACATATGTGACGCCATGCTTGGCTTAATAATTATATATAAATATATTAGCGGAAATAGCAAAAACCTAGAAAATTACTCATAACTCTGGATCTATTCACTCGGATAATTTCAAACTTCACAATTCTATAGTATATTATATCCTCTATAATATCTGAAAGATTTGGAAGTGGAACAAACTTATAATTAAGAAAGAATTTACTTTAAATTATGTGACACCATGCTTCGCTTAATAATTATATATAAATATATTAGGGGAAAACCTCAAAATTTAGAAAATTAATCATAACTCTGGATCTATTCATTCGGATATTTTAAACTTCACAATTCTATAGTATTTTATATCCTTTATATTATCTGAAAGATTTGGAAGTGGAACAAACTTATAATTAAGAAAGAATTTACTTTAAATTATGTGACGCCATGCTCCGCTTAATAATTATATATAAATATATTAGGGGAAAACCTCAAAATTTAGAAAATTACTCATAACTCTGGATCTATTCATTCGGATATTTTTAAACTTCACAATTCTATAGTATTTTATATCCTTTATATTATCTGAAAGATTTGGAAGTGGAACAAACTTATAATTAAGAAAGAATTTACTTTAAACTTATGTGACAACATGCTTGGCTTAATACTTATATATAAATATATTAGGGGAAAACCTCAAAATTTAGAAAATTACTCATAATTCTTGATCTATTTCGTCCAACGTTTTTAAACTTCACAATTCTATAGTATTTTATATCTTCTATAATATCTGAAAGATTTGGAAGTGGAACAAACTTATAATTAAGAAAGAATTTACTTTAAATTATGTGACACCATGCTTCGCTTAATAATTATATATAAATATATTAGGGGAAAGCGCAAAAATTTAGAAAATTACTCATAACTCTTGATCTACTTACTTGGATATTTTCAAATTTCACAATTTTAAAGGATTTTATCTCCTCTACATTATTTCAAAGATATGGAGGTAGTACAAACTTAGAAAAAAGAAAAAATTTACTTTAAAGATATGTGACGCCATGCTTGGCTTAATATTATATATAAATAAATTAGGGGAAAACTCCAAAATTTAGAAAATTACTTATAACTCTTGATCTATTTCGTCCAACTTTTTTAAACTTCACAATTCTATAATATTTTATATCTTCTATAATATAACAAAGATCTGGAGGTGGCACAAACTTAGAAACAAAAAAAATTCACTTTAAAGATATGTGACGCCATGCTCCGCTTAATAATTATATATAAATATATTAGCAGAAAGCGCAAAAGTTTAGAAAATTACTCATAACTCTTGATCTATTCTTGATATTTTCAAACTTCACAATTTTATAGTATTTATATCCTCTATATTATTTCAAAGATCTGGAGGTAACACAAACTTAGAAACAAGAAAAATTTACTTTAAATTATGTGACACCATGCTTGGCTTAATAATTATATATAAATATATTAGGAAAACGCAAAATTTAGAAAATTACTCATAACTCTTGATCTATTACTTGATATTTTCAAACTTCACAATTTAAAGTATTTTATATCCATTATTTCAAAGATCTGGAGGTGGCACAAACTTAGAAACAAGAAAAAATTTACTTTAAACTTATGTGACGACATGCTTGGCTTAATACTTATATATAAATATATTAGGGGAAAACCTCAAAATTTAGAAAATTACTCATAATTCTCGATCTATTTCGTCCAACGTTTTTAAACTTCACAATTCTATAGTATTTTATATCCTCTATAATATATCAAAGATCTGGAGGTAGCACAAACTTATAATTGAAAAAAATTTACTTTAAAGATATAGACGCCATGTTCGGCTTAATAGTTATATATAAATAAATTAGGGGAAAACTCCAAAATTTAGAAAATTACTTATAACTCTTGATCTATTTCGTCCAACTTTTTTAAACTTCACAATTCTATAGTATTTTATATCTTCTATAATATAACAAAGATCTGGAGGTGGCACAAACTTAGAAACAAAAAAATATTCACTTTAAAGATATGTGACGCCATGCTCGGCTTAATAATTATATTTAAATATATTAGCAGAAAGCGCTAAAAATTAGAAAATTACTCATAACTCTTGATCTACTTACTTGGATATTTTCAAATTTCACAATTTTAAAGGATTTTATCTCCTCTACACTATTTCAAAGATATGGAGGTAGCAAAAACTTAGAAATAAGAAAAAATTTACTTTAAACTTATGTGACGACATGCTTGGCTTAATATTTATATATAAATATATTAGGGGAAAACCCCAAAATTTAGAAAATTACTCATAACTCTTGATCTATTCATTCAGATATTTTCAAACTTAACAATTCTATAGTACTTTATATCCTCTATAATACTTGAAAGACCTGGAGGTGGCATAAACATAGAAATAAGAAAAAATTTACTTTAAACATATGGGACACCATGCTCCGCTTAATAATTATATATAAATATATTAGCGGATAACGCAAAAATTTAGAAAATTATTCATAACTCTTGATCTATTCACTCGGATGTTTTCACACTTCACAATTCTACAGTATTTTATATCCTGTATAATATATCAAAGATATGGAGGTGGCACAAACTTAGAAACAAGAAAAGATTCACTTTAAAGATATGTGACGCCATGCTCGACTTAATAATTATATTTAAATATATTAGCAGAAAGCGCAAAAACTTAGAAAATTAGTCCTAACTCTTCATCTATTCCGTTCAACTTTTTTAAACTTCACAGTTTTATAGTATTTTATATCCTCTATATTATATCAAAGATCTGGAAGTGTCACAAACTTATAAATGAGAAAAAATTTACTTTAAAGACACGGACGCCATGCCTGGCTTAATATTTATATATAAATATATTAGCAGAAATAGCAAAAACCTAGAAAATTACTCATAACTCTTGATCTACTTACTTGGATATTTTCAAACTTCACAATTTTAAAGGATTTTATCTCCTCTACATTATTTCAAAGATATGGAGGTAGCACAAACTTAGAAACAAGAAAAAATTTACTTTAAATTATGTGAAGACATGCTTCGCTTAATATTTACATATAAATAAATTAGGGGAAAACTCCAAAATTTAGAAAATTACTTATAACTCTTGATCTATTTCATCCAACTTTTTTAAACTTCACAATTCTATAGTATTTTATATCCTGTATAATACATCAAACATCTGGAGGTGGCACAAACTTAGAAACAAAAAAATATTCACTTTAAAGATATGTGACGCCATGCTTGGCTTAATATTATATATAAATAAATTAGGGGAAAACTCCAAAATTTAGAAAATTACTTATAACTCTTGATCTATTCATTCGGATATTTTCAAACTTCACAATTCCATAGTATTTTATATCTTCCATGATATTTGAAAGATCTGGAGGTGGCACAAACTTAGAATTAAGAAAAAATTTACTTTAAAGTTATGTGACGCCATGCTCCGCTTAATATTTATATATAAATATATTAGCAGAAAGCGCAAAAGTTTAGAAAATTACTCATAACTCTGGATCTATTCACTTGGATATTTTCAAACTTCACAATTCTAAACTATTTTATATCTTCCATAATATATTAAAGATATGGAGGTAGCACAAACTTAGAAATAAGAAAAAATTAACTTTAAGGTTATGTGACGCCATTCTTGGCTTAATAATTATATATAAATATATTAGCGAAAACGCAAGAATTAGTCATAACTCTTGATCTATTCTGTCGGATTATTTTAAACGTCACATTAAAGTATTTTATATCCTCTATAATATATCAAAGATCTATAATATATTAAAGATATCAAAGCATTTCCAAATCACATACAAAATTTCTTTCAAATGACCAAATTACCGTCTATTTAAACGATGTATGTAATAAAAAGTTACCTTGACAACTGAAGCAAATCCTCCTTTTTCCAAGAAATTTACCGTTGTTTTTCGTCCTCAATCATGCTTGATTTGTTTCCCTGTTGGAAGTTTCATTTTCAAGTATTTCTTCTACCTTAATGCACAAATTACAATATCTGTCATAAATATTAGAGCATTGTTTAAGGCACAAATTATGCAGATACAAAGTTATCGAGGAAAATATAAACATCTTTAACATTCTCATGGATACTACGAGTGGCGTAACAAAGTGTTGACGAGTTTGATATGCATTTGTCAAAGCAATCTTAAGAAGACAAACAGCATACCTAGAATATTAGATAGAAAATTTGCTAAGCGCATATACAAGCACCAATTTCAGAGCTCGCTCCGTCCCAAATTAATTGAAAATTAATCAGAGCATGCGTAGTCAATTCCACCAACTCTCAAAGTTCATGGTCATGGCAACGACCATTGTATGTACTACTGCCGATCATGGATTAATTAGCTCACTTAGTCAAAAATTTTCACATAATCAACTGCGCATGCGCAGTCCGCTTAAGCATGCGCAGTCGACTTGACCAGCTGCACATGTTCATGGTCATGGCAACGACCAACTGCATCTACTAGCACCGATTTTGAAGTAAATGGATGCTTAGTACCAATTTAATAAAAAAACATCTGCGCATGCGCTTGAGCATGCGAAGTCGACTCGACTAATTGTTCATAGTCATGGCAACGACTAACTACATGTACTTGCCCTATATTTGGGTCAATTAGCTCACTTAAGTCGCAAATTATCAAAGAAATCATCTGAAATCATTATGCGTATAGTAGATGTCAACTAGCAGTGGAAGCTGGGTGCGATTAGGTATGCAGTGGCTTAGGGGCCCACACTTCGGTGGCGACCGTACTCTCCCTGCGTACCCCGAACAAAGCCTATCGCAGGTGATCTCGAGGTCTGATGGGCGGAAGTTTGCTATTGCATCTCCCAAGTAGGATAGCGTGGAGGGGCCGAAATCTCCTACCGAAACGTTAACATGCGGCGTTCTAGTGCCTTACGTATAACAAGGTATCGGGAGCATGGACCGAAAACGGGGTTTTTTGCTTTTGAATTTCATCTTTTTGTTTACAAAATAAACCATTGTTTATAAAATAAACCAAGCAATGTTTCAATTAACTTCTTCTGACCCTTATAATTCAAGATAACCTTTGTGTACCTTTGTGTCTACATTTATGTCTACCTTTATGTCTACCTTTATGTCTACCTTTATGTCTACCTTTATGTCTACCTTTATGTCTACCTTTATGTCTACCTTTATGTCTACCTTTCTACCTTTATCTACCTTTATGTCTACCTTTATGTCTATGTCCTTTATGTCTACCTTTATGTCTTTTATGTCTACCTCTGTCTATCTTTATGTCTACCTTTATGTCTATCTTTATGTCTTTTATGTCTTTATGTCTTTATGTCTTTTATGTCTATCTTTATGTCTACCTTTATGTCTACCTTTTATGTCTACCTTTATCTACCTTTATGTCTACCTTTATGTCTCCCTATGTGTCTTTATGTCTCTTTATATCTACCTTTATGTCTACTTTTATGTCTACCTTTATGTCTATCCTTTATGTCTACCCTTTATGTCTATCCCCTTTATGTCTCCTTTATGTCTGTCTTGTCTATCTTTATGTCTACCTTATGTCTACCTTTATGTCTGTACCTTTATGTCTTTTATGTCTACTTTATGTCTTTTATGTCTACCTTTATTTATGTCTGTCTTTATGTCTGTCTTTTATGTTATGTCTACCTTTATGTCTATATGTCTACCTTTTTATGTCTACCTTTATGTCTACTTTATGTATGTGTCTATTTATGTCTTTTATATCTACCTTTATGTCTACCTTTATGTCTTATGTCTACCTTTTATGTTCTACGTTTATGTCTACCTTTATGTCTACCTTTATGTCTACCTTTATGTCTACCTTTATATCTACCTTTATCTTAATCTTTATGTTACCTTTATGTCCTTTATGTCTACCTTTATATCTACCTTTATGTCTACCTTTATGTCTACCTTTATGTCTACCATTATGTCTACCCTCATGTCTACCTTTATGTCTACCTTATATCTACCTTTATGTCTACCTTTGTGTCTATCTTTATGTCTACCATTATGTCTAATGTCTACCTTTATGTCTACCTTATATCTACCTTTATGTCTACCTTTGTGTCTATCTTTGTGAAGTGACATAGCCAGCCCGCAAGTTTCATGCTACATGTAAATATTTTCATGTTCACTTACTGTAAAATAGATTTGGAATGAAATGAATAATAATGATAAAAAATTTACACAGTATGAACAAATTTGTGTGCCGGCCACACAATTGCCTTTTTGTCTGACTTTTTGTCTACCTTTGTGTCTATCTTAATGTAGAGCCCAATTATTGGAATAGAAAACATCAATTCTTTTTGGAATAATGATGATTTAAATGTGCTGCCCCCAGTTGCCCTAAATTTAAATATAAAAAATGAATTTGGAGATTTATGTGAAAGGAATTATGAGATTTCATTGATTATATAATGAATATAAGTATCTTTATTTTCGTTTTTAACAGTTAATTCAAAAAACTACCCAAAGTCATTCACCATGACAATATGCCGTTCAAAGTAATATTTCAATATTACTTCCATAGAAAGTGATTGCGGCCCTTTTTCCTTTTGCTTTTCTGACTCAGTAAACACCATGATACAAAACAATGGAATGTTTTCCATTCTTTAACTCAACAATTATAAAAGTAAAATTGCTGCTTACCAAGCATTTTGATTATAACCCATTCGATTTTCCTAATGCAGCAAACCCATTTAGCTGAATATCCCACTTCCCAACTTCTTTGCATCTCTGAATACATGATAACAATATTACAATCTTGATGAAAGATGCAGGCATGTACCTTGCTTGCAGCCTCACTGTTACTTAGGAAGGAAATTGAGGCTGCGATCATGCAATGGTAGAAAACATACAGACACAGTCATTTCAATGCTCACCACTTTTTGAATATAGGTGGTCAATTGGCAAGCCTCCAACAGCGAATCTAGCGGCTGCACCACAAATTATCACACAAAATATGCTCTGAACATACATTACGCATTCTGGATATATTTTTTCTCAGATTTATATACTCCTCATTTTCTTACAATTTTTACAAACCTATAAGTGCCAAACCATTAAATTACTGCCCATAATATAAAGAAACTGACAACACAGTTTATAAATAATACTCTTAAAAGCAAAACTACTTGATGTGAAAACGATGCTTTATCAAAGAAATTATTACTTAATTTAAAAAAGGGCAACTTTTCATATCTTTCCTGAAAACGTTCAGCTCATGCAAAAAAATGAGCAAAGTTTCAAGACGAATCAAGAACATTCTCAACTTCGGAGAAATGAAAACAAAAACATTACAATGCTTCGAATGGCGTCCAGCCAAACCATCAGAGAAATGTAATGGTAGCATAAAATTATCTAGAAAGTCAGTTAATTATTGTAAGTATTTTTTAACTCATTATTATAAACAAACCAACCTGTATGTTAAACTGAAACAAAGATTCCAGATTTTATCGCATACTTAAATAAGGGATTTACCTTTGCCATCCATACAAAGGAATTGCACACAATGAAACGAATCTAACTTAATTTAAATGGTTCATTGCTTTCAAACAATGATCTGAAACATTGCAAACCATCTTTTTTGGACCGAGCGGAGATGGCGGAAACGTGAAACGAGTTAATATTTTACTTGCAATATTAATAAATACTATAATATAATATATAACGAGAAAACAATAACAATGATAAACCCAAATTGTTAAAAACATTTTTGAAGTAAAAACGACTCATGCAAGGTAACTCACCTGTTCAACTTATGATGATGAAAATATAAAAAAACATGAAGATAAAATAAAACACGACAATCATTAGATCTTCCACAACTTTAGCTATGTAGCTATATGTCCACACAAGGTAAAGATCATTGGCAAGCAGTAAAAAGAGGGTTTTGTTATATCAAAGGAACGATAGACCATGCTCTTTTGTTTGTATCAAATGGAAAAGATTTTGATTTGTATGATTTTTCAGACACTGATTGGGGTGATGATATAGAGACAAGACGTTCTTCATCAGAGTATGTTTTTTAGAATTATGAACAGCGCGACGATAAGCTGGTGCACTAAAACAACATCTTAATCAAGATTTACAACGGAAGCCGAATATATTGCTTTGAGTTCAGTTTCACAAGAGTCCATATGGCTAAGAGGATTTCTGAATGATTTTGAATTGTTGAAACCTGTCCCTACAACTATTAATGAAGATAATCAGGGTGTCATTTAACTGTACAAGAATCCTAAATTTTCTAATCGCACAAAACAAATCGACTCAACAGTTCATCGTTAATCTTAGAAAAGTATGCAAATGAGTGCTGTCATAAGTTTGACGTTCTTGTCTTGGACAAAACAATCTTCACTTTCGATTTTAACGCAAGAATGTCGTTTCTCGAAATAAAAAATAGCCTTAACATAGTAAAGCTAAAACTTGTTTTTGATAAGTGTAAAGAAAAATAAACTATTCACCTCTTGGTTTCGTCTTAGTCAAACGCACACCATCTTTGTCGAAGTCGAGCACAACTATCTTTTTCGGCTTCGGAATTCGCCTTTTCTGCTTCCTTTTAGGGAACGACAAAAAAGAAACCTTTTGGTACGTTAAGTAGTAGGTAGGAGAAACGTATTTAAAATTAATTGAGGCAGAAACAACATATATTTCAACCCTAAAATCGTCGTTTCTTTACAGAGATGAAGTGAAGAAGTTTCCATTCTGACGTGAACGACGCGGGAAAATTATCTCGTTTTTGAGAAAGAATTAGGACGTCACGGCGATAATTTCCGATCGTGAGCTCGTCGGAATGATTCAATATGGCAACTCTACTTTTTTCAACAAATCTTCAAAAGTATTCATTATTAAATTTAAGAATTTCGCGTAGTTACACGACTGGTCATTGTGAAGTTGTTAACATAGTCAAAACTCTTATAAATACAAACTCTCCCGTCCTCTCCTCCAAATTTTCGATCTTCTTACGGTCATGTGAAGCAAAAGCAGCGAAGTAAACTAGTTAGTGTGTTCAAGAGAAGGTAAAAAGGGAGGAAAATTAGGAAGAGGATTCAAATTATTTTAATTTGGTGTATATGAAAAAGAATTGGAGTGGAACTTATCTTAATTGACGAGAGGGTTATAGAGTAGAGAATTTCTGACAGAGGAATGCACTCGCAGTTACAAATTAATTTGAAATTTTTTACTTGTATTGATTGGTCATGTCCCCGGAGTTAGACATGTAAAATGCGACGTTTGAAACGTTTGATTCTAACTTTGATTATTGGTGAAGTTCGATGTCTATATGTGTAAGAGAAACTGACATTAATAGTATATTATTTTGGTAAATGTAATTAAAACCATGAACTATAAAAATGTCAATCTTCGTGCTTAGCTCAATTTTTGCTTTGCTTCGTTTAAGATTATTCCTGTAGTAATTTGATACAGAGTCTGAAATAAGAAAAAAATCTTTTATCTAAAATTGAAACAGCACCCTCATTTATTACGCTTCTCAAATACCTGTGCATGTAGAAATAAATGTATCCATCCAGCATTTCATCATATCGTACAGTATATTCTTTTATCTAAAAGATATCAAACCCCAAAATGTGTTGTACAATCAAACTGGTGTGAAAAGGATACGGAAAAGGCAACTAAATTTTATCTTACTTTACGAACGCGGATATCGTCATAACGGTTCCATTGTTCATTTTTAACATCGTACACATCACTTACATAATGACCTTCAATAAATCAAATTTATATTCTTCAAATACCCTTTCATTTTCACAATTATATCAAGGATAACGGTTAGATTTACGTTTAAGGTGCTTGAAAGATGTTTAACTTACCGCCCGAGGGAGTAGATCCTCGATGACTTACAACACTTACAATTCTGTACATGAAATCATCTTTGTTTTTCTGATCATCATTCTAAAAAGTTAACAAAGATACACATTATTTCTTTCTGATAGATTTTTAACAAAGACGTGACTTATAACTAACCTCCAAGTCAGATGTCCCTTGATGTAGTTCCGTATCCACAACAGCTTCTTGTCTTGCATCTATAAAACAATGTACATTGTACATGTAACAAGTGCTCATTCCTTTAGTAAAAAAAAGCTTAAAGCAATGCTTCAACAATATTACACCTAATTCAGAGTCATCCCCACTAACCTTGAAGACTCAATAGTATGGCTTGATCTAATTGAGATTGTTCCAATGCCTTTTTATCCTGCAATTATACACAAATATATAATGATGTTTCTATATCTGGTTGAACACAAACGAGCAAAAATTTACATAAACCACAACTATGATCAAGAAATTAAGACTGTTTTCTCAAATATTGCCTTACATGTTCAATCTTGCTTAGTTCGACAGCCCGCATCAAGTCGTCTTCTTCATTTCCCTCAGAAACCGCATGCCATTTTTCTTTCTTTGACCCTACAACTTCGTTTGACGTTCTTCCTTTTAATCGTCCGCTACTGAGGTAGGGAGGTATCTTGCCATCGTTTGAATTCCTAACTGCTAAATTTCTTTTTTTATTCGAAACAAAATCGTCGCTTTCCTCTGAGTCCATAGGTATTTCATTCAAACGTCTAAATGTAAGCCCTGTTTTTCTCTTTCCTTGCTTTTGTTTATTTCTCGCATCGTCATGAAAACGAGGTAATTTTTTTATATTTTTGTCGCTTTCTTCTTTGTTATTCATTTCATCGAACGAAAGCATGCGTTTTCTGGGAGTTCTTGTGCCACTGTAAAAATTATGTAAAGCGCCACCTTTCAACCTTGCCGTAGTCTTGCTGCTATAGCCAATATTCTCTTTGCATGTAAATGTTTCATTTTCTTTTACACTTTCTCGTTTCGCAAGCTCTAACAGTTCGGTTTCACTGAGCAAAAAGAGATTTTCATTGCTTGATTCGAGAGAATTTAGTCCATTCTTGCCGCTTAAACGCAAAGAAATCGCTGTTATCAAAAATACAGGTCTCGTCGTGCATTATTAGCTTTTTCAACGTTATTATTAAGTATCTTCAAATCACTGTGTAAAATCCTCAACCATACATATCATGATTTATGATCTCTCATGAAAAGATTACAACAATAACATACCTCCATTCATCTTCAACAGACGACATGTTCAATCGCCTTCGAGACTTGCATAAAACGGAAGGATTGTCCAAAAATGGCGTACCGTCATCATCCAAGTTGAACTGACAATTGCTGTATGAAAGACACATGTTCCATATGTAAGTTGCAACCAAATGATTCGTTTATCATGTTTTGAATTTGAAAACTTGCATCATCCAAATGGAAAAGAGATATGAAAAGAGATATTTTGTTTTTCAAAGAAATATACTTTACACGAAAAGAAATCCTAGTGAGAAAGCTTCGCAACTAGTGAGAAAGGAAATTCACTAAAATATAGAAAAAAAGAAGAAATTCTCCCTGGATACTTTCAAAAATACCTAACTGAAGATTTCAATAAGAAACTATTCGGGGGGGAGTGGCCTCTGTGTCTATTTTATGGTTGCAGCGGCAAATCAACGACGTAAAACGTTTTTGTAAAAAATCAAAAATTACCGACGTTGAACTTTGTAGTTGATTATTCAGTTTTAAAAGATGTTTATCTTGGCGCAATCCTTAAGCCATTGAATCCCATGGTTCACCTATATACGTTTGTCGATTAAAACGAGCACCGCTCTTCCTATCCCCGCATCCAACAGAATAAGGCATTTACCTTGTATCCTTTATATTCAACGGGGGAGGTCCTGAAACATTCTCGCTACAAAAATTACCTTAAAGAAAGAGAACAGCATTGAAACAAGATATGAAGAGGGTAAAGTAAATATATATCATAAAAATAGGTAGGATGACTTGGCTACTGCTACAAAAAAATAGCAGATAAGCGAGCGTAGTTCAAGATGTATAATAAAGATCAAACTTTACAAATTGTTCAATCAAATGACTAAAGCGCGTAACCCTTTCAGGATCAGGGATGCACATAACAAAACATGGGAGGTGTTAAACGTAATCTCTAGGACTTGGGACCCTCGTTGTGACCGACATTTTGGTTTAAATAATTCATAGAAAAAGGCTACAATCTGAGCCGGAGAAGCATTTTTTGTCATGTATCATTTTATGGACCGACTGTTTGAAATGTTTTACCAAACTTTTTTTGTCTACCTTTTCGGTCTAACTTTTTGTCTACCATTTTCTCTACCTTTTTTGTAAAATTTTTTTGTCAACATTTCTTTTTTGTCTACGTTTTTTTGTCAAACGCTCTTGCATCTATTACTTGGCACGCGACTTGGCAGCTCATGTACTTACATCGTCTACATTTAAGTGGCAATAAATCTGATTTCACATGAATTGAGAAATATATTCATTGAAATTGTTACTGAGAACCATTTTTTGGTATAAATACTAAAACGTAAACAGCTCATCTTTCAAAATCATTTTCTAAAGTGTATGATACGTATGTCATATGGCGTTCACTTAGCCGATAAATCAACATACGCGATACGACTTGTATTTATTTACATTTATGCATCGTCGACACTTGCAAAAGTTTGATAATTGCTTCAACGTGTGTGTGGTAAATCACCATCATACTAGAGTTTGATGAAAAATCAAAAAACCAGAGAACGTTTACACTATTAATATTATTATGTCTACACCTGGGAACACTTCATCAATATTTTCTATTTACGATATTTAAATGTCATTGTATATTCTCACCTATCTTAAGGTGACGATCTGCATTGATTCTGTTTGAATTTTTCTCTTCAATTCCACTGCGAGGATCGAACTCACTTCGCACGAGATGCAAGATAATTATCCTGAAAGAACGTTAACAGCTTCAACTCAGTTCTTGAGATAGAAATTGAAAAACTAAGAGTACTGATTGGATTGCTAAATCTTAGAAAAAGAAATGTTATAAACTACAGAAGACACTTAAACTCCTCTCCTTTTTGTGTAACAACTTGTGTATTGATTATCGCTGCAAATGAAACTCAAGGCTTTCACTCCTTCGTTGTAGGGGATGAATGACTTATTCAATATTTCACAAGGATCAAAAGGACATACAGAATACCAGCTTACATAAACGTATATACATTTGCCTACCTTGGCATTGATATAATTTTTACATTTTGAACAGCCGTCGCACATTCACATTTCTCACATTTTCTCTCAAGTTCCTCATTCTAAATAATGAAAAATGACAAAATAAAAAACAACGTAAATGAAGCACGTGACGACTTGGTCAATGGATTGAAAAGTCGAAGTGCTTCCATTTGCCAAAACCAACTTCATTGTTGTTCACACGAAAACCTTGTACTTAGTTAGCATTCGAGTGACAAACATAAATTTTCTTTTAAACATGCTTCGTTCAAAGTTTCAAAATGCTTCCTTGCAAGAAAAGTCCATCCTCATAAAAAGTTTCTTAATTCCTTTTCAAATGTTAGTCTATCACACATGTTTAAATTTAAAGGTTCAGCTTTGAGTTTGCTGTGAGCAAAAAAATTGATTCTATTCAGATTCTCTCTCTTAATATCGGGAAAATGCATAAAAACTAAAGGCAAATTTTCCAGTTTCCAACTGACGCAAAAAAAGAAAAATGTCACATTCAATAGTCGTTGAAAAAACTTTTCTACCTTAAAAAAATTCCCAAACAAAGCGTTCATCTTTATCCCGCCGCTGCAATCCTTTCTATAAAGATAATAGACAATGTGAAAATCATACCAACATTTATTGACGTTTACTCTATCGTATACGAAAATCATACCAACATTTATTGACGTTTACTCTATCGTATACGAAAATCATACCAACATTTATCGACGTTTACTCTATCGTATACGAAAATCATACCAACATTTATTGACGTTTACTCCATCGTATACGAAAATCATACCAACATTTATTGACGTTTACTCTATCGTATACGAAAATCATACCAACATTTATTGACGTTTACTCTATCGTATACGAAAATCATGCCAACATTTATTGACGTTTACTCCATCGTATACGAAAATCATACCAACATTTATTGACGTTTACTCTATCGTATACGAAAATCATACCAACATTTATTGACGTTTACTCTATCGTATACGAAAATCATACCAACATTTATTGACGTTTACTCTATCGTATAAGAAAATCATACCAACATTTATTGACGTTTACTCTATCGTATACGAAAATCATACCAACATTTATTGACGTTTACTCTATCGTATAAGAAAATCATACCAACATTTATTGACGTTTACTCTATCGTATACGAAAATCATACCAACATTTATTGACGTTTACTCTATCGTATAAGAAAATCATACCAACATTTATTGACGTTTACTCTATCGTATACGAAAATCATACCAACATTTATTGACGTTTACTCTATCGTATACGAAAATCATACCAACATTTATTGACGTTTACTCTATCGTATACGAAAATCATACCAACATTTATTGACGTTTACTCTATCGTATACGAAAATCATACCAACATTTATTGACGTTTACTCTATCGTATACGAAAATCATACCAACATTTATTGACGTTTACTCTATCGTATACGAAAATCATACCAACATTTATTGACGTTTACTCTATCGTATACGAAAATCATACCAACATTTATTGACGTTTACTCTATCGTATACGAAAATCATACCAACATTTATTGACGTTTACTCTATCGTATACGAAAATCATACCAACATTTATCGACGTTTACTCCATCCTATATAGTGTACTTACGGAATATGAAGAGAAAAATGATAAAACACTTCATTTTTTATCACAACATCTTCACATCTAAGATGGACATAGAAATATTTTAATAAAACCTGCTGATTACGTACAATGACATAAAAAAGTCAATTAACACTTATCACAATTTGTAAGTAAAATATATAAAAAGAAAATGAAAAATGACACATAAGTAGGTGTTGTTGTTAGAATACATTTTTTCTTATACTTACTCCGTACACTTGATGTACTTCCTTAAACAACCTTCAAAGTTTTTCGACACAGGACACACCTAAAAATACCAGACAAAGAACGAATACAGGTGAGTCTTGAGTTGTGACTAATCGTAATATGAACAGAATTGACGGTAATCCAGGTAGCACAGTCTAATCTATCTCAAAGCTAAATGTGTCCAATATTCCGTAATTTATCAAATTTGTATGTCTAAATAAGAGAAACTTTTCTAACTATTGGAATGGCTTTCATCCACATAGCTTTACAAACACTTTAAAACAATGATTTGAATAAAAATTTCTCCAAAATCAGAGGCCGCGCAAGCTCGATAATTGGGGGGGGGAATATTCATATATGCATGTTATTCCTTAGTAGCTTCTATCGAAATCAATAGTGGTGATGGATTAACAAAGATTAAAACATGCGAATATATAAATATTTGTCCCCCCCCCAATTATCGAGCTTGCACGGCCTCTGAAAATAAGGGAACCATTTATCTTTTTGTGATTAATCACACAACTCTTCACAATTACAAAACCACTTCCCTCAAATGTTGACAAAACTGGGTCGCATCAAAAATGTACAACAATACCTTAATATTTGACTCGCCAAATGTTGTACCCGAAACATGCTGAACTTCTTCTATCAATTGGTGAAGACAAATGTTCAGAAATTCGTGAGCGTCCTGCAGTAAGAAGATAACGCAATCATAAAATGACCATCGCATGTTTTGTGAACATCTCAAGAGAGAGTACTAAATGTTTGTAAATGTAGATCGTCCAGGTTGGTATAGTCCTGAGAAGGACTGTTTTTGTTGTTGTTGACTGACGTTTTGACAACCTTAGCGGTAGTCATCTTCAGAGTCAAATGAGGAGTAAACGTCAGGTTAGCCTTAATTGTTATCTGGTTCTTAAGACATTGTATCGTGTGCACAGGAAATGTGTGGGTGTCAATTGTGTATTGTCATTGTGAATTAGTGCGAAGGGTAATGTTTTTAATTGTGATGTAACGATACTCCCGGGTTCAAACTATCTACTTAAGAGAGTAATTATTTAAGAATCATAAACGAGAACTTTCTATTTCATTCTTGAATGTCAACCTACATTTTGTGAAGTTCCTCTAAACCTCCGCGTATTTTCGCTGCTTTTAAGAGAATTCTTTAATCGTCTTAAAGTATTCTCCTTCCTGAAATTATTCTTGATGTCTTCGTTCTTGCATTTGTAAAGATCATAGAGACATCTGAAAATAAAATAATTGTCAAACATGACAGAGAAAAAAAATCAACTTTACGTACGATCATGTTAATGATAAGAACGTATTGAGTCCACCTACCTGTATAATGAAGAATGACCCACAGAATCGAGTGTTTTTTTATTAAAAAGATCTTGCACAAATGGATCCAAACCAAGAATTGATTGAAGAATCGAGTTCATGTAACAAGTATTTCCAAGATTCGTGAAACTGAAATTGTTAAACATAAAGGCTTCATATCAGTACAGAAACTGAAGGCCTCAAGAACACGAGTGACGTTTAGAAACTAACCCTCGTGACGTCACTTCATCCTCATCTGAGTATGTATAGTTCAGAATGGCATGTTTTACATTATTCGATCGAACTGATAACAATGGCAAATTTGTGTTTTTCTTCCCAATAGAAGAAGAGTTACCGCTGTACAATGATGAATGGAAAGACGGTGATGCCGACTGGGTCGAAGGACTGAAGTGTGAAGACTTTCTTTTCAATGGCTTCCTCGTGTTTAATGTTGGCTCAGAGCTAAAAGTGAAGGAAGATTGTTAGTTTATTTTTGAAAATATATAACTCATGAAATATATGTCATTTATTCAACGATATACGCACAGAAACAAAAAGATTGTGAGCAAGAAAGGAGGAAACGTGTGAAGACAGGGTAAATAGGGTGAAGGAAGGTCACAGGTGTTTTATGTGATGAAAGACAATCAGCAAAAGTGAACAGAAATGTTTACACAACAGTAGCGGGATTCAGATATTACATGGTTTAAAGAGAGTAACAATGAAAAACAAACAGAAGGCAGACCTGAATATTGCAGAAATGAAGATGTTGAGCCAGTTGAGGTTCTCTTGAGAAGTGACACGATTAGACAGAATAAAGAATGAAGATATAAAAAATATTAAATGCTTTAGAAACTAAAGTATAGAAACAACTCTACAATGAAATGGAGATGTTTAACGAAGGGATAGTGATGGCTGATTAAGAAATAGACCAAACAGTCAGAGAAACTGAAAGAGAACATGAAATAAGGGAATTTGCAACAATAGCAAACAGTAAATAGAAAAACATGGACACGATTGATTTGGTGAGGCCACTCCTGACAGAAAAATCCATAAAAACAAGTAAGACAAAGAGACAGAGATTTGTACATTTTTTACACGATTTGATGACGAACAGTGACGCAACATGAAAACGTGTTAAACTTGGCAATAAATTTTGATGAAAATAGGAGCAAAATCAACAAAAACAGTGGAACACTTACATTTCACGTTTATTGCCATAGAAAAAACGATCAGATTTCGAGTAACCTTGGAAAGAAAAAATACACTTAAAGTTTAATCCATGTACAACGGATCAAAACTCTTAGCTAAATTGCGCATTTTTTAGACCCCAGGTCAAACTATAGCAGACCAATCCTGCACTTTAAGTATGTTCTACGTATATTTCTATAAAACGATAAAAGACACCATCCATTTGATGAGGAAAGATTTCATACTTTGAATGCTGTCCTTGCTTTTAGTTGGTTTTCCTGGGGATGCAAATATTTCACACCAATCATCAACTTGGATACCACTTGGAGATTCCATTTTACTTGATGAAGCAAAGATATCAATGTTTTCTTTCTCCAACTCTCGCTGTTAATAACATAAAATATACTTTGGTCAACAATTAACAAAGAAAACATCATAAATAGAACATTCAAAAAGTATAGCTTCATTTTTATATACTTGATAAGAAGAACTATGAAAATATTATTCAACTCCAACTAAACTTGCTTTCTTTCGAAAGATTTCAAAAGTTGTGCATGCTCAAGTAACTTTACTCCAGCAAACATTACAAAAATCCTCCATAATCCCATTCTTGTGTTTCATTACATAAAAATGACATGCAGATTTTATCAATGTTTAAAACATTAATTTTTAAAAATTTCCTTGTTCCTGCTGCTAGTTCATTAATTTGAAAACTTGGAACACATGTAAACGCAGAATTCAACATCCATAGAAATGTTTAATGCAGGAGTCTACATTTATCTGTGTCCTTTTGGAAACACCCACACTAATGGCTTCCCAACCAGTCTATAGCATTGTGATGGTTCTATTGCATGGAGCGCATTTTGATAAAGTCTCGGGATCATTGTTCAATACCTCATATAACTCATTAACAGTTTCTTTGATTTTTCCATTCAATGAATGAATACATGCATACTATAAATGCTTTACATTACCTGGGACTTCACTGACTGTGTGCGACGCATAATCTTTGCCTCATGAAAAGATAATTCTCTTCTTGACTTTGTCTTCCTTTGACGATTAATTGTTGAGAACTTATTCTGCAGCAAAGAAGGTTTTGAGGAAGGAAGCTCATTCTGACCAGAACTATTCCCCCAGTTCATGTGTTGAACATCTGGAGTTTTTTCTATCAAAAAAAAATAAGGCAGTATTTTCATTTAACACAAAGACATGGAACAAAGAAATACTGTGTGAATTATGGAAGAATTTTATCAAAACAACATTTGCATGTAAAGCTACACACCTTTAAACATTTCAACACACTCTTCCTTTTCTGGTGTTTGAAATTCACGAGACAAATTCCCAGGCTTGACACCTTTCAAAAAATGTTGAATTTTCAAATTACCACTAGCTTCTTTTGACACAGCTAAAAAATAAAAAAAATAAGTAGCTCATTAAAGACAATGACAATAAAGAAATAAAATACAATGTCAATGAAATTGCCAGCAGGTACAAGTTTGTTTCTCTCAAATGTCCATTTCACAACCCCTCCCTTAAACATTCAGGATAAAATACACATGAAAGTCAACATCCTTTAACACAGGGGTCTTCAAACTACGGCCCGCAGAGACAATTGAGAAAAAAATAATAATATCATTAAACAAAATAAACTTTGTGCATAAAAGAAAAAGAAAAGTAGATAATGAATGTCGGCAATTTCAAGAAGAGTGAAGTGTAAAATACTTCTTCATCACTCTTTGACCAGCGGTATACGGTTCGTAGGCCCTCAACATGCTGAATGAAAGTTCATGTAGCTCTCTGGCTGTAAAGTTTGGAGACCCCTGCTTTATCACAAGCACAAACAATGTAAAATAAAGTTTTATTGTACTATGCTGCTAACAAATGTGTATTCTAGTGTCATAAGCAATGAAATATGAATAATATAAACACTAAAAATCAAAAGAATAGTTGCTCATATTAAATAGTTATCAGAAAAGTCTTGTTCAAGAACAAGAGATTCAATGTCCCCAAAATGTCATTTCCAGCATTTCAAAGAGAAACAAAATCTATAAATTTATTGTCAACTCACTTTCACACTTGATGCGATGCAAAACAGCTGTGAAATCTTTAATATCCTTATTGTTTCCATTTTCCAAACAAAAGCAAATTTTTCCATACATATTGAATTCCAAATTCATTTTACCATTTTCTGAGAGGTCAACATTTACTGTGTGCAAGTTGTAAACATCCAACTGTAAAAGAGATTATAAAAATAATAATCAAAATGATACAAATGTAGACATTACATACATAGATATAGAGCTGGTTTATATAAAGTTTTCATAGCAATCAAAGTGCTTATCCTATGGTATATTATATCAGCGTGCGAATTAGTTCAGAAAAAACGATGTGCAATTTTTTCGACAAAAGTGTTTCTTTAGAGCCATAATTAAATCAATATTACGTTAATTATTATATAGTGCTAATTGCTAAATTAATATTTTTATATGTGAACAAATTCATATGATTTACGACAGTGTTTTTCGTTAAAACCGCAGATTTTTGCACATCGTCTGAAAAAGTGATGTGCAATTGTTTTCATTTTAGCTAAAACGATGTGCAAATTGCACATTGCACACCGTTAATTCGCACACTGTATTATATATACATTCATTGATGTCTTGTCAAGAGATTTGCCAGGCAGAAAGCAAATTCTCATTATTAATATGATAGCCTAACATCAAACATTTAACAGAGCCATTATAAGAAAAAATAAAGTAAAACATTTTTTAATGATGACATTTTGTCTTTAACTTAAGACATTTTCAGATACTATGACAGATATTTTATGATACATTTCATCAATCATCATTAAAAAATCTTTTACTTTATTGCAAGTCTTATGTTGGGCTGAAACTTTGACGTATTATTTTACTCTAGACAAAATACTTTACAATGAACAAGCCTAGCTTATGTTTTCAACTTTGTATCATTGAAAAGCATCGGAAATAAAACAATACTTAAACTTTCGTAATGTCAATGGACAATGTGAAGATATAGTAAAGATTTTGTTCAGATATTTAGTTCAAATGAAACGAAGGAGATTGTGGTAAACATGTGGTAAACATCAGGTTGCGTACCTGGTAAACAACAATACCTACAAAATAATATCATAAACTACACGTGTTTTGCAATGTTTACAAACACCGTAAATACCTTGTAGACTTTACTTGTTTTCCTTATAATTTGACCATTGCCATTATATAAATGAGCGCAATAAATTTCGTAGTTATTGTTCAATCGTCGAATTTCTAAATAGCCTGGTTTGGCTCGCTTCTCTGGTTCTTTACGTCGTACATCAAGCCATTTTACCTTTCCTTTAAGATGATATTCAACAATATCTCTACTTAGAGACGCCGCCATGACCATATGCAAGTGCGCGAGCATATCTTGAATTTCGCGGGTTAACGCGGGAGTGTTGCCTGTAAGAGATATTACACCTGTCAAGCCCCGAAAAGTAGCAGGCACGGTACGCGCGCACCGCACAATATGCAAAATAGTACAATTTGATGTCAAAAATAAGGTACAGGGCAGAGCAGTTTCATCTGGAATTCACGTGTTTGTGTCGTAATAATTTCATATCACTATATTTCTAAAATTTGGAATGTAATAATTATACTATATTTCACATTTCTTGAAAATTATCTGCCTTAGAAGTAGAAAGCTTATAAATTGAATTTCTAAAATTTGTAAATTGCGATTATAAAAGAGCATAAACGTTGATTAAAAATTCAATTTTAAAACATCTTATTTTGTCAGACTTGACGAGATTTAGTCAATATCATATCGGCAACATTGTTCAAATCTAATTCCCTGAGTGCTTTAATGATTATTCCAATCTTTGCTTCTTTCCCCATTCTCTCCATCCATTTTGTAAGCATTTTCACGGACTGTTCGCGTGTATTGCCGGGATAATCGACCCTAATAGTGTCGTCTAACTTCCCAAGTTGCAGCTTGCGAGCTAGACCTGGCCAACTCGTGCCCAGTTCTTTCGCAATATCATCCAACCAATCTAAGAAAAAGATATAAACACTTTGCTAGGATCTTCAAAAATGTAATTGAAAAATAAAGAAAACAGTGGATGTTATGGATATAACAAAGTTTGCATTTCAATTTTCATACGATACACCGTAAACATCACGTTAATGATACACCCATTGTCATCACATCTATTGACATCATCACACACAAATACACAATTTAACGCAATTTACCTTGCCTCAAACAAACATCAGGAATTTCAGTTGATTCTGGATGAAGATATTCCTGAAAAGCAACTACATAAAGATAAAAATTGCATTAAATCACAGAATGAAAAGTGACCAGAATGGCCGAAATTCAGCTATAAAGTTATCTTAAATGATACCTTTTGAAGGAAATAAATGATCCATATTTACTTTATGAGGAACACCATCTATTTTTGCTGGACAACATACGTAATTTCTTCGATTTTCACTGACTCGAAACCAGTCTCCAGTAAAACGATAGGGAGAGGTGACACCTAGTTTAACACATTGGGGGCAAGTTGTGAAAGTGACAAATTGCATACCAGGCCATTCTTTCAGCAGTTTCTGCAATTCCTAAAATTCGTTACAACTGTAAAACTTAACAATCCATTGAAAATGACGAGGAGGAGAAAATCTTATGTAAATTTTTGTCGACAAACCAATGACGCAGCTACGATACTTGGGAAGGGTGTGCTCATGTATTCATACTATAATCCGCAGGAAACAGCTGATTTCAAAGAAAGTAAATACTTCAGAATATGAATAATTAGCAGCTGTGACACTGTAACAAACCTCAAGCAATGTTAGCAACACCTTCCATAGTTTTTCAACTTGTAATTTTGGTGCTCTTGCCGTAACTTGTAACGTCTCACATCTATGATCCCTCATCACATTGCTTTGGATATGAACGTCGTCAAAGTTCATGTGAAAACCGTTCTGCCAATGATCGTAATCGTCAGGTCCATGGCGATGGCATAATACACTGAAGCGCTGAAAAATACCAAATGGAAGATATCGCGAAAGACCAAAGCCAGCCGTCACTTCAATCTGGTACAGAAAATAATAATATGAACATTGGATGACGATAGGGCAGGTTTGAAAACACACAAAAGGACTGATGAAAACTGAAATTTTCTTTATCAACAAATATCGTTATTGATACAATTGATTGCAGGTTATCAGTCAATCAAATCTAATTCAAACAATCCATTGTAGGCAATTAGCCAATCAAAACTAATTTAAATCTACATACAAAGTAAGATTACCAATTTCCTTTGAAAGTACGTTCATATAAAAACACTTTTGAAAACATGGAAATTGTTCCTGTAACCTAACATAATTGTTTTGCAACATTATCACATTTCCGCGTCAAAAAAGAAACCTGGTCATCAGTTTATATAAAACTGGAACTTGTGGCATATTTGATAACTACTTGGAACTTCCACTAGAGATATAACAAAGTTCATGTGAATGTAATTTAGTTAAACACGTAGATAAATTTCCTACCTGCGAGGATTTGGGCTTTGGTGGCCATATTTTATGAAACGATCCTCGGCGTTCTGTTTTGAAGAACCACGGAAGTAAATAACATGCTCCAGATGGTCCATCTTTGGGAGCATCCGAAAGATGGTAGGCAGGTGTGGGTATCTTGCAGGCAAAGCCAAAGTATGTTAACAACTTCACAAGTTCACTGAAGATATCTTCATCGTCAAAAAATTCCAACCACAAACATCTGAACAAATCATAGAAGAAAATAGGTTACTATGTTAGTAAAGACCAGGTTACAGTGTTAGTAAAGACCAGGTTACAGTGTTAGTAAAGACCAGGTTACTGTGTTAGTAAAGACCTGCTTACTATGTTAGTAAAGACCAAGTTACAGTGTTAGTAAAGACCAAGTTACAGTGTTAGTAAAGACCAGGTTACAGTATTAGTAAAGACTAGGTTACTGTGTTAGTAAAGACTAGGTTACTGTGTTAGTAAAGACTAGGTTACTGTATTAGTAAAGACTAGGTTACTATGTTAGTAAAGACTAGGTTACTGTGTTAGTAAAGACTAGGTTACTGTGTTAGTAAAGACTAGGTTACTGTGTTAGTAAAGACCAAGTTACAGTGTTAGTAAAGACCAGGTTACAGTATTAGTAAAGACTAGGTTACTGTGTTAGTAAAGACTAGGTTACTGTGTTAGTAAAGACTAGGTTACTGTATTAGTAAAGACTAGGTTACTGTGTTAGTAAAGACCAGGTTACTGTGTTAATAAAGACTAGGTTACTGTGTTAGTAAAGACTAGGTTACTGTGTTAGTAAAGACTAGGTTACTGTGTTAGTAAAGACCAAGTTACAGTGTTAGTAAAGACCAGGTTACTGTGTTAGTAAAGACTAGGTTACTGTGTTAGTAAAGACCAGGTTACAGTGTTAGTAAAGAACAGGTTACAGTGTTAGTAAAGAACAGGTTACAGTGTTAGTAAAGACTAGGTTGCTGTGTTAGTAAAGACCAGGTTACTGTGTTAGTATTGTAGGTACTGATTACGTATTGTGTAAGACTAATAAAATTACAAGCAGCAACAAACCAAGATAGATATTAACATGATACAAACCTTAAAATTTTCTCAGACATAACAGCATTTTCAAGCAATTCATTTTTGTCTTGATCAAACATAAACTTTACAATACCAATCGTTCTAATGCTTTCGTTGTACTCAAGACTAAAATCGTGCCGAAATATGTTCTTGAGCAACGATCCAAGCCAATACGGATTCAAAACAATATTTTTTTGCATACCTTGGATGTCCTAGCGTGAGAAAATTGGAAAAAAAACATGCAAATTAATACATTTTTTTATAAATCGTCAGTTGATGCAAGGGATAGTCGGGAATCAATTACAGTTGTAAAAGTAGTAGTGACTTTTTATTATATTTACTGTGCATAATTGCTCCTCTTTACCACCTTTCATACACAGTTGTACCGGCAAAAATTGCTTCTTTCCTACACCATTGTACATACAAGATATTAAGCTCACCTTAAAATACTGTAGCTCACCAATGGTGTCAAGATACAAAACACAGGATCGCAATTCACACTCTGTAACTTCAATTTTCCGAATGATTAACGACTCGTGAAGCTCGGAAACAGATAAACACGGCACTTTAAGGGACTTTCGAAGGGCTTTGATCTCTTTCTCGACGTTCACCCATGATTCTGGAAGAGTTATGTCAACATATGGGGACAGATTTTTATCCCTAGCGATCCTCACGAGTTCACGTCGTAACCTTAAGGTGCCTGCCAGCGATTTGTTGCTAATGGCAATGACATTCATGGCTAAATTGCCGTCTAAGTTCTCGTGCTCTTCCTAAAAGAAATGCTTTGAAATTTAATCATCATAAGAAATAAACTATGTGTTAGTTTGTAGTGATCAGGACGCGAAAGACAAATAAAAAATATTTACGTTCTATCTGTCTGTTTAAACTATGATGTCAAATTGAACCGTAAGAACAAAAACATGCAAAATGTAAAATAAAATAGTTACCTTATAATGTAAAGACAAAACAGGCAGTTTATCTTTCTGCTCTTGAAGTTGCTCCATAATTTTCGACTTTTCATCAGAAGAAACACAATGTTCCAGTTTACGTTTAACGTTTTCTATTATTTCACGTAACATTTCCTCGCGTTGTTCCTTCATATTTTTCACAATATTTCGACATTTCAGATCGATCTCTTCTTCATTACGACATAGGTCAACGTGTGTAGGAACCAATAGGATTTTAGCTTTAGGAACACGTGACGCAACTAGAGATATCCATTGTGCAACTTCTTCGTGATAATTTGCAGAATTTTCAAAAACGTAACGAAATAAATTCACCACCAAGATAAATAACGCTCCTAAATTTGAAAACAACATGTACATTAGTAACGTACTATCTTGAGAGGATAGTAGCGATGACTTGGTACGTATATACATTCGGTTTCTTCAACCTGTTACTGACGGAATTTTTATAGATGAACTGCAATTCATATTCACAAATGAGCCATGACAGTAAAGTTCTCACGAGTTGCATAAACGTATCTAAATTTACCTTCGGAGAGAAAAAGTTGATGAGTCATTTGATAAGCTTTCTGTCCTGCGCAATCAATAACCATCAACTCCAACTCGTCCACATGTGGTTCAGGTTTCCAATTGTAAAACACGACACCAAATGTTCTGTCATCTTCATTTATCTGTGTCGATTCACCCTCCATCAACATTTTTACAAGACATGTTTTTCCCGCCATAGACTGTCCCAATATAAGGACCTAAATACAGTGACATAAAAACGTTATTTAGTACTGGAACTTGAACACTTCAGTCAAACAGCACAATCTGGACACCAGTTCATACAAGAGTGACGTAGACAAGTGAGGTAATGACGTAGCCAGCCCGCGAGTTTGGTCGTGCAACGGAAATATTTAGATATTCATTCACAGTAAAAACAATACATTTCTTAACAAATGAATAATGTCAATGATCTAAAATTTACATAACATGACCAAATGTGCGAGCTGGCTGCCAGAGACTTAAATGCATGGCACAGATAGCTATTAAAATACATGGCCAAAATGACCCAATCCTCTGTAGCTATATGATGTACTAACCTTTAGTCGTTTTGAATGAATATCTTTAGTTTTATCCATGGCATGATAATAACTACGGATACTTTGTATTCCTTGATTACATACACCAACTGGTGGAACTTGTAAAGGATTATTGTCACAAAAAAGTGTCTCCATTTGTCCAAGGTGTTTTATGCTTCGAGGTAGGGAAGACAAGAGATTCTCATGAAGATTAAGATATCGCAACTCCTTTAACTGGCCAATAGATTTTGGTAGAGTTTTTAATTTATTCTGATTAAGAACCAGGTACCTCAAATTGACAAGGTTTCCTAAATTTTCATGTAAAGCCATCAACAGATTGCTGTTCAGATATAATTTCTTCAAATTAGTCAACTCAAAAAGTCCATTGGGAAGAGTGGAAAGTTTGTTCTTTGTAAGCTGCAATCGCTCTAATTTTTTCAAGTTCTTGATATCTTCTGGGATATCCTGTAGATCGATGTCGCTTACATAAAGTTTACGTAGATTTGAAAGTCTTGTAATGCACGATGGTAGATGTTTCAATACATTATTACTTATATCAAGAATTTCCAGATTTTGTAAATAAGCAAAAAGCTCAGGAAGGCCAGTAAGTTGACAATTACTGATACACAGCTCCTCGAGATTAATCAGCCTGGTTAAATGTGCCGGAAAAGCTCCCAAATTATTGTTTCGCAAATCCAACACCTTGAGTTGGCTAAGATTAACAAAAGATTTCGGAATGATAAATGGAGGATTTTCCTCATTTTCATTTTCACAACGACACAATACCAAATGTTCCAAGTTTTTCATTCCGCCCAATTCATGGGGGATCGTAATGTTGTTGGTAAAAATCTTGAAAACTTGCAGCTGAGGATGAGAATAAATGCTCACAGGAAAATCTGGAGAAGGATCATAGCTGGTCAAGTCACATGTCACCTTACCATCGATATTATTGATGGTAGGGGATGTTGGTGGGAACTTATAATCGATTAATTGAAAGTCTTCTTCAAAGTCATCCATATTGGAGACACGTTACTGATGACAACCATTTGCTTCTAAGGAAAATATGAAAAACAATAAAGGAGTAGTTAATGTTGCACAAAAAAATTGACTGGTAATAAGATCTGTGATGAAGAAGAATAAGACAAATACAAAAGGTTAATTTGAACCATGATGAATAGGAAATGCAGTTTTTAATAATAAGACTTACATAAATTAGTTTTTAGTATCATCATTTTAAACAATTCATCAAATAAACTCCCATTTTCTAAGTAATTTAAGGTGAACACATATACATTTATACACTAAATATGAGGGTTAATTAACCCACGATTTTACTCAAACATTAAACTTAGCTACAATACAAAGCAAAACCAAATATTTGCAAGTTTTAAGTAGAAAAACTAGCTTTACAATGAAATGAATGATGGTGTAATGATTTCTTAATGAAGAATGACTTACTAATAGGAATGTTTACAAATATACTGACACTGGCCTTGAAATCAACGTCATTAATATTGATATTTGATGCAATTTTATAGCTTAATGAAGAGGTCAAATACCTGTAATGGTTTTTCGGCAGGGTATGTTGTACTTGAACTTTTTTATACTTTTTACTTTTATATTACTTTTATACTTTTTATACTTTTTATACTTGAACTTTTTGTACTTGAACTTTAATAATGTTAAAGTCACTAAAATGAGAAAATATCTTCACTGTGTGGAAAATAATGATATGGCTTCAATATGTACCTGAAAAATAATTTCTTTTCACAGTTTGGCAGTATTCAAGTTAACTCATAACCAAATGCAGCAGATAACAGAACAGGTGCTTACATAATGCTTAAGACACTACAAATAATTACAAATCAGTTCAAACTCGCCGCCGTACATCAACTGATCCATTCACGTCAAAATAACATTTAATCATATTATTTAATGATTCATATCATTAGAAATAAACACAAGTACAAAACAAAGATAATTACGATGTAATTTTCGTAAAATCTTGGGCACTTCCTACGCCACTATTTTACATCCGCTGCCTGCCAGACCGGACACACACGGCACATAACGTAGAGTTCCGATGAGTAATCTCGACTCGAATCAATAATATCAATAATCAAACAATCAATAAAATTTATGCAGTCGTAAATTTTGCGGAAATAGATTCAAAACTGCCATCTAAATACTAAGCTTAACAACCATTTTGAAATATTGATTAAATAGGTCAATAATATGGAAGTTGTCACCACAGATGAAGGTAGTCACTATTGGTAAGATTGTCACCATACTAAAGGTTGTCACCATAGATATGGTTGTCGCTATACCATAATATGATTGCCATCACAGATAACGGTGGTCTCTATTGGTAAGATTGTCACCATAGAAAAGATTGTCACCATTCAAATGGTTGACACCACAAATATATCATTTTGACCAAAAATATTGCGGTCACGTCTTTCGATGTCTCAGATAACATAAGCTTAACATAATTTGCATTTAAAAAATGAAATTGCTAATCATGAAGAATAGCTTAGGGCAAAACTAAATAAAATTTTAAGTTAGTTTAAATTGACACTAACTACGTTGACAGGTTTACTGTTAACGTTAAAGTTAGTACTCTGCTGATAATGTGGAAACAGTTTAAGACAGCACGATTCTTCATTAACACAGAGAACAACAAGAACTTCTATTTTAGCTCAGAGATGTTGAGGTCTTCTATCTGAGAGTTGTTCCAGAGTTTCGTCGCGTTGACGCCACGACACTATGCAAAATATTCGTCTTACACAAAGGATTACTTCACTTTGAAAGTATTTTGAAAGCTCAAAACTAATCCAGGATTAGCTCTGGTGGTTTTAAAAGAAACCCTTTTCACATATCCTTATTTGTTATGATAGTAATTTCATTTCCGTAGAGGTGGCATTTTTTATTTCGCATCTGCTTGAAAACGGGCGACTTAGCAATTTCTCGCTTTCAATGAAAAGTCTTTACTACATGCACTATTTCCTAAAAATTACTGGATTAATTTAAATGGTGTTTATGAAATAGCATAGTTGTACGTCGCGTTTTATGTAAATCTCGCTTCCACAAATAGTTGGCGCATTCTTAAGAATCGTCATAAAATCTGAAAGAAGTTTGTATGGAGAAACAGGAGACACGATCATAATTTAGATGAAACTCGTAGAATTCATTACAAAAAAAATCACGTAACTTTCTTTTGACACAAACGAAAGAAAAAACGAATTCACGAAATAGATGAACGATTCATTTCAGTATTAAATTTCCGTGCTTCTTCACTGCAAAAACAACAAAGTTGATACAAAGGCGACCACTAAGTTCATTAATTAAAACTATGTAAGATGAAAAAAAATTTACAACAAAAACAAGCATACAAAATTCCTCATTCAAGCTAATAATCTTTATTCATTTTTAGAAGATGGAAAAAGAAGTTTGTATTAATCATAGCTGATAAGTTAATTGGTTTAATCTTTCCTTCCGTATTTTAAAGAAACTTATGATTACAAATGTAAACAAAAGACAGTAAAATGTGCAAAGACAATATCTGTGTTTATGAAACACGACAAAAATTTCTTGAGGGATTTCATTTTGTCCACAAATGAAGAAAATCATTAATTTTCATGCGTTTGTGTTAATAGACATTGTTTCAAAGAGTAAAGACAATTCCTTAGTATAAAGTCAAAAGCTACAACGAAACAAGAAAGTGTAGGATAAGAGTTGATAATATTGTATCACCCAAATAAAATCCATAGGATCTCAACGTGTGTGGCATGGCTAAACACGAATCATCAAATCATCAAATTGGCATTCAATTCTTTTCCTTTTGAAAATCGGATTAGGAATGGGAGAATGAAACACAATGACCCAAACCTTGCATTAACATCTCAGGTCGATGACTTTTGAGAACATAAACGCACTTGGGGTAAGCCGTGCTTGTCAAAATAGTCAGTATGAGAGACGACAGGCAATTAACGTCCTCGTATAACGTCTATTATCCACCTTTGAATCGTAACAATTGATCTGTTGCTTAACATTCAAGTTTTGACAAGAATCAGAAGTTAAACTAACCGACCATCAACTCCGCCTTGCACTTTAAAGTTAAGATATCGTAAAGGCTACCCATATTTAGTTCAAACAAACATTTGATTTTCCTATCATCATATTACTTCCATAGAAAGGCAGGAATCATCAAATCTATCAACTGAAGCTGAACGTGTTACAGAGCTGTAAACGAGATCTTGCATTCTTCTACATCGTCAAAATTACATTCACAAATATAAACTGCAAAAATAACATATGTGTGACAAAAATAGCCAAGATATTTGCGCAAATCTTGCTCTTAAAACGCCGCGTATAATTTCATAAGTCGATTGACTAAATTATCTCATTGTGAAAGGACTAAATACCAATTGGCAAATGCTATTTGCTATCGAAACTATTTAATGTGTTCAAAAACATATACGCCAGGAGGATATAATATATTGCCTGTGGCTGAAGGAAAAACGAATCGGAAATTTGAACGTGTTTAATTGGATTTGTAAAACATGTTAAATCAGTTTCATGCCACGTAAAATTGTAAAGATGGATTTAAGATCCATGTCGCGCATCATGCTGACATTAGAATGAGAAAAGTTATCAATTGACAACCTACGATAACCAAGTTTGAAAGAAAAATTGTGACTTACATAAATATTTTGTGAATGCAGGTTTACTGATAACTTGTGCACCGGATGTTCGCTCATTAAAGAAAAGCTATTGGAATTTCAGATTTTTGGAACGTTCTTGAAGAGAAATTAGATTTTCTTTAACTCTCAAAGCATGTCAGACTGTACCAAAGTTGTTATTTACATTGTTTAAGACAAACATACGTTTCATAAGAATGACTGTTTTAAGCAAGATTTAATACGCTTATCGATAGAATTAATCCACTATAACAACTACAGATTATACTTACGTGTAAAAATAAACAAAAGATTATTATTGTGAAGCTGGAAAAGGCATGAGAAATATTCAACTTACTACGAGAAGATTTAATTGTCTTAATGCATGTGAAGAGTTGTCTAGATTTTTCATGTTCTTCAATAAAATTCCTTTAAATTTTTTTCCCATTAAATCTCCATTTCAAGTAGAGATGTTATTTCAAAGGTTAATTCTAGTTTTCTGTTTCTTCTTCCTAATAGGAGCGCTGTGAAAAAAAGGCGTGACACCACGCATATTGTTACAAAAGACGCTTTGCTTTTGTCTTAACTTCCAAAATACGAGAGTGTAAATTTGAAGGTAAGCAGTTAGAGCAAACATTTAGCCACCATGGCTATCTGAATAGTCGTCGAGAACGTTCTTAAGTTCATTGAAATCTTCAGAAATCTTTGTTGACTAAACAACACTAGCGATGTTTTTTGAGGGGAAGGTTCGGTTTGTAATGAAACAGATAAAGACGTTGATACTTTTGAACTTGTGGATAACAAATAGCAATGGAGTAGCTAAAAAATGTTTTCCTGTTGTCGATAATTGACGAACTGAGCTCTGAATGCTTTCTAAAGACATCCTAATTACTGTGACAGAAGCGTAGGATTTTAATAAACCTACGTGTGAGAAAGCGATGAGTAGTACGAATGAATGGTAGAAACATGTGAAGACAATCTTAAGACAAGATAGAAATTTGAAAACCTGTGGTGTTTTTATGACCTGCGATGTACAATGTAAACGAGAGACGAAAGATAAACACAAATACTTTGTTGAATTATTAAGAGCCTTGGAGCACTTAGGACAATTAAAGAAGGATCAGATAGCATACAAAATGCTGTGTTTATCAAGTGGGAGGACCCTCCTACTTTTAGCAATGACAAACGATAGTTTCAACAAACACCAGTGATTAAAAGCGATGTGTCAAGGAATGCTTCACCTTTCCGGGCTAAACTATACTGAATAAATACATAAAATTGAGGTGAAATATTTGGGGTATAAACACAAAGTACATGACAGCGTTTCTGTATTTGCTTGTGGCAAACATCAAGCTTAAAATGACTCAAAGCAGGAAATTTGTCGCCTTTTGTAATTGTACCTCAATACATCCATATTTTACATGACACGACATGTAGTCTAGATCTGTTTGATAATTCACCATTCTAATCAAAAATGTTAACTGCAATGAAAGATATAAGAAACTCAAGAGCAAAATACCAATGAGGATCTTAAACGAGGTAATCATGTGATGCTGACGCAAATGCTACAAGCTAGCCAAGATTTAATGTTCTCAACAATAGCGAAATTTTCTTGAGTATATGACGGAAGAAAACCATTTCCACTCAAAACTATACTCAGATTAGACTTACAGCACCATTACAAAGTATGGAAAACTGCGCAAAGATCTTACTTATGATATTGGTTAAACACGTTGCGAAATCGGAGCGAAGCTAATATTTTTTTAACTGTGGTGGTATTAACATAGCTTGTATTAATAAGATTTTTCTTTTACTGTTTTTTTTGCCAAAGATTCGATAGTTAACACTCCAGATCATATTCATATACATCCGGTATTTACACTCTCTTTGTGGGCTCACAAGTCTGTTATTATAAATGCAGGAATTCTGGTAAGATATGACGAAGATTTTAGAAAAAAAAATGTATGTACAACGCCAGTTAACGACACAAAAATGATTTAAAACTTACACGTAGAAGGACCGGCAGTAAAATCCTCCACAGACTGTCGTTTAATCAGAAAATTTGTTTTTACTATACGCTAATAAAAAAGCTTGTTTATTTTTAAACTTTAATCAATTAAACTGCTTATTGCAGTAATGTATTTTAAACAAAAAGCACGTTAAAAATAACGATTCCTAACGATTTAGTAAATGGGACACTCCGATTTCTAGCCCGAAGACAAATAAAGAATTTCACATAGATTAAGAGAAGTACGAACCCTTTTAGCTACTCAAATTGGCACAGGTTTTAAGTCATTTCAGGTTTGTTAAAAGCCATCAATTCGCACTTCCGAGTGGCTATAGTGAGCACACTATGAAGAAGACATATTTGCTGTTGTCGACAATGAAATGTTTATTGTCAGTTATCGAGGTGTCAAAATGACACACGCCTCAAAGTCCCACTACTTCTTTAAATAATTACCTTATCTTCTCAGCTTAAAGATAAAGTGTCGTGTTTTCAAGACTTGTCTCATGCAGTGTCGTTAGGCGTTCAATCAGGAAGGAGCTATATAGATCTTCGACTGAAGAATATAGAGCATTTAAAAGAAAAAAGACATCACTTATCTGTACTTTAATCGATCAAATAATGGAAACATCTGCAGGAAAGACAGCCTTCTCCGTGCGAGACATATTGAACATGCCTCAAAGTAAGGAAGACGAATCCAAAGTCGATGTAAAACGCACAAAGGAGTCCCTTTCGAAAGGATCTTCGCTGGATAAACTAGGAACAAGACAATCTACAACTTCGGTGAACAATGACGTTTACAGAAAGGAGTCGAGCCTTAAAGGTAAGGCCAGACATCAGAAATGGGTTTTGAGATACGACTTTAAACAAGTCATTATCAATGACCATAACTAAGCCGTTACAACTTTACTGCCCAATTAAATTCCTCTCGTCACTTATATATGCTAAACATAACGAGTTTTTGGAAGTTAATAAGTTGAAACAATAATTTTTGCTCGTATGATAAGCCACTCGAGTAGTCGTATGTAGTTCTGGCAAAGAAAGTATTCTTATAATGTAATTACATTTGATGAGCTTTTGAAAGGAATACATGGATTTTCATGTGACAGCGAGAAGAAGTTAAAATAATTTGTTCACTTCTTCTGTAAATTAACGAATCATATATCTTTGCTACAACAGATGCTCAACATTCGATCAGAACATTATCAAACTCTGACACAGAAACCCGGCACGAAAGCATAAAAGCAAAACAGAAGAAACGAAAACGTCGCGTCCTTTTCACGAAGGCTCAGACGTTTGAACTCGAAAGAAGATTTCGTCAGCAAAGATATTTATCAGCGCCCGAGCGAGAACACCTTGCCAGAATGATTTGCCTGACTCCAACACAAGTGAAAATTTGGTTTCAAAATCACAGATACAAACAAAAACGACACATAAGCGAACATGGAGAGGATAGTTTTGATACTCTGAGTATGGCTCACGGCATTCACTACCCAATATACATGAGAGAAGGAGTTGTATATCATAATACAGCAGGAAACTATACCTCTTATTTCCCACCGCATGAAGGTGAATTTTGCAGTGGTTATAAACCCGTGCATTTAACTACAGCACCTTTTTTCTCAACAACACATTTCCAATCGTGGTAAGCGCAAAAACAAGAGATTGAAGAAGTTGGGGAAGCAAAATTGGTAAAATATAACCGCAAAGTTTAACTAAGTCTTAACGACTCCGAGAAGCAATTGCTTATTCAACTGTACAACAAATCATCGTGAAAATTTTTACCACAACAAACGCTCGAACGGAAACAGCTCAAAGCAAAAGTATTCCACTCTTCATAATCTACATATGTCAATACTTTAACCATAGCTAACAACCAAACGAAGACACAAAGTCTATATGTACAAGAATATTGTCTTTATAGTCTCTATCAGTTAAAAACTCATGCAGAAATGATTATGAACAAGAAGAATACGAATCGCTTGACATTCGATGCAAGAGAAACATATTGTACATAAGAAGATATTTATTTAAAGAGCACACACGCACACATATATATATGTAGCTATATTAAATAAGGTGCAACTATTTGAAACTTACAAAAAAAGATAGAAGTAAAATAGAACAAAAAATAAGGTTCCACCATATGCTGTTCTTTTATGTTTCTTCAATATATTAGTTGGGAAACGATCACGAAACTCAGTAATGAAAAACTCTTTCAAATTCTGGACTAAATATTTATCGAGGACGTTTATAAGATCGTACAGGGTGGTGGGTGGAAGAAATTCATTTGATGCATTAAAATACTAAGGTAACGATGATCTCATAAAGCCCCAGAACCCACCCCCCCCGGTCATTGAAAATTGATTAAACAAAAAAAGTTGAATGGTGAAATTATTTCCCCGACAGTCATCAATTCGAAGCAATCAAATAGAATTAAGATATAAATCACATGATAAAGTCATATTTGTTAATAACTTTCCCTCCTCCCTGAATGCTATCGCTATAAAGCCGACTGATAATGCAATCTCAACTCCCAACTTCGTCTCCTCCAATCAAATAAGTCATATTACAAAATCATAAATGACAAACAAAGGTTTTGACAAGTCAATGATTGTATATCTCAATAAGATAGCTGCTACCACGGTTTATAAAAAGACCGTAAATGGATAGATAGATGTGTTTCAAAGATGTCTGCAAAGTTTTCACCAAGAAAAACAATTGGTGTTTTCAATTTTAAAAGCCCAATTTTATTTGCTCGAGCGAGCCAAAAAATTGACTTATTAACAAAATGCACTGGTGTGAGAACGAAACACAAGACACATTAACAAACAAATGGCAGGCATGAAATTTCATAAAGTGGTTTTCTTTTATCATCTCGTACTTAACCTTTCATTCCATAATAAAAGATTGACACAATGTCCAACTTAAACCGTGAATCAAAACACCAGATAGACAGTGTGAATCTGACAATGTTGACGTCAGCTAAATTATCAACTCACTAAATTGATAGTTTGCAGCTTAAAGCCAAAATATTGGCATAATTTTTACAAAAAGTAACAGCTACGTTAGAAATCAAAGAGAGACACAGCCAACGTGAAAAATCGCTTGGAACTATTTGAAATTTTAGGATATGGGACTACCCCCAGCAAAGAGTAACTTTTATAATCGAATAAACAGAAAACTGATACAATAGCCAGCCAATGGATCTTTATCTCGAAAACTTAGAGTATATTTGACTGTAATTATATCTCTTTATCAGTTAAATTGTCATGATTTATAGCAAATTGTCTTTCACAGACAGATTTACTTGAAGTCTAAAGAGTCTACACTTTTAATGTCAGTTCTACAGTTATGAAGGCAGTTAAAAGCATTTTTCAATGATGAGATTTGATAAAAAAAAAGCCTTCCACAAATGACAACGAGTTAAAAAGTCGATTTCAACTAAAGGATTACATTTTTCATCCTTTTGTCTTGAATACTTCACACTCGGACCTGTCTACCTGTCTTGGCACATTCCCTAAGATTATTAACCACTGGTAGCAGATATACGTCAGAGATCTGGAGAATATATACCTCACTTCAAAGTGCAAGTAAAGGTGTTAAAACAAAAGCAGGCAATTTGTTGAAATCAAATTCCTTAACTGCGGTGGGCCCTTCTCGATGTACGCATTAGCAATAAAAATATATCCTACTGACCACCGTGAAACTATCAAATACCTGCCCATATGAAGATTGTCTATTAACGTCTTAGTGTAACTAAGAAAATGAAAGCATCGAGTAAAACATAGTGGGGCTAAATACGTGACCAACAATTTCACCATTTTTGATGTGCGTTCGGACTTTGCCCAGCATCTATAACATCATTTTATTAAGAGACAACTAAGTTATGTCATGATGAAAGTGAAGAACAATCAAAAAAGCAATAACTTCCCAGTTTCTGTTTTCGAAAACTGCCTTTTGCTAAAGTTTCAACACAGTCGATTCGGAGATTTCAATGATTTAAAAGTCGAAGTATAACAGAGAAATCGCTATCATCGTTGAAATAATGAAATTAAGCAAAATATATGTAAACACTTAAACTAATTATATATGGTAAATTGCTACAACTGAAGTGCTTCGTGTTCAAACTTAATGTTTTTCCTATGAAAGCACAAAACCACATGAAATACAAATAGTTGAATTCAGTAAAGGTTTCTTGTTAATAAATACGCATTGCAGTATACAATTTATACAAAACTGTTACGTCAAGTATGAGACAGTTGAATAAGAACATGTCATGTGATATGATATTACCACAGTTTCGAGAGCAAACACGGACACAGGGGGGAGAAGAGGGCTGTATCTAAAGCGCAGGTGTAACATGTTAAAATAAGAAAAAATTCGACAAGACTCATTTTAAGCGTTAGTAGGTATAGAATAGCAATAATTTGCCACTTCAAAAGCTATTAAATCATTACACAACACACGTCCGTCAGTGCAAAGAGGATAAAGGGTCTGAAATTGGATTAAAATACCGGAACTCTTAGTGAAACAATCTTTCGAAGATCATCACCGATTGTAAATGAAGTGTTTACATAACAGATGTGAGATACATTAAAGTATAACATGGGTGACACTGACGTTAGCAAATATATTGTTGTTGAAGTTAAATATAATGTGAGATAAACCGTCCATCAAACTATCAAATTCAGTCAGACATTTTCAGTTTTCTACAAAAACAACCTACAATTCAACCGTAATGCCATGCTTTACAAACACACGTACCACTGAAAACAAACCAACATTGTTCTGATGCATTAAATACCATTTTAAGATTTATGACATAGTAAATTGTTAACTACTTGTTAACTAGTAAATTGATATTCTTAATATAGCCATTGCAAAGAGCAAATAACGTTAGTTTAAATCCGATGGTGTAAATGGGTCATATGATTGACGCACCCACATTTTTATATGGTATAATTTCACAGTTCTTAAGTAAGACAAAACACCAGAGAATTGATTTAACGCTTTCTTGCAGACAAGAAAAAAAGCGAATGACTTAAACGAGAATTCTTCAATGGCGTCAGTTGTCCAACTGCCAATTATTTTTTACGTATTAACTCAACTAAAAACAACAAAATTGTCGCCCAAAAATAACACGTATCTAATTTAGATACTAATTTTCCCAACCATCACAATCACTACTGTTAATTAAACAAGCTTAAGATGGAAACCTACGTAAAACTAACATGGCCACTTAAGATTAAATAAGACTACAAGCTGTGATCATCAACACAGACAAGTTGAAGATTCTCTTATCGTGTTCAACCATGTGGTGATGGTAGTATAATGGCTATAACAATGGAAGATGACTGTTGAATTATTGGACGTTTTTGAACTACCTTGACTGTTATTCTATTCAACTGAAAATAATCACTTCAGTATTTACATTGAGCGACAAGTGCTTCGAGTTAAGCTTGTCAAATGTACACTTGGTTTAAACTATTAAATGAAAAACAATGCACAACAAACTCATTTCGAAAAATACATGTGTGGATGAATGGAAGAATATGCAAGCTTAACCATGTTTGAACGACACACATCTAATGCCCAATGTACACATGACCTTGGCCTCTAACTTTATTATATTACATTTAAACACAGCAAAACTGATTAGCTGAAAATTTGGTGATCATAAATACTTCACCAAAAGTGAAGACAAGTTAGTTATCCACGGTGCATAGTGTGAAAATTTTAATAAAGGAAAGCAACGATTCTAATTTGTGTTGACAATGAAAATTTCCAACAGATTTCAAACCAGCTTTCCGGCCTAGACCATGTATAAGAAGAAATGAATCTTTAAGAAAAGGAATGTTAATGAGTATATGCCTGAGGGATGACACCTTGACGCAAGTGTTTGAAACATTTGACATTGACAAATCTTCTACGTTAAAAGCTATGTATTACATGAAGGATAATGTTTGCAGTAACCCAAGATTTGACAATTACAAATGGTATTTATTTCATTAAAAAAAATTTAAAAATTTCACTTATAAAATAAATTAGAAATAGCATCAATAGTTGTTTGTACAAACACGCTATAATTACATGGAGTGTATTGAAGTTACAAAAATCAAAATATAGTTATGTATTTCATATTTACACTAAGAAATTCAATACATATGACGTTCAATAACTGCATCAAATGCTACCTTTCGTTGATTATCTGATAATAACAAGCCTAAACGAGTATACGTACAATCAAAGATAAGTTTTCTTTAGATTATATATGTACATATAGTAGCTAGAACATAGACTTATACCAACGATAACCAATGAGATGTGTTTATAGAAATTTTCTTAAACCGTACACAACTGCCTCTAAGACTGGATGGATTTCACTTCCCCATAAACTTTCTAATCAAATGCGCTTAGTCGAGCAACGTGAAAACTCGAATTTTAAAAAAATTGATGAAAAGAACTCTATGAGAGGGTGCATTTTTGAAAATGGAAATCCGGTTTAAAGACGGCATTTCTGGAAAATTTCATCAATCCCTTGGTCATTAAATGATATTCTTAAAATAATCTACTTTCATATTTAACTATTTTACGTAAACTACATATTTTTTTCTTCCTGGAGACTGGCAACTATCCACCATGTTTATACCACATTTTGATAACGTAATCACAAATAAACGACGAAATGTGATTCAATGAAAAATAAAAGAAACAAACCTTTAAAGTCGTAAACATATGTCCATGTTCTCCAGTATGATATTTTGATTCCATTAAATCTTCGATAAACTCAATCTCTGATCCAAGGTGATGCACGCTTTGAACACGTGAAAGATAAAACACTTCATCATAATTATCCGGAGAAATTTTTTAAGGCAAAAACTAAACGTCTTTTTACGTTAAGGAAAAAACTTGACACGTATATAGTTTTTGATTTTGGATTTTGGTCCTAAGACGTTACACTTTAGCTTACAAGGCCAACGTAGAGGGAGCTTTAAATGAAAGAGGCTGGGTACGAGGTCGTCTAACCGCTCAACGTAGAAGAAGTTTCAAAGATAAAAGCCTGGGTACGAGGTCCGCGCTAACATGGAACCGGATAAACAGGACGAATCTCTTTCAAGTGCGCCGCCATATTTGTCACTACTCGACAGTATATCATTTTAAAAGCCATTCGAACTGACTCTTTGGCGGACTTTAGGATTTCTTTCTCCGATGAGTAAACTATCGTCTGGTATCAGACAATTTTTTGTTCATATACCGAATCAATTAGCATGTACATAATAACATAATCATTGTACATGATAACATGCACACACGAATCCCTTTTTGTCCCAGATACATGCCCACCACGCATGCATATATATAACCCCTACTGGCTACCTAGGACTCAAAAATACTTCATTTAGTGCAAACATACCGTGACCGTATGACAACGAATTGAAAGACTGGAAACAAGTCGTCGAGAGACTCCAGTTTCGCTTGACCTTTCCAAAATTTTTGAACCTCCTAAAAAATCATTTTAAAACTTTCATATGATCGCAAGCTCAACTTGACAAAGTTATAGATGTTCCCAAAGATGTTTTGATTCAAACTTTTATTAGATTTCTGACAGTTGATTTTCTAGTCAGCACTTGGTTATATGTCGTGCGCAACCATTTAGATTGCTAAGAAAATTTACCTTGTTAATGCTTTGCATGGTTTCCTTTAGAACTAAAATCTTTTCCATGGGACTGAACTTTGTACTGCATACAAACAAAGTAAAAGTGACGTTTTTGTGAAAATAGCAAAGTTTTTAAACAGTCTCCTATTGGTTTGTTGTAAAAAGTTAAAATGCCCTTGTGAGAAACATTTCTCTACTTTATTTAACAGTATAAAAAAAATGACTAAAACCTTATTTGTTGAAAAGCTTCCACAGCGTTTGTATAGTAACGGCTGCCAGCCCTATTGCTTCTCGCCTGAAAAAAGTCAATTCATAGCATTATTTCAGAAAATAACATGTATATCACTAATGAAAAAGTTGGCTAACATATAAATATCTCCCCCCCCCTCCTCAAATTCTTCTGGCCACGCCCCTAGTGTATGTAGATAGAAGAACAAGCATTAATGATCTAGATAGACCTTTCGCTACATATACTAACATATAAATATGCCCCTCTCCCCAATCCTCCTGGCGACTCCCAAGTGTATGTTCCTAGACTTACCAATTGATCCACTTGTTCCACTATTCCATTCGTTTCTTTGGGAGCTAACCAAAACGTTCTATAATTATACATAAGATACTTCAATTAGAAATAAGTCATTTTATGAAAGTACAAGTTATTTAAGAAAGTATAAGTAAGTAAGTATAAGTCATTTTATCTCTATGGTTCCTTTAACATTTCACCAATTCAGAATATCTCAATGAATCATTTTACTGGATAGAGTCGCTCTCAACATCAACTCACTCAACTCTGTTATGTATATCCCTACAATATCCATATATTTCTTTAAACTATCCATATACATCACTACCTTATCCATACACATCCTTACCTCTTCACCTCAAGATAAGCCATCAATGTCAAGTCAGTATGTTGGTTCAGAGCCAAAACTCGTTCCCAGTACGCGCTATCGTTCTTCTCGTAGCGCAGAGCATACAGTGTAAAGAGAGGTGGATAAAACCGCGGGAATAAAAGTGGACCAAGCAGCGTATTGCTATCCACTACATCGCCATCTGATTGATGGAGCTCTTCGTTGGAATCAGACAAGTGAACAAATTCCTCACTTGGTAAAGACGGAAAGAGAATCCTGAACAAAAAATAAGGCAATTGTACATAACAGCGAAAGACGATTGAAACATATTCTTGGGCATTAAGTTTCCTACTGTCTATGATATTTCATCAAATATTTGAGCTTCTGACAATTTAGCAGCGATGTAATAATACCTTATAATGGCGTAAATTCTCTCAATGTACGACTTGATTTCTTCAACAGCTTGCGCCAGAAGACGTTTGTGTGCTCCCATACCAACATAAGTTGCTCTGTACACGATGACTAATGTCTCAAGCAGTCGACCAAGTGGATGACACGATAGATTGAAAGCCTGCATTGAAAATACAAAGTAAGATTTTCATCTGATGTTCAAACAAAAAGTGTAGAAAAACTTTTCATTGAAAATTACGCTACACTATAAAAATTAGTAAAATTTAAACGTTGGCTTTAAGGCAATTGTCGAAACAATTCAACAATTTCCGTGTTTTACCATTCAATTTACAAAGTTAAAACTACGTAAACATTAAAGATTCTCCTTCCTCATCTTTGCTTTCGTAGCTAATGATAATACTAATTAATATTTGTACTGACTTTTATATTAATGTTTTATTATTGTTAAATGAAAATCCGTTGAACTTAACAGAATATCTCACCTTTGTTAAGTATTCCGTCAATTTTTTCTTATCCTTTGCAATTTTCTTGGCCTGATCCACGTCAATCCCCTGTAATACGTCGTCAATCACTTGACGTTCCTCATTCAGAGAGCAAGTAAACGGTGGTCGAACCATGTCCTCTGTAACACACTTCCATGCTTTTTTAACATCCGGTTCATGGGTACCAATGCAACCAAGCCTGTCACGACACTCGTCAAAGATGCTACGCCATTTCGTCTTAGCGGGAATGTAAAAAGGCGAGTGCGGAGTCGACTCTCTGTTGACAAAATGACAAACACGTGATTTTGAATGGTGATATTAAAAATACATTTATATTTAAATCACCAAAGATGAATTATTTTTATAAAAAGCGATATATCGATAAATTAGACCAAAAAATGGACGTTTGGTAAAAAGGTAAAGGCAGACACTTACTTTTCAGAAAATAAGTCCATTGACGTTTCATCCGGCCCATTGCCTTTGAAATACATGCCATTGACTTTTAAACCATCGCACCATTGTCCTTGAAAGGTACCTTCAATCCGATCTCCGTTAGGCAATGTCAGCTTGCCCTACGTTAAAAGGAAGTTAAGACGTTGACGAACAAGAAGAACTCGCTCAGGAGACATAAAAATAAGAGAATTTAAAGAACCTTTCCATTGACATGAGTATCACCACAGAAGTCGCCTTCAAATTTTGTATCATCATGACAAAGCAGAATGCCTTGACCCTAATGTTGTAATGGGAAAAAAACATGGTTTTATGAAAATGAAATTTGAAAAAATACAGGTCACATTAATGATACAAGATTGGGGTGAAAAATAAATGTGAAATGTTTTTCAGTTTGATCATCGGATCACCGTGCAGCTGTTCATATCTGATCTATTGTAAAAGATACGCTAAAGGACTCATGTTTCAACATCAGATCACTTCTGGTGAAGATACTAAACTGGAGTATATAAGGATTCAAATTTCAACATCAGATCACTTCTGGTGAAGATACTAGACTGGAGTATATAAGAACTCAAGTTTCAACATCAGATCACTCCTGATGAAGACACTAAACTTGAGTATATAAGAACTCAAGTTTCAACATCAGATCAATCCTGATGAAGACACTAGACTTGAGTATATAAGAACTCAAGTTTTAACATCAGATCACTCCTGATGAAGACACCAGACTTGAGTATATAAGAACTCAAGTTTCAACATCAGATCACTCCTGATGAAGACACTAGACTGGAGTATATAAGAACTCAAGTTTCAACATCAGATCACTCCTGATAAAGACACCAGACTTGAGTATATAAGAACTCAAGTTTCAACATCAGATCACTCCTGATGAAGACACTACACTGGAGTATATAAGAACTCAAGTTTCAACATCAGATCACTCCTGTTGAAGATACTACACTGGAGTATATAAGAACTCAAGTTTCAACATCAGATCACTCCTGATGAAGACACTAGACTGGAGTATATAAGAACTCAAGTTTCAACATCAGATCACTCCTGATGAAGACACTAGACTGGAGTATATAAGAACTAAAGTTTCAACATCAGATCAATCCTGATGAAGACACTAGACTTGAGTATATAAGAACTCAAGTTTCAACATCAGATCACTCCTGATGAAGACACTACACTGGAGTATATAAGAACTCAAGTTTCAACATCAGATCACTCCTGATGAAGACACTAGATTATAAGACACTAGTATATAAAAACTCAACATACCATAAGTTTGTTCATAGAAAATCTTCCTTCATTATATATTCCATCTAAAGTGACCAGTAATCCATTACCATTCCTCATATCATTATCCCACATACCAAGGTATTTCTCTCCTCTAAAATAATCAAAGCAAGATATATAAATATAAATGTACATTCTCAATGCAACATAAGACCGTCATACCTCATGATATCATCCATCATACCATATCCAGATCGTTTATCATTATCCCAGTTTCCCATAAAAACGGACGGTGAGCCTGACGTCAATGTGCCCATGCGCAATACACCATGACCATGACGTGAATTCTGTACCCAGCGTCCGGAGTATGTCTTCTTGTCACTATAGCTATATTTGTCCCGTGAAGAAACAGGTGATAGTGAAGTTAGTAACATCGCATCTATCATACACAAGTATACAACTATACGTATACAGAAGTGTACCTCATTTCTCCCAAGCCGTGCATCATGCCATCTTTCCATTCCCCATTGTATTCCTCAGCCACCCCAGCGGAAGGGTTTAACACAAAGATCATTCGACCTGATCTATAAAAAAAAGATAAACAAATAGTTCGACCAAAGGTATATAGATGGTGAATTATCAAAACCCAAAGTAAGGATGAAGATTGAGTTACATGTGAGATACAAATTTATGTCGGTTGATAAATCATTATTATTAATCATTATAATTATTTCTTTTCGTTACCCGTGGTAAAGACCATTTCGAAACTCTCCTTCATAGCTTTGAGATGTTGAAGCCCAAACCAACTTTCCGCTAAAGTAGAACAAACGCTTTCGTTTCACTGATTACATACGAAATTATACTAAATTCTTGAGCATACATTTCTAATGACGCAGAAACTTTAGTCAAATTTGTCAAGGTTGACTGGCACATAAACCCGTTAGAAAGATCAAATTTTTTATCCCCATATTTTCAAGTAAATACGACATGATACTCACTGGCCGTGAGGTTTTCCACATAACCACATTCCAGTATAACATGCTCCTTTGTACTTCGGATCATGAACATAAAAATATGTCGCATATCTTGCTCTGGCTGGAGTGAAACTGCCAACTTTTGTATTTACTGTCTCTGAACTCAGCCTGTGATGATGAAAGAAAGTATAATTTCACAAAATAAGATTATCGGTGAAGCACAAAAATGAAATCAATTTGGAATATAAAGTGCCTAAAACAACCACAAGTGATAGGATTGAAATGTTCCCAACCTGTACAAAGTTGTCGACGATAAAGTTCTTGCAACAGTTTGATTAAGAACAACCAGCCATTGTGCCTGTCGCAAATAAAACATTACATCTAGGTGCAAACCCTGTATAGGTTTATGACACTAACGTCTCGTTAATTAAAGGGATGCACTAAAGTCCATGAAATAAATGGAAGCAAAAAAAGGGGACATTCTCAAAAATACATTTCACAAAATTGTCAACACAAAAACGACCAGTTACAAATTACTCACATACGAGGCATTGGAACATGATCCATACCTTTTCAATCGCTGTTTTCGAGCATAGTGTCAACGAATCTTCCGGCATAACTATCTTTATGGCATTTCTAAAAAATTGTATGAAATTTTCAGTATTTGTCATTTTTTAACGACATATGTGTTGTAAGGCCTGTTTCAGACGTCGAACTTTACATGAGCCAAATTCATTAAAGACAAAAGAAATTGAGATGAAATTCCTCATTATCTTTTGTTTTAAATGCATTTGGTTCATGTAAAGTTCGACGTTTGAAACGGGCCTACGAAATCAATAATTCGCTACTGGTTGCTGAAAAGTCAGATGAAATATAGGAATCGAAAGAACACATTGTGATCACTAATGGATTCAAGGAATATTTTATGACCACATGGGGATTTGAACAACGCTCAATCCTATAAATGTCATCTGTCGGCAAGCCTGACAACAGTTTGTAACCAACACATACATGAAGTTTTCACCGAGTGCGTCCGGTACAGGCGAAGCCCACAATGTAGCCAAATCATAAGGTAGAAAAGTCTTGTTTGACTGCAAACAAAAGAAAATGGAAACTGAAAACACACAGATTCAATTACAGAAGATTAGATTACAACCTTTAATCTATAGCGGTACGAAACGCAATTTTCAATGGTTATAAAGGATAAGAGAAGCAGGCATAGATTTATTGGAGAACCACCGTTCTTTTTCTAGCACAAAGTCGATGTAAGATTATTTTCTACCTTACTTACCACAATATGACAGAATACATCAGTTAGTAAAACAAACCAATGGGAAGTAAAACGAGCAGATTTAGGAAGATATAACTCGCATGTTTTGCTGCTTTTTAACAGTCGACGATGTGGCCGTCTATAAATATCCTGTAAAATAAACAAACATCTAGTTTACAGAGTGGCTATAGGTTAATGTAACTTTTATTATACATGTCTTGTAAAATAAACAAACATCTAGCTATCGGAGTGGCTATAGGTTAATGTAACTTTTATTTCTTGTTTCCCTCGTAGATAAACTCACCCAGAATCCAAAATTCAATAACATGATGCGTGATAGCAGGTGAAATCTTACAAAAAAGTTAATTTTGCTCTAAAAATATGCATCAGACATGCACACACCGCTAGTTTAGGTGTACATTCCTGCCAAAACTCCCAAGTCTAAAAATATGCATCAAACATGCACACACCGCTAGTTTAGGTGTACATTCCTGCCAAAACTCCCAAGTCTAAAAATATGCATCAAACATGCACACACCGCTAGTTTAGGTGTACATTCCTGCCAAAACTCCCAAGTCTAAAATATGCATCAAACATGCACACACCGCTAGTTTAGGTGTACATTCCTGCCAAAACTCCCAAGTCTAAAAATATGCATCAAACATGCACACACCGCTAGTTTAGGTGTACATTCCTGCCAAAACTCCCAAGTCTAAAATATGCATCAAACATGCACACACCGCTAGTTTAGGTGTACATTCCTGCCAAAACTCCCAAGTCTAAAAATATGCATCAAACATGCACACACCGCTAGTTTAGGTGGACATTCCTGCCAAAACTCCCAAGTTAATTTGGCTTCTTGATGTCGTTCCACATTTTTCTTAGACAGTTCCTTCCATTGAACAGAAAGATCAAAAAGATCCTTGTTCATGAGAGAAGGCTGCAACAGAAGGATCAAAATACGCGATAGTTATGTATATTTTCAACAATGTGAACGCAAATCAAACGTGTTAAGATTCAAATCACCTCAGTTAAATGACTATCGAAAAGTATTTCAGCCAATTGTGAAACACGATTCAAAGGTAGTTGAAGAATTTCCTTAAAAGCGTCACACTCGTTCTGTTCGCCCTTGATAAACAAAAGAAAAGTCTTTTATGTCAGATTTATAAAGATTAATTGCTTTTCACTATTTTCACGATAAATTTTGTAATAAAAATATGTAGTGTACTACTTAGTAGTGACAAAGAGTAAATCATATTAAAGTAGAAGATCTTTTGCCAACACTTTGTAAACACGTTTCAAACATCAAGGCAGGCAGACGAATAAATTTCACAACGACAAATCGATAGAACCTGGAAAATAATTACTTTTACCTCTGCATATCCTTCCAAAATCTCTTTAAACACCAAACGGCTCTTGATGAAGATAGCACTATCACAACGAAACAATGCAAGCAGAAATTAGAATGAAGCAAGGCAAAAACCCTATTTAACTCTTCAAGATCAACACACCTTGCCTCTTTACCAAAACAATCCAATACACCACAAGCAACACAATCACTGTGTACTTTAGAATAGCTTAAATTAAAGAGGAAATAATTCAATAACTCGAGTCTACGTAGGCCCAATAATTTCTAAGCAACACTAACAAAAAGGACACCAATATATACAATTCCCTGCCTCCCCCCTCTTCCCATCAATATTTGCCGCTGATATATTCATACTTGTCAAAGGCATTGAAATAATCTTCGTTGTAAAGTATTTTCATAGCATCGCTTGGCAACATAACGTCATCCACAATTTGAGCGAGTTGGTTGCACGTGACTGCCACATGATGCATGACGTGATGAAAAGATTTGCAAATCTGTGTGAGTGTCTGACCATACTTTTCATTGTTATCCAATTTTGGTACGACTAAAATATCGATAAGCTAGTGTTTACCCCCAAAATGTCGTGTCATTTTCCAACAACGGAGAGTACACAAGTGATTGCATGCAAAATACATACCCAACCCCCTGTGGAAATGATTGCATTATTGTGGCAAGTGAGTGTATTGATACATTCAAGTTCATACTGAAAAAAGATCTACATTTATCGCAGATAAAATGATGTAATATTAAGTGGCTACATAACAACACTTCCCTATATCATTTAACCGGTTCAATTTATTACTATTTTTGACACAAAAAAGGCGCTTTTTTCACGTCCAACAAAGAAAAAATCCCCCCTCTTTCGTTTCAATGTCATATATCAAGTTACTTGCCCTGGAAAGTAACTTGAACAAATCCTACAATTGGTAAAACTGAGAGAATTCGACTCCACCACGAACATGCCACACAACATGAAACAAGCGCTATTGCACGACACTTTTTACAATGCCAAAAAGTACAAGACATTACATACATCTCAAAACAAGAACACACTTGATCACAAAACACGACATAGACAAACGTAAATTCGAACATTACCGAACTCGTACTTAACAACTACAAAATACTTTACACGAACACAAACTTAAACAGAAACCGACTTTTACTAATGGAAGCAATCTTTATTAAATCATACCAAGCAGAACTTAATAGTGGGCTTTAAAGCCAGCAAGGAACTGTCATTATTTGATTTCACAGTCACGTGCACGCAATCAACTAATCCTCTCCATCCAATTCTCACTTCCGTACTTCCGTTGAAATGATGTAATAACGCACATATAAGTAGAGCCTCAGTTATCGTGAATTTGTAATAAATTCGAAATACAACTGTTAAAACAAAAATCGTCTTATTTGTTTCTGAAATATTGAGTTGAACATGAACGCTTTATTCGGAATATCCCCCATTATTTTGTAAAGAGCTTTCAATTTTATTTTTCTATGTGTTTTTTTTATACGCCCACCGTAGAAATCAGCTTCGATTCTTGTGTTCAAATATAGTTATTCTATCTATTTATGTCTAATTTAATACCTCACATCATCACTACCAAACTGTAAGGCCCATACAACCAATATTTTAATACCTCACATTATCACCATTAAAAAACTACCATTCCTTTGCAGTTTTCTACTCACCATTCATAAGTAATGGTTCCAACGTTGATTGCCAAATTAAAGCAAGTTTGTAATGAAATACACGCTCGCTTCTCACAATGTCGTAAACCATTTTTAACCACTGAGACGGTTCTCTATGCAACGAAGGCAAATGTTTAAAACAAATACTAAAGTAATGTTTCTAAAGATATAAAATATTTTTTCTACATTTATCAACAATACCTGACTGAAAGACAAACACATTGCTCACCAAAGGCGGAAATTCGACGAAGAACTCCGACCTAAATAGGAATATTAAGGATATAAATAGGAATACTAAGGATATAAATAGGAATATTAAGGATATAAATAGGAATACTAAGGATATAAATAGGAATACTAAGGATATAAATAGGAATACTAAGGATATAAATAGGAATACTAAGGATACAAATAGGAATATTAAGGATATAAATAGGAATACTAAGGATATAAATAGGAATACTAAGGATATAAATAGGAATACTAAGGATATAAATATGAGTACAAAGGATATAATTAGGAATACCAAGGGATATAAATGGCAATACCAAGGATATATATAGGGGTATTAAGAGCTAAATAGGGGTAACTAACCGCTCTTAAATAAAAGATTTTCAGATTTAGTCAAGAGTGAAATTTAGTCAACGATTACATTTGTTCAACCGAGCACCATGTAAATTTAATGATTTTTGTTTTGCTTTTGTCCATAAACATATTGTATAACATTCGCGTCAATCGAACGGTAGTTGAGACGCCCCATACATGTACATAGCTATATTCCACTTTGCCTGGTTAAAACGATTTATCTTTCAAAAGAAATGAGCCTGGTATAGCAGAATATAAACGAGGTCTCTCTTAAAATAACGTTGAAAAGACACCAGTGTTGTATAGCGGGTAACCAGCAGTGAAAATCGTTGTTAAATAAATTATTAACCTTTTCAAATGAGGTAATTTGGCAAATGTTATCACCAACAGATAAAGTTGCGATAGCTTTAGCGTTATTCCCAGATTTCCTCCCTTTCAGATGATCACCGCTATTCGCTTCTCGTAAGGAACAACTCTCAGCAGGAGCAATGAAATTATCACGAGACGTCAGCAAGCTGTTCTTACATGACATAGGTAGCTCACTGCAACAACAAAACATGATTACATCATAAGGCATAGTCCCTAATAACTACGTACTAACGTGTGGAAATTGAATAGTATTAAAATTAACAATGTTTTATTTGCTGTCATAAGCATAAATGTACGATGATGAAATCTATAGAACGACAGAAACAGTAAAAGATCCACAATTGGATGGGAGGATATTCATGTATTCATACATTTTAATCCGTTTTACTTCATAATCACAATTGATCTGAATGAAAATTAATAAACTATAAGATGTATGTAAGAATATTAGCCCCCCTTCCTTAAATTATCAATCTTCTGAATGACTAAGATTATATAGAATAAAGCTATTTTAAAACTTACATAATGCAATCAAATACCTTGGTTTCCTGCCACAAAGATAAACATGAGTCTTGGTCTCGCAACTGTCTGCGATATACAATGAAAAATGGCTACCAGCAGCAATATCCCACACCAAAAGATTAGACAAAGACTAAAACGTAGAGACAGTAATTTGATAAAGTGTAAAAGGTTTTAAGTGAACATTTAGTGAACAATTTCGTTACCTTAACTTTTCTGGGTTTATTCACAACATTTTTCTTAATGGCAAGTTGTGAGTAGCTGTTGTCACCCCAAGCGTAAACCTGGTAGAAAATATATACATATATCTAGTCAATGATTGGTTGGATTTGAAGAAAATAGATACACATTTAGTCAATGATTGGTTGGATTTGTAGATTTCTCTATTGATCTAGTGACATTAGCCAAGTGGACACAATGCAACTTATAATTTTAATAAAAAATGAACAACATACTTGACTATAATTTGTCAAAGCTAAAGAGTGATGATTACCAGCTTCAACCTTAATAACTCCAACATGTGAAAGTTCCTCTATTCTACATGGATAGGATCTGTTTTTAAGGCAAAAAGGTTAGATTTAAAGAATAAAATCATCAACAGATCAAATATTGATCCTTGGTGTTACCATGCCCAAGTTGACACAATGTCCCTATATCTCACACTCACCGATCCTCAGTTGTCCCATGTCCCAGTTGACCCAATGTCCCTCTACCCCATGCCCAAACTTCAACAGAAACTGGTTCTTCTTTCATTTCAGGTAACTCCTTGGTGATTTCATCAGATTGACACACAGGAGAAGTGGAAATGTTCACTTTTGACAATGTACCACCATCAGTGGAGTCGTTAAAGTTATTAGTCAATGATGATGTATAAGATAACACTTCATTTACAGATTTTTTCATCACATTCGTCACTTTAGAAATGCCCGCATCTATTGATCCGGATATAGTACTGTATTCAGACGAAATACTGCCATCTACTTTATTCTGATCAAAACCATTATTCACTAAACTTGCTGAATCAACATGTGTAAAAACATCTCCATTACTTGGAGGGTTGGCTGTCGAAGCTAATGCCAACTCTTTCATTTTTCTTGAAAATGACTCTGTGTTGCTACGTTTTATACTGTCTCTACGTAGATATGTGGGACTTTGAGATGCCATTGAAAACTTTTTCCCTTTTTTGAGGCTATTCCCTGTTTTAACACTTGCAGATTTTTGAACATCAATCATAGCAAGGCTGTGATAGCTTCCACAAGCAATACAAACAACCTTCTTACCAGACAAGTCTTCAATGAGCTTAGGTTTCATGGATCTAGCCTGAGCATCCCCCAACCCTAGAGGAGCACCACTACCCCAAGCCCAGACATTGCCTTTGTCAGTCAAACCTAAGCTATGTAATTCACCAAATGCTAATTTAGTGATCACAACAGATAAATTTTGGTCATTATTATCAATGAAAGACAACATTTTTGGTTCATTTACAATAAGCATTTCCCCTACACCACATTGTCCACTTCCAGAATCTCCCCAACAGAAGACCTTACCATCTACTGTCAATACTCCACTATGACGGCTTCCACACTCAACATTGACAACTTGAATACTTGATAAACTGAAGTTTTCTGTCAGTTCATGGCGATCAACGAAATCCCCTAACCCAAGTTGACCAAATTTATTAGAACCTTGAACAAAAACCTTACCATTATGACCAAGTAACAAACAATGTTCCATGCCAATAGCAACAGATTTCACGCCTGTTCTTACATAAAATTCCGACAATTCAATTGTGTTAGTCGCAGACTTCCAAAAATATGTAATACATTTGTCCTTTTCCTCATTGTCGGAACAATTTGAATTCGACACGCTCAGATCCATTTTTTCAAGGTTTTTGATAGTTTTTTGAGTTTATCTTTGATAGGACGCAATATCCTGTCACGTTATTCATTATTTGTTGAAGAGAAAACAGTGGTTCAACGACTCAAGTTTCATTTTGGAACACAAAAGTCAAAACTTCAATAAAACAATAGACTTAACACAAAGCCGACATTTTGACAAACACCATGCGCAATGTGCGAGGACTGGGGTGAAGCAGTGAGGTTTTCCTTTAAGGTTAACTTGGTTATTTCTTCAGAATCTTATCTTTAGATACTTTAAACTGCGGTTAAAAGTACACATCATGAACCTATCTAATCTTTCAAATATTTAAAAAGAGTGAATATTTTCTTCATTCAAAAGTTTCCAAACTTCAGCATATGATTTAAAGGATCTTGGAAAGCAAACTTGAACATTTCCCCTGATAGGAAGTTTAACAAAATAAATGTTAGTCCCCGAATGTTGAATGCCGTCGTTTAGGGAAACGCAACGCTTTCTTCCAAACATTTGTTCATACTGAAAATAACGAATTTTACCTTCGTCATAATTTTGTTAAAATTTTTTTACAGATTATAAACGTTCGTATCACGTGATTATATTAACTTCGCTATTTTTGATTTACAACTCTGATTTTCTTCCGTCATCCTCCGATGTGCTTGCATCCTCTTCTGATTCATCTCCGGAACTTGAAGAAACAACGTCTGCCTGTGGACAATGTTGCAAAATGAAAAAAGCTATTTACGTACCCAGAGAAGTAAAAATCCAGCTAATTTGGAGATTTCTACACCGTTTAATCCTAAACAGTCTGTCTACACACATTTTAAGAATACGTAAAGATAGAAGGGAAACCTCTACATATTTGACTTTGGTTTCAAATTGTACAATAGTTTATAACTCACCATTGATTCAACGGAGCCATCACTCTCCGCTTCAAAATCTGACATTTGATCAGAATCTAAAAATACATAAGTTCACAAATTAAATCTTTGACGCTAAGATAGTAAAATATAAGTCTGTTCAAAATTTCAAGCAGCTGCTGGTTCAGTTAGAAATGAAACATCAAAACACTTTGAATTATCGTGTTTCAGATATCCTAACCCTATCAAAAATCATCATCACCATCAGCTTAGCAATACTTTTTTTCCTTCAATAGATAGCCAAGCACGTCAATGACAAAAAATGAATGATAAAATGTGTTATTATATTTTTAATGTGTTGTTAAAAATATTTCAAATTATTTCGCTAGTAATTACGTATTTTTTGTAATACAGCTTAAAAATTTATAAATTTTGTAAAATACAAATTTTAAACATCTATCAAAATAATAGAAGTGTTCGAAATAGCAAGCTGCTGTTGGATCAGTTTAAAAATGAAACATCAAAAACACTTTGAATTATTGTGTTTCAGAAACCCTATCAAAGATCATCATCTCCACAGCTTCAATTAAAAAAATAAAATCTCAGTTAAAAATGGCGGTGTTTAAACTACCATAAAATCTGTAGGTGTGGGGAAATCTTATAAAATAAAGAAAGAATACGAGTATTTATGATTTTTAATTACATTTGTTCACAAATTGATTTTTAGACGTTAAGATTGTATAATACAAGTACGTTTAAAATTTTAGGCTGCTGTTGGATCAGTTAGAAAAATGAATTGAAAAATCAAAAACACTTTGAATGGTGTTTCAGTCTCTTCCTATCAAAAAACATCATCTCCACAGCTTCAAATTTACAAATCGGTTAAAGATAATTGGTTTTTACATGAACCATGAAATCTGCTAGTGTGAGGGAAACACTACATTATGTGGGAAGAATGTAATGGAGAAATATGAAACACAGAAATATCGCCAGAAAGAAAATGATACTTTAAACTAAACTATACAATCTTTGAAGGTATACCATCTTCTTTGTAGATCATCATTGGTTCATTCAATTGATCTTTCTCAATAACTTCGTCTGTTTGAGCTGCAACCTTAAAAATATGATCCCAAGTATTTTACCAAAGACAGAACTAAATAATATTGTATATACGTAAAAATACACAACGAATAAACGACACATGCTTTTAACGTGTTAATTGAAAATGAACGAAATTCAAAGTTCCGAAGGGAACTCTTGTGTAAGCGCACATCATCAAGCTTTCTAGGACAATCTTTTAACTACAGACATTAAATATCAACTACGTATTGTCAAAATAGTAAGTTTTCATAAACAAACCTTAAAAACGTCACGTGACTAAAGATACATACGTAAGTTGGGAAAGATTTTGCTGGTACAACTCACTATATATAAAAAGTCGTCATATTATAAAAAATTACCTGAGACAACATTAAATCCAAGCGACCTTGTAGCTTACATAGACGACTGTGAATACCAACTCGTGATTCAAAAAGTTGATATAAACCACCAAGTGAATCAACAAGATTCGGTACCTGAAATAAGTATTAATGCTAATCTCCAATCATGCTGCAAGATGCTATATTATAGATACGAAATACAAACTACTTACGGTCATCAAATATGCCATATGTATGCTCATTATATTTTTAATCCACGGTACCAGATGACTGCCTCTGTAAAAATACATTTCACAAATTATGAAAAAAATGAGATGAACACAAACATATTGAAAATAATATGATATCACAATGAATGTGGCATTACAGAACATCAGAATATAAAAGAGTCAGCATTTTTTCATCTGACGGCAATTCCTATCATTTTCTATATAAATTCATCATGTGTCCCGTTCTTTTGCATTAAAAATGAAAACGATTCCACGAAATGTTACCTCGACGGCGAGGATTGTATACGTTGTACTAGCTGTAAAGAACAAAAAAATATCCGAAGAAGTAAAGTCAAATCTTAACAAAACGATTTCACGATAAAAACAACAAACAAAACGAACCTCTGTCAAAAACGGAATAACATAATTCACAGGTAAACGTCGTAAAGTACTTTGAATAACTTTAGGTTTTGTGCTGCCATTCAGAACGTCCTACCAATCAAAAACAAATCATGTCTAACATAAACGCAAATAATTGATAAAGAAAAGATAAAAAATCAGATATAACAAACCTCGAGCAGTTTTTTATCTTGACTATTTAAAGCTTGAACGAGCATCTGAGTTAGAGAACCAACTTTTGGAGTTGAGCCTCTTGTAGAAGTGCTTTTAAAAAAATTGATTTCAGTATTATTAAAGACAATTTTTACATCAAATTTATGGTAATGAAACGTACGTTGTTCCCTCGGACGTTGACGGTGTTAAATTCATTGTTTTTAAACGATCTTCCATCGACGGCTAAGAACGAAAATCATCAAAACTATATATACATATAGGCAACAATCTTTAAAACTGTACAACAGTTATTTTGCAAAATTTTTTCCAATTAAGTCAAAGTTACATATAGTTATTATTTGGGAGAATTTTAACACAAAATTTGCAGAACCAGACATGATGCCAACCAATAGTTTTTTATAGTAATTATGAACATGATAATGTCATATTGACGTGATCTATTTATATCAAGTACACCAAAGTCAGGACAAAATCTTCCCCAAGATACTATCTATAGTCATGCGATGTATGGTAACATTTTCAGAACTTACAACGTAAACAAGAAACTTTATTGTTTAAAAAATTATCTTTTTATGTTTTTTGGTGCAATGTATATATAAATTGAAAGATTTGAACCTGCGAGTGTTGTTATGTGCAATGCTTATTTAAAAATGTAGGTATGTACACCATCCTGGTTAGAAGTGAAATCCCGAGGACTTTTTGTGTTGATGTTGACTGACATTTTGAGAATCTCAGTATTCGTCCACCTCACAGTCAAGTGATGAGCACTGCTGAAGATGTCAACAAAACATCATTTAACACCAAAATTAGCAGTCCTCGGGTCTTCAACAACCTGCAAAGTCTACATCTACAAACATTCAATTTCTATGTATTAGTCAAAAACTAAATTTCACAGAGCTAAAATGAAGTTGAACGGTCATCTTCACTGAAGAGATTTTGCTTGTCATTTTATGCGATGCACAGATACTTATGTGTTGTACTCGTTGACACAAACCTCTTTGTTTGTATTTCTTGTTGATTCTTCATTTATATGAGTACTACTACCACTTTCTCCACATGATGGCCGAGCAAGAGCCATATTCTCAACACTAACAGTTGTTAAAAGATCATTCTTCACAACAGCTTTGTTTGTGCCAGATCTTTGATTGTTATTTTCCTCTCTAAGAAGTAAGCCAGGCCGGTAATCCCGCACCAGACAAACATTGTCATCCAAGGTTTCATAGTTCTACAAAACAAGAAATATCTAAATCTTAAAATGTTAACAATATAAATGAATGATACTACATCTTTATGACAGAGTAATTTTCAGCAATGTATACATAGAAGTTTGACCCACACTTATATCAACTAATTTACAACTCTGTATTTTGGTGAATATACTCATAGTATAACAGACATTTAATCCTAAGCTACTGGTACAACAATAGTATACATACAATGGTTTCAAAAACTGGTTTTGCCACAGATCCATAAGCAATGAGCAGTGAAGGCTCTGAACTATCAACAAATTGAGCAGATATAACAGGAATTGGCTCAGGTGTGGTTTCCTGAAAATGATAAAACATTCCAAGTAAAAATTTGAAAAAGTCATTAGGAATTGATTTACGATCTATTGAAAAATATCACCTTTGTTGCTGGTGTAGCTAGTTGTAATGTTGTTTGTGGATTAACTGGTTTTTTCACAGGTCTACAGAGCAAGATTGAAAGCTTACTTGATAAATCTTTTGTAAATTCTTTAGAAAATAAAGTAGTTAAAAAAGGTATATTTATACCCATTAAGTGTTGGTTTGAATAATTGAAGTTGACCATCTAATGATACAACAACTAAGCACAAGGTCTGGAATAGAAAAAACAACAAAAAGTGAGATAATGATAGGTTAACAGATTACATGTATGAGCTTATTGCATACTTTTGATTTTCCACTAAATCGAGAGAGTTCAATAGAGACAGCATCATCGGATATTGCAAATGAAACAACAGAGCTCCTATCAGCAGATTTCAAATCGACTTTCCTGTAAAAATATAATAAATACTCTCCCATAAAAATAGCTTGAATTTAAATTTTTGAATGATAACAAATAATTGATTTTTCACGACAAGATTCTTACCAAGCATTAATAAATCTATCTTGTTCAGCAGATGACAGAAAATAAAAACCATCTGTTTCGCATGAGCTGGACATTTGATCATTTTTAAGTTGAGTGAACAAAAGTTGAGATACGGACGTTGCATGACCAGTAAATTTCTATTGAAATGATTCAACAATTATTATAAAATAGAACCACAAAAACATGAGCCATGGTTGGCCAAAATTATGTTTTTTATGTTTCACTATCTTCATTTCATTCCTCTCGTAAAGATGGCCATCATTTAATATAACACATAGGAAACACAATCATTAGACATACTTGAAGAATTTCTTTAGTTCCCAAGTCCCATAAACGAATATCACGACCAGCAGATAACAAACAATCTCCTTTAGGGCTTACTTGTAGGGAATGAACACTTAATTTGTCACCTTTCCACTTGCTACAAAGAGATACCGTGATTTTATAATTCATTTCCTAAGAGAAATTGTACAGATAATTGATCATGATACACAAAACATGACAAGTAAAACAAACCATTTAATTTCCTCTGTTTCCATATCCCATTCGGCAATGTAACGATCGCTTGAACAAGAATAAATAAAATTTGAAGTTCTATGAAATTTAACATCATTCACTCTGTCCACGTGTCCTTCTTTCTATAAAAAAACAAACATTCAAATGACTTGGTTTTTTCCTCGAAGGCAGATATCTGACAACCACTTCGACAGTCTTACCAGATTATTTGTAAATTCACCAGTCAAAACATTGAACAGTAAAATGTTCCCACATTTACTTCCAACTGCAATCTCACAAGATGATTCCAATAGAGAGATATTTTCATTGGCTTTTCTCTTACGACGTTTCTGCCAAAATATTTAAAATGAATTCCTTAATACATACACATGACAAATCAAGGTTCACTGAAAAACATAAAAATCAACTTTAAAACCACATTGTGAATATGCGCTATTTTATACTCACTTCATACAGATGATAGTGAGATTATTAAGTTCATAAAATTATGTCAATGTAGAAGACAATTGCATTATTGAAAACAGTAAGGGAAGGCTTGTGGTACAGTGGTACTTTGGTAGACAAGGATAACGATAGAAATTCTGTTCGGTAAAATAGTGATATTAAATTAATTTTAAATTATATTTGTAAAGGCTATTGGTGAAATGTAAAGGTGAAGAATTTCAATTTGTCCATAACGTCCAACCAATAGCTCATATTTCTTACCGTTTGAATTTTTTCGCTGACTCTCCACGAAAGACATGTAAGAGGAGAGCTCTGTAAGCTCTTTTTTGGGGTAACATCGTGTTTTAGTTTACCATTATTACAATCCCAAACCTTAAGACGACCATCTGGAGTGATCAGGGCGAAAAATCGACCATCATTTTCAAATTTACAACAGCAAACTCTATTGTCCATTTGCCATTATTCCATATTCACATCACACGTGCTAGTTTTAGCAACATGGCGTGCGTAATGCGCACAGTGACTGCGCAGCGTTGGCTTGCTTTACCGTTTGGAGAACTGGTAACGACCAAGCACGTTACTCCAGATGAATTGATGAGATCACCGTCCATGGTGAGGGTGGAGGGTCAACCACTGAAAGTGCTGGCAGTGCCGTGGTGACTAGTTTAAATGTATACGATTCATATAATTAGGCAATATTGTATATTTCTAATTATCAGGTTGGCTAATTCATCAGTTTTTTCACGACTAGGAACATACTTTATATTATGGCTCATAAATACGGTTTGTTTCATGTAATGTTGAAACAAGTTTGGTGGGTTACTCCAAAAGTTCCCAGTTTCATTGCATTTTGTAGGGTTAGAATAAACTACACATTACACACCTAAAAGATAAAATAACATTAAATCATTTTTTACATTAGGTGTTCAGAAACAAATGAAATAGAAACGCATTATTGATCAACGTCAAGACTGCCATTAGGCGTCAATATATACTACATAAACAAGTATAAGCAGGTTAAAACGACCACCAGACCATCTTATAACTATAGATAGGTCTTTGACACTAAAAGACACTTGCACTTTCATAAAATATCGCAGAGTAAAAGTGCTTTCTTTTACTGCAGTAAGGGTTATACGATTAGGCGTTTAGACTTGCTTAAACTTTCTGATATTAACAATAGTAACAATGAAACCAACACTTAAAACTGTACTTTAAAAGTTAAATATTCGAGACGTGACAACAGTCGCTAATAAAGCAGTGCAACAGTTTAATATTTCTGAAATAAAAGGAAAACTAGCAGCCAAGAAGAGCCGAAAATTGTCATGCAAAAACCTATAGCCTCGTTTTTTTTTATCATCACAGAGCCTGCAGTAAACAAATATACTGTTCAAAACCAGCATACAGAAAAGAAAAAACGTCTTATGTTATTATACAATGCCTGTTCAATGCAAATTCTGTGAGTGGCAACAGCAAGTTTATAAAAAAGTGGCTATTTTCCACAGTTGTTAAAAAATAAACGGTAACTTTTGATGACGTTTCTTCTCAAAATAGACAAACGATGCAACATCATAAATTGTGTTGCTCGACAAACCCCATTAAGATAGAAAAACAACTTTGTGTAATGCCCTCGAAAGATTCTTGTAAGAGTCAATTAGCCCAGCTTTGGAACACTAAATTAGATACAACCTTTAGAAAATTGTTAAAGCAGCCACGGTAATTCTAATCCAAGATTGACTGCAGTACACAGGAAATACACAGAAACTCCTAAAAGTTTTCTAGTGTGCTTACTACAAATTAGAAATAAATCATTCTTTCTCAGAAAAAATCGAGCGTACGTTCTTTGTTGACGATACCAAAGTATGTTGACTTCATATGTCCTTCAACAATGTACGTTCTTTGTTGACGATACTAAAGTATGTTGACTTCATATGTCCTTCACCAATGTACGTTCTTTGTTGACGATACCAAAGTATGTTGACTTCATATGTCCTTCAACAATGTACGTTCTTTGTTGACGATACTAAAGTATGTTGACTTCATATGTCCTTCACCAATGTACGTTCTTTGTTGACGATACCAAAGTATGTTGACTTCATATGTCCTTCAACAATGTACGTTCTTTGTTGACGATACCAAAGTATGTTGACTTCATATGTCCTTCAACAATGTACGTTCTTTGTTGACGATACTAAAGTATGTTGACTTCATATGTCCTTCACCAATGTACGTTCTTTGTTGACGATACTAAAGTATGTTGACTTCATATGTCCTTCACCAATGTACGTTCTTTGTTGACGATACCAAAGTATGTTGACTTCATATGTCCTTCGCCAACGTACGTTCTTTGTTGACGATACCAAAGTATGTTGACTTCATATGTCCTTCACCAATGTACGTTCTTTGTTGACGATACTAAAGTATGTTGACTTCATATGTCCTTCACCAATGTACGTTCTTTGTTGACGATACTAAAGTATGTTGACTTCATATGTCCTTCAACAATGTACGTTCTTTGTTGACAATACTAAAGTATGTTGACTTCATATGTCCTTCACCAATGCACGTTCTTTGCTGACGATACTAAAGTATGTTGACTTCATATGTCCTTCAACAAGGCCTTCTGCTTGCAGTTCGATTTTTGTGTATGATTTACCCCATCATAGGAAAGAATTTCTTTTTCAAAAGAAAGTAATATATGAATTTTGAAGCCATGAAGGAAAGTCAGCAAATCAGAGATCAAGAAATGGTCAACTGTGACGAATTTCTGTTTGACGTCACGACCTCAATAAGTTCATCCTCGTCGTCTTCGTCATCTCTAAGCTTTGATGCATCCCATATTCTGAGCGTATTGTCATGGGACCCCGTGAACAATTTTCTTTTGCACAACTAAGTAAGAAAGGAAGAAAATGGTTTTTTAATTCCTCAGTTCTTACATACTCCACTCTTGTGTCTTGATGCCAAAACTTGAGTTTTTATATACTCAATTCTGGTGTCTTCATCAGGAGTAATTTGATGTTGAATCTTGAGTTCTTATATACTCCAGTGTAACGTCTTCATCAGGAATGATCTGATGTTGAAATTCGAGAATACGTATAAAAAAGTCAAGTTACAACATTAAACCTCTCCTGATGAAGACTATATAGCGTCTTCGTCAGAAGACATTTAGTGATTATTGAATAATTTACAAACCACGATTGCATTTACTCCATGTAAATGTCCCTTGAAAACTCTTTTACACGAACCAGATTTCGTGTTATAAACTCTGGCAGTCCCATCACCTGAGCCAGTGATCACTAATAAAGGTGAAACGGACATAAACGATACAAATTTCTGAATTCGAAAAAACTGTGCTGTTGGATTAAGCACAATTGTTCAAATAGTTGAACTCTTTTACGTTTAGGTATCTTTCAAGCAATCTTCATGAAATAAAATGTCCCACACGATAACAAATGTTTAAAACTTTAACTGACAATGTTAAGATTGCCTACGATAGCATCTTCCAAACTAACAATGTGAACAACATCTTAAATTTATAGTTTAATGTTGCTATGAAACTCTACAGGCATCGTCGGATGTTATTATCTTAAAATAAACCCACCTATACCCTCTTCAACGAGCAAACATCCAATTGTGTGAGTGTGCCCTTTAAAAGTCCTTGTGCAGTCTCCAAACTCTACCAACCAAGAACGTACAGTTTTGTCTGAACTTGACGAAAAGAGCTGTTTGTTGTGAACCTATAACAATTAGTCAGAAATTATTGAACATTATGTACAGTAAAAAATATCGATGCACCTATTAATCATCTATCAAATATCAAAGTTCTATGATATTTGCATACTCTATCCTTGAGGAAGCTGAGAGTAACCCTTTACGTACTGTATGTCGAAACAACACAATAGATAAAATCTAAGTTTAACAGTTCTTGCAATATCCTACAACAGTTATTTCATACATCTGTTTACGGTCGTCAAACGTTGCAAATATCAAACAGTACACACACACATGACAATAAAATTATTAAGTGCACTTCTTGTTGAGAAGGAAAACATTTGTAAGGGCAAAAATACAATTCATAACTAACTCATGTATTTTGAGGAAAATAATTGTTGCTCGCAACAAGAAATGTTCTGTATAGTTGTGACGTAGCATTATTTATTATGAATAACCGCCACTTCACATAAACGCAAAGACTGTAACAGCTCGACTGTAATGGCTGTTACTCTATTGAAACAGAAAAAATACCTGTAAATTGAGAACTGTAGCATAATGTCCCTTCAAACTTCGAAGATGTCGACCAGAAAGAAGATCCCACATGCATATAATCATATCAGTAGACCCTGTAAACAAAGTCTTGTTGTTGGAGTCGATAGCCAAACACAAAACGGCTCCTGTATGTTTTTTGAACGTAACCAAACACTTGTTCGAGTTTATACCCCATGATTTTGCTGTAAAATCTGCCGATCCGGTTATTAAGAGACCATCGTTGCTGTCTATATCGATGTGCGTTTGCCGTCTTTTGGAGTTGCTTACGAGTAATATAGGGAAGAGACTTCGCCTGTGACCCTCAAATGTACGCAGTAAGTCTCCCGTTTGGACGTCCCAACAGCGTGCTGTTCGATCGTAAGAACCTGAAAACAGCAAGCCTTGTGAGTAAATAATCTTGTTCACTGTCGATGAATGTCCTTCGAATATTCGAACACATTCGTAGGTTTTTAAGTCCCATTGCCGAATATTGCAGTCGGCAGATGCCGTAAAAATATAATCGTCGGATACACAACAGTTTGTTATGTAACTTGTGTGTCCCTCCAGAACGCCTATACATTCCTCCATTTTAATATCCCAGACTCTTCCAGTATGATCTTCTGAAACGGTTATAATCTTCTGTTGGTCATTTGACATACAGATCGCATTTATAGCGCCAGTGTGCCCTTCCAAAGTCTTTAAAAGAAACGTTTTATTTTTCTTTTGGTTCTTTAAAGCGCAGTTCGCAGATGACGGCGGAGAAAGCTTCTTCGAGCTACCGGATCCCATTTTTTTTTATCTAAAAACTCCAACCACGAAATTCAGCCATTGAAAAAATCTCAATCGGTTTTGACATTCTTGAAGTGACCGTCGGTTTTAGCCAGTTCTGTGACGCAGGGATGAGAAAGTAGTATACCTCGGCCTGATGGAACTAAAATGTTTCGAAATGAAACAAAAATTAATACTTCAGAAGTATAGTAATAAAATAACCCAGTGTTTTTTATGTATTGACGATGTTTAACATCAGACACGGCAGGCATACAGCTCAAAAATACGACATTAAATATTTTAATCTTCTTTACGTTTAAACTGCTTTTTAATTACCTGTGTTGTCAAGGCGATGTCCGCTGCTTGAGAAAAAACCTGCTATGAATCATAAACCGATAGCAAATGGACGTCTGCAAGATATCTACATCTGGAAAAATTTAGTACAACTCAATTTTTTTAAAAGAATGTAACCATTCGTGTAGATAGATAGTTAAAAAAATACTTAGAGAATGCTTAAGAGAATGCTTTAACACCGGTACGGAACCATGGCAGAGGAACGTACATATGTAAAATGAATAATGGCTTTAAATATTTACGCCTGTATCAAAAAAAAAGTCGTTATTTAAAGTTAATCATGATACACATATAACGAAAAACTTGGTCGAAATTTTTCAGTTTTTCGTTTTTGGGATGTGAAACGTTTTTCTCGTTGTTCTAAACAGCCAAAAGCACAGTAGATGTATTAATACGATGAGATATCCCATAAATAAAAAATTTATACAAGAAACACGCGTTGTTGTCGATGACGCACAATAGTTTAAAATAGTACAATCTTATTAATCAGATCCCGCAAACAATTTTTTCAAAGTATTAGCTAAGTAGCGGAAAATATTTCACAACGCAAACAATATCCTATTCTTTTAATTAATGTACCAATTTCAAATGCACTGAGGGCTGGGGGCGGGTGGGGAATGATAGATAGGATTTCAAGTTATAAAAATCACTTGATACAAAAAACAATTTCGATTGAAAGCAAAATTGCAAAAACAATATCCTGTCAATCTATGAAAGATTTTAAGATCATATGCGAAAATCCCTGAACGGTATTTCACTAACGTCTAATAAAATCGTTTGAACTTTGAAAGTTTCTATAGCTTTGCCTAGAGGTACCTTTTGCAGGCCATCTTTCAAGAAAGAGAACAACAAATATGAGTTGTCATGACAATAATTCAAACACTTGCAAACTAGGCAGGTGCAATGAGATAACATATAGTTAAAATAAAACTCCTACACATGTCAGGTACGAATGAAGTCTACATCCATACAAATGCATTCTTCGTCAATACTAATAATTCAAAATCAATATTTTTAAGTAGATTTATGAGAACACAAACAAATCAATCATAACTCATCTTGATCAATGTTTTGAAGTCGATGAAAAAAGACGAAATACATGTGTTTTTTAATTGTAACGTTAAGTTTCATATTTTTTATGTTTTTTTCGTCATCATCAAAGACAATTTATGGAGTTCTTTAAAAGTGATCGAGTTACATAATAATATAGTTGTTTTATATGACTAAAAACACATCTATTTATGTCTCAAAACTATAGTTGTTTATTGCAGCGTCAAACTTGAAATACGCTCTGTAAAATATTGTGGTTGGCAAGAATATGATTGAACTAAAGCCGTAAAAGTTAATGATTTTTTCCAATGCGCACTTAATTACAATGGATGATTCAAATACTGAATTACAAAAACTCCTTCGACGACACATTTTCATAAAAAATTCAATTTGATTTATGAAACTTAGTCCATCAGAAATTTATAACTATTTTATGATAGCAAAATAGTTTGAGCAAAACATAAACAGATATATAACATAATTTGACAAACACTGAGCCAATATGAACTGAATAATTAAAATTGACAAGCATAATTGTATTTTCTTCAAAATAATTCTCAAAATTTCAAAAAGTCTAAAACCACTTCATCCATAAAAATTGTTAATCACAAAATTTTCCAATCATTTTATAATATTGACATGTACAAACATAAAAAGCCATAACGAGACCCTCAAACACACACGACGGAGTCAATTCATTGGATGACATTTCAGTGCGTAAATTTTCTCCCGAGTAAAACTTCCGGAATGTTTGCGAGGTAATTGCGCACGTGAACCACGTGACAAAGTACTTTTCTTACACGTGATAATGTATACTTATCTTTGTTCATGTTACAGTGCTGTTTAGATAATCTATAAACATGTTGGTGACTTTATTGGTATCTTCAACTGGATGCATCTTGGAATAAGTAATGAATTGTTTACGTAATCGACGTAACTCTGACATGTTCACGTGACGTTGAAAACACACCTTCAAAGACAATATATGAACAATTGAGACGAAAATATTTAATGGATCTTGTCATACGACTGTGGTATTAAATAAATTAGAAAGATGTGTTTTTAAGTTATCATTATTAAGGTTGAATGCGAAAGAATGTTAAATGCAGTGCGGTGTTTGAAATTAAATGAAGATATGATCTTCGCACTTTTGCTGGACAATTTAAGCAATTGTCTCATGAACCTGAAAAATTCAGGTGACTCAACGGTGATCATATCTTCATTTAAGGTTGAATGCAATAAAAAAGAATATTTTTAACAAACGGAAGGAGAATGCACAACATGTTATGAAATAAAGACATCTTTTAACACGCAAAACGTTTTATGAAAATTTAAAAATAAAACTGAATTAAACAAAAAAAGAAGATTTTCCAAAACACAGACGTTAAACTGTTATTATTATATTGACGAAATTGTAACGAAAAAAAAATTGACAGTTTTCATTTTGGAGCCACATATTACGTATTATTTAGTTCAAAATTTTCACACAACATGGTAAAGAGATTTGTCGTTTGAATGCTGTAAATAATGACGAACCTTATTGCTAGCTCCTGGAATGATTATGACCTCTCCTGGTAAATTAGTCTTCTGCGCAGTAAGTATCTTCTAAAACAAGGGAAATTGAAAACGGAAAAATCAAAGACAAATCACACAATCACGAATCACGTGGCTTACACGTACAACTTGTCACGAATCACGTGTCTTACACGTACAACTTGTCACAAATCACGTGTCTTACACGTACAACTTGTCACGAATCACGTGGCTTACATTTATGACATCTTGCGTCTTCTTGTCCAAATCAGAGAGGAAACTTGTCGCTGACAACGGTTGCTTGACAAAGTAAGCAAATAAATTTCACAAGATGTCAAGCATGACAAAACAGGAAAGATTTCGTTCACCCTCCAACAGTCCTTACACATTCAGTGGCTTGGTTTGGTGGCGGAGGAATTCTGTTAATGACAGCGTCATATATTGCATCCATTGGTAAAACATCCTTAACCTTAACAAGAATAACAATATTGTGAATACATATTCCCATTGCTATGGTTGATTCATTTGAGTAAATTTAGTAAAGAGCCACAAAATTGAAACTCAAATGAAGTAATCTTCCATCATAAATGTCTACTTAAATATTTAAAGAAATTTTGGGTTCAGTTTCATGACAGAATAACATAAACTCTGATCCAGGAGGTTGTCTATGTAAGAAATGCAAATTGTGTTTCATTTAGCAATGATTGCTGCATTGAAAGCTTCAATTTTGTCCTCTTCAACTTTTTTCATAAAGTTTTTTTAAACTTTAATTTCCAATGTAAATGAAGAAATTTTCACCCTGTAATTTTGATAAGAAACACTTGGGATAAAATGGGAGGCACACGCAAAGGATTTTATGCAAGTAGATACTTATTTTTTCCAGAAGATGTGTGCTAAGAACATGACCTAATCACGTTCACATTAAACTATAATCCAGACAAAAATTGATGGACCAAATTACCTGAACTGTAAAAAGTGGAGAATCCCAACGATTTTTTGAATCGGGTGGCTCAAACCGCATCATTAATTCATCCATTCTACAGCAAGAAAACAAAAATAGAAACTCTCGTGTGCTTTGTGAAAAACTTATATGAATGCTATAAATAAAACTTACAATTTATCTTCATATTTATTTTCTCGTTGTTTATTCCACTCAACACATTTTTCTTTGGAGCTTTCGCAATACACCTTAAAAATACATAATTAAATAAATCAATAACACAAATCAGTCACGATGTTTTCTATTTCTCTTGCACTGAATGCCAAATGGTAATTAAAACACATCCTCTCTGCATCCTGTTATACTAATAACAATAAATAACATAAACCTACAACCTGCTAAGACAGTACATTTGGATTTTTCAGTACATTTTATCATAAACATCTCAACATCATCTCAAAAATCCCCTGCCATGTCCATATACTTACCACACAATGTGGTGTTTTGTGCGCCTTTGCCGAGCAATATAATTCATATCTGTAACCTGAAACATTAAAGAGAGATTGGATGTTTAGTATCTAGCAATCTGAATATTAATGACATCGATAAGATCTTCCCGTTTACCATGTACAATCATCTATAAATAAACACGTGAAGTCGCTCGCAAACACATAAATTGATGTACCTTTGATATAATTTAACGAGTCTAGAATCACGACAACATCTCTCGACATAAACCTTGAAAAATAATTCCAAAAAAACAGTTCTAGCGACGTTGACTTTAAATATCCAGAAAGGGTGATTTGAAAACAGAAAACCTTTCAACGGCGGACTTTAGGGAACATCTGGCTGACTTTTCGTTGCTCGAAGCTATAAAAAATAACCCAGATGTTTATACTATGAGTATTCTAATAAATTTCGAAAGTTTTTTAAGTACTTGCTCACTCACATGAGTACACTAAGTTTTTATCCAACTCAAGCAAGTCATCATTAACGACTTTAACAACTCTACCACGTTTCAGTGAAAAATATTTCTCCAAATCATGACATCTGGTTGTTTTTCCTGAAGCAGGAAAGCCACACATCATAATAAACGGCATTTTGTATATAAAAAAGCAAGAAACACATTAAAAACTGTATATTTCTTCAAAATTAACATTTTGCTGCCTCAAAGTGTCCGCCATCTTGCAATATATTCAAGGGTTTGAATCATTTTAATGCGAGATTATGATTGGACAGTCGTCTCCATGGTAATTGAAGTTTGATTGATTGTAATATTGTAATCAACTTTGTAAAGAATAATTACAGTTATTTTTTACACTTTTCTCACGATTTTATCTGTTAAAATTTTCTTTATTTTAAATTTTGTCAGCTGATCAACATTTTATGATTCAAACATTTGAGATAAAAACATTTTAAAGTATTTTAAATATAAAAGAGTTTGCGACTGCCTAAGCTTTTCCAGCACACCTGCTGATTCATGACCCAGCCTTAATATCGGGCTGTTGAAGAACATCAAGATGGTTGGTAGTCGTGTCCAACTTTTTTTAACATTTTTTATCCTTTCTCATTCTTGTTTGAGTGGAGTAGTTTGCAATGAAAGCAAAGAGATTACCAAATCTAATGAACTAAAGGAGAAAGCCTCCATGGATCAAGCTATTTTACCAAGTGTATCCCTGGTAGAAGAACGAAAATCTTTGAACAACGATATGAACACTAGATCGCCAAATGAAACAGATGGTTTAGAAAGTTCTTTGGAAGAGAAAAAGGCCAATATACAACAAGATCTTGGAAAGACTAAACAGCTGAATGATGAGCATAAAAAAGATTTAGATGGGCAGTTAGAAGGTATTAATGTAGATGGTTTGAAGGGTGAGAAAAAGGATGAAGACGGAAAAAAGGAGGAAGACGGTAAAAATGGAGAGACTAAAGAAAAAAGTGAAGAGAAACAAGAGGAGAAAGGATTAGAACTGAAAGTTTTAAAAGATGATAACTTTGAACATCTTACTCAAGCGGCTACAGGTGCAACAACTGGTGATTGGTTAATTATTTTGTAAGTAGTGTATTTTCTTTGTTCTTGTATGACTGTCTTTATTTACATAAATTAATTGATGTGAGTTGTTGACATAGATGTGTGTTATTGTTTTAGCATGAAAAATAAAGATTGTGAAAAGTGCACATTGGCTGAAAACGTCCTAAAAGTTCTCCATGAAAGGTTGAATCTTCAGTCTCTGAGTCATTCTTATCTTGCAAAGTATGGTAGTATATTGATAAAATTTTTCCTGTCCATTCAGAATGAAGCATAAATTGAATGTGGCTAAAGTGGAGAAAGATCGATCAACTAAATGTAGGTATTGAATCTTCCCATGATGCTTTACGATGAGTAAAAAATTATGTCATAATCTTCTACTTAATAGTGACCTATAAACGATTTGGTTTGGAAGATGACTTGCCTGTCATATATTTGTAAGTAAAATAAAATCATGACAATTTCTTAATCATTTTATGATGTATAAACAACTATGGATAATAGAGTATGATATTTAAGGGTCCTCTAGGGTAATGTATGTACTAGTTTAATGGGCACAAGTAAAAAGTATGATAATGAATGGGGAATTACAATCAGCTTTCAAAACTCCAGTTAACACTGGTAACAAAAGTCAACATAGGCTCACCACTCCATAATTGACTAGGCCCAGTCTTTCTCCACTACACCACTAAACACTTTGTGAAGAACATGCAATTATAAAAAGATTTATTTTTCATTAATCTTGTCAGGTTTCATCATGGAAAGCAGTACTCTTATGAACGTAACATAGATGTTGATGACATTGCCAGCTTTGTTGATGGTGATTATCAAGTTGCACCATGGAAAACTGTCAAGAAACCTTACACTTGGTTGTAAGTTGAAAATTTTTTGCACTCTCTACACATCAAATATTGTGTCCATTTTCGAGCCTCATTTAATTCAAATAAATATTTTGGTTTTCTTATTATTTTAGTGAGTTTTATCTTGAAGAGACTCAAAGCGAAATGAGCGTAAGATACAAGCTTGGCGACACTTGCTATATATGTACATTTTATTTAATGCTAAATTATTGCTATCTGTACAAGCCAACATTTTAAAAGAGAAGGACTAAATGTTTATGAAAATATAGCTTAAGCACAAGTATTTGTAAAGGTGCAAACTTCTACAATTTTAGCAGTAATTTGACCATTTCTAACGAATGCCATTTCACAGTAATCAGATGGCTGAAAACACACACTTTCACAGTTTTATAACATCGCTATAGACTATTGTTGAATTTCTAACAATTCAGATGAACTTTGACTGCGTGTTTTGAGCTGACACCGACAGTTGAACTTTTGTCTTTTCATTTCAGCATATGTTGCGTTATAAGAAAAACGTCTCAGTGATCATCTTTCTCGCTGGATTTATCAGTGCTATTTTTGTGGCTTCCATATGCGGTACAATTATGTTTCACTTGTTGGAAAACTTTAAGGACGACGATGAGTTACCAATAACAAAAGTTGAGCAAAAAACAGTTAAAGATCAAATTGCCGCAAAGAATAAATCTGATTGAAATCTGTCGAGCACATAGCGGTTGGGTGTTGCGTCAATTTATCTTCTAGAAATATATAGTCAATGGTCGATCGATTTTTATTGAATGCTCAGTAAATTTGATTAAGTTTTATTGACTATGACATTGATGTGTGAAGAAACTACGATGCGATATTTGTACTTATGAAAACACAAATGTTATTTATGAAGAAAAATGTTAGCAAGAACACCTGCCTTATAAGCATTGCATATGTTGGTTTGACATCTGTACATAACCGCTAACTTTGCGATAATCTTGAACTTAGGGAAACAATTAGACAAAACATTTCATCTTTTTATAGCAAGCACGTTGTAGCTCTTGATCGTAGTATCTATTTAAAGGGAGAAATTTACTGTTTCTCTGTTCTTTTGTAAAATATCATTGTTTGATTTAAAAATCATTCACTTCATTCAACAAAACCAACGTGAGTATAATTAATCCCAACAAATTAATCTTCCTATCTATCTACAATTATTTATGGATTTGTTCAATTCAAGTAGCGTTTGCATCAAAAATTTGGTCATATATAGCTAGCTAGTTAAACTCAACAAGATTTGCAATATCAATGTCAATATGAAATGAAATATACTTTAATTAACCTCAACGTTGTAACGAAATGTGGATTTATGAGATGACGCGATACTTTAAGCTTTAGAAGACAAATATCTCTATTTCCAATTAGCTGCATCTTTCAAATCATCTGGAAATAATTAGACGAAAGAGCGTTGATTTGTTCGCTTTTTGGCAAGATAAATTATCGTCATATTATGCTATTCTTCAATTTTTAATTAAAAAATGAATTATTACGAAGACAATATTCCAATGACGCTATCTGCTTTTGGAATGTACATACAATTTTGAAATTCTTTCAAGACAGTTTTGTGCAAGCTGCATCAAGCGAACGTCGACTTCCAGAAAGAGACAACTTTCACTTTTATACTTCAAGATTAAACGTGAAAAGTAAGTTTGTAAACATTTTTCTAAAAAATGCAAATTTTATTACTGTAATTTATTTAAATGATTTCACGCAGCTAAACATCAGTGAACTGAAATAACATATATCTATAGTGGAAAGGAATTTCCACAAATACAATGAGATAGAATTGCTCTTGAAAGCACGTATAAGACATGTCATAAGCGATGTTCAGGTGTTCAAATGAAACATAAAATTTCATCTGTCTTAAAAAGGTAACATTTTCGTTTCTTCCTCAATTTTCGTCAATGGCCTATAACAAGTGCACGACTCTGATGATTGAATAAATTATAAGAAAACCGAGAAAAATGCAATAAAAAGTGATGTCAATTAGTTAAATCAAAGATAAAATTTGTTTCTATCTACTCACGCAGCAGTTAGTTCAATGTAATATGAACATAGATTACGTCATGAAGATTTAAGCCATAATCCATTAACACCATATTAAGGTATTGTACTGACCAGAAAGCTCATTAGTTTAGTTCTCAGAAGTATTTCAATGTAAGATGAAAAAATGTATGAAATAAGTCTTACACAATATATTGGTTCTTGGGGACCAGTTGAAGTCTAATCATAAAGGTACGACCATTATGCAATGTTTAACGGCAAGTAAGTTAATGTTCTACGATCTTTGAATACTTTGTCGCTACAACATCTTGTATACCCTGCTCATTTATCGCACTTGTCGAATGACATTTACATGATATGCAAAGATAAGAGATATAGAGTTCCATTACACAATTACAAACTTGAACTATAAAGCTTTTGTATTTGATTCGTTTGGTCGCAGGACATGAGCTTTATGTGTTCTACATTCCTCACTTTGATTGGTTTGGTATATAAGCGACAACATGCACAGCTTTTTAACGTAGAGATTTTGCGCAAACGCTACTATCTTATGTTTGCATTGTCCCAGACATCCGGCTACACGTATGATTGACGTATTGAAACGGGTGAAGTGAGAGATTTTTGACAGAAGAAAGATGGCCTTACTTACGTCATAACATAGAACGATTAATACATCTTACTGTAAATTAATATTGGGAACTCAAACATACTTAACAACAGATCATAGAAGTCAATGTTTAGTTTTGCACTATAGAAGAATGCTGTTGAACGGTTAAGAAGATCAGAATTTTGTAATTTTCTATAATCGTGATCTTTTTCCTCGCGCGTTGCTCTGGATTTCAAGTGAGAGTATTTTTCAGTAAGTGAAAGAAAAACGAGTGAATACAATTTAACGTTTATTGTAGAGTAGAGATATTAACTAAAAGAAAGGTCTGTACTTACAGTGTAATGACGTGTTTTGATAGTTATGGCAGTCTGTGTCCTCAATATTTGAAATGTAAGGAAATCGCGAAGTTCTTATGTTTAATGCGAGCTTTTCCTTATACTTAAGTATTTTCCTGTTTCAATTCTTGCAAAAGTTCATCTAGGAAAATTTCCCGACCTTTACCACACACGTTTGCAAGTATACTTTTAACTTTGCAATATCTTGTCACATATCTACAAAACTATGTCCTTTTTTTTAAGAATTATCGTTTGCCTTAAAAAAGTTTACAAGTACTTGTCAATCAAAAATCAAAGGCAAGCTTGATACACAAAATTTACTTTGACATAGAACGTTCAGGCACATCTTATACATTCTCAAGTACATGGAGGAAGGAACTCTTGTCTATATATGTTTTAAACGATCAAGCATATTTAAAATTTTTCAATTTAAATGATAATTTTTGAGATGCTTTCAATCACCTTGGAAATGAAAAATTCATTTGCTCAATCTCTTAACGTCAAAACATTTGCAAAGAAAATGAATAATGGCTACATGGGTTTGATGCATGCAGTTTTTGCCTAATTATCATGCATTAAAATATATTTCTAGAACATTTATTTCGAGAGCCCCATTAAGAAATGTAATAAACATATTAACTTGCTGAATCATAAATAAATACCTGTATTGCAGTTGGAGAAAAAATGAAAAGGTCATTTGATCTTATGAAAGTTTTCTGAACAAGCTTCCTATTGGAAAATTTGTTTCATTCATTCTGAATGTGAACAATTTACATGAAAAACCGTGTATAGCAACTTTAAACAAAGACCATATGACAATACAAAATTAATTGTCAAGACTTTATGAATGTCTATCTTCCCGTTAAGCATTGCTTTATTAATGAAGACAGAAGTTAGATGCTCACATTTGGACGTGCCTTTGAATCAAGTAAAACTGGGCCGCAGTAAATCATTAAACACACCAAGAACTGCTCACGGAATGAATTTACGACCAAAACGAACCTACAGTTTGCCAAATAGAGAACGAGGAGGTTTACCCGTCGTTCAAATAAATACCTCCGATCTTCAAGATCAATTTGAAGAAGATTTTTACACAGATAGAGAGCAGAATAGATATCCGAACTACAGTGTGACGACTGGTGTATATTCCTCTGAGACTGGTGAGTGATGTACTGACAACGAGCCAAAATAATTATAATAATATGATCTCGTTCATATGCAGTGTTATATTTAATAGAATATAATACACAGGGAGGGTATTTATAGACGAGAGTTTTAATTCATCTTTATTTGTAAATGAAGATAAACTTAAAATCCTCTACGTCACCGTTACAATGAAGCACGTACACAAGAGTTTATTTACGCTACTATAGAAGGCGATATCATGCAGTTTTAAGGCTACAATTTTACAACCTATGACGTTGTGCTCGCAACTTTATATTAAAGACAAGAAAATACTTCGGAGTTGTCACACTATTGAATAGTTTCAGCTCAAAGAATGAATTCAACATACTAGTTTAAAAGATAGATTACGCTATTCTAATGTCAAATGGAGAAGACGTCTGCTATCACAAAAAATCTAGACCTTTGGAAATTCACAATACAGTCTACGTCAAAGAAATCGCATGGCTTAGTCAACCTTTTGACCCCACATATCTATTTTATCTTTATGTAGAACATACTACAACTAAGACGAATATTTGACACAATCATGCGGCCCTTTTGTTTAATGCATATGATGTTAGTTTTCATTTAAGTTGCAAAGACGGCCTGGTTTGGCCGAAAACAAATAAACTTGAAATAAATTCATCCAGCTGATGAAACATCGCAAATATATACAATATTTTAATTATTCAACAAGTATTGTGATCAATTACGAATAAGTAATTTTTTAATTATAGATATCATGCTTTATTTCATGTACTCTCGTTCAATTTTTCAGACAATCCATTTGAACCTGTGTATGGAGTATTACTGAGTATTTTTTTTTGGATATGGTCAAGGGTTTTGGATTTGTATAATTTTTGAAAAAGTTGATCAAAAATAAACTTCGTACATTGAGTTGATGGGGTATTGTATAATATGTAGTAGCTTTGATTTTGTACTTTACTGAATTCTTTAAATTTTGGCGAGTAAAAAACAAAGTTAAATACAAGTAGCGATAATGTAAATAATCTATGCATAAAATTGCTTTATATTATAACGTTATCAATAAAATGAAATGGACATATACCACCTACTCTTTGACTGTATTATCGTCCTCAAATACTGTACAAATAATGTTTCAAATACCAATCGAACTTCTTCAATGATGTGGTGTTTATTTTGAAAATATTTACGAATCATTCATACATATTTGTTAATAAAATATTTATTTCATACGTTCATTGAATATTTTAGAATTTTCAAAAGAACAGCAAGCAGCCCTTTTCTCAGCAAATGACGTACATGATATAACTAATGTTCACTTTATATAACATCGCACATAACATATATTGATCAAATACGTCCAGTGGTGAAAACAAGTGAAATATCTGTAAGAACTGTATAACTTGACGAACGCATCGCACAATTTTGGTTTAAACAGCGATGGTAAGTGACTATATCTTGTATATATAACTGCAGACGACCGACGTCGTCTAAATTTTGAAATGTCATAATGTAGCCACATATCACTTCATCTTTTCTTTATGTTTTACACCAGATGTTTCATATGTTGTACATATGTACATATAATATATACGAACAGATTGACGATGCGAATGATAAAAAATTGTTAGTATGAGTTTAATCGTGAAAAATCAAAATTAATATATGAGTTAATTGTTGCGATGAATTCTAAAGTTATATTAATGATAAACCATTTGAAAATTTCAAGTGACTTACTAAAGGTTTAATTACGAAGACCATATAGATGATTACGATATGCAAGCTTACAGTCAGAGTGCTTTAGTTTATATCAAGAATCTTAGAGTTGCATTAAAATATCTGATGAAGGAAGAATTTATAATGAACAGCTGAGAATAATTAGACAGTGCATTACATGTGATTATCTTCCGTCAATCCTATGATTTATAAAGTCATCTTTGATAACTTTAAACTAACACACAATGCAACATTTTTATCGTTACATGCTGAGCTTAATGCTCACATAATGCCATGTTTAGGGAACTACAGATATATACAAGCTTGAGAAAATCAGAAAAGTATAAATACTGATGAAATGTAATGGGGTTTTGCAATAAAAACACATCATAAACAGTAAGATTTGCAAGTGAAAAGTTATACTTAAGGTCAAACCTTTACAAATTTCTGGATCAAATACTTTGTATCTTAATAATGTGAAATAGGATTTGTTAAGCTAGAACATATATTGATTGACATAATACATTGCTTTAGCTATTTTGTGCATATGTTTCCGCGTTTGATCATCTTCATTAGTAGACAGTAGATGTTCATTTTGTTGTTAAAACCATTGCAAGCATGCAGACATATTGGACTCATTACGAACACAACTCTACGACAGGTAAAAATTGTCCCCACAATCCATCGAGACAAACAGTAAGTTTTCCCACATAAATATCCGCTTTAGAGATGTTTTATTGTATTGTGTAAAGACAAAGTCAATAAATGCATGAAAAGATGGCATACATCCAATCTAAGCATTGTTAAAGATTAAGTTGTAATCGTTATTAGAAATCGGTAACTTTCTCACACGATGGAAAGCCAACATTAAATCTCCATGTATATTTCTCAGGAAATTAAGAAATAATCCTAGTGTCATAAAGATATTTGAATCATCTGCTGACTAATGCCAATGCTAATTTGAAATTTGTCGTTCAACATATAATATATTAAGCAATATGCAAGTCTAAAAATCAAAGAGAAGCTTTGAGTAGGCATAGCGACAATACTGCGCAGTGAAGAGTTGCCAATTTGCAAGCCTTTGGCATGACAAGTGTGAAACACAGCGTTGAACAATATAATGAACAATAAAAATCATAACTCCCTAAGAGTCTCTGTGTAGTTTTCAAGTTGAGCATATTATATGCAGTGTCTTTGTGCAATAGCAAGCGTCAACTTGTAAACATAATTGTTACAGCATAGTTGTTGTATTATATAGCTACATAGTTCATATCAGATTACAGTAAAGTGGGCGAATGAAGATTTATCGAACACACCTATCCGCCTTTTGAAGAATCTCCATTTCAAGCATGCATATTACAATACAAGTAACGGAAAAAGCTGAATTGTAGTTTTATTGTTTTATCGTATTGAAATGAACTTAAGCTAAGAGTGAGCTTTTCCAGAGCCTTTTAACACCTTAAATGAACTGACCTTTATCATTTAAACATTTTAAAAATGGAAAGATTGCAATTGATAATTTTTAAAGATTACGTTGTTACGTATAATCCAAGAGAGAATGTCTAGCATTCACCTGTTCCCTTATTAATGAAAATTGATAAAATAGTTTTAACAGAAGCAACTTTATATTCACCGATAATGACTACTAAAAATAACTCAGCAAAGTATTCAATTATAAAACGCTAAGTATGTAAAACTGGATGTTTCGTAATACATACAAGTTAGCTATGTTGCAAATAGAAATTCTTGAGTTGGCGTATCTATTGAGGGTACAAAAGAAAAAATTTCAAGTATACAAGAGTTGACGTATATCGTCTCTAAAAGATTAAACAATTAAAAGGAGTCTTTGTGACGAATGGTGACGATCAAATCAATTACGTCATGTTCGTAGAATGATCGGAAAGGTATCGCGAATTTTCGAAATTTTCCAAGTGACGACTCACATGCATAAAAGAAATAAAACATTTCACTTATCAAGACAAAAGAAAGGCATTCAGCCATAGCTTCTCTTCCCAATTAAGGCCTCTTAAAATTTGCTGTGTTACTTTGTTTGGAATTTTTTAGAAGGAAAAAGTAGTTTAAAATCTCCGTGTTTAAAACTACTAACAAAACCATTTAGGGAAATATGTTTCTATGGTATACAATGCACTATATTTCTGAATTTTAAAATATTTGCACAGCAATTAGCAAATCGATCGAGTTTGCATAGAATAAACCGGTAATAAATTGCATTCATACCGCCCGCGATTTACGCAACTTGCTACATAAAGAACATTTTTTATCTTCCTTCCGCTAAATTAAATGTGAACGCCAGCACAAGTCATTCTTATCCAACAAGTGAACAAGAAACAACCTTGTGCCAAAAATTTGACATAGAACCGATAGTATTATCAATCACAAACATTATCATTCATTACAAATAACGATTCTTAATGATTGTTTATGGTGAAGACGTATAAGCATTGATTCTATCTAAAGTATGGCTCGGAAAGCTGGTCAGTATTTTATATATTTTAGTTAAACATTAATATATAGTTAGTTACTATAGTTAAAATTGGTAACCTAGCATGGTATAGTAATAAAGTTAATATAGTCAATACAACTACAGTAGTTATATATTATGTAGCCTATATGTACCCCTGACGCTATCATCATGTACTACAGAGTCTTTTAACCGTGATTAATTTACCTCTTGAATCTTCTCGCCTGGATAAAACGATCTGAAGTGGTTGACTCTTGTTATTAACAATTATTAATTGCTTCATGACTTGAGAACTTTTAAGCATTTTTTTTTAATTATGAAAATGAGACAATATATCTTGTGCAGTATATGCAATACATGCATCAAAACACGTGGCATTGCCTCGCAAATTGAAGAGATTGTCATTCATTTACACTTCCATATATCATAAAACAACCCCTAAAATCATTTTCAGCATCAGCCCCTTATCATCAATAGATATTTTTTACTTTACGAACGAATATATAACTATTGACTTCCTATGTATTATGCAGCACACATTTTTGATAGAATTGTCAAAGCTCACTCTGTGACCGTTATTTTAGGGGATTAAAATGAACCACAAAGATATGAAATTTCATGGTCTCCATTTTCTTTCTTACGTTATACTCCGATTTCAAAACCAACTGCACAATTTTAATCAGGTAGTTTGAGTGATATAAAGATAATTTTTGCTCATGAACATAAACTTGATGTTTTTTGATATTTCGACTTTCTTGAATTTACTTTACGACAAATTACTTCATTAGCAATAAATTGCAAGTTAAACCGTGTAGTCTGCAACAACTTCAACAAAAAATATAACGATAATAAAGCTTTGTAATCTTATAACATTATTGCCTGTTCATAATTTAGGCAGCGAGTAAATTATGAATAGAATAAATTTCGATACCTTCAATGACCTATGGAAATGAGCAAAATTCGTTTTATCAGTAATGTGTCGTGATCATTTTACTTGACATCCTTATTTATACATTAAATACTTAAAGAAAATATACACAAGTTTAGATAGATAAAAGAATCTAAATTATTCGTCCAAACAAGTAATTACTGGTTCAAAATACTTTTTATACTCATAGTTAATCAGTGGCCCACGTTGGCTTAATAATACGATCATATGTGAGACATAGGGCATGGCAGGTTTTGCAAGGCATTGCTATCATATAACAAAATGTTAAGGATCTACCACTATAGGAATTCAATGAAAGAGACTCTGGTAAATGCCATCGTTGTGAGAAAATAGTCATGACGATTACAACTCAAACGCTGTTAAATATGCAGGTTTTTAAGACATTTCTATTAAGACGTGCCCTGAACATGAAAGACGACTAAATGTGAAAAGCATTACTTTTAAATACCTGTCATATATAGATTTTTTTCAATAAAAGATAATCGTTTCTGTGTGCGTGTGAGAAATAATGAAACGTGACAGTGATGTATAATTTTGTCACGAAACAAACTCGCTTCCAGGCTCTGATTTGTTTCAGCGCTGAACTTAATTATTGCAGAGTTAAGCAATAGTTTCTATTTTAAAATTGCGTGGATTCAAAAATGCGCGAAGAGACAAAATATCGCTTGTTTCTATAGCAAATGCTTTGTTTCAGATCACCAGGGAGTAGAGACCAATTGTCCAGAATAATGGTGCATGACTTGAGGGTTATAAAAAACATGCAGAGGACTATATCTTATACAACATAAAAAGATAATGTACTTATATATACATTTCACAATTCACTAAAAATGCTTCGAATTACAACATAATCGAAGAAAAGCACAAAGATTCATCGATCGTGAGTTACTCAAATGCAAGTCGTGGGCTTCAAAGATTACATATGTTTATGCATGGTAAATAACACTCCGTTGTCACTGCGGCTGAAATATAAAGTTAACGATTGATGCGGTGAGGAACAGTCAGAGTATAACAGTACTATATAGTAAGAAACGCTACCAGTATGTACATGAAATATTTTGTCATTTTTTTCTACTTTAAAGACCATTCTTACTCTAAAGATTTGTGACGTGTGTCTAAATTATTGTCTGCAATATTTGTAAAATTTTCAGATACATTTTTGAACCTCAGATGCTTCGTATTTATAGCGCCATGCACACATGTAAGTTTCTTGAATTGTCTAAGACTTAAAAATATCAACTGCGTGAACATTCAAGAATTTACTGAATATATTTAGCAACTGCAGCTTCAATCCATGTAATTCGTTCGTACTTCATTTACTTTACTTTATTTCCTAAGTCTTTCATCTTGTTTAGTCATTAGCAGAAGAAAATCTATCATACATGTACGTCCATCACACGGCACACTGAAAATGCATTTAAATTATTTACACAATGATGCGGAAGCCACTTGAGAAGAAGACGGTAGAAATATCTTCAGTATAAAAGCTAGCTAGCGTCTTGTTTTAAATTTTTATTGTTTACAGTGAACATTTTATTTCACAATCACGTAAAGTAATCGGTTGTGATGTTAAAAAATGGTTGTATTGACAACTGTAAGTGTAAGCTTTTTTGTTCAATATCATGTTAAAATATATTCACGACTCTTTCGAAACACCGTCGTTTTTAACACAAAAAGGCAGTAGCTACTCTGCTTATATGGTTCACAGTGTATTTCTTAATCGTATTTACCAATGGGAAAAAGTCAACAAATGTATCAATGATATAGACAATAACCATTGCTGAGTCGGGGCAGAAGTCCTTCTTTGTTTATGAACCAACAGTATAGAGACAAAATGAAATAATGAAACAAAATGAGACTAGATTGAATATTTGAAACAGTTGACATACCTCTATCAAATATTGTGAAAACTGAACAGTAGCAATATTGACAAATATTTTCAAAAGAAACTATAAACAAAACCTTTTGCTGCCATGTAACTGTATTAAATGAACGTAGATCGATTTTGAATTGTTAATGAAAATTTCCACGACTGTCTTTGATGCTGTGAAAGATCTTAAATGACATTTCGGACACAATTTTCGAAGCAAAAATTTGGCAGTCCTGGGGGCACGGTTAGAGATGATGGAATAAGTAAAACGTTATTATAAAATCCGAGTATTTCAAAATCCTCGAAGCAAGGTATTTACAACAATGTAAATTGGTAGAATCTTATTTCGGTGCATAAATACATGTACATATTTGTGTATCAAGAATTAGATAATTGTTGCTGATAAAAACCTTTCTTTGTACTTTATTATGAAAGATTTCAAATGACAAGCTGCTAACATCAGCTAAGTCCATTCTCGCAAGAAAAGAAAATTTATGTCATCGTTTATAAATACAAATTTGTCGATATTTATACTGCAAATTTATTCTTTCCAAATACAACACTAATCTCAGTGTTCCATAACCATTTAGTTTTGGTTAAGACACAGATTGAATAGTTTCAAAAGTTGAAAGCATTAAGTTTCGATAGTATTGTTCAAACTAAATATATGTAAATTTTGCTTTCGTTTGTAGGAAAAATTATCACCTAAATTATCACTTAAAATCAGACATTTAAATGATGGAATTTCTCCTTTGCAGCAACAAAAGCAAGACAAGAGATGACTGAAATCAAAATGAATGAAAAGCGGACCAGAGATCACAGTAAAGTTAAACAAGCCCACTCAATGCTTAATGTGAGTGAGATTGAAACTCACAAAAGGCCCACCGAAAAAGATATCAATGAACTATACAATGCTTTGCAAAGTCTTGTGCCAGGTGCAAATCATCCTCATAGACCAATAAAGAAACTAGAAGACTCTAATAAAACATCAGTCGCTAATGACACGACTAAAAGTGAATTTGATGATTCAGTGGAATTCGAACTACGTCGATGTCGTAGCGAAGAAAACGTCACCAGAGAACATCGCTATGAGAATAACATGAACTTTGTTTCTTCACTAAGATGGAAAAAATCAGTTCGGGAGAAAATGGTAAAGCAGCAGTTTGTGCCAACGGAAAAACAGGTTTTAAGCACGGACAAACCGGAAAACGTTACTGAAATGATCACGCCTCCAATTTCAGATCAGCTTACCACGTTAAATCTTGTCTCCTCTCCTGAGAAGGAAGAAAAACATGAAACAGGAAATAAGTTAAGTTTTAAGCAAGCATCAGATACGGAACTTGATCATTCAAAACAGAAAAATACCAGAATTTTTCGAAGGCATTCTTCGTTGCCAACGTACGAGGAAGACATAGAACACGTGACTGATGTGGAAAGAAAACAAAAACATTCAAAATGTTCCATGTTTGACGGAAAACAAAGTTTAAGTACGAAAAACAAGAAAAAAAATTGGCGTTCGTTTCTTCCAATCCTCAGCTTGGGAAGAAGAAAGTCCAAATATCAAGAAACTTCAAATAATACCATGACAAGGTCTTCACAACATGATGTGACTGTGCCCGTACAATCAATGGAAGACATGCACACATCTAAACCTGTATCAACAAATTGCGTTGATGGCAGAGTAAAAATGAAAGCAGTCGACTCTCGATTAAAACAATCAAAACAAAAGCAAAGCAAATCTCCCAAATCAAGTCCCGCCTCAAAAAAACCGATCATTCTTGAAACAAACACACCTAGTTTGAAACAAAGCAAAACCCTCGAAAGTAGAACGAATTTGGTGCAAAAGAAATTGGACACGTGGTATCATAATGCGTTGAAGGAAATGAGAGATCCCAACATCAATACAACATCTTTAAGAACACGGTCTTTGGAAAATCTGTTGACCGACACAGAAGTGATCCACAATCGTAACACTTTAAGTACAGACACGGAAAGTTTCAGTGGTGGATTTAGTACATTGGAAATACCTAAAACCAAAGTACGCAAGACTCGATCAAAACGAAACAGAAGACGTGAAAGAAGACGGTATTATTCATGTCCTAATGTAAAACTTGTGACAAAAGCCTTAAACGACAACAATGCATCAAAGGATGCATCAAAAGATGGCAAGAAGAGTTCGAGAAAAGCTTCCACAGATAGCGAACAACCGATTGAAGATGAAGTAATCCAACCTGTTGCCACAACAACAGTGCAACCTCTTGAAGCGAAGCTCTCATTCGGTAGTACAGTTGAAAAAAGGGAACCAATCACAGACTTTATGAAGATACAAAATATTGGCAGTGATGAAGTGTTGTCAGGAGAAAGTTCTCAAACTACAATAGGTTATATGAAACCACTAAAACTGAACTTATTCTACTCTGAGTCACCATCCCGAGAGAGTATACACAAGTCATCCAGTCAAGTTCGGGAAGAGGAGAAAAAATTGGATATTGCAAGTCAACAAGCGTTTGCATTTAAGCTACGTAGAACAACAAGTCGTCGAAGAAAACGTCGTAGCACAAAACGAATACCAACACGATTGTCTAATCAATCAACATTTTATTTTCCCCCAATGAAGATCCAAACAAGTTGGACACGACCAACTAACCATTCTCAAAGCTCTTCAGAAACGTCTCCGAATCTTAGCAACCAGAAATCTTATGTCAATAAAAAACACTATTCTGAATCTGAAGATTCCGGTTGGTCATCAGCAACAAGAAAACTTAGCTCCACATCTGAAACAGGCGTTCAAACAGAACCTGTGGAAGACACTATCAGTGATGTACTACGTAAGCCGTCGTCAGTATCGTATGTCGAGAAGTGAACAGCGTGTAAAACAATTGCTAGTTTGGTAAACAAGCGTTAAATTATGAAAATCAAAATGATTTTGTATCCCAAGTAGAGGAGAGTTTCAGCCAGCAACGATGTATTTGCCAGTGGATATGTGGAAAATTGTGAACACCTCATGGGAAATCATTGAACTTTGGTATGCAACGGTTAAAAACTCCCTGTATTTTTATAGCATGTAGCATACAAGCAAAGCTATGTAGATAGAGATGCTTTTGTTTGAAAGCGCGATGAATGCAATTATGCAAATTACCATTGTGCTGCGTTTTACAAAATTGCTAACTGGTTTAGTCGTGTGATTCAAAGGTATTGTTGATTTGGAAAACAATTGCACTTAATGAAATCAAAATGATTCTTATTTCAAAGTCAGTTTTTCCATAGTTAACGTTTCATTTTATATAAACTGTATAGTGCAACAATATTTATTTATATTGACTAATGAACTATAATCTCACCATATAAAGTTAGTTTTAACCATAGAACAACAGCTGTATAATAATAAATCATATTTATCGTTTATATATATATATATTTTCTTATCATGATGAAAAAAACACGACGTTATAGTTTTACATTAACCTAACTATGACATAATATGTCGCTATTACTAGTTAGTAACGCATTGTATACCATTAAATTGGTTAAAATATTTATCCATTCATGTTGTTGATTAAAAATTTGAAGGAAAAAAAACATTGTCAAATTTATTGTTTGGTTTTGGTGGTAAGGAGAAGTTAAAAACGAAAAAAATATTCAATTTTTTACCGCTTGCAATTTTGCTGTTGTAAATTTAACACAAAAATATTTTATCAAGAATATTCGACATTTGCGTGCAGCTTTGTTTAGGTAAATCAAACAGAGTTGTCACATGTCAAGATTATAACGGCGCCATCTTTTTTACTGTTTGTTTATAGATAAGAATTCGATTTTTTCACGACAAACATGTTAAAGAAATCATGAAAACTCTATATCATCAACACTGCAAATAAAAATATTGGCGTTCATACCTTGTAAAGATACTGAAATTCTTTAGTACTGTACAAAAGTTTGCATTCTTCGTGGACCATGGACAAAAATAACAAGCCATAATTATTTCGTTGAGTATATTTTCAAGATACCACAGGATATCCACATCATTAAATAACGGATTATTTTGCAAATAGTATAAGTATGACATATATCTGTGTGAAACATGCGGTATAATTATGTCAGTGACAATTGACATTGTTTTTAAGAGGTTTCTTCCCCAAAATTCAAGCAATGGTAAGTGAAGAGATATGAAACGTGCGCAGTAGTCGTGTGCGCAGTTGCCGTGACAACGATATTAATGACGTGCAGACTACATACATATTTGCATTATTGAAATAAAAGAATATTACGTTTGTTTTATCTAAATGAATTAATTAATACGTTGTGTTTGTGCATATTTAACATCCTACTACTTTTTACTTAGTAAAAAGTTTCAAAGTTTCCTATTTTTGTTTCAATATTCTTCACAAATCTTCGGACCCAACCTCTTCGAATAATAACAACTTGTAACTCATCGTTTCGCTGTGGTGTTTCGCTAGAACCACGATCGTCAATCACCTTTATATCTCGACCAGTGTTTGAAGGATTTCGTTTAGCGTCACTTTGAAGATTATCTATGCGTTCTTTAATCCGTTTGCAATCCCGTAAATCATCATCCAAATTTCTGTCCATTTTTTGTCCGGGATTTTGACCCAGTTCTTTAATACGATCATAAATTCGCGATGACATTGAATGTCTACGCATATTTCCTTGATCATCATCGCCAGAAATTTGTGTTTTTCCACCGTTGTTGTTGAGTGATGATGTACTCAATACCCGTCTACTATTAAGATATTTTCTATTTTGTGCCACAGGATTAAGGAAAACAGATGAATTGTTAGTTGTAGTAGTACGGTGACCGAAACTACCGTTTTTAAAATGAACATCTTGTTTGATACTATCACTTTTAAAAACGTTACTTTGCGCGCTTTTGACTTGTTCTTTAACCTCCTCACCATTATTGATGGAGACCTTATTGAAATAATTAGAGAGTTGTTCAACTGAGGACAAAGAACTGCCATTGGTCTTCACCGTGTCACGTGCAACTGAGGACAAAGAACTGCCATTGGTCTTCACCGTGTCACGTGCAACTGAGGACAAAGAATTGCCATTGGTCTTCACCTTGTCACGTGCAACCGAGGACGAAGAATTGCCATTGGTCTTCACCTTGTCACGTGCAACCGAGGACGAAGAATTGCCATTGGTCTTCACCTTGTCACGTGCAACTGAGGACGAAAACTGCCATTGGTCTTCACCTTGTCACGTGCAACTGAGGACGAAAACTGCCATTGGTCTTCACCTTATCACGTGCAACTGAGGACGAAAAACTGCCATTGGTCTTAACCTTATCACGTGCAACTGAGGACGAAAAACTGCCATTGGTCTTAACCTTATCACGTGCAACTGAGGACGAAGAACTGCCATTGGTCTTCACCTTGTCACGTGCAACTGAGGACGAAAAACTGCCATTGGTCTTCACCTTATCACGTACAACCGTTTCTCGTTGTTCACTGTTCCAAATTTCTACCCGAGGAGGTTGAGTGGACGTATAATTTATACTCGCTGGCGGATCAGAGACATCAAAAGAATCTTTGATGTTCTCGTTGCTTCTAGTTTCACGTTTTTTTCGTAAATTTACAGTAACGTTAGTGACAGGTGGATGCATTTGAAAAACTTCAACATTATCGTTGTTGTCCAAAAATGTTTCATTTTCATCTTTGAAGGGTATAAGAGAACTATCAGACCTTTTTCTCAAATTAATATGCATTATCCGCGGTCTCATGCTATTCTTTTCTGTAGATTGATTATCTGGAGCCAATGAAGAAGTTTCATAATTATTCATTGCTGTATAATCTGGTACGTTCAAGACCGCAGTCGACCGTGCGACATTTTGTACGGATTCCTCTCTTTCCCGACTTTTCGTCGTAGATCTATGTTTTCGTCGTCGTCTAAGAGAACGTGAACCTTTTACAACAGATATTTCAGGACTATTTTGACTTTGCTGCTGATCAATAGTCCATTTAGAATCCCGGATAACAATTTTTTTCTTGGGTGTAACAGAAAAATTGAACGGCCGACATGAATGCTGTGGTTTTCTATATCTGTCCATACTGCTTGAGCGCATAACAGTCACGTGAGAACAACTTTTTGACGTCATATTTTCACCATTATTGTCCCCATCCATTGAGCATTTGCTAACGAGATTTTCTTCACTAAATGATTTTTTTAAAGTAAAGACACGTTGATATGTTCGTTGTTGCCATATATTATCAGCTGGTTCATCAAAAGAAACATCAGATAATGTTTCAACATAACTACTTCGTTCACTTTGCGCAGTTCCCTCCTCACTTCGATCAAATTTAACGCCGTTATTTTCAATCCATTCTTCGCCATTAACATTCACCGGAAGTTCTTTCTTCGTAGATTTAACATCTCGACTCAAACTTTCAGCAGAATTGTCACCTAATGTCAAATTATCAGGAGTAAAGTCGCCTGGACTCAAATCACTCGTCAACTCATCAAAACTGGAATAAGGAGATTTATCCTGGCTAAATGTTGTAGAAATATCAGAAAATGCTTGGCTGACATGTTTCATCGTCTGATTAACACTCGAGTGGCTATCAGGAATAATGACATCACTATGATGTTCATCCATTACGTCATTGACATGCAGTTGACCTTCGTAGATGATAGGATCGGTTAGTTTGACCTTGGCTCTACTAAATGGCTCTACTAAATCATATTTCTCTAAGTCTTTAGCATAAGAAGCAGGATCGATAGTTTCTCTTTCTAGGAATTTTTCATTGAATCGGGACATGCTTAAAGTACGAGCGAGTGTCATAAACGGGCCTTCTTCGTACATCAACGACTCGTAATAATTTGTGGCTGGCATCGAGCAACGTCTTAAGAACTTTTCTTGAGTAACACGACGCTTTTTTGTGGGGAGATTATCGTCCCTAGCAATTCGTAGGCCATCATCATCACTTTGGAATTGCACTTGAATGTCCTCATTTTGTGCAATGGAAGAGACAGGCAACGAGGAGTTATACGTGCTCTTGTCACCAAACTATAAAAACATGAAAACTATTTTACAAGCTTAGTCAATCAAACGAAATAGACGTGATTGAAGCTGGTGTTACAAAACAATATCGGAGTAAAAATGAAGGATGAAAATTGCTGATCTATGCATGAAAAATGAAATATACAAATGAACATTAAAATCATCATGATAATTTTTACCGTTTCAACGTTAGTAGGATCTTTGGACTCTTCGTTTTGCAATTCTAATGAACTGTCATCGTTCGACTTTCTTTCCTGTAAAAAAATATCATTCGTACAAAAAATGAAAAAATCCATAACTACACAGGGATTTGATGATAAATGTAATGCCTATGAAAGATAAGACGAATTTCTACCTCAATGTTTATTTTTTCATGAATAACGATATTTTTGCTATCGTCAACTGCATTGTCGTTATTTTCATCGGAGGACCAACTAACACGTGTTACCTCCTTGACAGGCCTTCTCCTTTTGAAGACTCGCAGACCTCGTCGTAATGGATTCCTGGAATCCGAAGACGGTTTCTAAATAAAAAAAACTCGCATTTTGAAAAATGAAATAAATCTCAATGACTATAAGCATTGCACATATTTTCAAATATCATGAGAGATAACACGATAGATAGCAAAAGATTGGGAAAATGTTGCTTCTAGGCACAGGGGCATGCTTTTAATCGTTAATGATCGCACAATTCAAACATGCTAATTTTGAAAACTGTTCACAAACGAAATTGTCTTCATGAAAATTGACAAAAATTAAGATTACATGCTTTGAAAGTACGTGAACATCTTCATAAAATGGGAAAGGAGAAACCAACAAACAAAATGCGATACTTGGCTTGATACAGAGTTGACTTAAATAGTCTGTGTCAATGACATCTTCATGAATTCTTTCACAGAGTAAGACACCTTAATCCATAGAGTAATAAGAAACAAAAATAGCTGTTAAGTTTTGTTTAAATATTATTTTCTCTAGAAAGCACTGAAATATAATGCAAAATCTCTGCTAGCAAATAACAAACGCGGTAGTAGAAAGAAATTTATGTTTAACATTGCGTTAAAAGGTCACGCACTGTTTTTTCCTCCAAGCTATCTTCATCCTTAGTCTTGCGTCGTTCATTTTCAGCATGTCTATTCACTGCCTTTTTGTTGCTTGAATAGTTATCTGAAAACAAACAGAATGTTAGTCAGAAACATAAGTTACTATGATCATAAATCACGTGCAAGTTACTCAGACTATAGTTTACGCCTTCAACAAGGAAAAAGTTTTTATAAAAAAAAGAAGGATATATATTAAAACAGAATGTCATTGCATTAAGCACTTTATCACTAAGTCTGCTCAATTATCAACTGGCTAATTCCAACAAAAATATATCTTTCATATGATATTTAAACGTATCTAGTTTCGCATTAAAAACTCACATGACAGTTTAATTAATATTAAATGTGCTATCGCGACACAAAATAGGAATACAATATTTAGAATAAATAGATCAGGATTATATAAGGTCGTTTATCTCTTGCCATCTGATTATCATTCACTATCAGTAAAGCAAGAATTTCCATACATGGACTTTAAAAAAACCTAATAAAAAAAACCCCCGTGGAAAATCGGGTCATTGTGAATGAGATATATGATCTGCGTATTTAAAAAAATATAGAAATATTCACTTAAACTTCGTTCACAATATACTTAGACTGAGTAACTCCGGAGTGACGAGTACATAGTTTCACATTCCGTGTTAAAAACAAAAATATAGCAATATCAAATCATGTATTAAATATTAAGATATGACTAGTTGCATAATACGGATTAAAACCTATTTATTTACGATATATACACATGAAATACACAAGTTTACAAATCATTCTACCTTTAATTAATGTACGTTGTTGATTTTCACCTTTATGGTTCGTCGTGTGTCTCGGGATCTCGCGCTCTGATGGACGAAATAACAGTTAACGCTTAATGACTAATATTGATATAGCTCAATAACTCGTGAGATTCGTTACCCACTCAAACAGTGTAACACTATCCTCTGTGCAGTAATAAAAAATATGGTCAATTTTTTACTTTTGGTCATACTCATATTAGCAAGGGACGAGAGGGTAAGTAGAGCAGTTTTCGAGTGGAGAGCTGCGTGTATTTTTGGATGGATCACGAGAAAAGTTGAAATTTGAGAGAGTAACAGAGTTGAGAGACCTAAAGGCATGTTGAAGGCAGAAACATGCATGAAAAATGAAAGTAAAGACAAAAAACATGACAAATCTCAGTGTGCGTTGTATAAAGTATATTTATAACGTTATATGATATAATGTATTAAATTAAACAATAAATACAGTCAGTATTCAATTGCAACAGAGTTTTTCTTTTGTTCAACATTAACCCCACACCCAGATGAATTATCAACTATCTGTGCTTCCATACCCGTGTTTTCCTTTTCTTTTTCTTCTCTGCTATTTCCCAAAATAATTTGCTTGGCCTGTAAACAAAATAATAGAGAAAAAAATTATTGATGACGAGTTTTAGTCAACAGTAAAGAAAAAGAACTTATAACATAGGACTAAAAATCAAATGAAACAATCTTCTTAAACACGACGAGATATGGAAGTAAGGAAAAGACAATGATATCACGATTATTTTCAACACCAAAGTCAACACCACCAACATTGGATTTAGCATGTGTAACATGGTTATACATAGTTTCAATAATTTCATTATCTTCAATCTTCCGCTTCGCTGCTATCGAGTGCCCCCAAAAAATATTTTTACATTAACAATATTCACCTTCATTGGAACATTAGCTGTATAGCTATCCAATGAAAAACAGACATCTCTCCTTCAAGTAGATTTACATCAACAATATTCACCTTCATTGGAACATTAGCTGTATAGCTATCCAATGAAAAACAGACATCGCTCCTTCAAGTAGATTTACATTAACAATATTCACCTTCATTGGAACATTAGCTGTATAGCTATCCAATGAAAAACAGACATCGCTCCTTCAAGTAGATTTACATTAACAATATTCACCTTCATTGGAACATTAGCTGTATAGCTATCCAATGAAAAACAGACATCTCTCCTTCAAGTAGATTTACATTAACAATATTCACCTTCATTGGAACATTAGCTGTATAGCTATCCAGCAATCGTTTCTTTAATTCAAGTAACCAGACCCTCTTGGTTTCCAAATCACGAGCCTAGTTATCACAAAGCAACTTATTATATTTCACAAGATAAGTTCATAATGTAGACGACAACTTCTACTTCCTGATCGTAAGAAACCTCGTAATAATTTAAACCATTTGCATATACGCAATTACACATTAAAATGCCTAGACATATTCTGTTTTAACTGCTTGGGTTTCTTTTGAAAAACCTCACGTACTAACACCTCATAGGACTCACCACGAAGGTATAACCGATTTTTCTGTCATCAAATCGAAAAACTTGGAACGTCAATGGTTCTCGAAGAACTGAATCAGCCAACATCATGTTTGAAAACTACATGTAAAGAAAAATAAAATGATATAACCTCAAGTGAGAGCGTTAAATTATATAAGCAAGCCAACGACTTATACACAAGTTGGCTAACATTGTCAAACAGGTATTGATGTTGTCAAACAGGTATAAAATAGGCGACACTTTAAAAGCAAATTTGATAAGGGTACGTAAAAAGCCCTCAAGCGATTGAGATAGAAGATGATGGTGCGCAAACATAATGGAAATATTGTTGTAAGCGGGAAACAAAAGTTCTAGGAACAAGAATATAAAATCGAAATACAGACAAAAAAAATATGTTTCACTAACCATGACTGTGGCCTTCCAAGCGAATGTACCGTCACTTCGACGTTTTGTGATCAGCAATGCCTTCTCAAATACAAGAAGATATCGTCCTGTTTTTGCCCCATGAAGACGAAATGAACCCTTTGAATAAACACACGCAGCAAGGATAAGTTGAGAAAAATGACACGTATTTAGCCATCGAAACTCGTCTCCAGACTTTTTTATTCACCAGCTTAATAGCTACTTAGACTAATCCCTCAGGGATGTTATTTTTGAACTTAAAATTTTTACGAAAAATAAAACAATTTACCTCTAAAACAACACTACCAAATGACGAAAGGTTTGGACCCTTAAAAAAATATGAAATTACTCCATTGTTGGAAGGATAATTTAGTTAGTTTATACAACAACAGTAGAAAAATAGGTATGACGATATTAAGAATGTCCGACAGACCATTTGGGGTCAAGTATGTTCAATTTACTTTGAATTGATTAATAATTCCGAAAAAATAAATTAAAGGTGTTGCAATTTCAGTTATTCTGTGAAAACGTTCTTACTTCATACCTCATAATCGAGCAGAATACTTTGAATTTCCTAGGAAAGATAAAAAGACATGTTGTTGACGTGTTCAAGCAAATTCTCATCGACCAATGAATAATTCCTTTACAATTAAAAAACTCAGCAATAGGACAGTTCTATGACTTAAACAGAGAAATTGCACAAAGGCAAATAAATTACATAATTACACAATTTGACGACAAAGTTTTGTCTTTCATCTTTTCATACAACTCAAATCATTATAATACATACATAGCATTCCAAAAATACTAGAATGACATCCGCAATCATACTTATCACTCAATTACTTGTTAGTATTTAGGATAACTAAGGAGATTCATTTTTTTCGTTGATCTATAAAAAAAGTTAAACGATAAAAATACACAGACCTGTAAATGAACGGCATCTTCGTGTTTTCGTTTCATGTCATTGATATGTTTGGCTACGCTCGTCATTGCTGACAATGCTTTCTAGATAATTAAAATTTACGTTCGTCGTCGATCAAAAACCATTATCAAAGAAAATATTCGCTGTTTTCTTTCAATCCTATTATACATTAGTTGAAAACATTTTTGTTGAGGTATCGCATCCGTTCATGGCTATTCCTTACAAGACATTGCAAGAAAGTATAAAATATGGAAGAAGCAACATCTTAATGTGTTTTATGATAAGCCATGGAATATGAGAATGAAAAGAATATCTGGAGGAAAATGTTTGTAATGAAACATAAATATGAAGAATGAAGCAATGCTAAACTTGTATTCCTCGGGTTCTTATACCTGAATAATTTCATAGCCTTCTTCGTCTTCGGCTTGCTTAAAATGCTTGGCAATATTCTACAAGAAAAACAAGGAAAGAGCTAAGGACATAATATTTCCTGACCTAATAAGTTATTAGAAATCTAGCTTGAACAGGCAAGATTTGACGCACACTTATTTTGAAAAAATATTAACGACTTCAAACATAAAGGAAATCCTCTTTTCACAGTATTAATTACATACGTACCCCGAGAAGTAAATGATACTTTAAAATTCTCTGAACTGGTTTAAGCAGGAAAGAACAAAGTGGTAATGTATGACCAAGCAATTCTTGTTGTTGCTAAAAACAAAATGTAGAAAGCTCACCATTAGAAAGGAAGAGGACAAAAAGATGGATTACAATTTCACTTTACATGCAGTTCACAGGACAAACGAACGAAGCAAGGTTATTTGGAATGTCTTACAACAAAAACAAAGATTAAAACCCATTTACTTGGATAAAATTTGCCGTGTCCTCTCGTTGATTCCATTCGAAGAGCACTTCCATTGATCTGGAAAGAAAACAGTAAAAAATCATTAAGCAGGATGTGTGTAACCTTAATGAATGTAGCGGAATGATGGAAAAAAACGAAAGCAGCTTTGACATTCCAAGTTAAAATTCTCGTAAGACCATTCGTCGAATACAATATTCGGAATTGTTTAACACGCAGTTCAAATAACGGAGGGATGGTCAAAAAGCTTTTTGAGGCATGCTTCACTACGTCCATAGTTTTGCTGATCTCTTTAAAGATGCAAAACTTAATATCGAAATGGAAAAGACGTTAAATAGACAACCCCTGCGGTTTATGTTTTTTTCTCCATTTCCGAAAGTCTCAGAGCATCCTGCTCGCTTCAATTATCAATATATCAACATGACCATGGTTTTTGGGCATTTGGTTGACCCAGTTTTCACGACACACTAGATAGAGTATTGTTTATTATTACCTTGGATAATGAGTGCAATACTTTGTATATATTTCAAACCCAACTTGCTGCAAATATAGGAAAGTGTTTTAAAGTTGTTTGATTTTTCGAGATACAAATGAACATCATGATTTTGTTTATACTGTAAACAAACCTTTAAAACGAAGCACTTAGCTAATTTCACTGGATCATAATTACAATTTTCCATATCTTGAAGCAAAATCCTTAAAATGTCAACAAGATATCACAATTAGATATGTATTTTAAATTTCAATTTCACTACAAATCTACAATCCATAAGTATTTCATGGCGACATATTCATCCATAAATATTGAATCGACAATTCGTAATATAAAAATATTATCCTACTCATGTAATGTAAGGAACGTAAAAAATAGATGTGTAGCATAACGGAAAGCGCAAATGCAAAATTTTAACTGAAAAATAGATTGAACTAGAGACAAAGCCGTATTGCCATACCGATTAAATTGATAAATATCCTCGACGTTAATAAATAAATCTTGTATGTCTTCCTTAGATACATTGATATCAGAAGCGTTAACAACAGGACCTAGAAAACCCTAAACAAAAACGATAATATATTAAAACGTTGTTTTTCTTTCTAAGTGTGCGAGATTAAAAATTTCCACAATGTTTTGCTTTTGTTGCAGCATGAAGACTTACATCGATGATTTGTTTTAAGTTTTCCAAGTACATTTTTTCCGTTACAATCATTTCATGAGCGACCTTCTCTGCATAAGACAGGTTTGGATCAAACTGAAATTTATTAGGGATAAGAGGATTCGAGGGACTTCCGGCGCTTGGAGGGGTAACCGGTGAAGTTTGGGTGGTCTTGGTGGTACGATGCGTCACCATGTCGCCCGGTTCGACTAAAGTTTCATTCTTTTGGGGAGAAGGGGAATCGTCAATATCTGCGGATGGTTTAAGCTCAACGTACGCCTCTTGACGTGTCATTTTTGAAGCATTCGTCGCTATATTCTCGTTTCTCATGGCAACCGCACTTTGTGCTTCGATATATTCAACTTTAACAGGAGTATCACCTTTACTATCAACCGACATCGGAAGATTTGGCGATCATTCAGCGCCTTTGTAGTGCTTTAATTGCCTCTATAAAGAAAGAGACAGCAGTAAATTGATAGTGTACGCAATTAGGGCGGCGTTTTGACAAACATAAACATCAAACCATAAAAAAAGACCAAAACTAAATTCAAAAACAACTGAGAGTTTTTTCATGCACAAAGCTCCATGCTAACATAGTATCCCAGTTAAAATCCTATTGTAGAACACAAACAATTCAATGATGATCTTGGCTCCACATAATACCTCTAAAAGGTCGACTAGTGTCATCTATAGTACATTTGATGCATCCCGAGTACAAAAATAAACAAACATTCCATATTCAGAAGACAGAACTATGATCCCTGCTTTCACACATTAAAAACGCACACCTCCCATCCATCCACAATAAACTATACAAACAGCAGGAGCAGTTCATTTCTGTTAATGGACTCTTTAACAGCAACTACGCGTATTATGCAAATGAGCAAACTAATCACTCGCATGATGCAAATGAGCTAGACACGAGATCTTAATGATATGTCTACTTTGATCTGGAGTATTTGAGTGGAAAGAACTATAAAAAACGTTTGTTTCTTTTTATCAGAATCGCGCGTGTCTAGCGTTTGAGTGTTATGCTGAATCCTAAAAGAAAATCTTCAAAATAAACCATTTAAACTATTTAAGGGCGATAAATATACACTATCTTGGTGAAATCTTTACATCTTGAAATTCGAGCTAAAACAACGAAATAATTCTAATGAAACAGTGCGTCTTTTGGGGTGCCCGTTAACGCATAAAATTTTAGCAAACGTGAAAAACCACTGATTTAGATTCCTGTCAAGTATCTGCATGGTGTACAAAGTTATTTCACAACATTGAAATATTGAGCTAGTGACGCAAAGAGACGTCAAACGTAATTGGGATATCTTGCTAAACGATAAAATGTTGGCAGTAAGATGGATCGATCAGCAATGCTTCATACTAATCTGATTGCAAGTTTTAATTAGAGACAAACGTCAAGCCTCCTCGAAGAAATGATGGGGCACAACATCAACAGATCTTAAATTTCTGCACACTCCATAATTTAATGCAAATTGTTTTGATATTTTTGAATACATACATCACACAGTCTAAGCCGTTTACCGTAAGAAAGACACAAAGACACAAAGAGTTTGAAAATTTATGACGAAGGAGGAAATTGGAGGACAGCAAATGTTTGAAAGTTTCTTTGTAACAACATCAAGGTGGAAACAAATTTTTTGTGACGAGGGGGACGCACCCTGCAAATTTTTCGAGATACACCCTACTGTATTTAATTCCACGAATTTTGGGGGAAACGTCAATCTCGTTTACTAGAAAAACCATACTGACATTTAAAGTAATTTTCAAATGTGTCATAAGAAAGCAGTTGATTTCGATCGTATTCTATCCATTCTTTATAATGAATAAAAACAGGAAATGTCAATTTTAAGAAGGACTTTTGTTGACTTTGGTATTAAAATCATATATCTATAAGTTTGACAAACTAATTTCTTTTACGCAAAAGAAACCTTAATTGTGGTCTTTAAGAAAAAGTAAAAGCCGTTTCTCAAACGCATAATGGCACAAGATTTTTACATATAATTCGTTGAGATTTATCATTAGGAACATGCAGTAGAGAAGCTGTTTATCTCACCACATTCATAGCACTAAAATGATCATAAATGATGCATTATTGAACGAAATACGAGCCGCGTTGGCGGAACGAAGATTAACAGTAGAGATGACATCTTTAGAAAGCAGGCAGCATAATGTTGTAAAATACAAAAATAACATCCGATATACGTGTATTTTAGACAACAAAAAACTTCGGCATTTAATTTCATATAGATGGAATGCAATTATTTTATTCGTCTTTCAAATTTGACGCCGTTTCCGGGTCCAATTGTCTAGAAGGACATCTTATAGTACACCTGCACCTTTTTAATTTGTCAGAAGTATTTAATGTTAATTTCAAACATAAAAGGATTGGAGAGAATTTGTATAAACAAACAGCAATCACACGAAGAAATTCTTTGGCATCACAACATGTATTGCTAAGGTGAATAGTTTAAATTTTTTCATTCGGACAGTATTCTTATGTTTCATAATTCCAGTTTGTTCGATGTAAAATAATTTAAAAACAAAAGTATGTTCTTACTCATGCTAACATAATTTGTATACAACTTCCATAAAAAAAATCATAATTGAAAATATTTAAAGCGCTTTCTCATTGTGTGATAAATGGAGCATTGAAATATTGTGGTCTTATCAGTAAAAAAATAATACTCAATAAACATTCGTCGCCGATATCTGTCGTAAAAGTCATACAATAAGAATGTACACTCACTCATGTTTGTCGGTAGCTAGAGATTCGAACAATTTCAGCCTAATTGGGTTCGATAAAACAAATTACAACAATCAAAGTTAAAAATTGTCCTTAATTAGTGAGATTTGTCTTCAAGGACTAAAAAAGTTAATGTTAATGTTCGTTGTTCATTTATAAATCTCAAAAAAAAACAATTTACTAAATCCATTTGAAACATCAGATAAAATACATAAAATATATTTACGGCAACACATCTTCTAACAATGCATGATATTGAATCATACATAATTTGACAAGCCATAATGATACGTCATTAAGCATTTTCAATTTCGAAAAGGCACAGGTCATGCCGTTTGCACAATCGATAGAACTTAAAAAGATTAAAATATTGTATTGCTTCCAAGGAATGATTTTCAAAGTGTGTGTATTATGTCTATGGTCAATTTCATACATCAAAAGTCAAGAACATAAACCCCCACACACAATAATGATAACAATTATGACAACAAATGGCCGACGCATAAATAGAATGACTTAATTTTACAAAGTATTTAAAGCGTTTTTACGTGGCAGTTTAAAATTGCCTTTGTCCAAGAAAAATTTACTCCATTTTAGGTGGAAAAACTTTTGTTACATGTGTTTCGGGATTTTAATAGATCGTTATTTAAAACTATTTCGAAAATACTTTCCACAAGTATTTGTTTTGAATGTATCATGGGGGAAAATGAACATGACGACATTTTCTTAATCAATGTTGCAATTAAAATATGTCTCAAATTTATTTGTTACATTGGATCCAGAAGGACTTAGTTAATAAATGTTACTTAGAATTTCTCACAAGAAGACAATTAAACAAACAAATTCCAGTCGCCTCAATTGCCATTTGGCAATTTTCTGATGACGGTCATATTTCTTATAACAGTAGGAGATATTTACTTGTTCAAGAAAATTCTGCAATTAATCTGTGTTCATTTCAACCGAAAACAATTTAAATATCAGCAAAGAGCAACATATATCAAACAGCTTTGAACACCATAAATGGCAAATAGCAAGCTTCAATAAAACAACCTCAAACAGTGACGTCTCGTCTGTATAAAATCACTCGTTTCATCGGCAAAGACCACTAATGATGTACACATTGGTTTAATGAAGTCTATAAAGCTGCCAGTTCAAAAATTGAATCTTTCTCACTACTATGGTAGATAGCAGACAATCACAACATCGGGTTTTACAAATGTACATGTTTATAGAACCCTAAATAACCTTATAGCTAAATTTTTGCTTCGTTTCCACGAAGTATCGTTAAAATTGCAACAGTGAAATTAATTTAGTCAAGAGTAATTCTGAGGCGTTAAAGCTTCATTCTATTCATGACATTATACAAACATTGCACGCTTTCATAATTTGCCAGAAAGTATGTTTGTCATGAAGAGCATCAAATATAATTCAAAAATACTAATCGCTTTACCAACCTTTATCGTGAAGATAGTTAACACAGATGCAAATTATTTACCAATACACACATAGCCACATTTGTATTTCATTGACAGAGTTTCCTTTCATTGGCAAAATCGTGATTTGGCAATGACGGCTACACCATATCGTATGTCGTCTTGAGGAGAAGTCAAAATAATCGGCTCGTCTTTGACGCAACACGTAAATTTGATTGAAATCTTGAACACAGTGTTGGTGCGAGTCAAGCTACGATTTCACGTCAGTATTTTACAACACCGTCAAGTTAGAGCGGACGCCAAGCACTCGACATGGATAGATGTACATTCGATGATAGCTAGGGGAACCTTGTCATGACATATTGTCAACAAATATTTCTGTTCTGTTGTGTGATGTCTGCCCGCGGGGTGTTGCCAATCTTTGAGCCTTTACAATTAATCAGATGAATGACTTTACAAATCAATGCTTTGCATGTCCTTTGCTCATGAAGGTTTTTGAAAAAAGAACGATATAATACTCAAAATTGTTCTAATTGTTACTTTCATACATTTCCTGTATGATCAAATCAAATGTCAAAAATTCTTACATGACGTAACGGATTCTGTCGGACTCAAATGCCAGCAAGATGACAGGCTCACCTCATTATTCTGTATTATTCTGTATAATACATAAAAATAAATAAATTAAAATGTTTCGTTTATTGATTTGTTTTCATGGTGGTTCTAGTATTTTTTTACTTTGTTGGTTATAACTACACTTACTATAAGGAGAATGTTAAATCTACAAGTGTTCGTCAGTATATTTTTTTGTATCTTTTTTCATGCTGATTGTCAAAATGCCAAATTTGATGACTCGATGCTATATGACATAAGTTGGTCAGGACCTCGACGTTCTGGACAAAATGTACGTATGCTATGGATACTTATCGTCAGTTATAGGGAACTTTGGAAAACATCGTGATGCGGGATGTTTGTCTTTGCATTAAAAAATCGAGCACAAAGTTCAAGTGTTATTTCATATTTATGGTTGAATGATCACTACCATACTAACTGTGTTTATTTTGAATATGACTGTAGCTTGATGTCAACAGTCAGCTGCTCATAACAACTAAAGATAATGAACGTTACCATTGTGCTTTGCCTGTATTGCGTGAAGATTTAATGGTACGTTTGTATTAGTTTCAAATTTCTTTCAATAACAATTGTTCCGTATATGATGATAAGTGGCTATAATTCAGGATGAGTACAGTCCAGGACCTGGTCCAAGTCCAGAGGAATTATTAAAACCATTAACTGACAATATGAGGTGTTCATATAGGGTATGACTACCAATTTCTCCATAAAATACAAGTTATAGTGAAGTGATAAGAAAATATACATTAATTTTAGTTATATGTAGTGATGTTGAAAAAATCATGAAAACTACAGATTCATCCCGACAAGCCTGTTTCGTGATTGCTCACTCTTAATTTTAGTTAGATACATATTGGACATATGAACTTTGTCATGGATTACATGTTCGTCAATATCATGATGAAAAACCAATGATGGTAAAATTATTGATTTTGATAAATCTTAAATGGATCAATTTTTCCCAACTTTTGTCTTTTGTGTTGAACATATTCGGTGAAAATAATTTGATATACGTTTCATTCTTTAGAGCTCAGTAGTGCAAGAATACATACTTGGCAAATTAAAAATTGCTGGTTTGCAATTTACTTTATCTAAGTAGTCTGCATTCATACATTGTATTATGATGTATAATAAAACAGGTATAAAATGTAAACATGTTATTTGACACAGATGATGATGATCAACAATTGACTGATGAAGTAGTAGAAAAAGATAGCACAAAAAATAAAGTTTCAGAGAAACAAGTCTCGGTAAAAAAAAAACAAACTAAATGGCTAAATGCATTTTCTTTTAACATTTTCTATTAGGTATACATGGGTAAATATTGGAATATATGTGGGTATTTATGTGTATATATTGGCATGAAAACATAAATGAGGGTACTTTAAATAATAGGAATAAAAAGGTACATATGGGTAGTTCATCTTGTTTGCATGACATAATTATTAAATGTCAATAAAATAATTTTTAAACGATCCGGAGAAACTTTCATTTTTATGTATTAAATGCCTGGATTACCAATTTTCAAACTTAAAAATATTTATATTTTTATGGGTACAAGCCTCCTAAAAGGAACCTAAATGGTCGTGAAGTACCTTATTATGAAGTGGTAATGGAAAATGGGACACCATGTGAATTACTGAATGGGAAACCAAGAAAGACACATGTCATATACATGTGTAGACAGGACTCTCATAATGAGGTATAAAATCAAAGAATTTTGCAAAAAGTGTTTAGATTTAAAATAGTCAATAAGAGCTGCTGAATAGCTAACTTTAAATCAGGAAAATAGTCCATGAATTTGATTCTGAGCTTTTAACGATAAATTTAAGTAGTTTTCTAAAACTCTTATTCAAGCATTGAAGTTTGTACAGTATTGTGATTTTGCTTCTTGTTTGTGAAGATAATAAGTGTGAAGGAAATTCAAAGTTGTGTGTACCAATTTGAGGTTTTTACACCTCTGTTATGTGCAAGTGATATGTACAAGTATGTAAAAAAACTGTGTGATTTATTATTGTTGTTAGAGGTTTGGTAATCTATCCTTTTCTTGCAGAGTTAAAGAAGATATTATTCACTCAATTCGCTGTCATTCACTTGATGGCTCGCCAAGGTGATTAAAAATATCTTAAAGCATGAAATAAACAAGCAACTTCCCCCTTTACATATCCACGCACGGGCACATATATAAAGATCTTAATGAACATGTTTTGAGCAAGAGAAATTTTCGGAAATTATGTGTTAAGTAAGTATGATTATACGTCATGCATATGGCTATAAATACGTCATGCATATGGCTATAAATACGTCATGCATATGGCAATAAATACGTCATGTATATGGCTATAAATACGTCATACGTATGGCTATAAATACGTCATGCATATGCTTATAAATACGTCATACGTATGGCTATAAATACGTCATGCATATGGTTATTATTAAGTCAGACCTGTTTCAAAATTCAAGTTTATGTCGGTAAACCTTATAAAAAATTTCAAAATTATGCAATTGATATTTCGTTTTGTTTTTTGTGCGACAGCGAACCTATAAGTTATACTGAACATATAGAAGAATCTGAAGCTGATAGACTTGGGTATAGAGAGGTATGTAAAATGTTCTTTATGAATAATAATTTATGGTAGTATGTTTAGTTATTGTAACAGTTAGTGTAATGTTTTTAGTACCAATATATGCCTATTGAAGGTGAAGGTGAAAAAGATGTCTCTCCATCAACGGAACATCGTAATATGCCTGTACAGCCTGATGAACAGTTGACACAAGATTTTCTCAATGGTATCTATTGTTTGCGTGGGGTAAGTATGTACATGACATTATGTACCTTGTGTTGATCTTCCTCTGGTCTTAGCTACATTTCTCTTTAGCACAAGTAATGTTTTTTTGGGTAGGTTGTTGGCTTCTAGTTATTACATAATTTATCGATTTATCGCGATAGTTTAACCAAAAAGCGATATTCTTTTATCGTTTTCAAAATACTTATGTATTTTTACAGGGTTCTGGTTGGTGGCTCTTTGAATATTGCCATGGTCAACATGTCTTGCAATATCATAACGTAAGTATGTTTAATTGTAAAACTGAACTTTATATCGAGGTAAGGTACAATAAAATTGAAGGGAGAGAATTACTAATGTATTCATTTTTTCATAAAGGATGCTCAAGGAAAGACCACAATATATCTTGGATTATGGAACACTGATGTACGTGAAGGATTCTTCTGTTATTGTGCCTAATTTTATAGAGTCATTCAGCTAACTGTTGTGTTTGTAAAAATACGTAGGCACACAAAGAATGGGTGAAGAAAAATCCTAACAAACAAACTGACCAAGTGGTCACACATTATTATAGCAATGGTGAAATATGTGATCTCACGGGAATGGCGAGGACTGTACAAGTTAGATTAAGGTATAGTTGTACACTTAATAATAAGCCTATGACCAACAGAGTCTACACGACGCGCATGGTAAGGATTCTGCGGTGGAAGTCGAGTTGAATGATGAATTTTTCAATGGATAATGTCTAAAATTGCCGCAATTCTTATGTTGTTAGAGACTATTTGAATATAATATCTTATTCTCACGTTCGTTCAATATAATTACATATAGATGTATGAAATCAAAGCATCTTCAAGAAGTTTCTATTTTCTTACTGGAACCCAAACCATGCAAATATATACTAGGGGTAAGTTCTTATTATCGTGAAATTGTATTTAAACTGTAACCTACATACGTAAGTATATTCTCGTCCACTTGGTTTATCAGTTTATCCTTCTCTCTATTCTCCTACTAATTTCTTTGATATTTTTAATTATCTAGGTTGAATCACCCATATTGTGTCCACTCATTACAAAGGCAAATAGTGATGGCTTATTTCCTACAACACTTTGATATATTAAATGGATAAAAGTTGTTTGATAGTTTTTGAACTCTTCGAGTCTAACGTGAAAAGGTCACTCACACCTTTCCTCTTCTCTACTCTGAGAATGGGAACATAATTAGCTGTAACATAAGTGCCCACAAAATCACCATGGCTGTAAGCCTTAAGTCGCTCGCAATAATTAGTTCATATTTAGCCCCCAGTCCCCAGATGATGTAATTGAAAGTTTACAGTCACATATTTAAAATTTTTCCCTTGCGCAAAAATATTTTTTCACTTTTCATAGTACTTTTGCACCTACGTTCCATTGTTTTTGTGGTTATTCTTTCTTTACGTAAACTTATGAAAATTTAATGATAGGAAATTTATGTTGTGTTCGTGGAAGCACATCGTACTTTAAATAAAGAAAGTAAATAAAAACACGTGTTGTTTATTATCCAGCGATATTTGTACGTAGAAATTCTTTATAGCTGTGTTTTAACATGGGTAGAAATGTCATAGTGGAGGCAGTTATTGAAGAAAGTATCTTAGGACTGTTTGGAAAGACAAAATGGGCTACTGGTATTCTTATTGGTCAGGTGGAAGAATATTTGTGTTTTGTTTGTTTTCGTTTATTTGATTCTTTTCATTTAATTAATTGTACAGTTTTTAAAGTTTAATGCAAACATCTCTTTTATTTCATGGTACATTCTTAATTTCCTAAATTTCATCTGTCAACTCACAAATCAACTGTTGTGCCTGGAATCACTTACTTGTCAAGTTGATATTGTCCAATGGAGCATATGTATTTATAACACACAAAAATTACATAAAAATAATATGAAAACTATATTTTACACCATGCAGGAAGGAAGAACATATTGGTATGAGAATTTGTAAAATGGCAGAGATTAATCAATATAGATTAATACAGCACAATGATTTTCAAACATTTTCTAAATAAAGCTGACAATTTATTTTGAGCTCTTACATTAGCTCTTTGAAAAATTTAGAAGAATAACCCATACATGGTAGGTTTCAACTTCTATTTTTCTTTTGTTTACTGAAGTCAACACAACAAAGGGATTATGTCGTACATATAGCTTGGACACCATCTCAACCATCAGGTATCTATCATTGTTCAACCATTACACCCAAAGAACATATGTTAAAAATCAAACCAGTTCACTGGCTTTTTTTAGCTTTCTGAAAATTTATGTTAGTTACTATTCATGGCTTTATAATGGCTAACCCTATAACTTCACTGTTATGAACTTTTTACATGTTTCTAAATATAGAGCGTCCAGGTTGGTATAGTCCTGAGAAGGACTGTTTTTGTTGTTGTTGACTGTCAACAATGCTGACAGTCAATGTTGACAGTCAACAACAACAAAAATAGTCCTCAGGACTATACCAACCTGGACGATCTACATTTACAAACATGTAACGATACTCCCGGGTTCAAACCATTTACTTTATGAAATTTTTAGTTGATGATTCAGACACAAAACCTCCAAATAATGAATTTGACGAGGAATGGTTTGTTCAACATTGTCGTCAGGTCAGTTAAGTTAGTCATAGAAGATGACGAAAATGGGGAACTCAAACAAATTGCCTAAATTACATATAGCAAGCTGAAAAAGCACAATATTTTCCTCACCTTTATTTTTAAATATCATCTTTTGTCCATTAAATTCATAACTGCCATTGTTTGCCATAAATACCATTGTCTCACATGTATCCCACACACAAAATTTTCTTTTACTGAGACAAATACCATAAGTAGAAGTCAGAGAAAGTCACTCTTTCCTTCATAAACATCCAGCAAACTCTGCTCAACTTGAATGTAGTTGGTTTTATAGAAAAGCATTGCAGCAACAATTCAGTATTTAAAGTTTCAATAGATTGAAATGCCATGTTCAATTTCTAAATATTTTAAATCTACTTCTTGCGTTATGATTGGCTGTTTTTCCCGCCAAAACTTTCCGCCTAATCGTAGGAGTGCAACCCGCATATTTGGGTGTACTTGTCTAGTGAACTATATATTTTTACTGGAGCGATAAGTCAGGGGGGTTGAATCTTGAATCCGGGATGTGCAAGCTTTGCAAGTTGCTCCAGTCATTTTCAATGAAAAATAGGAACAAAATTACCAGAGAAAAACATAAAATATTTCTAGTCTTTCCATCATGTATTCTATAGATTTGAATCAAGGAGGTAAAAATATATTTGAATATAAAATATCCAGACATAATATATATCTTCAAAGGACGTTCGTGTTGGGTATGACCGCGCAAAGTGTATAATGGTTTGTCTGAGTTTTCAAAATTTGAGCAACGCAGTTTGAAGAAAAAAGAACAATATTCAATCATTATCGCTTAATCTTCAGTATCATCAAACGGGGGTTTTGCTTGTGAATAGTTTAGACGAAATGGTTAGAAAACTAGTATCTCAGTAATTGCAGGTCTTCCCAGGCCCTTCCAGTGCAACCATCTAATCAGTAATCATAGAGCGTTTATATGGTGTTTTTGTTCCTGTTGATACTACAGTTCTCTGTATTTATATCAAATTGAACCAGACTTGTTCTTTACGTTTGTTATTTTAATCATTCGTTCTTTGACCAGTTCACTTGGCAGGTTGATGATCAAAGTTTCAAAGTTTTCTTTTCACCATTAATGGGGGTTGTACAGCTACACTGTATTTCAGTCTTAGCCATTGCTTTCAGCGTCTTCGAAATGTTCACTTATCGTAATACGATAAGACAACAAGTTGTGCAAAATATAGATTTTAGAAAAATCTTTAAGGAAAACATACAACACCATGACACAACACAGAATAATTTGTTCTAGGTCAACTCAATGTTGGTTGGTGGTCTAAATATCCTTGGTATATTTATATTTGGACCAACCGAGGCACGAAGCAAACTTCAAGCTAAATTAAGACAAACGTTATACGCTGTACAAAAGTTCTTATCAAATGAGCTCCCACTAACGAAATGGAACCTACAGGAACATTCTAAAGCAGTGCTTTTTCATGTTTGTTGTAACACAAAGAAGTATCTTTTAAATGGAGTAGTTTTTAAGCACTAGACACGCAAATGTGTTTATTCGCCCAAATAAATAGTTATTGTCAATCACAACTTCATTCTAGATTTGGAATCCATAATCCATGTCATAGAATTTCGGAGTTCAAAAGAATGTAATGGCTGAAAAATCAAGGATTTAAAGAATAGAATTTAGAAATTAGGAGATAGGAATCCAAGCCATGAAGAACTTATTTAACGAGAAAAATGTTTCTTTTGCGTTCTTCACCGTACAATGTTTTCTCTCATGTCATTTGTTAAACAAGGTCTTTTAACAAAAAACAATCTTGTCCTTAACATTTTCCAAAGAACAACATGCTACAATATTGATGTATCTGACAACAAAGTAAGACTTTATCCGACTTACTTTGATTAAAACCATTCTTTCCATGCTTAAAGTGCAGAGTAACTAACTACATGATGATATATTCTAGGCAAACATGGAACCAGCTGAATTCAAATATCAAAAATTTATATCAAAATGGATTGAAGTTAAAAGCACAATAAACCTAGAGTGGGACTTTATCTTACAAAGAAAAGGGAAAAATCGTTTTTCCGACATGAAGGTTCTAACAATTTACCACAATACGTTTTACAAATCAATCTGATTGTACGATACACTTAATAACTAAAGGGTCTTCCTATGATTACAGGCAGCAGTGATGCCGAAACTCTTAAATATATCAAAGAGCTTGGCAACGCTCGATGGAGTTATAACGAAGGAAGAACAATCACTCGTCATGGATAAACCAGTAATCTCAATTACAGTGAACACCTTTTACTAAACACGTCTTTCCTTAAAAAGTGAATGGTTTGAAGCTGGGATGATTTATACATGTTTGTAGATATAGATAGTCCAGGTTAGTACAGTCGTGACTCCCGAGAAGGACTGTTGGTGTTACTGTTGACTGACGTTTCCACAACCTTAGCGGTAGTCATCTTCATGGTCAAATCATGTCGAAACGTCAGTCAACATCAACACCAACAGTCCTTCTTAATACTGCACTAACCTGGACGATCAACATTTACCAAACATGTATTTCCAGCATAAAAACGTTGATATGAATCATCAAGAGTATGTTTTGAATACACCCCAACTACCTAAGGGCCAACTTGTGTTTACCTATCTATACCAATAGCAATAAAAAGACTATATATACCAATAAACAGTCTATAAACAGACTATACCTATAAACCAATATACAGACGCTTTTCATTTCTCAGAAAGGTAACTCAAGATCAGAGAAAAGTTTGCCAAGAACCATACAACTTTACATTAAAAAGGTAAAGAATATTTATGAGGTGAATGCCATCATCTAGGGGTATTGTGATTTCATGTACTGGATTCCGATTCCTAGCTCGTGTATTCAACATTATTATGATTGAGTGGGAACTAAACGCCGATCAAAAACTTCCTTCGTCCAGATAATGTACGCAATTAATGCAAAATCTTTATAGGATGAATGTGAGCCCGATATCAATAAATGCAGCGGTCAAAGGACTATGCTGTTTGGCAAGATAGAAACGATGGCGTATCTCAATGCCAAATCAACAGTTAAAGATGCTATTAATGTACGTAAGCATGTTTTAGTCATACCCAAGCAAACTTGTGCTGTTATCAAAGAAATCACTACCATTTAAACTTTGATTTCCGGTACCAAAACTGCATGACATTAAACCAAATTATTTCATTGTGTAATTAAATAGGCTATAAAATGCGACATTATTCGTAGCGTTCTTACAAGACTTCGCCTACTCTGTGAAGATTTAGATGAAACTTATAAAAGCGAGAAAGAAGGCATGTAATGTCATTATTAGACGACGAGTAATTTAAACTGTGTGAACAAAATTTAAGATACACTCAGTTTCATAATAACGAGTTCCACTCTCTAGATGTTATGGATGAAACAGAAAATAAACCTCTTGTCATGTTAGAACTACCTAGAAGAATATTTTCCCCAATGTGCCGCGGGCATATACATTTTTCGGATTATGTGTTTAAATACGAAAATATCGAGGATGTTTTAAACAGAATTTTGGAACTTTTGGGAGCTTCTGTCGATCAAAACGATTTGCTCTTCCCAGAAAGTTTTCCAGGTAATAAAATGTTAGCCTGCATAAAAGATTGTGATTTTATTAAAGGAGGTTGAAGATTCTTTGGACTGAGAAAAGCAATAAGTTTGTGAAGAGGATTTTTATTCCTTTTAGATGAAAAAATTAATCTGTTGGATTGTTTTGACGATGAGAGAGCGACTCGCAACGTTGATGATAAAAGTGATGAAATTAAGTCCAATAAATCGTTTCAAATTATAGGTAAGTTGAAAGGATCCAGTTTTGCTCGTTGCATAAGTATCGTAGAATATCAACCTTTGCAAACTTTATACTTTACTAGGAGCAAGCTTTGGCGTGATAACTGTTCTTATGGCTACAATATACAAATGGTTTATTGATGAATGAATGAAGGACGAATGAAGAGCAAATTTCCACCTCTCATAAAAGTCACTTTTAAATTTATCAAACGACGCAACACACCGTAATATTCTTAATATTTGTGCTAAAGTGAGGCATTCCCACTTGATTTAGTTAAGATAATTACTAATGCCAGTGCGTAAATTTTCTCAAATTTCTTTGACATGCTTTTGGTGGTTAAAGTGCTTAACGATTGAGATGGCACCATTCAAAGAACTAAGCTTTCATAAATTCTAGTCAATCAGAGGGATTAATTCACCTATATTTTTGTTTCCATATCAATACTTTTCTACATGTTATAGTGTTATTTCTTTACAAGACAAATATTCCATAAGTCTCATATCCCTCCGGAATAAACATAAATAATAATCACTTCACGGGAGGGGGTCATAATGCAATAGTCTGTAAAATTGCTAATGCATTTTCTGCTCACAAAATAAATATTCAAACAGTAGCATTACTATCCAAATTATTTTCCCTATAAAACGCATTCATCCGCTCAAGTATCGGTGTCAGTGTAATTGTAAATGTCTCGATGTCATGAAGTACATCATTCTCCGGGGCTATACCGCTTTCAGTTGAGCCGAGTGCCTTGACGAAATCCTTCCAGTAAGGCACAGCCTTGACTGCCATCTTAATTGGAGAATATACATAGTAAAAATGTCTAAAGTTAGACGTTCGTAAGCTTTACAAGCTCGGCTATCGATTTTATTGTGACATCGTCGTGAAACAATCGGCTAGTGATCGGACCGTCTCGTGAGACTGTTATGTAACGACATGAAAGGAATGTATCATTACTTACCGCAAACATACCTCTCACCATCCAACCGTGATATTTTCGTAAAGTTTTGGAGTATGCATTGGCTATAAAGAAACAATGATATAACATTACAGTATGAAATAGCTTTTATAAAGAATGGGGAGTAGGGGATTCCTTTATACACCAAGTTTCAAAGTTTGCCACCCCTCGCCACCCCCCAAAGAACATAAATTTGGTCACAAACACTCTCAACCCTCCACCCACCCACGCTCAAATCATATAAAACTTCTACTTACAAGCAACAACGACCAATTCACGTTCACCTTTGTTGATTTCAAGAAGAAAGACATTTGTAAACTCCAACGCTCTGAGTGAACAAATAATACAACAATAACAATAATAAAAATTATTTTAAAATTTTCAATGTTTACTAAAGTTTATGACTGGTTAAACGCCATGAAAAATTTTAATATAGCACCTCTGAGTACAAATATTTAACTGACAGTGTAAATAGCTACCTTATACCCTAAACACCGTCAGCATGTCTTTCTAAAACTTCATTCAAAAGTTGTGATATTAATGAAAAAGACCCAGATGACCAACCTTTTTAGCCATAAAAGAGCATCAGTTGCCGAGTTCTTTACATTACATGTATTGGAATGGATTTCGACACCGATCATAGCTTGAAGAGTTGAGCAAGATGTCGGGTCATTATCGTATTTCGAAGTCAATTTCTGCAAGTTGGTAGGTATAAGAAATTAATGTGGTATATCTTAAATTTAAAACTGGCCTTAAGAATCTGTTACGGCTTTCCTTTCTCTTTAGGTCTCCTCTCATGAAAAGACTAAACTTTGCTTACACTGAATATTAAATATGAAAAAATTTTTTTTGTGGTAAATCTTCACAAACCTTTATATTCCCGCTAATGTCCATCTTAACTGGAGCAAATGCGGTACGGCCAAGGACATCTGAAAAAGTCATGTGATTAATTACATTTTCTGCCAGTAGGAAAAAACTCTACATCATAATTTCAATGTATATGAAGATAAGATTCGCTTTTTACTCACCAAAAATAGGCAAAATTGAATTACATGCCAGTAGAAATGGTTTCGTAGGAATATGGTTATTTTTTAACATGTTTATGTCTGTGAATCTGGATGGAAATGATTCAATAAATATCATTCAATTTTTTGCTAGATCACATTTGGTGGGATGTTGGGGGAATTTAGGAAGATGTAAGTACTGAGTGGGGATGGAGAAGGTTTAAAAGGATTTAATATTGAGAGTGAGGGGAGGGCGTTGAAAAGATGTTGGAGAATATGATGGTGTTTGAAGGATATAGATTTTGAGTGGGATGGAGAGGATGAAATTCTCAGACTTACAAACAATTGGTTACAAAAGCAATTTCTTTACTAAGAACTACCTGTTTGGAGCCGTTGAAAATATCGTTGGCTGTGTTTCTATTTCTTTTATTTTTAATTCCTGAGCAAAGCTTTCATCTAAATTAGTCGCAAGATCAGTTCTTGTATGATCGCCTTCACCACTTTTCGTAAGTTTTTCATTTTTCATAAAGTTTTTGGCTCCTCCTTTTTCTTCAAAACCTAAAGTAAGAAAAATACGTATGTATAATGTGATAGCAACCACAGTTGATGCAGTTTGTAATGTAAGTTATAATGTTCAGCTTGTTATGTCAACGAAAACATGAAACATTCCCCCTTTTTCATAAAGACCTTGCTTAATAAAGAAGAGCTTGGTGTTTAACAGATTTCAATGACGACAGATTCAGTTTATGTCAAAAAAAACGATTTGTGATGTTCACTTGTAATTTCTTTATTTCTTTGTAAAAGATCAACGATTACATACCGTTCTGTAGAGTTGAATTTGATGATGTTCTTTGAGCTGATCTATTACTAACAGATGTAAAAATGATATTGTAATTACTTTTCTAAAAAATGCTTTACATAAGTAAATATATGAAAGTCAAAATCATTATTATTATTATTTCATGAAGCTTTACACGTCGTTGTTTCTAGTTTAGACGATTTCTAAGTCTGCTGTGAGTCGTGAATTGAAAACGACACAGTTTTATGTGACACAAGCCTGATGCATTAAAAACTTATTTTCGTTTTAGGGAGTAAAGAGTTACAACACAGCATGAAGTAGATGCAATGATTTTTATAAAAACCTTACGTGAGCTCAGGGTGTAACATTTAAGTGGCTAAAACTTAAAGTTTACTCAATGATGAATCAAAATAACGCAGCACACGCTCTAAAAACATTTCGCGATATGTAGAACATTATACGAGGGAAAATATATAATTCTGTTTCCACCTTTGATTTTCGTGAGAATGGGCAGCCACACGATGCAAATGATTCTTTAAAGAAAATATATATAGAAGACTTTGATTACAGACACTAAAATGACATGATTTGGAGTAAAGTGTTCGTGTTACCTTGTCATGGTTGACGACAGGAGACAGTGGTGAAGACAATGGCGTTCCTAAATGATTGAATAACAAACATTGAGATTTACGATCACGATTTACGTAAATGATTATGATTACGATCACGATTTACGTAAGTGATTATGATTACGATCACGGCTAATGATTTTTAATCACAAAATATTAGCAAGCAATCAGCAAGTAGAGCAAGATAAACTGTCAACATAGGGATAAATTTTTATGATTCAGCCCTTGAAAATAAAACTATACAATGTTACTTTAAAACATCTTTCAGTTAACCAATGTACTGACACATACCTGACTCAACAGAATGTTGTTCTGAAGGGGTAGGAGGTGTAGTTAACTGTCTTTAATTAAATAAAACTCCACCCTCTCCTCCCATAAAATCAATACTCTGTAAATCACATTCACAAACAACTGCCATAAATAATTCTCACCTGATCCAAACTTGTGTTCAGAGATCTTGACACAAGCCTCAAGATTAATTAAAAATGCATCACAAGTTGCAGAGAGTAGAGTCCCTGCCTCGTGGAACTCCTGAATGTGAAATGTAATGTCATAAAATGTTTACTGTCAAATGTTAGCTTTAATGACTACATACGTCATACCTGAGTTGTGTCTTTATTATCACATAAATTCTTGATTGCACTTATTTGATCAAGTAAAATGTTTCTGCATACATGTATTTCGGACATTCTTTTATGTAGAGCTTTCTCTGGGTTCACAGAATCATCAGATTCATTGGCTGAAAGTAAAATATATTTTCATTATGTATAATACCAGTGTGCGAATTAACGGTGTGCAATGTGCAATTTGCACATCGTTTTAGCTAAAATGAAAACAATTGCACATCACTTTTTCAAACGGTGTGCAAAAATCAGCAGTTTTAACAAAAAACACTGTAGTAAATCATATGAATTTGTTCAAGTTTGAAAATATTAATTTAGCAATTAGCACTGTATAATAATTAACATAATATCGCTTTGATTATGCCTCTAAAGAAACACTTTTGTCAAAAAAATTGCACATCGTTTTTTCTGAAGTAATTCGCACACTGTATATTAAACTCTATGTTCATTGAGTAAACTTTATGTTTTAGCCACTTAAATGCTACACCCTGAGGATCCAACCATCCAAAAGGAAAGTCAAACTCAAGGACAAAGTCTCAAAACCTTCACAATTTGAGTTTAAGCAAAAAATTTTTGAAAATGTGGCATTTCACTGTAATCATACTTATGGTAAAAGAAACAAACCCAGGGAAACATATACAAGATAGAATACTGAAAGGAATGAAGATACCTTGATTTGTCGGTATAGAATCTCCATGGTTTCCAAGTGTGAGACATGCTTTCGATGACCCCAAGGCAACAACCCATTGTTGTCTTTCACTTGCTGTGGTGGCTTTAAGGTACATATAATGATCAGGAGGGAACTTAAGGATGATCTTAAGGGGATCACCTGATTGTGCTAATAACAAATCAAACAAGAAAGATTAGCTTAAAACATGAAAGTTAAGTTTGGAAGATTTTTAACATGTGAAACATTTTACATGAAATCATCTGTACACACAAACCTGTTACATCACAACAACCCATTTTCACAGAGCCCCGGCTGCCCAGCTTGACATCATCCTGTGACTTGTAATATGATAGAACACCATGATCTAATACGAACCATCGTAGTTGCCAACCTTTACCATAAATACAGAACAAAAATATATTGAATGTTGAAATACATGAAATATGTTTATCAGAAACAACACAGCTGCTATATTGCTTCATGTTTCATTGTCCAACAGTTAAAATCATAAACATTTTCCATAGTAAATTAATGAAATTGAAATACATTAAGAAAGAAATCATGGTATACATATATATATATGGTAGTTTTCGTTAAGTGCTAACAGTAGTAGCAGTTATGACACCATACTATTTGATTTGATTCCCATACTAATTCTCTCTTCCAAAGAAAAAATTTGACTCAGGGACTAACCAAATTTAAAATTGATTCTAAACACCAGTGATATCTCAATAAGCGAATCTACATTTTTTTGGTAAACCACACCAATCCACTTTGACCTAAAAGTATTGACCACCTGCGTAGGCTATAGCATATGAAATAATGAGAGCTTTGCAGGTGCACAAAATGGAACCGTGAAAAGAATGTATCCTTAAGAAATTCCACCCACTTAATTATTTAATATATAAACTTCTATCGAAAGATAAAGTTATATACCAGTAACATAATTTGTCCACTTCCAAAGCGCCCCTTCCATGAATGGCATCTTAATGAAGTCCTTTCATTTCGTACAAAATACTCGCATCACTACTAAATCACTTGATTCTAGTAAATATTCATGAATGGTGATTGCAATTTAATTGCCACGTCGACCGCCATCTTGACACAGCTAACCTAAGACAAGAACTGCGTAGGAGGTCATTATTATCAAAATAAAATTGTAGAATGGTGAACAAAATATCTATTTTCTGTTTTTATTTCTGCCAAATATTTAGGTGAATTAGATTAAAACGTTACGTGCGTACTTTAACAGCAAAGGATTTCTCTCATATTCATTATTATCCTCCAACTATTCAAGTAAATCGAATAACACATACCTAATTAAATATTCGTTCACATTCCACATTTAATATTTATGTATGAACCGTTGTGCTGTAAACAAGGAAATTGTATGAGTCAACTGCTCTGCCTCTGAAAGAAATCAGAAATGTCTTCGTTAAGCGAACGTGATATAAATGCATTGAAAGATGCTATAGATTTATATGATACTATGGGTGATGGAAAAGTTGATTCTAGTGCTTTAGCTGATATCCTACGAGCGATCGGTGAGAATCCTACAGAAAGTGAAGTTCAGAAATTTCTTGTTCAACTTGATCCTTCTGGAAACAAGCGTATAACACACGAAGATCTTATACCAATTGCACTTTCTTGCAAGCAAAAATCGAGGAAAGTTAAACCTCAAGAATTCGTTGAATGCCTCCGTGTTTTCGATAAGGATTGCTCTGGGAATATCAGTTGTGCTGAACTTCGACAAGTTTTGACTACATTAGGAGATAAATTGACCATTGAAGACGTCGACATGTTGACAAGTGGTTTGGAACAGAAAGGACAAGTGAATTACGAAGAATTTGTGCGAAGTGTCATGTCTGGTTGAAACCGAAATCGAAACTTCAAAAACAAACGACTAAGCATTGATATTTAAAAACATTTTTAATTATCTGTCATCGGTTTTTATTGACTTAAGTTTAAAACTTTTATATTTTCGAACGTGACGTTAGACAGTTTGCTGGTAATTTATTTGTAACCTTTGCATTCAAACTATGTGTATTAAGGTAAACTAACGTATTTATTCATGTTATATACATTTTTTGTTTACATTCTGTTATTAACTGTTGAAAGTTTTGAATATTTATCAAATTCTTTCACCTAGTGTCGCAAGTCAATTATTGCCTTGACGCCTTGATCATAATAAAATTTGCTGAGGCATGGAAACTATAAAAACGTCATAATACCCCCGTGTCCCCGTCGTTCAGATTCTAGTTATAATAGGCTTTTCATAGAAATGAAGTTACGTATAATATCACTGATTTCATCTTAGTAGCTGGATGTGATTCCAAGTATTCCTTCATTATAATATATTACCTCATACCAGTCTAAAAAGTTGAATTCATACAACCAGAAAAGCAGAAATGTTAAGAAATAATTCTCAAGAGGAATTAAACGATTTCTCAGGATGACGCTATCGGGCGTATGTTTCTTTGCAATGGTTTGAAACAATGTTGCTCTTTGCCCCCAATGATTCATGACGATCACATGATCCTAGAAGTGGAAAATTCCGAGAATTAGTGAGAATGAAACAAGTACATTTGGTATAAATTTATGTATCGCAAATCTCCATTCATTTGAAATATGCCGTTCAAAGCAGGTGACTCCGTTCCATACGTTCATTGTGAACCAAGAAATGTCAAAAAAGATCCATTATTGCAACTTAAAATCTACATGATGTTCACAGGACAGTTTTGGCCATTGACACATAATCATCGGCGTTTATACACCAAAGGAATTGTATCTTTCTTTATTAAGGCAGTAATCATGATTTATACAATCCTTTATATCTTATATGTTTTGGATATGTTTCACTGCCGTCATCCATTGTGTTTAAGAGGTATCAAAAATTATTTCTACATGTACCCACTAACAACCGTCGATGATGCAATTTGGGAGCTTCGTTGGCTCGTGACTTGTTTGCTGGGCATTATCTTCACTTCATCCATTTGGTCCAAACTGTTCGAAGAAGGAAATGTTGTCCTCAAAGAGAAAGACTGCTCAAGAGTGAGGTGGTTTGTTCGAATTTTGGGCTTCTTAATCATAGTGATGTGCATTGCAAATGCAATTACAAGTTTAGTGGAAATAGATTTCCAGATAACTCATGATATTGCTGTAGCAATCTTTGTAGACTGTCTTCTCCGGCTTTTTGACCGCTTTTTTGCTTCACCCATCTTTCTTCTCCTCTGTACCACATTGTACATTCTTTGTTGTATGGTTGAAGAATTTAAAGCAAACATTGTCGTACAAACAAGAGAAGTCCAACAAGACGAAGATCTACAAGACGAAGATCTACAAGATAAAGATCTACATAACCAAGGTAGACTAAACAAAGTTTGTAAAACTGACATGCAAAATAACGTAGTTTTTTCGTTTATTTGAAAACTGAAACATTTCACTTTATTTTCACGCTTAATAGGACAACCTTCACAAAGTAATATGTGACGGCAAAATTTGAATATTCGGCTCATATTTGCCATGTCAATATTTCTTATAAAGCGTTTAGTTATGGTATAAAATATCAAATTTCGAAACGGAAATGCCCTCACTGCAGAGGTCACGAGATAAGACAAGTCTTGGACAAGCACGTTTTGCATATAACGTGTCGATAAAAGATGAAAAGATGTAAGAGTTATTGACCTGCTTCAAAACTGACGAATTTTTTTAAGATTTTTCTTACACATTGCAAATTTACTTGTAAATTTACAATTTTTCCACCTACACGACACAATAAAAGTTGTCTTGTAAGTTGAAAAATTGTTCTGTAACTGTTGACACTAACACACTCCAAACACTTTTGTCTTTGCTGTGATATATAAAACTCTAATAAATTGCTCTGATCATTGATTCACCATCGAATTTGAGCAGACAGCCTGTGTTTCTTCCATACACTGAGTATAATCCTCGCCCTTCTTCTTAAATATTTTTCTTACATCGTCCATTGCTTTATAACAATGATAAAGTTTCCTCAACAAGTCATTGAATTGTCAGAATACATTGCAATTTCTCAGTAATTCTTTTGAATCATGGCTCAATTTTAGATCCCCCTGCAATAAACCACGACGTTATCAGCAGTGGCGAGAATGAAGCGAGGAAAAAGTTCTGCAAAATAAAAACAGCTATTCGTAAAACTGGATTTGCCTTCCAATTGTTTCTCATGTTGCATTTTTTGCTCTTACTGACCTCATTCTTTGTTGGAGTGGCAGCTTGCGTTGAGCAGATTAAAGTGACGATTGATGGTCCCAATAATAGTACAGTTTCCAAAACTATACCGTTTCAGGTTTGTAAAATTCATAGATAGACGCATTCTTGGTAAATCAAATTTCCTAATATATATTATTTTGTAGTATGTTTCGTCATATTTACGTTGCTCTCTAAATTTATTGATATGCAATCATTAATAACTACTACACGTACTACATTCAATTTTAAGATGTTAAATTCGGCAAGATTCTTGAAGATTTTGAAAAGTATGCCAGCGACAAAAAGCAAAAGCAACAACGAGGCAGAAACATTAAAAACATTGGTAATGAGCAACGTGCAAGGACGAGTTATGTTGAATTCTACGTCAGACGACAATCCGAATGAGGTGATACAGAAATTTGCGGAAAAAAGTATAAATACATTTCTGGTTAAAACCATCATGAAGACACTTGAATCATTGTTGCTTTACTTGTTTCCTATTGGTTTGATGGTTCGCCTTCAAAACCGCTTAAACCAAGCCTATCAAGTTATCGAGGACTGTGATTTAGAAGAGCAAGAAAAAAAAGGATACATCTTCTTCCATATGTACGCCATAAGACGCATGTGTAAATACGTCAAAACAGCACAAGGTTTGAAAATCTTTGGTTACAGCCTTCCAACCTTCCAGGCTTTTATTCTGGCGGCCTTTGGTCCGTTTTTCGGTGTTGTTCTACATGGAATATTTATTCACATCCATGCAAAACAGAAATGAATGACCTCTGAAGATATTCTTTATGAACAAAAAAATATTTTTCAGAAATGGGTAAAGGGGGGTGGAGTGGACTTCCAGTGTCTTGCAAGGGTTATTATTTCTTATATCAAAATCAGATTATATAATTTCTTCTCCAATAGTTAATCCTTCCAATGTCCTCAGACTAAAGCAAAAGTTCATAAGGTCGAAAATGGTACAATTAAATTCTCGCATTGAACTCTTAAAAAAAAGGAACGTTTAAAGTACGTTGTACTAGTTTTTTGTTTGAATTATCATGTAGTGTTTTTATATGCTTTAGGTAAATATATTGCAAGAGCGATAAACCCTAGAAATATGTATATGCCTACAACATATGATGCAATTTTTGATTATTAGCGTAATTTAAAAGGATAATTAAGGGGTAATTAAGAAGTTTCTGGTGTTTTTGACATGATGTTTGAAAATAACTGTTAGTGGTTTTACACAAGAGTATGGAGTAAACAGAACTTAATGGTAGCAGCAAATGATTCATTTTAGCAATCCTAATAGGATGGGATAAAGGGAAAGACAAAGAGATTAATTGGTTTTCAAATAATTATCTTTAGCAAAAATTCATCGTGTTCTTCCGCAGGAATTATTAAAAAAAATGGTTTTATTTTACTCTTTACAGTTTATTTCTTTGCCCTCCGAATAACTTGCAGCGCATATCATTTTGTTGGAAAAATAGCAGTTAATATAAATACAAGCTACATGCACACTTTAGCTTGGTTCAATTCAACTGTATCGACTTGCCAATTTGACTTCACCAGATAAAGATATATGGCTAAAACATCAGTCACATGACATTCTTCTATGTAAACGATATCATGTCGATGTTAAAGAATACGATAGACAATTAGATATGTTAAATATGACTTGACCACATACTCACTGCAATGTTGTTTTTAATAAGTCAAATGGAACTGTTATTCAATGTATATTTCATTCCCCATTTCATAAATATGCCAGAAAATGAGAAAAAGATAATTTGACAACAATACGTTGTAAGACAAAGTAACATATTGTTCCTGTTTGCTTGTCTATGACTTTAGGTTTAACGACCATAGAGGGAAAAACTGCGATATTCAAGTTGATTTTGATGAATAAGAAAGAAAGAGTCTTGCCATGAAACAACAAACCCATCACAAGTCATAGTTTTTTATAATTTATTGTACGAACATTTTTACTTGCTAAAACTTACATATTACTTGAAATCGTTCGAGAAGTTCCTTTCTCTTAAATTTATACTTAAGTTTATCATACATTAGATTACAGATGTAAATTTTCATTTTGCGTCTAAGGACATGAGAGTAGAAAACATTGAGGTGTAAAACAATCTCTAAACATGAAAGAAGACGCCGCTACTATACTGGGGAAATGCCAGTAAATTTGATGATCAATTTTCACATGTTTTATACTTGTTGCGAGGTATGTCATTTTGTACGTTTTATGTAAATTTTCGTGAATTAAAAATACTGTGAAAAGTCCTAAATGATTGCCAGCTGATGAAAAAATCATTTTACACCTTAATGATTTCTTCCTCTAAATTGTTTTCATCAGTCGCCATGTTGGGGAAAAATTCCTACAGTGAAAAGAATTTCTGCTAATTTTATGCTCTGCTGAGCTTCGACACTCTCATGTACTCTCCCAACATGGCCTATATGACGTCAAAAGCAAACACACTATATCTACGGTTGAATGAAAACAGCCCCAAACATCATTAAATATTTGTTAAAATTGCGTCTTTGTTATTACGAAACAGCGATTTTGTGACGTTATGATGACAAATTTCCATATTGCATTGAAAAGCGTATTTCGAAAAACATTTATCAAACGCTGACACTTGCTGGCATGGTGACCATGTTTTAATTTAAATACATATGCATATTTTAAGCTGACATTCGTTTCAAAACTACCGATGGATGTTATTTATTCATCACGGCATAAATGCTTTTCAAACAACATTATTATTCTAAAATCATTACCTAATGGAAATTTGTACAACATTATTCCAAAATAGGTGGCAGGAGCCTACTTTGAAATACTTTACCACAAAATTCGTTTTCTAAGTCAGAGAGCGAGGGAACTCTCTGACTTAGTAAGAATACGCCGAATTCAACAGAGTATATATGCTTTCTCAAAATCCAAGATTTCTTAAAAATCTAAAAGATAGCCAAAGAACAAATTAGCGACACAATAAAAACAAACACATAAACCTGAAAAAAGACTGAAGTCACTAAGCTACAAGTCAGTGAAACAAATAAAAAAATATTTATACCTCATCTTGTTTTTCATCTTGTTCTCCATCAGCATGCTCCCCGTCTCTCCGTCAGCATCATCTTCGTCGCTCCATCAGCATCCTCTTCGTTGCTCCATCAGCATCTTCTTCGTCGCTCCATCAGCATCCTCTTCGTCGCTCCATCAGCATCCTCCTCGTAACGCCATCAGCATCCTCCTCGTAGCGCCATCAGCATCCTCCTCGTAGGCCATCAGCATCCTCCTCGTAGCGCCATCAGCATCCTCCTCGTAGCGCCATCAGCATCCTCCTCGTAGCGCCATCAGCATCCTCCTCGCAGGACCATCAGCATCCTCCTCGCAGGACCATCAGCATCCTCTTCGTAGCACCATCAGCATCCTCCTCGTAGCTCCGTCAGCATCTTCCTCGTCTCTCCGTCAGCATCCTCTTCTTTTCATCAGTCTTCTCCTCATCTAAACGAAAAATCTAAAAACAAGTTAAGATTAGGACAGGAAAAATAATAACATACTCCTTTATCTTCTTCTTGATCTTCATCCCGTGTACCTAAAAAAAGACTGAAGAAGAAGTTATTTGTTTGATGGAAACAAACAATTGTAAGCACCCACCACTGCCAGGGTTCGCGTTCTTTCACTGTCCATACGCTCGACATGTCTATAAAAATGCAACAACAATATCATGGCAAGTGATTAAGGAGATCGTGCTTTCGCATTGTAATAGTTTTATCATGCTAAAACATTTATATCCATGACTGTACATGATTGATCATGTATGTTAAGTGAACAACACTTTGCAGATTATAACTCTCGCGGAAAGCTTATCGTTTGAACCGTGCATTGTGTTATAACATCCCTCAATGTTATAACACATGCAATGTTCTGTAACATTGTCAAACGATTTATTATATGCGATATAATTCAAAAATACCTAGATAAAAACAAGATAATTAACGAATGTCTCATGCAATATATTCTCTGCTCAACTCTTTTCGATTTCATCCAAAAGGTTGTTTAATAATTTCGGTAAGGCACTAAGGTTTATAAAAGATTTTGCAACACTCTGCCCGCATGTTGCAATATCAAATGAATTAAATTAACTACCTCAATTATGTATTACAGAATATACAATTCTGTAATATATAATTGAGGTAATTGATTTAAATTCCTCGTCTCTTCATGTGCATCCTTCTCGTCTCTTCATGTGCATCCTTCTCGTCTCTTCATGTGCATCCTTCTCGTCTCTTCATGTGCATCCTTCTCGTCTCTTCATGTGCATCCTTCTCGTCTCTTCATGTGCATCCTTCTCGTCTCTTCATGTGCATCCTTCTCGTCTCTTCATGTGCATCCTTCTCGTCTCTTCATGTGCATCCTTCTCGTCTCTTCATGTGCATCCTTCTCGTCTTTCATCTGCATGCATCCTTCTCGTCTCTTCATCGCATCCTTCTCGTCTCTTCATCTGCATCCTTCTCGTCTTTCCATCTGCATCCTTCCTTTCCATCTGCATCCTTCTTCCTTTCCATCTGCATCTTTCCTTGTCTTTCCATCTGCATCCCTTCCTTTCCATCTGCATCCTTTTCCATCTGCATCCTTCTCGTCTCCATCCTTCTCGTCTCTTCATCTGCATCTTCCTTGCCTTTCCATCTGCATCTTCCTTGCCTTTCCATCTGCATCCTTTCTCGCCTTTCCATCCTCCTCCTCTTTCATCTCTGCATCCTCCTCGTCTCTTCATCTGCATCCTCCTCGTCTCTTTATCTGCATCCTTCTTGTCTCTTCATCTGCATCCTCCTCGTCTTTCCATCTGCATCCTCCTCATCTTAACGAAACATCTAAAAATCAAGTTAAGATTATGACAGGAAAATAATGACATACTTCTCTATCTTCTTCTTGATCATCGTCTCTAGTGCCTAAAAATAGACTGAAGAAGAAGTTATTTGTTTGATGGAAACAAACAATTGTAAGCACATACCACTGTTAGGGTTCGTGCTTTTTATTGTCCGTAAGCCCGACATGTCTACATAAATGCAACAAAAATTATTGAATGAAAATCATAGCAAGTGATTATGGAGATCGTGCTTTCACATTGTTATAGTTCTATCATGCTAAAACATCGATATCCATGACTGTGCATGATTGAACATGTATGTTAAGTGAACAACTCTTTGAAGATTATAACACTCGCAGAAAGCTTATCGTTTGAACCGTGCATTGTGCTGTAACACCCCTCAATGTTACAACACATGCAGTGTTCTGTAATATTGTCAAACGATTTATTACATGCGATATAATTCAAAAATACCTAGATTAAAACAAGATAATTAACGAATGTCTCATGCAATATATTCTCTACTCAAATCTTGTCGATTCTGCCCGCATGTTGCAATATCAAATGACTTACCTCAATTATATATTAATATGCAAATATTCTATGATATATAATCGAGATAATTCACTTGATTTCCTCGTCTCTTCATCTGCATCCTCGTCGTCTCTTCATTGGTATCCTCTTCTCTTCATCTGCATCCTCCTCTTTCCATCTGCATCCTTCTCTTTCCATCTGCATCCTCCTCTCTTCATCGGTATCCCACTCTCTTCATCTGCATCCTTCTTCTCCCTTCATCGGCATCTTCGTCTCTTCATCTGCATCCTCCTAGTTTCTGCATTAGCATCCTCCTCATCTAAACGAAGTACCTAAAAATCAAGTTACGATTATGACAGGAAAAAAATAACATACTTCTCTATATCCTTCTTGATCCTCCTTGTCCGTTCTTGATCCTCCTTGTCCATTCATCTTCATCCTCCTCGTCCCTTCATCTGCATCCTCCTTTTCTCTTCATCTGCATCTTCGTCTCTTCATCTGCATCCTTCTTGTCTCTCCGTCAGCATCCTCCTCTACTTTTCATCAGCCTCCTCCTCATCTAAACGAAAAATCTAAAAACAAGTTAAGATAAGGACAGGAAAAATAATAACATACTCCTTTATCTTCTTCTTCATCTTCATCCCGTGTACCTAAAAAAAGACTGAAGAAGAAGTTATTTGTTTGATGGAAACAAACAATTGTAAGACATACCACTGCCAGAGTTTGCGTTCTTTCACTGTCCGTACGCCCGACACTGTACATGACTGAACATGTATTTCATCAAAAGTTTGTTTAATTATTACGGTAAGGTACGAAGGTTTATAAAACATCATCGCATTTGAAGATTCAGCAACATTTTGCCCCCGTGTTGCAATATCTTGTATACTCTATAATATATATTCATTTGAACGTTTCTCAAGTGAATTACCAACTTTTATGTCACCTACTATAACATCACTTGATGCTATAGTAGTTCCTCTGAGGAGCAGAGCCGGATTAACCAAAGGAAGCTGTCTAGAAGCCTCCACAAACAAGGGCTTCACATTAACCAAAGGAAGCTGTCTAGAAGCCTCCACAAACAAGGGCCTTCACATTATTCAAAGGAAGAATAAACATAGTTGCTTTAAAGACGAAGGAAAAGCATTTAGTTTATTTGTTGGGTCAATTTCAGCTGATGAAGAACAGACCACATATGACAACGAATCACAGTAAACTCAGCCATTTTGCTCTGATGAGCATCGAGGACAATATTCTAACAGAAATAAACTTGGAAGAGCTTATCAAAGACTGCCAGAATAAAATCGCAATAACTACTTTATATCAAGTAGCAGCATTCACTCGTCGTATGCAACCGCTTTACACGCTATATTCGAAGTTTATACTTTTATCAAATGCTTTACGAAATTTGAAAGTAAATTTCTACTGTTGAAAAAAGAGCAGCTTCTTTTGGAGTTCAGAGTAAGGGAAAGGGGATCTTTACTACGTATTTTTGCTGCTCAGAGCCTCCACACATCTTAATCCGGCCCTGCTCGGGAGACATAAAATATTATATCCTTTTGCCACAAAGACAAAAGAATGGAGCTTGCTATTTCTAACAATGGCCAGTTGTTAGAAATATGCAAAATGCAAAATCATCACACTTATGTGAATGATAACGATAAATGCAAAAATGAAAATATTTTCTGGACATGTATTGATGAGGTCCAATAATTGATGTCAAGAATAGTGGGAAACTTTTGGCAGTTTCGTTCGTGTTCTCACTTCAATATGTAACTGAAACTTGACGGCATTTTTGTGCTCCAAGATCGAAACATAGAAATACTAAGAAACCAAAGAAATCGATCATTCCTTCGAACAAATAGGACTCATAACGACGCTTTGAATATGCTGTAACGAGAATTCACATCACAATTGGGTTGTACATTTTAATTCATCGATCTCAAACTTACATCTTTATGTCATCGACGATTTTTCTGTATTTAATCTGCTGCTTTCAAACATGGCTAAAATATCTCAACCGTGTCATGTGTCATGTCTTCAGTTGCTCGTCCTTTCCAACAAGTAGTCGCATTTCTTGAAGGCTGTCTTCGACTTTCAACAGACTTTCACCTTTCCCAGACGAACAGCTCGGTCAAATAGGGTTATCGAAGTGAAAGACCCTACTTTTTCTCATGATAACTTTCATATATCACATGCATTAATTATTAATTCATTCGTCAATTTTTTTCAAACCATGATAAAAATGGATTAGATTCATTGATTGCATGAAAATATATGCAGGGCAAAGACAAAAGGAATTAAGCCTGGTTTTAAGTTAACTAACGACATTGGTTAGTAAAAGAAAGCAAAGCCTTTTCTCCAGAGGTTTGGAGAAAACAAAAGGATATTTCTTTTGTTTCCTCAGTGAAGAGTTTGCGAAATCAATGATTGTAAGGTTATGACGGCAGACAGAGCATGTCGTGTTGTGGTAAATTCTATCTAGTATGAATAAAAAATTATCTCACCCGAAACCGCAATTCAATGCACCATAGCTAGGAGAGTTATCCCTTTTCTCCCACCTGACCACCTTTATTCAACTGGTTACGTCAACAAATAAATTAGAAGGCAAGTCAAGTGGGAATTCACGTGGGAATCACCCACATGTTATAGAAAAGCTTTTGTCGTGCTCAATACTTATTATGAACATTGGAGCCCTGCTTATTGCAATAATATGACTTGCCATTGTAAAATGTAATGTAATAATTTAACGAGAGAATTTTATTGACAGAACTAAATGGTAGCAAGTGATTCATTTTAGCAATCCTAATAGGATGGGACAAAGGGAAAGAATGAGAGGTTAGTTCGTTTTCAAATAATTATCTTTAGCGATGTAACGATAGCAGGACTTTCAAATGCGGTAAATGTTTTGTGGGAAAAGCGCGATTGTTTCTTTTCCGTGGTTGTAATCCTTAAAATTACATTATTAACAGTAAAACTGAACAAATTGAAAGTTATGTTTTTCCTCTTATATTCCTTGTTCAGCGAGTTCATTTCCTTGATCAAACCATGATGAAAATTTATCCAATGACATTTACATTAAAGTTTTTAAAACTTCAAGATTTCCCCACATTCATTTAGCTTAACTCCCGCATCATAAATGATATCTAATCAAAGAAGATCACGCAGTCTCCGATTTTTTAGGAATGAAAATAGGTTTTACGTTAATTGGTTTATGTTTGGCGTAAGGTGAAGCCGGTGATCCAACAATTAACACGTGATTACCCTTTAACCATAATCTCCACATGCTTTTATGAAATCCTCGAGCATCTAAGTCCCAGATTCGTAAACATCTCGCTATATTATTCCATGTTGTCCAGTCGTTAGCATGTTTCATTTCAATATAAAATATATATGTTTTATCAGATGTTTCTGGAACAAAGTCTTTCTCGTTCTTGCAAGGATTTTTACTGTGATCCAACGGCTCTGCCAACCTGTAAAAAACAGTAGATAGACATCTCTAACAATCAAATGACATAAATATACGCACTATGATGATAATTAGATCACTGAATCACTAAGTAGAAATCTCCTTCATTGTCCTGTGAAAAGAAAAATATTGTTGTCAATATTTTATAAAATCCTGCAAGACATACCCTACAAGCCGTTCAATCTCCTTCTCATAATTTTCTTTTTTCAACAATCCAACATTAAACTTAACGTTAGGTTCAGTATTCAACGTATGTTTTTTGAAATAGGATTCTTGAAAAAATACATTCATATTCAGGCCTTTGGCGCCAAAATGGTAAGTTCTTGAGATATCCGGAATGATACATTCACGTCCCTTTTTGTTGCTATCCATCCTCATCCACATATCCCAATCCCAAAAGAGATCTGGGGTTGGCCATTTTGGCTCAAGTTCTTCTTTATAAAGTCGTCGTTTGAGCAACCTGTTAATGCAAAGAGAAATAATAGATAGCATGAAGTTTATATAGATAATACATTTATAGTGCTGCGTGATGTCATTGTGGCGTGATGTCATTGCAGCGTGATGTCATTGTCGCATGAGGTGATAGTTGCTTGATGTCATTGCAGCGTGATGTCATTGTTGCATGATGTGATAGTTGCTTGATGTCATTGTAGCGCGATGTCATTGTACCGTGATGCAATGTAGAGTGATGTCATTGCAGCGTGATGTGCTTGTAGTGTGATGTCATTGTAGCATGACGTCACTGTTGCGTGATGTCATAGCGTAAACAAAATCCTTTGTAGTAATAAAAATTCTCACCATCCTAAACCAGGCATTGTTTCTATACGATATAACATTGCAGGATCATTACACGTGTGATCATAGCCCTAAAAATATAAATACTTGTTTTTGCAATTAAATCATTAATCACATAAATTAGTTTTTCAATGGATGTACCATTTCTAAGGTAAATTTCCTAAATTTCACTTTGTGATGTGCAAGGAAAGAAGCTCGATAAAGACAAACATAATGTAACAATGAAAACTACAATGAGATAACAGATTCTTGTACAGAGATTTCCATTTTCCATTATATTATGAAAAATATTTTGAGATTTATTTAATTTACATTCTGCACTCTCGTCAGAGATAAACTGGACTCGACAAAAAAGCAAAAAGAATCAGAGACGTTCAAAACCACGTTAATAAAGTTGAAAACGAATTGAAATTTTGTTGTGTAGCAAACACAAGCCAACAATAGAGTAAAAGACTAAAAAGATAAAAAGAATGTTGTTAGCTTTCGTTTATAACAAACCTGATCATTCCACGCCGATATACAGTACAGACTTTCATCTGTATCCATTAAAGGCAACAATTGATTAAAATAACTGAATATGTCCACAGATACGTCTAAATCTTCTTCCAAAATAATCATATACCGAGCATTGGGATAAGCATTAAACGTCTCTGTCAGTGTTCGCTTGTAATGCTGGGAGGAGAGAAAATACATTTAAAAAGTAATAAAAGGAACGCAAAAATTTTGATTTCATCGTGTAAACACTCTCAAAGAAATGCCTTACCAACCTGTGATATTCTAGCGTTCTTACTGCTAATAGGAATATGCTGCACGACTTTTACATCATACAGCCTTGCCACAGCAGCTGGTTCTTCAAAGAAACCATCAATAAATACAGTAAATAACTCCTTCTTTGCTCCATGAGCTGACAACATTGAACGTAAGCCACGATAAAGATAATGTGGCCTGTTACTAGCGATCACAGCAACAGGAATGTCTTGAACTTTTTCTAACTTCAACGGTGTTGTTTTAATTTCAATTGGAGCAGGATTATTACCTACAACATTTAAGAACATATTCTGTCAGTTCTTCAGATCGTTCTAACATTAGCTGCAATAACAATGATATCCTTATTTCTACAATTTTTTCCATGAAGTGTTCTCAGAATATTTTCTCGAAGTTTTAATGCACAATGTGAATGGCAAAATTACTGAACACATCGCTGTGCGTTCAATTAAATAAGAAATCTAATCCTACATGGATATAACGAAAATATACTTACAACTGCATACACTTCCATAGCCTTCAAACTTATCACAAAACATTCTTCTTCGCTTTGATTCTTCACTGTCATCCCAAGCACATTGAGATTGTTTAGCAGGAACAAGAGGAACTGTAGCACGAGCAGTGACAGGCTCACCCCAGTTCGATATGTCTGCTGCGTGATGATGTTTCTCTGAGTATTTCTGGCCACGTTTTGTGACGATAAATGACCAGCTATCCCGCCATTTTAGTTCATCAGCATAAACACTACCAAGACTTTTGAGCAAATTTCGAGCAGTTTTCTTCAAGTTAAATGTAGCTTCATCCTATAAAAGGTAAAATAAAGCAATGTCTGCTAATGATGGCGATGTTTGACGTTGACGTCAGTTGACGTGTTCAATGACGTCACATGTTCATTGTAGCTACGTATAATTTAAAGTTCAGTAACATTTCAAATTTACATCTTTCATAATAATCTGTTTGAATTAGCAAAACAAACTTCTCAAATGGCATAATAATATACAGTATTTTGTTATTGTACTGTATATTTCGTTATACCTAAGATGAATAAAAATAGAATTTAAAACAGGGGAAAGACTTAAGAATCCGATATGATAAACTATGTTTAAATAGTTCATTTAGCAAACTTACCTTAATTGCAAAGCACAAAATTCGTCCATCAGAAACCATATTTAAAAAAAGAACCAAGCTAGCACTCTCGTCTTTAGACATATATGTATCAAATGTCCTTGTTGCCATTATTGCTCCAGTTGATTGATGAAGAACAGTGACATGGATACCTCTAGCTGCATCATTTGTAGTAGTCTCCTCCATTACCTTGTATTGAATAAAACATTCAGTTTATTATAAAGCTCTCTCTAAAAAGTTACTATTGCTTTCTCTCATGAGTAATAATTTCTCTCTTTCACAAGTTTCTACTTGCAGTTAAAGGTAAATATTTGTTAAAGCCTTCCTGCATATCTTTAGCAGAAGGTTATCATACATGCTTAGAAATTTAAAAATAGAAAGAACAGACACAGAATTTCTTGCATTGTTTTGACAGAGCATTTACCTTAGTTCCCTCAACTGATACATATACACTATCTTTACTGGAGTGAACTTCAACATCAATTGTATTACCATGGTCTTTAGAATCTATGTTTAAGAATATATTTTTCCTTTATGTGTTTGTAGATGTACATCGTCCATGTTCGTGTGGTCCTGAGAAGGACTGTTGGTGGTAATGTTGGTTGATATCTTGTTTTGTTTAAAGTTAAGTAGAGAATCACTGAATCTCATAGACAATTGCTGTCTACCAGGGATGATTAGGGGTTTCTCTTGTCCAATAAGGAGGGTGGAAGTATTTTACTTAAAGGTAGGGGGGTTATTGTAAAATTCTGATTACCTTACTTTGGGATTAAGCCTTACTAAGAACAATCGGCTAAAATGGTTCTTAGCTAACGACTTGTACATGATCAGATATTAACAATGTAACAATTCGGCAAAAAATGAATTTAAGATAACGATAGATTTTTTTCAAGGAAATTGTTAGCAATACTACTCTTCCTTGTTTGATGAAAATTAAAATACATACCAATGATAACTCTCCTTTTCTCTTCAAATGGCTCATCATTTGTATAATGATTCGAGACTTTATCTTTTCTGTACTTTGAGATTGTGTCCATAATAAAAAGAACATTCACAAACACAGTAATAAACAAAATGACAACGAGCAGCCATTGAACACATTTCCCTTTCATTCCCTTCTTGCGAATCTTCCAAGCTCGTGAAAAACACGGTATTTTAAAAGTATAGTAAGCATTTGTCGGATGAAAGGGTTTAGCGTTCGGATTAGGCGTCCAAGACATATTGTACTATCACTACTATTTGAAAATTTTATTACGTAAATTGAGACAACATTTTCCTGGTCTTGAGCACTTTAAACTATGACGACAAATTTTCAGACAAACCAATTATTTACTAAATATCATCTTCACCAGTTGCTACCAAAAAGCAATGTCGGCGATCATGTAAAGACACCGTTCTCCACGTAAAAGGATTCTTTAAGAAACTCTTACAAGTGTCAAGGAAACATTAACTTGTAGTATTATTTTTCCATCTGTTAAAATGTGACTTCAATACGATCGGAAATATCCGTACTCGACTTTATTCCCATTTTCCAAGTAGAGGTGTAAGAATGACAGCAGCCATGGGGAGCAAGGGATCCAGCATTAAATATTTATTTAGTATAGACGAACACTAAGTTGATGAATGGTCATTGTTTGAACTCCATTTCTCTTCCATTTGACTTGGTGCAAGCAAAATTTAAGACGTTTTTCTGTTTTGCGTAAATTTGTAAACACATAACACATTCTCTTGTACGAATTTTAGTTCACTTTCAAAAGGTGGCTTATCTCTTCAAAAACTCTCGAAAACCCAGCACACTGCCATGACTCTCCACCAAAAAATCTTGCAATACCTCATGTAATGCTGACCAATTTCCATTCACGTGATTCAACACAAATGGTAATGGCGACTAACGAGATCTTCAAAAAAATTCTATTTACAAAAAAACAACTACAAATGTTATTTCTGATGAAATTTGGAACACTTTTCTGTTTAAAGGAATTTTTTAAACAAAGATAAGACTTAAAAAATGTTTTCGTTCGTCAAACAAACGCAGAAATTTTTGAAGTGAAAAATGTAATGTAAAAAAAAGTTGTGTTTCTCCTTCATGACTTCATCTTCAGGTAATTAAAAGCTTGCATATTTTCTTTATTTGTAATGAGAGAACTTTATAAACAATATTTTGGTTGTTAGAGCAATGTTTTTTGCCAAGTTACACAATTAAAAACATTTTTCTATTCAGTTTCAAAAATGAACAAAAAAAACGAAAATAATCATAAAAAACATCTTTTCTTGTTTTCAAAGCACTGCATGCAGCCAAACTCATACTTAAACATTTATGTTTTTTTGATCATAAACTATTTCTAAACTTTACCATAACTCTGTTAATCACGAACAGTTGGTCAAGTCAACTACGCATGCACAGATGATATTTCTCATATTACGGGACTGTAAGCCAATTGCTTTGAAAACAGGTGCAAGTTCATCCAGTTGGTCATTTCCATGATTATGAACTGAAGCAATTTCTCCAACATGTTGCGTATGATCAAGTGGACTTGACATATTCAGATGATTTTTCTCAAATAATTTGTAATCAAGCAAACTCGTTATTCCGAAAACAGCGCAAGAAGATCCAGTTCATTCAAATGAACTCCATTAGTAAGTCGAAGAAACCGCGCAAGTTTTCGTTGAAATATTATTGGCAGGTTCTCTGTCTTTTTAAGCAATTAAATGACACAACACGCGTGGCATATTTAGATAAACTTGCTGCTTTCGTTTTGTTTTAAACTGTTTTAGTGTTTGCCTAAATGAATACTTTCGTTCAGATTTAAAATCTTTGGGAAATTTTTTGTTTTCACTAAATTCACCATTTTAAACAACGAGACTTTAAGATAAACTAGGAGCAGATGTCAAGAGTGCCTGTTTTTATTCAAATTTATAGATATCGGTAAAAAAACATGCTGGCAAGAGACCTGACAGCAGCTTTATGCATTGAAATGGAGGTCTGTTGATACAATTTAATATTCCACCCATTGCGCTTGAATGATTCTTGCATTGACGAGTCTCATATCACAGGAATTTTTGTACTGTAAACTGCTATGTCTTGGACGCCCAATCCGAACGCTAAACCGTTTTATCCGACAAATATTTCCCATAACTTTAACACACCTTGTTTTTCACGAGCTTGGAATTTTTGCTTGAAGAGATTAATAAGGAAATGTTTCAAATGGCTGCTCGTGTTTATTTTGATTTTAACAACATTGGTGAATGTCTTATTTGTTATGAGCACTAAACCCAACGACAGAAATGATCTATACGGACTTCCAAATCATTATAGAAAGAATAGACAGATTGAAGAGAAGAGAGTAATTAATATGGGTAAGTACATTGACAGCATTGCTTTGTTGCTCACAATTGCTTAGATAGTAAATGATTTGTTCGATATAAGCTGTTTGCCACGCGAAGATGCAATGTTTCCACTTTTAAGATAAGCTCTCATATTCTTCTTGTAATTGGTAAAGAATTAAGTCAAGTTTAAATAACTAAATGATTATTTTAAGAGATACTTATTACTTATGTGCAATAATCACAATAAATTTTATAGCTTTCCGTTGATTGTAAATTAAACATATTTAGTAAAGAAACAGATATATCCATACGTAATATCTTGTATAAATAGAAGTCGTTTAATCATTATAAGATAGAGTTATTAACTAATGTAGAGTCACGTTGGTTCGAATAACAGACAGAAAAAGTAATCTGTGTTGAAATGAAGCCTTTTAAAAATTTTGTTGTTACACCACTGAGACTTTCAGTGCATTGTTTAATTATTCTAACTTCACCACCGGCCAACTAACTAACACCACGGTGAAATGGAAGAAAAAATTTTACCCAGTTGCCATTAAGTTTTTTGTTTACGTTATTTTCACTGTGCTGTTATTTGGTCTATCGCGAAGTTATATTTAATCGAGTTCCAGTGGCGTAACTAGAACGTTAATTGGGGTGTATATTCATGAATCCAGTTATGCCCTACTGATTTCTTTGAAATTTAAATTACTTTCAAACATTTGGTATGTACGTATAACTCTGTGCAAACACAAAGAACATCTTTTATCTCTTAAGTGTTTAATTTCAAATTCAAAATACTTTATAAACAAAATTATTTGGTTATGAATCTCCTAAAGAATAATATTTCACCAATCAAGGTGTTTCTAAAGTATTTGGAAATATATCTATCAGCAATAGGTGCAGTAACTCATTTTAATTTAGATCAGTCATTTTTCAACGATTAGCGATAAAGAAGATTTTAAAGAGCCGGCTTTCCGACTTTCAATAAAGCCTTTTGCAAACACAATAATTAACGCAATCCATTTTTTAGATTATTTAAAATCAAGGAACGCATATTTCTCACAAAGTAGCAGAGAAATTGCGGCTACCCATTAAAAAGAGTTTACGGCAGATTTATTTTTATAATAAGAAAACTACTATTGAGTTCGCTTTTTACACGAAACCTCATTCATTATTCGCAATAACGTTAATAGCTACTGAACAAACACAAAAATTAAAGAAAGGTTCTTGAAGTTATGATAATTAACGATATGTCTTTATGTTACAACTTCAATGTCCATTGCACAATCAATACAAGTTGCTTTTCATTTATTTTTTTCATCAAATGCACTTGAAAAGAAAAGGAAAGAGAGTGTCAAAAAAGTCTTCTTTTATAAACTTATTACATCTTCTTTCTAAACGTAATCATTGGATTGGTGATCCTGTTTGATTTAGATTCACATTTCTCCCCCATAGAATTTTAGAAAATATTAAACAAAATACTTCAGGGAAAATTTTTTGTTAATATAGATGATAAAGATTGTTGTAAGATAATCAACATTGAAGTTCACTCCAGTAAAGATAATGTATATGTATCAGTGAATGGAACAAAGGTATATAATACTTTCTACATTTGTCAATGCTTTTCTCAAAATTGTAAGTTTGTATTACTACATTCAATTTCAAGTTGTCTTCAACACATATTTATCAGTGGGTGGTTAAAAATAAGAATTATAGATAAATAAGCGATTAAAATGTATGGTTTGAACCCAGGAGTACCGTTACACTTTTATATAAAGATCGTTCAAGTTAGTAAATTTATGAGAAGGACTTTTGAAGTTGATGTTGACTACAGCTCTAAGTTTGCCAAAACTTCAGTCAACATCGACGGCAAAAGTCTTCAGGACTCCACCTTGGACGATCTATATCTACATACATGTACTAAATTGTATATTCAATACAAGGTAATGGAGGAAGAGACTTATACAAGAGACGCAGCTAGTAGAGGTATCCATGTCACTGTTCTTCATCAATCAACTGGAGCAATGATGGCAACGAAAGTATTTGATACATGTAGGTCAAAACAAGAGAGTGCTAACTTGGTTCATTTTTTAAATATGATTTCCGATGGACGAATTTTGTGTTTTGCAGTAAAGGTAAGTTTGCTAAATTAACATTTCCACAAAACGTCGTTCATCAGTACCTTATATCAATTTCTTAAACTTTTCCACAAAAATGTTGTTTTACATTTATTTTTCTTCTACTCAAATGGATTAAAATATTCGTCTTGGTTGACAAAAACATTATTATGAAAGGTGTAAATATGTTACGCGCATGAGGGAATTTTAGATTATATAAATTACAATCAATGCATCGTGTCCTTGAGAAGACGAAGTCAAAGATCGCCATATTTATCAGATATTAATTTAAAATATTTTATGCTTTATAGGATGAAATTGCACTTAACTTAGAGGAAACTGCTCGAGATTTGCTGAAAAGTCTTGGTAGTGCTTATGTTGATGAACTAAAATATAGGGATAGCTGGTCATTTATCGTCACAAAACGTGGCCAGAAATACTCAGAGAAACATCATCACGCAGCAGACACATCGAACTGGGCTGAGCCTGTCACTGCTCGTGCTACAGTTAATCTTGTTCCTGCTAAACAATCTCAATGTGCTTGGGATGACAGTGAAGAATCAAAGCAAAGAAGAATGTTTTGTGATAAGTTTGAAGGCTATGGAAGTTTATGCAGTTGTAAGTATATTTTCGTTACATCCATGTAGGATTAGATTTCTTATTTAATTCAACGTACAGAGATGTGTTCAGTAATTTTGCACATTCACATTGTGCATTAAAACTTCGAGAAAATATTCTGAGAATATTTTCATGGAAAAAATTGTAGAAATAAGGATATCATTGTTATTGCAGCTAATGTTAGAACGATATGAAGAACTGACAGAATATGTTCTTAAATGTTGTAGGTAATAATCCTGCTCCAATTGAAATTAAAACAACACCGTTAAAGTTAGAAAAAATTCAAGACATTCCTGTTGCTGTGATCGCTAGTAACAGGCCACATTATCTTTATCGTGGCTTACGTTCAATGTTGTCAGCTCATGGAGCAAAGAAGGAGTTATTTACTGTATTTATTGATGGTTTCTTTGAAGAACCAGCTGCTGTGGCAAGGCTATATGATGTGAAAGTCGAACAGCATATTCCTATTAGCTGTGGGATATCTAGAATAGCACAGGTTGGTAAGGCTTTTTCTTTGAGAGTGTTTACACGATGAAATCAAAATTCTATCGTTCCTTTTATTACTTTTTAAATGTATTTTCTCTCCCTCCCAGCACTACAAGCGAACACTGACAGAGACGTTTAATGCTTATCCCAATGCTCGGTATATGATTATTTTGGAAGAAGATTTAGACGTATCTGTGGACATATTTAGTTATTTTAATCAATTGTTGCCTTTAATGGATACAGATGAAAGTCTGTACTGTATATCGGCGTGGAATGATCAGGTTTGTTATAAACGAAAGCTAACAACATTCTTTTTACCTTTTTAGTCTTTTACTCTATTGTTGGCTTGTGTTTGCTACACAACAAAATTTCAATTTGTTTTCAACTTTATTAACGTGGTTTTGAACGTCTCTGATTCTTTTTGCTTTTTTGTCAAGTCCAGTTTATCTCTGACGAGAGTGCAGAATGTAAATTAAATCTTAAAAGAATGTCCATGACATAGTTTGTTTTTGAGAATTTCTCATTGTTTTCGTCGAGTCTAGTTTTTTTCTCACGAGAGTGCGGAAATGTTCAATCTCAAAACCTTTTTCTGCAGTAAAAATCTTAAATTACCTTGAATTTTTGGTTATTACAATTGCGTTTGATATGGTTCAGTTTCTTGTGTGTCACAAGTGGATTAATAAAGAAATTATTTCTATTTTTTAGAGTTACAATCACACGTGTAATGATCCTGCAATGTTATATCGTGTAGAAACAATGCCTGGTTTAGGATGGTGAGAATTTTTATTACAACCAATGATTTTGTTAACACGAGAGAAAAGTTCTCGTTTTACTTAAATAAGATGTTCGATGTTCATGGAAAAAATATTTATTTCCATCCTCAGGTTACTAAAACGACGTCTTTATAAAGATGAACTTGAGCCAAAATGGCCCAAACCTGATCATTTTATAAATTGGGATGAATGGATGAGGATTGACAGGATCAAGAAGGGACGTGAGTGTATCATTCCGGATATTTCAAGAACGTATCATTTTGGCGCTAAAGGCCAGCATATAAATATTGTCCTTCAAGAATCTCTTTTCAAGACACGCAGTTTAAATACTGTCTCTAATGTTAAATTTAATGTTAGTTTGCTAATAAAGAAGAATTATGAAAATGAGATCGAACGGTTGACCAGGTGAATTTTCAAGAATTTATATTGACATTCCCATTGTTCAGTTACCAAACAATTTTTTTTCTTTGCAAATGGGTTGTACTGTTTTATTGTAGGTTAGCTGAGCCATTGAATCACAGTAAAAATCCTTGTAAGAACGAGACAGATTTTGTTCCAGAAACATCCGGTAAAACATATATATATTATATTGAAATGAAACATGCTAAAGACTGGACAACATGGAATAATATAGCGAGATGTTTACGAATCTGGTACAAAGATGCTCGAGGATTTCATAAAAGTATGTGGAGATTGTGGTTAAAGGGTAATCACGTGTTAATTGTTGGATCACCGGCTTCACCTTACGCCAAACATAAACCAATTAACGTAAAACCTATTTTCATTCCATCAAAAAATTAAAGGGGATTTATTAGTTGCATTAAGATCTTTAAAGCGGCTATGAAACGAAATTTTACCATGTAGTTTCTGATTTTATTGCACAGAGCATTTGATTGAAATGACGTAATATCTTCATAAATAGATTTACTTTATTTTACTTCTTGAGATATTTCACTTTATCATCGTGTAGAAACACCACTGCGACATCACACTACATAATAACATTTCAAAGACCATAAATTTTTCGTATCTTAAAAACATTCATGTTGCATGTACAACATTTTAATAAATAAAAATGAGTAGATGTATACGCGATCTGATTTCGAAAGTGAACAGGAAGCAATCACCACATTAGATTTGCAAGAAAATTCAAAGTGTACTCTGGAAACTTTGTGTATACAGTTGGAGTATTGTGAGAAGAGTACTCTAAGGAATGTCATTGACGATGTATAGTACAAGGACCAACAGAGAATGTGGTGGGTGCTCCGTGAGGGTGTGGAGCAATTAGTTCACGTTCATTCACAGGTAAAAAAAATGTGAACAATTTTCGTTTAGCTCAATAAATATATATAAAGACTTATTATTTGCTATTTTTCTCTAATTTTTGCCATTAGGGTATGATTCAAGGTTAAAGAGTTTGGTCTTTGGATACATTGCAAAGCTCCTTTTGGACTTGTAAGTTCCTTTTCGTTGAATCGCAGTGTCATGAAGAAAGTTACCCTTCTTTGAATACGTATTTGTTAAAGCAATGATTAGTTAGCTAGCCTGCTTGAAAACTTCCACTCAAAGCTTCCACTTGAAAAAATGAAGATCATGAGATAAACAAGCAATAAAGAGACGAAGAATTTATAGCTACTGTCTTTCAATGTCAAAAACTTTGTATAGATGTCTATATCGGGAGAGCCTTAACCAATGTTTAGCACAGCAGCTACTTGGACATCCTTTTATCTCTCCAAATCCCATGTTGCACGGTTTAAGCAACATCACTTCAGACGAGCTTGACGCTGAAAAAGATCAAGGAAGAAAACATCATAGCTGTTATGATGGAGACGAGTATCCTGATTTGATGCCTATTCTTTTCGGCTACGTAGCGAGAAATTCAAGAGTTCGGAATGAATTTGAGGTGTTGCAAATGCTTGGAAAAAGGAGGGTTTGCTTCAGTTGAAAAGGTAACTTTTTATTACAGATTCTTGTACAGAGATTTCCATTTTCCATTCTATTATGAAAAATATTTTGAGATTTATTTCATTTACATTCTGCACTCTCGTCAGAGATAAACTTGACTCGACAAAAGGCGAAAAGAATCGGAGACGTTCAAAACACGTTCATAAAGTTGAAAACGAATTGAAATTTTGTTGTGTTAGCAAACACAAAGCAAAAAACGAGTATAAAAAGTAGCACAAGCAGAATGATGTTTTACATTTTGTAAGCTTTTGTTTATAACAAACCTGATCATTCCACTCCCATATACAGTACAAACTTTCATCTGTATCCATTAAAGGCAACAATTGATTAAAATAACTAAATATGTCCACAGATACGTCTAAATCTTCTTCCAAAATAATCATATACTGAGCATTGGGATAAGCATTAAACGTCTCTGTCAGTGTTCGCTTGTAATGCTGGGAAAGAGAAAATACATTTAAAAATAATAAAAGGAACGATAGAATTTTGATTTCATCGTGTAAACACTCTCAAAGAAAAAGCCTTACCAACCTGTGCTATTCTAGATATCCCACAGCTAATAGGAATATGCTGTACGACTTTCACATCATATAACCTTGCCACAGCAGCTGGTTCTTCAAAGAAACCATCAATAAATACAGTAAATAACTCCTTCTTTGCTCCATGAGCTGACAACATTGAACGTAAGCCACGATAAAGATAATGTGGCCTGTTACTAGCGATCACAGCAACAGGAATGTCTTGAACTTTTTCTAACTTCAACGGTGTTGTTTTAATTTCAATTGGAGCAGGATTATTACCTACAACATTTAAGAACATATTCTGTCAGTTCTTCATATCGTTCTAACATTAGCTGCAATAACAATGATATCTTTATTTCTACAATTTTTTCCATGAAAATATTCTCAGAATATTTTCTCGAAGTTTAAATGCACAATGTGAATGTGCAAAATTACTGAACACATCGCTGTGCGTTCAATTAAATAAGAAATCTAATCCTACATGGATGTAACGAAAAGATACTTACAACTGCATAAACTTCCATAGCCTTCAAACTTATCACAAAACATTCTTCTTCGCTTTGATTCTTCACTGTCATCCCAAGCACATTGAGATTGTTTAGCAGGAACAAGAGGAACTGTAGTACGAGCAGTGACAGGCTCAGCCCAGTTCGATATGTCTGCTGCGTGATGATGTTTCTCTGAGTATTCTCTGAGTAAAGTTCAGTAACATTTCAAATTTACATCTTTCATAATAATCTGTTTGAATTAGCAAAACAAACTTCTCAAATGGAATAATAATACACAGTATTTTGTTATTATACTGTATATTTTGTTATACCTAAGATGAATAAAATAGAATTTAAAACAGGGGAAAGACTTAAGAATCCTATATGATAAACTATGTTTTAATAGTTCATTTAGCAAACTTACCTTAATTGCAAAGCACAAAATTCGTCCATCAGAAACCATATTTAAAAAAAGAACCAAGCTAGCACTCTCGTCTTTAGACATATATGTATCAAATGTCCTTGTTGCCATTATTGCTCCAGTTGATTGATGAAGAACAGTGACATGGATACCTCTAGCTGCATCATTTGTAGTAGTCTCCTCCATTACCTTGTATTGAATAAAACATTCAGTTTATTATAAAGCTCTCTCTAAAAAGTTACTATTGCTTTCTCTCATGAGTAATAATTTCTCTCTTTCACAAGTTTCTACTTGCAGTTAAAGATAAATATTTGTTAAAGCCTTCCTGCATATCTTTAGCAGAAGGTTATCATACATGCTTAGAAATTTAAAAATAGAAGGAACAGACACAGAATTTCTTGCATTGTTTAGACAGAGCATTTACCTTAGTTCCCTCAACTGATACATATACACTATCTTTACTGGAGTGAACATCAACATCAATTGTATTACCATGGTCTTTAGAATCTAAGTTTAAGAATATATTTTTCCTTTATGTGTTTGTAGATGTACATCGTCCATGTTCGTGTGGTCCAGAGAAGGACTGTTGGTGGCAATGTTGGTTGATATCTTGTTTTGTTTAAAGTTAAGTAGAGAATCACTGAATCTCATAGACAATTGTTGTCTACCAGGGATGATTAGGGGTTTCTCTTGTCCAATAAGGAGGGTGGAAGTATTTTACTTAAAGGTAGGGGGGTTATTGTAAAATTCTGATTACCTTACTTTGGGATTAAGCCTTACTAAGAACAATCGGCTAAAATGGTTCTTAGCTAACAACTTGTACATGATCAGATATTAACAATGTAACAATTCGGCAAAAAATGAATTTAAGATAACGATAGATTTTTTTCAAGGAAATTGTTAGCAATACTACTCTTCCTTGTTTGATGAAAATTAAAATACATACCAATGATAACTCTCCTTTTCTCTTCAAATGGCTCATCATTTGTATAATGATTCGAGACTTTATCTTTTCTGTACTTTGAGATTGTGTCCATGATAAAAAGAACATTCACAAACACAGTAATAAACAAAATGACAACGAGCAGCCATTGAACACATTTTCCTTTCATTCCCTTCTTGCGAATCTTCCAAGCTCGTGAAAAACACGGTATGTTAAAAGTATAGTAAGCATTTGTCGGATGAAAGGGTTTAGCGTCAGGGACGCCGGAACGGCAAAAGGGCAGAAGGGGCAAGCCTTTGTGGAAGGGCACATTAGTGAAATATAAAAAAATAATCTTATAGTGATAAACAGCAAAGAGATGTGCTACATGCAATACACTGTACAGAAGCACATGTCCGCAGTGTTGGTCAATAAATATTAACGACAATATAACTATCAAACGATGTAACGTCACTAATTCACAATTTGTCATGTATTGTATTTTCCAAAATATTTAATTCTTCTTTCATTTCTCTGTGAAAACTCTTTGGCAATTACGTCTATTTCCACCATATCCATGTGTTGCTTCTGAATGTTGGAGAACATAATATCATTCAGATAATTTCCTTCAGTGTTGGACCGCAGCCATGTTTTGAGACGACGCATTACGCTGAATGTGCGTTCGCACGAGGCAGATGAGAGTGGCACTGTGTAGTATAGTATAATTAGTTTGTGGATCTCTGAGCACCTTTTCTTTGCTGACGGCATGGCATTGAATATCTCTGCTATTGTTGAAATACGCGTGACTTCTGTTATTTTTTTCTTCTGATCCGCGTTGTAAAGCCCAAGAATGGTGGGAAGATCATCAAGCTGCTTTCTTAGAGCATCTTTATCAATCAAAGAATTGTTTAATCCATCTAAAGATACTCCTCTTTCTTTCATAGAGTTAAGTAACAGTTCCTCGATACATTTGATCTGGAAAAGATCGTCTTGTTCAAATCGCGATCCTAGACCTGAGATGATTGCATCAATGGCTTGGTAGTACGAGCTTTGCATTGGTGTTATATTCGCACTGCTGTAAACTGAGGCATCTGTGACGTGAGGCTTTCTGTTATTAACATTTCTTCATTATTCATCCATCTTGGAACTTTTCTTAGTCTAGTGCCAGTGCCAAAATTTTCACTAAATTCCAGTGGAAACGACATCATAACACGAAAAACTTTCTTAGCGTCATCAAGTGTACGCTCAAACTCTTCTTCGCTTCTCATCTCATGAAGACGTTGCAGGACATGTCTAATTGAAAATAGAGCGTACTCAGCTGAAATATCAACCGCTTGGAGCTCTTTAGAAAGCTTCTCGAGTAAAGCCAATAGCTTTCTTGTCGCGTTTAAATTAAAGATGACGACTAAGGAAGACAGTTGTCGCCTTAATATTCCTCTAATCTTTGCTTTTGTGTCTGCCGATATGGTAGGATCTTCCTGCAATTTTTCAAGGGTTGCATGTAGTTCAGCCGATTTCTCGAAGATGACGTCAGCAGCCTTTACTCTTGTTGTCCATCTCGTTGTAGAAAGACTTTGGAGTCGTAGAACTTTGTAATCGTTTGTTCCTGTTTCGTTTCTAAAATCTGCCTGTATTTCTTCAAACAATAAAATACGTTTTGGATGGGCACCTACGATTGCATACAGGGATTGGCATAAATCCAGTGATGTAGACAATAAATTAGATTGCTTAGCTGCATCCTTTATAATAAGTTCATTGCAGTGACTGAAACAATGAACATAAATTGCGTTTGGTGCAATATCTTCCTTGAGCTTTCTTGCGAGAGATTTCATTGCTGAAGCCCCATCAAAGCCCATAGCTGCCATTTTGTGACCTTCCATGCCACATCTGAGAAGGATATCTTTGGTGTATTGCAGTAATGCATCAGATGAAAGTCCTTGCGAACATTCATAAATTCCAACAAAATCCTCCGATACTTCGTAATTATCATCACAGGTCCTTACGGAGAAAGACAACTGTTCTTTCTTAGATACGTCTGATGATTCGTCAGCTAGAATTGAAAATGATTCTCTCACTAGAATTTTATTAATCAAATGTCTTCGAGCATTTAATACAATCATCTGTTTCTGCTCGTCCAGGATGTCGTGTGCATTTACGTATCGGTTCTCGTCAAGTAAAAGTTTTAGTGCCTTGTCGTTGATAGCTTTATCAAGATTGAACTGATGAATATTAGATTCAAAATCCGTTCTACCTCTAATCGCAATACCTTGGCGTAAGAGGGTTTTTAATGTTTGAAGATGTGAAATTAACCCTTTCCGTCTTAACTGCTGCGTTTCAAGAGCAAGCGAACTGCAGGCTATGCTAATGAACAATTGCCCTTTGTCTGATGTTGCACAAGCTTCTTTATGAGTATAACTGTTTTCATGTTCGTTGAATTTCTCACAGCCTTTTTTCCAGTTATCAAATCCAACTTCATAACTGCCAAACGCTCCCTTTATCTTAGAGTGAGTAGAACAAATTTCGCAAAAAGCCTTATTTTTTTCTCGATTGTACACTAGCCACTCATAATTTCGTAACCACTGACCTTGGAAATATCGACCATGCTTCACACTGCTTTCCTTGTCTTCACTTGTAAAGTCTTTCTCATGTTTTACCCATGTCGTTTTCACGCATATCTTTTCTGATTCACCAATCAGACTTTTCGGTTTGGACCATTTTTGTGTTTCACAGTCTGAGGCTTTTTCAGTATTGACAGTTATTACAGTGTCAATTCCGCTTGTTGAAGCAGAATCAAAATCATGGCCTGTGTTTCCTTTTGCAAACAGCGATGTTATTTTGGATTGACCTGGTTTAGCCGCTGCTTTCGCTAATGCTTTTGCTGAATCTTTTTTACATCTTTCTGCTCTTGACATTGCAGAAAAAGCGATAAGATGCAATAAATATCCCTTTCAAAATCATCAGTGTTTAAGTGACTGAGCCATTTATGCCAGCAGATGTTTACGCTATCTATTAGAGTTAATTATTTACATGTTATTTATACTATCGGTAATTATATAAGTCGAGCTTTCCTTTACGTCATTAGCAGTACTCACACTTTCATTGCGTTTCAAGTTCTTACGCGTTGCAACAAAAAAGAAGAACTAAACAAACAAAGAACTTACAAAACGTACTTAAAACAAAGAAATGTTAAAGGAAAACTAACATAGTTACGACAATTTTATTGCTAAGCTAAAAAGAATGCAATATACCACAACGTTTAAGTAGTCTTTATCTTGGATTAAAAGCAATAAATTTTCAACCTGTAGGGCACTTTTGCCCCCCCTGCCCACCTCCAGAAAAGGCAAGGGGGGCGGCTGCCCCCCTTGCCCCCCCAGTTCCGGCGTCCCTGTTTAGCGTTCGGATTAGGCGTCCAAGACATATTGTACTTGTTGTACTATCACTACTATTTGAAAATTTTATTACGTAAATTGAGACAACATTTTCCTGGTCTTAAGCACTTTAAACTATGACGACAAATTTTCAGACAAACCAATTATTTCCTAAATATCATCTTCACCAGTTGCTACCAAAAAGCAATATCGGCGATCATGTAAAGACACAGTTCTCCACGCAAAAGGATTCTTTAAGAAACTCTTACAAGTGTCAAGGAAACATGAACTTGTAGTATTATTTTTCCATCTGTTAAAATGTGACTTCAATACGATCGGAAATATACGTACTCGACTTAATGGTCATTGTTTGCACTCCATTTCTCTTCCATTTGACTTGGTGCAAGCAAAATTTAAGACGTTTTTCTGTTTTGCGTAAATTAGTAAACACATAACACATTCTCTTGCACGAATTTAGATTTTAGTTCACTTTCAAAAGGTGGCTTATCTCTTCAAAAACTCTCGAAAACCCAGCACACTCATTGAGTTCTATAAGACCTGGAGGGGAAACGTCAACCAAATTACTATAAATTATTAGCGCGCGGCCGCGTGGTCAAAAACATGGCGGATTTTGGTTGTCAAAGTCAGCGGAAAGACGCGGGCTCATAAAATGAAATTTTTTTCGCCCACCCGGATTTGACAACCACAATAGCGATTATATAAAATATCAATGCTAAACACAAAAACTTTTAGAAATTTTATCTTTAAAACATGTTGCAAACTTGTTTGGTAGACGGATGCTGAAGTAATGCCAGAAAAGGAAACATTTCATGATACCGGTAAGCAACGTAAGATTGTTTACCATTTAAAGTGTTCAGTGTTTTGTTTTAAGTCAATACTTGAAGTGTGATGGTATATATTTTGTGAATGTTTTTTACTTCTAACTTATAATTTAAGTTATGTATATCCAGTCTTATTTGTTATTTACTTAATCGCTTGCTGGACGAGGCAAAGCAACCAGTTCTTATCGAGATATGCATATCTTAAAACTCCTTGTTTCAACTGAGTTGAAATGGAGGATTTTTTCATGATATTTTTCTGAAAATATGAAGCAAATATTAAGGACAGAGCTGTATTGAAATCAAATGCAGTGCAAGATTAATTAATGAGCTCTTTGGTACATGTCGTACAATAAAAAATACCTGTATTAAACAGCTAGCCTGGACAATTTGACAGATTATGGACAATCATGATGATGGTGTGTAATGGTTTGCTTTATGCTAAAAGTTTTATGAATGCCATCTGGTGTTTCTGTAAATGACATGTTTGTTACACAGTGTAGTGAACAGGTTAAGTACATCAAAATCAAGATAAAAACTACTTTGTTCAATAATGTGCCAAATTTTGCTCCTACCTTGAAATATTTGCTCAAGCAAAGCTTATCATGACATGCATGAAACATTAAATACAGTACTGCATCATCTGACAAAGTCCATATGTTTTTCAATTCCAGGTGATTAAAAATTCACATAAGATGCATTGGTTTGCCATGAAGTTGAATGTGGAAGAAGCAAAAATTGATGACAAAGAACTTTTTATGTCTTTTGAAGAATTACGATATCATTTAAAAGAATAAGAGTAGCAATCTAGTAAAAGAAGCCACATCGGCCTTCAACATGAGACTTTTCCAATTATGTATAGTTATTTTGTACAAAATACTATTTTAGATAAACTTGATTTTTAAGTCATTTACTGATATTTTTACCAAAAGACAAAAACAAAAATTCCAAGGCATAATGTAAAATTCAAAAATTTGTCAAGTTGTTTGAACCTAGAAAAAATTAGTATAGGTAACTGTAATTTGTAAGGACACAAGAGAAAAGTAGTGCAAGAAGGTTAGCATTTTTGAGAGTTAATAAGTTCTTGACATACATTACACAAGGCCATAATATTATAAATAATGTCTGTATAATAACAATTATACAACATGCTAAATATCTTCACCTACATTATAATTATTTAAACAGGTTTGCCTTCATGCAGCAATAAGAAAAGTGTTGTGTCAGAGAAACCAATGCACTTTAATTTAAAAATCGTATTTTCAATGGGAAATTAATGTAGTTCTGTTCAATAGTAGATCCATGGTTGTCAATGACAATCCAGTTACTAATATCTTGGCTCAAAACAGAACCAGCAACATGATTATAGAATTTCTGAATTTCGTTCTTTTGCTCTCCTAGTTCGAGATATTTTCTTCATAAGTTCTCAGTAGATTTATCAGAATATCATAATACCTTATAAGACACCCAGAATCAATCCTACCAAAAAAAACTCAAAAAAAAATACATACCTACTTATAATATATTTCCAGTCGACTTAAGTCGTAGGGGTAAGCTAACTTTTTCTAACTCCTTTTTGGACATTTTAACTAATATTTACCCATCTATTCAAGAAAGACAGTTGCACGAAGCTGTTAAAAAATAGTCAAAAACACAAGTATTGCGCATGGGATTATGCATTAAAGCTTAACGACACATTGACAGTGTAAAGAATGCCGTTTGATATTTATTTCTAACATAGCTAAAGCATTACTTGACAAAACATACGTTATTTTACAGTAGATTTACCTCATTTAAATGTGTGTGTCTATTTCACAAAAACCTGAAGCATTATTTTCAATATTTTATGCTTACGGTATCGTGGTTGTTTTCGCTGGTTGTCATTGATATAAGCAGTAATACAGTTCCGGATTCGGGAGGGAGCGAATGTTAAAAATTTTTCTCAAAGTGGAAGTTTTGACAACCAAAATCCGCCATTACCGCCATGTTTTTGACCACGGGGTCCAGGCCCCTTTGTCCCTCCAGGTCTTATAGAGCTCAATGAGCACACTGCCATGACTCTGCACCAAAAACTTGCAATACCTCATGTAATGCTGACCAATTTCCATTCACGTGATTCAACACAAACGGTAATGGCGGCTAACGAGATCTTCAAAAAAATTCTATTGACAAAAAAACAACTACAGATGTTATTCCTGATGAAATTTGGAACACTTTTCTGTTTAAAGGAATGTTTTAAACAAAGATAAGACTTAAAAAATGTTTTCGTTCGTCAAACAAACCGAGAAATTTTTGAAGTGAAAAATGTAATGTAAAAAAAGTTGTGTTTCTCCTTCATCTTCAGGTAATTAAAAGCTTGCATAATTTCTTTATTTGTAATGAGAGAATTTTATAAACAATATTTTGGTTGTTAGAGCAATGTTTTTTGCTAAGTTACACAGAGAAAAACATTTTTCTATTCAGTTTCAAAAAATGAACAAAAAAACGCAAATAATCATAAAAAACATCTTTTTCTTGTTTTCAAAGCACTGCATGCAGCCAAATTCATACTTAAACATTTATGTTTTTTTGATCATAAACTATTTCTAAACTTTACCATAACTCTGTTAATCACGAACAGTTGGTCAAGTCAACTACGCATGCTCAGGTGATATTTCTCATATTACGTGACTGTAAGCCAATTACTTTGAAAACAGGTGCAAGTTCATCCAGTTGGTCATTTCCATGATTATGAACTGAAGCAATCTCTCCAACATGTTGCGTATGATCAAGTGGACTTGACATATTCCGATGATTTTTCTCAAATAATTTGTAATCAAGCAAACAGCGCAAGAAGATCCAGTTCATTCAAATGAACTCCATTGGTAAGTCGAGGAAACCGCGCACGTTTTCGTTCAAATATTATTGGCAGGTTATCTTTTTAAGCAATTAAATGACACAACACGCGTGGCATATTTAGATAAACTTGTTTTGTTTTAAACTGTTTTAGTGTTTGCCTAAATGAATACTTTCGTTCAGATTTAAAATCTTCGGAAAATTTTTTGTTTTCACCAAATTCACCGTTTTAAACAACGAGACTTTAAGATAAACGAGGAGCAGATGTCAAGAGTGCCTGTTTTTATTCAAATTTATAGATATCGGTAAGAGAGCTGACAGCAGCTTTATCCAATGAAATGGAGGTCTGTTGATACAATTTAATATTCCACCCACTGCGCTTGTATTATTCTTGCATTGACGAGTATCGTATCACAGGAATTTTTGTACTGTAAACTGCTATGTCTTGGACGCCCAATCCGAACGCTAAACCGTTTTATCCGACAAATATTTCCCATAACTTTAACACACCTTGTTTTCCACGAGCTTGGAATTTTTGCCTGAAGAGATTAATAAGGAAATGTTTCAAATGGCTGCTCATGTTCATTTTGATTTTAACAACAATGGTGAATGTCTTATTTGTTATGAACACTAAACCCAAGGACAGAAATGATCTATACGGACTTCCAAATCATTATAGAAAGAATGGACAGATTGAAGAGAAGAGAGCAATTAATATGGGTAAGTACATTGACAAGCATTTCTTTGTTGCTCACAATTGCTTAGATAGTAAATGATTTGTTCGATATAAGCTGTTTGCCACGCGAAGATGCAATGTTTCCACTTTTAAGATATGCTCTCATATTCTTCCTGTGATTGGTAAAAAATTAAGTCAAGTGTAAATAACTAAATGATTATTTTAAGAGATACTTATGTGCAATAATCACAATAAATTTTATAGCTTTCCGTTGATTGTAAATTAAACATATTTAGTAAAGAAACAGATATATCCATACGTAATATCTTGTATAAATAGAAGTCGTTTAATCATTATAAGATAGAGTTATTAACTAATGTAGAGTCACGTTGGTTCGAATAACAGACATAAAAAGTAATCTGTGTTGAAATGAAGCCTTTTAAAAATTTTGTTGTTACACCACTGAGACTTTGAGTGCATTGTTTAATTATTGTAACTTCACCACCGGCCAACTAACTAACACATCACGGTGAAAATGAAGAAAAAATTTTACCCAGTTGTCATTAAGTTTTTTGTTTACGATATTTTCACTGTGCTGTTATTTGGTCTATCGCGAAGTTATATTTAATCGAGTTCCAGTGGCGTAACTCTGATTTCTTTGAAATTCAAATTACTTTCAAACATTTGGTATGTAGGTATAACTCTGTGCAAACACAAAGAACATCTTTTATCTCTTAAGTGTTTAATTTCAAATTCAAAATACTTTATAAACAAAATTATTTGGTTATGAATCTCCTAAAGAATAAAATTTCACCAATCAAGGTGTTTCTAAGGTATTTGGAAATATATCTATCAGCAATAGGTGCAGTAATTCATTTTAATTTAGATCAGTCATTTTTCAACGATTAGCGATAAAGAAGATTTTAAAGAGCCGGCTTTCCGACTTTCAATAAAGCCTTTTGCAAACACAATAATTAACGCAATCCATTTTTTAGATTATTTAAAATCAAGGAACGCATATTTCTCACAAAGTAGCAGAGAAATTGCGGCTACCCATTAAAAGAGTTTACGGCGGATTTATTTTTATAATAAGAAAACTACTATTGAGTTCGCTTTTTACACGAAACCTCATTCATCATTAGCAATAACGTTAATAGCTACTGAACAAACACAAAAATTAAAGAAAGATTCTTGAAGTTATGAAAATTAACGATATGTCTTTATGTTACAACTTCAATGTCCATTGCACAATCAACACAAGTTGCTTTTCATTTATTTTTTCATCAAATGCACTTGAAAAGCAAAGGAAAGAGAGTGTCAAAAAAGTCTTCTTTTATAAACTTATTACATCTTCTTTCTAAACGTAATCATTGGATTGGTGATCCTGTTTGATTTAGATTCACATTTCTCCCCCATAGTATTTTAGAAAATATTAAACAAAATGCTTCAGAGGAATTTTTTTGTTAATATAGATGATAAAGATTGTTGTAAGATAATCAACATTGAAGTTCACTCCAGTAAAGATAATGTATATGTATCAGTGAATGGAACAAAGGTATATAAAACTTTCTACATTTGTCAATGCTTTTCTCAAAATTGTAAGTTTGTATTACTACATTCAATTTCAAGTTGTCTTCAACACATATTTATCAGTGGGTGGTTAAAAATAAGAATTATAGATAAATAAGCGATTAAAATGTATGGTTTGAACCCAGGAGTACCGTTACACTTTTATATAAAGATCGTTCAAGTTAGTAAATTTATGAGAAGGACTTTTGAAGTTGATGTTGACTACAGCTCTAAGTTTGTCAAAACGTCAGTCAACATCGACGGCAAAAGTCTTCAGGACTCCACCGTGGACGATCTATATCTACATACATGTAGTAAATTGTATATTCAATACAAGGTAATGGAGGAAGAGACTTATACAAGTGATGCAGGTAGAGGTATCCACGTCACTGTTCTTCATCAATCAACTGGAGCAATGATGGCAACGAAAGTATTTGATACATATATGTCAAAACAAGAGAGTGCTAACTTGGTTCTTTTTTTAAATATGATTTCCGATGGACGAATTTTGTGTTTTGCAGTAAAGGTAAGTTTGCTAAATTAACATTTCCACAAAACGTCGTTCATCAGTACCTTATATCAATTTCTTAAACTTTTCCACAAAAATGTTGTTTTACATTTATTTTTCTTCTACTCAAATGGACTAAAATATTCGTCTTGGTTGACAAAAACATTATTATGAAAGGTGTAAATATTTTACGCGCATGAGGGAATTTTAGATTATATAAATTACAATCAATGCATCGTGTCCTTGAGAAGACGAAATCAAAGATCGCCATATTTATCAGATATTAATTTAAAATATTTTATGCTTTATAGGATGAAATTACACTTAACTTAGAGAAAACTGCTCGAGATTTGCTGAAAAGTCTTGGTAGTGTTTATGTTGATGAACTAAAATATAGGGATAGCTGGTCATTTATCGTCACAAAACGTGGCCAGAAATACTCAGAGAAACATCACCGCACAACAGACACATCAAACTGGGGTGAGCCTGTCACTGCTCGTGCTACAGTTAATCTTGTTCCTGCTAAACAATCTCAATGTGCTTGGGATGACAGTGAAGAATCAAAGCGAAGAAGAATGTTTTGTGATAAGTTTGAAGGCTATGGAAGTTTATGCAGTTGTAAGTATCTTTTCGTTATATCCATGTAGGATTAGATTTCTTATTTAATTGAACGTACAGCGATGTGTTCAGTAATTTTGCACATTCACATTGTGCATTTAAACTTCGAGAAAATATTCTGAGAATACTCCACGAAAAAAATTGTAGAAATAAGGATATCACTGTTATTGCAGCTAATGTTAGAACGATATGAAGAACTGACAGAATATGTTCTTAAATGTTGTAGGTAATAATCCTGCTCCAATTGAAATTAAAACAACACCGTTGAAGTTAGAAAAAGTTCAAGACATTCCTGTTGCTGTGATTGCTAGTAACAGGCCACATTACCTTTATCGTGGCTTACGTTCAATGTTGTCAGCTCATGGAGCAAAGAAGGAGTTATTTACTGTATTTATTGATGGTTTCTTTGAAGAACCAGCTGCTGTGGCAAGGCTGTATGATGTAAAAGTCGTGCAGCATATTCCTATTAGCTGTGGGATATCTAGAATAGCACAGGTTGGTAAGGCTTTTTCTTTGATAGTGTTTACACGATGAAATCAAAATTCCATCGTTCCTTTTATTACTTTTTAAATGTATTTTCTCTTCCTCCCAGCATTACAAGCGAACACTGACAGAGACGTTTAATGCTTATCCCAATGCTCGGTATATGATTATTTTGGAAGAAGATTTAGACGTATCTGTGGACATATTCAGTTATTTTAATCAATTGTTGCCTTTAATGGATACAGATGAAAGTCTGTACTGTATATCGGCGTGGAATGATCAGGTTTGTTATAAACGAAAGCTAACAACATTCTTTTCATCTTTTAAGTCTTTTACTCTATTGTTGGCTTGTGTTTGCTACACAACAAAATTTCAATTCGTTTTCAACTTTATTAACGTGGTTTTGAACGTCTCTGATTCTTTTTGCTTTTTTTTCGAGTCTAGTTTATCTCTGACGAGAGTGTAGAATGTAAATAAAATCTCAAAAGAATGTCCATGACATAGTTTGTTTTTGAGAGTTTCTCATTGCCTTCTTCGATTCTAGGTGTTTTCTCGCGAGAGTGCGGAAATGTTCAATCTCAAAACCTTTTTCTGCAGTAAAAATCTTATATTACCTTGAATTTTTGGTTATTACAATTGCGTTTGATATGGTTCAGTTCCTTGTGTGTCACAAAATGGATTAATAAAGAAATTATTTCTAATTTTTAGAGTTACAATCACACGTGTAATGATCCTGCAATGTTATACCGTGTAGAAACAATGCCTGGTTTAGGATGGTGAGAATTTTTATTACAACCAATGATTTTGCTAACACGAGAGAAAAATTCTCGTTTTACTTAAATAAGATGTTCGATGCTCATAGAAAAAATATTTATTTTCATCCTCAGGTTACTAAAACGACGTCTTTATAAAGATGAACTTGAGCCAAAATGGCCCAAACCTGATCATTTTGCAAATTGGGATGAATGGATGAGGATTGACAGGATCAAGAAGGGACGTGAGTGTATCATTCCGGATATTTCAAGAACGTATCATTTTGGCGCTAAAGGCCAGCATATAAATAATGTCCTTCAAGAATCTCTTTTCAAGACACGCAGTTTAAATACTGTCGCTAATGTTAAATTTAATGTTCGTTTGCTAATAAAGAAGAATTATGAAAATGAGATCGAACGGTTGACCAGGTGAATTTTCAAGAATATATATTGACATTCCCATTGTTCAGTTACCAAACAATTTTTTTTCTTTGCAAATGGGTTGTACTGTTTTATTGTAGGTTAGCTGAGCCATTGAATCACAGTAAAAATCCTTGTAAGAACGAGACAGATTTTGTTCCAGAAACATCCGGTAAAACATATATATTGTATATTGAAATGAAACATGCTAAAGACTGGACAACATGGAATAATATAGCGACATGTTTACGAATCTGGAACTTAGATGCTCGAGGATTTCACAAAAGTATGTGGAGATTATGGTTAAAGGGTAATCACGTGTTAATTGTTGGATCACCGGCTTCACCTTACGCCAAACATAAACCAATTAACGTAAAACCTATTTTCATTCCATCAAAAAATTAAAGGGGATTTATTAGTTGCATTAAGATCTTTAAAGCGGCTATGAAACGAAATTTTACCATGTAGTTTCTGATTTTATTGCACATAGAGCATTTGATTGAAATGACGTAATATCTTCATAAATAGATTTACTTTATTTTACTTCTTGAGATATTTCACTTTATCATCGTGTAGAAACACCACTGCGACATCACATTACATAATAACATTTCAAAGACCACAAATTTTTCGTATCTTAAAAACATTCATTTTGCATGTACAACATTTTAATAAATAAAAATGAGTAGATGTATACGCGATCTGATTTCGACAGTGAACAGGAAGCAATTACCACATTAGATTTGCAAGAAAATTCAAAGTGTACTCTGGAAACTTTGTGTATACAGTTGGAGTATTGTGAGAAGAGTACTCTAAGGAATGTCATTGACGATGTATAGTACAAGGACCAACAGAGAATGTGGTGGGTGCTCCGTGAGGGTGTGGAGCAATTAGTTCACGTTCATTCACAGGTAAAAAAAATGTGAACAATTTTCGTTTAGCTCAATAAATATATATAAAGACTTATTATTTGCTATTTTTCTCTAATTTTTGCCATTAGGGTATGATTCAAGGTTAAAGAGTTTGGTCTTTGGATACATTGCAAAGCTCCTTTTGGACTTGTAAGTTCCTTTTCGTTGAATCGCAGTGTCATGAAGAAAGTTACCCTTCTTTGAATACGTATTTGTTAAAGCAATGATTAGTTAGCTAGCCTGCTTGAAAACTTCCACTCAAAGCTTCCACTTGAAAAAATGAAGATCATGAGATAAACAAGCAATAAAGAGACGAAGAATTTATAGCTACTGTCTTTCAAAGTCAAAAACTTTGTATAGATGTCTATATCGGGAGAGCCTTAACCAATGTTTAGCACAGCAGCTACTTGGACATCCTTTTATCTCTCCAAATCCCATGTTGCACGGTTTAAGCAACATCACTTCAGACGAGCTTGACGCTGAAAAAGATCAAGGAAGAAAACATCATAGCTGTTATGATGGAGACGAGTATCCTGATTTGATGCCTATTCTTCTCGGCTACGTAGCGAGAAATTCAAGAGTTCGGAATGAATTTGAGGTATTGCAAATGCTTGGAAAAAGGAGGGTTTGCTTCAGTTGAAAAGGTAACTTTTTATTACATACAACATCATTTAAATAGACGGTAATTTGGTCATGTGATGGAAATTTTGTACGTGATTTGGAAATGCGCTTAGTTATGTAATATATTAGAGGGCTGTCTCTATGCTATATGTGATCAAAGGAATTCCTTTGAATCGGAAAAGTGTGCTGTTTAACTGCAAAGTTACTCGAGAAGAGAGGTTTCTTTCTAGATTGAATCATGAAAATATTGTAAGGTAAAAGGAAATTCACTACCCAAAATGAATCAAAATTTTATATCAGGCGAGGTTCAAAGTGAGGCTCAGTTTAGACGATACAAATTGCTTGGCTTATTAAATGTTATCTTTGTAGAAACTATTATAACAAAGTAGATAATCCCTTTTTTCTATGAAGCCCATGGATGCCTTCGTTCATAATGAGAGAGTCATATTGTATAAGGAGGATCTCGTTCATCACGAGTTAGTTATGAGAAAGTTACATTGTAAAAGGTAACAAGAAAAAAACGTATAAACAAACTTAGAGTTGGTTTATTTTATAAGTCAAAAAGACAGAAGTTGTTTGAACCTCTGCAGCACCCTTGGATGTTCTAGTTTCTTTTTTTGAGAAGAATTCTTGTAAAGAAAACAGACAAATTTTGAAAACAGACAGCACTAGAGCGTCGCATGTTAAAGGAACCAGATAATCCTTGTTTGCAATGAAGCCCTTGGATGGTGTTCTCGTTGTACATGAGAAACAGTAAATGAGTGAGTTGAATCAGAAAGATATAAATCAATAATAATTGTATAAAACATGTCGAATGTTATCTTGAATTATAAGTGTTAGAAAAAGGCTTAGGGTCAGAAGAAGTTAATTGAAATTTGTGCGTACACATATGCACTTAGCAAATTTTCAATCATATGTTTTTTGCATGCTCTATGTCTTCTTAAGCTTGTTTTGACAAATACATTTTTGTTTAAAGTAAAAGAAAAAACATAAAGGTTTACAAGTATTAATACACTTTTGTTGTGATTATTTTCTTATTACGTAACATTGTCTTATTTTATCTAATTTTATGTTTTATTTCTTTTATCTATTTTGAATACTTTTTACCTATTTTATATTTTTTATCTGCTTTATCTGTTTAATCTATTTTCAATCTATTGAGGAACATGGGACCCAAAAGTCACAACTTTGTTGGGAAGATTCCAGAAACTGTCTTGTTAATGTTTAATGTGTAATAAAAATGGAAGCTTTGCAAGTGAAAGTATACTTCAAAGTGGATTGATACAAAGTTAAGATTCGATTCAAATATCAATCTGTTTTTTATTTGTTTATTTTGGGTCAATGTATTTGACAGAATACCAACATGTACGCAATGCGTACCCATTTTTCTAGTTGAGGAGAATTCTTTTAATTTATTCGTAAATCATATTATAATAAATTTTATTGCTCATTGATCTCCCGGTGTACGCAGTGTTCATACTAAATACATCCTTATTATTTGGACTGTTTTTTATTTGTTTCCCATGCTTTTGATGAGGGATACAGCAGTATGTGTTTTACGTGATGCAACTTCCCTGCTACAATCACACTTCTTGTGTTTTGAACATTTAAAAGAACAAAAGACCATGATGCATAACTAATATACATTTTATCGATTTTACAAAGTTTCAGTAGTAAAGCTAAAGATTTTCATCATGAAAAGCATAATTAATTATAGAACGTCGGAAAATGACGGCACTCATCGTTAAATTTCGGAGATTGTCATCAACATGGCGGATTTTGATGGTGGTGGTGTTGGTCAAGAAGACGATGTTACATTACCTAGAGGTAAAAATTACATTTATGCTTGTTTAGTTAAAGTTTTCGGTATTTAAATCAAACCACTATTAAATAAAATATAAATTTCACCTTAAGGCCGCATGATAAAGAAGATATTATGGCTTAGTTTGTGAAAAATGTTCAAACAAGTCTGAACATCAACAATCATGTCTATGTTTTTGTTTGCGATATCTCGAAAGGTTTTGAGTAATGAGACGTAAAAAGTATGAAAATAAACACACACTTTGTGACTGCATAATTTGGCTGTGGTTTTTCATAAATATTTATATTTTATAACTTTATTTACCTTTCTAAGTTTTAACTTTCCAGCTGCTGTGAACAAATTGATTAAAGAAATGATTCCCAATGTTCGAGTATCCAATGATGCACGAGAATTGATCTTGAACTGTTGTACAGGTATTGCTTAAATTTTATGTCTTTAGTGCTTGCAGCAATCTAGTGTGTCATAGTAAATATGCCTTAGAGTAAACTTCTATCAAACTTAACTGGCTAAAGTAGGATTTTGGTTGTAAGATGATCAGTATTTGACTGGTTAATTTTTATCCATACTCCCTGTTAGACTTTAGGATTTTTTATGGCACTGACATTCATCACTACGTATTTGTTCTTTTTTTGCATTTTTATGTAGAATTTATCCATCTTGTATCATCAGAAGCAAATGAAGTTTGCAAGCAAAGAGCAAAGAAAACTATTGCTCCAGAACATATTATTGATGCTCTGAAGGTGTGCTTGTATTTGCATTCATATTTCATGTATGTAGGAAATGAACAATGTTTCTTCGAGCAACAATCTTTGCATTGTAAACTTTGCTAAGGCAGCTAGTTTAAAGATAATTTTCTTCCATACTGAAAATGTTCAATTTCTTATAGAGTTTGGGTTTCACTTCATACATTCAAGAAGTGGAGTCTGTTTATACAGATTACAAAAAACAAGCAATTGTAAGTGAAGAGAACTTTATGATTTTGTTTGCATGATGAACATTTCAATGTTGCTTTTTCACCTCCTCAATTTGCCATCTTCAACCAAGTGATATTTGTTGATCTTTAGAATAAAAGACGAGGCAGTAATCGGTTGGAAAACTTGGTAATAAATCGTTGACAAAGATTTTGCAAATGATGAATAGTGTTAATGTTCCATTTGAATTTACAATTACATTTCTATAGAAAACAATCTAACATGTTGGTGATGGTTTCTTTATTAGGGAATACCAGAAGAAGAATTGTTACGGCAACAAGAAGCATTGTTTGCACAAGCTCGGTTGGAACAAGCTCAGGTAGAAATATACTTTATAAACAAATTGGTCATAGCAAGTTTTATATCTGACTTCTTTATTCATGAACTCAACTCAAACTTTGCCTTTAACCAAAACTTAACCATCAGTTATTATAATTTTTAACAAAATAACATGGTTTGCATATTCAGACGTCATATGATGATATATTTTCATTTGCAGGTCGAACAAGAACAGTTTTTACAAGCTCAAAGTGTAGCAGCACAAACATCCAGTCAAACAACATCTATCCCAATTTCTGTATTAACATCATCTGTAAACAATGCTCAGTCTCCCAATCTACCAACTCCATGAATTATCATGTATGTAGTAGATATGTAATATTTATATAATAATTTCTATGTGTTAAAATGAATAACTTGATATGGGAATTTATCATGTTTTTACACAGTACTTGGTTCATTCTCTGCTCAGTACAAAAACTGTTGACTTGAGCACAAAAATGTGCCATAAAGTCTATACCAAAACTCATGCAAAGCAATGGTTGGTGTGACTTGCTAATTGAAGATTTCCTGCTATTGTTTCTAGCAGTTAGAAAAGCATCTTGTGTATGAAAATGTCTTGCTCAATGGTAACAGTTAAGTTTGAAGATGTCAGACATGCTAGCTGTTAGCCTTAGAATATTATTACACTGAACTAAATTGAATAAGAAATTGTAACAACGTTATATTTTGTGCGTTTCTTTTTCACAACACAACTTTTATTCCCTTTATTTTATTTTGGATCGTCATCTTATTTGGTCTCCACAATAATACCCCCAAAAATGGTTCTATATATTTTTAATGGAGTATGTTTGAGGTAAGATAATTCATCAAACATCGCCATAATTATATAAAAAATATATTATATCATGTATGTTTTAGTTTAAAATTAATTGGAGCTTCCCGATTTATTTGTAGAGTCACAAATATATCCAATCGAAGACATCTCACTATTTAAAAAACGTGATATTTCTTCCAAGTCTCGTCCACGTTTTTCAACATCTTCAGCCTTTGTCCATGACAAGTCATATTCAAGTTTGTAACTGCCCATAAAATGATGTGGACATGAATTTCCCCATTCCTTAACAAAAAATCAATCATTAAATGTTTAAATTTACAAACCTAAACACAATTTGTAATCATGACAATCACTAAACTTCCAAAGACATGTAATTGAATGAATGAATGAAAATCTTTATTTTGACACGCTGGCCTTGTCAACTGGGGTTGATTTCCACAAGGTGCGTGCTTTTGTTCAAAAACAATTACAAAATTTACTAAGAAATAAATTATCTACAAAGAGAAGTTTAAATATTTACACAGTTTAGTTTATTCCATCAGTTACATGTTAAACTAAATCATAAAATGCAAGCAGCAATTTTCTTTTGAAAAAGTGACACGCTTTTGCTATTTCTGATTAGCAATATAAGGTTGGAAATATTCCCAAACAAAAAATATATTCAGTTAGGCAAGTGTGCCAGAACTATATGAATGCTAAAAAATATTGTAAATTGACTTTGTTTTTCACATCATGTGAGGTATTGCAAAGAGAATATTAATGAAGTAAAAATGTTTGTGATGAATAAATCTTAGTTAGCATATTAACAATGAAAAGATGTACATGTAATTTACATGTTATAGTCAACAGCCATAACACCAGTTACTATTTCTTTACCTCTGGTGATACCATAGAAAAATAAGAAGTGTCATCCTTTCTACGGTAGAGATAATACATCTTTCCTGGTATTTTTTTAAAGTTACACGCTGCATGATGAAGTAAAGCATTTTGTTTTGCATCTTCAAGAACTTTCTTTGCCTAAAAATTAAAAAAATTCTTGTGCATCTAACCATTACTATCTAAATTTCAATAGTGGAATGAAATTTCAAAGTAGGCATTACACTATTAATTGTTAAATAAATTATGTTATATAATAATTGCATTATACAATAGCTTGATACAGGATATATAGCATTATACAATAGTCCATCGTCACTACAAGGCAGAGCACTCTATCACAGTAAGTACCTGTTCCTGAAGATGACGAATTTGTTCAGCAATTACAAGAAGCTTGTTTGTGGCAATACATTTCACAAAGTCATCAGCTTTTTGCACTTCTTTAGCCAGGGAAACTATGTCTGTAGGATCTGATAATCGATGAACTGTCCTTGGGTCAACCAATGATGAACTTATTTCAGAAGGGCTAACAATATGGGCTACACCTTCAGAAAGGAGAAATAATTTCAAATGTTTTAAGGAGAACTGTTGAAAAAGACAAGTTTACTATCATTTGAGAGAAAATAGCTAATAATTGTGTAAAAAACCTAGTTATAAAGTTAACATTTGATAAATATTATTTATTTAAAATATTTTTTTATGCATTAAATAAATTTAAAAAAAGCTAGTTCAGTACAATAATATACCGGTCATTTAAAGCAATTTACCATCTACCTTGCTCTTCATATTTTAATTTATCCAGAGATTCTAAAGCGCTCATTGTAAATTTGACCTTTTTGAAATTTATCTAAGAACAGTTTGGAACTCGATAGTAGGATTTGAAATTGATGAAACATTAAAAACAAGAAATTGTTTAAAACCTTCCTTGTTGAAGTCACTACTAGTTGATGTTATGTAAAACATTTCATACATGACGTAACGTGAAAAACATGAATGTTTGTTGATATTCAATATACCTCTCAATTCTTGTACTTTGTGATTAATTTTAACCTACCAAACTATTAATATACTGCAGACTTTTATATCTGTTGTGCTGTTTTCTTTTATTTTTATTGCATTCTGTATTGATTAGAGCTGGTAAAGTTGAAATCATTGAAGACGACCACCTAACCGGTTAGTTAATGTACTCTCTTGCATTGGATTTTGAAAGTTCAACTAATAAACATTTGTTGTGCATACAAGCCTAATGAATGGTGCAAACCATTGAAATTTTCCAGAAAAGTTATTTATAAAAATATAATTGCCGTTTTCTTTCTTATCAGGCAATTAAATAACTGAAAATGTGTGACCAGCAATGTTGAAGGCAACATCAGAATTTTTAAATGTTTGTCCAAGATGTTTAACGTTGCGTCAATACAGGCAACAAAATAAGTTCTTTCTCTCCTTAAAAGTGGCAAGATTTCTGAGGTAAGTAAATATTTTATTCATTGTTATTTGTAAGAGGTCAAATTATGTTATATCGACTTTCTTTGTATATAGCTCACCCTCTCACTATGATGTGCTAAATGTTCCTAAAGATGCATCACAAGATGAAATTAAAAAGGCTTTTTTTGAGAAATCTAAGAAGGTTTTGACCGCATATATTCAGATTTTGCTAATAGAATATTGCTTTAATAGTTTAATTATCATTTTAAGAAACAGGAAAGAAGTACAATTACCATTTATTTTACAGTTCCATCCAGATGTAAGTCCTAGCAATCCACATCATCATAAGTTTTTCCTAAAGGTATGAATGAATCCTTTTTTCTTGAATAAATTACTTTCTCTGGTTGTGTAGGAGGATATCTAAGAAATTGATTTGTTATTTTCAAAACATCATTCTTCAATTTTAATTGTTGATTTCTTTCAGCTCAATAATGCTTACAGTGTCATTGGAGATAAAACAAAGAGAAAAGTGTATGATGCAAGTCTGAAACCTCAATGGAAACCTTACTCAAGGTGATGTATTTCTTAAAATTATGCTTACAACAATTTTGTATACATACATATGAAATCAAATTTATGTATGAAAGTTTTTAAACAAAAAACAAATTGCTGCACTCTTTGAGTTCTGAATCTTTGATTTTGTCTCTGTGACCTTTTGTACATCCTGGAGCAAAGGATATGTTCCCCCATATTTTTCAAAATCAATCATTTTTCATCAAGAAAATCACTATTTACACCCTGAAGTATCCATTCAACCCCCCCCCTTATCGCCCCACACACTTTTGGAAACATATTTGCAGAGTTGGTGACCTGCAATGTATGATATTTATATTTTCATGATCTATGTGTTTTGTTTACATCATTTCACCATTTAATATGTGATGTAATAGTTAGTAGTTATTGGTCGCTTCAACCATCAAGAATCTGTTTTTGTAACTTCATAGATTGAATAGATTATTAATATTCATCTTACTTTTGAAGTTTGTATCTTTTAGAAAATAAACAATTTGATTTTTCTATTTAAATTCAGAGTTGTGGATTTAAACAAGCAAAGAGCTCATTTCTACTACGACACATACACAGAGTAAGTTGTGTTTTAATATTCTTTCTAAGCATCTTCTTGCAAGAAAGAATGGAAGACCTAGAGAAAGGAACATTATTGTGTTGTTTTATGGCCAAGAGGGATTGGAGATAGATGTTTTTAGGGAATTAGCTGGGAGAAGAAGGACTCGTGCAAAGTAATAGATGGGTTTTTTACAAGAGTTAGACAGTTTTGACACTTTTTTGTACTTAAAGTGAGTTTACAAAAAGTGATTGCACATTCTTTAAACTGGACCTGAAGACCTGAAGATCGTTTTAAAAGAAATTTTCCGTTCACCATCTAAATGTTAGTTCAACTAAGTAGCACGTTTTATTCACGTGATAAAGGACTTGACTTCACAGGGATGGCAGAGCAACATATGAAGTACTGGGGCTAAATCTTCAATTCTACTAAAAATGTCTTAAAAACGCTTATAAACAACGACTTCAGCTCAATCTAAATACATCTTTTTTGTTTAGCTCTTGCAAAAAAAGGGGGACTTCATACCCCCACCCCACCGGTTATGGCGTCCCTGCTTCACTAAAACTGTGAATTTTCTGTAGCCATGATTCCCAGAATGACGCCAAACAATCTGTGTTTTATCGACGAAATAACAACGAAGTTGCGTTGGTTATAATTGCAATGATGTTGACTGGTGTTGGACTTCGGTTATTATGGTTAGGGTAAGGATTTCATTACTTAAATGTTTTTATAGAATTGTCGATCGAAATCCGCAACAATTTCGTGAGCATAACAGGAAGATTGCATTTGGTGTCGTGATTTATATGATTTGTGGCGCTACTTTATGTTTTATATTTGTTGGGTAAGCCTTTCATGTCACTTACACAAGCATTCTCCTTAAAACGTAAAATAATTCTATCCCTATTAAAAAATTATTATCGTTAAATTTGTGTTCAGTTTCTTTGGTCAGTTCACATTCGGATTTACCAGGAAACCTCAACTGGCTTACTTTATTTAGACGCTATAAATTACTTCAATGTACTTTAATGTACTTTAATGTACTTTAATGTACTTCAATGTACTTTAATGTACTTTAATGTACTTAAAACGTGTATAAAACGCTATTTACAAATGTACTTCAAATGTTTATTGAACGTTATAAAGTACTTCAATGTGTGTTGGCTACGTTTTTGTAATGTTGATTTTCACAGTACTAATCTTTGAACTTTACTCACTCAATAGGTATCGACACAAGCAGTACAAGAAACAGTTAGATATCAATAGTATGAAGGCCAGTAAATTGTATCAAGAATCGAGAGAACGTTCAAGGCAAGCTTGATTTCGTATTTTAAAGACTGTTGAACCATTCTTATACTATGAAAGGCTATCCACACACAACTTTTACTCTTTTTAAATCATATTTTCTCATCTTTTTTCGATTTCTAAGTGACTTTACTTTTTATATATTTTCAGCAAGTACACTGTCAAAGAACAACTTGAAATGTTGGCAAAAAAGCAAGGAAAGATTGAAAAGGAGCGTAACGAATATTTATAAAGACAACGGACATTGAAAGGTTTTACAAACAACCCGTCCTTAATCTTAAAATCATGTTTTACATTAACATATTGTATATAATTTTGTGAAATAAGTAAATTAAGTATTTTTAATGTATCTCGTCAAATGTACTGTCGATATCTTTAGCATGTCAATTGATGGAATGCAAAATGTTTCCTGAAATACAAAATATTATTTTGTTGAAGGTGAAATGTACATATTTGTAAACTCTACAACATTTCTCCTTCTTTTTTTCTTCATGAAGTTTTTTAATTCAATGTATATTTTTTAACTTTTTGAATAATTAAGTTTGTAGAAAAATACTGCAAGTATAGATTTGATTTATTCGTCACGGAAAGGTACGCCATTTCATGATCATGCAATAATGATAACTTTGTACGATGAAGTATTAGTTAGTATAAATCATTGAAAAATGACTTTATTTATCTATTGACATTATTCATACTTTAGTGAATTAACAAAATTCAGTAATTGTTTTTTTATGAACAAGAATTATTAATTTCTTTAAATTGGTCTGCACAGTTTTCTTAACATATTTCTTTTTAACTTACAGGTTAACATATCGTTTATCAAAGATTTTATGACCTGTCAACTTGCTCGTCCTCGTGTGTGTGCTATGGTACAGAAGAAATAATTCTTATCCATGTCAAACATGGACAAGTCTTACACAGTGACGCCATCTGACTGGTGAGTCCATTTTAACATTGGAGAATAAATTTCACTGGGCTTATTGATTTACTTTGAGCTTCTTACACGTAAGATCTAAGAAAGAACTATCTTCTCTGTTCATCAAAATCTTCCTCAGGAACATTAACTTGAGCAGTGGTGGAGAAGACACCAATCAGCGATTAGTTAAAAGTAGATTGTTGATTATTAGTTTGCGATATTTTAGTTCAATTTTATTTCTCATGATGTTTGGATTGTCAAAATTTTATCTTAAATAAACAAACAGTGTCCTATCTCTCTACTTTTTTCTTTAACACAACTGCATTATACAGGTTTTTGTGAAATGATGTGTAAGTGATTTATTATATTTTATATTAGTTTTCACTGTGTGGTCTTTTTCAATAACATCTTTGTTATCAATAGAATCCTTCATATAAGAAATGATGAAAAAATGAAGATAGAACATGTTTTCCTTCAACTTGAGGTAAAGAAAAGGTGCAAAAAAGATACTCTTTATTTTCCCTCATTTATTTTTAGTCGTAGTAAACAAGTTCATGTTTTTTTAATTATCCTTCAACATGCTCATTGTACATAACATCCGTTCCTGGGTTCTCGTTATTGAAACGATGCCTCAAGAATATCCATCAACGGTGTATCATATGGTCACCGCACATCTAGTCTTATGTCAAATTGAGAGTCAAGTGTCATTTTCTGGATCTTATAAAAAAAATACAATCATTAATGATTTTATATTTGCAGGTGTTCCTCTTCCTTTGCATTACTAACAACCGTGCGTGCGTGACCTATTGAAATGATTTTATCCAGTCTTGATCAGATAAAAAAGGTAAGGAAATGTTAATTACTTTTGAAATCAATTACGGATCACGCTGACAAATCAGCGTTGTTTGAGAACTTATCTCGTTTCCAGTCTTTACACTGCTCTCTTCATGACCAGTACCACGCAAAAATATAATCTGAATAATTTGATTGGTTGACAAAGGAAGTTGCTTCGTTTCGCCAAAGTAATTGTCACCAGGCCAATTACTTTTTATTTGTGTGCGCGCGTATAAATTAGCCTAGTAAAAATTCGTTAAAATACTATTTATGTTTATTACTTGTAGTGCATATGTCCTAAATTATCGTTATCAACTATTGCGATTTAAGAGCTGTTTAACTTAATGACCTCCATAGATTTACGCGCATTTTTACTGGCTGATAAAATCAAGTATGCGCCGTATGGAATGATAGATAAGAGTATTGTTTTTGTGACCAAAGAATGCTCTCAATTGCTCTCAAAGTTGTTTGCAAACTCCATTTATCCACAAAGATATTGTCTTAGTTATCGACGCTTTTTCCTATAACAAAAGCTTACCTCTATGGTGTATTAGATGAATTAAAAGGATGGAATTTTGTGCATGTTAGTTTAGAATTTTATAAGTTTTAATTTTGATCGTGGTTTCGAAAGTTTGTTTAACGGTGAAGGGCATGATATTAGTATGAAATATAATATCTTAATGATAAACGAACGTTCGACAGATGGTCGGAGCAAATAGGTTACCTCCCCTGCAATCACTTTTCATTAATAAATGTTCATATTGGCACTTACACTTTGTTTCTTTACGTAAGACTACACGCACGACATTAATCTGGTGTTTTTGAAAATGAGATTTTTCGCTAACATTGCCGTCTTTATTTTGATAAAGATTTTCCTCGCCGCTTTTGTTAAGGTATGTTTCCTTTTTTGATAGTGCTCTCATGAAGTCTGTTGGATGTTAATTCTCGCGGTTTTGTACGAAGTATTTTTACTCATTAAGCAAAGCTGTCAGAGTGCTCGCCTCGCGCGCATATGTAACATTATTTTGTGCAGAGAATACGGCAAGATTACTTTGTTTGTGGTGTAGGTTGTGATAGTTCGAATTCTTAAATTGGGAGAGATAGAGATTGTATAAGGAGTAAAAGATTTCCAATCTATATATGTACTTTTGTATTGTTTTCGTCGTTGAAAAGATAAACATAATCGTATTTTCCATGAATGCTGTAAAATTACGTGCTTAGCTTGTCAGTAAAGTTTGTACAACAATGAAGTTCACATGGGAAGTGTTAATGAGATCATTATTGAACAACTTCCTGAACTCAAATGAACAACTCTTCTACATTAGGTTGCATATAAAGACTATATGGATGTTATATTTACCAATGTGGCTTTTTGATCTCTATAAAACGGATTAAAACAGCTCAACGTGCATATTTATCAAAGTATGTGTTACCTTAGATGGTAAAACACTTAGCATGACAATTGATATCTCTTCAGAAAAATATTGAATGATGCGCTTTGCTTTTTCGCCTCCAACGTTGTCTTTGTAATTGTTAATTTAATATAATTAAAAATAAAGCCTATGGCATTTTGCCTTCTCCACACATTTAATTAAAGTGGAATTTCACCCATGGACCTCAGCAGCGGGTCGTGCAAGACACATCATGTTAAAATAATGAAATGAAATGACCGTAATATTTTGGTCTCTATTCGTCAACTCATACCTGAAAACATGCTTGTCTGCGTTGGATTTTAGGATTGCTAACTTGTTGAAAAAGAAATTTGGCTGTAAAAATGTATTTGACCTTGAAGAAAAAAAGATCGAGTTGATATGTGCTTATCATTCTAACTAGTTGATATGTGCTTTTGTAACTGTGAGATTAGTTAGTAGTGATTAATTTCCTCTCTGAATCCTTTATATCGTGTTTCGCGTCCTGTCGTGTGATAAAGATAAATATTTTTGTTTGCGGAAACTCTAAGATGGAAGGTCTCGTTAGTGTTACTCATGAGTGTAAATGGCATTTTGTATCTAGCCAAAGTTAAGAATTACAAAAATGATTGGTGTTCTATGTATTTAAGACGGACAAATACTTTTGGTCTTCTTAGGCATCGTAAAGTCATTATATCATCATTCATCTATTTGTAATTGGTTAACTTGTTTGTACAGCGAATAGCGTTTGTTTGTTTCCGATTAATTTTCTTTAAAATAATATCCATGTTTGTGTTGTTGTGCTATAATCATTTTAGTCTCTAATGCCAATGATCGTATACTCTGCTGCAAAACTAAACGAATTTGTCAAAATTCACGAGGCAAATTCCAACTCACAACTAAGTAATAATGCTCCCTCTGTCAACCATAACAATGAAAATTATCCAATGGATTAAATTATGCACTCTTTGGTATAATCTGTGAGATAGATAAACATAATCTAAAAATCTCCTTTTATGTTGTTCGTGTAGTTTTTGTTGTGTTTGTTTTGTAAAAGAGGATTGCTTACGAGTTGCTGGTCATCTCACACATTAAGGTTAGCTTTAAACAATGCTAATGGATAAGCGTTGACAGTTCCTTACTGATCTTGCTGTAGAAACTAAAATATTAACAATTCTTAGTTTTCTTCGATATAGTATTTTGAAATAAAACGCGCTAAAGTTGTAAAAAATTCTATTGATTGACAAACTCCAAAATATGGCGGAGCGTTCCGTGATGACAACCTTCATTGATCACAATCTTTTTTTGATTAATGATTTCACTTAAATAAACTTCCATTTAGACGAACGTTATGCATTAGAAGAACACTTTTCACCAAAATATTTACTGTGATTTGAACTTTTAAACATTACAAAATCTACAAGATCTTTATATAAATTAAATTAATATGAATTATTGATGTGGAAACACTGAAAGCCAATTAAACTACTTTGTGATTAGTTAATGTAATCATTACCGTCGTGATGTCATGCCGTGATGTCATGCCGTGACGTCATGCCGTGACGATACAACTTGTAAAAAATCTATGTTGAATTTGACAAGAAAGAATTCTACATCGTAACGTTCTTCATGCATGCGAACCAATAGAAAAAAGGATTGTTTTGTGAAGTATTTTTTTTGATCGTGTATCGACTTTCATTGCACCTCCGTTTAAATAGTCTTGTCTATTTTATTTTGCTTCCCTCTGTTTTGAGATAAATGTTTGTACTTGAAAAATGAAAGGAGGCTCTAATACTGACTGTACGAAACATGCAGTATTTTTATTGTGCCTGCAATGCAATACAGTATATCTTCTGATCGTTGCTTTCGCAAGATTTTACATGTTGTTTCGCAATGTAACATGTTCATATTGCTGACGTGAGATTAATGGAAACATGTTGCGTGCTCTGTTTGAGGTCAGCGGTAATATCATTGCTAAATTCTTCTTTCCTTTATAGGCAGGAAGCAACAGTAACTGTAAGCTTCGTTGTAATGCAAGAGATTTCAGTCATCCAGTGTGTGGCTCTGATGGAAAAACATATCAAAGCAAGTGTCTGCTAAGAATGGAAAAATGTACATCAGAAAAGAGATTGTACATAAAATCAATGGGTCGATGTCAAAGTAAGAAATTATGCGCCATTTTTTGTTCAAGCTAACAGATTTATATGAGATAGAGAGAATAGAGAAATTAAGTTATAGTTCAGGCTAGAACAACTATCTTCAGGTGACAATCTGTAAATATATCTTTGTATAATGAATTGTCTTGTAATTACTCTAGCCCCAAGATCTTGCGCAGAACACAAAAAACGTGCACTGAAAGCTATCAGAGAACGCGATCTCTTGCAAATGGGAATCTTCATTCCAAATTGCAATAAAGACGGCTCGTACACCGGAGTACAATGTACAAGAAACAAGTTTGTTTGTTGGTGTGTTGATGTTAATGGTGTTGAGATTGATAGAACAAGAAGCTCAGGAAGAAAACCTGATTGTCGATGTAAGTTTACTCTCGTTTGTATATTTTCCGTTCCACATGAAAGTTTTAGAAAGGATAGTTTCAAGTAACTCTTGACGACTTTATAGTTAGTTTATGAGAAAATATATCAGTGCTTCCGATGTATTAGGTTGATATCTTTTTTATTTTGTCGTCTTTTGAAATTCTGCAAAATGTGATGAATTTTTTAGATCATAATCATTAAGTAAGTAAATAAAAATGTTCATAGAAGTGTGATGTATAAAGTCATCTCTTTTTTAGATCGTCGAGGTAATCCAAATTTTTCCAATGAACGATATATAAGAATGCTCAAAGGTATTGTGACTATTTTTTAATAATGCCAACAAACTCACTCTTAACGATAAGTTTTGTAATGGTCACTTGACTATTTACAGTGGAATGTTCTGTTGTTACATTATCAAATTACTAATTTCATCACCCGCAGAACAAAAATTATTTCACTTCTTCATTTATATAACTCAAAGAAAATCCAGATAACATAGAGACAATTTTATGATGCTTTCATGACATAACACTATAAACGTAATAAGACAGACAATGACCTTAAGGATATAACAAATATTTTTAAACGTTTCGAGCGAAGGTCCTGAGTGCCCCCCACCGTACGTAATAGTGAAGAGGACTTTGCTGCAAACATTTAACATGCTATGAATAAAATTTATTATTATTAGGTTGCTCAAAAGATCATCGAAATGCCTTCAACAAAAAATTATTACTTGGTTTCAAGAAAGAATTTTCAAAATCATCTACCAAGAGAGGTATGTTCTCCATTGACACGTTGCTCATTTGGGAAAGGCAATTATCGAAAAGATTAATTAGTTAGATTAAAACATACTCATCCATTTGTTGTGGGAGAATAAATGCTTAACTTCAACAAACTTTCAAAGAGTACACTCACAAAGATACTGCCACGTTACTGTCGTCGTAAAATAATGTTTGTCAAGTCAATTTCACTGACTTTACAAACGTTACTTCCATATTGCTAAATCTCTCTAAATGAACGAGAGAGGGTACACAATAAGTTGTTTAAGGAATATATTGTACGTCGTGTAGTTTTATAATGTTTGAAGAACATAAGTCAGAACATGAATTCATGTTCTGATTCTTTGACAAAGCAAATTCTTATTCAAAGACTAAGCGTTATACTCGTAAAAAATGCTCTGTTTTAATGGCTCTTATTGGTTGTAGTAAAAATTAAATGTCACCTATGCTGTCGTATTTTTAAATAAGATTTGCTTTTCACCCTGTAAATATTTAGCTCTTGCGGCCATTATATCTTTTTTTTATAAAGGTAAAATAACGTACAAAGTGATTGCAGAATGGAAGATGAACGAGTTAGATATTGACAGAAACCGCTTTCTGAGTCAGAAAGAAGTGCGTGCACTTGTGAAACGAATAAAGAAAATCTTTACTCCTCGAAAATGTGGCAAAACTTTTTTCCACTTCTGTGATGAAAATAATGATTTGGACATATCTAAGTCAGAATGGTTCGCTTGTCTGGGAATAAAGTTTGAGAAGCCTGGTAATGAGCGTATATTTTTTCAATCCGTCACTTTTGAATCTTAGGAAAAGAATGTAGAATTTACAATAGAAGAGTCTATAACGTTTTTGATTCAGTTGGTGTTATCTTGTAAAAGTGTAATAACAACGTGTTTTTTTTTCTGTTTAGGTGGGCCGAAATGTTTTAGTCATCGAGCAAGAGCAAAAACTGAGCAAAAACAAAATCCATCTTCAATAGTGTTTGCGCCATCTTGCAAAAAGGATGGAACTTACACGATTGTCCAGTGTGAAAATGTTTCAAAATATTGCTGGTGTGTTCATCCCGTCACTGGAAAAAATATTCCCAATACGTCTGTCCAAAACGCCAGACCAGATTGCTCAAGATCTTGTAAGTATTCATATTATTGACTTCCACTATAAACGTTTGTTTCCATTGTGTTGTTCTCTGTCACTAATTCTTCCTATTGCTGTTTCCGTGAATTATCCTGGACATTTTGAGAAACGTAATTTGACGAAGATTCTACGCATCTCTTTTATAGTCCGAAGAACAAAACGACCAACTAGTTCATCGACAATTCTCTTAACTCCCGTGCGAAGGTCTTTTTTCAGAATATCAAAAAATGAGCCTAGAAATGATAAATTGTCCATTCGTGATGTCAATAAGAAGAAAGTCAAAGGTATGCATGCATATGCAATTGTTGTATTGCTACAAAAGCTTTATGAATGAAGGTAAAAATCTCAAAATGGCGAATTAAGCTACGTATATAGCTATCTATAGTGTGATGAACGAGGTGTATACCAATTTCCGACACATTTTTTCATGCATTTTGCTCTTGTTTCTGCATTATAAAAAACTTTGGAATTTTTTGCATAAAATGTCACTTGACAGGTTTGACAAAACCCAACATATACACCAAGATAATGTCAGGTTTTAATGTCGAATACAACAATAATTTCATATTTTTGACTCCAATGTCATCAAATGTCATCAATGAGTTCATTTCTTCTTATCTTTGATAGAATGCGACAAATTAGCATGGCGTAGGTTTCGTCATGAATTTGTCAGGATCATGCGTAAAGAGTTACAAATGTTAACAGAACCTACAAGTGAGTGAATAGCTTCACAATGTTATTTGGAATATAATGATTTTTAATTGTACAACATTTAATGAAAGAAAGGATCTATAGAAAGACGACTGTATTTGAAATTGGATTTTGAATATGGCATAGTTCTATAGCGGTATCTTATGGGTAAGAATGTTACTGTGTGTTTATTTTTAGGAAACTCGTCAAGCCACACATCTCGCAACATATTTTTTGCGATTAGCAGTCGTCTATCGAATACCATGATTGTATCTTGGAAATTTTCGAAACTTGATGTGAATAGAAATAGACTGATAAGGATGGGAGAACTTTTCTCACCGCAAATGAAGAAAATCTTTGGAAAGATAAGACGGGGTAGAAAATGCAGCAAGAAACTTTCAACTCAATGTGATTTAGATCGCAATGGTGGGCTTTCGTTGCATGAATGGAAAAGATGTCTTGTATAAAAGTTACATTGAAGATATTAAAGAAACTTCATCACATGTCAATTGACTTAACTTCTTCAATGATTTAGTTGCATTTGATATGAATTATAAGGTTATTATAAGGTTGCTATGTATTCTGTAAAAAAATATTAACGCTTTTTGTTTGTTTTTCTCTCATAGGTCTGCCAGAAACACGATTCATTGAATAAGTAGTTAGGTTTCTTGCTACAATACTATCAAATTAAGTTCATTTCATCTGTAATAGTTGGTTGGGATCGCTGTTTTTGAACAGTAAATTTGAACAGTTTTAAATTTTGTCGCTTCTCCACATTCACACCATCCTTGAAAAGTCAAAACTTAAATGTTTAAAACGTATAAAACATTTAGTTAGCATGGCTGAATTAACTCGCATTGTCAAAATTAAGTGTTGTTTGTTTCCTAAATATCATCGGCTTTACTAGACAGAAATCCGCGATCGTACCTATTTTTTGTACCATTTGTCGGTGTGACGACCTTGTTTCCATCCTCCAGTCGGATATACCAAGGCAATTTCAACCATATTCCACCATGCAGAGTCACTGCCGATGAACGATTTTGCAAGCATTTTGATTGTTGTTAACACTGCCTTGTTTTTGATGGCTTATTATATGCCGTATCGTCCAAACGACGAAGAGAATGGATTTGAAGAAACGAGATTTGAGCAGGCTGTCGACGAAAATTTTTACTGTTCAATATGCCTTAATGTCGTCAAAGAAGCAAGAATGTGTCGGAATAATGAACACATATTTTGTCGTTATTGTATTACCGAACATCTACGAGTTAATGCACAAAGATGTCCTCAATGTCAAGAGAAACTAACAGTTGATACTCTTCATCCTGCCCGTATTATAAATAACATGGTTGCTAAATTGAAGATCAAATGTGATTATGTAAACCGTGGCTGTCCTGAATTTATAACTCTTGAATTTCTTGAAAGACATGTTGAGAATTGTGGCTTTGCTCCAGTGCTGTGCTCGAATGAACGTTGTGGTCTGGAGATAAATAAACGTGACAAGTTTCGACACGAAACTGAGTTGTGTGAATACAGAGAGATTACATCTCATGATTGTCGAATGATTAGAGAGGACATAGAAACGTTACTAAGAAGTGTCATTAATCATGACGACTCGTTCAAATTACAGATGGCTGAGATTGATGGAAGAATCCTCAAAGCAGACCAAAAAATTGATGAAAAAGTTGACATGTTGACCATAGAAATGACAGAAATAAAGAAAGAAATGACAGAAACAAAGAAAGACATGAGCGTCATTAAGCAAAATATATCCTCAATGACCAAAGAAATGGAACAATTAAAAACAGCCATGAATCAAATGCTGGAAAAAATGACCATTTTTGAAAAAGTTACACAAAAATTGCCATCATCTGTTGAAGGAATACTGAATGCACAAAGAGAAGATATTTTAATTGCTGGGGGAAACCCGTCATCTTTTCCTTCAAGCAGTGCTGAGATATTTTCATGGAAAGAGGAGCATTGGATTAAGATTGCTGCAATGGAAAATAATCATGTTTATGCTTCATCTTTTATTTATAGCAATACTGTGTTTGTTGTTGGAGGATTTAGATGCAGGTCAATAGAGACATTAGATCTCAATCTGTCACCATTGACATGGAAAAAATTTCCCAGAGAGCTTCCTTATAAATGCCTTGATCATCAGACTGTGGTTTATCAACAGAAAATCTTTCATATTGGAGGATATAATTACAAAACAGGAACAGAATCAGCCATCATTAGTGAAATGCAGGTTTCCAGTACATCTCATGTTTTGAACGAGGTATGTTGTATGTCAGAACCACGACGGTGTCATGCAACTGAAGTTGTTGGCGATAAAATTCTTATCTTTGGAGGACAACGAAATGATGTCAAAGCTATGTCTGGTGTGATTGAATTTGATCCTCAATCTCTCACATGTAAGGAAATGCCCCCATTACCTTATGCAATGGCTGGAATGGCTACAGTTTGTTGGAGAGATCAAGTTATTCTTCTTGGAGGACGTGATTGCAATGAAAAAGAATTGAATGATGTCATTATGTATGACAGTAGAACAGGTAAAATTACAGTCTTACCATCCATGTTGAAGAAGAGATGCAGATGTTCTGCAGTTATTACAGGTGACACAATTGTCGTCATGGGAGGATATAGTGATGAAGATGAAGTTCTCAAATTGATCGAGTGTTTTAAAATAGGAACTTCATCATCATGGAGTTATTTGTCATCAATGAATGAATTCAGACGTGGAGCTGTGGCAGAAACTTTACCTGCTGGAAGAAAGTATTATTAAACTCTGAACTAAATTCTTTGTGCTTTTTATTCGAAGTGTTTCAGTTTTTTGTTACATCAAGTAGATATACATTAAATTTTAATGAGTACTTTTTCAGTAAGGTTGCTAAACTGTTGCCAATACAAAAATGTTCCACAATATCCCACAATGTCATACACACGTCACGTGTTACTTGTTCCCAGTCTTCTTTTCTCTGGTAATCGATATCGAGTTGATGATAAACAAAACAGTTTCTTGCACAAGCATGAATTAATCGTAAGTTTTTCTTAATTTTGTCATTAGCGACGTATATTTTGGATATTTCTGCAAATAAACTCTGCACTTATGCATGATATTTTTACGGGCTTAAAATGTGGAGCAAGTCATTATAATGATGTGTTTATAATTCATATCTAATGCAACAGCTGGTCCCTTTGTTCTTCGAGTCACCTTTGTGAGTTTCTATTTTCAATTGGAACGCGATATGTAATGCTTGATGTAGTCTAATGTTTAACTCATGGGTTTGACTGTAACCAAGTTTCGTCAAGCTCTCGAACGTGGTGCTGAAAATGAGGCTATGGACTTATTTGTTCGCCATCAAAACTTAAAACGAGCTGTAAGAGTGAATCGATCATTTGGTTCAAAACATGGCGAGAACACTGCATTACATTACGTTTGTGCGTACGGAATGGAGTCTCTTCTTCAAGACTTACTCGCAGAAGGGGCAAATCCACTGTCAAAAAATGTTAACGGACAAACGGCGTTCCATTTAGTAAACGAGTCAGACGGGAGAGATGCTCTCAAAAGATTGAAATGTTTAAAGCTTATGTTGACATGGTTAAGGGAGAACGAGGGAAATGAACCAGTGTCGAAGTTGAGTATTGAGAAAATCGTTGATAAGGTATCTATCTTTATTTTCTCCTTTTCATCCTTTCATTTTCTAATATTGCTCGCTGGGGGATCTCTCTTCCTGGTGTGTGTTTTATCACTTTTGTCTTTCCTATCAGTATTATGTCTGCCATTGTTATGAAAATGACAATGATAGACATAAAATCGAAAGTAAAGATTTAAGGTAAACACAAAGGCCTAAGAAATTGCCCTTAGAAGGGCTATTACAGTTTACCATTTTATCGTCCTTTCAAAAGTAATCCCATGCCTAGCAGAAAGAAAGACATGAGGGAATTACACAGATACAGACTACTAACATGAAAGTTTACTGATATTCATTGCTTGGAAATATGAATGCAAAGAAAATTAGAAGTTACCACTTTCAAAAAGAGTCTTAGAAAAAATCAATGTGGTTTTCACAATCGTGTAATTACTTTATCATGTCAGTCTTGTTTGTAGCAATCCACAAATGTTAAGCTTTGCTCAAGGTTCTGGAACAAGTTGATCAAATCTGTTTTGCATTGATATTTCAGAACAAAAACTCACCTTTGCATTATGCTGCAAATTCTGGATTATTGGAATGTGTAAAGGTAATATGAAATGCTAAGAATCTTTCATTGTTAAACCTCAGTGATAAAGTTTGAGTCAAAACTTTTGACTTTCTTTAATTGTTATTGCATGCTGTTTCTGCTAAGAGTCTGAAGTGTGAAAGTTAAAGCTTACTATTAATGTTTGTTTATTCAAAGGAGTTGGTGTCCAATGGCTCTCCATTGTACATAGAGAACAAAAATGGCCAAACTGCCTGTGACATTGCTGTAAAGAAAAACTTCCGAGAAATAGCTGCATTCCTTGAATCAAAAATGGTCTTTAATGTACGTATATGAGAAAGAAGAAATTAATAACTTGAACTATAATGACTAATTGAATTATTTTGTTTGTCCATTTAATAGGAATCTACTGGTTTGGAAGATGAAGAAATAATTGTAGTTGAAGATAAAGTAAGTCTTTATCAATAACTCTATGAATTTCAAGGTAAGGAATTCTTCAAACATTGTTATCACTTCTGCAATAAATTGGCACAGTTTTATATACAATATGAAAATGGTTTAAGATTGTTCATGTCCATTAGATTTTCTTGAACAAGAAAGATTATCGACTGTTGGTGTTAAATGTACACTCATTTATACAGAACACACATATTTTAATCACAGTTTCTTGGTCTTGGTGTACACTGTTGGTGTTAAATGTACAATCATTTGTACAAAACACACATATTTTAATCACAGTTTCTTGGTCTTGGTGTACACTGTTGGTGTTAAATGTACAATCATTTGTACAGAACACACATATTTTAATCACAATTTCTTGGTCTTGGTGTACACTGTTGGTGTTAAATGTACAATCATTTGTACAGAACACACATATTTTAATCACAATTTCTTAAGGTTGGCTGCATTGTTTTACTTCAAAGTTTTTCTTTTTTTACAGTTTCAAAGTGGTCTTGGAGAGAAGGAGTTACAGGAAACAAAGGACAATTTATTAGTTCAGACTGCAGACATGTTGCAGGTTTGCCAAAGATTGAGTATTTTACCAACCATGAAAATAATTGAATATGAAGGGTTGCCCTTTTCACATTATCTTTTTATTCCTCTTTTGATGTGTCGCAGCTCTTGACCAATCAAATTGAATAGTTGCTGTGCCCTTCTGACGTGCTACAGTTGTTGAGCAGTCAAATTGATTGGTCATGTCATTTCTTACAGGTATCACTATTCATGGCAGAAGGACTACTTCGATATTTTGGTAAATTACTTTTAATTGAAAGTACTAAAAGTAGAAGTAGATCAATTCTTGGTATCACTTTAAATACTAAATTTCATTTCTTTGTTTATCTCCAATATGTTTAAATGAACCATAGTATGCTCATTTCAATGTACATTGTTCTTTAACAAAGAATATCTTCTCACTGTCGCTCAATTTTGGACAGACTCACAATACATCTCTCTATCTAGAGATACGTAGCTCGTGTGAACAGATTGGGTTATCTTTTATTTAGACTGGTCACGTGAAGCTTTACTTCAAGCCTGGATAGACGATCCTATATCAGCGTGTGAAGCAGCTGGAGTGACGTCATCATCACGTGAGTGTTATTTGTTTGATAACCAGTAGATATTTTAGTAGAAAACCTAAAGATTTTTCCTCCTTGTAGAAGACTGCGTCAACTTAGCGCTAGTTTATTGTAATTCAAAGAAGTCTACGTACGCACCGTGTGTAGTTATTGATTAATAAGTAGGCAAAGATCAAATCTATTGAATCATCACCTACATGTCTTTTTCTTTGATATCTTTGACATTGTTTTTTCAAAGTTTCACTTTGTCTTTTGCCGATTTGCCTTTTAATTAAGATATGGTTTTCTTTTTCTCTCTGTCAAATGAATGTTTTTTTTTTAAATCTTTTTTTAGAGTCAGAAACTCAGACAGTTCATTATGAAGAAGAAGAGAACGTTAATACAAAGGTATTTTTTTTGCATGTTCCATTTTTTCTATGGAAATGCGCGTATTTATCCTAGAATTTACGTTTTTATAATTGTTTTCACCGTTTTTCTCATCACTTTTTACTTGCTAGTTTTAATGGGAAATTTCTCTAAATATTTTCTAATTTAGTTTGATTTAATTCCATCATATTGCTCTACGTCATTTTTCAGTTTTTAAATACATTCAGAAAATTTTTATTTTTCTCTGTTATGTAGTTGGAATGCTCCATTTGCTGCGATTCCTACAATGTTGATATGTTTTCCGTCTCTTTATCTTGTGCGCATAGATTTTGTATCAATTGTTGGAAAAGGTTCGTTGAAACATGAAAATGCGAAAAAACGAAAGTGTGAATACATATAAAAACTTTTCTCTATTTGCTTATTATATCATTAAAACACCATGAAAGTGTGTTTTCAATTTTTGTGATAGAACAATATGCGTACATAAAAAATTTAACTGCTTTCAAAGAAAACACTGCTTTCTTTAATGTGATCATAAATTATTTTGCAGTTATTTGGGTCAAAAAATTACCGATGGGGATATATCCAATATCAAATGCCCAGCAACTGATTGCGTCTGCCTTGTGCCTGTCGTAAGTGATCATTTATTCACAAACATTTTCATCTCATAATACATTACTGAAAATATATTTCAATTTTAAAACACTTTGGAATCAATCCTATATTCTTTAGAAATTTTTAACCAAGAGCGTTTTTAAAAAAGTGTTTTGAATTTAAAATGAGCTTCTACAATTTATATTGACGTACCCTTGATCTGCCACTGACAAAGGTTCTCATTTCTAAAGCTTTATTCTTTATCTTTTCTTGGTAAAGGAGGTTATTGAGAGTGTTGTTCCAAAGGATGTTGCCAACAAATTTGGGAGATTTAACATCAAGGTAAAAATGAGAATTTATTTCAAATGAGTTGTCGAAAGCAAAGAAAAAAATTCAACGTAGCGTTTTTTCTGTCTGTTTTCTACCTTGATGACGTCATAGCCGTAAATTTCAGAAGAGTGATGTCAATTTTTGTCGCAGGCTTTTGTAGATTCAAATCCCTATTTAAAATGGTGTCCTTTCCCGGAATGCGGCAAGGCGGTTCAATTGCCAGAAAATCAAATGTCAGCATACCGTATGGGTGGCGGAGCCTCAGCTGAAACTGAAAGTCTCACTGTAAACTGTGGTGATGAACATTACTTTTGTTGGTAAGCAGTTAACTTGTTTGATGTTCATATGGCCAATTATGGGAAATTGTTATGAAGCATGTTTAGTTTAGTAGTATCATATGTATTTGAATTTTTTCCTTTGGAGGCTTTTTAAGGCTTTCTTGAACGTTTGACATCACATCACCCCTGATGAAGACATTAGACTGTAGTACATAAAAACTCACTCTTGAATTTAATATTTGAAAGTACCTAAAGATATAGAAAGTGCTGAAATTATGTATCTTGTTTTAACAATCTTGTGAATTAGAAAATAGCAGTACACGTTCAGTCTTGTAAATGTTACTTATCATTACACGTTAAAAACGGTGTATTCTATAATACAGGCATTGCATGGAAGAGTCACACGAACCAGCTACGTGTGAAGGATGGAAACGATGGCTTTGTGTAATAAAGGATATATTACCAACACTTCCTAAAGAAGGTGGGACAAACAAAATTGACTTGCCATTTGGAGAGTGACTTTATTCGTGAAATACAATGTTTTTGCTATTTTTGGGGGCAACGAAGTGAATGTCTTCAGTTAGCTTTTCTTTGCAGCATTAGCGTAAGTTTGCATTGCAAATAAGTCCATTTATTTTTTTGCTCAAGATTTGAAAGAATGCCCAGAAACGGAGAGAGTAGCAAACAGTCTGTGGTTGATTACAAACTCAAAACCATGCCCTAAGTGTGCTTCACCTATTCAGAAGAATGAGGGCTGTAATCATATCAAATGTACTAAGGTAAATATTTTATGGCTAGTGATCCTCTTATGGAAGCAAGTAATCGTGAACTCCTTTGGCAACTAAGATAGTTTCCTAAGATTATGAAACGAAATTAGCTTCGCAAAGTCAATGTCAGTGTTAGTGATGTATAAGTATACAAATACATCACAACAAAACATATGTTAGCCATAACTTTGACCAACAACTTTTTCTAATAGTGTAAGCACGAATTTTGTTGGGTGTGTTTGGAATCGTGGAAGAAACACAATTCGTCTACTGGTGGATATTTCAGGTAAACAATTTAAAGGTAAACAATTTAAGCACTAACTGGGTGTTATTCGTAACCATACGTTAACATCTTGTTTCAACATTTTGTTTTCTGAAAAAATTTTTTCGTTTCTGTGATGAGGAAATCGATTTAAATAAAAATTTATCTTCGGTGTCTTGTACATTGCAAACATAGGAGTTTGGTTATGACGAAATAGAAGGTTGATGAATATCGATCGGAGCATAGTTTTGCTTGGTTTGGGGTATTCATTGTTTTTTCTTTCACTTTTTTTTTTGGTCAAACAATTTATAGATGCAACCGTTATGAAGTGGTGAAAGCTATAAAGGAAAGAGTTTTAGAAAAAGCACAAAGTGTAAGAAACCTATGTTGTTGTAGTTAGTGATCGATTCCATCTGAAATGTTTAATCATTAAACACGTTATTTACTTTGTTATGAATTTTGACATCGAGTTTGTTGCTATGAAGTAACATTCGTAGAGCTATCCTACAATTTGTCTGTACTCATTTTCATTTTATTACTATCGTTTTTGTTTTTAGATCAATGATGAACATAAAAAGGTTGAAAAACTGAATCATTTCCTGCACTATTATTCGCGTTTCAAAAACCACGAAAACAGTTATAAGGTAAATTGCACACATCATTATGGTCATGCACATTGTTTCTCTGATCTGATTTTAAAAAAATCTACAGTTTTGTGATGATATTTTATGCTTTAAAAATATATATATCCAAAAACTACTTCATATAAAACTGCCATACTATTTTTAAAAGGTTTTTTTAACTCTTTGGGGGACTCTTCGTAAAAGTTAGATTTGATTTTGTGGAACTATTGTACACACCGTACAATTAAGTGTTCAAGTGCTGGCGCTAACTGGAAGGACCTTATCATTTTGGTTATTTGTATTATTTTGTATTGGATGTGTGAAGCAGTAAAAACTTTCAAAATGTCAAGTGTATTGCGGCTTTTTTCAACTTCAAATCCCTATTTCCCTATCTTCTCGTTATGGACAGGTTTTAGTGGAAGTTTGATTTATTTATAGCTTGAAGAGCCGCTTCTGAAATCAGCTAAAGACAAAATGGTTGCACTTGTAGTTGCAGCAGAATCAGGTAAAAATATCTTTGTATGTTCATGTAAACCACCAATGAAAGACCTGCTTTTGTGAAGGTAGATGATTGAGTGAGGGTAGGTGACTACTGTTTTGTTGTGTTACTACTAGATGCCGTTGTATGTATGGTGTTGTATGACTTGAAGGTATGTGACTGTGTAGGTACATGATGGGGTGTTGATGGAGGTGTTGTATAATGTATGAAAGTAGGTGGCTAACTGGAGGTTGTTTCTACTGTGTAGTAGGTAGGTAGATGATTGAGGAAGGTGTTGTTGTCTGGTATGTTGTGTGGATTGAGGGTAGATTAGTAACGAGGAAAATGTGTGTATGTTTCTTCTATATAAGGAATTGATCTACGAGAGCATTGTATCGTCAACCGTTTAATCCATCATGAATCGACTATAAAAAAACTGTTCAATTTCTATTTTAGTTTCTGGGCAATCATCACTGTCTTCATCGTTATCGACATCGCAAGTAGATACGAGTTTCGTTGAAGACGCTATCAGGAAATTATTAAAAGCTAGAAGAGTCTTGCGAGCATCTTACGGTTATGGCTTTTTCTTGGGAGCAAACCAGCAAAAAAAGATTATCTTTGAATTAATGCAGGTTAGCTCGTTGATAACGTATCGTGTATCTTATTACCTTCGTAACCTAACCTTATGATGTAACCTTCTTAACCTTATGATGTAACCTTTGTAAGCGACGTAACCTAATGATGTAACCTTTGTAACCTTATGATGTAACCTTTGTAGTCGTCATTAAAATTTAGTTCTAATATTTTAAACTTTAGTAGTTAGTTAGTAGTGTACCTTATCGTAGTTCATCGTATTAGAAATTTTTTGCTGCAGTAGGTGAACAAAGAGCATTATGCACAGCAAAACTAAATAAGTCAGCGCAGGAGCTATGTCAACATTAATTAACTCTCTCCATGTTGTTTTTTTTTAGACAGAGCTTGAAGAAGCGACTGAGAATCTTTCTCAGATGGTGGCACGACCATACCTTCGCACACCACGTGCAAAAATCATCAGCGCAGCTCAGTTGACACACAGGAAACGAGAAGATCTTCTTTTGGCTTTATCGCGTGGCCTTCTTCCACCTGATGATTCACCTAGGGCCAAACGAGCTCGCAATAATTACTTAAGAAGGTTTGTTTGTTGATTGGAATGAAGCCACGAAGTTTGCTTGACTGTTAATGAAAGTTTTAATTTGTAAAACACCTGTTGTGTTTAGGTATAACGCTGTGTGGCAAGATGATTCTGACGAAGAGGTATGTTACTCCAGCATATATCATTTGTTCATTCATTACAATAATGCATGTTACTAATCTTTGTTGTTATCATTCAATTCTCCTTCAACTAACCAACAAATTGTTTTTGTATTTTTAGTTTCTTTTCGAAGAGGAACCGACTTTGCAGTTACAGAGACTGATTGAGACCACATTGAATTTAAAGAACGAACCTGATGAAGACGGTGAAAGAAGAAGGGAACGTAGAAGAAGACGACACCGTCATCGTAGTGGTTAGTAGTTACAAGTAATGTCTAATTTATTTAGCAGAGTTTAGGTTTGCTGGTACATACCAACAAAAAACACAATTTATTGATGCTGTCTTTGTAAATTCTATACTTTAAATAGCCAGTAGGTTGCATAGTTTTACTACAGCTTTGTGGAAATTATTCCAAATACTTCACCTGAAACAAGGAATGAAACAACTCTACAAACCTTTTTCACTTCCCTAGAGACTTTGGAATATCTCAATGCCAATGATGAAGGCAGTAGCACAGATCTTGAGCAAAGGAGACTTGGAAAGAGTCGGATGTTGTTGGCACAAGAATCTGCTGATTTGCAAAAGGCAATTGAGCTGTCATATTATGATATGAAATCAAGTAATCATACACAAGGTTTGAGCACTTAATTTGTTACCTGGTTTTAATTTAAAGTTGGAAGGTTAGTTAGTAGTAGTACATTATATAAAAATCACAGTTCAACATTCATAGCTTTGTTCAACTTAAATTCAATTTGTTAGATTTTTAATGTGAAGTAGAGATTTCATTTCATTTGCTTCATCCTTTAAGGTGAGCACACTTCAAATGAAGTGGATGCAGATTTACAATTGGTGCTACAACTGTATGGCCAAGAAACAAGTGAATAGATTATAATGCACTGTAAAATAATTATCATAGAGAATAATTTATGTTGAAATGGTATTTTCAATTGGGTGTTGCAAATTTGGTATTGAATTGACTAAAATTTCAATTGTATGCACTTTCATGCAAACTATATAGAAAAATTGTTGTATTTCAATAATACATTATTACACAATGGCTATAATTAGTAAGATATGACATTGTTACATTGAAATACATCACATGTGAGCTAAGAATTCGCTAGTCTCTAATTGGTATGCTTAATAAATTACCTTATAAAACAAAAATTAACATGTATAAACTATACATCCACTTTGCTTCATTTGAAGGCATTTATGAATTAAATATCAAGGCCATGACTTATCTGTCATGTAAGATTTAATGTTTCGAGAAATTGAAATGGTGTCATGTATAAGTAGAAATTAAAGGTGAAAAATAACGACTATTTTATGTTTGACAGCATTGCTTTGTAACCTGCTGATTATTTAATTCTATTTTTTCCTCTTTTACTACTGGTGAATTGTCCTTTTTTTCATTTGACAATTCATCTTTGAGTTTTTTTATTTGAACCTTATGCACTTTGGTTATTGTCTCTTGAAATAATTCTTCAACATTGGTAGCATCAAGGGCAGAAGACTCTGCAAACAAAAGATTATTCTCCTGGGCAAATATTTCACCATCGGCAGTTGATATTGCTTGCAAATGTCTTAAATCACTTTTGTTGCCCACTAGCATCACAACAATTTGATTGGCAGCATGTTCTTTCACTTCCTCTATCCATCTTGGAACACTTTCATAGGATTTCG